ATTCAGCATTAGCACCTTTTTATAATATGAAAGGACACATAACACCAGTTGGATATTTTTATGAGAATTGGCACTGTAAATAATATTCACAATTGAGAGAAATTTTAAAAGTAAAAGAAGGGACTTTTATCGCCCGCAACGTTTTTAACACTTTACATGTGCTTTCTAATAAATTTTGTAAAAATATAAAGTAAATCTGGGAATTTGCTTTAGGCATTATATGTATCGAAATTGCCCTATAAGATTATTTAAGGCAAAGAAGAGCACAATGGAAAAGAAGATAACATACCGAAACACAATGTTGGTATCAAAATTATACTTAAAAAGTCCTGAGATTCCTTGAATAATCTTATAGGGCAATTTCGATTCATATAATGCCTAAAGCAAATTCCCAGATTTACTTTATATTTTTACAAAATTTATTAGAAAGCACATGTAAAGTGTTAAAAATGTCGCGGGCGATAAAAGTCCCTTCTTTTACTTTTAAAATTTCTCTCAATCAGGATGGTTTCAAGCAAAATGAAGCAGAGGAATGTCTATTCTTTAAAGGTTCAAATGAGAACATGATCATCGTTGCACTCTATGTTGATGATCTACTAATAATGGCCAAAACTTTGAATGTGCTAACAAACTTCAAACGCACATTAATGAATCATTTCAAAATGAAGGACTTAGGTGCCGTATCTAAGTTTCTAGGAATGAATATTGATATCAAGAGAAATAATGACAACTCAGTCCAAGTTCAATTACTGTTGAAAACTACACCCATAAGATTCTACTGGAATATGGTATGCTCAAGTGCAACTCAGTTGCAACGCCTTTGGATGTTAAAGGGAAATACGTGCATGATGATAGTCCACCATGTAATCCCACACAGTACAGAAGTATAGTTGGAAAGTTGATTTTCGCCAGTAATACGGTGAGATATTACCTTTCTTATACCGTTAGTTATCTTGCTACTAAACTTCAGGAACCTACCCAAGCAGATTATAAGAAAGCACGCAGAGTGCTCAGATATTTGAAGGGTACACAAGATTTCCTGATAACATACAAGAAAACGAGTAAACGGTTTGATCTCAAAGGATTCACTGACTCTGATTGGGCTGCTGAGCAGGTAGAAGTCAAATCAGACGTTACAAATTCAGAACCAATTAAAAATTTTCGATTAGATCAAGATACGAAAGATAGACAAGCAAGAAGAAGTCATACTAGGTATATATTTACCGGATCAGGATCACCACTCAGTTGGAAATCGAAGAAACAAGTGTCAATTGCTCTAGGCAGTACTGAGGCCAAATACATGGCTGTTTCAGAAGATGTTTAAGAAGGGGTATGGCTCAAGTCAATGTATGAGTACTAGAATATTGAATTTGATACAATCACTCTATTTACTGATAATCTTGGAGCCAAGAACCTTGCAGAACGTTCTGCATATCATGATCGTACCAAACACATAGATGTACGGTTCCACAAAATACGTGAAGTATTACAAAAAATTTGAAAGCGTTACTACTGACCAAAATAAAGCTGATATACTCACTAAAGCATTACCCAAGACTACCATGAATAATCTACTAAGAATAATACTTGAACCAACTGATTAAGAGAGGGTGTTGAAGAATTGTGTTGGAAGTGTTTGTTTTGTTGAAGAATGTTGAAGATTTGTGTCAAAAGTTTTTGTTGAACTATTGTGTTAGAGTGTTGAACTTGTTGAGGTATGTTGAACCATTTTGTTAAAAAAAAGGGAACGTGTAAGATACAATTATGTAATCTGTTGGTTACAAGCAAATAGTACCATAAGTCTCAGACTTAGAATAAAACTTCATATAGAGTAGTATCAAGTCTGTTTTATACTGATAATACTACAAGACACACCTCAAGATAAGTATTACTTGTGATTAAACTACTAACAGTATGACTTGTATAGAGGATTTAAAACGTCCATTTAAACAGCATTTGCACGCAGCTAGGTAGGATTAGAAAATTGTCTTTAAGTAGTTTGTAAATTTAACCAAAAAATAGAAACTTCACATTACCAGAATAGAGCTGTGTCGATGACTTTTTGTTAAAGTATTGTGTCAGAAGCATGCAGGATCGTACAAGACACAATCATGTAATCTGTTGGATGCAAACAAATAGTCCAGGTGAGGAAATATTTAAAATATCCTAGATTGGTAATCCAGATGTTTTAAGCATAACTAACTAGTTTTAAAAATATTCAAAATATTCCGTATAGGTAAGTCAGGATATTTTAAATGATAGCTAGCCACGTGGAATGAAGAACAATGATAAATTGTTCTTAGCAAGTTTGCTAATCCAAGTGAATATCAGCGAACTATAAATAAGCTACTATAAGTCTCAGACTTAGAATAAAGTTATATAGAAAAGTAATCAACTCTGATTTATATAATACTGATAATATTATTGTTGAAGTATTGTGTCAGAAGCATGCAGGATCGTATAAGACACAATTATGTAATCTGTTGGTTGCAAACAAATAGCTGAGAGAATATTGTAGAAATCCTAAATTGAGTTATTTAAATTATCCCGTATAGGTGAGTCAGGATATTTTAAATGATAGCTAGTCACGTGGAATAACGAACAATGATAAATTGCTCTTGGCAAGCTTGCTAATCCTATATTAGCAGTAGGCTATAAATACGCCACCATAAGTCCTAGACTTAGAGTAAATTTTTATAGAGAGATAAGCAACTCTGATTTATATAATACTTCAGAATTTACAAATGCTAATTCACATTTGAAATGGGGTAGATCATTGCAAAATTGCAATTTCCTACGTCGTTTTTTAGCTTTTTCCTCTTTTATGCGAGAATTTATTCTGCTAGCGTTATTTTTATACTATGATTCTTTATGATTGAAGCTCTAATATAATCTGCATCTTCGAATGGAATTTGTATAATTCGTGTAATGAGTAATAACTTGAAAAATTCACAAAAAGTAAAAAAGGATCATACAATATCTTAAATACCACCTTTTCGGGAGTGAGGTGACGGATTACTGAATGTATTGTTACATCAAAGCTTTTATGCTATATTCTTTTATTATAAATGGCAGATGCATGCGGAGGAGTGTAACAAGTAGGCAACTGATGACTTTGCTTCTTGGTTAAGCTTAGGCTAATGACAATAACGGGAAACTGATGTCATCAATTAATAGTGGTGAAGATTCACAACATTTAAGTATTGTGTCAACGCAATCAAGCAATGCAGTCGTTTCAATAACGATGTCGACATATGAACACGAGGTTGGTGGCTCTGGGCGAGTTTAAAGACACGGAATCATTTTAGAAGCGACTACAGCAGCAGTTCCTTATTATGCGGGTATTATTGCGGGTGACTTTGGAAAATAGCTTGTTGCCGAAGTTATATAGGTCGTACGTTATTGCGATCTGTTGGTACTATAGGCAGAGCGGCATTTGCTCAATTCATGTTCCGATGCTGACAACTTGATAGGCTAAAAGAGGTTGAGTAGACATTATTTAAGGTTGAAGATGTCCTGAGGGCCTAATATCATGTATGGTTCAATATCGCACTGAAAGGTACTTAATTCTTTCGGTAGCAGTATTAATACAGATACGCTCTACTGTAGTGCCTTATTCAATAAGGAATATCTTGTACTATTTCTTGTAGTATGAATACTGTTGAAGTATTGTGTCAAAAGCATGCAGGATAGAATAAGACACAATTATGTAATCTGTTGGTTGCGAACAAATAATCCAGATGAGGAAATATTCGAAATATCCTAGATTGGTAAGTTCGGATGTTTTGAGTATAACTAACCCGTTTTAGAAATATTCAAAATACCCCGCATAGTAATACTACAAACACATTGGTTATGACGGAAGTAGTCTATTTGATTATTAGTGGGCTATAGATAAGAACCATAAGTCTTAGACTTAAAATAAAGTTTTATATAGAAATCATCAACTCTGAATTATAAGACACACCTCAAGATAAGTATTAGTCGGATTAAACTACTAACAATATGACTTGTATAGAAGACTTAGAACGTCCATTTCAACAAATACAACTCAATTAGTTTCCAGCCGGAGGGTCTGGTCCCATTTTACGAATTTTGGGGTTGAAAGAGCCTTATTTATGTTCCACAGTCCCTTCCCTCATTTTAATTAATAGTATGGCTATTACACTACCTTTTCCAAGTGTTAATGTGTAGCCGTCATCCACAATCCATATTGAGCTCGCACATGCTGCTCTGATGTTGCTCAACACCACTAACTGAATTCCAGTTTATTGTATTCGTAGTTATCTCCGGATCGCTCGACATTCATCCAACGCAAAATGAGCTTGAACGGTAAGTACACAACTAATCAACTAGTATAAGTGAGTTCAAATATGTAGCAAGAGATAGAAGCGGATCGAAATGTGTGTTAGTTGATGCAAACTTCACGCTAAATATCCATTTGATGGTGGCAAATAGCAGGACGATTGTTGGTGATCTAGAGATAGAAATGAAGAAAAAAGTGGGAAGAACTCCATATGTGAATTTTCTTTGGCCGAGCAAACTGGATAACCCACTACCAGAGCTGAAAAAAATCTGTAGGTAGAAAGGACTGATTATTGTAAGGTCAATTGGATAAGGTATAATTATGAAATATGGTTGGCAATGAATGGGGATAAATTTTTGGTACTGATGCTGATTACCAAGCAGTAGAGTATCAGTTAAATGCTGGCTACACCAACGTTGGTGATCTTGATGTTGAACTATTGTGTTAGAGTGTTGAACTTGTTGAGGTATGCTGAACCATTTTGTTGAAAAAGAGGGATCGTGTAAGACACAATTATGTAATCTGTTGGTTGTAAGCAAATAGTCTACGGGCTATAAATAAGGCACCACCATAAGTCTCAGACTTAGAATAAAATTTTATGTAGAAAATAATCAACTCTGATTTATATAATACCGATAATATTATAAGACACACCTCAAGATAAGTATTACTCGTGATTAAACTTACTAACAATATGACTCGTATAGAAGATTTAGAACGTCTATTTCAACAGGTTATGAGCTCCTTTAAGCTTCCCGATGATTTTGTTATGCTAACTGATAGTAGCACGTATTTGCCATGGCGGAGAAGTCTTGAAAAGCCTCTTTGTACTAAGACGGCGTCCAGAAGTTTTGAAGCCTTTATCATTGCAGGTACTATTCCTGACTTTCCGGATGATCTTACTATTGTTGAGAAAGATAAGGTTTTTGAGACTCTTGAGCATATAGCTCATGATATTTTTATCAGTACTCTCTCAGATCCTATTTGTCAAAGTTTAACTCTTCATTCCGTTACAACATTCACCGCTGCTAACAAATTTATTTCTGAAAAATATGGGTTTCCTACTGTTTCTCACTTGATTAACTTCTATGATTCCTTGCACACAACGGATGATTATGCACTTACTTGCGCTGAGGTTAAACGCATTCATGAATGTTACTCCCCTGCTGAATTGGCTGTGATTTTTCTACTCTTGGCCCAACCTACTTCTATTCATCACGCCTTTGCCTCCCTGGTTCAAGCCCTTCCACCAATGATCGTCGATGGTGTCCCACGTCGCGCACCACTTACTTTTGATTTATTCCAGTCGGTATGTGCGTCTGAAGCTATGAGAGAACCAAAAGTATTGTCCACTGAAATGACTCTTGCTACCTTCAACAACAGACGACCATTTCGTGCAGGTACCAAAAGACGATTTTCGTCACGCAAGTTTATCTGCTACAACTGTGGTAAACCGGGCCATGGTATTCCTGAGTGTCAACAACAACTTCAAAAACCCTTTCGATTTGCTCCTAAGAATAAGTATGTTAAACATACTGATGGACACCCAAATTCCGCTTCGCGTTCTTCTGACGCCGCCTATTTAGCTGATTCTCAATACATGTCTTCAAGAACCTAACAAATTACGCATTAACAAATCTAACGGTTGCAAAATAATCATTATATGTAGGACAAATAATAATACTTAGAGAAAACCGATAAGATCGAGGTGAGAATACTAGAGAAAATAATAACAGCAGATACCTAGTTAGAGGTGAATTTAACACGGACTCATTTTTCTCCAAACTGTTGCAAAGAATCGAGTGAAGTATTTGGGTCACAAATATACCACCATGTTCTACCCTTTCAGAGAAAATTGTTTAGAAATTGTTTAATTATATGACATTATTCCACATTAATAATTTTTGACTAAAATTTTGCAGGATATTTATTATTGAAACTGGTTTTACAACGATTACTGTCAATTATTATGCAAACCAGTCTCTGCAAATACAACTCGATCCAGGAAAAAGTGAATATACTATTTATATACAGCATGAATATGTAAATTATAATATCTTACTTCATTTTTTGTAAATAAAGTAAGATATTCATTAGGAAAAGGTTTGTAATCGATATTATTCTTGTGCAGTAGTTTGACTCTTCACCCATAGGTGGTGAGGTATCTAAAGTCGTGTGTTTCCCAATGATCCTGGATAAGGAATCTCGGCTTTTATCACTGGTAATAAGTTACTAATAATTCAATTATTGTACGGATTGGTTCGAGTATCATGTGTAATATTACTATCTAATATTGCTTGGTGTTTTAGCTTGATTAATATTGAAGTTCAATTGTCGCTCTTTATGGTGTCCAGTACCTTGTTAGCACTAGCTTCAATCAAGTCACTCATTCTGAGACTTCCTTCAAAGACCCTTCATATATGAACGTTCAAATTCATTCAATCTCTAATAGCCAAACTAAAAACTTTTTCTCACTTTTAAGCAGTGCTTATTTTAATACCTTTTAGTAAACAATATATTCTGATGAGATTTTAAAGTTTACAATCGTACATTCAATATTCATCATCAATAGGAAGACCTTAAGGTTATGACTACAAAATCCGTCATATAGAAAAGTAAGCGATAATATAACTCCCACCTCATCGGTGTAATAAACACACCCATAAAGGTTTCCGAAATATAGCTGTCATCCTCGAGAGAAGTTCATTCCCCTTTTGTGGAATTAGATCTTCTTCGATTATTTCAGGAAGGGTCTCCTCTTCATCCCCATACAACTGAATCGAAAGCTTTATCTGATTGGGCAAAGTTATCTTCTCCATGATCGAGGCATGGAAAATAAGGGGGAAGCTTTTTCAAGGCACCATCATTCTCAAAAATCTCTTCTCAGTGATAATCCAAAGGATTCCCCATAGTAACAGGTAATTCAAGGGTAAATAGTAAACTATTCGTATGTAATTGTTGTATTATTAGAAAAAAAGATTGATAACACCTGGAAAAACCAGGTGAGGTAGTAAAAAAAAGCTGGCAGTCCTACGAAGCTATTAAAATAAGAGAAATACTTAACAAAGAATATGTTCCTCTTTTAACTTTAATATTAGGCAATAATATTAAAACTTGTGATTATAAAGATATGGAAGACCTATTGAAAGATTATATTTGAGTAATATAGCGAAGTCATAGATACTATTGTTAAAGAATTAAAAGTTCAATCTTTAGTTCTAAGTAGGTAACCGCTACAGGATCTTTTTGGTATTTTGTTTTCTAAAGTAGCGGGTGCGTCAATAATTGTGGTGTTTGGAGCCATTTACTATTGGCAATCGGTAGGTGACACTAATGGTTTAGTTAATATACAGACTGATTCGAGTATCACATGTACTATAACTATATAATAGTACCTAGTGGTTAGCTTTATCTATCCTACTTTCGAATGTATACTAAGGTATATAGAAGCGTCTAAAATTTCTATTATAACATTCCTTTTAAGTACTAGACATTTACTTTGGAAGCACAATTTACACTGCTGTGAATTATAGAAACCAGTCTCAGTAGCTGAATTTGTGGTAAGTCTCTTTAAAAATATATAATTCATTGCACATTCACCTATTCCTTTAACTTTCCCCACATATGCATAGGAGTCGCAAAATGCGCATAATACTTGATATTTCAGAAGGATAAAAAGGTAACGGTAAGCCCCATACTAGGGTCGATTCCGCAACCTTTAGATCCTCTTGTACAAGGGAGTAGCACTACCATATAGAAGTAAATTCAGACAAAAATAATGGTGAACGAGGTCCGAGTGTTAAGCCCGACGCGGGGGTCGAACCCGCAACCTTTTGATCGCTTCTCTTGTACAAGACTAAGAGTCAAACGCTCTACCGATTGAGCTAGCCAGGCTCGCTCATGTGAAAAAAATGTCCCTAAACTACATTATCGCTTTGAGCTGAGAAATATTTTTATGCACTTCTATAGTAAATCGTATCGATTTCTAGGTTGATTATTTGATAACCAAAGTACACCAGCCACCTCAAAAATTTATATAACAACTTATAAATAGATCTCCTCTTGTGCATATTATTGGTTGTAATATTGTCCCTTTTTTCAAACAAAATTAGTTATAACGTATGAGATAACGCTTCGTTCACATGTCTTCCATTGGGTATTTAAAGTTATTACCTCTTATAAAATTAAATAACCACTAACGCAGAATCCTAGTTATTATATAATAAACCAAATGATATTTTAGTACACTACTAGAAGTGGTGTAAGTATAAAATAACAATGTGGTATATTTTGTACGTAAAATGTTTCTTTTGCATGAAAAACTTCTCTAATTTGAAAATATAATGCGAATTCGTTATAATATTCTATGTGATCAAAAAGATGTTAGGGTCTCAATACATTATCCTTAGCATAGAAAGTTTTAAAAATAAGAACAAACTCTAAATTGTTTAAAAAAACCGTCAAATCTGTCAAGACGTAAAATTCACATTATTAGCATACGATCTATAAAATAACTCGAAGTTATTGTCGCCTTAACTTGCAAATCTTTAAAAAAGCCCAAACCTTCCGCAATTGACTTTTTTTTGGATCCTAGAAGATTAAGAGATCATTCAAGTCAATCTACTTCAGTATGATAAAAGTGGCTGATTCTGCGTTTAGTATTTCTTTAATATCCACTTTTATTTGAATGGCTTTAGGCATTTTACCTGAATCGCCTTCTTTCTGTCTCATTCCTTGTTTCAATTCCAGTGAATGTTAAAACTATCTGAAGGTTTGACTTTTCTTTGACTTAATTTCACTAAAGTAGGTGACATAAAGCTTCAAATGTGTTTAGGATGAAGCTAAGGCTCATGTACCCTACTGGTGAAGCAAAATAACATTTAGGAATAACACTAGAATAATAGCTGGAAGCTTCGACAATTATAGTTTATCCGAGTTACAAAAAGGCGACGAAGCTCTTCAAAATATTTATTGCCCGACTTGAGATCGATATTTCATCAAGCCAAGATAATCAACTATAAATATGAAGCTTGATGAAGTAGAGCAACGGCGCATATAATCAAGCGATAAAAAATAATTACCTGATATATACAAGTTGACTGAGACAATGGCTATTCTTCAGCTGTTTAAGAGTAAGAGTAAACAAATTCTTTAAATGTAATTCATCGAAGAATTTTGACGAGGAATTGCTAAGTATTTCACCAAAAGCATAGACTCACTTTTTTAGATTGCCTGAGGGTATCAGCTTCGGTAAGCATACCACGTCGATATTTTAGTTGGTCTAGTTCAAAAGTCTATATAATACATCGAATGATAAACTAAAAGTTTTACACGGTCGAGGGTTACTTCATTGGTTAAAGTTTAAAGGCAGCCCTTCATGTCTCAGCACTCAAATACAACGAGGTTTAGAATACAATGCATCTACATCAAATTAAAAAATATAGTGAGGGTGGATCAGACTAGCACACATAATATGTGGTTGCCACACAAGGATACACACCCAGCCACACGATCCCTCTAATAAAACAACAACTGATGTATCAAAAGGCGTTGAAGTTCCATCATTGGGCTTTTTCTTCTCCATAACCAGAACCCAGAAATCTATGGTTGAGTAAAGAAATTGGGGCAGAAACAGGAGTGCATCAACTTTGAAAATTGTCTACAAAATAACAGAAAAGACTTTATAAGGATAGCCTGTGTATTAAATATAAACAACAGCACCTAATGGAATTGAAGATGTCAATTACGGAGAAAAGAAAAGAGTAAGAAAGAAAGAAAATGTATTGGGAGAAAAATAAATGGAAAAATGTGAACCACGAAAATTTCAAAACCAAACCTGTATATTGGAAGGGCATTACCCGGACATACTATCAGGTTTATAGTACATCCAGATAGTATAATGGAGGTAAGTTCCCAATTCAAAACGATACCAAGGTGAACAAGAGTTCATCTTTGGAATCAAATATTGAGTCATTTATTGACTGTGATCACCAGAGTCATTGCTCAATTGAAAAGACCGTTTTACAATACACAATAAATCATGGATAACACCAAGATAACCACCACTTTCTTCAAATATACTTTGATGCAACAAATATAATCCAGGAAAAAAGTTTTTTAATTTATAATAATGTAGGCAACAAAGTAAAGTATAAAATATTTAAGGAAGTGTGTGATTGCTTCGATCTCATTGAGCTTTCAACGACAAATCTCGATTAAAAAGTGCAACTGCAATGAGACCCAATAACATGAATAGACAGCTAGATTATGATCCAATATGGTCTTTAAATAACCAATTCTTAAATTAGTTCTCTGGTCTCAAATCTGAACGTCTGGGAGCCTCCAAAGGATGTAACTGGGCCAAGTATGTAATTGCCCACATCAAGTAACACATTGCAAGCCCAAGAATAAACGAAGACCGCCAAACCGTACGGTTTTCAACTGGGGCAAATATCCAGAACAAAGTAGAAGCACCCACCACGAGTATAAGGGCAAAGATAATGGTGTATCTGTGTAATGTTAGTACATGTCATAAACAGAAGACATACTTTAAAGTCATCATGCCCAATCATTGAGGAGATTGAATGTTATGGAAAGCTCTTATATACATACCCACTCATATTCTCTCTACCTGTTTATTATCGTCTGCAACCTTCAACGTGTACGTAGACCAAAGAGTTTCCTTCATTTCATTATCAACAATTTTTTGGAGTACGTCCCCGACAAACGCCTGCACAGAAAGGCCCTCACCCAGTGCGATAAAACCCACAGAGAAGTTGGGGGTAACCACACAGATCAAAGTTCTTGGAGTTCAAAATAGCATAGCATAGCATAGCATAGCATAGAATATCATCGACAGAAATGCTGCAGTCGATACAAGATCTTCCGACGGAGATAAGCAATTGGCTCTATAATGTGATCCAACCGCTGTATGTTAACAAGCAAATAGTCTATACTCATGTCTATCAATTCCTCCAAGTGTACATAAGACATCAGTTCAAGGTTCGAACGTCGGTGTATACGTCTAGCGAGACAGGAGTATCGCAATTGCTCCTCCAAATTAGTGGCGATTTGAATGTTGGCAATGGCCAGATCGTACCGTTGGATATCTGGGTTCCTTTCAAATACCCATATGGCGAAGTTCCCATTGTACATGTGAGACAGCGTGAGAACGGAGCAGCTCGTATCAAGGCAGGTAATCATGTTGACAGTCAGGGAAAGTTTTACCATCCATTTCTTGTTACGTGGTTTCAAAAGTGTGTACAAAGTGATGCCTCATCCATTACAAGATACAACCTTCTTGAACTTGCAAGTGTATTAAGGGAAGCCTTTCTGAAAGAGTTCCCTTTGGTTACCGTACCGTTACGGTTTGGTACAACAGTTAATACCACAAGTCAACCACCACCTTTACCCAAGAAACCAGTAAAACATTCAGAAGGTGGTAGGGAATTTGTTTCTCCTACACCTACGGGTCCCCCATTACCATCTAAAATACCATTCGACCAAAATAGTAACAACATTCCTTTGAGGTACCAAGGACCCTTACCCTTACCTTCTCTGCAAACGGAAAGCTATAAATCATCCTCAAACCCATCTACGCCAATTTTGGTGAACCATAGTCGTCAACAATGCTACCAGTATTATGAACAACCTTCACAATTTCAACAGCAGCAGCAACAACAGCAGCAGCAACAACAGCAGCAGCAACAACAGCAGCAGCAACAACAGCAGCAGCAGAAATCTCAACAGATGCCCCAACAGCAATATCAACTGCAACTGTCCCAACAGCAATACCAACAGCAACAACCCAAACAGCAATATCAACAGAAACAGCAACTACTGCCACAGCACCAACATCAACCACAATCACCCCTACAACAGCAACAGAGTATTTCCCATGTTTCTTCTGGTTCTCCATTCAAAAAGTCATTCAAATTTGCTCCTAATGCTCTCCAACAACCCCAACCAGAGTATCCTCTTGCAGCAGAAAACATTCAATCTCCACCTGATGCCATATACTCTGAGCCACAAGACTTAATGGATAATATAGAACTGTCTTATCTGACTGCCAACCACACGCTGAACCACATGGCGCAACTGTCCACGGATTACGAAACGGCAATGGGTAATATAGAGGATAACATCAACAAATACCTTCAAGGAGAACTAAAGGATACTATGGTACGGAAAATTGATCAGAATTGTATGAAGGTAAATGCTTTATATGATCAACTAACGTTTTATCACAAACAAGCACAAGCTAATAGCAATAAATTGGCAGAACACAAGGATTATCTTGGTTCACAAGTTGAAAAAATCTCCCAACTTAATGCTAAACTTGTTGAGTTGGAGAAGAAACAAGAACCAAGAAAGATATATGTCTCAGAAACTTCAGCTTTTGATCTTGACAAAATAGCGATGCCTGATCTGGCACTTGTTTCTCAGCTTTACAATACAGTAGCGGATATTAGAGCTACTAAGGACGTCATTAATGCTATTAGCGGTACTTTCTCTTCGGAGCCTGAATTTATTAGTGACTCAAACTTGGATTCATGCGTCAAAGCTGTTCGGGGTCTCGGAAGAGAATTATTTTGGCAAGAATTAACCAAAAACCATATAGCTACCATTATGGGACTAATAACCGAGTAAATAAATAGTACTATTGTGACATTTGCTGATAAGAAGCGACATTTCATTTTTTTTTGGCACCATCTTTCATCTTTCTCAAAATGTCGTGCCATCTCATCGAAACTTTTCACTGTGAAAAATTTTGAAATATACACCTTCATCTTACCGAAGAAAGTCATCGTAATACAGAAGGGCATTTTATTCACTATAAAAGATGTCAGACGATTACGTTATTAAGCCAGAGAACGTGGTACCTGCCAATGACACCTCATCATGGCCCTTGTTATTGAAGAACTACGACAAGTTGTTGGTTAGAAGTGGACATTACACTCCCATCCCAGCTGGTTCTACTCCCTTAAAGAGAGACTTAAAGTCTTACATTTCCTCTGGTATTATCAACTTGGACAAGCCATCCAACCCTTCTTCCCATGAAGTTGTTGCTTGGATCAAGCGTATCCTTCGTGTTGAGAAAACCGGTCACTCTGGTACCTTGGATCCAAAGGTTACCGGTTGTTTGATTGTTTGTATCGACAGAGCCACCAGATTGGTCAAGTCTCAACAAGGTGCTGGTAAGGAGTATGTTTGTATTGTCAGATTGCATGACAAGCTTGAAGATGAAAAGGACATGGGAAGATCATTAGAAAACTTGACTGGTGCTCTTTTCCAAAGACCTCCATTGATCTCAGCTGTCAAGAGACAATTGAGAGTTCGTACTATTTATGACTCTAACTTGATTGAGTTTGACAACAACAGAGGTTTGGGTGTTTTCTGGGCCTCTTGTGAAGCTGGTACTTATATGAGAACTTTATGTGTCCATTTGGGTATGCTTTTGGGTGTTGGTGGTCACATGCAAGAATTGAGAAGAGTTAGATCCGGTGCTTTGTCTGAAAATGATAACATGGTTACCTTGCACGATGTCTTGGATGCACAATATGTTTATGATAACACTAGAGATGAATCATATTTGAGAAAGATCATCAAGCCATTGGAAACTTTATTGGTTGGTTATAAGAGAATTGTGGTCAAGGATTCTGCCGTCAACTCTGTTTGTTACGGTGCCAAATTGATGATTCCAGGTTTGTTGCGTTATGAAGAAGGCATTGAATTGTATGATGAGGTTGTGTTGATGACCACCAAGGGTGAGGCTATTGCAATTGGTGTTGCCCAAATGACCACTGTTGATTTGCAATCTTGTGACCACGGTGTTGTTGCCAAGGTCAAGAGATGTATCATGGAAAGAGACACATACCCAAGAAGATGGGGTTTGGGTCCAGTTGCCACCAAGAAGAAGCAAATGAAGGCTGACGGTAAGTTGGATAAGTTTGGTAGAGCCAACGAAAACACTCCAGAAGATTGGAAAACATCCTATAAGGATCACAGTGACGAACCAGCTCCTCCAGTGCCACAAGAAAAGTTGGTTGCCCCAGAAATCCAATTGCCCAAGAAACTGTTGATTGAAGAAATTGACATTGACGTTGACACCGATACCAAGTCATCAGAAAAGAAGGAAAAGAAGGAGAAGAAGGAAAAGAAGGAAAAGAAGGAGAAGAAGGAAAAGAAGAGAAAGCACGATGAAGACGAAGACAAGTCTGAAAAGAAGAAGAAGAAGTCCAAGAAGGATTAAAGCATGGATGATTCAATGAACTAAATTTCCTCACTCTGGAAAGCATTAAAGCATATGTTGTAGTTTTTTTTTATATCTTTCATTCACTGAAGTCTGGGTTTACCCATTCATGATTTCAAGAATATCACATCTGTATATCTAGTTTAACATTTGATAATTTAACTCGTTTTATTAGTCGTTTCCATCAAAGAAGCTTTCTATAATCTCACGCCTTGAATTGAAAGTCTTTTCCAAATCACTAAGATAATTTTGGTATTCCTCAAGTCCTTTCTTGTTCCCCGTGCTTTCACAATCAATGATAAGCTCTTTTAGTATGAAGATCAATACTAATTGGCTTCCCTCTGTAGGAAGAAGATCTTTCAGGTTTAATACTTCTTTGCATTTAAGTAGATATGCTTGCTTCTGATTGACACTTGTACTGAATCGCAATTGCAAATAGAGCACAAGAATATCCAAATATGTATAATTTGTTCGATGGAATTTCATTAATGCCTTCAGTAACGACGGATCTGGTACAGTTTCCCGTTGAAGTACTATCAGAAGAACTTGGTGCGTCATTTGCAATAAGGGGTTGCCGTTTAAAATCATAGTTTCAACAACACCATTGGGTTCTTCCTCCTTTTTAGCAACTCCAATGTTCAAATCCTTGTTCAACATTGTAAAAATCTTATAGCACTTATTAATTTTATCAAAGGAGCCCGTTTTTGTATAGCGATTCAACTCATATTGATTGAGAACCATTAGATGGATTGTAGAGTATATGAAAACTTCATTCATTTCTCCTAAAGGCTGAATGTTGGTACATCCTATTCCCAAACTCAATTCTAATAGAGAAATAGATTTGTAATTATCGTTCACGGTTTCTTCACTATTAAATGATGACGAACCATTACGAGCTTTCAAAAAGTAATACTTGGAAGCCCCAAAATCTCCATGCAGATGATAATATACTCCGAATAAATAAAAGATCTTGGGGATCAATACCTTGTAAATGTGTAATTCTTCCTCTGAAAACTTCCCATTGTTATATTTGAGCATAAAGGAGTTTAACTCATCAATATGAGCGAAATCATTGTTCAAGAATCTTTCCCAAACTTGGTAATAATTGATGTTATACATAATATAATTGTACCGAATTAGCAAACGACTCGAATGGACCAAAGATATACCCACATCAGAATCAAGTAATTGCAGTTTAATTTTATCAACCAAGTCTAATGCATTTTTGAAGAACGGAGTTGGTTGTCTGAATGATAACAGCATAACTCCGCAAAGATAATAAGTCAAAAGAATGTATTCCATAGGTGAAAGCCATTGGACATTGTATGAGAACTCACCACCTACCAGAAGTTGACCATCGATATCAACAGGCAACAGAATTGAGAAAGTACCGTCGTGGTTCCATCCATTAAACATCAGTGGTTGATTCACACTGGTCATCATCGTGCTAGCATGAGGTAGTAAATCTTTAGTATTGTTCAATTGGATCAAACAATGTAACTTTAAAAGATCTCTCATAGCAATTAATTGAGGAGGTAAGTTATCAAGTAGTAGTAGTTGATCGATTTCAGTTAAATTCGAAAATGCAATTTTAGTAGAGCCTCTGAATAGATTTAGGCTAACGAGATAAAGCATACAAAGACACTTGGTACTTGAATCCAAAGCTTCATCTTTAACTATAGTTTGTAATATTGCAATACCTGTTTTAGGGTTTTCAAGTAACATATTTTGCACTTTTTTAAGTTTAAAAAGGTTTGAAAAGCAATCAAACTTTAGTTGGGTATAAAAAGAAATCTTATCGTTAATATAATTGTTTAAAACCTTTGGATGTTTAGGATTTAAGATATCTGTAAGATAAAACTCCCCTACAAATTGTAGTAATAAAAGCTTATTTCGGGATGCAGTGGCTATTGACTTATGAATGCATTCTTCAGCCAATTCTCGGTTATTTGTCTCGGTGACGTATATTTTGGCTAATTTATAATTCAATAACAGTTCCCAATAGGGAGTTAATACATGATGATACTTTTCAAGAAGCAATCTAAGGCATACTATTGCCAATTGTACTAACCTATAATATTCATCAATGCCGTTCTGAGACAAGGATTCACGAGATCTTTGTAAGAAGTGATCCGAGAGAAGAATGTATGAATGAATTAGCAACTCATTCTTTGTGAGTGGATTTATCTTGTCTGTTGAACCTTCATAATAAGCGCTTTGGAAAGTATCTAATGGAATAAACGGAATATGGTGATCATTTGGATCAATTGGGAAATCACTTGGAATTCTCGAAGGACCATCACTCAGTATCAGTAGTAAATTTGTATTCTTTATGGGAGATGAAGAAGAACCCACAATCATGTTCAGTTTCATATTCAAATTTAAGGTACTTTTGCCTTGGACTTTGCTGTGAAGTTTATCTGCTGTTCTAACAGGACTACTTATTGTAGTATCTATTTCCGAGCAGTCACTGGAAAACATGACAGTCCTACGGTTGACATCCACCTTCTGGGTTGGAACAGCTGACCGCACCATTTTTTGGATCCGATTAGTAGTGACCTTAGTGGAAGGTTTTCTCATATTAGTTGTATTAGCAGTGTGATCAGTAACATTATGATCAATAATATTATGAGCAGTAATATCACCACTACCATTCTGCCTGGCAGTATCATTATTCTGCAGAAGGTTATCTTCTACACCTTTTAAAGCACTGGTGTTCTCACTAAGCTTATCCTCGTCATGGCGTTCAGGACGAACAGGACTACTTGGTAATTCTATGGAGGAGTTGTCATTGGTAGGTTCAGCTTCATTGGCAATATGTTTCTCCTGTCTCTGTTCCAGGAAATCAAAGTAATACTTGGTTTTGCTTTTTGGTCTAGCACTTCGCCTTACGCCACTCATATAGTTGTTGTTGTGATGATAACAGTAGTGGTTTAGAGTGTAGCTTAAATACTAACGCGATGATATTTGCAGCATCACTACAAATACACGATAGCGCACCTCACTGGTAGCGCACAAAATTGGAGGAGTGTAGCTGCATTAGTCTAAGTAACGAGTATTGGTAATAGTTTATATATATTAAAATAGTACAAATAAGAACATACAGTAACCATACAACATTGAACATAGCAATAATCTTCAGCGTTTATCTAATTCTTCTTGAAGTTGTCGTCTTAATAGTCTTTCTTGACTCAATTCTAATTCATATTGATCTTGCATATCACTAACGATCTTTCTGAATTCTTTACGAAGAATTCCACTAGAAAGTGAAGCTCCTGCTAACTGCTGACCACCTACGGGTGAAACAGAACCATCATTGGACCGTACTGATCCAAGATCATCCACAGATTGCAGTTGAACAACATTTAAAGATGGCAGTGGTAAGTTGGATGGTGGTTGACTATTATTATCGATTTTTTCAATTTTAAGTTGATTTAATTCTTTTCTTAGTCTTGAAATCTCTTGATCTTTCACAACCAATTCAACACTTGGACCTAAAAGTGAACTTGTAGATGCAGAAGTAGAAATCGATTTTTTACCACTATCACCCTGGAACCCATTTGAAGCAGTTAGATTATGCAGGTATTTTGATTTCTGAAGATCCCGTTCCAAGCTTATCAATTTACGACGGTATTCTTGAATTGTCTTATGAGAAGATTCTCGTTCGTATTCATATTCTTTGGTTAGATACTCATGGGAAAACCGTAAATCATTCAATGCTGTTTTCAAATCAGTAATAACCTTATTATTTGTCTCATTACCTGTTGTAGCTGGAGGTGTGGGAAGTTGTTTTGCTTGTGCTTGTGCTTGTGTTTGTGCTTGTTGGGTCAAAATAGCCTCAAAGCATTGTTGAGCCCATTCAAGCAGTTGTGGAAGTGTAGAATCTGCGCCCTTAGGTGGTGAAGGTAATGTAAAACTATGCTGTGCTGCAACCAGAGCAATATAACTCAACAAATTATCTACCAGACGATCATTCTGTTGTTTCTGTAATTGTTGTTGTTGTTGGTGTCTTCTCAATGGAGATCCAAAGTAGAGATTGGAAGCAGTAGTAGGAGTTGTACCTGCTGAAGGTTGAGTAGTTATAGTTCTTGTTGATGATTTAATAGGAGATTCATCAGAAAAATTATTCACAGGGACACTTGAAGATTTTTCATCAAATGATTTATATGATTGAGCTGATGTTAACCCACCATCATATATATTAGAATGGCCTCTTTCATCCATCGAAATACTTCCAGAGTGTGAAGCCGAAGAGAGATTGATATCTTCCATATATCCCAATAGAAGACATGCTAAATTATGGTTGTTCAATTTATTAACTAGAGTTTCCAATTCTTGATCGACTTTAGTTAATTCAGTTTGTAATTTGTAATTAGCCTTGATGACTTTTGTAAGAAGCCCTGGTTCGTGGAATGGGATGGACGATGATGATGATGATGAATTAGAAGGATGCAAGATCATATCATTAATGAATTCATGAGAAATATTAATCTTGGAGAAAAGATATTCTTTCAATTCCTTTTTATCCTCAATCAACAGTTTTAATGACTTGACCAAATGGAAAGGTAAGATTGAACTTCGGTTGATGTTTGAGACATCAAAAATAGCATTCTCCATCAACACTTTGAAATTAAGATAATTTGGTTTACTAGATGCTTGCGCAATGAATGCCTCAATAGAGACATCATCTTCTTTCAACGGCACTTTCGTAGAATGGTTTATTGTTGTATCATTAGTAGTATTCATATGCGAGGAAGAAACCTCCGTATCAGATGAAGAAGTAGATTCATCAAACGATGGAGAATCAGAAAGACCAGGTAAACTAGTCTCGGGATCGAAGGCCAAATTACCTGTATCTATACTAGCTTGAAGATAACCATTTAGAACATTGGATGAGTGCAATATGGGATGTGCACCACTTCCACCACCACTAACCCCAACAGAACCATCCGATCCGGATAGAGGCCCAGACTCTTGGCCAACAGAGTTGACTCCATCATCGAGTGCTTTATTCTTCTCAAGACGTTCTAGTTTGTGATGTTGTTGCAATTGGAATTTAAGCAAATCCGAAGTGGTGTTGGGTAAATTATAATTTACAGGGTGGGACATTTTGAACGGGCTAGAATCCGCAAACTGTTCCGAATCGAGCAACATGATTGGACTGGGTAGGAACTTTCTAAGACTTAACAACTGATTAAATGAATGACCGAATTGGATTGAATGTGATAGGTATTAAGGTTTCTACGAACGTTATGGGAAAAGATTGTGGCATAAATTTAATCTAACATTTCAATTTGATAGTGCTAACACTGGTGGGTGACACAATAAAAAATTAACAGTACGATATACACAAAAACACGCGACTTAACCCCATCAATGCACGCTACCATACAGCTACCCTATAGATGAAATTATTTCCTATCCCTTTATTTCATTTCATTCTGATTTCCTTAGCATTGAAGAGAGACGCGTTTTGTCCAATAGATTAATGAACGTCGGTGCAGACCATGTTCCATCTACTTCTAAAGACGGTAATGGTGGAATGCCAGTAATGATGAATGTACCATTATATACGATTTGTATGAGTGTAATCACGATGGAACGTATATCTTATTTTTTTTTTCGTGTGGGCTGGTCGGGTTGCTCTTCAAGATCTTTTAGTGATGTTTACATTCTCTGATGAAGCTTCAGGATTAGCAAGATAAGTTTGTGCGATAGTCAAAAGGTTACCCGGACATATAGCGGAAATCAAATAGGTGCAACTAACATATATGGGGTTTTGATATGTGCATGTTGATATGTGCATGTTGATATGTGCATGTTGATAAGTGTATGTCTATATGTACGTCTGTATGTACGTCTGTATGTACGTCTGTATGTATGTCTGTATGTATGACTGCCTCAGTGCCTGCCTGCCTTCTGCCCTTCTTCTAGCTGCTGCCTCATACCACTTCCTATTTCGGTAAATCAGAACATATTTTTCGGGTAAGCACTTTTCACTGCAAACCGCTCCATTTTCTTCTTGATCCGCAATGACTTTTTTATGGCTACTTCTTCAATAGAACCATCGGAGCAACAATCTGCAGCAGCTCGTATAGATATAAAAGATGCAAATGCTGTTCGTTTCGTAACCTTCAATGTTAATGGTATAAAGACACTCTATAGTTACTACCCTTGGACTAATTGTCTGAACAACTTGGATAATGTACTCCATCATATAGACGGTGACATAGTCACATTGCAAGAACTTAAGCTTTCTCAAATAGAAAAACTGTTGAGTTCAGATTACTGGAGTTTTGTCTCACTCCCGAAATATAAGAAAGGTTATTCTGGAGTAGGATTGTTTGTCAAAAAGTCCCTTGGTGTACCGGTTGTTAAAGCTGAAGAGGGAATCACTGGCCATTTACGTCTTTCAGGTGGTGGCAAAAAGTTCCGTGAAAGACCACAACAATGTTGTATTGGTGCTTATCCACTGGTATTAGATGATGACAGATACTTGGAACTTGATAATGAGGGTAGATGTATAATGGTAGAATTAGCGAATGGGTGTGTGGTCATTGCTGTATATTGTCCTGCCAATTCCATGGGAACAGAAGAAGGTGAGAAGTTCCGGATGGAATATTTGACTTGCTTGTTTGAAAGATGCCATGCATTGATACAATTGGGGAAACTGGTGGTTTTAATGGGTGATATTAATGTTTGTCTTGATTTGATAGATCATGCAGAATCTCTTTCCATGACAGTCAAGAACAATAATAGCAAAAATGATTCACCAACTTTTGAGTTGGACTTCCTTCAACCGTGTCTTGAATTCAAATCTTCAACAAAGGCTAGAGAACTTCTTAACAACTACGTGATTCCTGCTCCACAATTCCAGGCCCATTACTCTAAACCTACTCAATGTCTATTTGATACCACTAGAGTTCATATAGGCCGCAAGAGAAACGTTTATACTGTTTGGAACACCTTAACGGGTGCCCGACAATTAAACTATGGGTCTAGAATTGATTTGATTCTTTCTTCACTGGCTAGTTGGCCCATTTCTAATGCTGGGATCTGGCCCTTCTTAATGGGTTCAGATCATTGTCCTCTTTTCACCGACTTTGAGTGGCCGCAAGCATCTTATACCCAAGATAATAACAATAAGTCGTGGTTGGATGTGGAGATGAATAAATACTACAATATTTCCCGTCATCAAGATATCACATCTTTGTTTGGTAGTAGGAAAAGAGTAGCTCCAACAACAACAATAAGTACTGAAACAGTTGATACCCAACAAAAAAGGTCTAAATTGGTGTATGTTAGCCGAAAGAAACAAAATGGTACTCAACTTTCAATTGGAAGTTTTCTTTCAAAGTCAGACACTCCTTCAAAAGCAACAGCATCCTCGTCATCATCATCATCATCATCATCATCATCAATGACTAATGATATTCCTTTTATTCAATCCTCTCCTTTGTTTGTGGGAACAACAGAAGGGGAAGCCAAAACCACTATAAACTCAATCACGAAGATAAGTGACGCGCTTCTAGGTAAGCCACCCAATTGCAATCATGGACTCAGTTGTCAACTACGCACTAGTCTCTCAAATCCTAAAACAAGAGGTAAAAAGTTCTGGTGCTGTCCAAAGAAAGTTAGAAACGTTCTGAACTCATCAGAGTTGGGTGAGTATCAGTGCTCATTCTTCCAGTGGGTATCAAAGTAACGATGTTGATTTTTATTTTACATGATCTATATGGTACAAAGTATGTGATGGTATATTATTAATGTGGGCATGATATTCATATATGTTGTTGTTGTTGTTATTGGTAAGAAAGTCTCTTGTCGGTTTTAAGATTTACGGAATTCACTCAACACAGGGTAAATGGCTTCAAACGCTGCATAAATCTCTTCACGTTGTTTGGCACCAGTTAACACAATCTTTCCGGAAACAAAAATCAATAACACAATCTTTGGTTTCACCATTCTATAAATCAAACCAGGGAACAATTCAGGTTCATACGAAGAGAAATTACCATGGCTAAATGCTAAACCTTCTAAACGGATAGGAAATTTGACATCACATGAACCAACAATGTTCTGAATCTTAAAATCTGTGAACTTGGCATTGAAACCCAATTTTTGAATAATACGAGCATACTTTCTTGAAGCCAATTTGGAATCGTCTTCCAGCTTGGCACCAGTGACAACCATCTTACCACTGGCAAAAATTAATGCTGTTGTCTTAGGATCTCTGATTCTCATAATCACAGCAGCAAAACGCTTGGGATTATATTCGGCATTACGGGCATGCAATGCAATTGTTTTCAAATCCAATCGACAATCCAAGTTAACTGTGGCAACAATATTCTGTAACGTTGGCACGATACCAGATATTCCACCATCATCGTCTCCTTGTGTGGGTTCGTCAATGTCATTCTTCACATCAATCTCCTTGTATTCACCATCATCGCCAGTTGATTCCTTGAAGCTTGCGAAATTGCTTTCCTCCTTGACTTGATCCTTCAAGTTCTTAGGCAATAAAATTGAGTCTGGACGGGTGAGTTCCTTCGCTTGTCGAGGGTTGGTTGGGTTGATTGGTAAATTCAATGAATCCATAATGATATTTGACTTTTATGTGACTTGTGGATTTGGAAATTGAAATTGAACTGCCTTGCTTTAAATCTCTGAAGAATTAAAGGTTTTTTTTTTGGTGTGATCTATGAAAACTGATAAAGGAGATGAACAAATTAATGTATCCCCAAACTAAAATGATAAGAAAGAACTATTGAAAAGAATAAAAAAACCCAGAATGTTAACCCAAATATTAAAAGAAAAAAGTAAATGAACAACTAGAGAAAAAGAGAGACAATAGAGCTGAAGGAATAACTCGCACGGTGATTTTAAACCTTTGAAGCAGGAGTTAAAAGGTAAAACAAACGAAAAGAAGTTGGTATTTCAAATCCTTTCTAATAATGTTATACTTCCTAGCTGACGAATACTGAGCCTATTAAATCGTCGTGCGTCCCCCAAAAACTTTTGCAGTGACACAAAATGCTTTCAGTGAATCCTTCCAAAATTTTTCAGGGCGTACAAAAAAGTGGGAGATGCATTCTTTATATACTTTTGTACGAACATCCGGGTAACCCCAATGTTATGCTCAATTAGGAAGTTACCGTCGAATACGCCTCAGTCGTGATCAGAATACATGCAGGCTAACCATTGAAAGTATGACTTTATATTCCTAATATGGTATTAGTTCATAATTCATACCAGATACTTTTAACTGCTAGTAAAAGTATTAGTAGTATGCTAAGTTTCTAAGAGGTGACAAGACGTAAGGCAATGGCCATGATAGCCAAATAAAAAGAAAACATGTATTAGTAGCATCAAGCATTTTCGCCTCACTATCAAGTGATTGATACCAACTTAATGTAATCATTCTGTATTCTTTGGATCAAACAGTAATTTGAACTTCAGATTGAAACGGGTCTTGATGTTTTGAGGAACAGGTAGATTGAATTGCTTACTGTGTTCTTTCAAAATTTGCAGAGGCACTGGTGCTCCACTAGTTATAGTCGTTGCTAGCATAGTTTTCGATGAACCAGACGTGGTCCCCAGCCCTATGGAAGGATTTAAATATTGCATCTGCAGTTTCTTATATTTCGGCATAGATTTCGTCTTGTCGTCGCTTTTAATTGGCATGAGCTCCGCAGTATCTTTAAAGTCCTGTACGTCAGCATCAACATTGATATTCCCAAGTGGAAGACCCAAGAGCTGTCGTTGTTTATAACTGAGTGAAAAGGTGGTACTTTTGCGACAACGAAATAACAACTCGTATCCAGCTAATAGTATTTGGTAAGCACTTAAAATGTATAAGCAGATCAAAATATTTTTTGGATCGTATTCTGTGATGGCTTGTATGACTTTACCACTAAGTTTGGTCATGAGAGCAAAGATAATCGTCAGCCCTATTGTTTTCACTTGACGTTGAGTATCAACCTGAGACATTAACGCTTCTTTCACTGTGGGCGCTATATAGTCACCTGTGGGTTGACTTGATGATGATTCATCTTCATTGTCAGTCAATTCTACGTCGTCGTTCAAAGCTGCCTTGCTCATGACTTCATTATTGTTGGTACCATTTCTCTTCCTGTATGATTTGACAAAAAGTGGTACTTTGTTGAACTGATCACTAGAAGAATAGTTTGGTGGGAGGAACTCTTTCACACCCAACTGGACATCCCTATTGGACGGAGGCTTGTAGTATATTGGCTCACTTTGTTGGGTGCTGGAAAATATTCCCCCCGTAACATTATTATTATCTTGATTTGATTGGCTCAAATGCTTAATGCGATCTCCTAATAGTGAGTTAGCTTCCAGCCAATTAACTTGATATGTATGCTCATTCGCTTGATTTGTTGGAAGACTTTCAAGCACCGGAAGATTGGTGGTATTGCTAAGGCAATTACTTCTGGAATCCAATTGTTCAATAGCAACTGGTTTATCTCCAAGTCTTTGAAGCGGAGTATGGAAAGAATAATCAACTATATCTTTGTATGTTCGCAGAGCCCTTGGTGTATAAAACTCTTCTTCCATAATGTTGAATATGATGATCTTGATGTTAATGAAAGTACTAGTTGTTTGCAGCTTTGGTCATGTTGTGCTTGTGATGGTTTTGTAAGTTCAATTTTTTGTAGCACGTGATTTAGCACGTGAAATATTTACAGTAAGTAATGATTAATGTACTTCCAATAATTCTTAGCTTTATACAGTAATTTCTAATACAGAATTAAATATCACACTTTTGTATTCCAATGATTATGAAAAACCTACTTACCCACAAGAAAGTAAAAAAAATTAAAAAAGATATATAAAAGAAAAAAATTAAGTTCGAAAAGAATTGAAATGCATTAAAAAAGTAATGTCTCTTTAATATTGAACTATCTCTGGAACATTAGAAACAAACTTTGTGTAGTTTGCTCTTGTTTGTAATGTTGACCGCTTGCTAGCATTAGACATAGATCTTCCAAGATTCATTTCAGTAGAAGCGCGACGTTCACGATTCATACGTTTCAATTCTTCACTGGTTAGAGAATTCACCTTATTGATGAAAGGAAGGTCCTCCGGGTCTTCGTCGTGATCAGGTTCTGGAGGAAGTTTTTTGTATTGAATCGCTGAGTTATCCATCGACTGGCGATGGAGAGGGGCACTGTCTTTCAAATGATGAACCAAATGAACTCGAGAGGGAATTCCTCCGCTGGGAGTCCGCGCAAATGGCGGAGGATTGAATCCATTGCTAGCAGCAGAGAGTCTTGGTTGCCATTCAGCAGCTGATCGAGAACGAGGAAGTCCCAGACTTTGAGGTTTCTGATCAGAGTTTTTACGTGGAGTTGCTTTGTAAGGAGTAATGTTGACGTAAACGTTCGATGGACGATGCTTTTTTTGTTGTATTGGAGACAGCGAACGAGCACGGGGTCTGCTATGTTGTGATGACTTTTCTGGTATCGATTCTTCCGTTAAAACGGAAAGCTTATCGTGGTGGTCTGAGTTACTATCAGTTGCAGGAACTACAAACAATCTCTCTTGAGGTTGTTCGGTATGATCAACCAGATTGGAAGCTGAAACAGGAACGGTTAAAGGTACTTGTACGTTTGGTGGCTGTTGCTGAGCTACCGGAGCTTCGAATATCTTAATAGTTTCTGGTTTCTCCTCTTTGTTATGCATCTCCTCGGGAACAATAGGATTTATAGTTGCATTTACCTGGCTATTCTTTCCTGAAATCGTGGAAGATATCAAAGAACGACCATTTGAAATCAACAGAAGCAAATCAGACATTGTGATAAGACCCATCCACCCACAAGAAGCTAAAATAAGAAGAGTAAATAGTATCCCTATCTTAATAGTTGAAGCTATATCTTTTGTATGAGACAGTAAGAGAAGCTTTAAATGTGCAACTACAAAACCCAAGACACCACCCAAGAGTAATGTTTTCAAATCATGTTGACCTGATACGGCAGAAAAGCTTTCAAGAACCGGGGAACCTGGTGCATTAAGGTCAAGATAAACTCCATTATCACCATATACTGGGACTGTTTTGGTGTGTGCAATAGGTGAAGATGGGACGGTAGAAGTTGCAGTTGCAGCAACTGGAGATGACAAGGGAACCTTGGATTCTCGTTGTGGAGAATCCCTTCTTGCTGCTGATGCTGTCGTAGAAGCATCAGCAGGGACAACAAATTCTGCTGACTTGCTTGTTGGTGGTTCAGGAGCTATTGGAGAATCCGTTTCAAGGTCCCAATTAGGTACTTTGAACTCACACGTAATCAATTCATTATCTTCTGGTTCCACCATATATTTAGGTTGTGCAACCACTGGAGCAGCAGCCGGCTTATCTAGAGTTGGTTGTGATGGTGCTGTCCCCAATACTGACCCCTTCTTGGATGACTTAGTCTCCGCTGGCTGCACTTCAGGTCGAGCACGGTACATGCCGTCAGGATCTTGTCTATAGACTAATCTTCTCCTTCCAGCCATAGTTCATAACATATATGAAGCGTGCTTACAGATAAGGAAACGTCGTAAGCAAGTATTAAGAAAAGAGAGAAAGAATTTTAACAGGTTATCAAACTTGTGACTTTTGATCTTCTGTTATAGTTTTTATCGTCAATCAAATTTTTTAGTCTTGTGTAACGAGCCTGCTTCACCTTCACTCCTTTCTATTCCTCAAAACAATAGGAGTAGCGACCTGCGCAATTAAAAAGGTGGCACAAGTACCAGACTGGGGAAAGGGTTAACAACGAGGGAAAACGTCAAAGTCGTATAAATAAGCGTGTGACAATTAATAATGTTTGTTAGAGGAAAAGAATCGGAAGGGTGAATGTCATGACTTACCGGAGAAAATGTCAAGTGCGGTTCCGGACGTGGGGGTGAGTTCCGTTCGAGGTAATAATAGTTATTATAGTTATGTTCGACCGGTATCCCACTCCGTTTCCTAATGGCGAATGAATAAGGGAATCAGCCGTGGATGCATGGATAAGGGGATTAGCAAATCACAAAGGGACAATAGCCAGCCTGCAGCAAAAAATAAAAACATACCTGGATGAACACGACCACCTGAGTTAAACCAGCCCTTTGTTATTGCATTCAGATAATTTGTATTGTATTGCTCTTAGTAACAAAGACGTCTAATGTTTATGGGCTGGAGGTGTATATGACCTGTGACCTATTCTACTTATGTAATACAGTTCTTTCCATATATAGCAGTTATACATCCGGTATTCATGAATTTGTAGCCGGCCCTTCCTGCCTTGTCCTGTCAGGCCAAATATCCAGAGAGGAATTCCATATACAACATACCCCTCCTTTTTAGAAAGTGCCACTAAAAGTTCTCACCAGCGTTCGGAAGTTTAGGGGGTTAATCATTCAAATCTGTTTAGCAAATTTTGTATAACAATCACTATTCCTGTCCGGGATCAAACCTATCAAGCCCCTTAAAACCTTGTAAGTTATACTGCCGAACTGCACTGCACTGTAAAGTATTGAATTGTGCCATGCTATTTACCATGTGACATTTGTAGCTGCTACTGTGGCTGTAAACTTCACTAATGCCCAGCAAGCAATAAATAACAGACACTAATGTGGAACTGCGTTGATTAGTGGAACATGTCCTATTGTACACCAATTTCTTGTATTGCTCCTTACTAAAAATATAAGGCTACTCAATTTATTAGTTCTAACAAAAACCTCTTTAATACAATAATACAAATGATAATGGAGGTATCTTCCTCTACATATAATTTTAGATTCGACCCCTAATACGACGTGCCAATTGAATGTCTTTTTGCATTATTGTCACTCTTTTGGCATGAATGGCACAAAGATTAGTGTCTTCTAAAAGATGGACCAAATACGCTTCACACGCTTCTTGTAACGCTAAAATAGCATTCAGCTGCCATCGTAACCCATAATTGGTCCCAATATACATCTCAGCAATCTCTTTCACCAACCTTGCAAATGGAAGCTTTCGTATCAACAAGTCTTGGGTCAGTTGAAACTTTCTAATCTCTCGAAGAGCAACAGTGCCAGGACGATACCTATGAGGTTTCCTGGGGTGACCTCCTCCACCTGGTGCTGCTCGTGGATTAGGTCGTATGGTATCACCTGGTTGATTTCGATATAAACCCGTTTCTCGTACACTAGTGCTTGAATTTGTGGTTGTTGGACGCGACTGTTGTGGTTGGCCTCCTACCCTTCGTACATTTTTAGATATTCTTGCCATATTTGATTGTAAAGACTGTCTATATTTTATTTCAATGTATGCGGAAGTAGAAATATATTCAATAATACTGTCTCTTTATGTCTGGAGAACACGATAAGATGCCATTTAGATACGTATAGAAAGTCACGTAATACAAGGTAATATGGTCAATTATGAAGCCTCGATCCCTTCAAGAAACAAACAGTCAGTTGTGCTTTCCAATGATTTAGCTTGAGATACACGTCTAATCATTTAGCCAGCCATCTTTTGTTTAGTTGGTAACTTTGCACGACTTTGATGATAATGATGATGATGATGATGATACTAATAATGTTTTATCTGTATGAACAAGTATTAAATCGGTAGTATATATTCTTTTGACGTTTCACATATAATTTATGCTTCCACGCAAACGTTAACTATGTACAAATGAAAGCTCCAATAGCTTTCTATCACTGCTTATTCTCATGCTCTTCAAACTCAATATCATCAAACTTTCCTTCAAGCAAATCGTTCAACCCGTCTTGAATTACTTTGGACTCTTCATCTAAAGGTACAGCACTTAACTGACGCTGATTTTCTTCTCCTCCCATCCATCGTTTCATTCTCCAACCAAACTCTCGGAATTCACTCACATCAATACACCATCCAATACCACTAAACATCATGGCACTTACCAGTAAACAGAGAAGTGTACCAGTTCCAACGGCAACTGCTGCATCTGCCGTAAAATTGTATGAAGTAGGAGGATGGTGATTTCCTTGGAACATTGTAGGAATAAATTGTCTTGCCAATGTTGCTCTGTAGGCAAACCTGCTTGATAAAATCGTAACAGCAGCAGCTCCAAAGAAGAGCTGCATTTGCCTTCTTCTACGAGTCTTATATTCGTCACTGCTCTCGTTAAGTTTCCATACCATTGTGATAATGGAGTTGACTATAGGAGGTCTTTCATTCATTGATAGTAGTTTAAATTGTTAACGTACTTTTTTCCTAGTACCCAGGTCACGTGATATACAAAATCTACTACCGTATAGAGGTCTTATCGTAACTACGCCGTGTTAAGGGTTAAGTACCTAAAACAAATGATAACATACTAGTAATAACAGTATAGAAAATAAACAACATACAAAATCAATTGACTTAGAATTGAAGTAAAAGAAACAAATAAAAAAGTAAAGGTAAGAAAGAAAGAAAGAAAGAAAGAAAGCCATTGAAAGAAAGCCATTGAAAAAAGTTTATGCCAATAGTATCAGCTAATAGTTTGTAGTAGTAAACTTAGATTTCTTCTTTGAATACTCCCACATTGTTCTTATTCTTGTCCTTCAACGAAAAGTCGTCTCCAGAAACAACAGAAGCCGATCCACTTGCAGCAGCAGGTATATGGCTTGCTGTTGGTGCTACCGCAGGTGTTGCTGCAGCAGAAGAGGATTTATTAGTGGCAGCAGCAGGGCCGGTAGACTTTTTACCGAAAATCAGTGACAAACCCTTCAACTTAAAAGTCTTCTTTCTTTCAGGAACAGCATTTCCTGATACAGGGGCATGAATAGATGGTGCGTGATGAGAGACGACATCTGTATTTTTGCTGCCAGTTTTACTTGTTTCAACGGTGAATAAACTTGCAGTATCCTTAATCTTAGATTCATTTACAGACGTCTTCAAGTGATCAGGTAGTTCCTCGTTGATTTTATGTTCTTCCTTCACTTTCAAATCCAATTCATCCTTGATTTCCTTCTTTTGGTTGGCCTTTTGAGCAGTTTTTTCTTCCTTCTCATTGGCCAACTTTTCAAGATCTTCATCCAATTCTTTAGTAGTAGCTGCATGTTCAGCAAGAAGAGTAGCAGAAGAAGTCTTTAAATTGTCAACTTCCGCATTCAAATCATCCAATTCTGCCTGAGATGTTTCATTCTTACTCTTGAACTCTTCAATTTCTGCTTCTGCAGCTTCCAACTTGGCCTTCAAGTCTTCCAATTTTGTGGTGGCTTCGTCATTCTCATTTTGGTAACCATCAACTTCTTCACTCAAACTATCTTTACGTTCAGTGACCTCATTCAACTTCGCGGTTTCTTCCTTCAATTCCTCTAATAATGGTGCAATTTCTTCATCTCTTTCGCTTTGCATTTGTTCCAATTCGGTGCTTCTTGCTGTCTTTTTCTCTTCTTCTTCAGCGTCAACTTTACCATTTTCTTCTCTTTGCTCAGCTAAAAGGGCTTCACGTTCTTCCTCATGCTTTTTGGTAAGCGCAATAAATTCAGTGTTCTTTTGGTCCACTTCACCATGACGACCAGTTTGATATTCATCGTACTTGGTGTCTTCTTCTTGCATCTTCTTTTCATTCTCAGCAATACGTTCTTGCTTTGCTGCTTCTAAATCTTGCTTCTCCTTCAACTTTGCGGCAGTTTCATCATCCTTAGCCTTTTGATGCAATATAACTAAATTGGCCTTATGCTTAGTTTCCTCATCATCCTTTTGTCTGGCATCTTCTGCTGATTTTGAAATATCTTCTAATACTGGATGAACAATTCTAGAAGCAAGAGAGTCCAATTCTGCTTGAGTTATGGTTTTACCACCACCAATGTTAATTTCTTTGTTTTGGTAAGATTTCAATCTGTCTTCTGAACGCTTTTGTGCTAATGCCAAAGCTCCAGCGTAAGCAGTTGCTTCTGCCTTGAAGTCACGGGTCTTGCCGGAATTTAGAGATGAGAGTGACTTCAATCTCTCATTGGCTGCCAGGTTAGCTGCATCCAATAACTTGGCGTTGACAACAGATGCGGCGGTGAATGTATGAGGATTTCTCTTGGATGCATACACAGAAGACAGCTTCAATGATGCAGCAGCACCTTCAGCTGCCAAATCTTCTTCCAGTGCATCCAAATATTCCGAACCACTCTTATTAGCTTTCAATCCAGAACGATAGTCCAAATTTGGATTGAACCGAGAACTTAATGATTTATTTGAATTCTGAGTTGCAACTGCAGTGATCTTACCCAAGTTCAATGACTGAGTACGCCCTGAACCACTTGTACTCAAACCCTTTCTAGATGGATTATGATCGGGATTCACTCTCGAAGTCATTGTTGAAGTCAGTTGTTTGGAAGCTGCTTGATAAAGAGTTGACAGATTATATTTTGGCACACCGACTGCTGATGCGGAAATGGGCTCATCAGCTTCGAGACCATACTCTGGATGACTCAAGGAGAAAGCAGCAGCAGAGTCAGCAGAGGGGTCAGAACTTTCTCTTTTCCATGCTTTCACTTCACTCTGCTTTGCAGCTAAAGCGGCTTCCTGGGCTTCCAGAGCAACAGCTAACCGTTCGAAAGATGGTTTTACAGTCAAGTCGGATGAAGCAGCAAGTAAAGCAGCCGTATCAGAAGCGTTGGATTGAACACCAACCATGGGAGCACCAGGGGTGACATATGCCCCTTGACGCATTCTCTGATGGTACACAGCTTCAGCTGATAAGGGCTTTCCATTGGTACTGTAAGCACGCATAGACATTTTTGATTTATCTTGTTATTTTATATTGGATGGATAGAAAGGGGGTTAAATGTTTAGATTGTGTGGATGAAGGTGAGAATGGGTTGAATAGCTTAAACTTTGCAACGTATCCGTTTATATATATAATTTCTTGATACTGTTTTCAACTATTGAGCACACCGTACAATCCGTTTTACCTAATGCTTGCTTCAAGAAGAAATAGCTGTTGGTTGTCTGTAAGTTTGAATTGATATTTGGGCTGCGCTGAAATTTGGTGGACGACCCTTTTTGTGTAATAATAGTGATAATGAGTGTTTTGGTAGCGCTGCGAAAATGAGAGTCTTTGGCTTATTCACCAGCACTTTTTCTCTCCCCTTTGTTTATGTATTCGAACCTTCGATGAAACTCAATCAGATTTAAGGGATTGTTTAAGAGAAGATGAACACAATTAAGCCGAATATACAAGTGTGTGATTACTTCGGAGAAGAAATAAAAAGCAAGCTCCAGTACATTTTTCAGTCATGCGGTCATTATAAAGAGTAATTGAGGTCCGGAGTCCCATTCTTTCCACAGAATGACGTAAGGTGAAGTGGGGGTGTCGGTGCTTCCAAGAGAACTTTTTCTGTATACGTCAATTGGCTTTTTTTATTCTTTGGAGGTTGATATTTTTGTTGTGCAGGGCAATACAAGTAATTAAGTATACACCCTACTATCAATCTGTGAAATTGGCTTGTATCTTACCATTAGACCAAGCCTTATCTAAATTTCACATAATTAGTTTTTTTGTTCACATTATCTTAGTTGTTGTTGTTTTTTTTTTTGAGTGCCGCATATTCGAGAGAAAGCCACTTGGGACTATATAGTTAGTACTATAGAGTGCTCTATATGTAACAAACTAGACAAACTCTTAGTTGAAATCCAGCCTGCTAACCGTTTGTTCCTGGTCATGTGGTGTACTCTTTTATAGTATGGCATACAAGCAGCTTCTTTTAAAGCATGAGCAGCCTGGCTAGCTCAATCGGTAGAGCGTTTGACTCTTAGTCTTGTATAAGAGAAGCGATCAAAAGGTTGCGGGTTCGACCCCCGCGTCGGGCTCTTATAATGATGATGGACTTGGTTCGTCATCATTTACTTTTTGGAAGCTTACTTGATGTTTGGATCTTTTCACTAATTTCTTCTTTTTATTACGTGTTCAAAGCTGCTTATCCCTTGAACTGTCATCAAAATGCCACAAGATCTTACTGAGCTTGAACAATCATGCGATACGTTACGTCAGAAGATCTCTAGTAACCCAAAGTTAGCTAACCCACGGGTGATGATTATCTGTGGGTCTGGTTTAGGTGGGATTGCTTCTGTGCTTGATCCTGTTGATAAGATTGAAGTGTTGTATTCAGAAATCCCTGGTTTCCGTTCATCTACTGTACCTGGTCATGCTGGTAAGTTAGTCTTTGGGTTAATTGGCCCTAATAAAGTGCCTGTAATGTGTATGGTAGGTAGATTGCATTATTATGAGGGTTACTCATTTGATGATACAACGTTCCCCATCAGGGTAGCTTCACTTCTTGGAATCACAACATGTATTGTAACCAATGCTGCAGGAGGTTTGAACTCATCATATTCCCCGGGCCATTTGATGATAATAAATGATCATATAAACCTCCCAGGTTTAGCAGGTGCACATCCCTTACGAGGACCTAATATGGATCTGTTTGGACCTCGGTTCCTCCCAACTTCTGATGCTTACGATTTAGAATTGCGTAAACTCTTTGTAAGAGTTTCTCGTGAACAACTTAAGTTGACAAGACCCATACATGAAGGAACTTATGCTTTTGTTCTGGGTCCAACATTTGAGTCAAGAGCTGAATCCAGACTTTTACGTACATTGGGAGCAGATGCAGTGGGTATGTCAACTGTTGCAGAAGTTATAGTTGCGCGTCATAGTGGATTGAAAGTATTGGCGTTATCATTAATCACCAACGCAGTCGTCACAAATCCTCCGGCTTCTGTTTGGGATGAAAAACCTGTTCCTTTGGATCAAGGGATGGCATCTCATGCAGAAGTGCTTGAAGCGGCTGATGAAGCTTCAAAAGATGTTCAAAAGATCATTGAACTTGTTGTTAATGAACTTTAAGAATAAAAATGATGTGTATTCAATATTGGTCAATGAGAAACACCTAGTAAATTAAGTTATACATATATATTTTTACATCTATCAACAGAATGCGCTAACAGGTTATATTATTTTTTGAATGGTAATGTTTTTTATTGGTCAACAACTTCACCAGCGGAATCCCATTTGCCCTGTAAATTCTCCTTCCACAAACTAACCCGATTATCTCCACCAGAAACAGCCAAGATGTTGCCGCTCAACGACCACGAACATCTCCAACAAACATCAGGGAACTTTTCTTCTGTCAACAATTGGTTTTGCCATACACCATCTTTATCTTGAGACCAAATCAATACAGTACGATCTTGAGAAGCTGATGCAATATAGGATTTGACCAAAGTAGAGGGGGACCAAGCCACGTCTCTAACCCAATCGTTGTGTCCTTCTAAAGTGGCTTCTAATTGATAGTTGTTGATGGAAGGATTAAATCTCCAGATTTTGGACAAATTGTCCGATCCACATGTAACAAAACGTCTTTCGGAATGAGGAATTGATCCACCTAATCTAGCTCCTGAAGCAGTTTGAGTTTCTCCTCCATGGCCATTGGACCCTGTAATGCCGATACCAACATTGCCACCACTGGTAGGCATTCCAGATTGATCAGCGGTAGCACCACCACCATAAGGATCATCTCTTGGTTTTGAATTGCTGTTATAAGTTACGGGAGCCCAGCTGGCAGAATTAACACCAATAGCATGGGCATTGAAAACAACATGAGATGTGGTGCCATCATCGTTGAAATCAACCACTGAAACACGTCCATCAGATGAGGTACACAATAATACAGCACCGAATTCATGAGGACCCCAAGACACAGAATTGACACTAGCCAGATGAACATTATGTTCGGCTATAATGGACCATGTATTGGTTTCCGGTTGCTCCTTCCATATCAAAGCACGGCCATCATATGAACAACTAGCAAAAATTGATCCAAACTTAGGATGTGCCCATGCTACTTGCCAGATTGGACCATCGTGGCCGTGTAATGTTTCAATCAACTTATAATTTTCTGCAGCTTGATCAACTTCAAAAATCTTAATGCTTCTGTCACTGGAACAAGTTGCCAAACGACGCCCATAGTAGTCGAGCACCGCATCATGAATCAAGTCATCGTGTGCGTTTCCTATTGTGACCATCTTTCTTTGTTATTATACCTGAATTCTAGTGTGAATTTTTGAATATGCCTTTATTATTAGTGGCTATTGTATAGGAACGATATCGGTATCAGTTTCAATTGGCTTAAAGTTTCGTTTGCTCACGTTTCTGAAAACTTCCAAACAAAAAAAAAGTCCGTTTACTTTGTATGTGACACTCGAAGAATATGGAACCACTTACGTTTAGAGTTCGTGTCTTGATGTTGGAAACTGTTTGTTCTTTGACTGCTGTCCAGTTTTGGTTTTTGGAGTACGTTTTTTCATTTTAGATCGACAAATGTCGCGGTGTCGCGAAAAAAGTATCATGCAGCGCTACCATTGTGTAAACCAAATGTCCTTAAGGAGCGGCTACCACTGTACTACGTATACAATATTATTACTACTGGTATCTTAACTTGATTGATGTCTGCTGCAATAATGGAAGAGGATCAGCTTGCCCTACTTGTTCAAACACTTAAGAGCCAGATAGGTATCACGTCTGAGAAAATCACACAACTCCAAACTGTGTCGAATACTCTTTTAAAGCCTGAGGATACGGAAGCTGTAACTGACACTAAGACTGAGCCTTCAAATAAAAGTCTAACTCGTGAACTTGAAAAGCGTAGATTACAACTAATTATGGACGTTCAGAAACACGACTATGTGGGAGAAAAGTTAATGGTATTGATAAACCAAAGCGAAGAACTTTTGGCCTATTTAAAGCTATTTCTTGTGGAACCAAGAGTTGCTTCTAGTGAAGAAAACTCAAACTACATTTCTTCTAAAGTCAATGCCACCGCTGAATGTCTCAAATCACATATTCAAAAAACCCAAGCTGACCAAACTCGTATAGCAATGAAGTTAAGTGAACTAAATGATAAAATGACCTACTTATTGGATACTACTATCACAGGCTTTAACAATAAGGCTACTACAGGAACTAAGGAATAAAAGTTACATCACCTACATTATATTATTACTATTATTATTGTGATTATTGTGATTATTATTCTTGTGGGATGCTATGTTTTACAATCTAGTTGTCACTCAGTGACGATTTTGTCATCGGTACCCTTGAGGGAGCCCGGCCAATTAATTGGTAGATATGGTTAATGATTTTTCTATTGGGATCTAATTTGGCCCATGAATGTCTGATTCGATCTAAATTCATCTTCAGTCGGTCAAACTGAAATATCAGAAACAATAATACAAACATCTCGTAAACCAACATCCCAAATAATCCGATTAATCCTGTTTCAAAACCACGTGGTGAAGTCTCACCATCAACTTGAATGATAACCTTATTTTCAATTTTCAATTTGGAAATCAAATCGGCCCTCTCGTCACTGTTGAAAACAGTGTAAAACTTTGAAGATTTCACCAATGAATTAACGAGTGATGAATATTTCTCAATCATTATCTCATCGCTCACCTTATGACGAATGATGCTTGAGTTTTCTTGTAATTCGCCAATACGTCTGTTCAATATCCGAGTTTCATAAATTAATCGATCAATTGTCGATTTCAAATTCTTTAATTGAAACTCTAATTTGAACATAATCTCGTCATCCATCACCTTATTTTTCTGTTGTTGCATAGCACTGTATGAATGATTGGTCTTCACCAATTCATAATTCAACTGCTTATAATACTGGCGAATCAAATCATTCAGTGGATAATCTTCAACGTCGTAACCACTTGGAATTTCAACTTCAGAATTCTTCTTCGTCTTCAATGGAACAACAGCACCCAGATCTTCTTCATCAACCGATTCGATCACTCCTTGATCTACATTGCTCCTTACGAGCTTGGGAGAATTAGCCTCTTCTTGAATACTCTCAATATTTGGTTGAAATTCCAGTTTACGCCTAAATCCTCCTATTCCTTCAGGTAAAAGTATTTCGGTGTTTCTTTTACTCTCATGAGTAAGTAAAGATTTTATTTCGTCCACTTTGGTGATCACAGAAAGTGTCTCAATGTAATCGTCAAAAAATCTTTGAGGATTAAACATATCTTCTTGAACAATTGAAAACGATGAGTTCACGTATGCTTCAACCAACAGGAACAGAGCATTTCTTTTTAATTGACAAAATGATGCTGACGACGTTAAGGCGGATTTGACTTGCTCCTGTAATAAGCCTTCATCGCCTAGTTCCTTCCTCAAATTATTTCTCTCTAAGGCAATTTGATTCAAGTTTCCTCCGTGTCTTTCAACTGTGGGCCATGAGTTTCGCCTATTGAGATACAGAACAAAACACTCTGGATTATTTATATCATATTCCCTATTAGCCACACATTGTGGTTGCATTCCTCTTGAAGTGCTTAATTTTTGAGGTCCTTCCTTTGTGGGATCTTCAAAAGGTGAAATTTGAAGCAAGTTGTCAACTGCCACAGAATTCTCTAACGATTCTGGTTCCTTCACTTCAACTATGTCTGCCTCCAATGGCACTTGAACTGGAGGAATACCCATTACTGATGAAGGTGCTGACGAATTCAACGATGCTTGCGATTCATTAGCAATAGGCTTGAACTTCTTTGTCCTTAAACCAAACTTCATTAAACCCCTTGAATATATGCTTGAATCCAAAAGAGAAGCAGATGATCCGTAACCTCTTACACGTGGCAGCAAGTATGGGATGTGGCCACCATTATAAACAGGTTGAGGTGTCATAAGACCTGTAGTTCCTTGCATTAATGCCATACGGCTTGCCATCTTTTGCTTAAAACTGACAAACTGATAGTTTTTATCATTCTTTTTTAAAAAATCTCCTGCTTGAGCTTCTCTTCTGTTGGAAATTGGAAGATGCTCACGATGGTTGTGGCCATTACCATTAAGATATGAATCTCCCAGAGATACATCACCATTCCTTCTCTTTTTCGTTGATGTCAGATTATCTGCCCTTAAGGGAGCTCCGTTGATATCAACACCAATGAATAATCGGATCAAAGTGTAACCTTGGATATACAGTTTAATGAATAGATCCAAATCAAGAGTCTCCACATCAGCTGGGGTATAATGCAGAGCTGAGTTGTCTGAAAACCTACTAGTGATTTTGCTTTTAATTCTGTTTGACTTTTTTGCTACCCCCATTTCGTCTGTTATCAATGATGATGAAGTGATTGGGAGATGATCCTGTACTGTCGACTTCAACTTATTGAAGTAATAGTGAGGCATTTTTGCATTTGCTGGCCCCCCATTAGTATTACTTTGAGTTGGTGACAAGGGTGACGCCATAGTTGCAGTTGAATTTGGAGCATTGGAACTAATGACGAACGAGTTACCTGCTGATATTCCATTAGATTCATCGGAGTAAACATCGTCATACATAACTGATCGGTAAGGGTGAGTGTTATTCCCAGCAAGATGGGAGTTTGTTGATGATAATTTGGCATTTGTTATGGTGAACAATTTGGAAAGTGTCTCTAGACTTAACTTTCTCTTCTTCTTCAACTTGACTTGTCTTTGGAATTGGCCAATGGAAATCATAAAGTTTTCATAGTCAAATGGATCCCCGGGAACATCACATCCACCAAAGATCATCAACCGAAGTTTGATCAGCACAATCAAGGAAATTATCCCACTAACAGATTTATTGGGTAAAATACCATTCTTTTTCACATTAGGTTTATAACTGAAATGGGGCAAGCCAATCAAATTCCACCAAGTCACAAGAGCTTCTTCTGTTTTATCACAAAGCAATCCATCACAATATTTAAGATCCAAAAGATCAAAGTAGAAAAGAGATATTTGAACCAAATTCACCAATTCCATTATGGCGAATTTAATTGGTGAGTTATAAATACGATAAATGGTTCTAAATTTGTTTTCATTGGAATCAGACACTTTGTCATTGATCAATGAGTTGGACCTACCTGAACATTGTAACCGTTTGAGGTTTGAATTTATAATAAAGGATGAATAAACCAATCTGGCATCACCTTGAGGAATAGGGATAACATTCAAGTCTGATGGAAGCTCGGTAATGTTTGTTATAAATAAGACCTCTTCATTTGTTTGAACCTTGTCATTTATGCACGGTTCAAATCCAGTGTTATTTATTGGTGAAGTAGACTTGGTAACTCCATCAGCTCCACAAAGTCTTGTCACCTTATTTTTGTTGATTAATAGTTCATTCAAATATTCCTGGAATTTCAAAGGGTAGAAACGACTCTGTTTCTTGATTATAGTTAATTTAAGCACCTTATTCTCCAGTTCTGAGTTACCAGTGTAGGTACTGGCCACACAAGTGATTTTACGACTAAGAGCCCATTTTTCAACCAAGTAAATGTCGAACCCCAGTCTTGTGGTCTCTTCAAGTAAATAAAACTCGTTGTTTGCTTCGAAATCCTTGATGAAATATTGCACAGTCTGAAAGTCGGGAATGATGTAACTAATTAATTGCTCTGTAGGATGCAGCAGCTGATGTTGTTGATGATGACTTGGAGAAGGTCGCTGGGAACTTTCCAAGTCACCCCCACCCTTTACGGGAGAGATGTTCGTAGTTGTGCCTGTGCTGCTGCTAGGGAGCTGGGTACTGAGCTTTGAGGATCGCAACGGCGACAGATGTGGAATTATAGCCAGAGGCATTGGAGCTACTAAAGTGTTATCTCCGCCAATAACAGAATTGGAACCAGGAGAAGACGAAGATACAGATGCAGTTGCATCCTGTAGAGAAACGTATGATGACGATGATGCAGCAGACAGCAGTTGTCGTAGATGGTTATTAGGAACGATATGAAGATGATGGTGTGAGTTTGATGAAGACGATGGCGCCGCACCTGAAGTTGAAGTTGACTCTTGACTCATGATGTTTGCAGGGGGGATATTATTATGTCATATTTCCACAAAACGTTGTTAATCACCGCCTAATGCACTGAAGGTAATCAAACGCAGGCTTAAAACAGGGGGGTGTAAGGTGGGGCGCAGTGTAATCAGGTGCAAACTGGAAGGCATGCACTTGAACTTTTGATTTTGTCCAAAATGGTATGGAAGTGTGGATATTGCGTAGCGGTCTACGAGGAGTGTTCGACCCAATTGGTATTGATGGAAATTTGTAGTTGTAATCTAACTGTGTGGTACTACCACTAGGCGTCTTCAGAAGGAGGGCGTGGGGGAGGGCAGCTATGGGCGGCGGTTCGTGTCATGGGGCACAACACAGTAAGTAAGCGAGCCCACCGAACAGAACAAAAAATAACTGTGCGGTCGTGTAAGGCCAGGCCATTGGTGTATAAATTAATAGGACAGAGGTGACTATGAAGGTATCTCCATGTGAACTAATCACACTTGAAGGGACATCTGATATGGTAATAATTAATATTGTTTTAGAGTGAGTTGCGATGATTACTGGTTTAATGTAGAATTAAAGATGGTGTAGAGTTACGGTAGCTTTGCTGTGTACCATTACTATTTTTAAACACTGGAATAAGTACTTTTTTATGGCCTCACTCATGTGACCGAATGGCTTCAACTTTCTAAGGTCATAATCTTAAAAATAAAAGATAAGGGTGTGTGGCATCTACGAAGGGTCCTCGGATGATTGAACAGCATAGCGAGTTGTGACATGATATTGTTCTTATTATTAATTTTCTTATGATTACTATTAATGCAGAGCTGAATAAATTTAACCTCAGCCGTATCTTTCTCATTTCTTTTTGTTCATGTTTGTGTTGGTCACCATGTAACTAATACTACAGCGATTATTACTGCATCACTGCATAGCTAGAACTCAGGATTTCTTTTAGTTATTTTGTGACACCATGTAGTAGTTGAAGTAGTCACTCCGGATCTGGCCGAGGAACAAACAAAACTCAATGGCAGTCAAATCCGGCGTCGTTGCCTTGTAATCTCTCCCGTTGTTATATGATGGCACGAAAGGCTGCTGCGTGGAGGGTATGGGCACTAACAAACCCCCAACATACCCCGAGTACGAATGCTCGAAGATTTACGAACTCTACGTAGCGGTAAGCGTGTTAACTTACTCACCAGAAATCAAAATGGGTTCTTTCCGAACTATTACCAGTTCTGATAATTGCACTACTATGGGTAACAACCGTTGATAACCACACTACTTTGCTTGGTCAAGTGCCTGCACGACTCCAGAATGTTATTGCCAAAAAAATAAGTGCACGACTCACACGACCTTACACCCAACGTAGCAGTACGGCAAATATAATAATGGTAACAATAATAATATGTCAATAAAAATTCGTAAACGAAAACCATTAGAAAGAAAAGTCTGACGAATTCTATAGCAACTCTACGTTTACATGTAATGGTCAGCCCTCGGTTAAAGCAAAATGGGGGCCATTAATTATTGCAGAATTGTCTCTTTCCGGGATTAGAAATTTTTTCGTTGTCACAATAATCAAATTCTCTCAACTTCAAATTTCCCCTTCAAACTACCTTATGTCGCACAAACTTTCGGCATTTATGGATTGATCTAGACTGTCTGGTCTATGGGGCATCTCATTTCTGCCAAAAGAAGTAAAATTTGTACCTGCACCAAATCTGGAAAGAATGGTATCGCTACTCCTGCCCCATTAAGACCTGCCTACGTGATAACTTTAAAATCTACCAAGGATTTTGTAAGGTGTCCAATCAACCAATTCGTGGTGGATTTCACTAGGACAACCAAAAAAGACTTAAACTTTGACCATAGAAATCGTGATTCCATGACCATTCATCTAGCATTTATGACCGGTCATATTACATACTTTAAACCAATATGAAACCCAAGTAATTATATATATAATGATATAAACATCTATATATATAAAGAAATACAGTAACCTATAGATGTAATCCAAGTCATATCATAGTGACAATGAGATGTGGATTTAATAATGATAATAATAAACTTACAATGACAGCATCAGAATATTGCTTGTCTTATCTAAAAATAGCGTAAACTTCGTAACATGAATAAATGTGTATTCACAAGTGGTGGTAGTAGTGGTGCTTGTGAATTCACAAATAGGGTAAATGAATGATAAACCATAACCATTAATTATGATATTACCAAATCAAATAATATTTGCTTTAAGTAGAAGGTGTACTTCTCTTTTTGGTTATCAACTCTTCTAGTTGATTAATTTTATCATCTATTCCACTCAAATCGCTCAAGTTCATCCCGTTTAAATCTTTGGGGGTCAACCATCCACTTTTGCTCAACTGTTGCTTCAAACATGCAACTGAATCAACCATTGCCTTCCGTTCGATTGTAAGATGGTTCAAGTAGTTCAAACAATCCAATTTGCTCTCGTATGTAAACCCAGGATTCGAAGTCATAAATTTGGACTCCACTGATTCCACTGTAGGAACCAGAATCAGGGTCGACCCTGAACCACTAATGTTGTTATTACTAACGTTAGTAGTATGCACTGGAGGTGGTGGTGCCATTGTAGTGGTAGCAGAACTTGGGGTAACATAAGTAGAGGTATTAGTAGTGGTGGCAAATGTTTGACTTAAAGTGAATTTAACAGACAGTGAATGTGAACTTGCACTAGAGGAAGTGGTGTTTGACCTTTTCCGGTTGAAATAGTTGGATAAATTGGAGAATGAAGAATTTGATGTTGGAGTATTAGAAGAGGAATTACCAAAATAGCCCTCTCCTCCGTTTGCACCTTGTGGTGCAGGTAGACCATTAGACGTGCTAGTGTTTGCTGAAATTGCCGAAGGAGAGTTGCTTGGATGTTGTAGTGGAACCGCTGGAGGTATGCCAAAAGTGAATGAAGGTGTAGCGGGCAAGCCATTGTTAACACTCATATTTTGACTTAATGCCAGGTTCTGATTAAGATTCTGGTTCTGATTCTGATTCAGAAGAGATAGCTTTCTAATACCTCTCGATGTAAAGGATTTGAGTCTTTTAAGAGGGGATTGGTTGATAGATCCACCCCCTGCAGCATTACTGCTCCCGCTGGTGGTATTGCTAGAATGCTTGGTATTGTTATTACCACCAACATTATTGATTTCGCACATAGTTGAAGTAGTATTGCTTGATACGCTATTGGCGTGGCTGTGTGTAAGGCTTGTTGAAGCTGGCGTGCTGTTAGTTGTTGTAGTTGATGATCCAAGAGCTGGGCGGACTATATCGTGTTGTCTGCTCGTGGTATTTATGGTAGGCGTGGAGGCTGTTGGAGAAAGTATTTCATCTGTATCTGTAATAGATGCAGCAAAGGGACTAGTGGAGCCATTCATATTCAAGGCTAGCTTTAAGGCGGGTGGGAAGGTTAATCTTGGACTTTCTAGTTGGAAATCTGGAGCAGATGCCAAAGGAAGCTCTTCGTTGAAATTGGAAATTGTATCATCAGTAGAAATGATTCCTGAAGCCTCGGAGATACTTGACGATATGATGTGTGATTTTCCAGGTTCGTTCATATTACCATTTGTTTGTTCTTTGACATAAAACTGTTCCATTTCAAAGGTAGTCAAATCTGTTGAAGGAGTGAGGAGACGATGGGGAGGCGATAGTGAAGCAGATGTAGCTGAAGCAGTAGTTGTGGAGGTTTCAGCCGAATGATGGACGTAAACAGGATTTGCATTCATCAGGGTATGAAGGGCACCTAACTGAGGGTGTTGTTTTGATAATTGGGGACTAGTAGGTGAAGTAAGAACATCTTCATGTTCTGTAGGCAACGGAGGCAAAAGCACCTCTTTATTCGGTAGATCAGACATCGGAAGACCAGTCACTCGAAGAAAAGGATTTGAATCAGTCACCCAGTGAAAAATCAGAGATAGAACACCTAGAGAGATGTAATAGACTTAATAGCGGATGGCCAACCTAACAGTGGGATATATCTGAATACCAGGTATACTGAGTATTATAGGTTGGTGGAAATAAAAACTTTATGTCAGTGATGTGTACCCTATAGAGTGTAACAAATGTTGTTTGTCAGACAACCTTAATGACATATAATGAAAAAAAAAAAACACAACTGAAAATAGTGTTGGCTTTCAAATACTTTTAACTAATAAGGACTTCTATCAAGAGCTCTAAGAGACACTGTAAGTGCTTACCTCAAAGATGTTGGCAATTGCTCTTCCTTTATTATTTTCACACTAATGGATGGGGGCCCCTTTGGTTACGCTATAGTTCTACATTTACTACCAGAGGGCATTGGATACACAAAAGCCACAAACATCAATTTATATGGTCGTGTATATGTACAAAAACAAGCGCCAACCTGCAAAAAAAAACAAAACAGAATCGAGTATAAAGTTGAATGAGGAACAGGCCGCAAAACGCACAAAAAGTAGAAGCGACAATTTGTGCTCGCTAGTAACACAATAATACCACTTATTGTCCTGTGTGGGTGTTGGTCTGTATACGCACTCAAAAGGAATTTTGCGATAATCAAAATTGTCGGTATTGTAAGTCGGAAAGAGGCTCGGATATTGCAGAGGAATTACTTTGTATTCCTTCATTGCCTAAATTTTTGCTGGCAACAGGATGATGAGCTGGGGAATGTCGGTACCTCCAGCTATAATAAGTGTCTTTGTTTGGTATTGGTATTGACGTGAGTAGATTATATGTAATAGATAACAGTTAACAATCTTGTTATTGTATTAGTCATAATGTTCCCACAGCACAAATATTCAAATGCTTAACAATTGTGGAGGGTCAAGAAATATACAGCATAAAGTTATGCAAGCCTCCATGGGAGGTCTAGAAACATTAAGCGATAAATTATCACGGATGTAGTAATTCTTGACAGAAATAAAATGTTTAGTCTTGCATTCCTATTCTCTCCTATACTTCTGTTTTATCTTTTTTTAGTCTTCATGCAGTCATTAGTAATGGGTTATGTGGACTTCGGTGGTTTCGAAATTGACTAGTATCTTTTAGTTATCTCTCTCTATCATAATTTGTCCTCTATTTTCGTTACCTTTCTTTTTCAAAATATGATAGTAGGCCACATTCTCTTCAATAGAACTATGGCTAATGATGACTTCAAATTGCGATAACAGCAATTGATGACAGCATTAATGGAGAAACGGAGGTTTGGTTTTGTTATCATTGTGTGCAACTTGATTGCCGTAATGTGTGGGTGTAAAAGGAGACCCTTTTTTGACTTCCTCCGAGGGTGTCTTCGGTTATATTCCGACTGCCACAGTAATTTGCGGGACGAAGCGAGTTGCACTTCACGTACGACCAAGAGGCTGCGAAAAGAATAAGCCACGAATCAAAAGCCGTTACTATCTATGTTGCCCATTCTCACGTAGTCTGCTTTATCTCCACTTCTTGCGTGCCGTCCAATGCAGATTGTCATTAGGTTCTATAACCATTTAGCAGGTTTGGCACTGTCTAAGCAGAAGGCTTTTAACCATTTATTACTTTGGTATTAGTGGACTACTATCTTTAACCGTTATGTGCAGTTATATTGTGGTAAAGAATAGCCTATTTTACACAGGTCAAACCCGATAGTGTCGAGCGTCCACGACTCACTCATCTCCTTTAGAGTACTTTCCAAATTGGATCTACGTATTCAGAGATGCAAGAAAACTTTTTTGGTGCGGTAACTTGTAGCATGTGAAGAGTCTGACTAATGGCGGCTATATGTAACTTGTTCATGGTTACAACCATTAAATTTATGGCCATCTACTGCCCTTTCTAGCCAATGGTAGAATGACCTCCTTACTTCAATCGCATTCATGTGCAACTAATTCTTTGTTTATATGTGTGTTGCCTCTGTATTTACCCTTTCTCACATCATTTAGTATGTCTACACCTTAAAACCTCAGAAACTGATAAATTGGTAGGTTTTAACATCGTCCCAAAATGTCTCTTAATTACAAGGGTTACTAGGCCAACAAAATAGTTTAGAGCTTATGTATTTACCCCTTCTCTTGATGATTTGGTGGTAAAGAATTACACAAGCACTCCTATGGTTTCCTACTATTCAGTATGTGGTCGTCGCTCCTTAATGCCGCAGTATTGCCACAAGATATTCTTCGACATTGTGATTCGGCATATCAGACTTTCACACCTGGGAGTATCAGGTATGAATTTACCTGTATCTCACGTTGACGATCTTTGTTCCCTGGCTTAAGTGTGTTATTTAAACCATAAAGAGTACAGCAAAGCATATCTTTGTTCTCAATAGACTATCATAGCGGTGATAGTTGAGAGTCCACTTCACTCCCTTCCAGCGTATCTCTGACTTGAAAAAATTCTCCTATATCCTGTATGTTCCTTACTTCAAAACGTAAGGCCATGGAAAGCTGACAAGGACCCGGTTGGAATTACCGCCTCCGCAACACCTGTCAATATTGTGTTACTAGTTCTGCAATGCTTGATCTTCCGTATTTTAATTACTTCACCTTCGAGAAAGCTAGAGTATTAGTTTGATGACGGTATCTTGATTCTATACTTTTGCAAGTGTCAAAACTAATTGAATCAAACTTTAGCCTAGATGTTAATGTTGTGTCATAAACCCTAAACACATTGGTCCTCCCCTCCTATATGTGTAAAAATAATCCGTCCAAAAGGTAACTAGAACGTTTTGTGTTCACAATTGTAAGGCTCTCTCTCCTTATTAGGAAGGCTTTTTATAAAGCCTGGAAAATGAAATTTATTCCTAGGACCGATTCGTGGTACTCATTCACTAAATTTGGCGTCCACAATCTAAGCCGACATAAGGTGGGCTTGGAATCCGTAATTGTTATCTTAACCTCTTCCCCTAACAAATCCTCTTCGTCGCACTTGGCTCTTTGTCCACATTTGCGCCATATGAAGATAAGGCGACGTTCTGAGAATGATCGTAGAATTGAAGGAAAGGCAAGTTGCTGCGGTATTTCATTCCAATTCCGGTCAGAAAAAAATATACCGCAAACTCTCGAGGACACACTGTAGAGTTCAACAAATTCGTCTCTTACACCTACTATCCTAGTAGGAAGACAGAACGCAAGATGGTACACTTTCTTTGTGTGTGCGCATGGTACATCTACACGCCTTAACTATGTGGGGTGGATTTCAGACCTTGCAATTCGGAAATCGCATGCTTATTCTATTCACAAGTGTGCCGTCTCCTATGTCGTACGAGGGGATACTGTGGTAAAGATGATGTGGTATTCGCCGTAGTTGTTTTAACCAAGGTTGTAGTTTGCCCTGTTAGCGCATACTGAAGTTTTTTTTCGTATTGAAAGTCATAACATTAATTTCTAATTGACTCCACTATTTCGCAGAAGTGTATGTCAAGTGCCCGTAACACACTGCAGTCACTTAATCTGTAATTACATATACAAATCAGGATAGCTAACTGGCGATGGTACAGCCTGAATCCAAATGTGATCAGATATGTGTTGAGGGTAAATTTTTGTTCGTTTTTATCCTATTCCAGTGAAAAAAATGTGCGCTCGAAATGTAGTACGAAAAATCCAGAATCAGCGCCTCCAAGTGCCAGTTTGAAGTTGACGTCCCTGCCCTTGCTATTGTTTAGCATAAAGGTCGAACCATCAAAACCAGCTTCTATTATTTTAATTCATCGTGTCTAAAGGGGGCCAGGGTCCATAAAATGTGTGGAATCATTAATAGAACCATGTTTTTGAATTTTTGCAGCTTTTCATCATGCAACCAACACCTCTGTATATTTCCTCTTTTACTCGACATTTCCTTCGCTATCTTCCTCTAGTGAGATGTTTTAGATATCCTAGCTAAGTTATCTTGACACAAATATCAGAAGAGTACTATTTCGTGGGGTTTGTGTTGATTTTAGCCCCACTAATCGTCTAACTCAACATAGCCCCAAATACAAACTTGGTTCTGGATGTGCACATCGAGAAAAGTTACCCGCCTCAATTCAAAGTTACAATACATTTGATAACAGCAAAGCAGAAAATAAAGTATAAGGAAAGGGTATTCAGATTAATTTATTGATTAAACAACCTAGTATCTAACCTACAGAGAAGGAATATTAGTCATGTCTTTCCCTTGTTGAATACCTGCAAAATTGACTGAAGAGAAATCAAGAGGAGAAATATCATATCGCATACTCTGCAATTGAGTTCCAAATAAGTCTGTAGTTGGATCCCCTCCTCGGTCCAAATAGAGGAACTGTTGTCTGGTATCTCTAGACTGTTCGGAATCAAAGTAATTGTAAGGAGTCATTACTATTTCTGAATTCGCTGTCGTAAATATTGTACCAGGAACATCTTGGGTGGTGGGCAAATGATGTAAGGCTAGGTTGAACCAACAGACAACATCTTCACCGTCTATGTTTTCATTATCAAGGAAGGTTTGAAAATTTACTTGTGGAGAAAAGACACTGTTAGCATTGAAAACTCCTGTTGAAGTAAATTCTGAATCTTTTTGCTTGGTGAAGTGAATGTCCTGATCAGCCCAATTGGCATTTTCGGCTAATTTTTGCGAAGGTTCTGCAATTCTACGGCCAAGTGAACCGTATACACGGTAAGCCTTTGGGTTTCCCCATTTGTTCTTCGCATCTGCACTTTCAATTAATAAATTGCCGACATCTTCCATGTTCAAGGAGGTTTCTGTTTCAAAGACTGTTCTCTCTTTGATTTTTGTATTGTATTCCGTATCAGGATCCCATGGGTATACGAAAGTTGCAGGTTTAAGGGCCGTGTTGGAGACTCTATTCTTTGTTCCACCGATGTCAAAGTCAGCCTTGAAGTTGATAATATGATCATGAAATGAACCAGAAAGAGTGTCATGAATCTTATAACCAAACGGTTCAGCTGTATAAGGGTTATAGTAAGCACCCTGAATAAAGCCAGCGGCTCTAACAGTAACTTGTAATGTTCCATCCATAAAAAACTTGTAGTTGAAGTTGTAATCGTAGTTTCCAATAGTAGCAACAAATCTGATGTTGAAAGTTGCAGCCTTGGAGACTGATACATAGTCCCTTCCAGTGTGACGGGTGATTGGATAATCTTCCATTGATTCATAAGCACAATACGTATTATTTTGAAAATTGTTGACGCCTGCAGCGTTCCATGAACCATTAAAGTAAGCAGCGTTGGCTGGACAATCATATCCTGGAATTAAACCATACGCATTGTTACCCCAACCATAGGAAGTATCTAAGAAGGCAGTGTGAACCTGAAATGGATCATCACCAGCGTAATCAGCAATTGCCTCTTGCAAACTTAATTCATACAAAATTCTTTGACCTTTGAATTTGATATCAAAAAACAGAATACCATTATCTCTGTTATAAGAGATATAAAAACTCCAGTCCATCCATGTAAAATATCTCTCTTTTTCATTTACTTGCCATCTACGCCCTTGTGGTTCTATGACAATAGGAGAAGTACGGTCATCAAGCAAGCGGGTATCTGAATCTCCATTTCTACTAGGATTGGTCCAATTTTGGTTGGTGCTGACTTGAGGTAACTTGAAAATGCTTTTGGATTTCCAAGCTTCATAGAATGCCTCTGTAGAATTATAGGCTACGTTATTGTACACCCACAGAACGACCTTAAATGTAGACGAATCTCTACCGGTTATATTTGTTTTGAAAAAGAGTCCAGTCGGTAAGATATCTCCAGCTCTCCATTCATTATCAAGAAAAACAGTACCCCAAGAGAAAACTGACTTTGTTTCCCTGTCATAGACCAAAGGATCTGTAGAACCAAGTTGCATTTTGGAACCTTCCAGTCCATAAGATTTGCCTCCTATAAGATCCTCGACGATTGCTTTAACCTCATTTGTCTGGAATAAGTCTTCAAAGAAAATGTCTTCTAGAATCCATCTATTATCGTCTCGGTATCCTTGAGCGAAAGGGAAAGTACTTTGTGTATAAGCCCAGTTCATTTCTACTACTTCAGTGTTCTCGGTAGCTGGTAGTGGACCAATTTGATAAATCTGCCAATACCCATCTGGCTCACTATCCTTAGCAAAGTCATGTCCTCCAAAAAAGATTGAAGCACGGGCATATCGTTGAGGGGCTGGTCCATTACCATCTAAGTATTCAAGTGCATCGGTCTTGTTTGGGTTAATTAGTGCGATCCAGACTGCATAGTTGTCAAAGAGGGTTGCGTCATTGGCATCTGTCAAATTGAATTTCTCTTTAATCAATTTGTATACACCATTGATTTCAGTAGGAGTTAACTCTGACCAGATATTTGACTTGGGTGCAACTATATCCTCAGATGCAGATTTCCTCTGTCCTTGATAATGATGACTGTCACGTTTTAGCACCGGTGCGAGCTCTTCTGAAATTGCTTTTCTTCTGTTCAACAACCCCTTAGAGCTCCGAGGCGAAACAATGGCAGAATCAACTGTCAAAAACCAGAATGACAACAAAGACAATAGAGTAGCCCACTTCATTGTTGGTTTCTTGGATTCCATTTCGACCAATGTTGGGGCTACTTTTTGTTTGGTTTAATAGTAAGTCGCATGTTAAATTATCAAGTTTCAGTGAGGAATTAGAGCCCATTTACCGTGTTTCTGCGACATATTCTAGTATATAGACGATAATTTTTAGTGGAACACTTTAGATCTTGATATTTACTCTTTGAACTCTCTTGGTCCAGTAATAGATATCCTTTATAAGAGGCTATGCTTGAAGTTGTGGTCAATAATTGCGAGAAATAACTCAAAACTGCTCATTCGCTTGCATTCGCTTGCATTCCCTTACATTCGCCCACATTCACGTCCTCTAATACCGTTAGTGGTGGCATTGTACGGCGATATTTGGGTTTCACTGAATTATTAATAAGGTTTGAAACGTCTTCCCAAAGCTGGTTACATTGAAGTCTCTGAATTTTGAAGTCCAAGAAGTCTATTTTTTCATTCTGACACATTATACGTAGCCTTTGAGTTTGTACGAGAAAGGTCTAATGCAATAAAAAAAAGTAACCCTTATTAAGTTGGAATTATATGTTTCAACTTACGTTCTCGAGATTCCAGTTAGCGTTACAGTAATGGAGGTTGCAAGTTTAAATTACACCTAAAAATGGAATCTTTATGATTTTGTACGCAATGTAAATGTTTTATGACGAAATATGGCGCTAAATTTATAGGTAAGACAGAAAAAACTAGCATGTACTAACTTCACCTTCCAGTTAAAGATTCTTCAAAGAAAAAGTTAAAACATAGAGTTACTCTTGAACTAGCATATGTGTTTCATTCACAGTTGGTAAATGATTAAGTTGTGTCTGGGTATTAACTTTTAAACCTCCGGCTGCTTGCCTAAATGGCACCCCCCAACACCATTAAGTTAACACAAAACAAGAAAAGTAAATCAAACTCTTCAAGATCAACTTTAACTCCTTCTATTGAAAGATCTTCATTCAAAGACTAATGAAAACCATGGAAGAACTAAAATTTGGATCGTATAACCAGACAAAGGATGATTTCCAAGCTATAAGCAACTTGATATCAACCCATCTACTGGAACCTTATAGTGTTTATGTTTATTGGTATTTCCTCAATCAATGGCCCCTGTACACTTTGACTGTGAAGCACGATGACAAACTTATAGGATGCATAATAAGCAAAGTAGAACCACATAGGAACGTCCGAATGCGTGGATACATAGGAATGATTGTTATAGATCCGGAATACAGGGGGAGAGGGATCGCTAGTAAGTTGGTTAATCTTTGCATGGAGAAAATGATTGGCGAAGATAAGGTGGATGAAATATGCTTAGAAACAGAAGTGGATAACGCTATGGCATTGAGGCTCTATGAGTCCAGAGGGTTTATACGGACAAAACGGTTGTATAGGTACTATTTAAACACCAATGATGCTTACCGATTGCTTTTACCAGTCAGCGACAAGCTGGGAAAACGCCTCGACTTCTTACCACCATTAGTTGACAAAGTTGGAGAGAATAATTGGATTATGTAGTTACAAGTTACATGATTTGATTCTACGGTAAATTAATAAATTTTTGGGTTAATTCAAGTAATTAGTCACTAAATTGTAGAACTCATTTAATCAATCAAAACGATAATAGGCTCTGCTTACACCCAATTGTGCTCAATAAGCGGGTTAATCTAAATATCTTTGGTAATGACTTCTTCAAGCATAATCAAACATATACCTAGAACACTTTATTACTTTTAAAGCAGTGAAAGTATCCTTTAGTCTTGACACAATCCAGTCACGTGATAAGATTGTACTAATGTGATATGCACTTTACGGAATGATAGCTGGGTTTTAACAAGAAATCCGTGATAGTTTAGTGGCTAGAATTACCGCTTGTCGCGTGGTAGACCGGGGTTCAATTCCCCGTCGCGGAGGATTTGTTTTAGCGCGGATAGTTTAGTGGTAAAATACAACGTTCCCATTGTTGTGTCCCTGGTTCGATTCCTGGTCCGCGCAATTTTTTTTTATTATTCTTCCCTCCGAAGTTATGCCGCGTTGACTCTTTTGGTCAGCGCGGACGCGTAATATGGGATAAGCAGTTTTAATGATGAAAAAAATACCTGGAGATAAATGCTCTTCTTCTTCTTTTAAAGGGTGAAAGTAAATTCGTTTGGTGTTTATTCTGGCTCAATTGCTTTACTGCTATTATTATTATTTGTGTTATATTGAATATACAGATTCACAATGCTTGAAGGAAAGTTTGAAGAAGCCACTTTATTGAAGAAAATTGTGGAAGCCATTAAAGACTGTGTTAAGTTATGTAACTTCAACTGTACAGAACATGGGTTGACTGTGCAAGCAGTTGATGACTCTAGAGTGTTGTTGGTCAGTCTTTTGGTTGGTCAAAGTGCTTTCAGCGAGTACAGATGTGATAGGGATATAACCTTGGGTATTGATTTGGAGAGTTTCAGTAAAATCATCAAGTGTGGTAATAATGAAGATTACGTTACATTGTTGGCAGAAGACAAGCCTGATGCAGTTCTCACAGTATTTGAAGACAAGAAGAAGGATAGAATCAGTGAATATTCATTGAAGTTGATGGACATTGATAGTGAATTTTTGAAGATCGATGATATGGAATATGATTGTGTGGTTACCATGCCATCTCAAGAATTTGCAAAGATCGTTAGAGATTTGAAAAACTTGAGTGAATCTTTGAACATAGTTGTAACAAAGGAATCAGTCAAGTTCTCAAGTGAAGGTGAAAGTGGTTCTGGTTCTGTTGTATTGAAACCTTATACTGACATGGACAAGCCAGAGGACTCTTTGAGTGTAAACTTGGAGTCTCCAGTTGATTTGACTTTTGGTTTGAAATACTTGGGTGATATCATTAAGGCTACCAACTTGAGTGGTACCATCACCATCAAATTAGCAGACAAGACCCCTGCTTTATTCGAATATAAGTTGGATGTTGGTGGGTACTTGAGATTCTATTTGGCACCTAAATTCGATGAAGATGACTAAACTGACTATTTTTGTTAATCACTGTACTTATATATTAAAAATCACATCTTATCTACTAATACAACAAAATTGGAAAAAAAGGCGAACTTTAACGTTATTTATGTTTTTATCTAGCTTACACTCTTCATTCCTTAAGTGCTCTTTTTGTCATACATTTCTTTGCCCCATTTGTATAAGTCATGACGCAATCTATCTGCCCTAACCAAGCCCTTTCTCAACTCGATCAAGTTCTTGACATACTCATGTTGTCGTTGAATGCTCACCTGTAAGTAGTTGATCAAGTCTTCTTGCAATGCAAACAACTCGTTGTTACTACCAGGAAGCACGTCTGCTTGATGAGCCTCATATCTCTTTAAAGTCTCTGGCAATGCGAAAAAGGGGTCGGTAACGTCGATCATCTCATCGTTCAGAGACAGAGTCGTAGTCACACCCAACTCGTACTTCATTATATTCTTGCCGGAACTCAGACTGCTATCATCGCCATTGGCATTGGCAGATGTAGTAATAGCAGTAGCAGTGCTAGTGGTGACGCTATTATTGTCAGCAGCAGCAGCAGTGGTTTCATCATATATCCTTTTCTTTCTGTCATCATCAAGACCATGATCGTAAGCTTTTAGTCCCAAGTTTTCCTCTAACAAATAATACCAATCTTCTCCATTGAGTACTTGAAGAAGCTTGTTCAACCAGTTCAAAGTATCTTGCTCCACTTCAATCAACTCAATAAGATCCATGCTCAATCTATGGAATACCGTCAGCTTGAAAGTTCGTGATATTGCTGGGTGTGATATGATTTCACTGGGATGCTCTATTGGAGCCAAAATTTCCGATAATTTGATGGTAGCCAAAGGATTCTCGTTTGTATTACTATTACTAGTACCATTCAATGATACTCCACCATTCCCATTCGTTGACAAACTATTTCCATTGGTCTTAGTGTCAGGAAAAGTATCATTATCAATGTCTTCAGAGTCCTCATCTTCCTCATCATCACTTTCCAGAAGTTGCGCTATAGCTTCTATAGCTGAACGTTTGATACCATTCTTATCAGGGTCATAAAACTCCTTCCACTTACGCTTATTCCGCAGGGTAATCTTTTGCAAATCAGAGTCAGCAAATACTAAATGATCCTTTCCATCATATTCAACTACACGAGATCGAAGTCCTTCTTGTTCCACTTCAAGTTTGTTCCCCCTATTGCTTCTAAGTCTAGGGGTGTTGAGATGTTCAGGTATTTGGAGAGATCTTGAAAGTACAGCTTCCTTAAACCGCGATATTATACCAATGGATGTGCTATCAAGCATCTTAGTATTTCCGACACACGATTTCTTATTCAGTCGGCAAAGTAGAATGCTGGTAAGCGACAACGATAAATTTAGCGTTCATTCAATGCATTTCACCTCAATGAAAAGTAACGGTTGGGTACCTAACAGCGCTACCAAAAACGGATATTCTACGGGAGCATATCATGAAACAATAAGTTTATCCCCATCGCAACAGAAATACACATCACGTGATACACGATTGGCCGTACCACAAATGCCCTGTCGTAGCTTACATAAGCCGAAATTCCTTATAGCATTCTCTTGGATATGGGTTTGTGACTACAATCCTCTCGTCCCACGCAGATACAGCTTACCAATAGGGTAAGCACAGATAAGTATCAAACATTTTGCCATCAGAATTTTTTTGTATTGTATTAAGGGAACTTTAAAGTGTGCAAAGTGACTGCTGTGATCGTATTCAAGTGAAAAGGTTGAACAAACTGATTATAAATTGACCTCATTGTCTCAAGGGGTAGGAGTGAGAGGCAAACGGGAACAAACTACAACATATAGATAGAGCCGGTTTAAATTATTCAATATGCCAGAAATAACACCAGGAGACTCGATATCTTATCTAACAGTGTACAATGCACATAATGGAGAGTCTTTTAAGATCCCCAAGCCTGTACGGTTCCATGCTTTCAAGAGTCTAAAGGAGTTCATAGCCGAATCATTTGAAATTGAGGAGGTGGACCAAGTATTTCTTCTCACATCTTTTGGGATAAGGCTTGATTTCAATCTAGTAAATGAGTTACAAGATGTATTTGTGTTTGACAAAAGGCTTTTCATTGATGAATACGATACCGATGCCATATTGGCTAGACATCTTGGGGAGACTAAAGCGTTACCTACTCAAATACAAAGTGTAAGCTTATTACCTGATAACAATGTTAGTTCGATCACTCAAAATCTTCGACAAATTCAGGACTGGAGCCATAGAATAAAGAGAGAAGTGAATGGGTATGACGAACAGATCAAAATTTTACAGAGAGAGATAAGTGTGATATTCCGATCATTGAATATCATATTCCAATTTGGCTCAAACTTTGTTAGTGGTAATGAAAAGAACTTTAACAACTTTTTCAATTACATCAAACTCTTGAATATGAAGACTTTGCACAGAGATTGGAAATCCCATTATAATAGGCTAAAGAAGTTTTCATCTATTCAAATTTCAAATCACACATTTGTCTTGAGCGATTTTTTGGAAGAGGGTAAATTACATGAATCTGCTTCATTTATACAAGCGCATTTACCCGTGATTATAAAAGTTTTCAATGAAATGGGAAACAGTATAAACGCAGTTAATGATAAAAAAATTGGCATTGATAAACAAATTGAAGACATGAGAAATGTTTCAATCAAATTGGCAGAATCTATTCTGCTTAAGGATACCATATCTTCCATTAATTCAACCATACAAAATATTGATCGTGATATTGATAATTTAAGTTCGAATTACTCCATGAATTCTGAAGATATTTTAGCAATTCAGAAGACCCATGTTAATTATTCAGTCGTATCTTTGCAGAATTCTTACAAGCTGGTGTTCGACTTTCTAGCAAAATGCAGGCAATTGAAACTACAATTATCAAGAGAAAGCTTATCAATTTTTTCTGGTATAGCCCAATTGCAATTGAATATGGTGGAAGTAAGGAATAAGCTTAGGTTAGTTTCAGAACCACCTGCATCAAACACTGAGATCCCAATGAATCATACTACGGTTCTTACTAAGAGCAACGAAGATGAAGGATCATTTTCATATACCACTTTGAATAAGATCAAGAAGTACGAAGACTATCTAAGTCTTTGTATTGACTTGCCACTTTTGTTTGGCTTTTTGCTTATTGAGAAGCGGAGACAATTTGAGTGGTATGATTTTTATTCTAAAGGTGTGGTTAGTAATGCTTCTGAACAATTATCACATATCATTGACCGTGAAAAGAAGTTTCGGAAGTTATGGTTAAAAAAAGTCGGTCACTTTTTGACATTCTTGATTGAATATCCTTTGAACACTCAAACTCCTAATATCGATGTTACATTGGTTGCTAATCATGAAACTACACAGTTTAGCATTTTAGAGAATATTCAAGTTGATCGTGAAGATATTCTTGCTTATATTCAGCTACTTAAGAATGGTAATATCGCTTCAACTAACTTTGTCAGTTTATTAGAGAAGAACTATAAAGATTTGTTAAGATCGACTGTCCATATGAAGAAATTAACCAAGATAATCCTGTCGCTTTCTTCAGTTGATGAAAATAGTAATGAAGAGTCCATAAATTCACAAGATTCTGAAAGTGATCAAAATTTAGTTAAAGGACTTAAAACTCGTATCAAAAAGTTGGAGAACTTGTTACACCAACAACAATATAAAAACATCTCAAATTGGCCAGTAACAAGAAATTCGCCAGGTGTTGATACAAGGTTCAGTATGATTATTGATCAACCTCTGCTGGGAGCAGTAGCACAACCATCCGCTTCTCAAAATTCGTCCCTTTTACCTCGGAATGTAAGCACAAACCCCACGAAGTTTTTGCAAACAAGGAAGGATAGTCGTCCCTTGGATACAGTTTCAGGCTCTACTGTTGGTTTAGATACTTCTGTTATCGATAAGCATATTGATAATATTCGCCTTAGAAAGGAAGTGAAGGAAGTAAATGAGGTACTTGACAATTTAAAGCAGGCTAAATCTGAACAGGAGAGATTAATTGAGGAGCTAAGAGCCGATCTCAAGTCTCAAAAGGATAAATTAGTATCAAGGGAGCAGGAATTAGCAACGGTTAAAAAACAGCTAGAGGACCAACGCTACGTTTCCAAATTGGATGAAAAAGAATTGGAAAATATGAAGCAAAAGCTTCGTAATCGTGATGAACGAATTTCCTCCTTGGAAAGCGATTTACGAGCCCAAAGGGTGGCCATTGATTCGTCAAATGCAGAGAATAAAACTTTGAAGGACTCGATTACAAAAATAGAAAGTAATAATGCTCATTTGACATCCATGAACTCAGACCTCATGTCTAACTTATCTGCAAAGGATACGGAAATGGCCAAAGAACGCAACCAAATGAAAGAAGACTTTTCTAGTCTTCAAGGTCGTCTTGATGAGATGACTGAAGATTATGAGAACTTAATGGAGTTGACTGCAGCCAGGCATAAAACAGACGATATGACAATAAATAATCTCCAACAGTTGATTATTGCAATTTTTACATACTCAACAGAACTTGCGGATACACTCTTTGATTATTTCTTTGAGATGTGTCTTGTTTTGGAATCAATGGGACTTTTGCTTAGTAAGGAAGAAGATTTATTCAAGATTTCTCGGGTTAAGGGTTTACGTTCGAAGCATGGGAAAAATGCTGGCAAAGATGATGATTCTGATGTTATTTCTGATACTCCTACTACTCATGTTGTTAAGGAAATTGAATCACTTTTGGCTTGGAGGTTTGAAATTGCTGAGAACTTGAAGAAAATAGAAGATAGTCAAGCAGAAACAGAAACACCAGTATCTACCAGCACATATGACGATTCAAAGTTGCAGGACAAATCTATGGAATTATTTAAGGTATTTGGCCAAACTTTTGCAGAAGGTGACGAGACAGCAGTTTCCAAGTTGTTTTTAAAGGCTATTAGTTTCAAAGATCACGTTTACATCCATGATGATAATAGTCATAAACGGTTCTTTCTCAACGCAATTGCGAAGAGATTTAGGGATGTTGAGAGCTTTGCAAAGAAGCAAACCAAGGAGAACAAGCAGCGTGTTCAAGAAGTGTCAGAGATGACAGCAAGATTACGTACAAAGGTTACTATGAAAAATTTTCAGGTTGCAGATTTAGTTCTTTTTTTACCTACCCGGATTGACGGTAGTGATACAACTACGTTGGCAGTGCAACCATGGGCTGCATTCAACATTGATGCTCCGCACTACTTTCTTGATATATCTGATGCTACAAAACTTCAAAATAGAGATTGGATGGTAGGACGAATCAATAAGATCTCCTCCCATCACGTGACCAAGGAAAATATGGAGAACAAGGACGAGAACCCGTTCCACTTAGGTGTTGGGACTAACTGGTACACGATTCATGCTAGCGAAGAAACAGAAGGTAAGTAAGTGATGTCGGTATAATGTAATAAATAGGTTAGGATAAGATAAGATAGGATAAGGAATGTTAGTATAGGAAAGGATAGGATAGTATAGGATAGGATAGGATAGGATAGGAATTTAAACATCTATGGTACGTTGTTAAATAAATAACTGACACTTTCACCATTATGCAATCTTCTTACGGCTTCTGCCAATACTCCACTGATATCAATGGTATGCAATTTTGGGCATTGGGCAGTTATATGGTCCATGGGTAAGGAATTTGTGCATACAATTTTGTCTAATCTCGACCCATTTAGTTTGGCAATAGCTCCACCAGAAAAGATCCCATGAGTGACAATGGCCACGACCTTCTGTGCACCATTATCCAACAAGATATCTGCTGCCTTACATAAGGTACCACAAGTGTCTGCCATATCGTCAACCAAGACACATACTTTCCCTGTGACATCACCAACCAATACCATCTTGGACACTTCGTTAGCTTTTTGTCTTTCCTTGTGGATTAATGCGAAATTGACGTCGAGCTTATCTGCGATAGATGCTACCCGTTTTGCACCACCAGCATCTGGCGATACAATTATTAAGTCTTTCACATCATAATTTTCACTAATATATCTGAGGACACTTGGCTCAGCGTACAAGTTGTCTACTGGTGCTCTGAAGAATCCTTGAATCTGCGAAGCATGGAGGTCCAAGGTGATCACATGATGACAGCCAGCGATCTGGAGTAAGTTGGCTATCAATTTCGCTGTAATAGGTGCTCTGCTCTTATCTTTCTTGTCTTGCCTGGCATAAGCAAAATGGGGGATAACAGCAGTGATTCGACGGGCACTGGCCATCTTACATGCATTTATCATCATCAACAACTCCATAAGGAAGTCATTTATGGTATGTTCTCCACATCCAGTTTGAAGTATATAAACATCTTCGTCTCTCACAGATTCTCCTATGGCCACGGCTGTCTCTTGATTGGTGTATTGGAAAGCTCCCACTCTGGCCAACGGGATGCCTAGTTTGGCTGCTACCAGTTTCGATAGCTCAGGGTGCGAGTTCCCGGAAATAAGCTTTATGGTATTGGGGGATGCGGTAGGCATACTATTTGTGTTTGTGTGCTAGTATGTAGAGGGGATCGTGATGCTCAGCCAATTTATTGTGATGAGATTTATCCGTAAAAATTAATTTGGTAAACCACCCCACCTTCGAGCACAAAAATGAGAATGGACTCTGTATCTGCGTGTACATACCAAGTGTTTGATGAATACAAGCAATGGCAGCAATGATAGCTGTTCTATAACTCTAGTATTGTTTCTTGCTGACATAAACAGTAGTACATCAAAAAGTTGACGCGTTCCTTTTATTAGCAATATTGTTTCATATCAGCTATTTTATATAATAAGCATACCTATGTTTACGTAATCGAACTAATTCCAGATAATAGAACAACAGCACTTTTCTAATTCGGTTTAAATTTTACTCCTGTTGTAAAACGTTTTGCAAACCTACTATTTCTCCCAAAAGAAGTGTGTATGACCTTAGGAAAGTCAAAAAAAGCCAGCAACGTTGCACTTTTTGCAGTGTTTGAGTAGCATTATCTTCCCCAGTATCAATAGCTTGCGTTGGCTGCGAAATCATATAATGTCCCGATTGAATATCTGTGCCGGGCACCCCTAAACCCATTTTTGTAGAAGCAATACCAAAACTACCGGAGTCTTCCTTTTTGAAATCTGAAACTGGTTGCTTGGACTGTTGTTCGCCAGGTTGCACCATGCTCTTCCGATATATAAACCTCCAGTATTGAACCATATCATCGTACAACGAATTGAAAAAGGAATTACACACTAAAATGCTGTACTTATTTTTAAGCTCTGAAGTCAATAAATTTGTGTGTATTAGTTGAAGTAAATCAGATACGATTACTGCTCGTGTGTCTGACACTGATACTTTGTCATATTGTCCGCTTGCGTTTATCGGTGAATTTCGAAGATCCTCAACTGACGATTTTGTTAATTCATTGCCTGATGATTTATGAGAGAGTGTGATATCCTTATTTAAATTTCCTGTAAACCTTTTCCCCGATAGATAATTTGCACAGTAGTAGGTGAAAAAAATTGCAATGGATTTAACATCCACCAACAAGGCTTGTACGTTGTAGGATAGAAGAACTGCTAAGAGATTATGAAGAACTATGTTCTCCTCGAACATTTTGGACTTATTATTGGTTTCTCTCCTCTCATCCTGCTGAATACTGTCTAGTGTAACTCCTAGAAATGAAATATTTCGGTAATTGGTATCGTAGCTTTCTAGCTGTTTGAAATCTGACGCCATTTCAAGGCGATTAGCAGGACTGAAGCAAATGAATGTAGTAAGCAACTCATTCAACTGCAACATGGAACGTAATACATTCAGGAACTTTCTCCAATTTGCTAAGTTATCTTCCAATATTTCTTCATGAGAGCCTCCACTTTTATCATCACGAAGAGAAAACACTTCAGAATATCTGAGTACAAGATTTTCACTCAAGTGTTGAACATTAATTTTCATGTATTCAACAAATGCTTCATTACGAGGTAATGAAATAGAGTCACCAGGAATATCGTCCTTACCAGGCTTAGTCCTAAGTAATAGGAAATATGGAAGGAATTCAAGAATCAAGGCTAAAAAGACATGCATCTCAAACTTTAAATAATGAGCCTTCCTAACTTCTTGCTGTTGCCCAAATTGATGTTGCATATACAGCCTCAATAAGTTGGATGTCACATAGTTAAGTAAGTAATCTTCCTTAATTGAACTTTCTGAAGCTTGAATTGCTATGTCACGTAGGATACTTGACACAGAAGAACCCAAGAAGGGATATCTTATATATATGTTCCTTTTCGCATCCGAAAACCACGAGCCAGCTGCCGTTGAACAGGATGTTCCAACGAGAGAAACCTCAGGTGACTCAAATAGTCCAGGATACTTTGACTGAGGGTTAATAAACGACAAACTGGAGGAATATACGAATGGTATCAGTTCAGAGTCATTACATCTATTTTCCGTGCTGGAACTTGTACCTCCAATTTGAGTATTAAGGGAAGCACCTCGCTTAACGTGAGTATCACGAAAATTGGAACTTGGTGGTTTTATCGACTTGTGACTGGGCTTTCTCTTTTTTAAGCTTTTTTCATCAGATTCATCCTCAATGAGAGAATTGACATCAGCACTTGAATCTCCCTGAATTGATGGCAAGCTACTAACCAATTCCGTATTTCGGACAGGAGTTATTAACGTATTGACAACATCAGACTCACTATGAATCAGTAATAAAGACTTCAAGTCATTGTTGTTGCACATTTCCTTAATTGATTCAGATATAAGTGATTCATTCCACCGGACACCCAAATAGGTGTACTTAGAATCACCCCTTGCACCTAATCTCTTTATCTTTAACTCAGGATAAACAAGTTTGATCAACTTACCAACTTTAGACTGACTGAGCACAATTTTCTGTTGCTCTTGATATGTATTAGAATTACTGGGATATCTTGATATCAAAAGTTGACAAATAATGAAGTAAGTTTTGTAAATCGATAAACGTGGAATAATGCTATCGTTAATTGGTGGATTTCTAGGCTTTGATGTATCTGGTACTTCAATTAACATGTCGTTTAAGATCTTGATAGCTAAGAAGTTACGTAGCAACTCATGAAAGTTTAGTGGTCGGATTTCGTCACCTTCAAGAGAAGCACTTGGATTTGTCTTTATTTTTTTGACTAAACTCAACACTTCATAGAGCGTCTTTATGGATGCATCCGCAGATTTGGTATCTTTCACTAGAGAAGTATCCACTTTCCTATCTGTATTCAGAGGGAAATTGAAACTATTATCATCATTATTATAAATACAATTGTAAAAATCGTCTATGGGGATGCCAAATCGAAAATCGTGCAACAAACCAAGCAAGAATGGATTAATTGACATGTTAGTTACTCTTCTGATACTTTCAATCAATTTCTGATAGTTATGACCACTTAAGGGCCACGTTAAACCAACATTAGTCCTGAACATTTTTTCTGAAGTTGAAGGCTCCATAACATTTAACGGAGTTCTATATTGCATTGTCCTGAAGTTTTCCCTTGAAAATTGACCGGGATAGCTGGCTCTTTGATGCCCTCCAATATAAGAAGAGGATAAATCCACACCAACCAGTGCGGGTGTATGTAATTGGGCTTGACTGTGGAGTTCAGGATTTCTTGATTGGCCCGCCCAATTAACTACATGTTGAGGTAGTTGGGGTCGCAGCTGCAAGAAATGAGGGGTCGAGACATGTCCGTACTGTGAAGTAAAGTCGTTGGAAGATATTGTTGAAATATAGTTTGGATCATATTGATTTAATGATATAGCTGCGACGTTTTCTTGACCAGATTGGGGTAGTTGAGTATGCGGTTGTTGGTATAGAATATTAGGATTTTGTGCAAATCTATGGGTAATACTGGCACTGGTATCTGTGTCTAGTACTTCTAGTGGGTCATAGTTCTCTATTACTCCTTGGGGGAATGTGGTGTGACCAGAAACATCTTCTCTTTGGTAGTATATATGATGAGGGTTGTGTTGCGCATGTAATTTGGGCTGTGGCATCAGGAACTGAGGTAAGGGATGATCTTGACCAGAAGATGTTGGTAGAAGGGGAAACTGGTCCCCAATATGTGCTCTGGAATGATCTGATGGTGTAATTAATTGTGGCTGATGTGTGAATGAAGTAAGGTGAGGCCCATCTATAAGATGCTGCTGCGAATGATAAGATGCGATTGGTGATGGGTGCAATTGATCGCCTTGCGGTAACGAAGTTGGATTATTGGAATTTGAGGCTGCTATAGGATGGTTTGATTCTGCCATGTGGAAATATGGGGAGTTAGCTTGACGTTTGTTTGATGATTCCGAATCTCCTGACATAACTCTCCGCACATAATAAGGTTCAACTTATACAAACAAACCAAGTAAGACTAATACAATTAATGTAACAAAACGATAAATCAACCAGAACAACGCCACCTAAATTAAACTAAAGACACTGTTAACAGTGGAATAAAAAGAAGGAATATAAAGAAAAGAAGTTGCTATTAACTATCAATCGAAAACGTTACTTCGTAGCCTGAGGGTGCAACTAAAAAATGCTTGGATCGTGGTCCCTCTATTAGTCAATCAAATATGGCACCGTGCGCAAAAAATGCAAAGAAAGAAGTTATCTAATGAATACATATGTGAATAGGCGCTCTTAAAACCTTCTCAGGTAAGCTGCTCTCACGTTCTCAAACTAATCGCTTTATAGATATTTGGGCAGTACTTTAATAGATAACCACGGCTTAGCAATCTATAATAGAAAAAGAACAATATTGCATTTGTCGCAGTTCCGCCTCTTTATATGATTAGGCGATATCAGAACCATCTAGTGGAGTTAAGGTAGTTCAGTATAGAGACAAAATCGGTCACCAAGACAGCAAATTTGATTTTTAATATCCATCAGTGAGTATCAATCCGCATGAACAGCGCTTGATACTCTTCATGTACAATGAGTAGAATGTTTTTAATGATTCTTATTGTTGCTCTTGCTGCTATACACCGTTTTCGTTTACTATTCTATTTGACAATGCAAATGCAAAACTGGTCACATCAACAGTAGGTTTTTTTCCCCAACTGAGAATACCAATACCACTTGCCAGGATTGTTTCTAGGTAAAGAAGTTGTGTAAGTCCATTGTTCAGTGCCGAACATTCCTTTTTCCCTGCGCTTTCTACTAGGTAATTGAAGACTAAGTGGGGGATGTTAAAAAATACTATTGTTGAATCTGTAAATTTAAACCATACCACTGAAACTTGCTGTGTGAGAACCCTCCCAATCCATAAATAATGATTTTATGTAGTACTTTTAAGTTATATAATGGCAAAAAAAGTAACGATTTGAGGTATTCTAATGTGACAGGCATCCACGGGCAGCTCCTGCAGCAAGCCTGCACAAATCTTATATCTTAGTTCAGCTGAATAAATATAATCACTGTTTCTAGTTCCACATAGTTGTTGTAGGCTGGTGCCCGCACTAGCGATTCAAGTAAGCGTAATGCGGCAAAGTGTCAAAATACGCCTCTGGTCCAATAATATTTCCCGGGGACCATCTTTAGTAAACTATTCCGTTTATTATTCCGCTTATTTAAGCCACTAAAGGAGATGAAGTGACAAAGGTTGCGAGGAGCCCTCAGAGGTTTGGTACACAAGTTAGGGGTTGCGAATTAATCATTAGTTTTTGTTTTCGCCAGGTGCAGAAAGTTATCATTACTCATGGAGCAAATATGTTGACATGATGCAGTTGTACATGGTGACGGTAACGTGACGTTTCTGAAAAGATTAAATCTAAATATATGTACTTTCACTAGTCCGTAAAGCTTTGGATGTAGTCAGATGCTAGTAATATTCTTGATGTAAGATTCTGAACTATTCACGTTCAGATAGTTGGACTTTCAGGAGTTGCTGCGAAAAACCTCCTTAAAACTTGTGACCTTCATGTGTGGTGTAAGCCTGATAGAAAATTTGTAAGAAAGTTAGAGATTAGGGAGTGGTTCCCCAATGAATTACAATTGTTAGTTTTGTGCTCATTGTTGAAAAGTAAGGTCCACACCAAGCGTTTGTAGTTGGTTTAAGGTCGTCATTATCATTATTCCCGCCTGTTGCAGGAAGGTCGGTAGTTGATGCAGCAACGGCTAATTTCAACCGTAACTCTCTACCCTTTCATATTTCGATTTATACACTTCTTTACTTTTCAGTTATACACTCAGACATTCAAGCTTGAAAAAATAAACGTATTAGGATATAGCTAATATCTTGCAATATTACCCTTATATCAAACGTTTTTCATTTTTATTCTTTAAGTGCATCGATTTTTGGAACTATTTTAATATTGGGCGTGACATCCGGTATCTCGTTGGGTAGATTGAGACGAGCTTTTCCCACGCTTACATTTACCTTACAACATCTTCCGCAACTTTGACAACGTTCATGTTTCAAATATTTTTGTTAACACGCATATAGTCCTTTACGTATGAACTTTCTTGAGGTACGATCTTCAATGATGAAACATTATAGTTTGATTTGCATGCTTTCGAACTTTAAAAAGCTTCTTCTACATTTAAAGAACGATATCATAACACTAACTAATTCATAGTGTCTATGATCGCTGCACAATTAATTGTATACGTCCTTTGAGCTGATGTCTAATGTTTTCTCTATAGCTGTAAGCGATCGAATTTCCAGCAACTAAGTTCATTACAGCTCTACAGAAAACAAATGAACTCGCTGAGATCAGTGAGTATATTTTTCGCACCTATAATTGCTATCACCTGACTAAGTGGAAGTCAGGGGAAGACCATTACAAAGGATCTGAACAGTTATGCAGTATTCCGTTGAGGACCAGGGCACATGTCTTGTCCGGCGCTATTAAATATGATGCTTGCATTTTGAGTACAATGTTTTGGAAAGAAATATCAGTATTAAGTGTGATAACTCTTACACTGCTATGTGGGAGTACAAAAGTGAATGCAGCCATGCTAGCTGGCAACAAAATGGCTAAGAGAGATGTAAGTTTTAGTTTTAATATTACCGAGTTTGCGAGTTGTGTTGGTGCTAATACTACAAACATAACGCTATACAGTGATGATTCGAGTGAATTGGTGGTAGCCCCTGTGGATGGAGACATGGATTTGGACTATGACCTATGGTTGGATTGTATCGGGGAACAGGAACTAGATGGATTGATCTCAGTTACTGATGGAACATATGACTATGAGTATGATAATATTAATAACCGCATCACTGACGGGTGTTTAGACTGGGAAGGAAGTTTGTACTTTGTGAGCGGGAACAGCACAGATTGTGAACCTAGACAATGGATGAAGAGAAACTGTTGTGACTGTATCGCTTATGGCGTTACTTGATACATCGAGAAATATTTCACTCGGTATGTGCGTCTGAGGCTAAGAGAGAACCAAAGAAGTCGACCACTGAAATGACTCTTGCTACTTTCAACAACAGACGACCAATTCGCTTAGGTAGCAAAAGTCGTTTTTCGTCAGTTTATCAGCTACATTTTTGTTAGTAGTAACACTTCAAAAAGTTGCTCTCTCTGTAATACTTCACGCGCAATCTACAATGTTAGTGTTGTTTGGAACACTCAGACGCGCTACGTCTTCATATGTCTTTTTGTAAATAATAGCTTTCATTTTCAGCATTTATGGCTGTTATCCAGGTATAGCTTCCATAGTTTGAGAAACTAAATTCATATAGCGGTTTCTAAAATGAATTGTCCGGTGAGAATTGATGATACACAATGTTCGAAAGGTTTGTAGGATGATGTAAGTTAGTAAGCATTGAGTTTCACAAAACTGACCACTCTAGGAAGTACTGAAAGTAGTAAAAAGAAATGGTCAAACTTTTGAAATCGAGAAACTACGCAAGAATATACTTGTAGCAACTTCTGCAGGAAACTGAATCCAGAAGTCAGTGCAAGTGAAAGTAGCCCTCAGGATATAGTATGTCTTAAACATGTCCGTACAAATAATCAAAAGGGAGGTTAGGAGTTCAATTTCTGTGAGGAAGTTTAAAGTAGACCTTTTAAACCTGCTTCCGCAAAATACAAGGAGAGGAGGAAAGATGGCTATATGCTGCCTTTGATTCGGGTCAAAGTTATCTTGGTTTTCTATAACAATTGATTTAAGACCCTCAAATTCAGTATAAGGCTTATAATGCTAGTTTAATTCATCTTATGTATAAATTGATATCAAAAGACACCGTAAGAGACGCTGCTGTTGTTTATCAAATAGAAAATACACTTAACTTTATTATGCGGAAGTCTATCTCGATTTTTTATCACCATACTTAGATTTATCTTATTACCAGATTCCCAAGCGTTTCTACTGTGCTCTTTAATTGTAAAGTTTTAAGTTGACAAAAATGAAGTTTCCTATGAGCTAACTAGCTGTTGACATGAAAGAAATTATAATATAAATCACTTTGGTCTTACCTTTGAAAGGTATTTTTCGACCGAATTATTTGTTACATATAATAAAGCAATTAAATTATTCGTAATTAATATCACTCTTTTCACACATCCTGATGTCAATTGAAATGATCATATTGGAAGTTGAGTTAGTATGATGAACATGTCAACCACTAGGATGCTTGATAGTAACGTGTATTTTTCACATTAGTAGTGCCTGGTCGGTAATATATATACATCTATTGTATCTGTGCCGTCCCTCCTTGGTCATATGAATGTATATTCCATATTATTTACTCTGAGGGTTATGTTATTAAACTTCAAAGAGAAATTATATAAAAGAGTGATATAAAAGAGTCTGTTTAACTTTAAAACAATTCATTTAGCTTTGATTTACAAAGTGATACACTTTATCGTGGTTAAGAAACTGCACTGTCTATCAAAAATCAGTTCTTGAGCATGTGTTTACCTAGAAACTATTTTTAGGGAGATAAATTACTTGATTTCCCGTAGATCCAAACATTTGATGTGTAATTTGGGTTATACGATTTATAAAAGCTTCTCAGGACATAATGAGCAACCAACCTGCTGCAACTTAATCTTCCCGGAACTGAATAACATGAAAACCAATACGCTAAGGGGGCGATAAAGCAGATCTCATAAGTGAAATGCTATGAGATGATAACTTAGTGTCATGGATTTATCTCCCTGTAAGAGTTTGCAGTACCAGAAGATTCCAAAAGTTTTGCTTTAAACAATTCCTGTTAAAATGGGTGGAAACCATCATAAACGTACCATTAAGTTAGAACAAGACCTCATCATGTTCTTTCAATTATTCACTGTGGTTAAAATAAGTTTTATACATTACCGACTTTGAGCTTATGAAGAATATGTGAGTCGCATCATCAAAGTTCGAGTTACCACCATTATAATCTAGTTTAAAATTTAGCTAAAGTAAAGGGAAACACAGAGACTGGTTGAAGATTAAGGATGCTGAACCAAACATCAACAAGTTAGTAAGGTAAAATGAGTTTAGTTCGTTAAATTGGAGAAGAGTTAATTGGGTTTTAGAAGATACTACGTCATCAGCGTATTTATGCCACGGAATGTGAGACAACTACTGAAACTTATTGAATGTGGGTTGTGAAGGGAAGAAAGTGATAGAATTCTCTTTTTGCAAGACATATAGCGATACTTGATACCTATTTAACAGGACAGAAATACTTTACACTTGAACGGGCGATGAACATTTGCAACCGAGGCACAAGCTGGCTGTTTTTTTGAAAAAATTCGTTTATTGTATTCCTCCACTAGCATTGATACAACACAAATAATTTGCCCATCACCATGAATTGCAAGGCAAAGATTCGAGTTTTACAAGGTAACACTAAACTAATTCAATATATTCAATGGGTTAAGGTGATAGACTGGTTAAGCCATACCATAAGCTTCAAACTGACCTGCACTTGAGCATATGGTTTTATGGTTCACGTCACTGGGATTACGGAACTAATTTCAAAGTAATGACATCTTCCCAGCCATAACCACATAACTCCACACCACATTATAGCACTAATAAAGTTATTACTGATTTCGATGACCATTAACTCGCAAGCAAAACTCAATTACACTACCGATTAGACGCTGAAATTTATCGAACTGAAACAAAGGACTGAGCTATTAATACTTCATTCTTATCATTCTATGACTGGAGATTTGTTTCTTCATGATCTGCGGTTGTGTATCACCAATGGTCTACTTTGAGTGCTAAGCAATAAAGTACTTTTATTGCCATTGCAATAAGGCAAATAGAAAGTGGGGCCGTGGGAGAAGAGAAAGTTACGGACCAAACCAAACTGAAATTTATCACCTACAGTTTTAGTGTTTGTGCAGCCAGTCTACATAAATACTGGAGCGTGCATGCATCAGATGATCTCCCCGTAGAATGATACTCACAGCCGTTTGATATGGTGTGTGTGAAGCCAATTCTGGATCTGGAACTACCAAACAGAGATTATTGTGATCATTAAATGAATAATATAATAAATATAAATATAAATATAATATAATATAATATAATATAATATAATATAATAAATAAATAAATAAATAAATAAATAAATAAATAAATAAATAAATAAGAGTGCTGTATACTTCTTGCAGCATACAAAGGGATATTCTACCTTGAAACTCTAAACTAACACTCAAGAAATCCTTACAACTTTGCCTTTGGAGCCAACAAACCCTTTGACAAAGTATCCTTCATTTCAAGGGCAGCTTCCGTCAAGTACCACTTCAAGTGGTCACTGTTCAAACCATTGCCTCTCTTTGAACTGATATGGACATGGATCCACTCGTTGTTGATCAAATAAGCCAAACCGAAACCTTGGTCAATGACTTGTGAGAAGCCCCAACTTTGGAAATACTCAGAAGGTACTTGAGATGTGGAAAGGAACCAAGTGGAGGAGTAGGCATACACTGGGTCAGTGAAAATTTCTGGAATTTCTTCACCAGGAGCAATCATTTGCTTTAATCCAAACAAGTGACGGTCAACACCACGTCCGTTGGAAGCTTCAACCAAGTAACCAACGTGTTGTTTAGCAGCAGCAACAAATGTAGCTACCTTATCTTCAATGGAACTTGAAGGATTACTCCAGGTCTTAACGAACGCAGTCAGTTCAATTGAGACAGAACGTCCCGTTTCAGTTCTTCCCTTAAGGAACTTACGAGTAGCTGCAGATTCGTAAGTTGGTCTAACTTTTCCAGTAAGCTTGTAGTAAGCCAACTGCATCATCAATTGAACATAAGCATCTGGAGAAACCTTGAACTGTTTGATCAAGTTCTTACCATAACCGTAAAATTGGAAGATTTCTTCGTGGTGAGAAGCAATAGTTTGATCAAATTTGGCGACAGCCAGAGCAATGTTTCCTCTTGAAACTGGGTCTAAATCAAATTGTAAGTTTTTAGGTGATAATTCGGATGGTAATTGTTCCAACTTCAACAGGTCAACAAAAGCAACAGGGTCTTCCTTTTGAAGCAGAGCAATCAAATAGTTGTTTAATTGGACGGTTGGGGTAGCATCCATTCTGGAGTGTTCACCCAAGAAACCAGAGTTACCATTAGCAGAAACAAAGAATTCCAAAGGCTTGTCAAAGAACCGGTTTTTACCGTTTCCGTGCCAGCAGTTCTTTGACTTTTCTTCGATGGTAATTGGGTAGTTATCATCCAAACAAATGACAAAGGAGGAAGCAAAGATAGATTCAAGGGAGGCTGCATTAATAGGAGATTTAAGCAAATTTTCATATGCAGCCAAATATTCGTCTCTGTTCAAAGATGTCAAAGCACCGACAGGTTCACTTTCAGGCAAATTGGAGTTCTTAATCAATTGAAATTGATTGTAAAGTTGGACCTTGGTCAAAAGTTGACCAGTAGCAGGGTCATGGTGTGCAACCTTATAAAAATTGTTCTTGTAGATGACAAGGAAATAACGATGTTCTTCACCTGGGTACACCTTGGTTATATCAGCACCTGGGGCAGGCACTCTTGAGTTGTTGAACATGTAATGGAACGCATTCATACAGTATGGGTTACCCTTTAAGATTTCTGGTTCCAAAGTTTCTTGCTGAACCTCAACCATGAATTGAAGAGTGTAATGAGCAAGTAAAGTTGCCTTATACAATTGATCCTTACCAATGACATTATTGATGTCTTTATGGGAGAAAAAGTACGAAACATAAGGAACCACAGGATCACGGTAACTCATGTATGCCCAATCATCCCACCAAGCGGCCAACCAGTTTTCTTGACCACTAGCATGTTGCTCCAAACGCAGTTGCAAAGTTGAACCAACGCCACCAGGACGAACAAACTCTTCAACCTTTGCTTTTGTAGCGGCCAATTGATCTGGCGACAAAAATGGAGTAACAGATCTCAAATACTTAGCGGCAGTTTCTTCCAAAGAAGGAACTGGCAACTTTGGTAATTGATTCTGGTACTTAAAAAGATCACCCTTGGTAGCTGAAGTGGAAAATTGTTTAACTGAATTACCCATGATGTTTCTAGTGCTTGATAACCGCAACTTACTCAACATGATACTATTCGTTTCCTTATAAATAATTTTTTTTGATATCCGTTACGCCGAAAACAATCAGGATATTTTTCTTTCTTTTCAGGTAACGAATTTGCTCCTTAAATATCATTTTCCGTTAACATGTGTGGTTATATTGGTTTTGGACGATCCGCTGGGCCACCCCACAAATCGGCACTTTGTGTCACTGCCCGGAGGGGGGCACTCTAACACTAATAGTCAACCAAAACCTAACCTTCCACTGTGCCGCTGTTCAGGGTAGCATCTGCAAGTGAAAAGTGAGCGGGGCAATATCGTAGTCTGTTCTGTTAGCAATAGTATAAATAAGGGAAAGTTTTCGTTCAGATTAATTAAACGTTTCGAAGTCTAAGTGAGAAATTGTGCTTGGAAATACGAACCTTGGGTTTGGCTACTATTGGACCGAGGAAAGTATGTGTTATGTTTTCACCATACAAGGGAGGCAGATCACGTGACGAGCTCGTAATGACGTTGATCACAGAATGTACACATACATTACTTTGACACAGTTGAAAAGTTTCCCCCGGAGTTTCGGACTAGACGTGCATATGTTACTAGGAAGGTGGGGGATGTGGGGCGGGTAACCCCATAATAGAATGGACTAGTGGGAGCATTGATGTACACAGTTGCCTCGGGTAACAGGAAATTGAAAAAGTTAGCGGTAGCGCGGAAACTACAACGATATCTATTGCATATTAAATGACCTGTCATTACATTTTAACTAGAATAAGCTAGAATTACGAGGAGTCACTAATATTGCTTTTTTTTCTTTCAGATGTATCCAATGTGGATGTATGGCAATATTGAATGGCTGCAAAGCTATCAAGTCCTCGGGTACAATTATATACAGGTCCATACTATTGCATGTATGTTCTGACTAACTAGACCCATTATGTGAGTTAGTATACTGCTGCAAACATGCCCATCAATCTGCCACGTTTTCATGGATAGCATATACATATCTAATCGTAATATATAGACGCGTGTCGGCGATCGGCTCTATAAGTTGAGCAATGACATGCCGGAATTTCCGTTTGTAGAAATTTGTACCGATGAGTGAAAAATATGTACTGGCACAGAACAGCTTATTGATCTGAAACTAGTCAACACTACCTTTTCACTATTGACTAACAAAGGGCGTGTCGGCAGTCAGTGTCTCTCTGCCAGTGCCCCCTAAGTACACTTGATAATTGTATCTTTGGTCAAATATGGACCACGATATTGCTACTACAGCTGTTGGTATCGTGTTCTTAGTGACTTACATCATCATACTCTCAGTAGCGTATTCTGGATTTTACTGCATTTTAAGATCATATGCTGTTCCTAAAAAATTGACTGCTAAGGGATTCTTATCGACGTCCATTTCACTGGCATCATTGGCTTCAACAGATGATAATGATGATGACGAACGGAGTGATGTACAATCAATCGGAGTGACCATAATACGTCCCATCAAAGGAATAGACCCAGAAATGTACACCTGTCTCAAGTCATCTTTCGAACAACAATATCCTAGTGACAGAATTCAGATTCTACTTTGCGTGGATGATGCTCAAGACCCACTGATCCCCTTGCTACATCAAATATGCAGTGAATATCCTGACATCGACCTGGAAGTTTTAGTGGGACACGATTATTATGGACCTAATCCCAAAGTTAATAACTTGTACAAAGGAGTAGAGCGAGCCAAATTCGATTTACTATGGATCATGGATTCTAACGTCTGGGCCAATCGTACGGTGTTGCGGAACAGTGTTTTAACATACCAATATCAATTGAATAACGGGAAAAGAGTTAATGATTCCAGAAAGGTTAAACTAGTTCATCACGTTCCTACGGCACTAAGCATTTCATCGATCAGTGAACCTTCAAATTCCACCAAGCATTTAGGAGCTGAATTGGATGAGATGTTTCTTCTTACTTCGCACTCCAAGTTCTATATTCTGTTGAATAACTTGTCTATTGCACCATGTGTGAATGGGAAACTGAATCTTTATTCCAAGGCAGATATCACGACAGCCGTACTGGGAATACACCATCAACTGATGCCCACTAAATTCTTTAGTCATCAAGAAGTCATTGATGATGCAGGCCACTCCAAACACATTGATTTCTTTGCCAGATACATTGGTGAAGACAACATGATCGGTATAGGCTTGTGGGAACAATTGCATGGAAGAACATCTGGCTTGACTGGGGATATAGTGGTGCAACCATTGGGTGGGAGCGATAACCTGGTGAAAGATTATATCAAAAGAAGAGTGCGGTGGCTCAGAGTCCGGAAATACATGGTTCTTATGGCTACATTGGTTGAACCTTTAACCGAGTCATTAGTATGTGGAATCTATGGTACTGTCGGCGTGAGTGTCCTTTTTTGGAGTCAATGGTTTAAATGGCAATGGTTCGTCGCGCACGTGACCATTTGGGTGATTACAGACTATATCCAATATCAAACCTTAATTGGTATAATTTGCCAATATAGGAATGTCCCAACTTGGTTACGTAAAGAACAACTTTTATGTCTCAAACGTCCTTTCCTACAATGGTTATTCATTTGGATGACGAGGGAAGTATTGGCATTGCCTATTTGGGTAATTGCTATGATAGGACATGAGATAGATTGGAGAGGTAGGCCGTTCCGCATTAAGAAGGACTTAACTGCCGAAGAATTGTAGCCATATATATAATATAATATAGTAGAATAGAGTAGAATAGAATAGAATAGAATAGAGTAGTAATATACCAAGTTGAACCTTTGACAGAACTTTGACACACCTGGTTCTATATACAGGACACGAGGAAAGGATCAGATATGATTAAAGTCTTCAATAGTAACGTTATAATAATTAATGGATATATGTTAAAATATTTCAGACATCTAATGGGTGGTTCCGTACATGACCGACTTTATCAATAGGTAAAAACAGACAAAAAGTTTTGCTTTTCAGGCGAAATGATACAACTGAGAATCCACCGTTTCATATATTGAGGAATCTGTGGACCTATAGGGATATTTCCTTACTACGGGTTGCCCTAGAACGACCTGGTGTGCCCCCTTGCAGTCTATAAAGAAAGGACAAACGAAACGAGATCACAATAGCTTGAGATGTGGGGGAAAAGGAGCAACCGCAAGAGCGGGTAAATTTATGTATTAATGAACACGACACAGAGAATCCTTAGTGCCTAACTGATTATAACCGGGAAGTATCAGCAGCATCTTGTGAAACACCCCACTGTCAAGTAGAGCCAAACGTTGTGTGCTTGGGTGTGTGTCGTGAAACTTTGCGGTGAGGGGAATGTAGGCTTTTGACATTGAATGTAGCGGACTTTCAGGTCTTGAGGAAAGACAAAGATGTTTTAGATTTACTATTACGACATTTGGAGTTTCAAATTTATAGACTCAGACATTTTTAAAGATGTACCTATTACAACTGATATTAATATACGTCTATGACCATTGCTCTTACTTGCTGCCCCTTTTTGTCTGCGTCGAGTAGACAGGAGCACCACCTATTTTTAGCTCTCGCTTAGCCACACTGAAGATATTCGTGGTGTTCTGGTTATATACGACGACATTAGTGGTCGGAAGTGAATAGTATGTTTATATCGCATATATGTAATGTACATGTAATTTATATGTAATGTATATATAGTTTTCATATAATATAAATGTGCTGTATATGTATTGTATGTGTATTGTGTTGTACATGCGCATCACGGTGTCGTAAATCAAAAATAAACCAGAATCAGACAAAAAATAAGACAGAGAGAAAGAGTGCGGTTCCCAATTCCGTACGCGATATCCAGTGAAACACTATCAACATCCATAGTAGCAAAACCTACTTGTAAGAAATTACAGTTGTGTCTCACGTTTTCTCGTTGATTATCAGTTAGTTAGTTGTCTTCGACATCAAGTCCAAGACAAAAAGTAAACTTGTGTTTGTGTGTGTGTGTGTGTGTGTGTGTGTGTCTGACTGGTGGAGCGTGTCGCCTCGAATCACACTCAGTCATCCGTCATTGTTCAATACCAAAGAAGGTCAACCAGACGAAGATCAGACGTTAAGCATAAGAAGACGTTAAGCATAAGCAGACGTTAAGCATAAGCAGACGTTAAGCATAAGCAGACGTTAAGCATAAGCAGACGTTAAGCATAAGCAGAAGTTAAGTAAGAGCAGAGAATCATCAACAACTTCAATTGTTCATACCCATCCCAATGAGAGCTCTTTCGCCTCCACCAATGGGTTTAGGCCCAAGTCCAGGAGTGTCGCTCCAAGTCAGTCCAGCACAACCAGGGTTCGTTCAGGAACTACTGGCGTGCAAGAAATGTGCTCTCCCCATCTACGAGGGCCACGCGTACGAACTAGGCGACGACCGGTGGCATATCAACTGTTTCACGTGTTCCAAATGTGGAATCTCCCTTGGCTGTAACTCCAATTTTCTCGTGTTGGGGAACGGCAATCTTATCTGTTCCAACTGCTCGTACAACTGTAAGCAGTGCGGCAAGAAGATCGACGACTTGGCCATTTTGACGGGCGACCAAGCGTATTGCTCCAACTGTTTCAAATGTCGTCTGTGTAAGAAACAGATTGAAGATCTACGGTACGCTCGAACGTCCAAGGGTCTTTTCTGTATGACCTGTCACGAGAAACTTGTGGCGAAGAAAAAGAAGTATGATGCCAGGAAGAAGGCAGCTTCTAGGTATAAAGAGGATCAGACAATTAATGGTGGCACTGGCACTGGCACTGGCACTGGCATCGCCTCCGCTGCTGCCACTCCACGCGATACCTTTGCCAGTGACACCACGTCCATCTTAAGCGAAACTCTGCTAACCAATCAGGATTCTCCCAGTATCAACGCCACAGAGACAAACCGGTCGAGTTTCCAGCTTCAGAATGCTTCCAATACTTCACTCAGATCAAAAGTGAACAAGTCTCTTCCTCCTTGTCCCGATACTTCCTTACCCAATACGCCAGATGCTCACCATTCCGCCAGAAATACTGCTCCTGCTGCCAGCACTGCCGGAACCCCTCCTTCTGGCCATAAACTCATGTCGACTCCTTCGTCAACAGCTTCCAGGGGGCCAAACAAGCACCGTTCAGTGGCATCAGGTATGTCAGGCCCAAGCATCGACGACCTCCACGAGGCTCCTTCCAAAAGCGTCTACGAGTCCATTGAAGAGGTCAATGATTCAGATGAAGAATTGAACAAGAGGAAAGGCAGAGCACCGGCAGCAGAGTTACCTCTTAGTTCTAACACAAACCAGTCAGGTTCACTGATCTTCTTGGACATAATCAACACCGACACTTTCCCAGAGGACAATAATAATAATAATAGCCACGGCACTAACGAATCCACTCCCATGTTACAGCCTCCGTTGTCGTTTTCACCAGATGGAGAGACACCGCCTTCTATGAATAAAACCATGTCTGCATCTTCAGGAAGCACGACTGACTCACAAGGTACCACCACAAGTGGCAACAACCACAATAATCATGAAGAGCATCATTCAAATATGTCTGCAGCGTCTTCACTACCAACTGCAAACCGTGTGCAGAATGACGTGACTGCCACAAATGTTAATGGCAAGAATATACTAATTCTTTCACCACACACAATACAAGAACCAAGAGTCAGTAGTCACAGCAGTCAGAGTCAGCAGCAGCAGCCCCATCCTCACGGTTCGGATTCCACTTTGGCTGATCCTAATGGAACCCCAGTGACGTCAACGTCAATTTCAACCAACGACACCGATTCGTTTAAAAACCCTCCATCGTCCAATTCCTCCTCAAAGCTCACACCCAAACCTGATTCAGCCAGTAGCAAGTTGGATGTTGACTATGCCAATTCTCGATCACGGTCGAATTGTTCTTCTCCATTGGCGAAAGCTAACAGACAAGCTCGAGTGGTTGAGCCAGACTATATTAATGACGAGATCGAAGGTGATACAAGCACATTGAACGATGCACTCTCCACTCCAGTTCTTTCAAACGAGCAGCACGAGCAACAGCTGGATCACAGTGATCCAATGACCCCAAGCAAACCGAAGAAGACTGCCCCTTTCACTGATGGTACCTCGCATTGCGTCGACACTAATAGAAGCAGCAGCAATAGTGCACGTGGATTGGGACTAGAGGGGGTTGGAGATCTTGCAGACTATCAAGAATGCATTGACTATTTAAAGCAGCAACAGGATCTCAGACTGAGAGAGGCCGAGAGTACTACAAAGACTGTTGATCCCTTTGAACAGTCTACAGATACAGCCGCTTCTGCTGAAGCTAACACTACGATCGACTCTATTGGCAGCACGACTTCCCCTAAAGCCAGTAACCGTGTCTTATCATCAGGATCTTCCGAGGACCAACAACAAGGTAGTTTTGGAAGAAGAAACACGCTTTTGAAGTCTGCTAAGCTTGGTCTCAGACATAAACGTTCGTTATCTGGTGGTAACAGCACCAACAACAACAATAAAGAGCCATCATCCACAGGTAAATTGGCTTCATTTTTCAAGTCTAATAGGATTAACGAAGACTACAGTCATACTACTAATGCTGGCTCTGCTTCATCTCCACCTTCATTCCATAGAAGACAAACTTCCGAGTCATCAGTACATAGTGGAACTGCGTTTGCTACACCACCGTTACCATCACCACTGTCACATTTCAAGGATCACTACCGGTCCAGTTCCGACAATTCGCAGTTCTTGACCAGCCTAGAGAAGATCTCCGACCCGGAGAAGCAACAAGTGGCCGAAGAAGTAAGAAAACTCCGGTTGGAGAGGTTAAGATTGAATGATCAGTTGAAGGAAATCAGAGGCAGAATTAATCAAGAGTCCAGCAAGTTGGAGAATCTTGCTAAAGACGTGGAATCACTAGAGAAGAAGAAACGGTCGCTTTTGGATTCAAATATTGTTTTAACCAAACAGAACCAACAATTGGAACAAGTTTTGAAGTTGGAGAAGCAAATATCAAAGGACCATCACGGAGCCCCCCAAGCACCACCACTACATTCATCATCGTTTGAAACCAATGGCAGTATCGGTTCCCAGACAGTCACCATACTTGACGAGAACGAGCCTTTAGAGACCAGCAAGGCTACCAGGTTGAAGTTCTGGAGAAGACCAAAAGTAAATCTCACGGGTGGTGGTGGTGGTACCAGTAATAGCTTTGGCAGCAATGGATATGGGAACAATAATATGAATGGTGGTGGTGGTGGTGGAAGTCATAACAATGGTAATGGTTATGGTAACGGCTACCCCAATAACTCCAGCAATAACACCTTCAATTATAGTAACAACAATTTAAGTGGATCCACCGCCATGCCATCATCTGAAATGTTGCCTTTACCTGGTGATAACGAGAAGAAGGGAAGTCTTGGGACATTTATTACCAAATCCCGGTCGACCAATATCTTGGACTCCTTTTTAAGTGGAGGTAATAATCATAACTCCCATCCTGAAGACTCCAGCAACGACCAGGCTCCACTTTTCAGTACGACATTACAGAAACGGGCGACATATGAAGGAACAGAAGTGCCATTAATTATCACCAAATGCTTAGCAGAAGTAGAAATGCGTGGCTTGGACACCGAAGGGATCTACCGGATATCCGGAGGGAACTCTGCCATAGTGGCCATAGAAAATGCGTTCTCAAGCTTACACCCTGAAGATCAACTGTCGTTAGATAAACTTGAAGAATGTCTTAGTGGAGACATAAATGCTGTGACCTCGGCTTTAAAACGGTACTTGAGGAAATTACCCGACCCCATCATCCCCTATGCACTTTATGACGACTTTATTAGCATCAGCACCGACATTCCTCCTAATAAGAAGGATAGACGGATCGGAGAGATGAGAATAAGAGTCATTGACAGGCTACCTCCCGCTAACAGACAAACGGTCTTTTTATTATGTCAGCATTTGACGCTCATTGATTCCTATTCCCAAATTAACCGAATGGGGTTCAAGAACCTTTCCGTGGTGTTTGCTCCGACTTTGGCCGGTGATATCAATGGAGAAAAGGAAATGCTTAACATGGGACACCGGAACGAAATGACAGAGTTTTTGATCTCAAACTATATTCAAATCTTTGAAGACTAACATTAGTATGGGCGTTAATAATACTATGGTAATGTCGTTACTGTTACAGTAAGTGAGGTCGCAAAAATGTCGTGTCTTATTATACTATATACATTCTGATTCAAGAACTAACTACATCACCAAAGTCAAAGCTACCGTTGTAAGTAAATGTCGTTATTATAAACATCGTATCACAGCGACATTTAATGTACATCTTTGATCTGAGGATTCAGGTACATTTCAAATCGTCTTTGTCCGACCCGAAGTAAGTGTTCCACTACATTAAACGACTTTTTAGGTATCTTTTGGTTCTTCTTAAACTCTTCACGTATAAAAGCTCTCCAATGCATCTGGAACTCCTCGGGTTTGGTCTTCACCATTCGGAAACACTTTCGATAGAGGCCCATCACCTCCCGTTGTAATCCGGATAATCTAGCCATAATGAGTGTTGGATAAAGACTAACCGTTGTAAGTTTAATTGCTGAATTTGGTTTTATTCGCGAAAGTGTCTTATGATTACGTAAGAATACGACAATTACACAAAAAGCCACACATATAAAGTCGTGGTAACACTTTGTTTATTTGATACACTAATTATACTTGAGGAGCGTATTAATTATTTTATTATTACTACCAGTGGTAGTACTATAAAGCGTGTATGTACTTAAGGATGAGTTGCAATACATTCAGTATAATCATAATCATCACAAACGTCTGCAAAATATCTTCCCGTAGCATCAGATAATGCTACCGTGACTATCTGCCGCTCAATTCCTTATTGCAAACCAGAGCCAAGTCTCTAACTCATCTTGAGACAAGTTGTCTGTTTGTCTGTCTGTTTGTCTGTATGTTCAGGCGTAGATCACTGTACACCATTTACTTCAAGTTAGTGAAGTCAGTCTCTCCTTCTCTGCACTCACCGTGAGATCCACAAGTGCAAGCATCTCTTTCTCTCTTACCACAGACACAAGCTGAACTGGAAGAGGGCTTAACATTTTCAGTTGATGCCTTGTCACAAATACATTCCAAAGCAGGTCTCTTTCCACAAGAACAAGTAGCCTTCTTGGCACAAACACAATTAGCGTGGGAGCAGGTCATTATATATGAATTATTATTAATGTTATTAGCAAAAGATTTTGATAATGAGAACCATATGATAATCTTTTGTCGTTTGATATGGAATCATACCTTTATTTATAGTGGGTGGATGATCATCTGACTTTGGAAACATCTTTGTGTAACGTGATAATGGTAGTGCCGCTTGCTCGGAAACAGCCAATGAAATCGCGCTGGTTTGTCAGCGCCTGGGTCGCTAATCAGAGTCCGGGGTATACTGATGACCTAATCAGTCCAAACTTCATCTAAGTAGATATTAGTCATCACGAAGGCTTTTCAACCTTGTTTTCAAGAAGGATCCTAACTCACTCGTATCGGTAGAATCTGATTGAGATTCGTTGGCTTGGGCCGATGCTTGTGACATGTTCTGAAGGATTTCATCAAACATTGAACCAGATGGTTGATCATTATCAGAATCATGATCCGACTTATTATGTGTATGGTGAGTGCTGTTCTCAGAATGCATTACGGAATGGAACAAAGTAGACGAGCCTCCACTTGTTTCTAGAAAGACATTGTCTTTCTCGTTGGGTCCAGACTTTTGTTGTTTGAATTCAATGGTATTCAATTCTGGTGGTTCCATATCTCCAGATAAATCAGACTCCTCTGCTAAGACACTACCAGCACCAGCCGTACCAGCACCAACAGGTGGCAAACGAGAACTCAGTAGTCGTGGGGGAGCAATACGAGCATCCTCCTCGTCATCATCCTGCTGCTGATGTGCCTGTGCCTTATCTTGTCTCCATCTTTGAAGCGGTGTCAGAATAACTTGAGCTGTGGTCGCAGTCCTTAGTCTATTGGATGATGATGTTGATGATGTTGCTCCCCCAAATATGCGTGATCCACGGGTTGGAGACACCACCCTCCGACCCTCAGAAGACCTATTTAGTTGAGGAGTAATGCCTGACTCTAGAACAGGAGGTTCTGGCATTGTAGGAGAAGAATTTCTCCAAGCTTCGAGTTTGGTAGAAAACCTATGGCTCGATTTAGGAGTGGTTGTAGTCTGTTTCTGAGGAGATATCGATACTTTATGATAGCTGTCAAGTGATCTTCGTATTGTCTGAGTCTTCACTGGAGGATGAGTCTTTCTTACCTGATGTGTAGATTGAAGATGAGGTGGTTCCAACAGTAAACTGCTATTATCGTTGATATTGTTGTTGTTAACATTATTATTAAGCTTTTCTCCACCCCATTGAGGAGTTGACTGGTCTATGGCACCACGATTGTTATTGGGTCTTTTTAAATTTGTCGTTGTACTTTCAAAAGTTGCAATTGAATCATCTTCAGCAACAATTGGTCTCTGTATTTGTCTTGGTCTTTTCCTATGTAATTTATCAGCTTCTACATCACCAATTGGTGTATTATAAGTTGCACCAGCACCATCAACACTCTCAGATTTCCCAACGCCAGCTTTATCGTCTATTTGGGATTCGTAACTCTCTATTTTGATCAGAGCAGATTGCTCAAAAAAGTACTTCCAAAATGAAGAGTTGTTCTTGATCTCATCACAGGTTTGAGAGTACTTCTTCAATACGGGAAAGATCTTATGGTTTATGACGTTATTGGCTTGGCTTAGAGATCTGTCGATTTCTTGTAGAACCAAAGTCTTTTCTTGATCCAATCGTTCTAGTTCTTCTTTGGCTCTTTCTATGGCATGGTTGTAATCTGGATCTATAGTGGTTTTCCTTCTATGAGTTGAAGGAGCTATAGAGTATCGTTTCATGGAATACGGTAGTGATACAGTAGCGATATAGTAGTGTATAACAGCAGTGTAATAGCAGTATAACAGCAGTGTAACAGCAGTATAAAAGCAGTGTAACAGCAGTATAAAAGCAGTGTAACGGCAGTACAACAGCAGTAGTAGTACTATGTTTACGTTTACACGCGTTCATTGTACGGTCCACACACGACTCTGATGATCAAACATTGAAGGCAAAACATTTTCCACACCGACAATCATCAACCTGTCACGATCCCATAAACGTCAGCAGTATGGGGAACATAATGTCGGTTTCTTTCGCACCCGAGTGTACGCCTGCCAAACAAAAGTACGATGAGTGTTTCAACAAATGGTACTCTGAAAAGTTTCTTCAGAGTAAGTCATTACATAACGAATGCACTGACTTATGGGAAGATTACATCACTTGTGTGAATGCAGCATTGGCCAAACATGAAATTAAGCCTATGCTTGATAAGGCCAGAGAAGACCAACCGTTCACGACAGAGCAGATAAAAGAGGACTCTAAAAAATAGATGAGTATATACCTTGTACATAGGAATAGATATGATGGGACGGGACACAGCAGTAGGACAGCAGTGCTGTACTGTAGACTGTATTAGTGTAGTGTAGTGTAGATAGGAGTGTAGTGATTGAACAGACCCAACCATAGGCAGAGTAGACAGACTCACACACGAGCTCATAGTCACACCGAAACAGACACATCGCAACAGACAGCAATAACACACAGTACAGAGTAACAGACACAAAGTATACAGACAGTAACAGCCACACGGTATACAGACACAGTACGTTCTTACATCTGTCATGGTAGTCTGTTACATCTGTTATGGTAGTCTCATTATGGAAGTCTCAAAGTAGATGACACAAAATTCCACGCACCAATTTAACATCACCACCATCAGACATCACCACCATCAGACATCATCACGTTCAGACACCCTCAGACCCCTTCAGACAGACAATATGTTGGTGGAAGAGATTCCCAAGACATCAAATGCCAATTCAAACACCATCTACTTTTCATCCCTGATCAATCTTCTGGCCAGACCTACAAGTCTCCGACATTCTAATTTGAATTCAACAGATGATGGCGATGGAACATCCAGAGGATCTAAAAATAGACCCAAAGTCAATTATAATCTAACAGATCTTGCCAACAAGTCCATTGGGAACGACTCCGGATCTGGCCTGAAGTCTCAACAGCTACTGCAATTGGAGAAGTTGATTACTAAACGACTCACCGAGCTACACAAGGAAAGCAGTGTACCCTTTGAGATTCCCAAGAACTTAAGTTTCCATGGAGGAGGAAAGGCAAAGGCAAGACCAGGGAATACTCCCACCACCAAAAGAATCATTTCGGCTAGAAGGAACTTGAATCTGTATTTTGAAGAGGAGAAGGATTATTTGGCCCTTAATGCCATCTTAACTCGAGCTTATCAATTTGCTGATCCCAACGATGGGGCCACCAGCCAAAAAGTCAAGAAGCAAAAGTCCATGATTTCCACCAAAAGAGCCTTCAAACCAAAGCTAAAATTGTGTTGTATTTGTGGGAACAAATCAGACTATACCAGATGTTTCAAGTGTGGTCTATTCTCTTGTTCCGTAAGATGTAACAAGGTACATGTCCAACTGAGATGTAACTAAGCAGACAAATAATCATAAAACAGCCATAGGGTTAGCAGAATTTGAGATATACCTTTAGATAAGGGTTAGCAGAATTTTTCCAAGCACCTAACTTTTGATAAGCATAGCAGAGCTAAATGACAGTCAGACAACAAATAGTGAAACAAAAGTTACTTCTTTTTGAATATAAAATATTCTCATAATCTGCTGTTAGTTTATTTCATCTTTTTTGCTATGCTTCTTTGCCTGGTATGTCTGTCTGTTGTTCCATGAAGGTTGTATCTTGTTTAAGCATAGTTTTGCTATGTTTAAGGTCAGTCACTGGTGCCAAAGTAACTCCTCCACCAGATGTGGAGCAACTCATTGAATTCGCTGACTTTGCTTCAATTGCATATTGTGTGAATAAGAACCTCGATACGGGACCTTTGAAGACTTCATGTTCTAAACCATTTTGTAAAGCTCATGAGAAGGTTGAGATAGTTAAGATGTTTGACTTTAATGAATCGAGACATTTGGGTCAAGGATTCTATGCGCTTGATCATGAAAAGAAAAGAGTCATCTTAACTTTTAGAGGCACTTCGAGTTATATCGACTGGCTTCAAGATTTTGATATCGTTCAAGTACCTTATCAAACAATCACACCCACTGCAAAGGAGAACAAGTGCAAAGATTGTAAGGTTCATCGGGGATTCCATAAATTTGTGACAAGCAATTGTGATTCCATTGTTAAGGATGTGAAGCAATTACTGGTACTGAACCCCAATTATGATTTGGTGATTATTGGACATTCATTAGGTGGAGCTTTGGCTCATTTAACAGGCTTGGAATTTCAAGTTATGGGTTATCATCCTTTAGTGGTTACTTTTGGAGAACCAATGGTTGGTAATTGGCAGTTTGCTGAGTTTAGTAACTCCCAGTTTCAAATGGTTAATGTTGCGGATACTATTTCAAGTAATTCGGCTTTAACTGGAGGCCATATTAGGGTAGTACATATTAATGATCCTGTTCCTCATCAACCACTGTTACCGTCTTATTCTTACTGTGGATACGAATATTTTATCAATAAAGATTCATTTCCTCATGGGGCTAGGAACATCGAACGGAAGGGTATAAAAACTGGGTCCAGCTTATTTTCTTCCACTTCAACCTGGAACCCAAGTAAGTTAATTCCTGAAAATCCCATCAGTGCTGCTCATCGTAACTATTTTAGAAGAATCACTGGATGTCTGGATGAATATAGTCAATGAATATCTATTTACATATCGTTAACATTTGATCTATGGTGGGGACTTTCTCTCTTGGCTTACCTTTTGCTTGACCTTTTTCCTTTTCATATCGATCTAATTTCTTCCAATCATCCCAGGTGACTTTATTGGGTAATGTTTCCGTAATATCAAATTGTTTAGGGTCAGCATTTGTATGAATATTGTTTGCCATATCTTCTAATATTTGTTGAGCAGTATCAAATGAATCCATCATTGTAACAGCAATAGTTCCTTGAGGTCCATTTTTAATCCATCCAGATGTATACCATCCATTTTTATGTTTCAAACCTTCAATATCATCATTTTGAGTACTTAATACTCGACCGCCTTTATTTAATATATGATTGTTCTTGAATGAAATGCCCATTGAATCAAACTCTTTGAGAGAAAGTCCCTTGTATCCAATTGAAAGAATAACTAATTCATTTTTGATTGACATAAACTTCTCAGTAGGAGAAACAGTTGTAGTTTTCAACAATTCATCATGATGTAATTCATTGATAACAAATTTGGTTTCTGAAAGCAAATCTGGGTTGTCATTATTCTTAATGAACTCCACAGGACTTTTCAAATACCTTAAACTCCAAGTCTTGAAACCGTCTGGAAGCTCCCAACTGTTGTATTTCTTGATGTAATCTTCAAAAAGTTTTACTCTTCTCTTGTTGATTCTCCCAAGACTCTTTTTATCCAATTTTGAAAGCTCTTCTAATTCATCCTGTTCAGGAACAATAAACCGGATCTTTGATTCATTGGTTGACATTTCTAACAATTCTCTAAACTCCTTATTGGAAAAGGCAGACTCTAAGATACCTCTTCTAGCCACAATGTTTACTGCTTTCACTGAACTTTGTTTCAATAACTCCAAGGCATCATTGTTGATATCTGTTTTCATCCAATGGGATTGTGGATCTCCAAGTAGCACTCTGGCAACATCAAAGGCAACATTCCCATTGCCAATGATTGTAACAGACTCAATTTGATCCAATGGTGGAGGTTGGAAAAAGGCATTAGGTCCATGATAATCAGGATGTCCATTATACCAATTAACAAATTGTCTAGCAGCAATTACCCCTGGTAAATCTGATCCAGGGATCTTTAACTTGTTATCCGAGTCAGTACATCCGTAAGATAAGACAACAGAATGATAATTGTCATTCAATTGCTTTAAGGAAATGTCTTTACCAACCTCAGTGTTCCCTATAAACCTAACAATATGACCAGTACCATTGTGACGAGTATCATCGTGATGAGTGTTAATATGACTCGTCACATTGCCACTAGATCCAAAGTCAGCCATAAGGTCTTCAAGACATTCTTCACAATTCTTCACTTCCGGATGGTCTGGAGCGACTCCATACCGACTAAGCCCAAAAGGACTGGGCAATCTTTCATAAAAATCGACTTGGAAACGCAAATTATCATTTGCCTTCCGAAGTAAGTGATGAGCAGTGTAGGAGGCAGCAGGACCTGATCCAACTATGGCGACTTTATACCGTTGAGCATTGAGAGAGGAACTCAAATGTCTTCTTAACAGAGCACGGATAAATGTCACAGCTTTCATCTTGATGGGAAACGTGGATGTTGATGTTGATGTTGTATGACGTTGTTGAAAGTGAGACGCTATGCTAGTTCGCAGTTAAAAGTAGTTGGTATGGGAATTTGGTACACACAACTAGCCAGATTTATACTGATTATACTGGAAAAGAAATGGTAAAGCTGCTAGGATGTTACGAGTACCGTTAATAAGTTGAAATCACGTTTAAGGTGAACCATTAGCACGGAGAGCTTCTTGAAGCAGAAGGGACTACAATAGATAAATTATATGGGATGACAAATAGTCTTAACCCCAATATTTTGACTTAATAACCAAAATTTTCAATAATAGTGGTTAGCAACACTATTACAGTTCTTCAAACAAGTCGATTATATTTGATATAGATTAAAAGTTTTAGCTTATACAGATATATATTGGTATACGTTGAGTCACGTGATTTTGATGATGCTATGGAAAGTTAGAACGTGTTTAACTACATGCTAAAGTTGTACAAGAAGTCCGTGATAGTTTAGTGGCTAGAATTACCGCTTGTCGCGTGGTAGACCGGGGTTCAATTCCCCGTCGCGGAGCATTTCTCGTTAGCGCAAATGGTTTAGTGGTAAAATCCAACGTTGCCATCGTTGGGCCCCCGGTTCGATTCCGGGTTTGCGCATTATTTTTTTTTCAACTTTCAGGAGCTCAATGATCACAAAGTGATGATGATTTTTTCATGGTTAAAGGTTGTGATCCGAAAGGACTATCCATCAAAGGAACAGTTTCCAGTGTTACGACATTTTGAGTGTTATTTGTACTGAACACATACATATTTACAAGCGATAGCGAATCATGCCATCAGAACCAGGAACCAAGACAGATCCATCTACCTTTTTAAGTGATATCATTGGTAAACAAGTGGTGGTCAAGTTATCAAATGCAATCGAATACACAGGCGACTTACAAACCATTGACGGGTATATGAATGTTGTTTTAGAGAATGGGAAGGAATATGTGAATGGAAATAAATGCAGAGATTATGGAGATGTGTTTATTAGAGGCAATAATGGTATGTATGATGATAAGAAGTGTCTTTATACAGAATGTGTTTAATACTAACAGAATCTAGTGTTGTATATTAGTGAAGCCTAAGGATGGGTATGTATTATTATAGATAGAATAAAATGCATGTTAATGTTGGAATAGGGAAAGTGTAGTTAATAAGGTGGAGTATACTGAATAACACATTGACACTACTGTGTTAATTACAGTAGGCATAACTAACGCTGTTTAATAAGAGCTATTATGATCATTCATACTGTAATATACTGTAATGTACTGTAATGTACTGTAATGTACTGTCATATTCTGTAATGTGCTGTAATGTAGTAATGTAGTAGTGTACTGTAATATAGTGTAATGTTACTGTAATACACCGCAATATACTTTAATGTTACTGTAATACACCGCAATATACAATATACTGTACTATACTGTACTATTCTTCAATGTTACTGTAATACACCGCTATATACTGCTACATACTCTAACACACTGTAGTCTATCTGTTCACGGTTGAATTCCGGTTGAATTCCGGAGAACTTTACCGGAAAAGCCCTCGGATTGAATTCATCCAATGGAAAGCGGTTCTCCAAACTACTCGTTGGGCATGCGAGCGACCGAAAATTTTTAGAACCATAGATCAAATAACAGCGTATTAAGCACAGGTATAGAGTTGTCTATTACTATCTTATATTGTTTGAAAGCACTCAAGATGTCGTCATTTGTTATTAGAAGACAATTGTCTACTTTGATCCCTCCTAAGATTGCTTCTGTCAAGGTATGTGTGCGGTACATGAACATCACATGAAAACGATAATCGTACATTAATACGAATAATACGAATGGTTAGTGGTAATGAAGCCCTCCTATTCTCCTTATTATGGCCTATATTGTTGCCTTTGTTATTCTTTAGGGTATTCCTATAGTATTCCCTATATTATGCACTGTACTGAACTTTTGTCAATGTGTACTAACAATCTTATTTAGAACATTGGATCCAACCCCAACGCCAAAAAGATGGCTGATGTTGTTGCTTTCTACAAGCAATTACCAAGTGGACCAGCCCCAGCTGCCAAGGCATCGTCCAACCCATTCTCCAAATACAAGGCTGCGTACTTTGATGGTGACAACGCCAGTGGTAAGCCATTGGTTCATTTAGCTGTTGCTGTCATTACTTTGGGATACATTTGGGAATACAACTCTCATTTGAAGCACCACAAGGACCACTAAATCAACCAAAGGGTTCTTTAAGTAAAGTATTCATGAGTGTGTGCAACAGACCGTCCCTGTTGTTATATAATTTATTGCCATGTATAATCAATACAAGCTGTACATTGTTACTGAATGTAAGCAGTGAAGTTGTGCTATGTGGGAGCGATGTACACAACACAGTGTAGTACAGTACGCAATCTACGTATCAGCCAATCTTATAGATACTACCAGTACATACTACGACATGCTACGAAACTTCGCTTCCATTGACCACGGCTTGCCATGCCCTGTGCATCGACCTCGCTCTGTTTCGCACCTTTCCCTTTCGAGCACAAAATTATACCAAAGACTCCCTTAGCATACGACAAGTAGTTGGCCCAGTAGATACTCGATTAGATGCTCAAGTACTCAAGCAGGCACTTAAGCAAGCAGTTAGTCACGTAGTCAGTAGCTCCAGCCCGGTACGACGGCTTCGGCTTCGGCTTCATCCGGTGATTCGCTCGGTCGCAGTAAATTCTGCGAAGGGGACTCCTAAAACAGCAACGGAATTTGGTCGCCTAAAATCGGCTCCTTTGAAATTTAACGACGAAAAAAAATACACCACCAAAATCAACACCCTACCACCACCGTTTAAGTATAATACCCAACCGTGCCGGTATCATATAAATATAACTCATTGCAACCAACCATCCATCCGTCCACCCGTCGTGAGAACAACAGAGCAAGCCAGCCAACCCGCTAGTGCTATTCATATTCATTCATCGTCTTTAGTCGGTCACGCTAAGCTGCGTTAAGGTATACCAAGGTATAAAGGTGTGCCATTGCATCTTATTGTCGTAGTCCTCCACCCTTGTCCTCCGTCTAATAGCATTGTGTGTCCCATGGATACCCACTATAAATACCCAGAGGGCAAAGAAGATCAACTGATGGCTTTCCCCTCTGACGAAATCTCTCAAGACTCCACGCAATCTCAAGCTCAAGCTCAAGCTCAGATTCAATCGACTGCTGCTGGCCAGCAATTGCTCAATCCCAGTCAGCCAGCCACTCCGCGGATGCTTCGAAGCGTCAGTGGAACGTTGCGCAGTGGCTCTTCAAAGTCCGAAGGGTTGATGTCCAGTGGTGGTGGTGGTAGTAACGGTGACCCTGCTTATGTCACGTCCACCAGCCACAACCAACAACAAGCGGCCCATACCAGAGCTGCCAGTACCAATCAACACCACTACGAACAATCTCAACATCAGTCTCAACAACAGCAACAACATTCAAGAGCCTCACCTAATAGCTTCTCAAGAATGTCGCCTCCAGATATGTCGTTGAACAGTAAGAGACAAGAGTTGTTGCCTCCTGCCAACTTTGCTGGTGAACAAATGCAACAACAACACCTGCTGCATCAGCATCAACAGCATCAGCATCACCAACGTCAGTCGTCCAACTCAGGCTTCCCCCCTATGAACAGCAATAATACTAGTGCTAGTGCTAATGCCGGTACCGGTGCCGGTGGTAATGCTCCAAGATCGCAACAGCAGCACTACCACCTGCAACTGACTCAGACCCAGAACCCACCACCACAACAGCAGCATTCCCAACAACAACATGGCTACGCCTCGCAACAATTCTATAGGAAATCTGTGGGAGACTGGGACTTTGTCAAAACCATTGGTGCCGGGTCAATGGGTAAGGTAAAATTAGCTCAACATCGTACTACTAGAGAAATCTGTGCTGTCAAGATTGTACCACGTGCGGCAAAGGCATACCAACGGACTCATGCACATGATCCTCCTCCAACTTCAGCTGAGGAAGCTGCTGAAAGACAGAAGGAATTGGAAAAGGAAATTGCAAGAGATAAGCGCACGCTTAGAGAAGGAGCATTGGGGAGACTTCTTTACCACCCTTTTATTTGTCGTTTGTATGAAATGGTACCTTTGACAAACCACTACTATATGCTTTTTGAGTATGTGGCGGGAGGACAAATGCTTGATTACATTGTTTCTCATGGTTCCTTAAAGGAGAAACATGCTAGAAAGTTTGCTAGGGGCATTGTATCTGCCTTAGATTACTGTCATAAGAACAATGTTGTCCACAGAGATTTGAAAATTGAAAACATTATGATTAACCAAAAGGGTGACATCAAGATCATTGATTTTGGTCTTTCAAACTTATATTCGCCCAAGAACTTATTGAAGACTTATTGTGGGTCTTTATACTTTGCTGCACCTGAATTATTATCCGCAAAGCCTTACATCGGGCCCGAGGTAGATATATGGTCATTTGGAGTTGTTCTCTATGTATTGGTTTGTGGCCAAGTACCATTTGATGACGACTCAGTGACAGTACTACACGAGAAGATCAAGAAGGGAAACGTTCAGTACCCAGCCTTATCCAAAGAGTGTATTTCATTATTGTCTCGTATGTTGGTGGTAGACCCCACTAAAAGAGCAAGCTTATATGAAATTATGCATCATCCTTGGATGAATAAAGGTTACGATACTCCTGTCAGAAACCATTTACCTCATCGACAACCGTTGACACTTCCTTTGAATCCAGAAGTCATAAATGCCATGGAATCTTTTGATTTGGGACATCTGCAAGCAATTTCAAACGAATTACACAGTATACTATCAAGTGTTGAATATGAAATGAGTACTGAGAATTGGCATAGAGTTACTTCTCAAGGGAGAGACTATGAATCTGCATCCAATGCTCATATTTTACCGGATCCTACTGCCGGTTATCATCCGTTGATTTCAATTTACTATTTAGTCGATGAAATGATGACCCGGAAGAAGGCTAAAGAAGAAGCTATCAAGTCCATTGATGCGCAACGCAAGAGACAACAAATGGAACAACAAAGACAACAACAGCAAATGCAACAAATTCAACAAAGACAGCCACCATACGATGATCAAATCATGTCAGCTCCTCCTCAATCGACTTCTTCGATGCCACTTCCAGCTGTTGCACCTCAAGCCCCAATTCCAGCAGTATCTGTCAATGCTCATCCTACTCACCAGAGACTGCAATCTGTTCTGACTGCTAGCCAGCAACAACAACAACCCCAGGACAGTCAAACTCATTTGATGCCCGTGAAGAACGATTCGGTTTCCTCCACTCAGCTGTCTGCAATGTACAAGCCAGTACCCCTACTGACAGGAAGCAGCAAGAGCGATGTTCCCAAACTTCCTCAAATCATTACAACACCCCAGAAACCTCCTCAATTACCACAATTCCCACCCCAAGCTCATACTTCCCCCACATATTCCAGAAATCAACATGAAGGCTTCCCATCCGTCGATCCAAGTCAAACTATGTCGTCACCACAGCAACAACCACAAGAGTCGCTCTACGAAACTTTGGACCCCAACGCAGCTAAGCAAGCTGCAGGGTTGAATTCGATCTTTAGAAGGTTGTCTGCTAAGAAGTATAAAAACACGTCTCCCTCTAAAGCTTCACCACATTCTTCAGAACAAGAAGTACAACAACAGCATGTGCCTAAGATCTCCATTACTCCGGAATCAAACGATAAACTTTCTCCAGCATCTACTGTTTCATCCACAAAGAATGATCCTATGGTCCGTCGTGGTATGAGTATGAAGGTCACTGCAAAGGAGAAGCTATCGAACCCCCCTGCAACATCTAGATTGGACCCAGCATCAGTACAAAAGTCGTCAAGAAGTGGACATGCTCGTTCATCGTCCACCTCTAACCCTAACAAATTCCATGGGTTTATTCCAGTGGAGTATTTACCTCCTTTACCCAACATCAATTCCAACACAAACACGTTGGTGACGTCGTCCAATGAAAAGTCTCAATTCAGTACCAGTCATGGCTCTAGAAAGTTACATCCCACTGCAAGAGCTAAGTCTGTTGGAGGTCCAGTTAGAAAAGATTCCTTGGGACACGGCAACTCCAATTCCAATTCCAATGCTGCTGGCCGTAATAATGCCTTACCTAATGGCATGGCACAGCAGAATAGTGATGAAATAATGGTTCGTGGGTCGAGTAACGAAAACGATGGGTTCTTTGATGACGTCACGTTGGACGACATGGATTACCAAGATATACCCTCGTTAACTGAAGCGGAAATCATTGCTCAATTCGAACATGCGAGACCCAATACCATGCTTTCCATTGAATATCCCAAGACGCTCTTTCTCAAGGGTTTCTTTAGTGTTCAAACCACATCTACTAAGCCGTTACCGGTTATTAGATACAGTGTCATTAAGGTGTTGAGTCGATTAGGAGTGAAGTTCCAAGAAGTCAAAGGAGGATTTGTTTGTGCCCATACTCCATCGCTACAAATAGAGGAGGTGGAGGAGAAGGACAAATTGGCTGGACATAATACTAGTAATAATATGGTGATGATGATTGGCAATGAAGAAGTTGAAGGAGGAGAAACAACCGATACAGAAGAACAGAAATTGTATGGCAATGCCTTCAGATCCACCAACTCATCGTTGGAGAAAGAGCTGGGATCACATCATAATAAACAGGCATTAGAAGATTCATCTGAAGACACTCCTAGTCGTCAACCTTCATACCATGGGGCTACGAGTACTTCGGCTTCGGCCTCGGCCGGTACAGGTGCCGGTTCCGGTGTTGGTTCTACAGCTTCTCCTACTACAATTAGATCTCATAGAGCTACATTATCATCTGGTGGTGGCAGTAGTGGCCATAGAAGAAAGTTCTCTATTGGAAACTCTTTCTTGAACACCTACCGGAAGAAGAACGGCTCTAATTCTCTCTTCCCACCAAACACTCCAGCTGCTGCTAAGGTGAACAAGCTGTTGTATGCCGATGACTATGAATATTCTAATGAGTCTAGTCGTTCGGTAGAAGACGATTCCATGGACTCCCTCAGTGGGTATGGAGGAGGTAGTGATATGATGGTGTCTTCTAGATGGGAACAGAAAGCCAAGGCTCTGAAGGGAGTGAAGAAGTCACCATTGAAGTTTGAGATCCATATTGTCAAGTTCCCGTTGGTTGGCTTGTATGGTGTTCAATTCAAGAAGTTACTTGGGAATACTTGGAACTATAAGACTTTAGCCAGTGAGATCTTGGGTGAGTTGAAGTTGTGAGAGTTTGTGCGACATTTAAGGCAATCTGCGACATAAGATTACGTAATGATAAGACTTTTATTATTGCTATTATAACAAATTATTTTTCATTAAATTCATACTCTCTTTCAACCTTGGAGATTATGGTTTTAAAATGCTTGTAGAATGAAGTTCTACCTAATCTCTGGGCCACTAAATGTTCCTGGTTCTTTTTCCAGGAAGCAATCGACTGTTCGTCTTTCCAATACGACACCGTAATGCCAGTTGTGGTGTCCGGGTCTCTGGCTGAGTCTATGCCTAAGTAGCCTGGTTGTTTCTTGGCCAATTGGATCATTTCCATGCCTATTTCGGAATACAACTTAGAGTCAATGTTGTTTTTGAAAGTGGAGATGAAGATCACTGAATAGTAAGGTTCTTTTGTAGGCGACATTGTGAGTAATAATGTTATTATAACGAAAGGAAAGTGAAGGGCTATTGAACAAAGTCATGGTTATTGCTGTAAGTAATGTGAGTCATTGAGTCGGTGCGACACTCTGTAGACATTTATGCCACGACATTTGGTGATGCTTACGAATGATACGACATTTCCCCATTAGACATTAATGGGTAGCCAGAATGAATCACATGTGATTGTGGTTCGATGGGATGCAGTTCGGTAGCAGTACTGTCATTGCTCTCAACCGGTTCAGCTGCAATTTCAACTTTTGGTTCTGCTTCCGGCTCAACTTCCGGTTCAACCTCCGGTCCAACTTCCGGCTCAGGAGTTTGTTGAGTACTTTGAGCTTGACGTAACTTCAATCTATGTTCTCTTGAGTTCTGGACCTTCTCCTGTTCCAACTTCTCCTGTAACAATCTCCGTTTCTCCAATCTCCGAAGCCCGGCGATTTTAAGTTCTTCTTCCTGCAATTTCAATCGTTCGTCTTCTTCTTCTTGACGTTTCATTTCCTTGGCTTCCAACCGTGAAGACCGTTTCCGGGTAGCCAATAATGTCGCCATTTGAAGTTCCTTCCTTCTGGCTGCCAATACTTTCCTCTTTTTCAATTCCAGTTGGAACATTTGGTCCAAGTGACTTTTGAGTTGGGACCCGATGGCTCGAGCTAATTTAGTCTTGGATTTAACGACATTATTCTTGTAGTACTCATTGAACTCATAAATGTCGTTGTAGAACAGTTCAAACGCAATGGAAACGACATCAAAATTGTAGGTAGATGAACCCTTTGTTTCCGATCTTTTCCGGGGGATAGTGACGGGGGAATGCTTGATGGTACGTTTATAGAGACGGGTATTATCAAACAAATGATAGTACTCTTCCACGGTCCCGGGGGCACTGGTGTGAATGAAGAAGGGAGTGATTCGTAACTGTTCAACACTTAATCCCGATTTATCAATGAATGTTCTAAACGCCAGATAATCAGAGATATATCGCATTATTATGGCCAAAATGGTGAACTTGTCGTTGATGTTTAAGCTGTTGAAGGTTGGTAAAGGGCCGGTACCGGTGTCGACTTTGACGACATTGACATCACCACCGTTAATGTCGTTTTCATCCTCCTCGTCAATTCCACCCAATGGGGTGTCGATGCCAAACCATAAACGGAAAATGGCCTCAAAGTTGGCCAACGAACTCAACTTGGAACTCTGAAGCGTACTGATAAGATTCAGTCGTAACCTGTTGCTAAAGACATTTATATCTGAAGAATGTGACGAGTCTAATAGTTCCATTTCAAAGAGATCGACATCAAAATATTCCGATTGAAGCTTGACAAACCCACGACATTGATAGAGCCAGTTGATCACATAAACATAGTCTGTTCCATTACGGTTGATGCTTGTGTCTGATGTGTTGGGTAAATGAATGGGGTGGAGTTTCTGGAGTTGAGTTATCTCTTCGTTGTTGAAGATATTGGAAAGTGAAAGTGCTGGATGTTCTAAGCTGCCGACACTGCCGACACTAGTAGTGCTAGCCGTTGGTCCTGCTTTACGTTTGACAGCCATGAAGAGGAGTCCTGTTGATAAGAAAGTTTGAGTAGTCACGAAGAGTGCTTTATGGGCGTTGGTTTCTCGACGCGTAAATTTGAGTACGTAAAATTCAGACAAAGAATGGTATACATAAAATATCCCACACATGCACACCCATGTATACAGAACATTCTATACATGTATTTGCGACATTATGGAATATACGGATATATCATTCAAACCTAACCTATTAATTACATACTATTAACTCTAACAAATCAAGAACTAAAAAAAAAAAATAATACCCTTATATAAGGCATTGAATATAAATTACATCATCATCATTATCGTTGTTGTGCTGTTATCCACATGACTCAAGTTGACTCTTTAAGTAGATCTCGTAAACCTTTGTTAAGATCTTGGAGAGTCATAATTTCGTTACTGATTTTCATTAAAGCCGTGTGTTTCGACAAATTGGGTAACCCATCTTTATTAATCATTGCCCTTCTAGATTTCTTTCCATTAACAAGTTGAATGGGTGTGTTATTGCAATTCTCAGCATGTTTTCGATATTCCTCAACATCTATCACTAGCCGTAAACATCTTTCATACGCCAACTTACACAATTTCCTTCTCTTTTGTTCAGAATGTGAATGGTGAAGTCTCTTTTGCTCCAAAGTAAGCAAAGGCTTCGACGAAGATCTCTTTCTCTTCTTGCGATTGCTATTCAAGTCGTTCTCGTCGTCATCTCCATCATTTGTGTCCAGCTTATCATCGTCATCTGATTGCAGAATATTATTATTACTGTTATCTGCTTCCAAATTCCTCTTCATTGCACTCGAGAGCTGTGAAGGTGGGGCATCACCTGAAATGGGCATTTCCGAGACATCTCGTCCGTAAGCTCCACTGAAAGATTGCCTCGATTGCACTGGAGTACGCAATTGGACATTTTCACTAATCACAGACTCAGAACCAGATTGTGACTGTTGAAGCTTCACGGTGTCACCACCACCAGAAATGCTTCCCGGAGGTTTCAAAGGATCAGAAGCCGATCCAGCGAAAACCTCGGTGAGTTCTCGTTTCAATTGATAAGTGTCACCTGCAAAGTCCGGAATATCATTATGGATATCATTGGCAAGCTCATCCAATTTGTGACTCGCATTATAATAATGCCTTTGGATGTCAGAATCCATAGTTTGTAATTGTGGCTTCATGGTGTGCAAATCATAGAGACTATTCAACTCTTTAAATTGATTCTGTATACTCGTTGCATTATTGTTTGCATTGGGGTATAAACTCAATGGATCCTGATAGTTGGAGTCAAACAAATTATCCAAAAACTTCTCCAATGCGTTGGATTCAACATTAGAAAAGAATTGATCTTCGTCACTAGCTTGTCTTTCATTCGACGTTGCAACGTATTGATGATGATGAATATTCTCTTCGGGAAGCGATTGGAAAGCCGGAGGATCTTCCTTCTTGATCTTGGCAGCTGGCTGCTCCGAACCAAAATCTATGTGATTTGAGTCTGTGAATGTACGCAACTGGGGAGATCCAAGCAAATAATTCTTCTTCGGAAGTGGGAGAGAATTGTTCAATCCATTATGATCATGTTGTAGTATGGAAGCAGCATCTGAATTGCTGTGGTGCTGCTGACCATGCGTCTTCAATCTGCTTGGCTTGGCTTCTGCTGCAGCTGCTGCAAAGGCTGCATTACCCAATAAAATTTGCGAACGATGCGCATCAAACTCGTGTTGCGAGTCAGTGTGACCATGGTCACCATGACCATGATGATGGCTATATCTATGATGGTCCACTGGAATATCCAGATACATACCACTATCTCCTAATGAATATAGTCTATTCAAAGCAGACATGTTCCCGTTAACGTGACCCTGTTTCCCATCATTAGTGAATTTAGTAATGTACTGTTGATTCAATAGCTGAACTTGTTCCAACTGTTCTATCCCGTTGATAGCGTTGGTTTGCTGCAAGTTATTGTACATGCTGTAGGCCTCTTCGAAGTCAAGATCAAAGGAGTCAGAGTCCAAATACTTGTCAAATATGGAATCAAAAGCAGGTCGAGATTTAGAGCTGGAGTTAAGTTGTTTCGTTGTGGTCGAAGGAATAGACATTGTAGTTACAGTGCTCATTGAAGGAACTTGGATATTATTATGGGGATTTGGATTGGATTTCTTCGGAGGTATTATGGTGCCTTCTGAGATATTTGCCTTCGGTATCTGTTGAAGATTGTGGTGGGAAAGTTTTAGTTGGCCCGTGGAAGTTGAAGTGGAGGCAGAAGGTAATGTGTTAGCGGTGGAAGTAGACGTAGATGTAGACGTAAGGGGTGCAGTGGCTTTCGGAGACGTGGACGTAGTAGTAGAAACTAAATTAATATCCATTCTAAAAAGAAAACCCAGAAGAATAACACAAATGTTCCGATACCTTTAAATAAGGAGAAGTGATGATATAAATACGTACAACCAAAATTAACGTTCAACAATAATAATTGGCAGAAAAGCTGAGGTCAACCAGTTAACGCAGGTTAGTAATTCCGATAAACAATGGAGGAATGAATCCTGAGGAAGTCGCTCCCTTGCGGCAAATGGTTGTAGATGGAAACAACACTTTACTATAACGGTCACCGTCCCGTAATCTATTATTAATCTTAGGAGTCTGGGCTAAAACAACCTCCTAATCAGGTAATGTGTCCCAAAATGAGTTAAAAGCGTCAATCAATGTCCGTGTGTTTGCTGTGTTTTATCTATTTACTACTGCAAATCAATGCACCTCTCTCAAGTCAGATGTATGTCTGGCCTAATTGTTGAATGTGGGGTTACTTAAGTAAGGTCCAAATAATAAAACGGACTTATGGTACGGTATATCAAAAAAGTATAGTAATAATAATAATAATAACAATAATAATAATAATAATAATAATATCGCACAATTTTATCTGCAATAAGTAGTTGCCCCCTTGTGTTATATTGGCTCGAAACAGTGTAGTATCAATATGTGAGGTGTCGTTCTGATCTGTTTCAACTTGTTCTTCGCATTATAGAAAAATGAGATCCACTGGATGAAATTTCAATTCTGGGGAGCGAAGGCGACACAGCCTTCCTAATTAGGAAATATCTCTGTATAATCCCAGCAGTTGAACCACGGATGTAAAAAGCATGGGATTTCGATCATGCATGCAACGGGTGTTTGATGGCTTTGTAGAATGCATGGACGCACAGAAATGGTGGGGTTTTGAACGCACTGTCTGCTCCGCGTGTATCCCGTAATTTATTTTTATGCATTACAGTAGTAGCAGGGAAGGGTTTGTTTATTCTGGGGTCGCGGTTACGGGAGGAAAGGACCATCAAAATCGTACTTTATTAAAGAAATAACAGCGTATCACTTTACATTACCTTCCCTCACTTAATTACGCTTTTTGGTATATAATGGCCAATACCCAATATAGACAAAGAGAATTATGTGTCGTTAAGCCCTAAAAATATCAAGTCATGGAGTGGGAAACCTAGAACCTTTGTACACGTAGCGAGCTCCCCCTGACGCACTTTTCGGGCATTCTAGAAACATAAGCCGTAACTTCCATTTTATAATAGGCCCTAACACCTTAGATAAAATCGTCCTTATATCCGTAAGCCGTCCTTCCACACCTTGCATGTGCAGAATTGTACTGCCCCCAACCCCCACCTTACAACAAATAGGTGACTTTCCTGCGTTTCGCCTAAACAGGTATACTCATGGGCATTTAGATGCCTAATTAGACCCTTTGTGAGAACCAAATCTAGGCCGTAGGAGTGGATTAGGAATTTTCGAAGCCCGTATAATCAATTTATTGCTAAATTAGGTGAATGAGCTCAAATCTAAATGAATCTAGCTTATCGTACATTCCCCTCCTTCCAACTGTTATACGAAACGGTAAGGTTAGTCAAACTATTAATCTGAGCGTTTAGAATGCCGCCCCTCCTTTCATGTCATGTCCCATTAGGAACTCCACATTGAAGTATGTAAAAGAGTTAACGTACAAACAGTTGCATAAACTATGAGTTTCTTCCAAAATAAATCCGAGGCTATCACATAATTGAAAACGAGGTGACGTTGTACGACAATAGACATCATGGAATTGGTGCAAACTTTTAATTGTGGATAACACCTAGTATAATTAAAAGAAACTTTTTATGTAGACAGACCCTCTGTGGGAAGCATTGCAAACTTTCCATGACTTTATTGTTCATGTTAATATTCTATTAAAGGTTGTTCCATTTCATTTAAGCAGACACTTACGATATCTTCGCATATATTAACAGGAAAATTATCTATATTGTCTCTCCGGGTTTCTACATGAAATTCCGTTCACAGCACAAGGGCCCTTACTAATTACTACATACTGAGGGTGGATCGGATCAAACAAACTTCTGCCATGTCCAGAATGTTTGTCCGGGATTCACATATTCACGATCGTTGCTTCTAAACGTTGCAGCATCTCCCGTAGCCCACATAACGTGTAGCATGAAAAGGTAATCTTGAAGGCTGTAATGACCCTTTTCCCACCTCGCCTTGGCCTCCAGTAATGCTTGTTCTTTAGACATATGAATCTGGTTCAAAGTAACATGCGCACTATCTTCGTATTCGCGTGCTACGTCTTTGGTACTCACTTGATCGGATTCAACATAAATGTCGTCCGATAAGTCTTCTGGGTCTCTTGATTCGGCAAGCGATGCAATGACATTGGCTATATCTTGTGCGCCCGTTACAGACACTTTGAGATCTTCTTCGCCAATATACGTTACAGTTTTATTCTCTGCGTCGACCCCCATTGGGTCGCGGAACGTCGATATCCATTCCTTGGCTACAACCAATCCCGTATGGATCGAGACAGTCTTAATTCCAGCACTTCTAACTTTGGCAATGTGTGCTTCTGCCGGGTTAGGCAATTTGGGTAGTTTGTTGTTGGAGATCCAAAACTCAAACTCGTATGTTGAAGGGATGTACAAGTGTGGTTTCGCATCCAATATGAACTGAGTAAGTGCATCGTACTCCGCACCATTATCTGTTGGGGGAGCATTTATGGTGGACACAATGACATCTATACCTTTCAAGATTGGCTCCATTTGCTCCCGATTCTTCTCCTCTAGTGCAAGGTTAATGTACTGGACGTTTCCGTTGGGCATAGAGGCAATGTCTTTGTTGGTGATGACTTTGACTGGGAACTTAAAGTTCGATGAAAACACAGGGTTGGTAAGTGCCTCAAGGATAGGAATGCCACTATCATGGCCAAATATAGCTATTGATTTCATGTTATGCTGTGTTGCTTTCACTTCTATTACTATAGCTATTACTGCAGTTCTACGTTGCCTTCCACAATCTTGGTCATATATACAGTTATATAAAGTGTCACTCACCAAGAATAGTCACTCATAGTTAGTCACGTTGGTGTAGGCGGCGAATTTTGTTTCGATTTCAACCCCACACGATCTCTGCTTCTTTGCGCCTAAATGAAAACAACCTTATACCTCCAATGAGTGACCGGGGCCGTAGCGGTCTGGTGTATAAGATCGTATAATGTGCCCCGCATTTCGGAGCTGCTTTTTCTATGATTGTACTGTGTCACCATTAACGCAGCGCACTGCGACTCCAAGTCCATTTATGGAATTGCTAGATGCTTCTGTGTGTATTGCTATGTTGTTAGTTGTTCCATGAAGAGGTATTGACACTTGCACGTATTGGCTGGCTTAGCCCATTGAAACTGGTTCACCGTGCTGAAAACGGAAGTCACAAGCGGGTGTGGGTGTACGAGCTATTGATGTTGTTCCAAGTGCTAAGGTCTAGCAAAGGCATGTTAGCGACGAGTGACTTGGGGGGCAACGATTTCAGTTGAACATAGTTGGTGTCTTAACTACCGGTAGCTACTCAAGTATATCTCTGTGGAAAACAAAGGTATATGTGCTGGCCATAATAAATGCTACCGCCAATATTTTACGAATACAACTGAAAGGTAAGCAGCAACTAGATCTAAGGCCTATTTGGAACCATGGTATCCTGCACCAAAGGTTGCAAGATGAAAGACTCAGCCGTGGAATGTGATGCTTACAGAAAGCACTCTTCTATTGCATGTTATTCTCAGCGTGACTGATGACGTTGATCTCAAAGTCGTTTAGCTATTCTTCTGTACGTTACTAACGCTATAGACTAATTGATGCTCAAAGGTCGCTTTTATGGCTTCTTTAACAAAATACAATAAGAAATTACGAGCCTAAGCTTTACATAATAATCCATTCTATACAAGGAATCTCCCATACAATCCTGTTGCCAAGTTATCGTCCTATAGTATGATATAAAAATGTAATGCCTCTAACTCTTATTAACAATTATTAGTCCCTATGATTTGGAAAAATTATCATTAAGCAAAATCTCTAACGATTGATAATTAATCTTCTTAGAGAATGCCTTCTTGGAGATCATTAATTTGGCACTGTCAACAGCCGATAAAGGTTGGCCGGACTTTTCATCCAAACCAATGTCCTGAATTGCATCTGATACTCCTAATTGATCAGAAAACTCTTCATCTAATCCTGGTTCCTTCTTCCTGTTGTACTTCCGTCTCTTACGTGCAGATCCGCTTGTATTTCCTGTTAATTCGTCGGCCTCTTCCTTCAACTTTCTTCTTTCCTGTTCAATCAAATAATCGTGGTTCAAACCAATCCACAATTGCTCCTTAACCTTTTGCTCCTCAGGTCCAAGAATGAAAACATCAAGCTCTTCGTCATCTATGTCCTCTAAATTATCGGAAACTTTGGCTAGTATATCTGAGGTCTTGGGTAAGTATTTGAGTAAGTTACGAGGACGATTAAGATCATAAACTTCTTTATAACTTGAAACTTCAAGTCCATCGGAAGGAGCAGCATACATATCCTTTTCTCCCTTCCTTTTATGTCTCTTTACGATTTCTTTTAATTGCTTCATGATTTCCTCTTCAGTTAAATCGCAATCCATTAAAATGGACTTCAAAAGCTTTTCCTTTGGTGTCATCTCAAGATTCGAACCTGTTGGTGCTCCAGACAAACTCTCTACATCATCCACTGATTCAGACATCTGACTTTGAGTTTCTGTTTGAGTTTCTGTTTGAGTTTCTGTTTCTGTTTGAGTTTGAGCTTGAGCTTGAGCTTGAGTATCTTCAGTAGGTACAAACAAGTCTTGTGGTTGGCTCAGTTGTTGCGGCTGTTGCGACTGTAGATGGTGCTCGTTAGTAGTTTGACCTTCAGGGTTTGATGTATGTTCTAAAATTTCAGGGTCAATTGTGGATCTGTTTGAATCTACTTCTTCTCCTGGCAGTTTTAAACGATTCATTTTATACAATTCCTGGAATTTCTGGAGACTTTCTTCCTTTTCATTAATGAAATCCTTTATCTTTGTTGCAGCCACTTTATTCTTTTCAAACGAAGGAGGGTTTGCTCGTTCTATTACTTTGGCATTTCTGAAACTCAGTATAGACAAGGATGCAGCTTTGGTGTTTTTGAATTCGTTCAATCGTCTCTGTAATGTGTCTTCACCTACATGGGCCACAGCAACAATTTCAGCATGACTTCTTCTGAAATTATTCATACGAGCAGCCAACATCACACACGCACCTGCTATACCTGCTGGACGTCTTCCCTCGTGTATCCAATCATTATTCATTCTCTGAGCCAACTTCACAGCATCTCTAATGACCTTGTTTGTCTTCTCTTTGAACTCAAGTTTCTCTGCAAAATGTTGAATAAATAACGAGGGATCCGCTAAGGGTAATTGCGAGATATTCAATGCCTTTACCATCTTCAAGAATGTAGCACCCAAAGAGAAAACTGAAATCTGTAATCGAGAACTGAAATCAATTAACATGTGTTGGGTTTTTTCCTTTCTACAGGCCACATAAAGACATGTTGCATATACATTTTGAGACCGTCTACCTTGAACGAAATTCTGAGTCAATGCAAGTTCAAACCACTGACCAGCAGCTTCAGCTATCCGATCAGGAATCTTCATAGCAACAGCCACTCTTCTAATCTTTCTTTTACCGTTAGAAAGCGTTTGTTCTCTGCTTTCTAACCCATTCAGCCGACCTCCGAAATTGGCCCGAACCTGATCATGACCTATCATACTACCTTGAACGATAGCCGCACCAGCTGACGACTCCCCGAATTGCACCTCGCTGACTATGGGATTCTCAAGTTGAACCATACCACAAGTGGCACACGTAAGGTCTCCGGAGTTAGAGTTCCGGTCCACTATGAATCGTGTGCCGTAACACGACGAACACTTCATCTCTCTGCTCAAAGCACTCATCCTGGTGTTCTTTGTACTTGTTCTGGTGGTGTTTGTTATTATTATTTGCAGCTCTTCTTCTCCTTGTCTTTCTATTTTGTTTATAAAGACGATGTGGTTTAGGGACTGGCAATTTTTTTTTATCATCGCAAAAGCTTTTACCCCCTTGTTACTCAATTGGTAGACAATGGATTGGGTTCCCTGTTCGATTCTTACAAAGGGTGGGGGGCATGAGTGTCACGTGACAAAAGATAAGGTCAAGTTAAGAGCTCCACAGTATTACGTTACTCCTTGATTCATTTCCTTTTATCCAACTACTTCCATTCTTTCTTTCAATCCCAATGTCAGCTGCAGACCTCAGGTCTCCTAATATTCCTGGTACCTCAATTACTCCCTCCATAGCCAACATACCCTCGTGTTCTAACTCGATGACATCATTGCATACGCTTGATAATGAAGCCAACACAAGAAAGAGTACGCTGATTCTAAGGGAGTTCCCTTTCAGCTTGATTCTCGAAATAACCACCTCAGAACCTCGGGATGTGCTTCAGTCGGAAAGAACGACCTTGGTGTTTGTAAGGTTTGCGACTTCACTCTTCTTCACTGCTTTAGGAATCATGTACAACTTTAAGCTTCAAACTGCCAATACTAATGATGGTAGTGGTGATGCCGCTGCTATCTCCAGGTATACTGAAAGGAAGAGATCACTATTTTCAACCATTGTTTCGTATCTCTTGATAGCATTGGCGTTGGCTACATTGATTGTCAGTTCAATTAACTATTTTATTACCATACGACACTATGCAGATCACAAGATCTACACCTATAATTTTAATAACTTTCCAACTATGATAATCATGACTTCTGTCATCTTAACCCTCATCGGCATATGTGTTGCGTTGATAGTTGAGAGCATGCTTCAAGAGTCATAAATATACTATTAATATTACTATTACTTACATTAATTCTTACTCTTACTCTTCTTTTTTGTCACCTTTGATATATCTTTATCCAACCCATGTTTCTTCTGGTTAATCCTCTTTCTCTCTCCAAAGTTCTCCTTCTCCATCTCCAGATGAGCTTCTCTCTTAGCAGCCGTGGTCACATTCAAGGAGTCTCTGATGACGTCTTCGTCATCAACACCTTCTAACAAGTCCATCTTTTTGTTGATTCTCTCTTCTATCGAATGCACACGGTCAATGTCCTTCTCCGTGACCATGGACACGGCATCACCCTTTCTTCCTGCTCTGGCAGTTCTACCAACTCTATGAATGAAATCATCAGGATCTGCAGGTATATCAAAGTTGATCACCAAATCAACTGAGGGGATGTCCAACCCTCTGGATGCAACATCCGTGGCTATAAGTATGGAAGCAGCACCAGCTTTGAATCTATGTAAGGAGTTTGTTCTTTCTGTCTGGGGCATTTCCGAATGTAACGATGCCACTCTAAACTCCAATTTCCTAAGGGTTCTCCTAAGGATCTCTGCTGTTCTAGTTCTGTTGACGAAGATGACTGCAGTAGACTTTTCGTATTTAGTCAACTTCAATATGCTATGCAAATATGCTTCTTTAACGTACGATGGAAGGAAGGTATAGTATACCAGAAGCGTGGAGGGAATAGCCACCTTGTCCACCGTCTCTACTTCATGTATGAACACTGGTAGTTTACCTTCGACAACTGGTTTATCCTTCAATGCTCGAATGGCGTCAGTAACAGTAGCTGTAAACAATAATGTTTGTCTTTTTTCAGACAGTGGGAGAACCTTAAAACATCTATCTAAATCACTACTGAAACTATTACTTAAAAGTCGATCTGCTTCATCTAGAACCAAATATTTCACTCTTCTAAGTCCAGCAATAGCCTCTTCTCCACTATTCAATATATGATCTGCCAATCTACCAGGAGTTGCAATGACAAAATGAGGTCTTTTAGTCAATTCTAACGCTTGTTTCACAATATCTTCACCTCCAACAATCACTGCCACTTTAACATTGGCATTGGCCCCTAAAGCTGCAAACTGTTCTGCAATCTGAAGTGCTAATTCCCGCGTGGGAGTGAGGATTAACCCAAAAATACCAAAGGGGTTTTCGGACCATTTGGTTAACATAGGCCCCGCAAAAGCTATTGTTTTACCACTACCGGTTTTGGCTCCTCCAACACAATCTCTACCTTCTAAAACGGCTGGAATACATGCACTTTGAATTTGGGTAGGAGCGAAGATCTTCATCGCCTCGAGCGACTCCACAAGCCACTTGGAAAGACCCAACTCTTTAAAACTCATCTTTAAACTGTCGTCACCTGCTAACAAATAGGACGTTGTCTTTCTTTACACACAGTGATTGTCATGTCTTCACTCACACTTTGTTGTATGGTGAGATGCTCATCGCAGTTATATCCATGTTATTGGTTAGTACACGATTTTAGATAAGTTTAGGCTGAATGCAATACTTGTTTGTAATAACTACATCTTGTTAATTTGATTGTACAACATCATATGATAGTTCGTTCCATACCCTGGCCTTTCGATTTGGAGTAGTCACTCTACTAATTTTGTCAGTCGGGTTCTTACAAATTGTATTGTTATTCTCAAAACGTCGACTGAAACATAATAGGCACAATAACGAGATAGAGAAATTCTGTAATGTATGGCGCTGTCTTTTATTATCTACCTGTACTGGCATTAAAGTTTAAATTATATATAAAATGTTCCTTCTACGGATACCTTGAGATGAGATCATATTGAATAATTATCACCAAAGTCGTGTGCTAACCAGTGTATATGATCTATGAACATGAAGGTGGAGGGTTGGGTCCCCAAGACATCTCATACTACTTGTTCCGGTAGATAGCATGTACAGTATGCTAGGGTTGGTGAGATACAATGGTCGTGTACGGTTTCTGTTTCCAACAACAAGTTGGATGTCGAGGAGAAGTGGATCGAATTCCTCCTCTTGGCTCGATGAGTTAGAACCTGAACCGAAGTCAGAAGATGCCATAACTGAAGCATTAACAAGCGCTAACTATTCGATCCATACAGACAAAGTGATTGGAGATGATTATGATGCTGCAAGCACGATTGGACCATTACAGGGTATTGATTTAGGGACCAATGAAGCCGGAATCAGCTCAACTCTTGTGCTGTTGAAAAACTATTTCGGTGGGAATGAACATCACACACACCAGATTTTTCTAGGATCAAACATAAAGTATAAACAAGGGCGTAAGACTGAACAGCGGACTTTTGAAGACTTAAAGTTACTTAGACTTAAGAGTGGTAATGGGGGGAACGGATGTATTTCCTTTTTCCGAGATGCTTTCAGACCCGTGGGACCTCCAGATGGTGGAGATGGAGGTGAGGGTGGTAATGTGTATGTACAAGTTGTAGAGCATGTTAACTCCTTACACCGTTTAAGACGAAGCTATGTTGCTTCGAATGGATATCCTGGAACTGGTAAGCAATTGGATGGGAAGAGAGGACAAGATGTTATTTTGGAGATACCTGTTGGAACCACCATGAGATGGATTCCTGATCCTATAATACTCCGCAAGGTCTTACAGAGCACTGGTGCTATAGAAGATGTTAGTTTAGAAATCAAGACTTCAGGAGATGAAGTGCAATTTGTTAGAGAGTCATATCCAGCAGGACATGGTTGGAAGTTCACAGAGCACGAAGAAGAGTACTATCGAGAGCGGGATTTCTTCCAGGACTTGAATAAGAAAGTCATGGAATACGACGAAGAGATTATTAATGATGAACTTTTCCATGATAAGTTCCCGCTTCTTGGGTTTGACTTTAGTCAGCCCACTAAGGAGCCTCTTTTGATCTTAAGAGGTGGGAAAGGTGGTATGGGGAACATGCATTTCTTAACCAAAGATATCAGAAACCCCAGATTCTGTAAACAAGGACGATCAGGTTTAACTGAGTTTTTCCTTTTGGAATTGAAGTTGATTGCTGATTTAGGACTTGTTGGGCTTCCTAATGCTGGGAAGTCAACCCTTCTTCGGGCCATTTCCAAGGCCAGACCTCGTGTTGGGCATTGGGAGTTCACAACTTTACAGCCTACCATTGGGACTATATTCACTACCATTGATAAGGACCCTTTTACAGTGGCAGATATACCGGGTATCATCAAAGGTGCTTCAGAAAACAGAGGGATGGGGTTAGATTTCTTAAGGCACATTGAAAGATCTGGAGGACTTGTATTCGTTGTCTCATTGGAATCAGAAGACCCTATTAAAGATTTGGACACTTTAATTGATGAAGTGGGAGAACAAAGAATGGAAGATAAAAGAATTCTTGTGGTGGCAACCAAAGCCGATCTAGCTGAAAACGGACAATTGTATCATCAACTTAAAGACTATGTTGAAGATCGGCAGTGGAAGATTGTGCCTGTGTGTGCAACACAGGGACATAACATCGAAAAGTGTATTAAGATGATGAGTGAGACGGCACAAGGGTAATCGGGAGGTGTAGAAGAAGCTTGTATATATGAATAAGTAAGTCTTGTAATACTATACCATTTAAACAGTATATACTTTTATCACTATATCTTGTGTTACTGATTTCCCATTTAGGAAATCAGAGACCAAAATATACCGACTTCTATTTCACCACCTCAAAAGTGAAGATGGTTTAGATACACTAAAATAAAGCGAACATTGCATACAATCGGCTCTTACTACTAGTTAAACTTTTATTGCTGATTATACGCACTCTTATTAAGCTTCTTGAAGTGCTTGTTACCGTGAAACATAAACACTACACTCGTCTAATCCATGACATCAGTTGAATCACTCAAACAAGTCTCTGGACATCTTCTTTCTCCGGTATCGAAACGTGAGATCTACGAACAAGACCTCGTCACCCTCACGGCAATCGTCCAGGAGACCAGCCAATCCGATGTGGCCAGGGTGAAGCTCGCTCGTCATATAAAGTTCATAGACACTGTTACTCAAGTACTAGAGTCCAACCATCTTCTGTATGCCACTGATCCATTGCAAACGCTATACTTGAGAGTGTTTAGGGGGTTTTTGTTATGTATCAGAAACGTGGTGATGAAGTCCACTGAGCTTGAGAACTCGCTTATCTGTTTCAACCTATCACAATTTGTCAATAATGATATGTATGGATCGCATGAGTTGCTAGCTCTGATGGTGGTTGTTTACGCCGAGATTCTAGCCAATAATGTCGGTGCCAAAGACAATGACGGCCACCACTTGTTGTCGGTGCTACTCTCATTGGTTGGCATCAAACAGATACAATCCTTGGATGATAAACAACTGTTCCTGGTGCTAGTTTACGCTCAGAGATGTCTTCAGAATGAAGGCTCGGTGTCTTTATTGCTTACTGATGAACAATACGCTCCTATCATGTGGTACTTGGTTGCCCAATTGGACAGAGTCCCCGATTCAAGTGCCAATGAACGAGTTTTAGTGAACATTTTCCAATTGATAGTTTCCCATGAGAGTTACTCTGCTTTCTTACAGAGAGAATTCACTGGTGGTGAAGATGAAGCCAAGTTGCTTGAGGTTTTGAAAGCCAGTCGTTTGATAGTGACTTCCTCGGATGAATGGGACAACTATCAAGTGGCAGCGATTCTTGCCTGGTTGTTTGAGTACTTCAAAGCCTATGCTGATGAGTCGATGGCATTGCTTTCAAGTGAAAACCCTAAACCTAACTCTGAAAGGTTGCTGTTTGTGCATTCAATCTTGGTTGTAGTTTTAGACAGTATGGCAGATTTGGGCAAACTAAATTCTGCAAGACAGTTTTTCCAACACTACAATGCCATAGATAAGCTTGTCCCGCTTTTAGGAGTGGTTCACAGAGAAGTGGAGAGGAAAACATTAAAGTCAAAGTCAAACAAGATTAACGAAGTTTCAGATAAAGAGTTCCCTGAAGTGAAGAACTTCATCATTGAATTGATTACTTATTTGGCACATGAATCGTTTGAGACTCAAGAGAAGGTAAGAAAGTTACATGGATTGGAAGTGGTATTGTCTAGTTGTATTATTGATGATAACAATCCATACATGAAAGAAAGAGCCATTGTTTGTCTCAAGACTTTACTCTTCAATAACCCGGGCAATCAAAAGGTTGTTGCACAGTTAGAAGCTCAAGGTACAGCTGATGACAGTGCGTTACGTGAAGCAGGCTACGAAGTAGAAGTTGTTGATGGTAAAGTGCAAGTTAAGAAACAAGTTCAACAGGTATGATACATTATTATTATGATTATTATTTGCTCAACTCTTCAATGATTGCACCCTTAACCTTTTCAAGAGAAGCTTCATCAATTAATTTTATTCTCTTTTCCTTTAAGGCCAATGCTTTCAATTCTTCAGGTAAAACATCCTTTTCAAAGGAGTATCCATCAAATCCATTCAACGCCTTATTAACAACCTCAGAGAACTTGGCTGGATGAGCAGTGGATAAAGAAATGTATCTGATATTGGAATCAGAGTCAGAGTCCTTAGCAATGTTTCTAAAGGCGGTTTGAACACCAACAGCTGTATGGGGGTCAATGACATAGTTATCAGGGTTTTCTGCATAAACTTGCTTGATAGTTTCAACAGTAACTTCATCAGAAACTCTTTCAGAATCGAAATCCTTTTTGGCTGCATCAACGACGGCCTTGGGGGCAGTAACAGAACCGGTTTCCTTCAATTGTTGCATCCAAGAGTTCAACTCCTTACCTGCCTTAATATCGTCACCTTCAGCAATTGTGTCTCTTATCAAATACCATAATAATCTCTCGAAATTAGAGGAGATCAAAATATCCATGGCTGGAGAATAAGTAGCCTTGACTTCCTTGACTTCAACTTCTGGAGAAAACTTTTCATAAGTACCTGACTTCAAGAATCTGTCCAAAATATCGTTTTCGTTGGTTGCAATGATTAGCTTATCAATTGGTAAACCCATTTCTTTAGCATAATATCCAGCCAAAATGTCACCAAAGTTACCAGAGGGAACAACATATCTCACCTTAGAGTTTTCACCTTCAGCTTTCAACAATTGAAAGTAAGAGTAGAAATAATATGTCATTTGAGCCAAGATACGAGCCCAATTAATAGAGTTGACAGCACCCACGTGGTACTTGGAGTTGAATTCAGCATCACCAAAGATTTGCTTGACGATGTCTTGACAATCATCAAAAGTACCCTTAACAGACAATGTATGGACATTCTTGTCTTCAACAGTGGTCATTTGTTCTTCTTGGATAGGAGAGATTCTTCCTGTTGGGTATAAGATGAACACACTGACATCTTTTTTACCTCTCAACCCATAAATGGCAGCAGAACCAGTATCACCAGAGGTAGCACCAACCACAGTAATGGTATCTCTGTCTTCACCCGATTTCCCAGCATTCTTTCTGGTTAAAAAGTATTCAAACAAGTTACCCACAAACTGCAAGGCCACATCCTTAAACGCATATGTTGGACCATGGAACAACTCCAAAAGATATAACGATTTCTTTTCATCAATCAACTTGATTGGAGTGACATCTTTACTTCTGAAAGTCGAATAAGACTTTTCAACCAAACTCTTCAAGTCCGCGTCAGGAATCTCTTGGTCCTTAATGTACAATCTCAAGACATTGAATGCCAACTCTTGGAAGGTCAAATCTTTCCAGCTGTTGATGGTCTCTGGGGATAAATGAGGCACCTGAGATGGTAAGAACAATCCACCATCTTTGGCTAACCCGGTCATTACCACATCTTCAAACGACAACTGTTTGGTGTCCAGGGATCTGGATGATCTATATGAAGTTGATGACATTATTAGTGTGTACTATGATGGTCAGAAGAGGAATAAACAAACTGCTTATTCTATCCGGTTGTCTGTTACTGTCTATATATTACTCATTATGGTGGTGGTAACCGTGACACTTGTGTGACTAATTTGCGGACCGGTTACGGTGAGCGAACGAAAAAAAAAAAAATTTTCGATTCAGTTCGGTAGCACGGTATCGTTTTGTTTTTGTGACATAGCCAACGGACTTTAAAGTGCATTTAACACTTAAACACTGTCAACCAATACAAACAAGCCACAGTCAACAGCTGATACTACTATTACCACTACTACCAGTTACTGGTGTGAGCTGTCTATGATTCGGTTTCTTCGGCATTTGAGCACAAAATATGTGTACTCCGACAGATACTTCCAGCCAATCATAACACTGGGAGTCAAAGGTATAGACAAGTTGGCACCAAAAGAAGGGTCACCATCTTTTGATAACCAGGTCTTTTCCAGCACCAACAATGAAGTACTCAAGAAAATAGTCAATGAGTTTTCCAACAGTGGGATTCAGTTTCTGTTTGGCTATGGATCTGGGGTGTTTGAACAGAGTGGATACAGTGCATCTGAAAAGTCCAGTATTCAAATAGATTTGATTCACGTAGTAGAAGATGGAGTCAAGTTCCATAATGTTAACATGGCAACTCATAGTTCCCACTACTCAGCAATCAAGTATCTACCTGTGGGGATTGTGAATCACTTACAAAATCTTGGTGCAGGCATCTATTTCAACCCTTATGTTCCAATGCAATCGTATTTGGTGAAGTATGGGGTTATGTCAATGGACAAGGCAGTAGAAGATATAAGTGAATGGAATTCACTTTATCTTGCTGGGCGACTTCAAAAGCCTGTCAACTACTTGATAGACAACCGAACCATCCGTCTTCTAAATCAATACAATCTTAAGAGTGCCCTTAGCCTTGCGGTGTTGTTGATGAAAGAACCCTATTTTGATGAACGACAATTGTATGAGACCATCACTCGAATCTCATATTTAGGTGATATCAGATACATTTTGGGAGGAGAAAACCCTAATAAGGTGAAGAACATTGTTTCGAAACAATTTGATAAATTCCAAGTGCTTTATTCACTGTTGGTTGATTATTTTGTCGATAGAAGATATTTGGTAATAACTGGTGAAGCAGCTTCTACATCAGCTTCTGCTTCAGTTTCTTCAGTTCGTCAGTTCTACAAAAATCTTTCTAATGATGATAGAGTTTATCTTATCAGTAAGTTACCTCTTAATTTTAGAAAGAAACTCTATGCGTTCTACATTGATAAGTCAATACGGGAAATAGCAAGAGACCCTTCTCTACAAGATAATCTTGTGAAAGTCATTGGCTCAATTGTTAGATGGCCCTCTGTTACTCAACTGTTGAAGGGTGTGGCAACTGCGGGGCTTCTCAAATCTGCTCGATACGCTTTAGAGAAGAAGTTAAAGGCAATGAGAGTTTAATATATTCGTGTATTTTAGTGTAAATAGAATTTAGGTTTAAGTTATTTATTATTGTTAAAATGGTGTTAGTGTGTAATATCTACTTGTATAATTGGTGTAAGGGTGTATACACCCTTAACGCTACCATTAAAATGATATTGATGTTGGGGTGTGGGTCGTGTACGGTGTTACCATTGTTGGTGTTGGGGTGTTTTATTTTGCGCTACCATATGTGGACGAACAGAAAAAGCGGTTCAAGTATAAGGAACCCCAAACTCCATCATTCAATTTGTTACATTCAACACTATCGCTTTCGTTATTTTCAACTATGGCTCGAGGAAAAGATTCTGCATCGGAAACAGAACCGAAACTGGCGTCTTCTCGAACGTCACAGAAGCAAAAGAATCTTCAAGCTCAACAAGAGTTCCTCGCAAAGTACATTCATTCCAATGGACCCAAGAACACACCACCAACGCACCCCTTAGATTTCGAAGCGTTACCCACACTGGCGCTTGAAAAGTATAATGTCAAATATGGCCTACGTCTACCACAGCCGCTCTCGTTGACTGCGGATATGCTCAACAGCGAGTTAGGGAAGAAGACTTATTCTTATAAGAAGAATAACCGAGGAAAGATCTCCAAGCCTGAGTTGGCCAATGAAGTGAAGAAACACTTTTTGGCGTTACCCGCTAAGGAGAATGAAATCATCACCAACTTTCTTTATACGGTTAAGAATCAAGAGAAAGATTTTAAGCTTTCATTTAAATAAATAGGTATAGGGGATTCACGAAAGAACATAGCAATTATAAGTATTAGTATTTATTGTAGTAGTACCAGTAGTATTACTATGTCACTTCATCCTTGGGGGATCATTATCGGTGCTACCATTGGTATTGGCACGACCCCCTGGTTAACTCAACAGTTTAGATCACACGTACTTAGCTTACTTTAACAGTTGACATACCCTTTATTACCATGGAGACATCCACTACTGTATTTATAGCTACTCTTGCATTGGGCTTCATTGTGTTAAGGTGGCTTATAGCTCCCATCCCGCCCCATTTGCCTGCGGAGGTCCACGGTAGTTCAGGCTCATCATCGACATCTTCTTCTGCGCGTCGAACCAATGCCGGCAATAGAAGACCAGTGACTCAGAGCATGATTGAGGTTGTTCAAACAGTTGCACCCCAGTTAACTGTCGGACAAATTCGGATGGACTTGGAAAGAACCGGATCCGTGGAGTTGACCCTCGAAAGATTCATGGAGAATGGATCTTTGCCATTCCCTGCGGGAGAAGACCCTTCCACCGCTGGCGTTAACTCCGATACAGATAGTCATAACAGGAAGCCAGGAAAACCCTCGGAAATAAACTTGCTAGAGAGATACGCCATTGATCCTGAAGATGAGATCGATGAAGATGATGTAGCGGCAGCTAAAGATGGGTATTCCTTAATGGCCCAAAGGAAAAAGTATATGATCTTAAATGCCAGAAAGAGAATGCAACAACAACAACTGCTTGCCGAATCTATATAATTTGAATAGAATATCTATGGGGGAACCAGACTTGTAGTTGTGAGTAAAGTAGGAGTAATCCGTCTCTTTTTCTTATTGGAAGATGACTCTGTAATAGATTCTGACTTATCTGACTTAGCGTCTGTGACTGTCTTAGTATCTGTGACTGTGTCTGTGACCGTCTCTTTACTCTCCTTAAAAGAAGCAGTAAACATGTCTATGCTGAGTGGCTTCGCTATGAACTTGTCCAAAATAGACATCTTCTTTGACGGCACGACACTTTCTTTCTTCGACAAAGCCGGACTTTCTTGCTTCGTCTTCTTGGACGGACTCTTTTTAATTGGCCCTGTCTCTTCTTCCTTCTTTGTCTCATATTGCTTCCAAAACTCAGGCTCTATATTTACATCATAAAGGATCTTCCCAAAGACTCCCTCATTGAAATTTACCACCGAACAAAACCCATCAGCACTGCTTATGACCAACGTTTCCCCATTCAAGTCCCACGTACAATCAGTTATATTGGAGTAATGCAAGTTGGTGACATGGCCCATGGGTTTCATGTCCTCAGTGTTATATATGACAATAGAATCATGTGTAGCAACTGCAAACACCATCCTATACGGTAATTTGAACGGCATTGTAGTATGACCATCATCACCAGATTGTAGCTCATATATCTTGGGAGAGAATCGTATGACTGTAGCAGGTTTCTTTAACCCTGGAATGTGGCACACTGGCCCCTTCTTGAAGCCTGCTCGGGTGTAAATGAAGATGGTATTGGTGGTGGCTTCCTCCTGATCATTGGTGGTGGCTTTATAAAACCCCAGAGGTGTCAACAACAAACTGCCATCAGGAGAAAACGTTAACCTTCGAAAGAACGACTGCAACGTCTCCGGGTGATATAAATAACATGTCCTCATAATCAGCAGATCCTTATCAGTAGGGATGTCCCATCTTATAACCCGGTTATATACAAGAGGTGTGAACGCGTTATTCACATGATCAACCTTATAGATTATGACTGATCTATCTGCTGCTTGGGTGGCAAAATACTCGTTCCGAGGATCCCAACATACTCCTTGAACATAATGACTATGATTCGAGAGACTATAAACCAATTCCCCACTTGAAACATTATATATGCGTGCAATGTTATCCATTGAGCCAGTGATTATGTATCTTGAATCTGGAGACCATGCCAAATCGTAGATCTCAGAAGTAGAAGATCTAAGGACCTTATCTGCTTTCCAGCTTTCCACTAACATATCATCATCCTTGTCGCCGAACTCCTTAATGATTTCTTCCAGTAATGACCATAGAATAAGCGACCCATCATCTCCTGCGCTGGCTATCTTGTCGCCATTAACATTGAATCTAGCAACGTTTACTGCTTGAGTGTGTTTCTTGAGAGTACTCAAGTATCTGATGGAAACAGGTGCTTCAGATTTACTACTACCTTTGACATCGTGTTCTAATTCCCATACTCTAATGTTGTTGTCACCGCCAGTGGTTACTAAACGTGCAGACCTTGTGGAGTCGCTGGAGCTGAAATTATTGGGCTGAAAGTGCACAGAATACACAGGCTGGTTCTCGTCATGCCAATGAACAGTTAACGTATGTGCATTCATGTTGTGAATAATCTATGAGTAGAAGCATTTGATTCACTTTCTTTACGCGTTCTTATTACTTATATTGATTCATTACCCTATTGGGGAATACTGTGACATTTTCTAAAAAGGGTAACTTGTGTCGCAAATAGCTGGTTTATCTGTTAACTGCGTCCAACCAGATAAGGCATCTTCCTCTTAAACCATTTCACACTCATTTCATTGTACATTCATTCCCTTGCATTATAATGATATCTGATACAAGCGACGTCCTAGATTTCTCCGATACAGAATTGTCAACACTGGATGAAAGTGAAGCTGAATTTGAATCGTCCTCAACCCCAGATTATGCCCAGGACTACATAGACTTCACATATTCGAACCCTACCACGTTTCATGTGATTGAATACTTCAAAAAGAAACTCATAGCGAACGGCTTCACTTATATCAAAGAAGGTGAACCCTTGACTGAAGGAACGAGCGGGCTCTTCTTCTCTATTCGGTCAAACTTATCGCTTGTAGCCTTTGTTAAGGGGAAGAAATGGACCTATCAGAAAGGTGTAGGTGTTGTTGCAGGCCATGTGGACTCATTGGCCATAAAGCTTAAACCTGTGTCTCTTCACAAGAGCATAGATGGTTATGAGATGCTTGGAGTAGCACCTTATTCAGGAAGTATGAATAAGCTTTGGCTCGATAGAGACTTTGGAATTGGTGGTGCAGTTTATTACAAATCGGGTGAAGATATCAAAATGAAGACCATTGACTCTACTCCACATCCAATAGCGAAGATTCCTAAGTTAGCTGAGCATTTCGGGTTAGACGATAAATTGGCCAACTACAATGAAGAAACCCAAATGGCTCCAATAATTGGTTACTCTAATGGACATTCTATGGAAAAGCCAACGCCAGAAGAAGGCAAAAGCCCATTGGTTGATAAGCATCCCATCAAGTTACTTCGGTATTTGGCTAAATTGGCTAACAAACCATTGGCAGACATTGTGGGACTTGATCTTGAATTGTACGACGTTCAAAAGGGTCACATTGGTGGATTAAACAATGAATTCATATTTGCACCCCGTATTGATGATCGTTTATGTTCATATCTGGCCATATTAGGACTCATTAGGTTTGCTAAGAGTTTTAGTGATGAAGATTTGGAGTCTTATGATGGCTTCAACATTGCCTATTTGGTGAATAATGAGGAGATTGGAAGTCTTACCAGAACTGGTGCCCATGGAAAGTTTTTGAATAGTGTAATTGCTAAGGTTACCCAGGCCAATGAAAGTGAATTAAACTTAATCTTTGCTAATTCAATCATTCTCTCCGCTGATGTGACCCATGCATTCAACCCCAACTTTAAAGAGTGCTATTTAGATAAGAACTTCCCTATTCCCAATGTTGGACTTACCTTGAAGGTCGACAGCAACCAGCACGTGATGACAGACACAGTAGGAATTGTTGTAATGGAACAAGTAGCTGCTAAAAATGATTTGGTCTTACAAAGGTTTCACATTAGAAATGACTCCAGAAGTGGTGGAACCATTGGTCCAATTATGGCAACTAACACTGGAGCACGAGTAGTAGACGTTGGGTTACCGCAACTATCGATGCATTCAATTAGAGCCATGTGCGGCTCAAAGGAAGTGGCATTGGGTATAGCGACCTTCAGTGCTTTTTATAAAGACTGGCGACAAGCTTACAATAGTGTGGAAGACCTTTAACTGGTGCTAGTATTTAAATAATAATGCATTAAACCCGAGTATATATATTTGAGTGGTGTGAACCCTCCACTCCACAGAAATTGTAAATTTTCATATAAATATAAGTAACTTTAATATAAGCCCACAACCTATTTGAGAGCAGCTAAAAACCATAGAAAGAAACCGTATAGTGAGTGTGTGTACCAAAGCTATACAAGAGCTAAAGCCATAGGAACTACTAAAAGCATGCCAGCAAGTATCGACAACTTGGGGTTACCGCGAACGATTCCTCCCCCATTACTGCTGGCCTGTGGGGTATTGGCCGAAGTGTTGGCAAGCACAGTGGACGACGAAGTCAAGTTTGCATTATTGGAGTAGTCGTGGGTCATAATACTTCCAGTGGGTACTGTGCCTGTTATGAGGGATAGGTTCTCAAGAAGAGAAATGGATGTCGAAGACGTAGGATAAGTGTAAGCCCCAGTATCGTATAGTAAAGCCGTGGAGGTTACCACAGCCATTATGAAGGAAAGTATTTAAGTTAAGTGTAAAGCGAAGAATCAAGGGTTGACTCTGAGTTATAGTTCGAGAGGATGTCTTTTCATTTAAATATATTATCAGATACGTAATGACAAACTCTCATAGCCAAACTATAAACAAACAATTCTGCAGGAACGTTACAGGCTATTCATCTGTTCCTTCATACTCACTTGTTTTAGATCGAAATGCTCTTTCAAAGGCTGCGATTTCAAAAACGCACGTTACAGTTGCTTGTCTTATGTGCCTGATTTTTTACTAGGGTTCTCCACCTGGTGTTGGACGTTCCTCATGGTCGTTATGATCGTCATTTCTTTCTCCTGTACCTTGCATAAAAGTGTTGCAATGCTCATTGCGATTTACAATAGTGTTTAACTCCTTCGTAGTACTCTAGCAAAACAACGCATACTTTTGATTGGGATTGTTCTTCTAATTTTGGACTATTAGCTCGGGAATGGAATGTTAGACCCAACAACTTTATCATCTAAGGTATGATTGGAGAAGAGCCTGTCTGAAACCACTGTACGATTACATCATGGGGCATTTCATTGGGTATCTGGAATGCCTATTGTTCGTATTGTGCAAGTTTTTTGCTCACGAAATGTTTCATACTAGTGTATTTGGGGATATAAGTTTCAGAGTGTTCGAGCTTGCATGTGACCTACTGATAGCCAATTAATCGACAACCATAGGCTGGGGTAATTGGTAGCAAATGGTGATGGTGGATCTGCTAAAGGGCGTGAGATTTTTCATGCCCGCGCGCTTGGCCCTCGGCTGGCTGTTGATACCCATTTTTATGAAAACAGCAATGTTCAGAAGAGATACTTTCCCAAGTAATTCGAAGATTTTCCGTTCATAGTTGTTCTCTTTCCTATTCTATGCAACTTCCTTCCACCTCACGTTGGCATGATGTGAGATGAAAAGTTGTAAGACGACTAGTAACACCACTGTGCAAGATTCGCGACTTTTGTGTACATCAGTGTTGAAGAGAACGGTTGATACTAACGCAAAGTTTTCAGCTCTACTTTAGGGCAGTGTTCTCTTTTCAACTCTTTACTTTACTGTAGTGTTGTTCTTTACAACTTATATCAAAGCTGATTGCTATGAACGATGTATTTTAGCGGAATATAGTTCGGTTATATCGTACCGCTTATCTTATTTTAAGCTTCTACTGTGGTCCTATGGCTATTCTCATTTTAATCTCTAAAGGTAGTCCTAAACCAAAATCTTATCTCTTCATTCTACAGCACTACAACTAGACTCTTTTGCTCAAAGACATAGAAAGCTGTTTCTCGATAAGGCTTAATGTCACTACTTTTAGTGTTTGTTTTGTGTTCTCTAGACAAATTCGTATCTATTAGTGCCTTGTCGGCTATAATCCCACTTCAACCCCTCCTACTGCTTCCCCTCCTCTTGGGAAGAATCGAAGATCCAAAATTTGCCAGATCTTATTGCCAAAAGTGGTATTGCTATTAACTGAAGCATCTAAGAAAGAATGCATCAACTGTTTGACATAAACAGCTTAATGGAGATGTAGAGCAGAGGGTGGCATGTTCCCCAAACCACTATCCTCAATGAAATTGTTCTAAAACTGTTGATATCATTTCTAAATCACATATCTGTACGGTAAAAATGTAGTCATTAATTTTACTCATAGTGTATGGTTGCCATAAAACACTCAATAGTTACATATACTCAGGTACAATAAACCAAGTGGTAAAGTAAAACAATTTATTGCTAGCTTTATTGCTAGTCTAGATTATATATAAAAAGAGAGAGTCTGACTAGAATGGTATTCAATGGCTTATCATTGTTTTAAAAAGAGTGCGGTATTCCCTGCTGCCTTTAAAACTGCAGTTTAATAGCTAACTTAGGAACAGTAAGACTTAAGCTCGGTCTTGAAATCACCACCTTGCTTGTCAACCCAGATCTTAACATCATCAGCACAAGAAGAGCAGCCACTCAAACCAGACATGAAGTCCTTACCACCAGCACCAGCAGATTGAATAGCACCAAGCAAGTCAGAAACGTGAAGCATGTTCTTCAAAGCAATTTGAACGAAAAGCTTGGAGACTAAACAGGTGTCATGGATAATAGAGTCAAAAGTATCCTTGACAATAGAACCAGTAAGGATACCCTTGGCCAAGACCTTGAAAGCGGAACCACCGTCGTTGGTGGCACCGTGGGTACAAGTCGTGGTATCAAAACCACCATCGGATGAACCCATATCCATACCACCGTCGTGAGAAGTGGAGGTGGTGGAAGTACCAGTACCATAGTACATGTTAGCAACAGTTCCCATAAATTGGGAATTGTCTTGACCACCACTTAAGGCGTCCATCATGGATTGGAAGTAGGTGGTCTTTGAGATACCATTCCAAAGAGTGGCACTACCTCCGAGAGGGTCGAAAGAAAAGAATTGGATAAGGGAGTTGATAATAGCACCATGGAAACCGTGATCCAAGAAAACAAAGTAGATAAACTTGTCAAGAAGAGCAGGACTTTGAACAATAACATCAGCAATACCTCTTTTTTGGATGGCAAGAATTTGTTCTTCTGGGATTTCGTTTCTTCTCAAAACTTGAGCATAAGATTCCCAAGCATCGATTTCACCTCTCTTGATTTCAGTAATTTGAGTGTTGGCGTTAACAGAGGCTGAAAGGGCGGAGCCAGTTAAGAGGGAAAGGAGAACGGTCTTGCTTAATTGCATTTTGAAAAAGAGGGTGTTGTTGATCTGTAGGATTGCTTTGTAATGTAGAAAAGAATAATTAACTTTATAAAAGAGGTTGGATCTACCAGTATTTATAGTTCAATTACCTGAATGGAATAAATCCTACCATTATAGAATCTGTGTATGTTTTGACCAAGACGATAATAAGTTAGTTAGTTGTAAAACCAACTAGTTCTTTTTAGTGAAATAAAGATCTAATTAGGAAATACCTACACCTTTTTGCAATTAGGCTGTTTTTTTATACGTAATTTGCATCAGCGTGTTTTATTTTTTGAAGACATCGCACCACAGTACATTGCATTTTTTGCAACAATAGAACAAGGCATGCACAAACAGAAAAAGTAATAACTTGCCAAGCTTTCTTATATGCATGTGCCAGGAGAAGCATTTACTGTGACTAAGCCAGGAGGTTTACGCAGATGTGTTAGTAGATCGTGAAGCACGCGTTAACTTAATGTTTTAAGTACTCAAGCGTACGTTATGGCAGTAATTGTATCTAAAAATGTTTTGGCATTCGAGCATATGTTGAGTTGCACTTTATACACACTGCATGAAGACTGTAGCCCTATAAATGGCAACCGGAGACTAACCGATTGCTTTGCTTCTCTTCTACAAAGTATTAGGTATAATTCTGTATTTCTATAAAACAAAAAAAATACAGGTATAAGCTAAAAATAAAGATATAATAAAAACTAAGGGTATCTAAGGCAGGAAGGAAGCCATTTGTGATTGTTTTAAAATTAAGAATCTTACATACCACTCATGGACTTCATCTTTTCTACCATAGCAGGACCTTGGCTTTGAACCCAAGTGTCAACATCGTTCTTGTACAAACCGTTACTGCCCTTAAGGTGGTTCAATAAAGAAGGAGTCATATCACTCTTGGTCATCATACCAGACAAGTCACCAACGTTCATCAAGTTACCAACAGCAATATCCCTGAACATGTGGGAGATCAAACAAACATCGTGTTGAATGGCTTCAAAAGTATCCTTAACGATAGAACCAGTAACAATACCCAGAAAGATAGTTGCAACGAATGAACCTCCGACATTACCTCCGTGACTTCCTTCTCCACCTGGCATACACTGGTCGGTTGTGTATTCAGAACCGCCCATGTCCATACCATCGGAACCACCAGAGCTTGAATGACCTCCAGTGGATGGAGGTGGAGTACCAGCTTCGCAACCACAGTTGTAGACAGGAGCAATGGAACCCAAGAACTCGTCCCCTTGACTACCGTGCAACTCAGAGAACAAAGATTGAGCGAATTGAGTACCACTGATACCCTTCATAAGAGTAGCGGAAGACTTCCCTGGGTGTCCGGTGAAAATATCAGTCACAGAATTGATAAGAGCACCATGGAAACCGTGATCCAAGAAAATGAAGTAAATAAACTTGTCAAACAAAGCAGGAGTTGATGTGATACTGTTAACAAAAGATCTCTTGTCGAGAATTAATTCGTCGTTAGTTTCCCTTTTGATAAATTCACCAGCATCCCTGTTGAAGGATAAAGCCAAAGTAGTACTGGCGAGGACTGAAAGTAAGACGGAACTGGAGAACTTCATTGAAAAATATGTCAGTAATTAAGGTTTTATGCAATGTATGTCAAGCGTAATGAGCTATTTAATTTAATGGCCTTGAAAAATGCGGCCTTTACTCACTATTTATGTAAAGTTAATTTCGACGCGAAGAACCACCTTCTGTTATTTTGACTCCCATTTTAACTTGATATCCATAGAATTACGTTTCACCGTAGCAGTATTAGGAAACCAGATTAACTATTTCGTCGCGTTTAATGCAGTCCTGTACATGGAGATTCGGCTACTTTTAAAAATGCGACCCTGTCCCCATCATAATGCAGGTACCGGATCGCAAAAAATAAAGATACAATAAGAAGCCTTCTCGAGTAGTTTTTGCACTTTTCAAGGCTCTAAAGACAACTAGGAATCTCACAAGGATGAGGGCTATAATAAGCTGTTCTCTAGTTAAAATAGCATTTTACAAGTTGATACTACGTCCCGTGGTCTGAGTAGAAGTAAGTACGTTTATTGCATACTTACATTCAGATCAGTAAATGATAGGTTTGAAATTATGTATGGACAAAATCTTGGCATAAAACACGCCTCAGGTACCCTCAAAAAGATGTATCTTTGAAGAACTAAAAATAATTATCACTAGTTTGACCTTATTACAGCGGGTTTGAATAAAGCGAATTTTAATCCGATTACACTGGTGAAGGACAAAAACATTGTTACGAATTCCTTCAAAGTTAACGCCGTGCATTATTTCAAATCAGTTTTCATTTTGTCAACAAGATTTACCTCTCTTGGACAGGGCGTGTGTTACAGAATCTTTTCTCGCGCTCGATTTAGCAATGTCTTTGACTAAAATGACAGCTTCTGGGAACAGGTTCCCAGATGATTCTATTGTTTTCTTTTCCTACTTTGAAGTACAAACGTGACTTTATTCACAACTTGACCAATCCTGAAACCGCGAAAATCGGTGGCGAGTGCTTTCAACTCAGTACAAAAGGAATTATATATTTTGATGTTTTTGCTTTTCCTCTTTAATCTGTATTAGCCGAGTATTTCACCTAGGTTTCATCTGATTTCAACGTTGAACTTCGGCCATTGAAGTGATTTAAAATTGGCTTGTGATCTTTGACTGACGAAGGGAACTCCGACTAAAGGAAACAAACTTTATCTGTTTCTTTGACAATTTCAGCTACTACATGAAGTTGGTTTGTTCTTGGGTAGATATTGGTACTTTTTTTCACACCAATATATACTAAGCATCTGGATTTGGTACACCATCTGTTTTGTTTTTTAGGATTTTCTCCTTTTGAATGTCTCTTAGCTTTGGAACCTAAAAAAGTGTTAATGTTATTAAACACGTTATTAATTTCATATGTAACTACAAAATACGGTGTTTTGATTAACTTGTGTTTTGTTGGGACAAACTGTAGCAAATTTCAAGTCACAACTTTCTCAATTGAATGTATTAATCTTCTTTTATTACAAAGATAGCTAAAAACACGCTTTACTAATCTGGTTTATAAAAGTCATTAAATCTAAATATCAGGCCCATTTTCCGATAAAGCTCATTAATATGAGTCCACCAATAAGCCCAACAAAACCTGTAATAGTTGTAATCATATTGGCGTTTCTCAATTCGCCGTGAATCCAGTCTCTTGCCCACCATTGGCCAATACCAGTCCAAATAAGGATTCCGGCTGACAAAGAATCCAAAGTACCTAAAGCTATAATGGTCAGTGGGTTGTTTCCATTGAATTTCTCTAATACTCCTAATCCGATAGCCATTCCAATAGGTGTAATCAATGCAAAAGCACCTCCCATAACGCATTTGTGTAACATCGAAGTGTATTGCAATTCAGCAACCCTGGACCCAAGGGCGAGACCTTCAAAGAATTGATGGAAGACAATAACAATGAACAATGTAATAAAGTATGAATCAGCTGTAACAACCAATGTGATCCCTATAAGAATAGAGTGGAAAATAATACCTGCTTCAGTAGTAAGTACATTTATCAAATCCAGTTTCTTGATTGTTTCATTTTCATTATTAAAGGACACACTGTTGGATTCAACTCCTTCTTTAGAAGCTTCTTCCGTTTTTTCCTGGATAACTGTATTTCCTATTAAGATTCTAGAAGAACCATACTCGACAAGGAAGGCCAAGAACAACCCAGCCATTGTTATGGCAGTTCCAGTAGATTCGTAACTCAAAGTGATACATTTGTTGTTCCACATTAAAAATGCATGAGTTAACAAGTGAACAAACGCTGTTGAGATGATAACACCCGTACCAAATTGCTTAACCAATACAAAAACTAGAGAATTGATTCCAAAGCTTGGAACTTTCTTAAATACAGTTGGGAAAAATACCCCTATGGCACTAGTGACAAGCATGACAAAAAGCAAACCAATACGCAAAGGTTTGTTATAATCCCTTTCGACCTTCTCGCAAACAACTTCTGACTCATCATCACCAACACAATGCTCTACTCCGGCATGGAAATGACACAGCTTTCCAGTAGACAGTTTTGAATTCTGCGTGACAAATTCATATTCAGAACCACTTGAATCAACACAGAAAGTAGAAGTGTCATGTGCGTGGCAATCAGTATACAGCTTTGGCATATCACTTGAAGAAGTTGGAGTGGGGATCAACTTCCCAGCAAATCCACTGTTATCAACACAGACATAGGCACTATTGATGAAGGCACAGTTTGTGATAGCAGCGTCAGTAACCTTCAGTTCGGAACTAGTGGCAGTCCTAGTTACAGTAACAACAGAACTCTCATCAACCTCGGCTACGGTTCTTCGAAAGATCGTGGTATCAATGGACGCAAGACGGTAACCTTCAGTTGTAGTCAACGTTCTTCCCAAAACGCCATTAACGAGGGCTAGACCCAAAAGCAAGCAGTTACCAGTTTTCATCTCTTTCACTTTCCTTAGGGTAAATGAGTTAACTGCCGATTTTTTGAGTCATGGTGACATTCTTCTGCCTTTATACTTTCTGTAGGCAATTACCAAGAACTTTTGAGATGCCTTCACTGACTGGTGACTCTTGTTTTTCTGAAATTATCGCAATTAGACTATTAGATTAGTGTTACTTTCCTCTGTGATGCAACCTTCCAAGAAAAAAAGTACTGTACGCATTTTGCAACCTTTTTTTTTACAGTAATAGTGGTTATGGTGCCAGTGGACTCAGTTATATAAATAGGCTAATGAATTTTCCTAGTCAATTGAATTGAATACTTCTTGTAGTCGATGAATAAAAGAGATATCAAATAGACGGGATTGTAGTCTCGCTTACTCTATGTTTTAATGTATTTAAGTCACTATCTTCATGACTTAGTGTTGATGCTGTTGGATATCACAAAATCATTCTGAGCTCAACCATCAAGGTTTACCAAGAAAATCATAGTAAGTACCATTAGGGTGCTTCCAAGCAAAAATCTACTTAATTGCAACTTCTTTAGGTCTAAGTGGAACAATCCAAATTGATTGTACTAGGCATCGCTGATTGTCTCATCAGATGAAAACTTTATAACTCAACTTCGACCGTATATATAGTCAGCTTGAACGCCATGTTTTCAGGAAATAATTCTAATTAAAATATCATTCAACACCGACACATCAACAGAAAATGTTTAAGACAATCTGTGTACTTTTAGCAGTTGCTTCGAATATTGCAGCCGAGTCTTCAACTTCTTTGGAAAGTCAAGTAGTATCTGCTACTACTTACGTTCAAAGCGACTCAACATCGGATGTTTGGACCGATAATTGGGAAAAAAGTTTCCCTATTCACACCTCCTGTAACCAAACCAAGTTCAATCAATTGAGTGCTGGGTTGGATGAGGCAATGCAAATCGCTGCTCATGCAAGAGATCACACTCTTAAATACGGAAACAATTCTGAAATTTTCAGAAAGTATTTTGGAAGTGGTCTCCCTGCAACCGTCGCTGGTGTTTTTGACAGTGTTGTCAATGCAGAAAAGAGTGGCATGTTGTTCCGTTGTGACGACATTGATGGTAACTGTAAGTTTGATGGCTGGGCTGGTCACTGGAGAGGTGAAAATGGTACAGATGAAACAGTGATCTGTGATTTATCCTTCACCACAAGAAGAAGGTTATCTCAATTATGCTCTCAAGGTTGGACTGTTGCCAATAGCAAAGATAATATCTTTTGGGCAACTGATTTACTTCATAGATTCTGGCATACTACTGTATTGGGTCACGGTATTGTTGGTCACTATGCTGATGGATACAAGGATTCACTTGAATTGGCTTCTAAAAACTCATCTTACGCGGTTATTAACTCTGTTTCGTTAAGACTCTTTGCCCTTGAAGTATATGCTTATGATATTACTGTTCCGGGTGTGGGTTGTTCAGGTGATAGCGGTTCATCAAGTGTTGTTAAATCTTCCTCTACCACCCCAGTGGCAGCTACTCCCACTTCAACAGATGACCATGATGATCACGCTCACGCTTCAGACGACCACGATCACTCTCACACTTCAGACGATCACGACCATGCCCATAGTACAGGAGGTACTGAGTGCCATACCCATGCAGATGGTGTAGTCCATTGTGTTTAAGTCTTTGACATACTAAGTACATGCCCATGAGCTCTTATGCTTAAAGGTTTTTGCTTTTCAGTTTTACTACAATCTAATGGATTGTACTTGGATCTTTGAATCCATTATTTCTGTGTTAATAATGTTATATTAAATAGTTTTAGTTCTTTAGAGGGAAGAGAACACCTATAAAACAAATACAATTAAGTAAGTAAGTTTCTCCTACAATCCCTATTAACCCTCTAAAAGTGGGTCCATTACAAATTTCAAGGTGAACGGCCAACAACCATTCGAGCTTTAGGTATTTCAGCCGTAAAGAAAAAAGTTGTAGTGATGACATTGGTATCTACGAGCGCATTCGAAGTGTAAGTATTAGTGAAGAGGTACAAATAGACAATTGACATGTTGAGTTTGTGAAATTTCACATTGTACTTAATGGAGTTAAGACATTTAGCGCTAAAGTACTAATTAGGAAATTATGACCACAACTATACTCGCTAGAAGCTCAAGCAATATTTCACAATGGGATAAGCACTCGAAACACCTAATTTGAAATATCATGTAGATGAAGTCGTTTTCAACCCAATAATATTGGGGTTGATATGCATTTATGTCAATGTCAACATTTCCCGGCCCTACTTAAGACATTAAGAATATAAAGAGCAATTAAAAGCAACATGCTTGATTTAAATGTTCATCATGTACATTTATTTAGTAATATCAGTGTATAAAATTAATAATCTCGTAACATTAAACATCATAAGGATGATCTCGAATCCAGACCGCAGATCAATTATTTAGAAGTGTCAACCACGTATCTACCGATAATTTTACCGGCTTCCATTAACTCGTAAATCTTTGGTAATTCAGACAAGCCAACAACCTTGATTGGGCACTTGATCAAGCCTCTTGCAAAGAAGTCAATGGCTTCAGCAGAATCAGCTCTATTACCAACGTAAGAGCCTCTGATGGAAATAGACTTCACAACAGCTGAGAAAACAGGTGTAACAACTTGAGCACCAGCTGGCAATCCGACCAAGACGACAGTACCACAGGCTCTGACGTATTCACATGATTGGGCAATGGCCTTTTCGGAAACTGAAACGTTGATAGCACCGTGTGGACCTCCGTTAGTTGCGGCAACGACATCTTTAACAATATCTGAAGACTTGGTGAAGTCAACGTAAGTTTCAGCACCTAAGCTCTTACAGAATTCACCCTTCTCTTCGCCACCATCAATAGCAACGACTCTGTAACCCATAGCCTTGGCATACTGGATGGCAAGTGATCCTAAACCACCACCAGCACCAGAGACTGCAACCCATTGTCCGGCTTCCAATTGTGCGGTTTTCAAGGCCTTGTAGACAGTGATACCAGCACACAAGATTGGAGCAACTTCTGCCAAATCAGTTCCAAATGGGATTCTAGCAGCTTGGACAGCATCAGCAGTAGCATATTGTTGAAAGGAACCATCGTGAGTGTAACCAGACAAATCAGCATCGGGACAGTTAGATTCGTTAGACTTTTGACAGAATTCACAGGACAAACAAGAACCGTTTAACCACTTAACACCGGCAAGATCACCAATTTTCCATCCCTTTACGTTCTTACCAATGGCAACAACTTCACCAGCACCTTCGTGACCACCAACCAATGGCAACTTAGTGGGCAATGGCCAGTCACCCTTCCATGCGTGCAAGTCAGTGTGACAGACACCAGAGTACTTAACATTAATCAAGATTTCGTTAGCCTTTGGTTCTGGAACTGGGATTTCCTTGTATTCCAATGGACCACCGTTAGTTTCGAACACAACGGCCTTTTGAGTTTTGGGAATATCAACCATAGTTATAATTTGTATTTATGCGTGCAAGTGTCTCTATAGAATATAGAATGGAGTTCAAAGGAGACTACTTGAGAAGAATTGGGAGGAAAGCGGCCCCTTTTATAATGTTTTAGTATCCACGAACTTGCTTCTCGTTGATCGATGGTCTCCGATAAAGCCCTTCCTGAATCACTCCACCACGCAGGAGAGTTGGGGACGTGTGGTAAAATGCTGCGTAAATGGGGAAGTACAAATTAGGAAGTTCTCAAGGAAGGTTTGACAATAAAAAAATAGAAGCAAAAATAAACTTCCTAGATAGCCCTGTGAGTGATTTTAGTTGATCGCAGTTTTCAGGGTCAAGCGATGCTAATTTACTAGTAAGAGTATCATGTGAATTGCCGGTGTCTAGTACTACTATGGCAGTTCAGCCCAAGCATGGAAAACTAAATAGAATTAGTAACATGCTTACTGACAGTACTAGAGTCTTCGTCCTAGGAGGTCGTGTCTTATACGTTTATCGAAACTTGAGAGTCCGAGTTTCTCCGCATTGTATGGGGTACAGGAAAACAGCAGATTCTGGAGGGGCATCAGTCGATTGGCTCGGAGTCCTCAGATGACTTTTCAGCGCGATTCAGAACCACCTGGTGACTTCAATTCCAGAACATCCATTCACCTAATCACATTTGACGATATAGTTCGTGGCCCTAAATTTCCCCTCGTTTGTTAATTTAATGTGACTCTTGAGGTCCTCCAAAGTATCCACTGGGCAAGCCTTGGTGTGTACAGGAAACCCACCTAACACAAACTAGTTCAATTGAAGTATTATTTGCGCTACCTTGGACAATACCAATGTGCGAGATAAGCACTCATTTTTTGAGAGTATGCGCTTAGAGTTTTCCCCCTCGTAATTCATCACCAGCATGAAAGGAGGGGCGGAGTTTACGGACCTCAAAAGGGAGGGGCAGAAGTGAACAGTCCAATCCAGTAGTAATCAATATTGAACTGAATGAACATTCGCCAGGAACAAGCAGCCATGAATTGGTGCAGCTGGCAACGGGTGCTTGTGACGAGACGACATCAACATCTATTTTTCTCGGAGTTAAGAAACAGGTCCATCTCAATAATTGTTGGTCTCCGGGAATGACTCTTATTGGTCATGCACTGTGTAGTACTTACTATAAACGAAAGAAATGCTATCGGAACTGCATAGCACCGAACGACAAGAATACACTTTGCAACGAGACTCCGGCTAACTCCATTGTACTGACTTTCGGAGTTTGCCTAGTGGGGCTCTCTCTTATTGACTATGCTTTAAACTCCAGAGTTTGGTATAAAACAATTCTACATTCACATCCACGGAAGAGTATTACCGATATACCAGAACTTTCATACCCCAGAACAATTACATCAATGTTGTTCACCAACTAGACTTTCCGTACATGGAGCTTCCCATGATTAGGTACAAGGTACTTACTGTTATTTATTTTTTAACATTATTTGACTACCTAAGAGGAAAACTTGGTAAAAGTTTGACCCCAAAAAATCAAATTGAAGACGAAAAACAGTAACCATAGCAGTAACTAATTATAGTAGTGATTTGAACTAGCAGTTGCATATGATAATAAACCAGATGATGAATGCTTGTTGAAACAAGTGGTCTAAATGAAGAATACATTTGAATTTTTGTAATTGACGTATGTTGGGTCAGGTGACAATCGTGTTGGTGTTAGGGACACCACATGTTCAATGGTAGCACGCAGTTACTGCTGCACTGTAAAATATGAGAAGGAAAATAATTTAAGGGTGATGCGGTGGCTCAATGGTAGAGCTTTCGACTCCAGATCGAAGGGTTGCAGGTTCAATTCCTGTCCGTGTCAATTCCTTTTCCTTTTTTTTGCAAACACATTGTTCGTTCCTAACTTTAATTAGAACGTAATACATCTGGGGTTTCTTTTTGAAAACATAATACAAGAGTATCTCTGCTACTGTTAAGTGTAGCATAGCTTTTCCTCTGAAGTCTTTACTGCGTAATATTGCTGCAGTGTGTAAAACTATTTACTTTCTGATAGGTCGTGTCCACATTCAAAAGTGTCCGCTGAAGTGAACACGAACACCACCAACGAAACGATCAACAAAAATTTCAATAACAAAGTGTTAACTACCATTTGAAAGCATAGATCAAAAGTGAAAATGGTTGTATTGGCGGCATCAATATGTACACATGGAGGGAAGGCCCTTTTGTCGCGTCAATTTAGAGAATTGACCAAGGACAGGATCACAATGCTTTTGGCTGCGTTTCCCACTTTAATCTCCAACTCCAACTCACAGCATACAACAGTTGAAGATGAAAATGTTAGATACGTGTACCAGCCGTTGGAAGAGTTCTACATTGTCTTGATCACCAACAAGTCGTCGAACATTTTGGAGGATATTGACACATTGCATTTGTTTGGCCTGTCAGTGAGCAACATGTTGAGATCTATTGATGAGAAGGAGATTTTTGATTCTGCCTTTGAGATCTTGAGTGCATTTGATGAAATCATCAATTTGGGGTTCAAGGAGAATTTGACTATCTCCAAGGTGCAGACATTCTTGGAAATGGTATCTCATGAGGAAATGATTCAAGAAATCATTGAGAGAAACAAGGAATTGGAAGCCAATGAAGAAAGAAGAAGAAAGGCCAAGGAAATACAAAGAAAGGAATTGGCAAGAAAGTACATGGAATCAACAACTTCAAATGCCAATCAAGCATACAATGCAGCTAACATAAACTTGGGTGATTACTCTTCCCAACTGGCCGCTGCTACTGTTGCTTCCACTCCATCATACACAGAGTCCACCATGGAAGGCTATGGCAGCTCTCCTTCTGCGGCTCCATCTTCAAGTATCAGTGGTGTTCCAAGAGGTCCTAGACACGGTGGAGGGTTGCAATTAGGAAAGAAGAAGGCCCCTACAGCACATTTAGGTTCAAGTGACCCTGCTGCTCAATCATTATTAAACCAAGAAGTAAAACAACTGGCACTTCCAAGTCGACAACCAGGCTATGAAGCTCCAGAAGCTCCACAACATGTTCCAGCGGTTGCTCCTCGTTTTGCCGAAAGTAGACAAGCGTCCTCTACACCAGTTCCCTCCGCTCCTAAACATGCAAACAACGGTATTTTGATTACCATCATTGAAAAGATCACAGCTTCCATAAACCGGGATGGTTCTATTAACTCAAGTGAGGTAAAGGGAGACTTACAATTGAGAATAAACAATGAAGAGTATGCCAACTCCAAAATTTTATTGGAAAAAACGTCTCAATCGAAGGCTATCCAATTCAAGACTCACCCCAACGTTGATCGTAGCTTATTTGTGTCTGGAAGTGTCATTGGGTTGAAAAAGGGTAAGTCATTCCCATCCAACGATCAGGCTTTGGGTGTTCTTAGATGGCAAGCCAAGTCAGACGAAGCTGATTACTTACCTATTATCTACACAGTATGGACATCTGTTGACGATGGTTTGGCTCAAGTCACCATTGAATATGAGTTAAATGAGAAATTCCTTGAGAATAATGTTGACCAAGACGTTCTTTTAGAAGACATTAAATTAATAATAGGTTCAGAAGATCCTCATTCTATTAACTTGACTGATTCTAGTAATGAAAACGTTAGCTATGATGTTGATGGAGCTAACGGAGCCATTGTATTTACAATTGACAAAGTGACCTCAGATGAACCTTCTGGTACCATTGAGTTCTCTCTTCCCGTGTATGATGAAGATGCATTGTTCCCCATTCAAACTAAGATCAACTACACAAACACCAATGCAACTGAAAGCGACACATGCTTTGCTGGAATAAAGATTGTAGATGTTGTGTCCAATGATGATGGTGAGGAGAGTTTACCTTTTGACTTGCACAGTAACATTGTTGCTGACTCCTATACAATTGTTTAAAGGTAATTGTAACTTTACTAAACTGAACTAGGTATATATAAATACATATAAATAGTTTATATAAGTTAAAATAAAACTTACTCCAATTGTTACTGATATGTGATTCAGTCTATACAACGAGACTATTTATATGTATAATGAAGTAGTATGTACATTTTGGAAGGAATTGAAATAATTATAATGCACGCTTTACCTTAACGGTATGGCTATAACGTGATGGAGATACTATCGGTAGCGACGGAAAAAATACACCCTAAACCTTCTCTTAAGTTCAACTCAAAAAGTTCATCTTGGATGATTCTTCGAGGATCCGTTGGTCCATCTTTGACATGGTTAACAATCACGTTCAAGTTATTGAGAGGCACCTTGACTTGAGGATTGAGGTTGCGACATTCCGTTCGGAGTACCTTAAGTTCCTCTATCAAATAGTACGGGGTTATATGTCCGTAAAGCTCTGAAAGTTCAGTGGCATTACACAGAGAACATTCTATTATAATCCCCTTGAGCGTGCCATCTACAATGTACGAAGCCATGTTACGCCATATGTTTAATATGTTGCCTGAACCAGAAACCAAGTCACTTTCGCAGTCGCCAAACACTAGAACCTTTGCACCATTTCCACAACGATCAGTAACAAGATACGCCGCGCTTTCACTGTCTCCATGAGATAGCGGATACAAAGAGACCTCAAAGCTATCGTTGACACGGAAATGCAGATTATAGTCGTAGCTATGCAAATCGACCAAATGGAAATCATTCATTCTGGGCCATATGATTCCGTTGAAAACGTACTTGGCCAATGCATTGGTGGTATAAGAAGAAGCGTGTACTGTTTTGGTTGTCTTGAACCCAGCTGAGTTTACAACCAATGCGCTAATATGATCTAAATGAGGATGTGTTATAAGATAGTGTGACTGGTTCTCGAATATGCGGTGAGCCAAAGTGATGGCTTCAGATTTCAAGGTTACCCCCTTTTGTTCTAAACTCCGGAATGGGTGTGTCAAAATCCTCAGGTTGACATGCTTATTACAAATCAATCCATCCTTCGTAAATATATTGATGAGTGAGCCTATGCCGGCGCCTGCGTCGATGCATAATAGATGCTGTGAGGCTTCATTCTGAATAATATCTTGATAGGAAATAGAAGATGGTTTTAATAGTATCGCACAATTGTGGCCCTCTATAGGACCACCGTCGGAACCTAAAAACGTAATGTCAAAGCTCATGGAACACAGCTAATTGTTGATAACTGCAGTAGTTATCTATGTCGAAAGGGAGATAGGTGATGCTGGATAATTTTGTTGTATATCGTTAAAACAATGGATGGTGCTGACCGAATAATGATTTAGGAGATCTGGCAGTTTGTGTTGTATTGTACTTTTGGATAAGTTCTTCTACTTTAATGGAGGGTAGTGATGTCAAATGGAACTGAGTTGAGATTCCATTACCTCCACTATATACAAATTTCTGTGGTAATTCTCACCACCAGTAAACACCCCAACCTGCGCGCAGCATGCTTCTTTGCTTGCTGCAAGAGGCTTCCACAGAAAAAGAAACTAAAACGTGGGCGACCATATGGGTAGCGAAGCCGCACCAACAAGATGTTAACTCATGAGTTTTAGGCTATTGATATACTCCAAAAAGGTGAAGCATAATGCATGTCACCGACCAAAGAACTATTGGTATATAGTTCTCATGTAAAACGTAATCAGATACGCTAAAAATCGATTATACAGATTGTTAATTAGATAAGTGGGGGATAAGTCAAATGGGCAAGCATGCCTATTGTAGGCTGTTCCTTTGTTGCATACCAAGTTAGCCGACCATCGGAATGCGGTAAGGTCCGTGATTGTGTTCCGATATGTTGTTACCCCGTTGTACAGATCGACCCTACAGAAATCGGTTTCTTTTAGTATGCGTTGAAGAAGAAAACCATCTCATAATGAATGACAGCAATTGATCTTGAGCTAACGACTTCCTTCTAAAAATAATCAGATAACGCCTTCAAATAACGTCCATCAGTGGTTGTATAAATCACAAGATATCACTAGATATCAACTTTCAAGTACAAGGAACTCCTGAACTGGATTTTATTGTTGATTGTTGATATTATTAATTTACTTTTGAGCTTTGTCGTAATACGAAATGCAATGTTGGAATTGGATAAATGTGTTCACACATTTATTTTTTACCACAGATTGTTCGATTGCAGGGTTCGACGCAACGCCATGTCACTTACTAATTTGTAGTTATTATTGTATTGTATCACCTTTTGATAGAATGTCATCATTATAATCCTATGTCGCCTTCATACTATGACATCTTCATTCCCGTCTTTATTCAATTCAACGTGAAACCTATGTCGAACCTTCCGAAGTCAGAGTCATATCGGGGCTTTGATGGATTACTTCTGTTGCATATGGCCTTACTCCTCCTCGTATCTCTTTCTCACCACATGCTATCCTACGCCTCAATTTAACCATCGTCGATTCCTGTCACTAATAATCACATTTTTACTACACAGGTAAGTACGAATGGTCCTACAAAAGTTTGTGTTCTCTCCGCATTTATCTTTTATCTTTTCGATTACGTATACATCTCATTCTACTACTGTTGGGCATTGCCGTAGCCCCTGATGTTTTGTGCAAATCGCCAATTTTGATCTTTCACAACCAAGTCTTTCTCAAACTTAAGTTCTTGACCCTTTTTAATGGTCACCATCGAGTATTTATCCATAGATCTGGCATCTCTGTAGAACAAAACCCGCATACAGTCTTCAATAACTTTACGGGCTTGTTCTTCAGTAACATCCACATATTTCTTGTCTTCAGGAATCACTTGACGCAACAATGGCACTGCCAAATGTGCACCAAACCCAGTGGCCAATGTAGAAGAGGAAAATGAAACCCCCAACAAGTCAACAGACTTCATAAATGGTTCGCCAGCTTCATCAAACCCTCCAACAATTAATGCATTCCATAAGGGGTTCATTTGTGATCTTCGATGATACAACAACTTGGTCAAATACTCATGTACATTGACAGCCTTCAATTGGTTTTCACCATCGTTATCATAAACATTTTCTTGTAACTCCAATGAATCCAAGTAACGAGCTAATTGTTGAGCATCACTAATATCTCCAGAGACACCTACTACTGTATTTTCACCTATAGTTAGCAATCTTTCGACATTGCTGAATCTCATGAGTGACCCGTATGATCCCATGTTATCTGCAGCTAAAATCACACCATCCTTGTACTTAATACCAATAACTGATGTACCAGTGATGATGGGATTTTGCGTGTTCATTTTGGGGAACAGTGAATTAACTCCTGCCTCTGCAATTTGATGATTATAAGCCCCATAAACCGCATCGTCGGGTCTACCCCATTTGAATGGATTATGCTCCATCTTGTGTCTTATATATTAATGTTTTCTTTTGACAATGCCAGCCAGTGTTCGATGTCCAGAATTAGTGATGGTTGGTATGGCTTGTTTCTGGTGGCGATCCCAGCGATTTTCTGTCAAATTACTTTTGCGACAAAACGTTACCCGGACATCTCAATAGTAGTAAGTGCTTCACTTACCATTATAACTATCAAAGCCTTGGAATAGCTTGACACAACTATATATATCAAAACACTGAATTCATTCACATTTTGTACTTCTTGAAAGTCGCCATTACTTGAGAGTTTCATTTGGTTTTCATTCTCTCTCTACTACAAAAGACACTCTGCATTCAATAAATAAAGCTTATATTCGTATGTACTTGTTTAATTCATCTAAAACACAACCTCGGCACCTCCAGAGATGATATCTTCCATCTCAAGCTCAGTTGGAGGTGTGTACCTGAATCTGGCTGGTAATTCAGATCTGGAGAAGTATTCACCGTCCTTTGGCTCCAACGATCCCTTAAAGATGCTAGATACAATAGCGGATGCAGCAGAAGCAGCAGCGGGAACTAATCCTTCTGGAGCACAAGGATGAGCCTTGACACTATGAGAAATGCCAGCTATGCAATTATAATGTTAGTATATTGCCATTAATCACCAGTTAACCGCAGAAGTCTGGTTGTAAAATTTCTTGTCACATACCAGGAGCAAGGTGAGGTCCTCCAACAAACTTAATTAAGGGGACATGTTTCAATAACATCACAGCAGGTCTCATTGTAAGTAAATATGAATGTTACTCTTGAAAGACGACTGTCGCTGGATAACCCGGAGACAACCGTTTTGAAGATAGTTTTTTTTGATTCGCTATTTTCGGGGAAGTGCGTGCACCAAAAGACATACGGAAGTAAGACCATGGATTATCGGACCCTAATATTCATCACTAGTTGATAATGCACTATATGAATACATATATTTATAAAACTTAGGGATATAAAACGTAGGATAATTTAAAAGACTTTAATTGACTGTAAACATTTGTTTCGGTTAAATTAGACATTAAAGTGATATGAGGATAGCCATATTGCGGCTGATTGACAATCAGAATGGTATATGCTTCTTTAAGTGGTTAATGAATTTGGATAATGTTTTATTGATTTATCAATTACTTCTAGTTACAGTTATGATCTTTAAACGGCTGCCATGGGCTCACTACTCACGTGAATAATAGCAATAGCCTATACAATAGTGGAATATATCATTCACATTAATAGTGTCAACCTGTTTTGTATAACAGGTAAGTCCTATTAAACCCTCTAACGTTATGCTAATTTCGTTATACTGTAACTTCCACATACAATCCAAACCATACCAATTAGACCATGTAGTGATAATTTCCACCCCATTTCAAATGGCTGCGAAAAAAAAAGCTGTGGACAGCGGTTACTACGTACTTTTTATAAGCATCAAAGTCAAGCCACAATGGAGTATGAATACAGTGCTATTGATGGATTACATCCAAATATCATAGATAGGATACTTTTCCTCACATATGTTAAAGATCGGAAGACGGGTAGCATCCTCAATTTCCTTTTAACATGTAGAGAGGCGTACCACACTCATCTTCATGTGTTGTATCGACTCAAGGAGGTAAGTGTTGAATACTCCAGGTTCCATAAAAAGAACTGCCACGTACTTGAACGTAAAGGACTTCCCGTGTGTTATTTGAACATTAAGAACATTAATGACAAAACTCCTTTGCATAACATAAGTCTGATGGATATGCTTCACACTATTACCTGTGGATTGGGGTTTACATCAAAACCAGAGGTTTTATGGTCGAAACTCCTTTTGGCCCTTCCGGCCAACGTCACCCATTTGAACATTAACGTTAACGGAAACTATCCTTTACCAGTTTCAGCAGATAACCTATTTATCCACAACAGACCATGGCTTCCCCTTTTAACATATTTTAGTTTTTGGTGTAAAGGTAAACCGATTGTGCGCCAATCCAAGAAGGGTGAACGACCACTGATATTTAGATCTCGAAAATACCAACCCAAGAGAGCTCAGTTATTCAGCAAGTATATGTTTGTATTGCTTCAAAGCATGCAAAATAACCTTAAGTACTTAGTTTTTGGAAATGTTGAATCCGAAGTATTAGGCTTCCTGAATGGAGGCTGGAAAACCTTGGACAAGTTCCCTCAGCTTGAATGGATTATATTAACTAGAAATATTGATTTCAAGGCAAAAAGAAGGTTCATAAGGTCTCTGGTTCTTTATCGGTTGGTCATTTATGACTCCTTCAACCATGAGATCATATTATACGAATCAGAAGCTTACACTAGAGGTATATTCAACCCTTCAGCAGTTCATAGGGCGCGACAATTAGTTAAACAAGCTATGCGGATCGGGAGAACCAAGATTCCGATGAAAGAAATGAAGCTTGTGTACTACTTACACAGAAATCCAGTTTCCCTTACCAGTGAAACAGAAACAGAAGCAGAAGCAGAAGAAGAAGACGAAGAAGAAGATGATGAAGATGATTATGAAGAGGGAAATGAAGTATAAATTCAATCTAATGTGGTACAAAGTACTCTTTAGAAAATTAGCACACAGCATCGTCATATAATAAGATTCAAATAAAGTAGTATACTATCTTTGCTACTGGCAGTTCATACTTTTCCGTTGTTATAGTACTTAATATAGCTTTTCTTTAATACGTTGAAGGGTTACGCCCACAGTATATGTAGCCTGGTTCGATTCTCAGTATTCGCATTTGTAAAGAAAATTTAACCCCAACAGAAACGTTTCATTATCAACTAACCACCGTTTCATACTCACAAGAGGATACAACTATGTCCGATCGATTGAAGAGAACAGTAGAGCGGTTTAAGACCAGAATTGAGAGCGGAGCCTATTACGAAGCCCACCAAACAATCCGAACAATTGTTAATAGACATGTCAAGGCAAAACAGTATTCGGAGGCGGTGGACTTGTTGTATGAGGGGGCCAATGCCTTAGCTGATAAAAAAGAATATGCATCTGCTGGAGACTTAGTAGGTTACATTCTTGCTGTATACGAAGAGGCCGGAGTCACTGGTAATGACCATAAACAGCGTTTGATCGAGGTGATCAATAAGTTCCCCAATACTGAAGATAATACTCTCATAGATATCTCCAAAGAGGCCATCAAATGGTCAAAAACAGCATCTGGATCTCCCTTTGGCGATTCGGATTTGCATCTGGTGTTCGGTTCTAAACTCATACAACGAGTACAGAGTTTGAACCTGTCTAAGTCCGCTGAAGATTCATACAAGTTATTCCAAGTGGCTGAAGTCAACTTGGTGTTAGGGTCTCACCAATGTTTACCATTATATGTTGATTTTCTCTATCAATGGTACGTGGCAAGCGATGGACTGAATGATCCTGGTTTATATTTGGCTCGCGCAGTGATTAACTACGCGTATTTGAAGAACATCAAGTTTGTACTGGAGTCTGTGAACCGGTTTGTCGAACAGTTGTCTAACGCAAAGCAACCCACTGAAATCATAGAAACCGAAGGAGTCGTTGTTAAGTTCTATGACAATTGCCCCTTGTTAAATTTCGTGCAATTGCTTGCATTGACATTATCGCGAGAGAATTCCAGTGCCAAGTTCATGAAGCTCTACGACGAATACAGACAGACAATTGAAGCCAATGAACTCACCAATTCCATTGACTACTTGGGACGTCTTTATTATGATTTGAAGTTGGGCAACGCTAATGGAGGCAACAACATGTTTGCCAACTTGATGAGTGGGTTGTTCAAATAGTATATAGTAAATAATTCATTCATTCATTCATTGATTGATCGATTTCTAGGTCTTTTTATAATGTAATATTTAATCCTAATATTCGCTGTCTTTAACAATGACAGACAGTTCCAACGCCGCTACCAACTCGGGTCTTTTGGCCTTTAAAAGCTCATGTTGCGCTTCAGAGAAGGTACACCATCGCCTTTCCCTTTCCTTTTCGGGCCAATCTTCACTGATTTTCGTGACTAACAATTCATAGAAATGAAACTCCGTTTTAGGAACATACTTATGAGGATCAAATTCCTCACCAGGCTTCAATGACGGGGCCTTCTGACCTCTCAGATCATATACCACAGGTAGCTTATTTAAAACGATCCCCTCAACTCCTGCTTCTTCCCAAGTTTCTCTAACAGCAGTAACCACAAAATCTTCACCTTCATCCGTCTCAATGCCACCCTTAGGTAACACCCACTTTCCCAGATGACTGCTCGACAGCACCATTAGAACCTTATCCTTATCTTCAGCAAGACAAATACATCCAGCAACCATTCTGGCTCCAGATTCAGGATTGAACCGTTGCGTTTCTCTGCCTTTACGCAGTTCAGTCAGTTTCACAGGGAGGTTCGGATTAGACATACCAGAACTATAACACATATATACTATTGGGTATACTCAAACACTATAGAACCCTAGCGTATGACAGCAAAGCTTAGTCTCACTTAAATTATGGGGTTCCTATTGGGGTCGTGCGAGGACCATGTACACTGTTTCGGCTCGACTTCATTGAGGTTGTGCTATCAATTTAGTACTGTCACACAGAAGTATCATATAGAAGTACTATCACGTACTTGGTTGAAAGTACAATTTGTATTATGCTTTTCCCTATCTTAGCGTTAGCCTCGGCTCTTCTTGTATCGGCCAAACTACAAGTGAAACCAGAAGGAATGGATTTTGCTTCGTGGCACATGCAGCAAGTACATCAAACAGAGCAGTACGATTCTGATGCCTTCTTCTTAATCCATGACTTGACCGGCACCAAGACCTGGAGCAAAGAAGATATCTTGAACTTATACGGATTAAAAAGGCAAGATGTGGTGGGAGATGGTTCCGGTGGAGGAGAACACGAGCATGATCACGAGATCATCAGTGAACAAGTTAAAGACCATGTAGCGAAAACAATTCTCGGGATGATTGATCCTAATAACGATGGAAAGGTCACTTTGAAGGAATGGCAAGCATTTGTAGCTTCTAAGAAGCAGTTGCCTGATTTTGGATATGGTCCAGGTTACCATCTAGATTTTGAAGAGGAATATGAAGAGAAACACTGGAACCAATACCATCGTGATGCTGATCCAGACGTCCACATCAAACATAAAGAAGATATTGAACACGAATTACTTCACCACGAGCACGATATTGAATTGACTCATGATAAGTCCCCTGAAATCAGAAAGATAGCTGATGATTTCCTCTCTGAGATCCGTTTAGCCAATGTTGCTGCTAAGTATCTTATTCAGTAATAATAGCACAGTTTACATACATTTGTAAGGACACATATAGACCCAGTAATTATACTATTATATAAAACTTTAACCACTACTTTGCGTTGTCTAATGTGCCAAATGCACACAGACGAAGCGAATCCAACGGTACTTTGCATTTGGTGGTATCACTGTTATTATTACGGAGACACGTTTCGTATGTCTTTAAATGAGAAGCACAAACTCCTTGGATCCGCTGGAACGAGGGAACGCCCGTCTTGATACATGTTTGAAGTTGACTCTGTTCTTTATTGCAATACTCTTGATCAGGTTCTGGCTTGGACATGCATTTGTGGAAAGCAAGAAATTCAACCGGACAACTTTTGGCAATATCCTCCAATAGAATCTGGTCTAATAGTCCTGTGTCTGCCATTGTGTTTAACTATGAATATACGGGTATGGGTGTACTACCACGTAGAAGTATACTGTGTAGTTGTACTGTGAGTTTCAAAAATTTTCACCACTAAATCGGAATGGTACCTTTGACTTCCGTTTCAGACACCGTATAAAGGGAGTAGTGTACGGTATTCGACGCAATCCTACTTATAGTAGATATTGAGTTGAATTGAGTTGAATTGAGTTGATTTGTATCAACCCTGTGATTGTTGACGGAAGTCGTTCGCTACAGACCTTTCTTTTGATCCGCACATTATCATCAAATCACAGTCGCACGCAACATTGACTGCCCATGACTTCTGATCACGTTGCAAGTGCATGTCACATATAACTTGATATGAAGTCAATACCCTCAGGAGCAAAAACAGCCTTATTAACACTAAGTTGGTTTCCTGTACTATATACGTTTACCAACCATGGCTTTCAGCCTTGTCAAATTAGTGGGTTCTCAATGTCCCCCACGTTCAATCCAGGTAAAGATAATGATATAGTGATGGTGCAGAAATTCGGTCTCAAGAAACCCGATTCCTTCAAAAGAGGTGATATAGTCATGTTCAAGTCTCCTAACGACCCTCACAAGTTGCTCACAAAAAGAGTGGTTGGCCTACAAGGTGAAACAGTGCTCCCAAGATCACCTCCATATCCAAGATCTCAAGCAACAATACCCAGAAACCACTTATGGGTAGAAGGAGATAACACAACACATTCAATAGACTCAAATGAATTTGGGCCCATTAGTCAGGCCTTGGTAATAGGGAAAGTCATCACAATAGTATGGCCCCCTTCAAGATACGGTACCGATATAACCAAAGGTGGACGTGATCCTAGAAAACCGTATCTCAATCAGGAGTTACAAGTTAAAGAACTTGATACATAAGTAAATAACATACGCCCCCGTTTTCCCCCTTCTTTATTTTGATTTTTGCTAGCATTTTGTCACAATTTATTGCGCTGATATCAAATCACGTATAATATGACTCCTTCGAATAACCCATGGGTCCATTCGAAAGGTTGATAATTTGAGTTCTCGAATAGTTTCTTCATCCTTGAAGCCATTTCTCAATTGCCTCTGCGAGTTGGCAACATTCTGTAGCTTATGTGCTTCTATTATTTGCCTCATGTACTTTAACTCTAAAAGGGTTTCCTTATCAAAACATCGGTTCCCATAGTTATCTTTCTTGCACACCCTGTATGGAACCCATAAGTTCAAAAAGGGTTTGAAACTGTGCCATTCGTGGAACTTACTAGTCAAGCCTTTGGGATATTCCCGAGCAAGAATCCTATGATATCCCAGAGGAACAAGTGCTTCAACGCCTTCAAAACAAGTAAACTTGAGTGGATGCAATTCTTGTAAGGAATAAAAGTGATCATTGCGACAATTGAATATGGTTCTGTTATTGATATAATGCTCTCTAAGGCCTTTTAGTATGTCACGGACATTCTCTTTATCCATACTGAATGTATGAGCTAGGTTCCTCTCATTAGGGTCCAACATTCTTATTAATTCCTTTCCCTTTCCAGAAGTTCCATCAAACTCAAATGAATTGGAATCATTGGTAAACGATAACGCTGTTATATCAATATAGAATCCTGTTTTAGTATCAATAAAGCGAGCATCAATAGTGTTGGCCCCATTTCCCATGTTTCTACTGAAGAAACTTGGAGAAACATCTAAAAAATATGATCGAATGCCTTGGTCAAGATCTAACGAACTTGTATCGATAACCAAGGTTTGATTGAATTCTTTAGCAAGTGTTACTAAGGAGGACATGCTAACCTGGACATCAACATCAGCATCCCAAGGTAAGGCTAACCCATTCCAATACCATCCTAATAAAGTTCCATGAGCTAGCCAAGTCTTTAAGCCAGAATTTCTAGCAAACTGTAACCATGCCCGTACAAGCATATGAAAAACAGTTCGTTTTTCATACTCTGAGTACTGTAGCTGCTTGAAAAATCGCCAGTCATAATGATCACCATGGTTGGAACCAATGCATTTAGCTTCATGGAAATATTTTGTGAAGTTGGGTGTCTGGTGTAAATTTTCCACAATAGTTGCAGCCAATTCTTTGTCCAGAGGGGTCCCATGTGGCTGACTCAAAAATGAATTGAAGTCAAATTCAAAATCTTCTTTCGTTAAGGGGACTTCATCAAGACTGTCGAAGAATGTTGTTGATTCTTCCTTTCTCCAGAAAGACTGTTGTGGAGATCTGTTAAAGATATATTGGAATCTTGCGGTCTGTTTGGTAATCAGAATGCTAGAAAATTCCCCGTCTTCAGCGTGAGAGATATAGTTACTCACTAGTCTTTCTAACTCCAACTCATCTTGAGAGACTTCTTGATCTACAGGAACGTAAAACGTTGGCGAGTCGTGAAATAGAAACCCAATTTGCTTTGGAGGTGGAGCAGAATGGTATAAATAATTAAGTCCCACAAATCTTCTAAGATGAGAATCTAGAGCGATATCGGGAGAATTTGTCACAATAATTTCGTTCCAGAGTGGTGTAAGTTTGTCAGATGAGGGAGAAGAAGAAGAAGAAGAAGAAGAAGAAGAAGAAGAAGAAGAAGAAGAAGAAGAAGTATACTGTACCAGATATTGAGGTAAATCTTCCAACACACGCATAAGACTCAAAGACTTCAACTCGACATCGTTAGAAAGTAGATGAGAAATACCCAAGAACGACTTCCAACTAAAACGGAGACTTAAAGAGTTCTCCACTAGACTGCCACCATTATTGATAATGTTATTATTACAATCTAGTGAAAGTCCCAAATCATGGAGCCAAAGTGCGGGTAATAGCCTAGGATCAAACTCAGATTCCAATTTCTGCCAAATACAACTTTGATCAACATCAATGGGAATAGCTGCCAAAACTTTCTTAGGAATATAACTTTCCTCTAGATGAGATTGTAAGAGATGCTGGCTGTTTTTGAAATCATCATAATCAAAAAGAGTGATCGAATCACCATCAATACTACGTGTCGTATGAAAAATGAACCAGGCGATAAATGGCCCTGTTACTATTAGAAATAGTGGATTCAACAACGACTTACGTAAAGTTAAAGACATACCATGCTCCTGAGGAAGACGGTGGAGTCGTCTCATAGACTATCTGAATGGCTATGATAATTTATTTGCAGCTCAGCTGGGGAAGGAAAAGTGATACTAAATAATTTGATTTGGCGCACATCAACAACCGTTTTATGGCTACCATATACATATACATATACATATACATATACATATACATATACATATACATATACATATACATACATTGATTGTAATGAGTATCATATTTATAATTAGTTATGAGTCTATTTAAGATGACCTTTGAAATTACCCTCCATGTAATCGATATGGACATAGGCTCTTTCCACCATTGGTAAAGTCTCAATTGCATATTGTAAAGCCTCGGCAATGTCATGATAGTCTTCAAAACTCAAAGACTTATCGTTCTGATCAAACACAATGTCAATTTCAACATTCAAGTTATCACCAACGTGGTACACCTGAAGTGCAGTTATACTTTTGATGGGGTTGGCAAACCGATAGGCCAAATAAAGAATGGCTTTATAATCTTCTGTATCCGCAACAGCCCCAGTAAGATTATCAATGTGCCCAAAAGCCGTAGCGCACCAAGAGTAAATAATGTATCCGGATAAGAATAAGGCACCAGCAGGATCGAGCCACCAAACATTCATATAGTATCCAAGTGTGGGAACAGCCAATGACACGGAGTTAAACACGATATCTGTCCATGCATCTTGAGCTAATGCTTGTACTGAGGAGGAAGGACTACTAGCACACCATATCCAACAGCCAACTTTTGCAGCAATAGTAACCAGCATAATGGCAACGGAGCTAAGACCAATCTTAGCCGCTTCCCTGTCTGCTGGAGAAGAAAAGAATAACCTCTTTGCAGACTCTTGGGCAACTTGAAAGAAAGAAATTATAATAATAACCGAGAAGATTAAGATCCCCAATGGTTCCAATCTTGTTCTACCAACAGGATACAAATGTTGGGTTTTCCAACTCCGATTGGATGACAATCGATTAGCAATAAATATAATAAAAGTTGAAAGGAAATCCAAGATAGAATCAACTAAAGATGCAACCACCGAAATCGAATTGGTTAACATAGTAACAATTACTTTACCAATAAGTAAAAGAAAGTTGATCAAGAAATTCACCATAATTGCCACATAAACATCTTTTGCATCTGCTTCCTCATCTAATCCTAAAATCATAGATCCTTCATTGACTCCACCAGGTATATCTTTAAGGTTTTTCCTTGGATTTTGACTACCATTTTCAGAAATGGAGTTGGTGCTTTCACCATGTTCTAAATTGAACGACTCAAAATGCTGTCCCTCTATCAAAGGAGGGAGATCATCCCCCTTCCCCTTTGTATAGTTGGATAAAATGTTCAAATGAACCTTCCCCATATCAAGAAACTTATCAATTTCCTGATATCGTTCCACCAACTCATTCAAACTATCATAATAGTCTTTCTTACCACCTTTACTCATTTTCATGGTATCAACCTTATGGCTCTCCCATGAAAAGGGAACATAATCACCAATAAGTCGTTGGGGTCTCATGGTCCCAAGAATCGACATACGACGGCCATTACTCTCGAGATCAACACTAGCACCTTCTTGGAAACATGCTTGCAAATTCAAGGAAGAGGATGATTGTGCTAACGATTCATAAGGTGAACCACCAAAGGGATTTGTGACTGTGTAGTGGGATTGCATTAATCTTTGGAGAACAGGTCGTTCATTATCTGGTCTTCTATAGAAATCAGCTTGAGATATAGAGTTGCTATGTCTCAATGGAAACCATCTATCTCTGCTTCTACTTCTACTTCGACTACGAGCGGATGATCCTGTCATATCATAGACCGCGGTGCTATTAATCGGGTCAACAACATTATCATCTTCATCATTATCAAAACCTGTAGAAGGTTGGCGAACTAACGGTGTTCTCTCGTCAGTGGCGGGCGGCATTATGGCCCTCTAATTCTTATGTATGAAAATAATAATTTTATGGAAGTAGTAGTTTATCTTTATCACAGCCAATTCTAAATAAACCAAACACTTTTCAAGTAATAGCTGTTACAAATTCTAATGGTGTTAATTAATTGCTAAAATTATTGTGAATTCTGATTGCTTTATTGAGGCATTACATAATTGAATTAGGGTATACCGATCAGTAAGGCTTAAGTTTCGCTATTATCTTCTTTGACACCCCACGCCCCTAGAATTGGGCGTGATGGCGTCTAAACAAAATATTGTAATTGTATGGTTACATAAGCATTATATGTTTGCAATATTACTTACTTTCACCCTTACAAAAATGTAAGCAAGAAACTTTGCGCATGCTCTTGGAAGAACTAGTCCTAGGACACCTCTCTCAAACCAATAACTTGGACTGTCTTGAAACTTCATTCTTTGTTTTAGCATCACCGACACAGCCATACTTCATTATGTAAGATATTACTGAAAACAAATTATAAAGTCGTGCAAACATTCAGTTTCGCGTAAAGGTTACCCGGACAAATCTTGCTTCCCCGAAAATTTTTATATTGTGAGGTGCGTACTTTCTCACTCTGGATTGAGTATTTAACCTCATCTTCTCTTTTAATAATTCTTCTCTTCTCTTTCCTCTCCTTTTCTTTAGCTTTTATTTCCGTCAGCCAAGCGGCCAATTAGCTAGAGGCGCAGGTCGCTTCTGTATTGTTGTTTCATTTTGGTATGTGGGTTCACAAATTTATTCAATTCTGTTAAATGAGGAATGGCTATAATGATGATTGTTACACAACAAATGTCCGGTGAACACAAATGAGCCAAGGATAACATACATGCATCACCATCTGAAGTCATAGACATACCTCGCAAAGTTGTTGTTATTTGAGCGTTTCAATTTACTAACAGAGTATAGATATTTATAGAAGTTCACTGTCTGATTATGTTTTACTTTTAAAGACTGACTGACCAACTCCCTCTTTCTGAAATGGTATGTTTTATTAAATTAATCTAACTTACTCCTTGGTTTAAACCCTTATTATGATGATAACAAAATTTTCAGTTCTGCTTCTGACCAAAAAAGTTCATGAAGAAAACTATATTACCAAAGCTCATATAGCTGATTTATAAGGTTCCAACACGAGTTTTATTCTATTCTTTTTTTAAAGGATTCTTTACTAACATTTAATTTAAAGGACAGGCAGATTTGATTAGTTCTATTTATATAAACGTCATCAATGATACAAAAAAAACTTTAAATTCACTTAAAAATGTAATGCAGTCTAAACTTTGTAGACAACAACTCTTCCATCGTCACCAGAGGTACTGACATGGCTCAGCGAATATAACTTAACCGAAGTAATGGTGTTTTGATGAGAAGTTGATTGGTTGGCTCCACCAGTAGTGGTCTTCGTGACTCTACCTCTCAAGTCCAACTGCTTGAACATGTTCAAAGCATCATGTGAGGAGATTTCATCATCATCGTCATCAGCACTTCTTAACGTTGACGAGTGCTTGACAATAGGGTCCAATATCTTTTCTGTAGGTCCAAGTTCCTTCCAGCCATTTTGATCACCTTCAAAAACAACCAATACATTGTCGTTACCTGCTGCGGCGATTTTGTTATCGTTAACAAACACCAATGATCTGAATGGTAAGTGGCTAGTTTTAACCAGATGGTAGGCCAATGGGGGCAAACCCTCACCTTGTGGATAGACAATATTAAGACTGGAATCGTGGTTGACAAAGGCTAATATTTCACCGGTGGCATTGAATGCAACACCATGAACCCAGGCACCAGTTTCACTGACGAAATCAGAGCATAGGGTTTGGAAAGGCAATTTGGAACCCCAAGCAGTAGCTTCTGGTTTAGCATCCAAACCTTTAATGAAGGTAGAAAATACACGAGTGTGACCATCTGTAGAGCCACAAGCCAAAAGTACGTTATTGGGATGCCAGTACAAACTAGTGATAGTACTCTTCAAAGGCTTCTTCAAGTGCTTTGACACCCACCAATCGTTCTCTTCTTCATAGTAACAAACTGCAATGATCCGGTCAGAAGATCCGACAGCAAACTTGTCTCCCAGTGGACTCCAACGACAAATGGTAGCAGCTCTGTTAATACGCAAAAGCACCAAGGTTGGCTTATATTCACCTTCACACATTTCCCAAACAAGGGCATTCCGGTCTTGAGAGCAAGTGAGAATCCGTGATCCATCAGGAGAAATGTCAACCGAAGTAACCGTTTTGTTATGACCCTTCAATTCGGCAAAAAGCTCAGGCTTAGACAGACCCTTTACCTTGTACAACTTTACTGAGTTACCCACAGTGATAGCAAGAACATCACCACTTGAAGAGAAAACATGATCAATAATTGGCTCAGTACCGAGCTTGTAGACAATTGGAAACGACATAGTATTTATAGTAGTACTTAGCTTACACCAGGAGGACCTCTCTACTAGGCAATTGCTTATAGGAAAAGAAAAGGGAACAGTAATAGTATTTGGTGGGTCGACCTTTAAAGTTCACTTCAGGCCAGTGCGGGTGGAAATGGCGGAGTTAAAATTGTATACAGACCATATATAGAGATTTACATCAAGATTCACAGGACATACAATACAAAAGAGTCCATTCCAATGTCTATATTATTATTGAGACCGTCATAAGCAATTGATATCATGAGCACTCACATCGTGGCAGCTGATAAAAGAACAGCTGCCACGGAAAACTTTGATAAAGACGACATTTAGTTTTTGTGAGCCCTATCGTCGATGTGCTTCTTAGCCTTAGCCCAAAACTTCTGGATCTTCTCGTTCTTGATGGTACTGACATTGATATCCATATTTTCCATAAGAGTGGAGAACAATTTTGCAGTGTCATTGTTATACAAGATTCTCAACCAGTAGAAACAAAGATAGACAACTAATTGGAAACCCAGAGAGCTTCTGAAAAGCAATGTTCTCAAGACTAAATAGATAATCAAAAACAATTCATCATAGGCGATTAATGATGCCAAAAATGTACTTTGACCTGTGATGGCAGTAACCTTAAATTCGTCCCCTATGTGTAACAAGGAAATTAAAACAAATGGAAGCAATTTGAACATCGAGCGGAATGAGATAATGTTAACAGCAGCAATAATCAAATATTGGAAATCCTGTTGAGCAAATAAAGTTGGTGTTGGAGGTAAGTATCTAAGACCATATTTATGTGAAATGGCAGCACCCAATGCAAAGACTGAACCAACATTAGACAAACGATAACAAATGAAACGAATGTACCACTTGTTGATACGAAGGAACAGAAGAACGCAGTACAATATTCCAAATGCAATAACTGAGGCATGACCAGCTAGCCAGATCTTCTTCTTCAATGGGTTAGGACCCTTAATCTTTCTTCTTAAAACCTTTTTCTTTGGGCCGGAGGTAGTATCTTTGGAAGCCGGAGGTGCGACAGAAGAATCATTATTTACGGCAACTGTGGAGGCCTTTTGGTTAGCCATAGATTCAGCTTCTTGAGGGGTCCTGCTTTTCTCTGCTGAAGGGTTTGAACTCACTGAAATAGAGGGAAGTGGAGCAGAATTGGGAGCAGACCCAGAATGAGATTCAGATTCAGACATGATTTACAACAAGAAAGTCCAATTGAAAAAGTCAATGCCAGTCAACAACAATAAGTGAAGAAACTGAATGCTATTACCTTTTGTTTGCTATCACTAATTTCGAACAAGAATCTGAAGGCTACGGTATGTGATGGTTCGCAAAAACACCAAAAAGTCGTGCGCGGAACATTTATGCCCAAATCCAGGTACGTGAAATTGGTGATAGTTTGAAAGCTGAAGTATTTGGGTGAAGGTTTTGAAAGGGGACAGGACTTTGTGTAAACAAAATAACACATACACGTCTGTTTTATTTGTTACTGATTTTCTTCAAGTTTCTTCTGTCAAAACCAATACATGGGAATCAACTGACTATAAGATGGCGAAGGAAGATATAACAAACATTGACTACTCTCAGTCGTCGCAGTTGACTCAGAAACAAGCACAAGTGCTTCTGGAGTACCAGAAGATGGCATTTCAAATGGCCGAATTGGAACGGGAACTACAAATTTTACATGTAGAGATTCAATCGAAAGGACCTAAAGAACTCAAACAGAGGACGGCGCGGAATTTAGGTAGTGATGGAGGAGCAGATGATACCGATGGACCTACTCGCAGATCAGAAGGTATAGCTGCACCTGCTACCAAGTTGTTAGAACGATACAGGGCATTGGAGACACAGGTTGCATTGATGGGAACGTTGTTCAAGGGCTCTGTTTATTCTCTTTTCACAGATAACGAGCATGCATCTGGAGCTACTTCGGATCACAAATAGATGAGGTTTTTGTTGTGTTGAATACCCTGAGAGTACCGCTAGTTGGCGCGTGGTTGACAAATTGTAGTCAAGAGATCATCAACACATTGAAAGGAATCGCGGCGCGCGCTAGCATCCGTGCTTTGGTATACATTCGACTCAATCACATTTGCTTGAGGCAAGATCAAGATCGAGATTACGCCCAATTGTATTGGCATGGTCCAGTGAAGACTACCGGTTAATGTGAGACTTAACGTTCCGTTTTCAAATTCTGTATATGGGTCGATCGTGGACAGACTTAGGACGGAGTCAAAAATTATAGGTTCGGAGTCGCATCTCGCGCTGGTAATATCTGGGGAAAAATAAAGACTTATTAACGAAAAAAGTTTAAGATTAACAAATTGAAATTGTATCTTGATTCCTTCTTTCTTTCTTTCTTTCATTCATACTGGCATTAATTTTTGTGTGAATAGATTTACTACTATTACACAATGAGTAACGATTCTTACCAAACCCCTTTATCTTCCAGATATGCTTCCAAGGAGATGTCTGAGATCTTCTCATTGAGAAACCGTTTTACTACTTGGAGAAAGTTGTGGTTGAACTTGGCCATTGCTGAAAAGCAAGTCGGCTTGGACATGATCACAGACGAAGCCATTGAACAAATGAAGAAGCATCTCGTTATCACTGACGAAGAAATTGAAGAAGCCAAGAAGGAAGAAGCTATCGTCAGACACGACGTCATGGCTCATGTTCACGTCTTTGGTAACACATGTCCCGCTGCAGCTGGTATTATTCACTTGGGTGCCACCTCTTGTTATGTCACTGACAATGCTGACTTGATCTTTTTGAGAGATGCCTACGATGTCTTGATTCCAAAGTTAGTCAACTTGATTAACAGATTGGCTAAGTTTGCTTTGGAAAACAAGGACTTGCCTGTTTTGGGCTGGACTCACTTCCAACCTGCTCAATTGACCACTGTCGGTAAGAGAGCTACTTTGTGGATCCAAGAATTGTTGTGGGATTTGAGAAATATGCAAAGAGCCAGAGATGATATTGGTTTGAGAGGTGTTAAGGGTACCACTGGTACTCAAGCTTCCTTCTTGTCTTTGTTCCATGGTGACCACGACAAGGTTGAATTATTGGACGAAACCGTTGTCAATTTGTTGGGCTTTGACACTGTATATCCTTGCACTGGTCAAACTTACTCCAGAAAGATCGATATCGACGTTCTTAGTCCATTGGCATCGTTCGGTGCCTCTTGTCACAAGTTGGCTACCGACATTAGATTGTTGGCCAATTTGAAGGAAATTGAAGAGCCCTTTGAAAAATCTCAAATTGGTTCATCTGCTATGGCCTATAAGCGTAACCCAATGAGATGTGAACGTGTCTGTTCTTTGGCTAGACATCTCGGTGGATTGTTGAACGATGCTATCCAAACCGCTTCTGTCCAATGGTTTGAAAGAACCTTGGATGACTCAGCTATCAGACGTATTTCTCTTCCATCAGCTTTCTTGACCGCTGACATTCTTCTTTCCACTTTAAACAACATCGCTAGTGGATTGGTTGTTTATCCAAAGGTCATTGAACGTAGAATTAAGTCTGAATTGCCATTCATGGCCACTGAAAATGTTATCATGGCCATGGTTGAAAAGGGTGGTTCAAGACAAGATTGTCACGAAGAAATCAGAGTTTTGTCACACCAAGCTTCCGCTGTTGTTAAGCAAGAAGGTGGTGACAACGATTTGATTGAAAGAATCAAGAACACAGAATACTTTAAGCCAATCTGGGAAGACTTGGACAATTTATTGGACCCTTCAACATTTGTAGGAAGAGCTCCTCAACAAACTGAAAAGTTTGTCAACGTTACAGTTGCCAAAGCTTTGGAACAATACAAGGACCAAATCAATGACGAAACTGTTGCCTTGAGTGTTTAAAGTTATCAGTGATGTCGGTTTATAGCACATGATTTTGTATGTAAGTAATTTTGTTATTCAACAGTAGTGGGATAATGTAGATTATATGGTATACCATTTACTATTGCTCCTTTTTTATGGGGAAGTGATTTATCGAGATGAGGGTGCTTCTAGTACGAATTAAGCTTCAAGGCTGGCCATGGCTAACCAAGAACGACCTTAACAAGATAAGACTATCTACATTTTAGCCCTTTGATACAAGGAAACAGTTGCCTGCTATTCGTTTACTTGAAAAAAAACTAGCACCCATTGTCATGTTGCCAAGCTGGCGATCAAATCATACACCCCATGGCTCAAAAGCAATGCCGTTAAATGTTAACTTCGCAGAATCCACAACAATACAGCCAAAGAGAACTGAAGTGATGACAAAAGGCATTTAGGCACAAACAGACTAAACATTCATAGAATCATACCGGATTTCAATCTTACAGTCGGCATCAATTGATGCTTCCATATCTCATGTTGGAATTTGGCTTGTCAAAGGCAACCCCAGCAACATTTATGCACGTCCCAGTAGAACAAGATAATGTGCTTTAACACAGAACTCCGAGACCACTTCTTCACTATGGGGTTTACTAACTTGATTCGGATTCATAAATCCCTTCTATTCATATTATACCAATATTATCAAGATGTAACAAAAACGTAAGGCTGAATATGTTGTTATTGTACTCGCCTTATGATTTTCACGCCGTGCCTCGACTCTTCAGTAGCCAACGAATTTGTGATTTCGTATTTACTACTCATTTCAAGTTTATAGCTTTCGTTAAAACAGGGACGCTTTGTAGCAGTTACAGTCAATTCATCAATGAAGTCGAACTATAATTGTTCAATTTTAATCACGGAATTATACGGAGGTGTCTTCTTAGTGCGTTATTGCACAGCTGTGGATTACACCTAACTGCCAAAAAATGATCCACGAGGCTGTGAAAGAAAACCCAACGCATATTTGCAATTAAGCCTAATTAACAAGACGTATTTCGAAATAATCCATCAAAAGATGCCGACCAAAAGGATTAACAATGATAATTGCTGGAAAGAGAAAATCGAGCACTAATGCTCCTTCAAAGTTTGCATCCGCATCGATAACCAAATTTAGATTTAGCTCTTTCTTCTTTTGAATATCGCCCACTCTCAAAAAAGGCCAATAAGACGGTATAAATAAACCAGAAATCATATCCTCTACCCAAATCTACAATTTCTATATTTATGACGCTAAAAAGTAATCTGAAAAAAGTTGTTGTCTGTTATTAATATCGAGGTATTTTGCTTTAAAGAAGTTGAACGAAATCTTTAGCCAATATATAACAATTAAAGTTTTTGCAATAGACAATAATGGTAGGCAAGGGGAAATAATACGAATTATATGTATTAATAAGTCCAGGGCAATTCATAAAGGATAATCAAAAGAGTGAATCACTAGATCTGAATGAACTTCAATTTCTACAAGAAAGTTTATATTGATCATCCATTCTTTTTCTTTTCATAAACTAGGTTAGCATTTTGGCATCAATACTAGAACTTAACTTAAATTATTGATAGTTGGATGTATGTTTACTGGTTGTGTCTCGTTTCAGCATGTTTATCTTAGCGACAGCTAATCTCTGTTGAACGTGTTAAAGTTCACCCTCAAATTCAATATCGCTTCCTTGTATTGTTCAAATGCATCAGATTCAATAGTATCTTTTCCAGACACCTTGCTCTCAATATTTTGATACAATTGATCTTCTGACATCAATACTTGCTCTATAATTGTTCAACACTAGCTCAATAGTTTGCTCAAAAACAGTAAGAAGATCAGCCAATCAATTGAATATATTCATTCGTTCTTAATGTTTAATCGTTCTATATCACATAATTTTTGTTCCCACTCCAATATTAGCTCTTATCAACAGCTTCTTTACTGCCTATGGCAATGAATAGTGACCTCCGTTATTCTAAGCTTGAAATGAATCAAATATAAAAGTTGTCCAGGATCTTTCTATAATTTCCCTACTGCCTTGTATTAAATTTGAGCATAAATCAGAATAAATTTCAAAGTAGAACCACCAACATTCTTTCCTTCTTCAAATTTCGTAAAAAAGATTACCCTTATTGTAGTTAAGGAGACGCTATAGCATGATCAACGAAAGAAATATTTCTATGCAACAGGGAGTATGGCGAGCTATTGCCTCGGAAACAACGTTGAATAAACCAGCTGCATAGATGTAATAGATCTTTGCTATCCATTAAGATAATGTGATATCAATCATACAGCTTTTCAATTGGGCCATAGTACCAAGTCCACAATATTAAGATTCCCATTCTTTGATCCCTCTACCTTTCAAGTGCTAATTTCTATGAGATCTTCATTAAGTCTATAGGATGATTAAAGACGTAGAATATAAAATCACAACAGAAACCACTAAGAAGTAATATCTACTTGAATAATAACGTCAAAGAAATAATAAGGGATGCTTTTTAATATTTTAAGTAATCTTAGTTTAATTTTTTGGAATAATATTCTTTGTAGATTTAATTGCAATGTATTTGATGATGATAACAAGGATACATTAATAGCTAAATACCAAAAATCGTTTTACTATATATTTTAAAGCTATCATACGACATAAGATCTTTGAAATCCTTTTACATGGTTCATGATATACTTAAACCTTGGACAATGTTAAATGAACAGGTAAAAACGATACTGCTTGGAAATATTTGGCCCCACAGAAGTAATTCTTTTGCAGGATAGATCAAATTCATGCTTAACTTTGATATTTATGTTCTCCGTTACCAAAAAATCATATTTAGAACAAGTTTGTTAACAAATGGAAAGTTGTTACAAACTGGTGCACGGGTGTCTCTCGCTATTGACGGCATTTTGTTCCCTGGTGTTGGTAGTGTCAGATATCTACCTTGAAGCCGTGGCAGCTCACCTTTACTAAATATTTATCACAGCAATTGATATATTAAAGAGGTACGAATGAACTCTAAATTGAAAGCTGCTCAGGTTACATACTTCGTGCACTGTATCTAGAATTTGAAGTATTACTGATATTGTGAATCAATGTACGCCTGCTCGGGGCATTTTCAAGATCTCAGAGGCGAAAAAAGAACTCAGTTTCATGTTCCTACACCTTAAACTCAAGAGCAACTGAAGGACACCCCGCTGAGCGTGAGCGGCAATTGAGCAAAAGTCTAACGCATTTGAAGAATCCCACTGTAGAATGAAAACCATACTAAGATTATTTGCCGAAGTTCAAAAATTGTTCAGAATTTCATTAAAAAACGTATTGAATTTATTGATACGCAATAGGGATTCTAACCAGATTTATTTTTTAAGAGTCTGTTTATGTTTTATCAAATACATTGAGCTGATCTGAAAGTATGGCATTCAAGTATAGCATCCACGTGACTCTTTAAACACAGGCAATGCAAGTGTTGCAAAATATGGCATTTTAAGCAAAGCGGTTATTTTAATATGCAAATGGAATAAAACGTCTTGTTCCAAATAGTCTGTGTCATTATGCTCGATATGAGGTACACCAAAGCTGCAAATATTATTCAGGAACACAACACAAAACGACCCAAAGAGGTAATACGCTCAAAAGAGGATATGTTAATTGACCACACAAAAGGCCGGGTAGAAAGCCAGATTCAGATGCTGAGATGGAAATGTGCAACCGCATAAACATGTAGCTTACATATGGCTATTCTTGCCTCCATTACTACATAACTTGGACATGCTCGCTATCGGTACAATTGTGATACAATTACAATATTTTTACAAAGGTCTGTCTCCCAAAGGGTTGAAAGCAGCAATAAAGATGGACAATAGTAAATAGAATTCCTTCTTTGACATCATAGCAATTTAAATAAAGAGTTCATACAGGATCTCCTTTAATTACAGCTTTCAAACTGATATATCGCTCTCTTATCTAGATATACGTTTAAAAAAATTGCTGCGACAAAAGTCCCATGGAGTATAGGCGTAATAAAATAAGATGTAAGAAGGAGTAGGGATCTGAATTAGTAACCAATAGGAGAATTCAAAAGAGATTGTTTGCTCGGTATACTTATACTTGAGTTGTTGAATTGAAGTGCTTGAACCCCACTTCACTTTATTTCAGTTGTTTCCTACATTGATTTAATTCATCTCACTATTATCAAAGGAAAGAAAAAAAAATAATTCATGTTTCATTAGGCGACTCCCGGAATAACTTTTTAAGAATTGGTGCAAAATTTATTTTATGTCGAACAACAAATATGAGGCAATAACAAAAAAATGACACCATTAAAACTGAATATTAATTGAACGGGGGATAACTAAATTAACCTATAAAGAAACTCCACAAAGTATGGCTCATTACATTTTTTTTTTTCATTGAAGGGATATTTGATGTTCATTACAAGATCAAGATGATATAGACCCTCCTGGGGAATTCTTTGAGCTTATTCTACTCGTTGTAGAACTCGAGTAATTAGTGTAGTTAATGATTCCTGGTGTAGATGTAGAATAGCCCATTGGCCAAGAGTGTTTCTCGCCAAAGTTTTGAGGTGGCAACGGCAGGCCTTCCTTCATTTGATTGGCAAGCGGAGCAATTTGGAGGGGCGACTGAAGTGGGTATTGAGGTGTTGACATCGGTGATGGGAGAGTTTGTGGCGGAACATGAGGCTGCAAATACTGATAGTGAATTAGTGGCGGATTAGGTTGCTGAATATGGCTATAGAAATGCTCATTTGAATGCCTCGATGGACGAAAGGAAGATGGCTCCGTATATGTCGCCGGAGTGGACTGATATGGGGGAAAGTAATTTGTGTATGTGCCCAGTCTTTGAATATTTTGAATGGGAGGAAGTGACAGTGTAGCAGCTCCGGGCATCATTTCATGCTTAGGGAGAGGGGAATTTCCAACCTGAGTCAACGGCTCTGCTGTGGGGAGACCAGGCACAGGTTGTTCAAGAGGAGATTCTAATGCCGACATTTTAACCAAAGAGTTATACTCTTGAATTATATGATTAACCGAAAAAGTGACAAATATTTCCTTTCTGTCAGGATTCGTGTCAGTCAAATCAACGATACCATTATATAAATCTCTTTCAAACATCCTTTCATCGGTATATAATACGCAATCTTGATTTACAGGAATCATGTAAATCTTCATCTTGGACTTGTACCTTGGTCTTGCAACAATCTTTTTAACGAAAATATTACTAGGTGAGTCTCCTGTTTTCCCTAAGCTATGCAACATTTCCTCTGCACTTTCGTCATCATCAATAAGCGAAAAATCTCCCGGCTTAGCTGTTTCCAACTTTAATAATACAGATCTTTCGTTTGTTGTTGCACTGGAACGGGTAACTCGTACAAGAGTATAGTCTGCAACACCACCAAATAAAGTGTTCACTGCAGTATTGAATGAATTGAAAGTTGGTAAGTTTGCCAAGCTTCTAAGTACCTTGTTTGGGATATCTGCCATGTTTACAAGACTGGAATCAATTATTTGAACAGGCAGAGATACCACACTGGAGTCGGATTGAGCAGGAACTGTCACATAAGTACAACTGATTCCTTCATTTTTACTTTGTCCAACAAGCTTATATATTTGCCTCTTGTTTACTCCTGGTATCAAATGATTATACAAGGAGACAAATGAGTTACTTAATGTTAACTTGACTTTCATGCCTGCTTCCAAGGATTTAAAATGTAATTTAGAACCCAGTGATCCAGCATTAGCATCGTAGTTTGAGATTTGATTTCCCCCCATTGTGGAATTCTCTATGTGCTTAGATATATCTCCAGGGTCGCCTGTAGAATGTGATGTTCCATTTTTTCTTCGAATAGATAACTGTACAAACTTCTTTGAAGCCAATATCTTTTTATGAATTCTTGACTTTGGAATTCTTGGTTTTCTAGAAAGCAATCTCTTAACAGAAGTAGATAATTCAACATCTTTGACTTCCACTGTAAGCAAAGATGGTTCTCTTACAAAAGACGATTGCCTACTCTTTGGACTTCTTGTCGGAGATGCTGCGGTTGAGACCAAGTTACTACTATCTATCAATGGAGAGGAGATAGACAGACTCAGTTGTAACGAGGGAGACAGCGACAGCAGCTGTAATGAATTGGACCGAGCTTTTCTACTTTCTAACGCATTATCAATGAACCCACCATAATGGCTACTTGTTATTCGACGTGTAGGGAGATATGCTAAATGATTATTAGAAGAAGGCTGACCTGGAGCTTTAATTGAACCAGCTTGAGGGGGGTTGAACTGCCTAGACAAAAGCTTTGTTAAACTAGATATTGGAGGGATTTCGACATGAGTAGGAGATTTAATAGACAAATGATGTGTTGTTATGTCGTCTGACGCTGAAGTTAAAGCTTGCAACGAAGTCTTTTCTATAGTTGTAATTTCATCAGATATAGAACGATCAGAAATCTCAGGTGAATCTTTCTGAGGATTGGAACAAGTAGAGTTATTATCCAGACTCTCGCATTCTTTAATTGTATTTGACAGGGTCAGAGTCTGATCATTTGGAGGAGAATCTTTATTCAAAATGTCAGCAATCCCAATCATTGAAGATCTAGGGCTTTGGTATGGATGACGATGGTAATGAAGCTTGTCAATGGTAGAAGCTCTAATTTGTTGGCAAGTTGTCATTGACAGTAGATGGAATACTGTTCTATCCAATTTCAAGTGCTGTACCTTACAACAGTAGTAAACTTTCTGACCACTTTTGAGTAGATTAGATAGCAGGGGAATCTCAGATCAACCAGTGAAGTAGATGAAATGGCAAGTCTAAAGAGTAAAAGTACCGAAGAAAAGGCCACTGTTAGTGAGAAGGGTAAGCCTTAGTTTGAAGTAGAAGAAACAATAATGTTAAAATAGGGATAACAATAGAGAAAGATTAATTAAAAAAAAGTTGACATTGAAGTAAAAAGAACATATGCTATCTAAGATATAATAAGATGAATTGTCATTCACACATAGAACTGGAAACTAAAACGTAATAGGTAACATATAGTAATCAGAATTTATGCACGAAGAAGGTGCATATCTTGTTGTGCATAATAGGCGGGGTGATTGGCAAGCTTAGTTTAAATGTACACTATTCCTATACAGTATGCTTTAGAAGGTGCAACACTACATAACTGCAAGGCAGAATGATTCACCCCACCCCCAAAATAAGTTGTATTATTGAGCAAACTGCAGGTGAGGAACTTGAAGACCCTGCAAGCGACGCATACTTCTATCACAAAAATGCACAGTGAAGATACGGGTCTTTGTTAGTTTCAAACGGCTAGCAATATCCCGAAACATGCTTAGCCAACACAATATCTTCTTATAGAAGCGTCAAAAGTTCCCTTAAGAAGTGAGAACCTCCCGCGGAGAGATTGACAGTTTTAAACAATACCTTAACCAGAAATGGAATCTATTTTTAATTTTTGTTATTGAGCCGCCATGATTTGGAAACTGCCGGTAAAAGTTGTTCCACTACGTTTCTCTTCCGATTGCCGATCGGATGATTTCTTATCAAATGTATTGTTTTTTCAACTTGCCTTGAGATATTGTTCTTTTGCACATGAAGAATAGACCTCTAAACCCATTAAACGATTTCAATTGACTTTATTGCGAGATTGGCCTTATTCAAAAATTAATTAATTATATATATTGGGTGACATAGCAGATTAAAACTTATGCGGTGCATCTGATCAAAGGACCCTATGATTCAGATTCTTTACTGGTGGCTGAGTATTGAAACATGATGACGATGAAACATTTACTACTGGAGTAGTCTCATATTTTTGATTGGGTTCATGCAGTTTCTTCTATTTGTTTGTTATTTCGTCTTATCAAGGTTGTTTATAAAAGTTTAATTTCTATTGGAAGCACTATACATAATTGAATTTCAACTCATAGTCTAGAAAGGGACTCGGGTCATCACAATAGCGGAACAAACCTTACGTTTCTCAGTCGTATGCACGGTCATGCAAATAGAGATAGTGTTCATTTTTAGGTACAATGTTATCCACTGAAGTTGAATTTTGCAATAATAGCCCATTGATATTGTGAGAGCTTTCAGTTTGTGGGTATTAGTTTGCAGTTATGGCAAACAATGTTGTTGATAGAAGTTTCTGACTCCACTCTCTACCTACTTCCTGAACCAATGCAAACTGGATACTCCTTTGCATCTCCATAAATTGGACAGTAGGCAGGAGCAAGGGGGTTTGCATGTGTTATTCGAAGTAGTTTTAAACAAACACGGCTCCAACCCACTTGGACACAAGATAAATATGATAAATTTACAGAATATCAATTGTATTGTTAAACTTCTCCTTAGTTAACCGCGATGAAACATGACAATTTCCCGCATAATTTCTCCGTAGTGGCCATTCCTTCAATTGCTCCAGTGTGTGCTTATAGTTTTTCCTGGTTCCATTGAATGAGAATACAAAGCAATTATTTAGCATACATGCACCTGCATCGACTAAGATGCATACCACTCATACTTGCACTGTTAAATCCTGGAATTGGGTGTTAGTATTATGTCTCCCGCATGACGCAAGTTGCTAATTCCGGGTTGTTCTGGAAGGTGCGGGTAAAGCCCCCGCACAGGTGTCGATCAGGGGAAAGTACAAGTCCTTTCTTAAACCGTATGAACCAGGGGAAGCTCAATCTTTGCATATAGGAACCGAAAGGAAAAACTGTTTAAGAACAAAGGGTCCCACTATTATGCATCAAACAATTTTTGGGCGAGTTTTAAGTTCGAAAAATAACACCCGAATCAAGCCTCGTTTAGTATTAGGAGGCTTTCAAGCCGAGGTTGATTGCAATGGGGTTTAACCCGAGCAATGCAAAAAGGGTTCTTTTTTATCCATTACATCTCTATTGTGTGAGGTAAGTCGATTTACATAGACATCGACTTGAAAAAATTAAATTATGGGGTACCTAATCTTTGAACTAAGAGTGAACTATACAATGAATCACCTTGACTCAATTATAGTTAAACAAAACAATCATTGACTTTTTATCAGAATAGAGAACCATTAAGGTAGCAATCACGATACGATTGAAAACTGTCGTAGAGATTCTCGCGCGTTTACGACGGCCGAAAGACCTAGCAGAATAATGGAAGGTTGAGCTAAGAACAATGCAGAGTCAAGTTCACCGTCCTGAAGAATTCAAGTATTTTACACTGATTTACGTACTCGTATATGTTGTAAATCACTTTGAACTTTATACGACCTTCCTTTTGGAAAGGCACAAATTACTTGTGCTTCCTTTTGGAAGCTTTCAAAACGAATTGTTCGGGCCCTCCTCCGGCAAAGCTGCGTTGCTCCGCCTTACTGACGTTGATTCAATTTCCCGGAGTTCGTTAGAACAACGCGAGAAAGCACTTTATCTGGGGGGGGGTACTCAGTGGACTTACTGATTCACTATCAAAGGCATTGTTCCCTACAGACTGGTTGGTTCATGCTTGGAATCGTTTAGCGTAGTGATTGTTGTTTTGTACTACTGTGAAAGGAAGCATAGAAAATTCAAACGTGAAATCATGCCGGTCTACACGATGCTACCCTTGTATGACCTACGTAAAGAACGTGAGGACTAAAAAAGTTTTGGCGACCCCAAGCTGTATTGTTATATCCTCGTATTGGACAATTTGGGCAAGTCTAATTTTACTTTTATCAAGTAAACAAAAATAAACGTAGAAATCGACAGTATACGAATCAATGATGTACACACAATAACTTTCAGAGGACAAAATCATCATCCAATGCTAGTTTATTAGCTACGGGATATGAGTTCTGGGTTTTAAGAAATTTTACATGGATAACTGCTACTTTCATAAGCATTAAAAATTTTCTTTCTTAGAGCACCTCATGGTGGACTGTCGATCTGTCCTAAAATGGAAATCTGAAGGGAAGTGGTGATAATCAGCCCCAAAAGAAAAGTTCAAGGCGTCATACAAGCAGGATGCGATAAAAGTTAAATATAAGGTCAATCTACTTATAACTGAACGTGATGCACTTATATTGCATGTGTAAGGACTTCTTAAAATTGAGGAATGGTGGATATGTGAGGTTCAAATGAATCGTACATAAAAATAAATAGAGTTGACCAAGTTAGTTAACTCTAAGTCTTTTAAAGTAACATTCTGATGTACCATTGATCCTCATTTTGTGAAACTGAGGTTGCAGTCATCTTACACTAATTTAGTTCTCGATGTTCATCTTAACACTATGTTGAACAATTTTTTGGATTAAGGTTTTTCTTGTAATACTTAAAGTTGGGAATATGATGAGCATCTATTAAAACACCCACATCAAAACCTTCTTATGATGTCCCATATATGCGTGGGGTTTCAAAAAGCTTTTGTTTCCGCAATTACGTGCCTGACGCCTCAAGAGGCAATAGGATTCTGCTGTGGGGACGATGATGAGTTAAAGCATAAAAAGCTAATTCTCAATTCGAATGGGTGCAAATCGATCACATGACATAGAACTACTGTGGCTGTTTTCTTTTTCGTAAACGAACAATAGCCATTGGAAGTTAAAGATTCTTTGCTAATAAGATTCACTTAAAAGCAATTGTTAAATCATAATAATAGGCCACAGGAAGTATCAGTACTATTGTCTTTTCCCGACGCCATAATAGGAAGCTGAGGGACACTTTGCCGCGGTTGCAAAATTCAACATAGATTTCTCAAATCGTTTTGTACTGACTTTCCCATGCACCTTACTTTATGCTAAGGCTACTATTATTTCCCATCGGACATAGAAGCAAGAACCCCTAATTAACAGATTTGGTCGATCCATTTGGAATTTAGGGGCTTGTTGCTCTTTAACATTATTCTAGAATGACAAAAAATTACCATAACATCTAACCATCTGTTATTTCTGTAACGACAGCTAATCTCTTCAAATATAGTCTGTACTGTAAAACTGCCATATCTTGGTGAGTTTTATAAACCGTCCATGGCGAGATGGTTGCCAGGCACTGGGTAGACAATAGCATGTCACAACCGTCCTAAATAGGGAACTTGATCCCAATTGGGATAGAGCACGATTGGGCTACTTAGACCCAAATAGGATCAGAAAAAATTTTAGACCTATCGGTGCAGAGCATACGTCGCCCCTCATGAGGTTTAAGCTTACGACTTTTCATTAACGTTTTGGTTAAGTTTAACCCACCTTCATCCGCGTCAAGTTTAACCCACTCTCTTCCGGGTCAACTTTAACCCAGCTTCTTCCCGGTTAAGTTTCACCCAATCCCCCCTACGGCGGTTAAATGTTTTTGCACTTTTACAACATAACTTACTTTGGTGGTTGGTTGTCGCGTAATAAGTGCAACGTATATGAATTAAATATACTAATGAATACTATCTAGTAATATGTTTGGGATATATAAAGCTACAGAGAGAGAAATTAAGGTACCACAAGATACGCTATAAAAAAAGTGAAGCCAACATCAAAAGCTACTAACATTTACCCAGCTAAAAGTCGTTTACCTTACCTTATACTTTCAAAATTCCGGGTAAACTTTTAATCCGAATACATTAGTGCTGGGGTTGTAAAACACAAATAAAATTACCCTAATATCCTCTTAAAAGTTAGACCCTTGGTTGATGTTACGATCACGAACACCCAATTCACCATTAAGGAAATCATCATCACCGCCCTTCTCTCCTTTACGCCAGAAAGTCCAGCCAGCAGATTGATATTCATCCTTCTTTCTAGACTTGATGTAGAATAAAACGGCAATTATACCAACAATAATACTTCCTCCTACACCAACAACAACACCAACAACAATCTTATTGGTATTGGACAAACCACCAGAAGCCTGCTTGGATGAAGAAGAGGTTGGAGTTGTAGAAACAAAAGAGGTTTGAGTGACGACAATGGTTTTACCATTGTCAACAGTGGCAAACGTAGAAATAACAGCACTTGAAGATCCGGCCGACTTGGTAGCAGTGTCAGATGAAGACGAAGAAGAGGTCGCGGTCTCAGAAGTGGACAGAGCGAATGTGCTAGATGAGGTTGGCGAAGGTGAAGGCTCTTGAGTGGAAGATGAAGTTTCTGACGATGTGACGTCTTGAGGGGTTGCAGAACTAGAGGAACTAGTCTCTGAAGGCACCTGTGAGGATGATGAGGTGTTTTCTGCTGACAGACTGGTGTCAGTAGTAGGACTGGAAGAAGAGGAGGATGATGATGATGATGAAGACGAACTCAGTGACAGTGTCTGAGAAAAGAAGTTTGTACTTGAGGAGGATGATGTGGGTGAATTGAAAATAGTGGATGATGTTGATGATAACAATGCACCAGTGTTGGAAAAAGCAGCACTTGCAAAGTTTGTACTGAAAGTATCACCTACCACGATAGAAGACGAGTTATCAGCTCTTCTTTGAATATCAACTTCAGGTAAAAGCTCAACTCTTGAATCAACCATAGAAGTCACCATCGTGGTTTTGATCCATTCATGGTGGTCTTTCATGGAACTGAGGGACTCAATGTTGTTGCTTGTGGCTTCCAACAGCATTAAAATATCTGTGGAAGCTTGGGCTACGTCATCAGTAACGTCCAGTCTATGGATTTGATGGCAATCGTGAATGTTGTGGTTATGGACATCGATACGATTATATATCCCTTCTTGTTTTGAAGATGTTAACGCGTTGCCATTACCACCACCGACATGTGGACAATGAATAGCAGAGTATCCAATCACCACAAGTGCAGTGACCACTACGGCACTCCATCTCATATACTTGACACTTCTGGAAACCTCCACACGTTCATTTGTATTCTTTGGTTCAGACATCTTGTTTAAGTGACTTATGATATTAAGATATATTATTTGCTCTATTGGTGGGTATTTTTAGATGATCTGTGCTTATAAATGTTTCAAATGTTTCAGACTTCAAGGACTCTTCGGACACAAGTCGTCGTTTCACAAATGATGATGCACTTTAAAATAGTTAACGTCTAAATGAAAAATAGCGAATGATTTCAGAACGTTTTCAGGTTAAGTTTAACACGACAGGTCATCGGCAGGTTTTGGTGACTTTTTGGGTATAAAGCATTCTAAAAAAAACCTACATACATTTTTTTTGTGCCTTGCCTGACTATACAATGGAGGCTAATACAACGCCCCTGAGAATCAAAAGAATACTACAGACTACCCAATTAGGAAGTTTACGAGGTTTATATCGCTAGAATTTTTTTGGTTAACCTCAGATTTGTAAGAACTTTGCCATATGATTATGGATGTGAGTACTCTTTCCAAAATGGGCTCTATGTAGTAAAGTTAAACATCTAGTTACAAATCAAAGGCGGAGCCCCTAACAATGAGAAAGGGACATCCACTCGCTTATTAAATCGCGTCCCAGTTTCAAGAACAACAAACAAATAATTACTTCGCCCGTCTCTTTTTCCGCGTCCGCCAATCACAAGTAAGTAGGCAGAATTTATAAATATTCAAGTCGACAAAGGGGTAATAGCGGCGAGGCATTCGTTTTGTACCACAATCACATAACCAGTACTGAAAATATGGGATAAAGTAAATACTTATATCGCGGGCTTACGTAAAGAAATAACTAAAATTATATGCCTTGTTATACACAGGCAAGGTCCAACTCCTATGCTATCCCTGTGGGACACGACCACTTAGCACTTTACATTCAAAACCTGGAAGTGTCAAGAACACTAGTAAAATGAAGTATACGGAAGACTTGAGTAAACATAGCACAAATAATAAATATACTTAGTTTCAAGATCCTTTTCAATTCCCATATTCAATGGCGTGCTTAGGTGTCTAAAGTTAAAGAATGACTGGAACATACTAGCAAGTAGTGCATATAGCATTTCCCCCAGATTTTAACCACCTGACCGAACTGTCCGAATGATCAAGAAGGGTGAGTATCTGCCCAATGGTTGTGGAGTGAGTTTCAGAGCAAAAGTATATAAAGGGCCATAATTGGAAGATTTAATTAATTGATGTTGTAGATTTTCTTTCCTATAGTTTAATCTCATATACTACTAAACAAATCAATTGTTAATTATAACTACATTTAACTCCCCTACCCCCTAATTTTTCACTCAAATATGGCCTCATCATTTTCATCGTTCGAACCATTGCTCACGTATTTGAGCGAATTGAACCAATGGCAGGCCCAGAAACAATTCTCGCGTCCCCGGATAATCAAGAAGTTAGAAACCGAAAGTGACTATCAGATTCAAATCTATAAGGAGTATGGTGATTTTTCATCATACGAATTTTGTGTATTGAAGCCCGCAAGGGCTTACAAGAGTTTAGTTCAATTGCTTGTGGAACTGAGGGAAGATCACTTCAAAAAGGTATTTCAATTCAACTCCAATGATATTGATATTCATAGTATCCATTGGGAATATTATGAAGATGAAAACATTTTGGTTTTAAATATTCCAAAGAAGCAAGATCTTTGTTACAATTTAATGGACTTCACACTTCCAGGATTTTTCAACTTTGGTGGGCCATTTGTTGGTCAAACTGCAATTTTCAATTCCCCTCAAAGAAAACAAAGCCATATCTTTACAGAGCTGGAAGATGACTTGATTAGAGCTCAATATCAGAAGGAAGCTGAAGAAGCTGCTCAGGTTGCTAGATGGAAGCAAGAAGAACCAGCAATTAGGGCTCAATACCAGAAGGAAGCCGAAGAAGCTGCTCTGATTGGTCGTTTGAAGCAAGCGGAAGCTGCAGACAATGAAATGGCCAGAAAGGTTGCTGAAGACGAAGCCAAACAACAAGATGAACTTGATAATAAGGAACTTCAACGTCTTGAACGTGAGGGACAAATAAGAGCCCAAAAAGAATATGAAAGAGCTAAAAAGGAAGCCGCAAACAGAGCTAAACAAAGAGCTGAGGCCCAAAAGAGAAGAAAAGAATTAAGGGAAATGAATAAGGCCAGACAAGAGGAAGAACAAAAGAGAAGAGAAGAACATGATAAGTTGGTAGAGCAACAACAGAAATTCCTTCAAAACTTATTGAGTAATATGTACGCCGACCCATTACTGGAGTTGAGAAAGGAACAGAAAGAAAGAGAGAAAGTTCCCAGATCTTCCTCTAAAGATGGCAACACCAAGAAGCAACAACAAGAAAGAGCTGCAGAATTACAGCCTGAACCACTTGATGGAGATGACGACGAAGGAGAAGATGTTTCCATGAGCGAACCAGGAGCAGAAAAATCAGAGAAGAAGAAGGAAGAGCAAATTTCATCTAGATCGTCATCATCGTCCAAAGCAACGTACCATCCAACGATTGAAGACGTTGATGATGATGAGTATGTTGTATTCAGAAAGAAGTTTGGCTCCAATTAATTTACACCTAGTTTAACACTTCAAAATGAATAAAAAAAAGAAAAAAAGAAATAAAAACATTTATTAGTTTTATACCATCAATTTATGTATGAAGTAATCATTAAGAATAACTTTCAGTTGTAACTATTAATTCGGACTATGGTGGTACAAATTCTCACCCCACAAACCAAGTCAATTACATAATTAATTACATAATCAAAATCATTTTTGTGGTTCAATGGATTTGGCTATATAAACCTGATGGTGTGATTGGAGTTGGTTGCTCTTCTCCAATACGACGACACGCAAGAATCATAATGTCCGCAGCAGCGAAGTCAATTGCAATTTTTGGAGGAGCGGGATTCCTTGGTCGTAAGATCTGTGAAAATGGTATAGCATTGGGATATTCAGTGATATCGTTTACTAGACTGGGTTCTCCTCCCGCAAATTTAGCCAAGGAACCATGGGTTTCGAAAGTTAACTGGCAGAAGGGGAACATCTTTGAACCCGAAACGTATAAAGCCCAATTGAGACAAGTTGATGCAGTTGTTCATTCTATTGGGATGCTATTTGAGAATACCAACTATAAGAAGACATTGAATTCTAATGTTAATTTTCTTAATGATGTACAGAACTTGGCCAATAGTTTGAAAGGTAGCAATCCTATGCAAAGGAATAGTTTCAATACTTATGGTGCCGTACAACGAGACTCTGCTGTGCTATTAGCAGATGAGTTTGTTAAGCAATTCAAGAGTGCTCATGAAAATTCCACAGACAAACCTGCATTCGTATATATTTCAGCAGACAAGAACCCGCCCATTGTACCCAAGGAATACATAACGACCAAAAGAGAAGCTGAATTTGAATTAATGAGTAAACCGGATTTAAGAACAATTGTGTTACGGCCAGGGATCATGTACGATGCAAAGGCTGCCTCGTTAACCCCAAGAGGAATATTGACACTGATGACTCAATTGGGTCACGCTACAAAGCAAGTAGTTGTTGGGGATCAAGTTTCATTTTTAAACGATTTAGTGAGACCCCCAGTTTCCACTGACAAAGTGGCCTTTACATTATACGATTTATTGGAAGATAAACTGTTCTCCGGAATTTGCACCTTGGATGAAATGGCACTGTAAAATGGACACATTGAAATATTAGATGTAATTCAATTATGATGCAGCAGATTTATATAATATAATGTCACGTAAACTCATTAAATAAAGATATACAATACCTAAATGGTATCAAATTTCTGTTATGCTAAACATCTCCATTCCGAAGTCTGATCTTCCTTTGTATAGTGTTTAACCAATCGATTTCAATTTCATCTAGATCCAAATCTTTAGGTACAAGAATGGAATCTGGCGAAATCACCACCTCTTCAACTGCTGGAGAGAATACAATCTGTTTTTCCAAATCCGAGGGTTCACCCGAGGTTGCTTCGTCCATGGGGTTTACAGACCTAGTTGTACTGTGCCGAGATATAGTACGCTCGATTTCCATAAGTGTTTCCTCCGACTTTTTCTCTAAATTTGCAGGAGTCCACCAGTACATTGGATATACTCTGATTATGTTCCCGAATATAAGAGCAACGCACATGATCAACAAACAAGAGATGATCTGAACTGGAAGGTACCACCAACTCATAGCTCTAATTTGTTCATCTACTGCAGGAAGTAATGCCAGAGCACCTGCGGGAGGATGAACACAATTAAGTAACGACATCGCTACCGATGAGACAGCGACACTGAGTGCACCACAGGCCCAATAATTGTCTCTACCGTAATGGCTTAACAGAAAGAGTTTCTCGAAACAGACACCAATTAAAGAAGATATGAAATGCCCCATAAGGATGTTCCGAGGTTGCGACAACGGTGCCTGATTAGCATTGAAACAAAGAATAGCAGTGGCTCCATAGGAAGCAATAATCATTGGAGCATGATGATGACTTGAGAAAATATTTGGAGACTTGAAGACTCCTTCTAAAAGTGCAATCCCACAGAATGTAGATATAAGTATTTCTAACCAGATTAAGTAATCATGACGATTTTTAATGTTTTGACCTCCAAGAAACCGTTTGAGCGGCTGCGGGAACTTATGAACCTGATTAGGAGGTAAATACTTGTTAAGCACGATATCTATATTCCACTTGAATACCATTTTTGATCTTATTGTATAAATCTAGAATGGCAGTATAAAGGGCTGACAGTTAGCCAACTTTATATAGTAGGAGATGTACGTACTATTGCCCGGTAAGTACGGACGTTTCCTTTAATTGGTCACAGACGAAGTTGGTGAAGTTTAACTACGCTTCGCGGAAAATTTCCTAATGCGTCTCTAAGTGTAACTGAAAGAGATTACAAGTGTGACACATATTTTGAGACTCCGATTTACTAACTAGTACATATGTAGGTATAATATACATGCAGTCCAATGACTCTTCTAGTCTCGATCTGAGTCAATGGGGATCTACGGCTGACTCCGAACTGAGAGTACCTGACTCCGAATTGAGAATACCTCGTACTCGCTGTCTTCGAGTCTAGGCTACCACAGCAGCACTGACTTCGACCGATGGTGTTTAGTAATACACAATTAGTAAGCATCATCTTCATCATCATACGCCATATCCGTAATTAGTTCCGTAACTCATGGAATTCTTACGTCTAAGAATATACTTTCTAACCTCATCAGCAATAAACACACTGCTGGTTAAAAAAAGAAGACGAACCAAATCACCTAAAGTTAATGCTTCTGTTTGGAATATAGATTGAAAAAATGGCACATAAATAGCACAGAATTGACCAATCAACGATCCAAGCACAGCAAAGTTGAACATTTGGTTGGTTAATCCCAATTCAAATATCGACTTGGTGTAATGACGACATCCCAAGGCATTGAACATATCATAAAAGACAAAACAAGTAAACGTCATTGTGGTGTCTCTAGCAGTCACTTCACCATCATTCATTTCCCGAATGAAAATATAAATGGTACCCATAATGATCATAGCTGCCGATTGTAATACTCTTTTTATAACGGCTTCAGTCAAGATCTTATCGTTTCTCTTTCTTGGGGGCTTCTTCATCACTTCATGATCAACAGGTTCAACACCTAACGATTGAGCTGGTGGACCGTCCATTAAAATATTAATCCAAAGAATTTGCATTGCATTTAAAGGGTTAGGTAATCCAAAAAATGTAGCCAATGCAATCAATGTCAATGCAGCAATACTGGTGGATAATTGAAAGGTAACAAAGTTTTGGATGTTGTAGAAAATACCTTTACCTTCTTCGATAGCACTTAAAATAGTAGAGAAATCATCGTCTGTTAAAACCATATCAGCAGCTTCCTTAGCTACATCTGTCCCGTTCTTACCCATTGCAATACCAATATCAGCCAACTTCAAGGCTGGTGCATCGTTTACACCATCACCAGTCATGGCTACAATATCACCACGTCTTTGTAATGCTTTAACAATGGTCACCTTATGCTCAGGGGTTGTTCTAGCAAACACCGAAACATTATGAATGGCATCTGATAAAAGATCTTCAGAGAGAGAGTCCAATTGATCTCCAGTCATGACCGAATCAGGTCCTACAACTGGCATACCAATTTGCTTTGCAATATGAACAGCTGTAGTAGGAGAATCACCGGTTATCATCACCACATGAACACCACCTTGCATTAGCAATTGAATGGACTTGGCAACGTTTGGTCTTGGAGGATCTTTCATCCCTACCATCCCTGCGAAAATCAAGTCATTTGGATAGGTAGTGGGCTTTTCTTCATTATCTGAAGGGCCAATCTTGGATCCATGTCTAGCAAAACCCAAAACTCGTAACCCATCATTTGCAAGCATTATTGATCTTTCATGTACCAAGTTCTTAAATTCAGTTGTGATGGGCTTAATCAGACCATCAGAATCGTAGTACCTTGAACATAACTCCAAGACTCTTTCAGTAGCACCTTTAGCAACCGTTTCCGCTTTATTTAAGTCTCCCTGGTGAACACAAACAGCCATATATTTTCTCTTTGAAGAAAAGGGTAATTCATAAACTCTTTCCATAGTAGGTCTAACGTCTTCCAAGCCAAAATGTTGCAAACAGTCAACAAGAGCAATATCACTTGCATTACCAACAAATTTGTCGCTTTCATGGGAGTAACGGGCATTGTTACATATGTTTCCAGCTTCTAATGTTCTTCTCATGTTGGTAGTCATTTCCTTATGCAAATTAGTATCATCCAACTTTTCGACAATTAAAAATGGAGAATTGAAACTTCCTTCATAATCACTTGTCCACACTTTAGTAACACTCATTTGATTTTTGGTCAAAGTCCCAGTCTTATCAGAGCAAATAACATTGACACTTCCTAATGTTTCAACACTGGGCAATCTTCTAACAATAGCCTTTCTCCTGGCCATTCTAAGAACGCCAAGAGCCAATGTGACAGTGACAATGATAGGCAAACCTTCTGGAATAGCTGCTACCGCAAGTGAGACTGAAATCTGAAACATATCCAACCATGAACGTCCTTGTACAACCCCAATAAAACAAATAATACCAATTACTACGAAACTGAACATGGATAAATCCTTTCCCAACTTATCCATAGCTTGTTGTAAAGGAGTTTTTGGTTTTTCAATTTCCAGCATCATTTCAAACACAGCTCCAAACTCTGTCTTAGCACCCGTTGCTACTACAATACCAGAACCATGTCCATCACGGACCAAAGTCCCCATGTATGCAATAGAACTTCTTACGGTGATAGAAGGAGTTTCGTTACCAGTTTTTATCACGGGATCCACTTTCTTTCTCACGGGTTCATTTTCACCTGTCAAGTTACTTTCATCAATGGACAAATACACCGCATCAGTTAAACGAATATCAGCCGGGATTCTATCACCTTGAACAAAATGGACCAAATCACCAGGAACTAAAGTGGAAGCCAAAACATGAGAAGTATTACCATTTCTTGTTAATTTTGCTTCAGCTGGAACCAATTTATTTAATGCTTCTAATGATTTTTCAGATCTATATTCTTGAACAAACCCCACGGTAACAACAATAACAATAGCCAAAGTAATAGAAATGGCATCATCCACATTCCCCATCCAGAAACTAATTACTGCTGAACCTATAAGCAACAAGATCAACGGATCCTCGTAGAAAGTCGCTATAAACTTCCATACAATACTTTCCTCTTCATCATTTGATAATTCATTGACTCCATGTATTGATCTCCGATTCAATACGTCTTGACTATTTCCCAAGCCTTGATTAATGTCTGTTCTCAATTCTTTAACTGTGTCCTCCACTGTGTACAGACAAAACTTGATGGAGGGGGTATTGGTTTTAGAGCTGAAGAGCTCTTCTTTTAATTCAAACGGATTCTCACTCATATAAACAAATCTATCAATATAACGTGTCTGAAGTCTAACAGTAACAACTGATGCTATCTCAGATCAACAGATTAGTTGAAGGTCTCCACTTGCTTCTAATAGACACTGTAATATATACAGTGGTTGCTTCTTAATATAATACTCTTCAAACGACTCCAACAGCCACGTCCTCCAGAAACACTGAAACCTTTGAGAGTATTGTTCTACAGACAGACAATTAGCTAGTTGTCATTTCTCATCTTAATAATGGACAATTTTTCTCTTTATTTCAAAGCCAGCAAAGCGTGTTTCCAGGTCACGTGACAGATTAAGTAGATAAGGAGGTTTCTGTATTTTTTCACTATGCACTTTGTATTATTGCTACTGCTGCTATCGTTATATAATATAATATACTTTGTATATAGATTCTATCCTTTGATGTGAACGGCTGCTGCTTTTGATAATCTGTTCATGATGGCAAGACCCTCGTTGGTCTCGTCTGTGCCCTCAACGAAGATAACATCAACCCCAGAAGGATCTTCATCAACATCCCGAAGCATACGAAACAAATTCCGAGAGATTTCTTGTCCCGTACTACCAAGCGATCGTTCTATAATGATGCCAGGATGAATGTTGGATCCAAAGTTTCTAGCTCTAAGTAAAGCAAGTTTCTTTTGTTCAAGATTATTTTGAGAAATGTACTGCGTAATAGCTTTCTTACCATTACCACAACCAGTGAAGAGCACAACCTCTGCTGAGGGTGAATAATGCTTGTATTTCATTCCTGGAGTTCTAACAGCTTCAAGCTTCCCGGCGGTCTTTTTACTAAGTATGACATGTTTCCATTGGTCGCCACCAAATTGTCTTATTTCTTCGAGCGAAACTCCTCCTGGTCTTAAAAGCATTGGTGGGTCCAGAAGTCCATCCACCACTGTAGACTCTACTCCTACGTCACAAGCTCCTCCGTCTAATATGTACGGTATACGGCCTTGTAAATCGTGGAGAACATGACTTGCAAGCGTGGGACTAGGACGCGTGGATGCGTTGGCCAGTGGTGCTGCCAATGGAGTATCACTAATAGCTATAAGAGATCTAGCAACTGGATGAGCAGGCATCCGCACTGCAAAGGTATCTTGGTTAGCAGTAACATATTTAGATATAGGAGATCCATCATGTACTGGAAGAAGTATAGTTAATGGACCTGGCCAGAACTTCTGTATGAGCTTATCATAAATATGTGGAATCTCATAGTCTTCAGGAAGTAGTCGTCTTTTCAATTGATCAATGGAAGATATGTGAACTATTAATGGATTATCACTAGGCCGATTTTTAGCTTTGTAAATTCCTTTAACCGATTCGTCACTCAATGCAGAACCTCCAAGTCCGTATACGGTTTCTGTGGGGAATCCTACTACGTCATTTGACTCTGTGAGTACTTTAGCTGCCAATTCTATGTTATGCTTTGTTTCTTCATCTGTGATGATTGGCTTGGTATCCAGCGCACCAAATTTGATACTGGATACGTCAACTTTTAAGACAGTTGTGTTAAACATTGTGTGTTTGAGTCTTTGAAAGGTCTTCTGACTTGTTCCAGTGAACATTCAGCTCCATATGTATGGTGTTGGTGGTGGTGGTGGTGATGATGATTTGGGTTCGCACTCTCATCTCATCTCAAATGAGTAACAATACGGTAGCGCCCAACATGCTCAGTTAACTTAACAAAGGTATATGAACTGATTACGTAATCATCAACCATATTCTATAATCTATTGTTTATGAGCATACTAATATACAAAGATTCCTCCACTCAAAACACAACACTTTCAGTAATCATCTTCTTCTCATCATCACTCATGTCTTTATAGAATTTATCAAAATGACCCAAGTTTTTGCTCATACACTCTTTGAAAAATTGTGAAAGTAAGTCTTTAAGTCCTTGATCACCGTTTTGTTCGTCATAGTCAGAACCTTCATCATCAGAATCAACATACGACTTCAATTTGTCATAAGTAGGAACTCCCATATCTTGCATGTCTTCCCAATCGTCATCTCCATCGTCCTGTTCAACATTCTCCGGTAAGTAGTCGTTGGCATCTGGCTGTTGGTTCTGGAAAATAAGCTCCCCAGCAAGCACCTTCAATATCTTCAAAGAGGCAGATATACGTGTGTATCGGTCAGGCATATTCTGAGCCATGGATCTGGTGATAATCAAATCACCATCATAAGGAATAATATCACCATTAACAATGAGTGACTCTACTTTTGAGTCACCAAGTGAATAAATTTTAGCAAGAGCCAATGCGTTCTGTTTTATCTTCTCATAGCCTCTGGTAACTTCAAAGGAATCAAACCAAATGGGTAAAATGATTTCTAGGCCAGTACGTTCGACTTGTGGGGTAACAGTTGGATCAATTAGTTTAATATTTGTGGTCAAGAAATTAATCATATCTTGTGGAGCCTTGAGAACCAAATAGCAAAACACTTGAATAAGATTTTCAACAGTTACAACCTCTTTAGCAATGACCAACCGTTTAACAGTGGCCTCTAATATTTGTGCCAAGAATTCAGTGCTCAAATATGATTCGAATTGTTGAATTAATGAATGAACTATGAGCCCAGTGTTCATGGCTGCACTGTCACTTAAGACAGGTGACAAGAATTTAGATACAATTTCTAAAATCAAATCGACACCAGATTTGCCAGTTTCTGGATCTTTGTATGCAAGGAAAGATTGAGATGCCTTGGTAATTAAATTGCTAAACACTTCTCCTCCACTCTGAAGAATTTGGTTGTCATCGGAAATAAGAAGCAAGTGCTTTACCGTGGGGAATGCATACTCAAAAATATTCAGTGGGAATGGGGTGATAGGACAACTTTGGATAATGACACCAAGCAATTCAAGAGTTAAGTCTAAATCCGGAGAATAGGTTCCAGTAGCATGGTTCTTAATTACTTGAAGGAGAGATGGCAAGGACTTTTCACATACTGTCAAGTAATCTTCGTTGGAAATACTCGACAAGAATTGTTGCAAGCATTCAGAAGAATCAGTAACAAGTTGGACATTAGCACTATCTTTAAAGGCAATTTTCAAGATCAAATCAATGATTCCTACACCTTCAATTTGGACTTTGGAAGCAAAGGCGTAATCCGATTCAATCCCTACAGAAATAGCTTCCAAAAGAGCAGGCAAGCCATCTTCTTCGCTATCTTCAAGAATTGAATAGGCAAGCTTGAAAATATCAAGAACAACTGTTTCTCTCTTAGAAGGTTCAATTTGCACTTTAATTAATTGCTTGAATAAAGAAACACTTAAAATGGCTGCAGCTTTTACCAATTCGCAATTAGAGTTCGAAGCAAAGCTCACTAAATCTGCTAGGGCTTTAGCTCCAAAGGTATCAACTGAAATAATGTTTTCAAACTTTTCAAAAAACCTCGGTAATAGAACGAAAACCCTAGCTACAACAAGTGCATTATTTGGATCAACCATTGAGTTTAACCGAGAAAGTATTTCAGCAACTCCCAAATTATTACCCAGTAGTTTGGCATCAGCATTTTGGAAAAGTGATTCCAAAATAAATAAAAGAGCTTCTGTTAACGAAACATCTTGTTGTAGTGGTTTATCTCCCAATAATTGGAAAACAAAAAGAAATAATTGAGCTGCATCAAGTTCGTTCAAATCTTGTAAAAGATCAGAAGTGGATTCCCTCACAGACTGGCCCAAAATCAATGAACTTGAATCTGTTATGAATTCGTTGAAGTTCGCCTCGTATTCTTCAACTCTTGCTTTCGAAAGCTTAGCTGAATCAATCAATGCGCCAAAAAACCCTTTACCTGTTTCATTCAAAGATGCTAACGATACTTGATGTTGGATAGAATTAATCAATTGGAGCATCTCCACAAATAACTGTACTAATATTTGAACGGGCTCATTACCAATATTGTCTTCTATTTGTAATGTCGACTCCTCAGTCACCACAACTCTTACATACACATCAGACATCTTAATATAATCTTGGACCACAAAGGAGAAAATATAGGCTGTCATATCCTTTGATATTCGTTTATTAAAATCGGAAAAGAATACCACAAGAACGTTATAAATATGGCTTCGTAATGAAATTTGGCCAATCTGATCATTATTGGACTCTATAGAGTCCTCCAAAAGCTTAGCAAAAAAACTGGTCATTGTGGTAACGTTCTCTATGGCAAAGGTCTTCCTTTCAGCTGTTTCAAATGATTCTGGAGCTCTTAAATGGCTCAATATGTTCCCGTAAAGAACCACACAACTAATTTTCACTTTCACACTGGCTTCCGGGGTTGAAACAATCTTGCAAATGTGGTCTGTAAGCTGAGACCCCACAGATTGGTTCCAGAACTGCTCACTGGTGATTAAATCGTCAAATAATTCATTAAGGACCAAGAACCCACCTAAGAAAGCGGTTTCATTTGTGACATCAAGAGTCAGATTATACAAGAAAGTAAGCAATTCAGGCCATTCATCGGGGTAATCACTAGCAGCAATTTGCACAATGGCATAAGAACATCCAGTACGGAGTTTTGTATTTGGAGTGGTTGTTACCAATTGTAAAAGCTTGGATCTGATAGCACTCTTGACCTCTTGAGATACTGGAGGACCAATGAATGCTGGGAACCCCATAGACCAATACTTGGGAATCACTCGCTTCAATTGAAGCAAAGACGCTTGACGGATGTCTATGGGTGCCAACGCGTCTTCTGCAATTTGCATCAAGATCAATGATACGGTTGTGGGATCTTGGGATATTTGATAATTGAAAATCAATTCAGCTTCGGTTCTAACATTGTTATTTGGCGAGCTCTGATTGGCCAATAGCACAGCAATGTGTTCCGGATCTCCACCCATCTTAAAGCGCTGAAAGAATGAATAAAAGTGGTATACAAATCAAGAGTCTTGATGATAAACCTTTTCCCAAACGTGTATCACGTGCTAATATCTCACGTGATTGGGTTATTTTGTGTAGTTTTCTAATATTGTCTGTTTGATCTTAAGGGGATCTCATACTGGTGGTACTAGTGGAGGCCGCAATCATATGAGTTAATTACCTATAAGTATGTTTTTTGAAAAGCTGTATGCGTCCATGCAAGAAGTCAATGAGCCACTTTCTTCTGAACAGTTGAGAATTCTTCGTGACCAATTGGAATCAGAAAAGCCTAATGTGAACCCTCAATCAGAGTTCAATTATGCTTGGGGGTTAGTGAAGCTGGACCATCACAAACAACAGATTGACGGACTCCATATCATGGAAAGATTATATAAAGATGTTCCTGAGTTGCGCAGAGACTGTTTGTATTATTTGAGTTTAGGTTCAGTTAAAGTAGGTGACTATATTAATGCTAGACGGTACGTGGAAGCTATGTTGAAGAAGGAACCTAATAATTCACAAGCATTGGAGTTAAAGAAAACCATTGATGATAAAGTTACAAACGACGGTTTAGTTGGCTTGGGAGTTTTGGCTGGTGCCTTGGCAGTGGGGGTAGGTATTGCTGGTGCCTTAATGAGAAGGAAGAAATAAACTGCATTATATTCATGCTATTAGCGCAGGATATCGCAAAGGAGGTTTACCCCGATTGTCATCACTATGAAGATAACATCTATTGGGGTGTAACCACATACGTTTTTAGAAACCCCTTTGATATTAATTTTATTTATATATAAACATGATATCGTTAAGTGTATACGGATGAATTTGCACAAGCATGATGTTGGTTTATGCAAGTGAAGGTAAGAATAAGATCCAACTGTGTGTAATCTTTTTTAATTCAAATGTGGTAATTGTGGTTGTCGTATTTATGCGTTTCGTTAATGTCTTGATTCTGGAATATTTCTTAACTCATCCCAAATTGCGATTCCAATTGTTAAGTGGAAGAGTAATGAACATCAATAAAGCCATTGCTAACGAAGTGTACAAAAATCTCACGTGCACGTTTAATGGGTTACTGGTGAAGTCAGGGAAACCTATAGTACGTTCAAATGGGGTGAAAGAGTGGACTGTATTGTCTGGCATATGTGCAGTTGAGAAGAACGACGATGCTAATCCAAATGTTGAACTAATAGCTTTGGCTACAGGAGTGAAATGTCTCCCAGATAAGACAAGGGAATACTCACATGGGTCGATAGTACATGATTCACATGCTGAAATCCTAGTCCTAAGATTATTTAATTGGTTTATACTAAAAGAATGCCAGAAGAAACATTCGCAATATCTTTTAAAGGGCCTGAAAGGAACGTATTACTGGAATAAGAAATACAAGCTAGCACTTTACATTAGTGAGCCTCCCTGTGGTGATGCCTCTACGCTTTATTTGGCTTCCAAGACCAATTCCACCGACAATTGGGAAGACGAACAGGATAAAGATAATTGTGCAGAAGAGCCTAAGACAAAGAAACCCAAGCTTGTACGAGGCCGGTTTGGATTTGGCCAACTAGGAATTATTCGGTCCAAGCCTGGTCGCCTAGACAGTATACCCACAAAATCCAAGTCATGTTCTGATAAGCTTACAGTCAAGCAGGTCACTGGAGTGACCAATGCGTTGGTGAGTTTGTTACTTCCTGACGGCGTATACATAGACTATTTGGTATTGGGAGAGTTCAAAGAGGAAGATACAAATAGATGCTTTAATTCTCGGATATCCAATATTGAACAGAAGCAAGCATTGAATGTTGTCAAATTTGATAAGAAAGAAGACGAAGAATATGAGTATAAGTTTCACAGACAAGATAATTTTCAACCATCACCATTATCACTTTTGTATATTGCTCCATATAATTTTGTCGAGGTACTAAATAATGGAGTTAAGAACGGCTCTTATATCAAAAATAAGCCTCCAAAACCATCTGGGGAGAGCATTATATGCAACAAACAATTATATCAACTATTCACACAAGTTTATCAGGGAACAAAGACCTACACTAGCTACAACGAACTTAAAGTCTCCAATGAAGAACGACAGCATCTTAAAGATAAAGCTCGATCCACGCTAGGAATATGGACATCTACCAGTCTAGATGACTTTAGCCTTCTGTAATTATTTGATTCTTTTCCGTATATAAATAGTAGTAGTAAGAACGATATGTATGATTCTATGGAGGAGGATATCAGTCAATCTGAATCTGATGCTGATGCCGAATCATTATCCACATCTTGGCTTTGTTCAGCCAATTGTTCATCTTCCGGCACTTCCATTGAAATGGCATATTCAGCACTCTGGAGCAATTCCTTCAATTTGGAGTTATCTTTGACGTAATTGATTGGCTTTAACCCGTGCTTATCAACCACCCGAGGATCCGAACCCGCATCTAACATGTTATCAACAATAAAGAACCCATGTTCAGGTTCCTCATTGGTGTATTTGACAGCAAGATGCAATGGAGTGTCTCCTTCACGGTTCATGGGGTCTATTTCTACTCCCTCAATGTCTAACACAATGTCGATGAATTCCCAGTTGCCCAACTGACATGCCAAATGCAATGCTGAGTTATCTGTAATGATCTCGCGTGTATCGTTGATCAACTGTGACAATTGGACGTGGTCGTTGTTGCATCTAACTTTTATATCAAGTAAAAGCTCCGTGTTATTCCGTCTAGCGCATTCCAAAAGCTGTTCACCCAAACTAGCACCCTCTGTCTCGGTCATTGTATTCCGGTAACGATCAGGATAGAGTATAGACTCAAGTTGACTTAAGTTATGGGTGTAGGCTAGAAGGGACAGATCGAATATAAATAAACGATTGGTCCGTGCACGACTTACAAATGTAGATACTACTTTGAGACAAGGTACTTCAAGTAAGTGCTACCTCATTAGTATGGGTACTGGAGACGGCCAATTAACATAAGTTTGTAACGACTAGAAGAGACTAAGTATCACTCTATGACCCATAAGCCATTTGAAAGCACTTTTGTTCGCGTTCTTTCCAATTGGTTGTAATGGCACTGGCGACATATTATCGTTTATATTCGTAAATGGGTAGTGCTTATCTTGTAGCAATATTTTGCTTAGTGTAGTTGGTGAGAACACGACTTTCTTGATTTGACCGTAGTTGCCGTACCAATTGAATGGAAATCACATACATAAACCCAGCAATTCACCTTAAACTCTTACAATTGAACCAGAGTACTCAAAACTTTAACTCACAATGGTCAAGCCACTTATTGCACCATCCATTTTGGCATCAAACTTTGCCGATTTAGGCTGTCAATGTCATAAGATGTTGGACAATGGAGCTGATTGGCTTCATATAGATGTCATGGATGGACACTTTGTTCCCAACATTTCCTTGGGACCTCCTATTATTTCTTCGTTACGTAAGGAGATTCCTCGTTCTGACACTAAGCCAAGTTTCTTTGATTGTCATATGATGGTCAGTGAACCAGAGAAATGGGTTGAAGAGATTGCTAAGGCCGGCGGTGACTCCTATACTTTCCATTATGAAGCTACAAAGGATCCATTGGCATTAGTAAAGTTAATCAAGAGCCACGGCTTGAAAGCTGCATGTGCCATCAAACCAGGCACTTCAGTCGACGTTTTATACCCATTGGGTGAGTATTTGGATATGGCTTTAGTAATGACTGTAGAGCCTGGTTTCGGAGGTCAAAAATTCATGGCTGACATGATGCCCAAAGTAGAAGCTTTACGGACCAAGTTCCCCAAATTGAATATCCAAGTCGATGGTGGTTTGGGAAAGGAAACCATCCCTGCCGCTGCTGGTGCTGGTGCCAACGTCATTGTTGCTGGTACCTCATGTTTTACAGCTACTGATCCCAGGGAATTGATTGAATTCTTAAGAGAGAACGTTAGTAAAAACTTGAGTGCTCGTGGCTTGCTAGATGAAAAAGTATAGTAAACTTATGTTAAACTTATTCTGTCAATATAATATATTTATATATAGCTATTGATAAATGGTCCTGATACGATTTCTGACTAATATTGTACACATAATTCTTAATGGAACTAAAAGGCTTGCACACCTAAAGTAGTACCTTCACCTTCAACATCGATCTTATAGTTAGCATTGTCAGCCACAGCAGACCATAATACTTCCTTGACCTTATCTAATTGTGAAGGAGCCTTTCTAGACTCATTAGTCTTTGTAGTTTGCTTCTCTTCGTCAAGATCCATGGCTCCTTCTTGTTTAGCCATAAGATCTATCTCCAACTTCTCCTTTCTTTGAGCAATGTATTTGGCATTCCGGGTCAACTTCTTGGCTCTCTTATTCGACAAAGTGTTGTTGGTGATAAGACCGGTTGGTTTAATGCTTCCTGTGAACAAAGCCACAGCCTTGGATTCGGTAGGCGTTGGTGCAACTCCGCTAGAGTTACGAGATGTGGATGACTTGGTAGCAGGAACATTCCTGGATCTAGCAGCTCTTTTCTTCCCTATAGCAGAAGCATGTTTCTGTGATTGTATCTTAATCTTAGGCTTGTTGATACTGTTCTTGTGAGCCATCTTAAATATGTATTTTGTTATCCAAGTAGATGTAATATGAATGTCAATTATTTGATTAAGGTGTGTGGAATTAAATTTCCTCATCTCATCGCTACTATAAAACAAAAAGGTTGAGAGCAGTGCAAAAAAATCTCCCGGGGGCGAGTCGAACGCCCGATCTCAAGATTACTTTGAGGAAAACCCATTACAGTCTCGCGCCTTAACCAGCTTGGCCACCGGGAGTTACTTGAAATGGAAAGTAACATAATTTTGTTATATAGCTATGCAGGAGGCGGAGTGTCGGATATAAAACGGATTTAAGGCGTGGGATTATATGTATGTGTATTCAACTTTAGTTACGCAACAAAACTGCAAACTTTGATTATGTCTACTTTTATGCTGTTAAACACTCTTTACTATTATTAACTAAGTGATATCGACATTGATCGAATGAGCTGCCTAATGTTCGATATTCTCTGCTCGACCTAATCAATATATCTGATTTCTCTTAAAAGTGCACCAATATTAGTAGAATGTCGTTATGTAAAAACCTCCCCTTTAAACACAATGTTGCGAGACAAAGTTGAACCACATGAACAGCAATGTTCACTCAATTGTTACTTCCATTAATAAATAGTCTTAATTCCGCATTATCTATCTTCAAACCCGCCTCCACAGCCTAAAATTCATTTGATCTTACGGCACCCAAAAAAGTTAACATTTTCCTATCTGGTTTCATTGGAGCCGTACTTAAGCAATGACGATATCTGATGCGGCGACATTTGATAATGCAAACGTTCTTTAGCAAAAGCTTTATTATAGGATTATACTATCTGAATATTCTCTATGTATGAATGAAGATTTGCCCCCTTCAGGAACAGACAATCCTTGGGTTGCAAAAAGCAAACTCACAACTCGTCACCGTTCATAATTCCCTTCTTCTTATACCCGAGTAGCCATAAGAGGTTCCGCACTTTGGGGGTGGAAATAAACGAACATACAGGACAGTTCCAATTAGGACTTCCCGACGGATAGCCTATTCTTATAAAGATAAACCCTTAGAGCAATGCATTTAAGTTGATGATTTTCCTAACACTTTCCTTCCCTATAGTACATAGACTCATTGAAATATGCTAAGGTTGGAAGACTCGGAGAAGACTTCAGGTCTCCACAAAACTGCTACTACTACTAAAGCAATAAGGTATTGGAAATGGGGGTTTATTGGAGCCACAGCTATTTTTCTCTGGCTGCAGTTTAGTTGTAGTAGTTATTATGGTGATGTCAACTCTACAGAAGTCGATTACGCTAAGCTTTTTTTGGATGCGTTGGACATCAATTTGGCTCTGGTCTGGTCAGAATATTACACATCAGAAACCCATTTAGCAGGAACAAACTATGGTTTTGTTGAATGGACAAAGAATAAGTTTGAAGAGTATGGTCTTAAAGCGGAGATTGATACTTATGAAATGTTGATGAGTTATCCCGAGGATCATTCCTTAAAGCTTTCCAATTCAAAGGATGGACTGGTTTATGAACATTCGTTAAAGGAGGATGCATTGAAGAAAGACCCAACTTCCCAAGGTGATGATTTGATCCCTACTTTCTTGGGCTATGCTGCCAATGGGAATGTCACAGCTCAATACGTGTATGCCAATTATGGGACCAGAGAAGACTTTGCTCATTTGCATAAAGAGGGCGTTGACATAAAGGGTAAGATTGTGATTGTCAGATACGGTAAGATCTTCCGGGGATTGAAAGTAAAGTTTGCTCAAGATAGTGGTGCAATTGGAGTTCTTATCTATACTGATCCTGGTGATGATTTTGGTATAACCCCTAAGAATGGCTACAAACAGTATCCTAATGGGCCTGCAAGGCAGGAAAGTTCTGTTCAAAGAGGTAGTGTTCAATTCTTAGGGGGTGAGAATCTGGCTCCTGGAGATCCAACCACCCCTGGATACCCTTCCAAACCTGGTGTACCAAGAAAGAACCCTTACACTTCGATTGGACAGATTCCTGTATTGCCTATTTCGTATCGGGAAGTGAAACCTATTTTGGAAGGATTGAATGGTCATGGTAAGAAACCAAATAAAAACGATTGGGTTGGAGAATTGGATGGTGTGAAATATTTCACTGGACCAAATGAAGATTTAACTTTAAATCTATACAATAAGCAAACTTATAATATCACTGAATTATGGAATGTTTATGGTGAGATTAAAGGTGAATTAGACAATGAAGTGATTATCATTGGTAACCATAGAGATGCTTGGATTAAAGGAGGAGCTGGTGATCCTAATAGTGGATCAGCTGTATTAATTGAATTGGCCAGAGCCTTTGGTCAAATGAAGGCTTTAGGGTATAAGTTTAAGAGAACAATTATCTTACAAAGTTTCGATGGAGAGGAATATGGACTTTTGGGTTCAACAGAACAAGGAGAATACTTTGCCAATAAATACAAGAGAAAGGTTATTGCTTATTATAATGTTGATGTTGCAGTTGCTGGCAAGAATTTGAAGTTAGGTGCCTCTCCAACTTTATACAAAGTTTTGAAAGACACTGCTAAGTTGTTCCAATATCCGGGTAGTAATTATACTCTTTATGATCATTTTGTTGACAAGAGCAATGGATATATTTCCAATTTGGGATCTGGATCCGATTACACTGTTTATTTGGATCATTTAGGGATTTCTTCCGCTGATATTGGATTTGTTCCAGGTAAAGATGATCCAATTTATCATTATCATTCTAATTATGATTCCTTTTATTGGATGAAGACATTTGCTGATCCTGATTTCATTTTCCATAATTTGGCAGCCAAGTTTCTTGGTTTGGTTGCCTTAAAGACATCTGAAGAAGCCGTGCTCCCCCTTACAGTTACAGATTATGCTACGACATTATCTGGTTATTTTACTAAGGCAATCCTGAATGTACCTGATTCTTGGTTGGATAGAATTGTCACCAAGAGTAAGGCATGGAAGTCCTTTGTTACACATGATGAGGAAGATTTAAAGTTCTTATCCGAAGCAGCCTCAAATAATTACCAACCAAAGAATGATTACCCATTCCCGGAACTTGTCAAGGGGAAGACTCGGATGTGTCCACATTCCCATTCCGGCTACAGTTTGACCAACAAAGACTCTGTGAATTTGACGTTCAAAGACTTGATTGAGAAGACAAAGAAGGAATTGAAATTAATGGCTGATAGAACAGATATTTTTGATACAAAGAGTAAAGAGTTACAAGCGAAATGGGAAAACAGACAATCAATTGGATGGTGGGAGAAGGTCCGTTTGATTTACGCCATTCTGTTTCATAATCGAAACCTAAAGTACTTTGAACGGAGTTTCTTGTTTCATAAGGGACTTGATTCAAGACCATGGTACAAACATATTGTTTTTGCACCAGGTAGATACACAGGCTATGCAGGGCAAACGTTACCCGGATTAGTTGAGGCTATTGAAGATGAGGATTTCGATAAGGCTGTCTATTGGCTCGGAATTATCACCAAAGCATTCAAGAGAGCATCTGAGGGACTTGATCGGAGAATTACCATTTAAACGTTGTTGATACCGATGACGAAGCGTTGCGGTCTTTACGCATTTTGTATAAGATTGAACTTAATCACAAACACGATAGCCATTCTGAAACATCTGTTGAGGCTTCTTCGTGTTTTGCGCATAAGATCTTGACCGCATGTATGTAAGTATGTATGTAAGTATGTATGTAAGTATGTAAGTATGTATATATGTGTGTTGGTGGGATGTGGCCTCAAAAGTCTTTGAATTACATTTTACTTCTATTGAATACCATCATGTATGAAATATCACCATGTATGGAATACCGCCTTGTATGGAATACCGCCTTGTATGGAATAGCACCACTTAAATTATGATGGCTTCGACGCACCAGCAAGGGGTATGTTCTATGCAGTGATAATAAGCAGTAGTAAAATATGTCAAATAACAAATTTAGTTTAGCGTATCATTACGTAACTCAAAGCAATAAAGCGCGTGGTTGTTAAGGCAAAGAATGTACAACGGGTAAGTCGTACATCACTACTGCGTTACAACAGTGGGGTTTATAGGGGTCAAGTTGCTGATACACAAGTAGAAGCTGTTGTAGACCTTGACTCTAAAAGATTGATATTGACCCCGTAGTGTTGACTCTGTTGTGTTTACAGTATGATAAATGGCGATCAATGGTACTTTACCTACCAAGTAACTTTTATATATGTAGTGTTGTTATCTGCAGGTACCACCAGCCTGAGGGCTGGTATTGTTGTTGATAGTAGGCTTTACCAGCATAAGGACCCTGCACATCTTCTTTTGTGTGCATTCTTCGGGTATTGACGGTGTTTCACAGATCACAAATGTCAGGCTGACATCGTACTCTCTATATATATATAGTAAGGGGTCGAACCAGTAGAAAAGAAAAAGATGCATTGTAGTAGTATTTCATATCATAGCATACTTGAATTGGTACGATGAAGATGAACGGCAAGTCTATCAAATGTTTCCTACTTTGGATGCTTGTCACTCCTACTCTTGGTATAGTGTTAGGGGGGTTAGATCAACAAACAGTAGTAACAGGTGTTGCCGAAGGGCCAACAACAAGCACCAGCAGTGAAAACAACGACACAACTTCACCTTCACCTTCCCCAAAAAGCACCAAGCAAGAAAATACAACACCAAATGATACTCCTTCAACAACATCAGTGCAGACATTTAGTCCAATATCAACTCTGGTAGCGTCCCCGGGGACTTCCTTACAACTTGTCACTACGACAATCTTAATAAGCACCGTCATAGCTAGTGCTCATGTATACACTTTAACCAATGCTGTTGGGTCTCAATCCACCTCAACAGCAGCCACATCGACTCTGACTCAAACCATTGCTCAAGTAACAGTGGTTACTCAAACATACACTGTGAGTTCTGTTGCTGTGGTATGGTATACCCCCACTGTCACAGCTAATAGGTTGACATCACTAACCAACCCCACTGCTCAAGCAGTCACAACCTATAACACCCAAGGGTTTGCTGGGACGCAAACAGTGTGGGTCAACACAAACATTATTAATAATAGTAATCTGCCTAGCAGTAAAGGTGGTAATGGAGATGGCACTACGACTATTACTACAGATAACACTGCTATAGTTGGAGGTATTTCAACTTTTGTCACCACCATAGGAGGGAATAGTGGTCTCACGCTTACCACAAGTTTACTTAACAACAAGTCTAATAGAGGAGGCACTGCGACCCTGGTTTATTATACTACTAGTGGGGGTTCAGTATTCTTGGTGACTTCCATGGTCACAGGCCAAGCAAAATCAGTCACATTAGTCACATTAATCAGTGGGTCTTCAACTATCGTCACCACCCAACCCCAAGCAAGTGCTAATCTCGCCATGAGAGCAATTGCTAATCCGTTAGTTGGATTTGAAAAGGATCTTAGTTTCCAAAAGACATTGTTATCTGTGACATTCATATCACTCTTCGCTGCCTTCAATATTCTTTAGACCAACGCATTACATAATCATCATCATAGCATTCAATACTATTCTTTTGCATTTATAATAATGCATACCCTCTATTACTTCATAACGTAATCATTGACTCCAATATGCTGCTACAATGGTGTAGACACGACAAGCTTCGTCCACGTGACCGGTCGATCGATCTATCTTTCTTCTAAATGTATATTTAACAGCAACTTTACAATTAGTCTAAAAATAACCTTACAATATCCCTTTAACAATATAGTAGCAAATCAACAGGTACATATATAGTTTCTGTAGCACGTGGTACAATAACATGCACCTTTAGAAGTAGATCACAGTTTGATTTAGAGTCGTGCACTTACCACTTAATACCCTAGTTAGAACATTTTGCAGACAGTAAGGAGTATAAAATCTTAACAGCGCTTCTTCTTAGCCAATGACCCTATAGTCGTACTGAACAATGAACGGAAATAAGGCGCTGTTGATAGACTTTGAAAAGTTCCAGGAATTGGAAAAGAATCGTCCATCACCATACACCGAATACTTTGATGATGAACTCTCGGACTATTATAACAGTATTGACTATGCAAAAAATAAGTATTTAAGAGGTCTGCTGCGATCGTTGCCTCTATTTGCAGCCATGGAACGCGTGTATACTAGAAGAAATATACTCTTTTGTATTGATGTTGAAGCTTGGGAACACGATACCAAGTTGGTGACGGAATTGGGGGTATCCATATATGATCCTCGGGGACAAGGTCTTTCTATAGCTCCCAATATTACGACGTATCATATTATCATTGACGAGTTTTCTGGTAAAAGAAACGGTAGGTTTGTACCCAATCATCTGGAATACTTCAATGGAGGCATAACATATCAAATGCCTCAAATGGAAGCGGTTGAGTTTGTTCAAGCATTGATTGATTATTATTTTATGAGTAGAGAACATTTTGGTTGCTGCTTAGTGGGTCATGATGTTAAAGGTGACTCCAATTGGTTTCGTAGTATTGGAATCAAATTACCTTATGAGCTTACAATCATTGATACCCATACAATCTACTCCTTAAGTCATGGACGTCAAGGAGGAAGCTTAAAGAATTTGTTGAAGTTGGTACAAGTGCCCAATGCCTTCTTGCACAATGCTGCTAACGATGCTTATTATACTTTATTGGTAGCCATGAAATTGTGTGATCCTCATGTTAGAACCAGGTTGCTTTTGGACCAAGGAAGACCTCTAATACCCAATAAAACTGTACCTCAGAATCATTCCAAAAAGCATAAACTTCGGAACGCAAATAAGAGTGATTTGGTGAATTATTCTTCTTGTGAAGAACTTTTATATGATCTTTATCAATCACCAATATTCGAAGATAGTGGCGATGCTGAATAACAACCCAACAGTTCAATACATACTGTTCAATTGGTTTTCAATTAATCGATTATGCTTTTCAAATAACCCAGTGATCTTCAATAAGACTCCGGCACATATGCTTTTGACTTTATTATCAATTATCAGTTCCCAAATAGTCGATAGCCAAGTGTGAAAAATAGTTAGATCGTTATAGAATTCTGTCACGAGATAGTTTTCATCGCAAACTTCACAGGCAATAAGAACCCCGGTACAAATACTTTCAATTAATTGTATTTCATCAACACCAACCTGCTTGATGTGAGATGTGATAATCAACAAAAACTCTCGAACCATAGAGTGGATGTCAGTCGAAGAAGGATAACTGCAATGCAAGATCAATGAAAGGGTCTTTATGAAATGGGACTTAAGAATAGATGAATATATCCCAATATTAATTCCCCGACTTTCATACCAAACATTGCAAAGTGGGAAGAAAAAATATCGTCCAACAATAACCTTATAGTAGATATCAATGAAAGGAGGACGGTATGAATTTTCTATGTCAGTGGTAGTGGTTGCGGATGGTTTCCTTAGTTTGCTTGACATTCTTAAAACTTTCCCAACCCCTCCATTGATCTGATCTTGGGCATCTTTAGAGGCTTCAAGCATTAGTTCATCTTGAATTTGAGACTCCAAGCCATCAACAATTCCAAAAATTCGATGCACATTGGGTGGTAGTTGGTTTGTGGGGAACAGAGTTTTGGTATATGACTTGGTAACCAGATCGTCTTGGATACCTTTAAGTTCTCGAGCTGCCAACGTCAAAGAGGTCAAGATCATTACTCTTTGTTGTAAAGAGTAATCACCATTAAGAAGCAATCGACAAACATGCAATGATGAAGTATAATGACTGGCAATTACTGCCACTAAATTTTGAAGAATCCAATCATAGAATTGGTCATCATCAAAAGCATTATCTAAGGCAATGAAAGTGGTATAAAGTGAATCAGCGAGCAAAGCTAATTCATTACCAAATTTGGCCTTTTGACGGATTAATGTGGGACCCACAGTAAGTGCCAATTTCCGTTTATCATAAGCTTGCTTATTGCTTGTATCCACCGTCAAATACTCCAATAAGTCTTTAATATAAAGTGGCTTTGAAGGTTTAACTGACGAAGGATCACCATCACCATCTTCATTATCTGGATCCATATCGGAATCCAATTCTTTATCGTTCAATTCTGTCAAACTTAAGTTCTGTATTTGTTTGGTATCATCAACAATGTTTGCATCAATATCTGGTTCATTTTCTATTACTTGAGGAGCACTCAACACTTTCCAACACGAACTCAAGTCTTTAGCAACATCAGCATCAGCATTGGTTTGCTCTGGTAAAATGTATGAAGAATCATCCAAAAGATAACCATATTCATCAACAGTATCAAACTTGAAGATCTTATCTTCTCCCGTGAGTTCACAGAGCTTTTCAGCAAACACTATTCCAATCATCTTGACATTATTCGAAAGTGATTCCAACCTATTGGAAACAAAAGACAAGAATACCGGATTCTTCAGAAGACTCTTTGTAGAGTACGCATTCTTGGATCTTATAAGCAATTGAATCATCAAGTGAATCTCCAGAGCTTGTAAACTGATAGGCTTTGACTTTAAGGCATTCTTATCTCCGCTTGCACGGAGTAATTTGGTTATGAAACTAGATATCATATCACTTGGTATAAGGTAAGCCACAAGCTTATTAATAGCCATGGTATTACTGCCATTGTTCAAATTTCTTTCGATGAAATCAACATCAAGAATTCCAGAAAGGTTCTTGCCGTAAGATTCAAGAATCCGACACAACGAGACGATCTTGTCGTTAGCATCATCCAGTACAGTAAAGTATCTAAATGGGAGGTAATGCCATAATAATTTCTGCCAAACGGATTTAAGCTCGAACAGTCGTAACATCCGTAGTAAAGACCAGAGATTATCAATTGTCAGTTGGGTAAACATCACATCAAAGAACTGAATGTAAGACCACTCGGTAACACCGAGAGTAGACATCATGAACGAAGAAATGTCCTTATAGGGAACCGTGCTATTCTGACACAATTGAAGGATCCCATTGCTTAAGAAGGCACTATAAGAATCACTATTATATATACTTTCTCTTTTGGTGTCTTGATCCACAATTTCATTGATAACACCAAGGGTCCCTCCTTTGAAAATAAGTTTGTCTATCAAACGAAGTCGCTGCGGGTCCCGTTCTCCAACCACCAACGAGCAGATCACAGTATCGTCAAGAACTCGTTCAAGCACCTCTCCATACACCAGCAACCAGGCCCTATTGGGGGGATCACGCATTCTATTAACAAGTCCTCCAATCCCTATAAGGTTACGTAGTTTGGCGAGTATTTCATTCTGGAGTTCTGGCTTTAGATCTCTGTATGCTTCTGGAACAGTGTAAGAGAGCAAGTAGAAAACCAATTTCTGCGACACCGGAGGATTAGCATTGAAGAAGACCCTCAATTGGTGTTGCAGAGGTTCCTCCTTGAGAAAATCCAAGGAATCTTGCATTCTGGAGCAATTAGTACGAAAGAAGAATGAAGAAGGAAGACAGTGATATACTGACGTGATGTAGAGGAATGCGATTTGATTTACAAATTAACGGTGCGGCTCATTTACTGCATTACTATACTGTACTTCTATACTGTACTTCTATACTGTACTTCTATACTGCACTACTATACTGTATTACTATACTATATTATACAGCTATACCGTGCTCTACTGCTAGACTATACACTGTTCATTAATATGAGTGCATTCAAACCGTATGTATATAAAGCGATACACGATTGTGGTACATAGTGAGTCCCAGTCTTCTTACTAACTTCTGCAGCCCTTCAAGTGCCCCATTTGCTCGAAGCGCTACTTCCAAGTTCAAATTCGGAGGTCATGTGAGTACAGCTGGCGGGATCTCCAAAGCAGTGACGAACGCTGCAAGACTCGGATGTAATGGGTTTGCTATGTTTCTCAAGTCCCCCAGAAGATGGCAAGGTCCCCCAATGACCCAGAAGGAAATAGATCAGTTCGGCAAGAATTGTAAGGAGTTGGGGTACAATCCTCATACGGATATTCTTCCTCATGGACAATATATGATCAATTTGGCGTCACCAAAGGAAGATATGGAAGCCAAATCGTATGAATCGTTTTTAGATGAGATTCTTCGGTGTGAACAATTGGATGTTCGTCACTACAATTTCCATCCGGGGTCCAAATTGGATGGTGATCATCGTGAGGCTCTTGAAAGACTTGCAAAGAACATCAACAAAGTCCACAAGGAAACCAAACTGTGTAAGGTAGTCATTGAGAATATGGCAGGTCACGGCAACTTGATTGGAGGAAGTTTGGAAGATATCAGAGACGTAATTGAAATGGTTGAAGATAAGTCTCGGGTCGGAGTGTGTGTTGATACTTGTCATGCCTTTGCAGCTGGATATGATATGCTGACTGAAGAAAGTTTCAACAAGTTCTGGAACGACTTTGAAGAGATTATTGGATGGGAATATTTAAGTGGGATCCATTTGAATGATTCCAAGGCTCCCCTTTCCTCTAATCGAGATTTACATCAGAATCTCGGTCAAGGGTTCCTAGGGCTTGAAGCTTTCCGTAATGTTGCCAACTTTGAGAAGTTACAAGGTATACCCATTATCTTAGAGACACCGGTGGGAGAAAAGGACGATGATACTGTGTATGGACAAGAGATCAAGATCCTTGAGTTTCTTGAAGGACGTGATTCAGATGATGCGGACTACATTGCTACAGCAGAAAAATATCTGAAGATGGGAGCAGCAGAGAGGAAAGAACACCAAAAGAAGTTTGATGAGAAGCAAGCAAAGGAAGCCAAAGCCAAAGCCAAAGCAGAAGCAAGAGCTATTAAAGCAGATGATGATTCAAAGAAGAGAAAGAGTAAGGGCATTGATGTTTTAGTGACCAAGAGAACAAGGTCTGCCAAAAGATAATTGACAGTGTACAGATGTAGTAGTACATTAAATAGTACATTAAATAGTACATTAAATAGTACATAACTACATTGAGTAGTATCATTACATTACACAGTACAGTACATTACACAGTACATAGCACCTTACTTAGTGCCATTCTCAATGCATCTCTATTGTGTTTCACACGACCAACTTTAGTGGAGAAAAAGTTTAGCTTGAAAGTCAAAGACTCCATCACCATAACAATAATATAAACCAACGACAAGTAACGTAACTTGTGTCATAGTTGACAAATGTTTCAGTCGTCAACATCCGGGTTTGGAGGGTTTGGATCTGCTGGTGGGAACACCAACAATTCTCCCTTTGGAGCTTCCAATACGAATAATTCTGGATCTCCATTTGGTAACTCCAATGCCAACAACAATAACAACAACGCCAATACTGGCAATAATCTTTTTGGAGGTTCTAGTACTGGGAATAGCGCCTTTGGTAGTACCGGTGCTGGTGCAGGTAGTGTGTTTGGTGCTCTGAACACTGGTGCTACTGGTGGTGGAGGAGGAATATTTGGTTCTTCTAATAATACCAATAATGCTTCACCTTTTGGATCTTCAACCGGTACTTCTGCTTTTGGGGGTGTTGGCAGCAATACCACTTCTGCATTTGGAGTCCCTAACACCAATGCCACCAATGCGTTTGGATCTACTCAAAACAATACTACTGGGGGAATTTTTGGTGGTGGTGCTTCGAAACCAGCTAATTCCTTTGGTGGTGCCTTTGGTGCTTCCAATAGTGCTACATCATCTCCCTTTGGTACTAACACCAGCGGGACACAAGGTGGAGGGTTTGGAGGAGCTTTGGGTGGTGGTTCTGGGGGTAACGAAGGAACATCCATAAAGCCATTTGCTCCTTATATTGAAAAGGATGCCACCACAGGAACAAACCATTTTGAGAATATATGTTTTATGCCTGAATACCGTAACTTTTCTCAAGAAGAATTAAGATTGAGAGATTATGAACAAAATAGAAGATTTGGTAATAATAATGCTGGAGGGGCAGGAGCTTTTGGTACTGGTAGTGCCTTTGGTGGAGCTTTTGGTGCTAGCGGAAATAATGCAACAGGGAATACTACTTCTGCATTTGGTGCTAGTAACACTAGTGGTGGTATTTTTGGTGGTGGTGGTAACAATGCCTTTGGTCAAAATAAAACTACTCCTTTTGGAGGTTCAAATACTGGTTCTGTCTTTGGAAGTTCTAATACCCAACAAGGTGGAGCGTTTGCTGGTACTTCTCCATTTGGTAGTAGCAATAATGCTACTGCCAATGCTTTTGGATCCGGTTCTAATGCCTTTGGCAGTTCAAATAATGCCTTTTCTGCCAATAAACCAGCTGGCGCATTTGGCGCTGCTTCAGGTAATACTTCCGCCTTTGGTGGTGCACTGACCGGTGGGGGGGTTTTCGGTTCGAACAATACGAACACTAATGCGTCACCATTTGGACAAAATTCAGCACAAACTTCAAATGCTTTTGGAGCTTCTAATGCATCGCCTTTTGGTGGGAACAATACAACCAGTAGTTTTGGAGGTTTAGGGAGCAATTCAAATGCAGGGGCATCTCCATTCGGTGCCAACAGAACCACAGGTACCAGTGCTTTCGGAGGTGGGGCTTCCAACCCGTTTGGTAGTAATCCAACTGGTACTACGAATGCATTTGGAGCATCTAATAATACTGCTACTGGAGGCCTATTTGGAAGTAATACCAATACAAACTCTGCATTTGGCGCCAAACCAGCTACCGGTGGTATGTTTGGACAAGCCCAATCTACTGGTGGTGGTTTATTTGGAGGCAACACTTCACAACAAAATAACTTGACAAACACTAGTGGTGGATTATTTGGTTCCAATACAGGCCAAACTGCTGGTGGAGCATTTGGTGCGAAGGCTGCTGCTCCTGGAGGTGGATTATTTGGCTCCAATCAGCAAAACACTGGTACTACCAATGGGTTATTTGGAAAATCTGGTGCCACTGGTATGGGAGCTCCTGGTACCACAGGAGGCTTATTTGGTAATAATAATTCAACTGGTGGAATGAATCAACCTGCTACTTCTGGTAGCTTATTTGGTGCAAAGCCTGCAACCACCACTGGTGGAGGATTATTTGGGAATACTGGTACGACAACTGGTACTACTTCTGGTGGACTTTTTGGTAACAATACGACTTCGACTCAAAACGGTGGATTATTTGGTAAACCACCAGCAAACGGAACTACCACTGGTCTTTTTGGAGCTAAACCCGCGGATTCAAATGGATCGGCTGCTACTGGAAGTTTATTTGGTGCTTCAAATGCCGCTCAACAAAATAATGGTCTCTTAGGATCTTCAGGGACCATGCAACAACTTCAAGACCAACTGGCCCAAGCATTAGCCACCATTGCTAATAGTAATGTTTATGGTAACAACCCATTGTTTGGAGGTTTATCAAATAAGAATAATACTTCATATCCTATGGCAGTTCCAGTAAGAAGTCCTGTTGTTGTTAAGCCAGTTACGTTAACTTCAAAAGCTAAGATTTCACCATTGGTGAAGCTTCGTGCTTTTAACTCCGTTGAAGCCTCTAAATCTGAACTTATTGTACCCAAACCAAAGTCGCTTGCTGCTACTGCAAGCGACTCTAAAACAGATGTTGCTATCTTATCATCTGATATCTTTGCACCATCAGCAAAAATCACTAGATTGACTATTGAAAGAAAGCCTTCATCGTCAGGCTTATTAGCTTCCACTGAAGATCACGCTACTTCAACCAGAAGAGTACTCATGGAACCTGCTAAAAAGACGGCTAAGCCCTTAGAAGATTCTACAACAAAGGCAACAGAAGCAGCAGCATCTACGACCACATCGACATCTTCTCTGAACAAAGCAGGTGATTCTGACTCTGAGACTCATACACAGCCCATCGAGAACAACTTACCTTCAACAACAGCATCGCTTGAAGTTGACGATGATGGCTATTGGACTTCACCACCGTTGTCGGAGCTTAAGAAGAAGTCTCTTTCCGAACTTAGAAGCATCAAGAATTTCAAAGTTGGTCGTAAGTTTTATGGAGAAATTAAATTTTTAAGTCCGGCTGATTTACTGACAATTCCTAATTTGGAAGATATACCCGGGAACTTGGTTGTATTTGGATCCAAGCTTTGTGTTGTTTATCCTGAACTGGATGAAACCCCCATGCCTAAAAGAGGTGAAGGCTTGAACTTACCTGCTCAAATTACTTTAGAAGGTGCATACCCAATTAATAAGGCCGACAAGGTGCCTATAGTTGATCCCCACAGTTCAGTTGTTAAACGTCATATTGACCGATTGAAGCAATTGGAAGGCATGAAGTTTATCAGTTATGATGCTCCAACAGGTACTTGGGTATTTGATGTGGAACACATGGACTAATAAGTTAATTAAAGTCATAATGATACAGTATATACTTGTCTTTTTATTACGTAATTCGACGAAGAACAACGTCGTGTTTACACCGACTCACGTAGATAGTTGATTTATGAGACGCGATGCTGAGGCTCATAGTCGTTACAGGATTCTTTATAACTAGTCGTTCAGTATGGGTGTTAAAGGTATGTATATTTACAGCTAGAGTCTGTCAAAGTCTGTCAGTGTATTTTCTAGTACTAACACATAACAGGACTCAATCAATTGATCAAGGAGTTCTCTCCTGGGGCATACAAAGAGTTCCAGTTAAAGAACCTTTTCGGCCGGAAAGTAGCCATAGATGCCCTGATGTGTTTATACCAATTCCTCATAGCGGTCAGACAGAGTGACGGGGCGCAATTGACTAGTGAGGACGGAGAAACAACATCTCATTTGCTGGGGATGTTCTATCGGACAATCCGATTAGTTGAGAATGGGATTAAACCCGTTTACGTATTTGACGGGAAACCACCAGTTCTTAAGGGCGGAGAATTGGCCAAACGGTCTGCCCGTCGTGAAGATGCTCAAAGTTCATTGGATAAAGTTAAAGAAGAGGGCACTATAGAAGACGTTATGAAATACGAGAAAAGATTGGTGAGTGTGTCACGTGACCAGAACGATGAAGCCAAGAAGCTTTTGCAGTTGATGGGTATACCATTAGTTGAAGCACCATGTGAGGCTGAAGCTCAATGTGCTGAGTTGGCTAAGTCTGGGAAAGTGTTTGGAGCTGCCAGTGAAGATATGGATACTTTATGTTACAAGCCACCATATTTTTTGCGTCATTTAACCTTTGCCGAAGCTAGAAAGATGCCCATAGATGAAATAGCTTATGAACAAGCCATTGAAGGGTTAGATATGGATCATAATACTTTCATTGATTTATGTATCCTTTTAGGCTGTGATTATTGTGATACCATCAAGGGAGTTGGACCCAAAACTGCATTAAAATTAATTAAAGAACATGGATCTTTGGAGAAGATTGTTGAATATATTGAGAGCCAAAAGGATCTGAAATATAAGATACCGGTTGACTGGCCTTATAAGGAAGCACGAGAATTATTCTTGAATCCAGAGGTTACACCTGGTAAAGATGTAACTATCAGATGGCAAGAACCGGATGTTGAAGGTCTTGTGGAATATATGGTAAAACAAAAGGGGTTTAGTGAAGACCGTATACGGAGTGGAGCTGAAAAGTTGAAGAAGGCATTAAAGGGAGGAGTTCAAGGTAGATTGGATGGATTTTTCACAGTAGTAGCTAAGCCGAAACGAACAGCAGCTAAAGACGATAAGAAGACACCTGCTAAAAAGAGACGGAGATAAGTACATAGGCGGAAATAAATCATAAATATATAATTATATTATTATTACTAAGAAATTCTCTTAATTTCTATCTACTCTTTATTCTTTGGTTTCTTCTTTTCACTTTCCAATGCCTTTTCTGCCTCTATAGCATCGACGTACTCTTTAATTTCCTCACTAGTTAATTGTTGAATACGATTACCTGATCTTAATACAGAAACCTCAATGTTCTTCCCTCCAGTCTGAACCACTTCTAAAAGCGACATAATTGTCAATCTAATAGTAGTGGCATCATCCATATCTTCTTCATAATGTTTCTCCAAAAACTCTCTAACGGTCTTACTGGATTTCCCAATAGCATGGGCCTTCCAAGCATTATAAACTCCAGAAGGTTCGGTTTGATACAATTTGGGTACATTATCATTGGCATCAAACCCGGCAATTATAGTGGCAATCCCAAAGGGTCTAACACCTCCACTTTGAGTATACCGTTGTTGAACTCCAGCAACATACTTAGTTAAATATTCAACAGTAACCGAATCTTCTAATGTTAACCGATAAGATTGAGCTTCCACACGTGCCTTATCAACCAAAATACGAGCATCAGCATTTAATCCAGCAAATGCAAGTAAAATATGTTGATCTATCTTACAAATTTTGGAAGGTGTGATCCGAGGATCTTGTAATTTAAGCGTGGTTCTCTTTTCGCAACCTAAAACAACACAGGATGATCCTTTAACTCCAACGGCACAGGTACCTCTTCTGACGGCTTCAGAAGCATATTCAACTTGGAAAACATGTCCATCAGGACTGTGGAGTGGTTAGTATTATTTGAAGCGGAATTGACAATTAATCCATGACATATACATACGAGAAGATCGACAATGCACTATCGTACCCACTCATTGCTGTACGTTATAATTATGATAGGTATTATTATTAGTAGTCGTGGTAGTAGTAGGTGATAGTTATTGTATGTTGAACCGTAGCTTGAAATCGCCATCAACAAATGTTTGAACGGTGCACGATTTATCGGGTAAGATATTGGTAGCGCGGATACATTTTATGTCTTAAAATTAATGTACGTATGTATTCAGTAGCATTAATAAAACTTGTATGGGCCTATGTAACTGATGCTGAGGAATAGACAAAACATAATAGAACAGTGTTTATACAAACATATTAGAGAAGACTAAGTGTGTCCATATATGATTGAACGCTGGAGTGCAACAAATGGTAGCGCGCACTCAAATCTATGCCCTCCATCAAGTAAGCAGTTACATACATGTACTTTCGTATTGATATGATATTATACTATGTAATTATCCCTTACTCATCATTATCATCATCATCATCTTCCAATTCAAATTCATCTTTAGGTTCCTTCGGCTCTTGAGCTTCACTCCATTGAGTGACATCATCGATGTAACTCAAAATGTTCTCGACTGACTTGCTTTCCTTATTGCAATCCAAGGGTAAGAATTGCACCATGCCAAAATCATCAACCAAATTGGCAATTAGTTTATTCAACTTATGGTATCTTGGATTGAACAGACTATCTTTATCGTCGGCCATAAGCAAAGGATCAGGATTGAGAAACTTCTTTAGTTTCCGTCTACTGTATTCGTCCTTTATCAAGTCCATTTTAGACAAGATATTTATATGGGGTAACTCCAAAAGGATCATGGCCGACATGGCACTTAAAGCTCCGGAAAAGAACTTGGACGAGTCAATAATAAACGGAGCCTCTAGCAAATATGTAGCACACAAGTTGAAGTTCAACGAGGTCTGTAAATGTTTTACTATGGTGGGTAACACTGGAACATGAGTATACAATTCTATTTGACCGGGACAATCAAAGATCAAATACTCATCGTTATAGTCTCCAATTTCCTCGTCCAACCAATCCAAGTTGTTTAAAAGAAACTCAAAACAGTAAACAAGGCCTCCGTTCGGGCCCAAGTCCATTTCTTCCATCACATCTTGTAACAGAATCAACTCTCTAATATCAATGGTGAATTCATACTCCGTTGGCTCAGCTGCGGGATCTAAGTTGACGATGTGAGCTCTTCTTCCTATCGATTGCATGTGAGATATGATGGCGTTGCAGAAAGTAGACTTCCCGGCTCCAGCCGGGCCCATCACCAACACTCCTACACGCGACATTGAATAAGGAACAGAATATAGGTACACGAGCAGTAAATGCAATTCCTATGTTAGTAATGAATTCGATGAGCATCTTGAAAAAAAGTCACACAAAGACAATAGCAGTATACGGTACCACCTACGGCCACTTAGTTCTGTTCTGCGCATAGCACTACTGTCGTACTACTGTACTACTGTCAGTATTACTATGTATTACTTTTGATAGTACTAACAAGTCTATATCTATGAGGTTGCTCTACACCAACAATGATCATAGTCATTCTCCACTTGTATTATGGCATCAATGCCTGCAGTTTTAAAGATGCCCTCGCACTGTTTCTTGATCACCAAAAGGTTCTCTCCTCGGTACACTTGTACATGAATATATCCCGTTAAAACATGGGTCTCTGCTCCGGGCCAGAACCTCGGCGTGGTATAAGACTTTAGGCCCTTAATACTAAGCAAATCATGCAACGCATTCCGGAGCCGCGTCTCTTTCTTCGAACTCACTTGTAGTAGTAATGACGAAGCAGTGGAGCTCACCAACGGTACAGCCGAGACAAATATAAGTGACGCGATGATCAATGAAGCTATGGGATCAAAGATCGGTGAATGGAATATTGTGGTTAGCAATGTAGAGATAACAACCCCCACAGATCCTAATGTATCTGCAAGAATATGTAGGAAGATTCCTCTCATGTTCTTATTCTCTTCATCTTCATCTTCATCTATTGCTGAATGGGAATGGGAATGTAAATGCTCATGCTCATGCTCATGATCGTCATGTTTATGCTCGCTATGTTCATGTTCTTGTTCGTGAGTCTGTGTGCCATGTTCATGACCATGATCATGGCTATGACTATGGCTATGACTATGACCATGACCATGACTATGACTATGGACCAGACTAAAGGCAAAAATACCCACGAAATTAACCAATAACCCCAATACAGAAACAACTAACAACTCAGTTGTCTTCTGCAAATGTACAGGATGATATAATCTCCCGATAGCTTCAAAAATAATAGATGCACTGATTCCAAGAAGTAACGTTCCATTTGCAAAGCCAGCTAGAGTTTCAAATGCCTTTAAACCAAAAGGATATTTCCCATTGGGGTCGATTTCATATTTGGATAGAACCCCTGCAACCAACCCAAGTACCAAGGAGGCACAATCCAAAGCCATGTGCAAGGAATCAGAGAGCAAACCCAAAGACTTTGATCTAAAGGAGTACAATAATTGAACAAACATAAATGTAGTGTTCAATAAAAGAAACTGGAATATGGCTTTAGTGTCTTTATGACTTGATAATTCACGTACAAGAGAAACTGAAGAAATAGTCGGGGAATTCTCTGATGAAGGAACAGATTCGTCATTCAATTTAAGCAGTGTTATCTTTGCCTTGCTATCAACAACAATTGTTAATGGAAGAAAGATGTTAATGATAATCAGAAGAGTTGATACCAGCAATTTCTGGAACACAATGAACTCAATTATAGTGGAAATAACACTCAAGATAAAGGGGTTGATCCTTGATACAAATAATGAAGTAAGCTCAATGGAGAAGAGTAGTACGGATGATGCTGCCAAATTGACTATTATCATTCCGTAATTGAGATTTCCAATCACACCACTAAGTAGCATTAATATGATAGTTATACCAACAATAGCAAGGGATACTTGAAGATTAACCTGGGTCAATGTAGTGCACGAGCTTAAAGCCAACTTGAAGGAACAGAATGTTAAGACGTAGCCCACAAGAGTAGTGGTGTAAGACGGTGATGAAACAAGATCATACACTAGCACGACCACAGTGTACCAATTTGAAGGACTTATGTACCAGCCCAATAGAAGAACCGCTAGTCTGTGAACGGGCATTAGACGAGTAGCTATGAACAACATTACTAATGAAGCGACCAACTTAAAGGTGCTTAAGATTTTCGTTTCAAAAGGAGTCTTGCTAGACTCTCCCCCACCAAGCAACTTGATGGACATTAGCCTGGCCACAATGGGAGCAATGGCAATGATACAAGAAGAAAGAAACGTCACGTATTGTAGGAGCCCTAATATGTGAACCACCGACACTTCTTCAGCACTGGAGAAACCCCAATACAGAGCAAGCAAGGCTATAACAAATGCAGCAAACACTGGAACATTCACAAGCATCTTCAGGGTCAAGCTTGAGTCATAAGAATAAGGAGACCAGTTATCGTTATCTTTATCGATGTCGATGTCGATGTTGTTGTTTTGGTAGTCATTATTGAAGACTGTATCTGACTCCTTAGAATAATCACTGTTGAAGTCTGAAGCCACAGGCCTGGCCAAGTAGTCAATTGACGTGTCACCAAAAGCAAACTGAGGGTTTAACTCCTCAAACAAGTCACCACCGCATACACCGACACCGGACTTGGATCTTTGGTCTACTCCTGGTCTTCCACGACTGGAGCCCACCATGTGTGTGTAGATGTTGGGTTAAGAGAGCTTAATGTTGCGTGGCCCAACAGATAGTATAGGAACACAGACAAGTATCACGTGGGTGGAACAGCACAACAGTGATAGTAATGAGGATAAATACTAGTAGTAATAGATAGCTGAATGACAGATAGCTGATTGATAAGACGTGTGCTATATGATGTGGATAAGCAAATGTATAGACATAAGGGTGCTAGTAATAGCCGTAGTGATATAAAGGCAAGTTGAAGCTAGCAAATAATAGTAGTTAGGCGAAGAAGTGGAGTGCATAGTGTGGAGTGTATAGAGGTTGAGTCGTATAACTCTGTTACTTCGAGTAGTGAGTCTTGATTAGACCACGGGTACTGTGAGAAGCTAACCAGGTGTACTCTCAGTTGAAATATCATGTTAAGCAACTGATTCTCTTAGTAGTAGGGCTTAGTTTACTATACTGTAGCAAAGAGTACACTGGATAGTGGTGATAGTCATGATGCAAATCCAAGATCATAGTAGTGCTGCGTAGTGTTGCTATCTATTAATGCTACATACCCTATTATTACATGCCATATTATCACATGTCATGTTATAATGGTGTCATACGACACAACTAATATAGATCCTAATTATAATGTGCTGGAACTGACCTTATATATGTATGTGTTAACATGCACTCCCTCATTGGCCTATATGACGTAGCACTCCCACACCCACACCTCAAATCAAACCCAACGTCTTCATTCGTCTTCCATTAAGTATGCACTGATTAGACTATTGATCTTAGTACCGTCTGATAATACTATGGCTGAACTATACTTTATGAGACATGCTCAACGCATAGATCAAGTGGCCAAGTCATCAACAAATCCACCTCTACAACCGGATTATCAACCGTTTGATCCTTCACTATCACTACAGGGCAAGGCCCAGGTCAAGAGTTCGGCAGAGACCATTTTACAAGTGACCCGTGCCTTTGAGTCGAACTCAGCCAAAACGCCAGCAGCGCCAGCAGTACCAACAGCTCCAGCGCAAGCATCATCATCATCATCATCATCATCATCATCATCATCATCATCATCATCATCACCACCTTCGTTATCACCAGACTACCCAAAGAAAGATATCTACATCCATTTCAGTCCGTACTTAAGATGCTGTCAAACAGCAGACTTGCTTGTAACAAACTTAAAAGAAGGTATCTCCAAACAGCATCCAGCGTACCACGTCAAGTTCCATCTACTATGTGACTTTGCCTTGAGTGAATGGGTCCATGAAAAGATGAAGAATAAACCTCCGTACCAAGATTCGAATGATGCCTATAAGATGTATAACCCGAATATCAAACAGCTTCATAATAAGAGTGCTTGCTCCAACTTTAGACCCGCTACAATGTTGGGCAATTGGAATGCTCCAGATTTAAGTTACCTGGAATATCAAGCCAATTGTAAAAAGTACTTCACCAAGTTAATGGCCACTTATAACCGACCACAACATATTAAGAATGATGACATCATTATCATAGTGGCCCATGGTTATACGGTATCCAATATCTTGTCTTATTTCCTTAATCACCCCATCTTCGAAGAGTTACCCGAAGCTAAAGTCAGTTATGCCAGAAGAGTATCATTACCTGAATACGTTGATGTCACTAATAGAGTTGATGTTGAAGGGAATGTTGAAATGACTGAACTAATAGAATGTGATCCAAATGAATATACTTGGGAATTGGTATCTGATTGTCTTGGAATATTGGATGATGATCCAACTAGTAGTTGTGTTTTGAATTTGGATACAGATATTGTTTACTATCAAACAAACTTTCTTAAAAAAGATCAAATTACTCCCGAAATGAATCCACCTTCTGCAACTGCAATGTCAACTACTGACAGCGCATCAAATGATCAACCGAGAATTTCATTCAAAATGGAATCTAAATTACCTTCAGCTTATAATTCCCTTTGCCCGGGTGCAAGAAATTGGTCTCCTCAAAAGGCTAACAAGTTTAACATAAAGAATGAATTTCGCAAGAAATACATGCATAGTGAGTTCTTTAAAACTTTCTTTAGTCTTCAGAATCATCCAACAAAGCCAGTAACACCTGAAATCTCACCTCTGGCTGAACCTTCAAGAGAGAACTCAGTTATCAACTTGAAAAAACTTGCCAGCAACTCGGAAATCTACAAGCCAATCAAATTGAAGTATAACAATAACAGTTCAATCTCCGTTGAACATCTTAATTCTAAAGTCAATTCTAGAAGTAATTCTCAAATCAATTTAATGAATCAAGATAACCCATTAGGATCGGGAAATTCCTCCTTTTTTGATTTAAAGAAAGCAAGTTTATTAATAGATTCGAGTTTGGCAAGATCTTTATCTAATTCTTCATCTAAAGGAAGAAGATACCCTACAAATACAATGAATTCAAGCGAAAGACTAGAAGAACTTCTTAGTGGGATGCAGCCACAAGCTTCAAGCAATTACGGATCCCCAACTCCGCCACCAGCTTCTACAAACAGCAACACACTAATACCGTTACCGATACTTGTGAAGCGGAAACCAGGAGAGCCTACATTCATTGAATCGGATGATTCATCGTCTAACGATTATCAACCTACTAGACCATTTACTTTATCTTTTGGGAAATCAAACATATCTAACGATAGTTCCGAGAGTATTGCACTTGCTCGTCCTCCTGCGAAAGAAGTTGAAACACCCATTCCTCAGTTCCAAACGCATTTTACTCTTCATCGACCCCATGATCACGATGAAAAGTCTGAATCCGAAGGCGAGGTGGATGAAACTCAATATATATGGTTTGGTCAGAATGCCAATTGAGGTACGGCTGAAGAAATATATTTATGTATATTGATTATGTATGTACATGCATATATATTATATGTACTAATTACTTACATATACATGTATCTAATATATACATGCATATACATACATTCATATACATTCATATACATTCATATACATATATATATATATACTTCATGCGTGAATAAATAAGAAGATACATGCATGCAATGTAGTGTATGAGAACCTCGTAGATTTATGTCGCGAAATATGAACTGTTCTTTTCTGTTATCGTTACTAAAACAACCCCCACAATCAAAACTATAATAACAGTCCATTAAAACAACTACTCCCACAAATTCATATACGTCGCACATGAATGTCGTACGACCACTCAACGACTCTATGCTGTCAAAGAATACGGCTGTGTTTGGCTTATCCAAAGATGTAAGGACCAATGTGACCATAAAGATCTGCCATATGAAACAAGCCAAGGGAGGAGCATTTAATCCAGTCTCACTATCAGAACGATTTGAAGATCCCCTGTTGTTCAATAAACTATCAACAATCTACAAGTACTCAGACATGTATGTAGAAGCGTTTGTGTACGATGGGAAGGGCAATAACCTCATAGCCAACCCGGCACAGACCAAATACGTTGCCTTCAACAACAAGGCCAGGACTTGGAACACCTTCTTGAAGTTATCTGTCGGTTACAATCAGTTAAGCATTGATTCGTATGTGAAGTTTGTCCTCTACGAGTTCCTGAATGCCTCGCCAGTCCCGTTTGGAGTAGGCTACATCTCCTTATACAATAAGTCCTCGTCTACGTTGAGGTTCGGGTCTCAGAAGGTATCTATCTACACCATGGATAATCTCAATGTGGCCCCAACGGTGGAGTATACGGATCCTAAACATCTTAGTGGATTGGAGAAGAGTATCATTGAGTATGAAAACCGCAAGTTTGAACGAGTGACCTGGCTAGACAAAATGAGTCTTTCAATGGTTGAACTGAAGTCCAATGAAGATCAACAGCTCAGTTCTGAAAGTAGTAGTGGGTCTGCTCCTTATTATCTTTATGTTGAGTTCCCGAGCTTTGGCCTTCCGATTGTTTATTCAGATATCAACTATCCTACTCCACAATTGGATGCTCATATGAAAGCCGCAGCAACAGCAGGATCATCTAAACCGATTCAACCTTCAAGAAGCGAAGAAACCAACAACAATAACCATGTCACGAGCTTGATCCTCAATTCCTTGGAAATACCAGTAACTCCAATGAACAAAGTGTATGATCCAGATTTCCAATTGGCAGTGGTTGGTACTGGCACCGATTCGTCCAAAAACTTGGTGATGGACCCAATAGAGTTGAAGTACCATAAACTAGAAAGAAACACCAATAATAACTCTCTTTTAGATAAGGAGTTGAAGCCGTCGCCTAAACTACGAGACCAGTTGCTCAGAATCTTAGCCAAACCTTCAAACGTCGTTCTAACAGACACAGAAAATAACCTAATCTGGAAGTTCAGGTACTATTTTAGTCGGAACAGCACCGACGTGGGCTTGGGAAGCGGAGGGACCAGTAAATCGTTCTTACCCAAATTTTTGAAGGCTATTAACTGGGAAAACGAGTACGAACTTGATCACGTATTTGAAGATATCTTCCCCAATTACTGGAGTGTTGACAGGATTCAAATTGGTGATGCTTTAGAGCTTTTGGGAAGCTATTTTGATCCCTTTAAATTGGCTTCCAATAGTATCACCGGTTCATCAGAAGATGTCATGGCCGGTGCAGCCGAAAATAATGGAAGAGATCAAGAAACAAAGTTTCAAAGGGTATTCAAGCATGTGATATTTCTAAGAAAGTTTGCTGTGGAACGCTTGAGACTTGCAAGCAATGATGAGCTATTGTTGTATTTGTTGCAGCTTGTACAAGCGTTGAAATACGAGGCTCGTATTTATAGTCAACGCATACCCCTGGAATTCCAAATTGCAGACGAGGTTCATAAGGACCAGAACCTTTTGAATTCTCCATTGGTGAAGTTCTTGGTGGACAATTCTGTGGAGAACGAAGCTCTTGGAAATTATTTTTATTGGTACGTTAAAGTGGAACATGAAGATCAGCTTTTGAAAGGAGACCCAAGCACCAGCATTTATTCATTGGTCTTAAACAAGTATATCAAGTCATTGAAGAAACACAGTCAAAAGTTCAAGTTACCCGGTTATAAGAACCTTGAAAGACAGATTTGGTTTATCAAAAAGTTGACAAGAATAGTTGAGCTTCTTAGAGCCACTTTCAAACGCAATGATGCAACGGCTAAGAAGGTTCAGTTCCTTCGTGACTATTTATCTGATTCTTCCAACGATCTCCTAAAGTTTCCTGAACCATTCCCTTTACCATTGGACCCTTCTGTGGTTATCTGTGGATGCTATCCTGAAGAATGTACTGTTTTTAAATCGAGTTTGGCACCTTTAAAGATCACGTTCAAGACCATTGAAAAGCCCGAGTCATCATCTTCGTCGTCTTCTCAAATGATCTTTCGCAAGCGAACAAAACACGGCAAGTACTCGCTAATGTTCAAAATTGGTGATGACCTCAGACAAGACCAATTGGTCATACAGATCATCAACCTAATGGATAACTTGCTTAAAAACGAGAACCTCGATTTAAGGTTAACACCATATAAAATCCTTGCTACCAGTCCTCTGGCCGGACTTATTCAATTTGTGGAGAACGAAACTCTTGATTCTGTGTTGGTCAAGCAGTATCCAGTTTCTGTTGTTAATTTCAACTCTAGCGATATTCCCTCTATTGGTAGTGGTGGTGGTGGTAGGGATACGTTTGCTGGAGAAGAGAGGATATCTTCTAGTAACGGTATCTTGAGTTATCTCAGACTTCATAGTGCAGATAGCAAGCCACTGTTAGAGAGTGATTCGTTGCGTGCGCATCCGGGCATTTCAGCATCTTTAGCTTCCACATCAACTTCAACGTCGACAACAACAACAACAACTGCTACAGCATCTTCTTCATCAACAGGAATTAACAATAATAGTAATAATATTTCAAGTACGGTGGTCCAGGAACATGCCAGCACTTCCAATTTAGGAGTGTCGTCAGCACTCATGGACAATTACGTCAAATCTTGCGCTGGCTATTGTGTCATCACGTACATTCTTGGTGTCGGGGACAGACATTTGGACAACTTGCTTCTTTCTCCCAACGGGAAGTTCTGGCATGCAGACTTTGGGTACATCTTGGGAAGGGACCCCAAACCCTTCCCCCCCTTGATGAAATTGCCTATGCAAGTTATCGATGGGATGGGTGGACTTGAGCATGAAAACTATAACATCTTCAAAAGTTACTGTTTCTTGACATACACCACGCTCAGAAAGAATAGTAACTTGATATTAAACTTGTTTCAATTGATGGTTGATGCCAACATTCCCGATATCAAGGCAGATCCATACAGAGCCGTGGAGAAGGTTCAGGAGAAGTTTGGCTTGGAGATGTCAGAAGAAGAAGCCATCATTCATTTCCAAAACTTGATCTCTGATAGTGTCTCGGCCGTCTTGCCAGTTGTGATAGACAGACTACACAGTTTAGCACAGTACTGGCGAGCATAACCGAACCTACTTACTCAGTCTTAGCCTTAGCACTCTTGAATCTATCGTTGATCCGTCTCAAGATGAAGGTGAATAAAGCCGAAAGCCCTCCTATAGGAGTAACGAGATCCAAAAGAGTAATCCAGAACCCAGGGGTAATGTGACTCACGACTGCATCTATAGAAGCATATAAGTCGTCCAATGACAGCAGGTTATCAATGACAATGTCGGATTTATAGTTTCTTTCCTTCATTGGCATCTGACTGGCAATTCTCTTTTGGGCATCCTCAGCACTTAACTCCTGGTTCCGCTTCAATAACCTCGCCAATTGAGTGTCTTCGTCACAAGCAACAGTCACAACAATTCCACACATCTTATCCAAGCCACTTTCAAACAACAAGGGAACATCCAATACCACCATACGGTTGAATCCCAAGTACGCGTGGAAGATCCCCCAAGCTATGGCTCGCTTAACAGCAGGATGGACTATTCCGTTTAAGATCGCCAATCGCTCACGATTTCCAAACACATATGAACCGAGACTGGTCCGATTCAAGGACTGGTCGGATTCGTTGACAAGATCATCAATTTCACTGCCAAACGCTTCAACTATTTGGTTGTAAGCACGTTTACCTGGTTGTACCACCTCCCGAGCAATTTGGTCGGCATCCACAACAGGAACGCCAAAGTTATCCCGGAGTCGGGCGGAAACAGTCGACTTGCCTGTAGATATTCCTCCTGTTAGTCCCACTATAAGCATGGTTTCAAATGATTAGCCAATAGAAGAAAAAGACGAAGAGCTGCACTGGGTTACATCGTTTCTACTCCACAATTTGGAGATCAATATCTCAAAGTTTTGTTTTTTTGCTCCTGTATATTAACTTCGCACTATTTGATAAATTAGTGATGATGATGGATGATGAAGAATGATGATAATAACTGTTCGTTGTATGTTCTTTTTCCCCAGGTAACATGAGTCGAGTGTATGTATTAGGTGCTGGGAGTATTGGCTCGTTATTTGCACATGAAATAAGTAAATCGTCTGAACTTGTCTTGTTGCTTCGAAATATGGCCAGAGTACACCAGTTTCGAGCCATGAACAACGAACTTAAAGTGATACGACTGAACCTGGCCACTGAAAACATCACATCTATGAAGTCTACAGGGATACTAGCTCAATGCGAAGCTCCACCAGGTATTATTGATAACTTAATAGTATCCACCAAAACATACTCGACGGAACAAGCCATCAGACCATATGTTCCATGTCTTACAGAGAACTCGAACGTGCTTATTCTTCAGAATGGGATGGGAATGGATAAAATATTATCAGAGAATTATTGGCCGGATTTAAGAAAAAGACCTCAGATATACCAAGCCGTGACTACTCATGGTGCTTATAAGGCTAATTTCAATACTGTTCATCACGTGGCACAGGGTCAAGTGTTCTTGTCTAAACCAGAACATAAATCTTTGGTTAGCGAAGAACCCATTAGTCATCCTGAAATGATCCAGGCCCTTTTAAACAATCCTGCTTTGAATGTTCGATATTTACCATACCCTGAGTTTCTACTAAAGCAAATGGAGAAATTGGTTATCAATGCATGTATAAATCCGTTAACTGCATTATTAGATTGTAAGAATGGTGAGCTTTTATATGGATCTCGAGTGTCTACGATTATGCGGAAAGTTATCTCTGAATGTGTTGATGTTTTACTGGCTGAGTATCGGTTTGAATTAAGTGAATCATCTGTGGAGAGTGCTAACTTTTTGGATAAGGATCGTTTACTTGATGTGGTGATTGAGGTATGCAGATTAACCAGCAAGAATAGTTCGTCGATGAGAGAAGATGTTAGAGCTTTAAACAGAACAGAGATTGATTGGTTGAATGGATTTATTGTTAGTAAAGGTATTGAAAGAGGCATTTCAACACCTACAAATTTGCTATTATCCAGTATGGTCAAGAGTAAGTTGAGCATTGAGACTGCATCTGAAAGCAATAGCATCAACTTATCGTATAAGATGTGATAGAAGACAGAACGAAATATTTATAGATCTGCAACTGTGTTCAGATTGGATTAATTTGTACGTATACATACATACACATACATACATACAATTTACACACGTACACGCATACACGCATAGAATTGCTTTTATACATTTGCATGATACACATAATGCAACCTATTTTTTACAATGTTCTATTGAATAAGACCCGTAAATTGAAAAATATCCTAAAAAGTAAAAGAAGAAGTGAAAGTCCCAAAATAACCGTTAGAAAAAAGAATAGCGTATGAAGAATTTAATAGTAAGGAATCAAAAAGATGGTAACGTATTTGAATGGTTGAATCTTGCTCTGATCAGCTTCAACATGTTGTTCAATTGAGCTTCTTCGTTTTGAGCGGTCAATTCTATTCTGGGATCGACATGGTTGTGATCATTCCAAATAGATTTCTTTTGATGTTGAACAGGAGAAGACTCTGAGGAGGAGATTGAGCTGACAGAGCCGTTTCTTCCATGAGAGGTCAAACTAAGAGTAGAAGCCACCGAGGAAGATCTGGAGATATTAGAACGTAAGGAAATAGAAGACGTAGATTGTGGAAGTTGAGGCACCGGGATCAGTGGAGGAGCGTTTGAAGGAGGAGCAACACATGGAGAAGGGTACGCATCTGCAGCTGCGGTAGAAGAAACAGAATCAGCTGCATTAACAGAAGATAAAGATTTCTGTTGCAAATATTGTTGCATGGCGTCTGCTTGTTGTTGCTTCTTTTGCAAGTATTTTCTAACGTTCTCAGAGTTGACAATCTCTTGCTTGATTGGCTCCAAAAACTTGTGAAGGTTCAGACACATGTCGTCGTTGGAGATCTTCAAGTCCCAGTTCAACAAGTGTAGCAATTGTCTTTCCATCAAGTTGATGTCCTTGACGGAGAACAATCCATCAGTGTACTGAGCCCAGTGGATATTCTTTGGACTAGAATCGTTCAAGTTTTTAGCGGCCAAGATTAAACAACTCAAAAGGATTCTGTGTCTTGTACAGGGCAATCCTTGAGCTGTTTTAGGCAACTTCAGCTTCAAGCGGTTCAAGTACACCAAAGTAGCCATTAACGTTCCCGTATAGACATTGGTGTATCTGACCAACTTACTGAGGAAAGTCATTAATGAGGGTAATGGTTTTTCACTATTGTCAGCAGCAGAATAAGTCTTAGACTCTTTACATGGCAACACTTGCAAAGTAGTAACGACTACCTTGTGTAACATTTCCTGGGTTACTGGTTGAGTAACGAAGACCTTCAAGGCTTGAACTTCGATATTGGAAACCATGATAGAGATAGTGTAATTAGTGAATAGTTAAAGTTGACTATAGTTAATATGGTTGTCCTCATAGTGATGATGGGATTCTAGATACCTTTATATTTACAGATTCAATTTTACCAAATATGGATTCCTTCTGGTGTACCTTTCTCACTTACGTGATTCCCGTTGGAAACTCGAAGACGCAAGTAATTACTGGTGTTCATCTGTGACACTTGGAAAACGCGTTTGGACCAAAGGGGGATATTATTTTTAGACGAGACGCGATAGAGAAGAGTGAACACAAATGTGGACCATAAGGGTATAATCTCATTTTGATGTACGTATGTTCATTATATGCAAGTATAGGATATGCATGTATGTATGTATGTATGTATGTATATAGGTAGGTAGGTAAGTATGTATTCTACATAATACCTGCAAAGTACTAGTCTCGTATTATTTTCTTCGGTACTGATACGAGGGCAGTTTGCTACTCGACCAATCCACTACTTCTCTGTACCTTTAGAGGTATTATACTGTACTACGCCACTCTGATATTCTGATATTCTTTTGATACCATTCAGTTTGTCTATTTCAAGAATATGTAGTTGCATTTATCTTAATTTACCGTATATTTTATCACAGACCACTATACATTCGCTGATTACCTCAAATGTCTTTCCCCCGCCCACACAATTATCCATTTTGATCGGAATGCACTCCTGTCACTTACGTGTCGCATTTCTAAGCCATTAAACGGTTTATAATTTATATCCTCATTTGTCATGGGGATCTGCACTTGACATGTGTTTTAGCTGCATGGCTTATAACTTTTTAATTTATGGGTGGCATTCTTTGCTTGAAACGTGTTGCAGAACTGCGCATCTTTAAGGTACGCTTTAGCAATGTCTTGTTGGAAAGTGGCATGTGGTATTTGCGTGTTAAGCAAGATCATCTCTCATTCCCCATTAAGGTAAAATTACATTAAATTCAATTACAGTAATATATAATTATAGTTATTATTAAATGTCATTAGTTTATCAACAGGACTTTTTCGCCTTAATTAGTTTTGAAATTTGGCATCTTGATACTTCACACATTTCTTCTCCATAACACACACAACAACGAAATGAAAGTGATAACGGATAATACTGCAGTAGAAACTGTAGCACTTAAAAAAATAAAATAGTAATAAGTCAACAAATTAATGCATGTGAGTGAAGGAAATGTGCTAGTCTATGTTCATATCATGTCGTTATTGGTATAAACTTAAATCAAAGCAACACCAAAACACATCATGATCATAGACATAAAGAGTCCGGTCAAACCAGCATTGTTGGAAGAACCACTAGACTTCTTGGAGGATGTAGAAGAAGAAGAAGCAGAACCGGAACCTGAAGAGGAAGAATCAGCAGTAGCAGATCCAGAACCAGACTTAGCAGAGGATGAAGAAGTGGATTCAGACTTACCAGCACAGAAGTACTTGTCACCCTTAACAACACCATCAGAGTTCAACTTGTTGAATTCTTTACATGGCAAGTCTCCGTCAGAGTCCAATGAGAAACCACCGGAAACTCTGGTCAATGCAGGTAAAGTACCGTTGTCAAAAGTACCGGTAAAGTTAACAGAACCACCAACGGTAGCCAACTTTTCAAAGTCACCAAAGTCACCCAAGTTAGTGTTGTCTGCAATTTCAAAGGCACCAGCAATGTTCTTCAAAGAGGCAAAGCTAACATCGGTCAACTTGGTGTTGTCATCAATGGTCAAAGCAGCACCTACATTGGTCAACTTGTCCAAAGAAAGCTCCTTCAAGTTCGAAGAAGAAATGGTCAAGGAGCCATTGACGGAGGTCAAATTTGCAGCAGAGATGGAGTTGACAGATTGGAAAACGACATTCTTGGCAGAAGTAAGATAATCCAACTTAACGTCAACACTTTCAGAGTTGAAAGAAACTGACAACAAATCGGTGACGGATTTTAAGCCGGAATCGATCAATTGGATATTACCATTGTTGTTGATGTCAAAGGTCTTTAATTGAAAGACGTTAATACCTTCTAAAGCAGCCAAAGTAGTATCAGAGATAGTGACGGAATCCGCAGTAGTCAACCCACTAGTTAAACCAGTACTGTTAATGGCATTCAAGTGATTCCACAACAAAGTACCAACAGTAGTCAATTGAGCCAAGTTAATGGTTTCCAAAACAGTAGCAGAGATGATTTCAAAGTTACCACTGATCAATTCCAAATCAGGAGCAACAAAGGAGATGATTCTGGTGGCGTTTTTAATGCTCAAGTCACCGAAAATTTGCTTGACTCCGGTAAGATCAACGCTAGAACCCAAATCGGACCCCAGGATGACGATGTTACCAACGGCAGTAGGACAAGCAGCAACTTCTTGAACTTGAGAAGGGACAGTAGCAGTGAAATCACTGAAGCTACAACCTTTAGAAACTGCGGTTGGAGTAGCAGTGGTTAAGGTGGAGTTGTTACCAGTGGCAGCCAAGGCACCAGTAGCCAACAATGCTAATGGAAGAGCAATCTTTTGGAAAAGCATTATTATACAGTATAATTATGTCTGTCTAAATGGAGTTTGCGTAAGCGAAAGACTCCAGTGAATAGTCGAAAGAAATAAAGAGGAGAAGTTTCAATGGGTAAACGATAGTAGTTCCGAAGCTTCCACAGTGAATTGATCTAATTGATTATAAGAATCAAAAATGTATAAAACAGCGATGTGTCAGACAAAACAAGATTAACAGAAAGCGTCGAAGGAAAGAAGAAAAAATTATCCCAAGGGAATAAAGGAATTTCCTTCCAATATTTATAGTCGAACCTGATTGGAAATTACCATAAATTGAACTATCAAAATTGGAAACATGAAAAAATCAAATCACAATATAATCGCTTGCATACAGGGTTTTTGTCAGGTTTGACTGGCATCGATGTATATGTTATTAAGTTGTTGTGCAGGAATACAAAGGGTTTTTGTCTGGTGTTGAAAGGATCGAGTAAAAATTTTAACCACGGATGTTACCATAGAAAACATAAGAATCGAATGAAGAGAACCATACAATGTCTGTTGTGATCTGTAATAAACTTTTATTCACCTGCTGTAGTCTGTAGTAGCTTATTATGTATCTGTTTTGTCTGCTTAGTCGAGGGTTTCAGGGACAGACTTGGATTGGTCTCTTTTAGTGTTTAGAGGTTGCATATATGTTTATTTTTCTGTCGTGATAATTTCTTCACTTAAGTGATATTGCGTCATCCCTTAGCCAGCCTTCGTTTGTCACTCTGATTTATAAAGTCTTGTTCAGTCACACATACCGAACGTACTCCAAATAGAAGGCTAGCTAATTATCTTCCACAAGGTGGCTCTAATTGTTTGTTGTTTTCTTCCATGGCTTGGAACAAAAGAAAGGTAGATCAATAAACTTGATTTGATACAGTATGTTACTTTAGTTGTCTTCTCCGGGATCAGTTCTTCCGTGCGAATATTTGATTTTCACTAAGCACTCACTCCTATACTACAATTCTACATTCTCTTTCAAAGTAACTGCTATGGTTTACACCTAACAGTCACACATTCGTTTGTATTACTGCCTCATGTTATTCCGTCAATGTTTGCGTACCATGTGTCTCCCCCTTTTTTTTTGTCTCCGGTAATATTCCAGCCTATTGCGAACTCCTCTTTTTTTCGTGGCACTTATTATAGCAGTATCGTTGCAAACTGAAGGCGTATATAATAAATGTAAAGCTTACATCCGCTTATTCGTTGTTGTAATGATCAGTGTACCCTTTCAAGAAGCTACTAACAAGAGTCTGACGTTCGACGTCTTCAATTGGTCACACGGCCAACTTAAATGTTCTGCTTGTTCTTTAAGCGCATTAGGAAAATGTCTTTCTTTTGTCTGCGCATTTTCAACAGCCACACATAATACAGTTTATGCCCACGAAAAAGAAATGGTTTGAGCCTCATCAGCTTTTGGTCTTCCAACACTTAATTGTTACTTGCTTTGAAGCCTCTTTTCATGTTACGGGAGATGGGAAAGTACTTTCATAGCCGAACAATATTGTGTCACCAAACTTAATCAGCTTTATCAAAACTCTAACTCGGGGACTGCACTTCATTATCTTACCCAAATAGGAAACCATATGGATGGTATTTCTTTCCATACTGTATATAAGACACCAAGCTCAATAGGATTTCAGCACGTCCAGTAAATGGTTGACAAACACATACTTTAATTATCGCCACCGCCATGTAACATAAGCTGAGAAATTGTTGTTTGAAAATAAAATTTGACTTTAATCTGACCAAGTACAGTATTTTATAAAAGAAATATGGAATGTAACAACGTTATGTCTGACTGCTAGAGTTTCCAACCAATTATGCAGTTGACATTTTTTGATGGGGTGATTTTGTGTAACTCGTTGAAATGTCTGTTTAGGATATTCTATTGGTCTGAAATTCTTTGATGCTAAATTTAGCAACATTTTAAGCAGAGGAATACACTATTCAGTTATTGTCCTGCATACCAGATCTGTTGATTGGTAGGTCTGCCTTATTACAATTCTATCATCTGAACGTGAGACACTTTGGGTGATCCCTCCACTTCTAAACGCTTCTACTAATGTCTGGTCAGTTACGTCGAATAGAAGATTTTCGTAACAGCAAGTAAGGATGTGTTACATGTTGCCTTAAATGCGCAATGTTTTGAATATACCATTTCGAGCGCGACATCTTCCCGACATTTCTTACACTCATGAAAACCCCCAAACGAGTGATTATCTCAAAACGTTGACGACATCCATGAATATTATTATTGTTTCAGTTAAATCAAACTCGGAGTATTATAAGTCTTTGGAGAGTGCTTGATTACTCGTTTGTCTGATTTATTGTGCATTGAAGCAACTTTTTGGAACTTTTGTTTTGGAAATTCAAAAAGTGTCAGTTACTTGATTTCCCCAGAGAGTTAGAGCATTTCCTATTATATATCAGCACTAACCTAAAGGCATTGCTTGGCTTACCGCGATCAGACACAAGTAACAAAAGTCAGAAATTATTAATTCATCTTAATGTCCTCCGAGCTTATCTCTTTTTAGCTCCAGTTGATGAAGGCTGTATTTGTACCAAATACTCTGACGTCCTCCGTAAGAGCTTTTAAATTACATCACGTGACCATACTACCCATTTAGGCAACTTGTACTTAATGTGATCCACGCTTTAAATTACACTAAAGAGCCAATTAGCTGAGCTAAATGCTGAAAGTTAGTTGTTGAAATGTCATTGGAAAGCCTTATTCTGTGGATAGAAGATGCCAATGGATCAGCTATATCATGTGGTTTACAAGTCAAAGAAGATCCTGCTACAGGAAGAGGTATTTATATAGGATCTGATTTCCTGAAGTCATCACTCAATCAACCGCTCATCACCATCCCTCATGGGTTATTAGTTAATAGACATACGGTATTACAAACTATAACTAAGAATAGTGACGATAAAAGTTGTCCTGAAAATGAAATATATGCTTCCCACTCTAAGGATTGGTGGAATAGTCTTTCTTCTGTGAGAATGGTTCTGACATTTCTTCTTGTGGAGAAAGCCAAAGGTCCCAACTCCTTTTATGCTCCATTCATTGATATGTTACCTGATATAAAGGATTTTGAGCTTTCACCGCTATTCTGGCATATTCAGAATGAACAGGAGCTGATAAAATCACTTCCTTCACAAACAGCAGTTTTAACATCAAAGATAATAAAACGGTTCGAAGAGGATTTTGAATTCACATTGACCAACTTCAAGTTCCAACCCGAAAAAATCCTGAAATTAGAGTACTTTTGGGCCTGGATGTCCATAAACTCTCGTTGTCTTTATATGAATCTCGATGACCGAATTCATGCTAATAACTGGACTCTTTGTCCGTTTGTTGATTTCATTAACCATTCTCCATCTGAATCATGTACCAATAGAGTTGATCCTGTCAAGGGATTCCAGGTCATCGTTCCCAATGGATTTCTGGTAATGCCAGAAGATCAAATCTTTTTCAATTATGGCCCCCATCTGAATGACTTTCTATTGGTTGAATACGGCTTTACCTCTTTACTGAATAAGTGGAATGACTTACACTTAGATTCTGCCATTTTACCCTTGATAAGTCCGGAGCAAGTGGAGTTTCTTAAAGAAAATGACTACTACGAAAATTACACCATAGACTCCAATGGAGAATTGTCCTTTCGTACTCAAGTGGTATTTGCACTTGTGAGTCAGGGCGATTGGCATACCAACACTGGGAAACGGAAGCTCAGCTTGTTCATGCAAGGGTATACGGAGTTTTCACAGTTCAATGTGAAGCCCATAGTTAAAAAGGTATTGGGGAAAGTGAGAAATGATATCAAGCATAAGATAAGATGGAGACAAGATTCTGATGCTCGTAAAAGGGTTATTGGAGAATTGTGTACACAAATGGACCATATAGCCTCAATAACACTTACAGCAATAGAGCTTGAACAATGAAATGGAACCGGCTTTCGCAGCCAGTACGCTATGATTATCTCAGTACTGGTCAAACTGGGCAGCCCATGACTTTAAAACATGAGAAACCACATAGTGCTACTACTTTTAGGAGAAGACGCTTGATTACGTCCATGATAGTCATGTCTCAAGCTTGAACCGTGAGAGATCTGACTTTGTCAAATGAACGACAGACGATACCCAAGGGCTTTAAATTGGACTTTTCTCAAATAGAAACTTATAGAAACAGACGTGTTGATGAAAAATATACAAAGTAGTGTTCACCATTTTACTAGCGTAGCTTTGTTTGTACTTGTGCCAGTCCTTCGCTTTGACTCAAGCTTACATAAGTGGGTACCAGTTGGGTCCAAAGCCGAAATCATATCTCTTCGTTCATGGAGCAGTCGCACTATATGGTTTATCCACGACCAAATTCAATAATTGCACACTACAAAATTGTGGATGACAGGGAGTAGGAGATCCCATACTTGTCTTCTCTTATCTCCACCTCTTCAAGCATATTAATAGACCGTTTACAAGTGGCGAGTATTGTGAACTGTTTTTCATAGTAGACGACTTTTAATACCCGCAGAAACTGCGCTTGATTATGTTGTGCAAAGCGTGGTCGCCGATATACAAAGGAAGTGGCCAACACAGTCGACTTTTAAGCTCTGGTGTTAGGCTATGGAAAGATGAAAAGTCCAAGCAGTTGCTCCTGGATCTTGGTGTCTCGTTGCAGCAGGGGAATATCCGGTCTGAGGCCCCTAAGAAGAATGATGATGCAAAGTCTACCAAGTCAAAAGATGATAAGGTTAATCAAAGTCAAGATCTGAGTCAGAGTCAAAATTTGAATCAAAATCTGAAACCATCTATTAAGAAGACCGGCCCAGATAAGGAACAAATTCTACTCAACGAAAGAGAGAACCACATGAAAAATGTTAAGGAGTTGTATGATTCCATTAGTCATATGTCCAATAATGACTTTATAATCCAGCATAATTTTGACAATAGTCCAGTTTTCAACTCGTTTGACTCGGAACATTTCTTAGATCGAAAAAGGTTATTGAAGTCAATACCAGATGAAATAGACATATTTAACACACCTATGGACACAATAGAAAGAACCTACAAGAGTTTGGCCCAGTTAGATGATGATAAAAGTTTACATGTGAAATATTATAAGAGATATTTAAAGAAATATGATGATCAAATTTTGAATTTACATCAAGATTTCAATGGTATAACCACCAAATTTAAGATGTTGAGAAGAAACGAATTAATACGGTTGAATTTATCTAGAGACGCATTCATGTTTAAAGAGAACTTTTTTAAGCATGATTACAATGTTGTTGGCTTTGACAGATCTATATCTGGAATGCCGTTATACCAAGATCGGAATAAGGTGGCTAAGGATGCTTATCCTACTGAATTCATAGAGGATCTTCAAAGTGGGACCACGAAGATTCAAGTGCATAAGAGAGATTTGGATTTTCTTGAGTTAGATGAGCTGACTGCTAATATTGACCCAAAGCGAATGAAAGAGTATGGTAGTGGGATCACAATGCATAGTTCCAACTCAGGAGGCTCCAGTAAGCAATTCAATCTTGATAATACCTCCAATAGTATGGGAGAATTTGATGAAGTATTCAACAATATTATGCAAGATAACGAGAAACAAGTACCCAAGAATGCTATTTCCTTGAAGTCAATTAAAGATTATAGAGTATTGGATTTTAGAACCGATATTCTGTTAAGAATTGAAAATGAAATAACCTTTTTAAGAAAGTCCCTACAAAATGAAATTGAATTATTTATGAAAGCAAATAACCAAGGAAGTCCAAGGTTACTTTTATATGGACATCAAGATTTATTAACCAATCAATATAAGCTCTGTGAATACAGTTCATCGAGAGCTCAACGGAATTCTATTTTAATTATCAATTATTCGTTTAAAGATTTTGGATTGTTACCCAACTACACTTACTTGATCAACTCAATCAAAAGGAGACATAATTTGAAGAGACATTTATTCAAGTTATTCTTGATTAATGTGGAAGATCAGGTTGACACTTTAATTCGAATCAAGTATATTCGAGATCGAGATATGCGGAAATTCATGAAGACACTTTCAAGGAATATTAACCAAATCATCAAGTTTAAGTTGATGAAGTTATTTGAGACATTTAAGCCTTCAAGACTCAATCCGTTACATAACTATGGTGGGAAAATGATATATGATGCATATATTTTCAAGCCTTATAAGAATAATTCATTTAAAAGAATTTATTGGGTTAAACATTCAATTCGTCGCTCAAATGATCTCAATAAGAAGTCAAACTTGATTGTTAATTGGAAGAGTTTGGATTCTATATCTGATAGGTGAGGCTGGATCTTACTAAAGTTGAATAGCTATGGATATGAATACAGTACAGTGTATACAGTGTATACAGTGTATACAGTGTATACAGTGTAGACTATAGTGTGTCGTAGTAAGCTGAGGTACACAACTTTGTTCAAAGTGCGGGTAACCCCCTGTTGAAGTGCGAGTGGAAAAATTTTAACTACAACATGAACCACTTTATTGATAGTACAGCTGTTTCAGCTCATCAAATCCTTGATCCAGTCCTATACACAATGGCATACAAAAAGGTAGCACAGAGCACTAAGCTTCCTCCACTTCCAAAGTTGAAGGTGCGGAGAGCGCTTATTCAACAAGAAAATAACAAGTGCATAGTGATGATGTCTACGTTATTAAACTGTTGGGCCGCCAACGGTGAAGGAGCACTAACGTGTAAGGGGTTTGAAGACGAGTTCAAGATATGTATGGATAGCTATAAGGGAGCTAAGCCAAAGGTCAGTTCTATTAACTATCATGCTGCCAGATTATACCCCAAGTTGAGAGGACCACGGAACGATTAAGCACGAGTCAAGGACCTCGGATCAGATGAAGACCGTGGATTGGGGGTACATATAATATCATTGTAAATAGTTGAATATATTAAAGATTGAAGAGCATTAACATACGGTGCTTAATACAAGAAGGTTAATATTATTATAAACTATCTAGTGGCTTATTTGCTTATTTGAAGACCTTACCGTCAGCGATTTCCTTCTTTTCACCGTTCACAGTAACTGGTTCATCCCAAGCAAACATGTTTTCAATGAACTTCTTGTCTTCTTCGTTTTCAGGGTTCAACTTGGTGTAGTTGTAAGTATCCCAATCAGGAGCAACGTCGAAGGCTGGAGCGTATTCTTGACCTCTGACCAAGAAGGCACCAGTGATACCGTTGTCATTGTCAACACCGTACACAACTAAACAACCAAACAAGTACTTGGTGGAAGCAGATAATCTGGCAAAGAAACCACCAATTTGATTGTTGGTCATAAAGGTCTTTTCCAATTCCTCATTGTACTTGTAGTCAAGCTTCCACAAAGACCATTCTTCAGGGTTCCATTGGTTTTCCCAGAACCATGGGATGGCTTTTGGTCTGGTGTCTTCGTTAGAGTACACTCTCTTCCAGTTATCCAAAGGATTGGCAGCCTTACCCAACAATTCCAATGGATGCTTTGGCTTCTTTTCTTCAACTGGAGCATCGTCAGCTGGAGCAGCCTTAGGAGCAGCGGCTTCCTTCTTTGGAGCAGCTTCCTTCTTTTCCTTCTTTGGAGGTTGGAAGGCCAATGGTTCAGCAGCAACAGTGAATTGAGCATCACCAAAGAAAGCATTCTTGTAGACAGTCAAAAACCATCTGTAGACGTTAGGGTACTTCTTGGTGAATGGCTTGGCACCAACAGTGGCATAGATAACGGCAAAGTGGTGAGCATTAATTAAATCAGCAATGGAAATACGTTCACCAACTAAGTAAGTGTAGTTGGCCAATCTGGCTTCGAGCAAAGCAGTGAACTTTTCAAGGTTGGCAATACCTTCGTCGAAAGATCTCTTGTTGTATGGCTTCATACCCTTGGCCATCATGACAGGGTAAATGTAACTTGGCAAGATTTCGTTGTTAGCCCACAAAACGTACTTCAAGATTTGAGAGTATTCAAATGGGTTCTTACCCAACAACTTGTTGTCAGGAACAAGAGACAATAAGTACATCAAAATGGCAACAGTTTCACACATCTTTTCACCCTTGGCACTGACCAAGACTGGCAACTTCTTGACAGGGAAGTCAACAGGGAAGGACTCGTAGAGTTCACTGGAGACTTTGATGTCAAGTTTGAAGTGCTTGACAAATGTCACCAAGAATTGACTTCTTGGTGACACGGACATAACGTATAAAGTGTCAGTCATTGTGGGATCTAGGACTTATGAGGGTAAAGCTGAACAATAAGAAAGAAGAGTGGACATTTTCAAATTTTTCACTATAAAATTTTTGACATTATTAAATACGATGGGGTACGATGGGAAACCGTGCCCCTCGGTCAGCGATGTGTCGCATGCATATGTAAGTTTACGACAAAAACCACCACTCTGTGCGGGAAAGCGAATGTTTCAAGAAGGACACTTCAATGATTAGTTGCAGGATATGTGTACCATTTATGTTTGGTTATAATCCTATACCATCATTGGCGGATTTCTTTTTGGAAGGGGGTACTTTGAAAAATAGATTTAATGTGGTCCACTTATACTGGAATCATTGACACTTTAAAGTTCAAAGAATGTTACGTTGTTTCAAAAAAAGGTCGTGTCAAACCGATATGCAACCTTTCATATTTTAAAAGTAACAAGTGAGATTCACACACAAGAATTTATTTGGATCCAGCCCTTCAAGAAGGGCAAGGTTGTGCACTGATTATAGGTCAGTCTGACTTTCGTGTATACACGACGCAGTCGTAATCGTTCCACCGTTGAATTAAACAATATAAGGTCTATATCAGGTAGAGCAAATAATAACGTTTGCTCTCAACCCTTTTCACTGAAAAGAAAAAAGGTACTGTGCTCTCCATCTCCACTTTGATTCTTTTTCTATGGAGCAGCCACAATTTCACTCCAGAATTATAGAATGGCATAAAAATTTTGAGGGGCATATGTGGTCACCACCTTTGTTGCAGTGTAAATTTGCTGGTGACTGGTCAAGCCATTTGAAGCAAGAAACTTATTGGAAATAAACGTTTAAACACGGTCCTAATCATTGAGACAATTGTTTTTCAAAGAGAAATATTCCCACTTTAGTTGGTTATATAAGAACCCTTGATATTCAGTCCTAAACGTTCCTAATATGCATGTATATATCTGTATCTACAAGAGAGTATCAAATTCTTTTTTCTCTACTGGCTCGTATTTTTCTTGAAGTGGAATCGCTAGTTTCATACCCCACGGCTTTGCATTGCATCGTAATTCTCAAAGAATTTAGTGAATCACGCATAGAACAATCTCAAACGCAGGAAACGTTTGACTAACTTTTATCACAGCAAGTCTCAATATAAAGATTGCCGCTTTTCTTTTTTAAGATACAGTTTCTTAGGTTCTGTTATCTTTCCAGTGACTGATACTTTCTTCGAAAGTGTATCGTATATAACCTTTGTGGTTTCCCACTACCTGTTTGTCACCCTTTGCAATTAATAACCTCAACATAAATAGCTGGCCCTATCCTTTAACTCTCATGGAAATTAAAACCTTAAGCATTGTGTTTCCATTCAAATTTACCACTTTAGGTCTGTTTTACTTTGTGGATTTCAGAATGCTGTATATGTGATGAAACTGATCATAAGTTTATTTCTACTAGGGTGTTTACTAGGGTTTGTTAGCGGAGTATTTCTCGTAGTGGAACCTTGCAACGTTCCAAGAGAAGGGGTTAAGTTAAATTCTTTTATTATTGACGCTGCGCTCGACGAGCAGAATCACATTCTTAAGTTCCTTATTAACACTGAGGTCCTCAGGGAACAAGGAGCATTGAATAATTCTGATAGAAATAGCATGAAGACAGACGACGAAACCAGTCCTTTGATAACAGACGTCAATGATACCACAAACAGATTTACGACACTTCATGCGGTAGTAAAAGTTAAAGGTGAGATAATAGCGAATGAAAATTTACGATTTTGCGACATGGTAATGGTTAAGAACATTTCTAATTTTGGACTGGTACTTTCGCAGTATAGAAGTGAAACTGCTGCAAAAGAAGAAACCATAGCTGCCAAAAATGCAGAAAGTCAAGATGCGTCTCGTATATCTCATCTGTCAAGGTCTTCATTACTACATCACTCTGACTATGCTGTTTCAAGTAGTTCTAATATCAACTTTGCTAGTAGTAATTCCACTATTGAAGCATTGTTTGATAATAAAAACAGTCTTAGAAGATGTCCATTGTACCACCAAGATTCTATAATGTTTTATTACGAGGTGAAAATTCCACCGAAATATCGTAGAAGCTTAGGTTCATTTAAAGCTACTTTTTCTGTAACTTCCAACAACGAACTGTCTGACACCCTTGGCTGCTATAGTGTGCTTGTTACCCCAGTTAGATTCAAACAAATGAAAAGAGCAATTGAGATAACCGCATTGACGTTGTTGGTATTTGCAACTGCATTTAACGGGATCACTATAACATTTTCATATGCCCAAGAATCAGCCAATCCTTTCCTTCACCTTGCGTCAAGTATGTGTAACAAAGAATTGCTCTCTCATTTGGATGCTACGGCATCACTGGCCATTCAGTACTTTCAATATGCTTACTTTTTAGGCTGTTTGGGACTCAGTTATCCTGGCTTCTATCAACAGTTGATGCTGCAGTTCAGAGGAGCTTGTCTTGTATGGGTGCCTATTTTCGGAGATAATGCCTTTGATGACAATTATCATAGTCAAGACCATGTCTACCTATCTTTCGATAAAGGCGGGCTCAATGTATTGAAGTATTACAGCTCCTTGGGATCATTTCGATATTTCTGGATAAACTTCATTATCCTATATTGCAGCGTCTGTTTGGGCATCGTATCCTTTCAGCAAATCATGCTATTCATTGTGAAGAGGGCACGGATGTTTGATGCCAGAAGAAGAGAAATCACCACACCCAACTTCAGATTGATATCAAAAAATAACGTCTATTTCATAGTGGGTCAAGTGTTGAACATTGTATATAATACGTTTGCATTCCCCCTATTGGTTGTGACATTGTTTGTAATATACAACTCTGCATCCTTCTCTGGCGACTCCTATGCTCGGTATAATCTTAATGGTAACCAGAAAGCTGCTTTCAACCCTTATGTTCCTTATGCTGCGTTACGGGTTCCCTGGCAATGCTACGAATACGGAACGGGCATCTTTAATGCCATGACTTCATTAAATAAGGGAAAAGTTGAAGCGTATGCTCTGTTTCCCAAAGTTAACATTACCCTCGGTTCTATAGTCCTTGCTCTCTGGCTAATGGGCTTACTCTGGGGTTATTTGAGCATTAAAGTTAAGTTTAGGAGATGGTCAGTTCGAATCTTGGATTCTCCCTCCAAACTCTTCACTAGCATCAAAACTATCTTGTTGTGGGGGTTTGCTTACTACAATTTGAAGCCATCTAAGGTCTACTTTGTGGGTATTGATCTTATTAAACTATTCTCGGAGCTGATCATCATTGGGCTCCTCCAAGACAATGGGTTGGCTCAAGTGAGTTGTATTATCGTAATTGAAGTGGTTTATTTCTTGCTTATCTTACTTTGCAGGCCGTATTGTGTCCCCATGGCACTTGGAACCATGAGATTGTGGCTTCCCATTGCCCGAATATTAGATATCTTCCTTTGCATACCGTTTATTACGATTGTTAATAGTTCTGAACCAGTTAAGGCCAATTTCGCCTACCTTCAATTGTTCTTGCACTGTTTTGTTGCTGTCTACTTCATGTTCCGCTTGTCTTCTTCCATGTGGATCGCCATCAAGCCGTTTTTGGAGAGGAAATTCCATTCAAAGGCTCCCGGTCCAAGTAAACCGACCCTGGATGAGTACGAAGAGGAGTATGAGTTCCATCCAGTGGTCAGATCCAATAGCATAAAGCAAAAGAAGGCTCCTCCGAGCGTTCACTCAAAGCATGTGCTCCAGGTGCCGACTAAACTCTCACCAATCAATTCAGAGGATGAGGGTGAGCAAACGGAAGAAGATAATGATAACGTCGCTGAAGATGATTACTACTATCGACAAAACGGTGCCAACTACTTGAAGAAATTACTGCTAACGTCGCTTGACTCCGAAAAGCAGCCCACTAATGGCGACGAAGCGGTTGGAAGCATTCTCACGGAGCTAAGCACCAACATAAGTGTCTACGATCTTGAAGAAGAACAATCCAGGCACCGACTTCGAACAAACAACTACTCCTTCAGAGAGAGCGACCTCATCTACAACACATACATCAACGATGAAAACGTTGACTTGGAGATTAGACAATTATGGAACACAAGAATGTGCAGACTATCAGACAAGGAGCTGAAGCTGCACCGGAAAAATACCAGCGTTGATCCTAGCCAGACCCATGGCCCAAAGAGCAATCCGTCCTTCGAAGTGTGCCGACCTAAACCGCTTATCGTCAAGTCTACTAGGACGTGAACAAGTAGGTGCTAATTGATGCTATTTCTTTTCGACCTTCTTTCTCTTGGAAGATTGAGTTTCTTTGGCTTGCATGGCTCTCTTATTGATGTTTCTAATGAGTTTACCATCGTCAATAAGTTCATAGTCCTTATAAACCACGTCAGTATCAAGACATTTACGTAACGATTGACGTTCGGAGTGAAGAACAACTCTAGCCATTTGGCTTCTATTCAAACCTCGATCTACTTCGACGGCCTCTTCCTGAGGATATTGGGCAATCCTCTGCTCAAGAATAGCCTTGTAGTTCTTTAGGTAGTCTTTGGTCAACTTGTGCGACTCAATCAACTGATAGCATTTATGGTAGCACCTTTTGATAGTGGAATGCACTTCAGTTTTGGTCATCTTCCGGAATGGAGTATCCTTATTGATGGCTACTAGTATGGTGAGTATCTGAATCAAGAACGTAAGCTCCATAATCACCTCTTGATTAGAATAGCAGTCATAAGACTCCACAATCAAGTCTGTGGGTTCTTCGTCATCATCTTGTTGTTCATCATCATGAATAGTAGAAAGGATCTCAAGAAGAGTATCAAGTGGAGGTTTGGACTTCAATTGTTTATTGAAATACTCCTTCACTGTGGAAAGAGGCACTTCCCCAAAGTCATAAGCCGAACTATCGTACTCAACATATCCATACCTTCTGAGGATCTCACTATTAGGATGATTAGAATAGGTGTTGTAGATCTGATCTCCTTTCTTTATTGCTTTGGTAGCCTTCATCACTAGCATGCTTCCCTCATAGGATAAGCTGGCGTTATGCAAATGAGTGTCGGCGTTTAACGTATCCGCTAAAGGTACCATAGACTTAAGGTACGAATCATTTGACACAGGGTTGGCAATAAGTTCTTCAACTTTTTCATCTCCACTAGCATGCTCCTCTTCTCCCACATCATGCTCATCTTCTCCCACATAATGATCCTCTCCTTCTTCCTCTTCATCTTCGTTGGAATCCTCCTCTTCTTCGTGATCCTCTTCCTCATTTTGCTCGTCTTCTTCAACATCGAACGAATATGACATGATTATAGCGCCAACCTCGTAAAAGTCCTTTTTCGTAAATGATCTGAACTCTGGAATATCCCATGACATAACAAGACCATCAAAAAGATCCTGATAAAGCTTATCTGTTGCATCTTTCCCAATTCTCTCTACTACTAATGACGGCTTTAAGGTTTCTATCTCCGAATCTGTCCAGAACATTAATTGGTTGGAGGATTTCTCGATTTCACCTCTTATAGGAAGTACTTCAAAGTACGGTCTCCATTGTGAGTCTGGCTTCCTTAATTCATACGCCAAAACTACCATCAACGCCTCCCATTGGCCCAACTCATACAACTCATTGTGTTTTTCAGGATGGTCTGCTTTGAATGAGCAGTTGCTCAAGCTGAAGACAACTGTTCTTGGAATCAGAAAAAGAAGCTCATTTTCAGAAATTGGTGCAGTAGCCACTAAACCACGACCTTGGTTCTCAGATCTAAGATCTGACACTACTACACTTTCGGAGATTGCTACTCCTGACCTCTGGAGCCATTGTACAAAGTTATTAGAGGCTGCTTCGAATGACATGGCCGTGAAGAGTTGATGCGATGCGTGAAAATCGAGTGCCATACAACAAAGATATATCGGAAAAACTATACGAAGTGAGAACATACACATGCGTACATACGCGAGTATGCATTATTTACACACATGCAAGATGATCGTAAAAGTAAACACCAGCATTGAAATACAATCAAATGTAGGGATATACGAATGTAAGTATTTAACGAAGGTATGCCGTGCGTGAGAGATATGAGGATGTATACGAACACCGCGTTAATTTCTTTATTCAACTATACACTCAGTTAATGACATGCCATAGATAAATTTCCATTTAATAAATATTAATGTGCTTCTCGTAACAATAATCAATTGCAATCAGGCCGCACATTCATCAGGTACCAATTGTCTGATAAAGACCCGAGATGGAACTTGCTGCAATAAAGGGACGTCTAACGACTTAAAGTTTTTATAGCCATCATCACTTGTCCCCACAGCTAACATTGAGTCATCACTCGCTAATGCAAGCTTAACAACACTCTGTACTGCTTTATCCAAATGAGAGTCATCTTCATCAGAATGTGGTGTGAATGTATTGAAAAACTTTGGGTACATTCTGATTCGCTTCTTCTTATTCAAGTTCCAAAGACACACGCAACCGTCAGACCCACCAGTAAATAAAGTGTTATGCAGAGAATTCGTTGCTAGAGCATTGACGGGATAAACCGTATCAATTCCAGTAACCTTATCTTTAGCTCTATGGCATTTAAATGTAAACCGTTTAGATTGCTGGATTTCAGGGTTTTTATCAAAATATTCTAAGGATACCCGTCCATCAATTGTTGATAATGCAAACCCTTCGTCCGTTGTATGTGAGAGAGAAATCAAGTCACGTACCTGATGATTAAGTCCCAATTGTCTTGTTTCCACAGGATTATCAAAATTTCGCAAGTCATAAATGTCAATATCACTTCCCTTACGTTGCACTATCAACAAGGTTTTGCTGATGTCCATGTTTTGAATTTTAGAATTAGTGGTAGTATCTGCTTGTTTGTGGAATATGCGTTGACATGTTCTTACATCCACAGCTCTCAAATCTCCATTGAATGAACCAGCAATAAGTCTATTCTGCTGTTGATCAAAGCACACCTTCTTAATCCCCACATCTAAATGTTTACCTACTCCTTCGGAAGCCAGTTCCTCGAAAACATCTACAACATTGAAGTCGCTATTCTCGTAGTCCAATTGGTAAATCCCACCATCAAGACCGCCTAGAAAAGTACTGTTGCCATTGGCAAAACATACACTAAGCATAGGAACTTTGGCCCTGTACTCTTCGCTTTTCATATTATTACTTGTGCTTACACCACCCCCGAGATCGTGCACTAGGACTCTATAGTCCCACGAGGTTGTCACCAACCAGTTCTGTCGAGGACTGAATGTCAAGTCTGCAATGACATCAAGATCCTTGGGTGTTTGTAGTTCCGTAAACTCGTACATTGCGATGAAGGACAAGAAAAGAAGCATGCAATCTGGTAATAACTTTGAAGTCATTCGATCATTTGAAAATTATGTGGGGTATGTTAATGGTAGCACCGACGTAGGATATTACAGCCATTAAGTTAATGTAGTTTCTTAAAGTTTAGGGCGATAATCTCGGCTGGATCTTGTTCTGGTTCATCCCATGTAAACTTTTCGCCGTGAGTGAGCCAATACTCAAGCGCCATGAGTTCTTCTTCAGGGTCTTTAAGTACCATTTTCCTTTTTTGTAGCTGGTTTCGCAAAAGAAGCAGAGTACTATCCAAGACGTCCTTAGAATCCTCTGGAAGTTCTAAAATAACATCTTCATCGAGTTTGATGAGCAGCATGTTGCTGAAATGCTGTCTGATTTTCAGGTTGTGGAAGTTTCTTATGTTGATTTCATGAAGTTCTTCGAAGTGAACCACTATGCGATTGAAATACACCAATTGTGGTTGGTGGATCCATTTGTGCCACATATTGACGTAGGGTCTCCAAGTTACTCTTGACAATCCATCAAAGGTATTCGTTCTAGCAAAGGCCCAGCCTGTTGCGGATGCCATTGTAGAATACATGGCCATAGACGTCAATAGCATGTAGCCATCCAATGCCATGGCAGAAAGAATACCACATGCAATTGGCCAAGTCCCGAGCCATAATGCTAGTGTTCGTTTGAGTTTGATCTGTCGATTTGTAATGTATTCTGGTGATCCAATCGTGTCATCCACAAGTTTAATGGCATTCTCGTAGTCCTCAAGCTGAAGCAACCGTGAAAGGCCGCATCTAAGTATAAGACCTTGGGCGGCTGTGTTCTTTAGGTTGTTAGAGAAGGCACTAACACACAAATGGTATATCTGAGAGACGTCTTGCGGTTTAGGATCTGTTAGAAGATATGAGGAAACCACGTTCTGGTCGGACTTCAGCAAACCCTCTTGAAAGTTTTCATTTAGAAAGTGGTATAATTTATCTTCTATACTCCGACGGGATTGCACCAACTTCAAGTTCAAGAAACCGCAGCTTGAGTTTTGTAGCGACAATTCACTCCGATGGACCAGTTGAAGAGATCTGCATGCTCGAATGCAGTCGATCAAGTCGGCGGGGGAATTGCTCGTGTGTTTGGACATTCGAGAAGTCAACGTTTCATAATTCAATGGAGACCGGGAGAAGTTCCCCAATAGTCGAATACAACGCATACAGACGTAGACTAAGAAGTAGTAAGATATTAGACGTAGTAAGATATTAGACGTAGTAAGATACAAGACGTAAGACGACGAACTCTAATGAGCACAATAGATCTTAATATTATTTACTACAATAGATCGCTTTGTACCATTGATCTGGGTACTCATTAGCTGCCTTAACCGGTGACAATAGTGACTCGCTTATGGTTATCACTGCACTGCATACAATGACATAGGGCTTATTGCCAGTAGCAAGCCATCTGCATCCACACTCAATGTATTTGTGGTTCACGCACTACCTCATAATGTTTCTGTATTTAGGATATTTCAAAACACTAAAAGCTATACCACGGTATTAGTACCAGCACTAGTACCCATACAAAAATATCACCATAAGACAATCGACTTCAATTGAGGGCAATATAGCGGGTTGCTAAGCTTATTGTGCAGAAGTGTCGTTAGACGAAGAATAGTCGATCCTTTTTTCTCTTTGACTGATATTTTTCAACTTGATCAAAAGTGAAATTAAAACTCTTTCTCGGGTAATTTAACCAAAGACAAAACATAGACTCTTTATTTAAATTTTTGGACGGTGAGATAAAGAAAGTTATTATTACTTCAGGACAAAGCGGTATTAAATAAAATTAATCACTGTTATATTAGTATTTACTATTGTGATTTAAAGTCGTTGAAATCTCCCTTAACTCAACATGAACAATTCAGAAACTTCCAGTGTGTCTTCTGATCTGGCAATACAGAATTATCCAGGCGACAGTTCGTTTATAAAACCTTCACAACCTCCACAGCTGCTGCTGGGTCTGCCTAATACTAATATCAAAAGAGATTCCCTTTCCGGGCTTAAACCTCCGCCTCCTCCATCTCATAAAGATCGTTACTCAGTTATTCTGAACTTATCCACTTATTCTGGAAAGGATTATAATGCAGAATTGATGACCATCAACCAAGTCAAAGGAGCAACTGTAAATATCGTTCACGCCAAAAGCTCATCTAAATTAATTCCAAAACAGTCACACGACGCAGACTATTACAAGATGCCACCTCTGGGGAAGATTTCAGATGCAGATGCTTCAGATTATTCTTCCAGCTCGATTGGTAGCAAAACAAAACTTCCTAGTGTCTCTGCTGATGCTCAAAACAAAATGAAACCCGTTTCCACTTATAAAACTGCCATTGAGGGGTCCATCCCTCCAAGATCTTCAAGACGTCCTAAGTCCGAGGTCATTCATGGCACACCCATTCTGCCGGTTAAAGAAGATAATTCCTCCCACAGATTGTCGTTGTCGGACGATTTAGAGAAGTTGATGGAAACAGCTAGTGTTATCAGTAAAGGTGAAACAAGTGACAGTAAGCAATTCATATTCAAAGATATCAAGAAAACATTCAGTCTTCCTAAAGTCAGACTGGATAAAAGGAGTTCTATTACTTCTTCAGAATTCTCGGACCATTCTCCTACAAGAGTTGCTGTCAAAAACCAATATGGTTCTCAAGAATCCAACGACTTTCCAAATTCAACTGCTGCTGCTGCTGCTGCTGCACATGGACATGGACAACCATCAGATGCAATGGCATCGGCAGAACATCATCATTCTCTGGAGTTATCTAATAAATCATGTCGTCCAATAGAGGATCCTCACACATCTGGAAGTGCAGATGATGTCAATGCCTATAGCTCTGGTACTATTACCTATGACCAACAAACGGCCATTACGTCAGCTAACCCCAGTCCACTGCATAAGCGAATGTCATCAGTCAATTCACAAACATCTTCAAACTTGAGAATGCCTCCACGGCCTCTGGCAGAAAGCATTCTTCGTGCCCGAGAAGTAAGTCATCAGTTTAGTCAGAAAAGTATTCCAGACAATGCTTCCGTGGAACAATCCGAAGATCAAGAATACAAAGAAATTGATAACGATGGATTTGCCAAGAGTATTATTGAAATAGGTGGTGGAATTGAGTCTTCTAATGATTCTAACAAAACCCAAAGTCACGATGTTAAAAATGCGAATGCTAGCACTAACCTTCTGCCTGGTAAGAAAAGACACAGCCATGTCAATAGCGTTGATTATCCGTCTGACATTTCCAGATTTGACGAAGTTGATTCTGGAGTTTATGCCAAATCACATCGTGGATATATTATCAATCCCAGTGAAGACATTTCATTGAATTCGCACGGAAGATACGATGAGGACAACAATGGCATGGTACCAATAATAGGTGCACCACTTAGAGAGAAGCCTGAGGAGGTCACAGACATCATCGACATAGAAGAACTTGAAGCTCAAGCTCACAGTAGCCAATATAGAGACGCATCCTTACACCAGCACCAAATTTACGACGATACCAAAGATCACGGTCACAGAGGAGGAGGATATCATTCTGATGGAGCCGTTGTGTCAAAGGATGCTGTTGAAGAAGATTATTACGACATTGGAGAGCCGGTGATGGTCAGAAATCAACCTGCTAGAGGTAAATCAGTACGGGAGAACACACGACGGACCAAGAGAAAGAAGAGCACGAAGCATAAGAATAAAAAGGAATTGAAACCATTCACTTATACCACGTTAGTGAGTCTATTGGAATCAATGAATGGTACTGTGATTGGAGAAGAGTTTAACCAATTGAATTTACCAATAAGAGAAAAGCAATGGATTGAAAAGATCATTGATTCTTTGAGTCGGTTAACAAGTGACATGGTTATGGATGAGAACAAGTTTGAGGCAGGGTTAACTCGATTAGAAAAGGCACATAGCGCTTTAGAAGGGTTTTTGTAATTTCTATATCTAGAATGAAACTTATTTACAAGCAATTTGTCTGAAAATAGACAAAATGGAAGCAATCGTCAATTTCTTAAGGGGTTGTCCCAATGAGGAAACGATCTGACCCTAAATAGTAAGTGGGTATACTTCTTTTGCATAAGTGTGTTCACGTTGCACCCAATTAGGCAGTATGTCCCGTTGGAAAGTTGACATCGGTAATGTGTCAAAAGTTAGCCGGCAGTTGTGGTACATGCAGTAATGCCAAGAATTATCAATATTAAGGTGACGTTTTTGGCGACTAATGTCGGCACAACACTTTATAGCCACAACCAAAATGGTAGACAATAAACCGGACACAATTGGGGGAACTGGTGTAAATAAGTAGTATACGTAAATTGAACACTGTGTTATACCAGAAATGAATACGCGATAGAATTAACACCTATCATATAGCAGAACAGTTACAAGTGATTAAAAACAGATTAAACTTAGGACGGCGCTCCCATGTCAGAGGCCTAAGTGCAATTGCAGACGATATTTCCTATATGCCATACTTGCATGTATGTTATCAACTTGAGCTTACCCATAAAATAGAGCTAATTGTTGCATCACATAAGGAAAAAGAAAACTTCCAACTGGCACGAAAACGTTCAGACATTTCCGATTCAACTTAGTAATTAAGTATAATAACGTAGAGTACGTACACACTGTGGAAAATGTGATGACCTTCTTCCCCCCACCCCACAATTCAATTACTACTGGCTTTTTGTTGAGTCATGACGCCGTACATCCCTCGATTTGCCAGCAAACGGCGTAAGTGACACAAAAACGCTTTGGTGACAGTAAATTAAAGTGTCGCCAACCAATAGGGATACTATATAGTATAGCACCAGATCGTACTTATCTACTGTCGTAAGATCTGCCAACCCAGAGATCGAGGTGTCTAAGGGGGGGGCGGGCACCCAAACGACGTTTCGGCCTCCCACCCTTATCAAAGTCTGTTGTGTCAACATTATCACCGATTCTTATCTCCAATGCCACAAACAGTAATGGGCGAGGAACGACATTTTTTTTCCCTCTCAGCCAAGCAATAAGTATAGGTACACCATTCTCATCGCCCAAGGATCTTGACAGTGTCCGAAAGCTGTTTTGTGGTTCACCACACAAATCCCCGACAAAGAAACGTGCAGAAGAGAGACATCACCAATTTTCAAACCCCCATAATTTGTCGTGGTTATCTTTCGACTACTTCTTATTCTTCTTCTCTCTTCATCTGCCTCTGTGTCTGTTCTTGTTTTATTATTACTGCCACTCGAGTTGTTATCGATATAGCCTCGGTTCACCCGATTGTAATAGTCACTATTTATTGTCTGAGGTTATATTGTCTGGTAACCCTTAGAGACCGTTATCAATGACTGTAAGACTAAGGATATCACCATCCCACTCCACCACTCAGGTCCCCCCCAATCCAGCAGTCATACCCCACGATCACCCCATACAAAGTTATCCGACATCAGTGGTCGAAGATGCGTCCCCCACCAATACAAACTTCCCCAGATTAAATGAGCCACCATCGTCAACATCACAATTATCATCAGGAACGGTGCCGGTGCCGTTCTCGAAACCGGGATACATGCTTCCAAGCGTGGACCAGCTGCTGCTGCAGCCCTTCATACACGACAAGCTCTTCATCTCGCCCAATCAGCGTCCTCCGAAGCATGAAGGCTCGCCTTCCTTGACCATAGACGTCGAGAGAGCCAACACTAAAGACAAAGACACCGCTACGAGTTCGGCCAACTCTGTACGATCGACAGTGCTACAAGACGCAGTGAGTCTCGAGCGGTCCAACTCGTCATCGTCCATCAACTTTGATAAGATCACCCAATTACCTACACCCATCATCAACAATGGTTCCTTCTGTCTATTCCCTCCACCGGAGATGTCATTGGTGACACGGCAGCGGAACAACTCGTTATCTCCACCAATGCAGTCACAGACCATCACGATCCCCAAACATCCTCATGGTAACAGCAATACCAGCAATGGAGGAGCAGTGCCCTCAGACCTCCACATGACCTCCACATCTTCTAGACCGTCACGGGTGTTCTCAGAGTACAGGCCGACACCCGTGGTACGCAAGAATAGTCTTCTTGACAACATAAATGAACGCCATTCGACCAGAGTGGCTTCCAATCCGGGTAATGCCAGCTTTTTGTCCTCGTCTCCGGCTTCGGTGCTGTCTGGAGCCACTTCGGCATCAGCGTCGACGTCCGCCTCGACGTCTTATCCAGTTGTACTGAGTGTTCCTCCAAGCATAACGGAGGGCATCTACCAAGCTCCTCGTTTGCACACGTTTTACCAGTTCATTGAAGTGTTGGGGTCTGGAAACTTCTCTAACGTGGTGTTAGCCGTAAACCCGAAAGACTCCGATGACATGGTGGTGGTGAAGATCATCTCCATCCCCGCAAACAACAAGGCGGAGATCTCCAACTTCCGATCGTTTATTAAGAGAGAATTGAATATTTTGAACCAGGTCCGACACCCGAGCATCATCACCTTATTGGACTACAATATAAATTTGTCTATAAGTTCACTGGAGATCTTGGATCCTAACTACGAAGACAGTGACACGGAATCAGATAGTCAAGACAAAATGAACACAGACATGCAGAATTTACGACAAAACTCCCAGCAGTTCATATTTCTTAATTACTGTCGGGGAGGTAACCTCTTTGAGTTTGCCAAAGATAACTACGCGTTCAACAATTTGGCATATTGGCTTGTGGTGAAACGAGCTGTAAGTGAACTAATTTTTGCCGTGGCATATTTGCATAGTTCTAAAATTGTTCATCGGGATTTGAAACTAGAGAATATTCTTCTTAATTACGAGGCCAGCCAATTGTTCAACTTTGCTCATCTCCTCAACCATCCGGAATGCACCCAGCCAATCATAGCACTCACGGACTTTGGGCTATCGAAACGCTTACAAGGTGACAATGACCAGCTCTCCACGCGATGCGGATCTCAAGACTATGTTTCTCCGGAGTTACTTATGGGACTCAAATACGACGGGAAGCTAACTGATTCATGGTCTCTTGGAGTGTTAATATATGCACTCTTAGAGAATAGACTACCATTTGATGCCCCTCCAGTGTCCAGTTCGGCTCCCAGCACCGTTTCACCCTCGGTGTTGAAGAGAAGAAGAACTAAGAATAAAGCGGCCCATAGAATCGCCATGATAGACTGGGGTTGGTTCAAAACAGAAGAATTGTTGGTGGACGATTCAGTAGACGAACAAGTGAAATCGATAGTCGTGGACTTACAATTGGTGGTGAAACGATTATTGGTTAGAAAGGAAAAGAGACCAAGATTAAATGAGTTAATAGAGGATCCAGACTTTGCTTGGTTTACTGCTTCTGTTCCTCCATCAATGTATGATTAAACCATTGGGTAATTATTTACGGTGTTAACAGCAGCTATTGGCCCACTTTCCTTATATATAAATGTTGTTTCTATTATCCCCAATCGTTGTTGGTCACCTTTATGTAATCATGACCATTGTATACTTAACTAATTATATAATCTCAACTAGTCAAAATATGAACCGCGCACGACCTGAAAAGATTAATGTCTAACGTTAAAATGGATACACCGAAACAGACTTTGCTACGTACTGTGCTTTAACTACTCACGAGCCCCAAGGCGTCATCTATCATACAGGTTTAGTTATTCATGGAAACATGAACGAAGTGCAGTCGGGAGTTGTAAAGGGTGAGTTATCCAAGAATGGTGGCAGTGGAGGGATGTCTGGTTTAACCCCACCCAAGAATCACCAGCCAGGCACTGAAGCAGAAGTAGACACCGAAGGGCACGACAGTGTTACTCAGATGAACGGAGGTCACGATCAGAACGGTACTGCCAGTGCTTCTATGGATAAGGCGGCAGTGTCCGTGTCTATGTCTGAACAGAAGAGTTGGTTTAGAAAACGACAGCCAGTAGACATTCTTCCACCGGAGATACCCCATATATCCAATAATATCATTCCCCTATCCAATGTGCTCAAGTTCAGCTCTCAAGAAGCATACAAGCAACTTACGTCGATGATTGAACGCTTGGCTGAAACGTCAGAGAATGGCGAAGACATCAATCGAAAGAGGGAGTTTTTACATTTGATCGTAGGTCTTCGAGAAGACTTTGTTAAGATCTATACGCTAGTGAAATGGGCTGTTAATGCCAAAGATATTGGTAAGTTGATCGATTTGCTTAACTGGTTTCGTCAGCAAGAGTTTTATTTCGAGTCCTTGTCTATGGGCTTGAATGAATTAAATCAATATCTGGGAGCCAAACTACCCAATTCTGATTTGGTTACCAGTTTAGAAGTTTTGATCAAGGGGAGACCACAATTACCCAGTTATAATTTTCTAAAACTTTCTTCCATTAGTCCGGAAAAGACGTTGGAAGTGTTGGAAGATTTGAACTTGATCTTGACCACCAGAATGGCATTCATAAGCGATATCCCCAAAGTATACTTACGAAATTTCGAGATTAAGGACGGAAGAATATACTTTACTGTCCCGCAACAATATCAAGTCAGTGTTACTGTGGCTAATAGTTTAATCATTGAAGACGACATCAAAGACAACCATTCATCACCGTTTTACTTTATAGATTTCCAGTTCCTTTTCGGTATAAACCCAGCAACAGGTTGCTTAGATGATAGTCGAGGTACTGTTTCCAGAATGCCCTCCAATAAACACTTGGAGACCTTGGCAAACTCCACTCTTTTATCTCTGGGATTAACAGGACTTCATGAATTGTTGCACAAGTATGCTGTCTCGTTCAAGGTTTATTTATTATCTCGACAAGTGAAGGAGATGTTAGTAGGGTCTATGAAATGGAAGGACTCGCTTCAATATAAGTTTCAACATGGACAATCGATAATTACAATCAATTATTGGTGTCAGAATTACAACTCCAGAAACTGGAAGTCTTTGGTGGAATTAGGTGTGGACAAGAATAATAAAGTTACCTTCAGATGGTTCAAGGATGAAAAATATCAACACGATCATCAGCTCATGAAGTTAGTTAAGCTCCAGCCTACTGTACCTACGGCTTCCTCTTGTTATTCAGATTCTTCTTCTTCGGCAGCTTCGACCACGGATCCAAATGAAGGTGACTCTATGAATGACGATGACTATTATGAGATCAATGTGGACTTGATAGTCACCATGATATTGAACAAGCATGCAGAACAATTAATGGGGAAGATTACTTCAATGTACAACGATATAATAAGTGGTCACGGATTACCATCTGAAGAATTTTGTACATTTATTCTGTCCCACCAAGTTTGCTTAAAACTTTCACCTTCAAAGAAGACAACTTTTGCATTGAACTCGCTCACGGGAGCATTCTATTTCATTGAACCTACGCCGTTACAGAATGAATTTATCGTTAAAATCAACTCGCCCCTCCCACAGCAAACACATAAAAGAACAGGATTCCTGATTACAGAGCATGAGATGTGTGAACATATAGTTAACCAATTGATACAATTACGGTTGGCCACATCGAACAAGGAAATCAACACCAAGTTGTCCACTACGCAATGGATTCCAAACCAATTAATAAAGTTGAACGAATACGAAACTAACAAGTTATACAACTTCTTAAGTGGTTCAAACCACAGTGAATTATTGCATCTACCCTCGGAAAAACCTTCATCTACTCGTGGATTATCTTCTTTATCCCTGTTGCAGTTTTACCGTCGGAAGAACTGGCCCTCCAGTTGGTTTTTGGTCAAACTCATTGATGGAGTAAGCTGCAGAACGTATTGGTGGGTATCGAGGATCAAATCTATTAAGGGAGAATGGAAAATACAATGGGTACAAGTGTTAATGTTTGATGAAGAAGCTTATTTAGCAGAAGGCAGCTCTAAAGAAGTAAAAAAGGTTCTTAGTCCTGCTAGTATGGGATTCGGGTTGTTCAACAGTTTGTCTACCATATGTTCCAACATGATTATCGACCATATGATTCTTGAGGAGTTGCATGCTAAGAAAATTGAGTTTGTCAAGACTAATAAAGTGGACTCGGTGCTAAGGAAATACGGCATCAATGCTCCATCAGCACAAGCATCTGATAAGAAGAATATCGATGACGATGGAGATGTCATCACAAACGAAAGTAACATCATCATATACAACAATAATAAGTTGTTACGAGTGGAGAATAGTGGTTCGTCTCTTTTCCTAAAAGTCACCTTGGTGTCTCAAAACAATTTTACGGTGATGAAGTTGAAGTTATTTGGTAACTTGAGAAACTTGCTGTTCAAAAACAGTCCAGATGAACTTAAGCAATTGAGCTTGACCATCGATGAGCAAGATAAGTACTTTGAGATCTGTGATTCCATTAACTTATCGCAAACATTGAGTGGACAATCTGAAATAGGTTCATTGGCATCAACTAATAGTAGTGGTGCTGATAGTTCTAGCCCTAGTGTTTCGCTCAATGGCACATCGTCCAGTGGTCTCTTGGATAAAATCTTTAACAACTTGAACAAATTGAATGAGTTGATCAAGATCTTGGGCCAGGTAAACAAGTATGCCATCCCCATTGTTAACAATTCCATCAACGAGATCTCGGTCAAGTTGGATGAGGAATACGTGATCAAAATCCAATTGCCCTCTAACAGGAATCGGCTGATAACCCTTGCAATTGATGGAGAGAGTGAATGTAAGGTGAATGTGGTAGATGATGAGTTGATGAAGTACTTTACACTTGTGATCTCCTATGTAAACGAGTATTTACAAGGAAGGAACCGAATGTTTGGAAGTCCGGTGGATATTCGTGGTGTGCTTATGTTTCTTTCCAGGTTTTTACTGGTGTTTAAGCTGACCATGGTTATTCGACAGGCTATCGATAAACATCGAGATCAGATCAAGTTGAGCAATGGGCTCAGCAAGTTGAGTTTTGATTTACGCATAAACAACTTGAAGCAAATGCAATTGCTATTTTTCATACGATATTCCGCTGGGGGGAAGAAGATCTTGAAGGACAAGATAGTCATCCATTTGGATTTCCGAGTCAACAAGTTCATCAATATAAAAGACAAGCAAGATCCCTTGATGCTCAAGCTTTCTATTAAGGACAACTTGAATACAAAGAACTTGAAACATAAAGAGTTGTTTGAGAATATGTTCAAGAGTCTTAGCAACGTACAGGGTGTGAGCATGTTACGCTACGACTTCCTATTGGAGCCCCAGTGTTTGTCGACTGTCTTTGAACGGATAGCACAAGTGTTTTTAAAGCACATAGATAAGTAAGGGGGTATCACATCATTATATATTAATTATCTACTGTAGTTTACATGAGATGCTAAAGTAGGAATCATGGAACCCTTTTGAAGATTCGCTTGCGGAGTTAAAAACAGAGAAACTCGTAAAACTTGGGCCATCGTAATCGCGTGAGTGAGGAGTTGGCAAAAGCCGTCACCCGGACATACTTCTCACCTCGGCGATAGGACGTACGGCTTTTGATGCACTATGGAAAAAGTTCGCTCGATTGCGGAACATACGTTTAACTCCGAATAGTCTTATTTGGCCATGCCTACGTTCAAAAGAATACATTGTACGTTGATTGAATAATGTATGGGGTGCATCAAAGGGCCAAAGCATTTGTGAGTGGTCAAGCAGCCCTTCCTTATTTACCGTGCACTTGTATGGTTCGCAATTAGGTGAAATAATGATTAAAGAATGCATTTAGCGACGTCTGGTTTATCCGAAGAGTGGCAGCAATTCACCACTCCGAATGCAGCTACATGAAACGTATGACTGATTTGTTTTGAGTAGTTTTAGCGGATGCAATAATATTCTCAGGAGCTTAGAGTAACTTGGCATATCCTCAATAATAAGTAACTCGATTTTCATTCTCCAAGTTGCATACTCTCCATCATGTTTGCTGATGAGATGATTATTCGATCTTTCCCGGCTTTGCACATCATGCCATACTGGGGCAGGATAACGCAACGCATTTCATTCGGAGTAGCCTGATACCGAGACTTGATGTTAAAGCCGAACTTATCGTCCTGCATCGGAATGAAGACTCTACAACTAGAATTTCCTAATTTTCCGCTTCCATCTCAGCTTCAGCATTCAGTTGCTTACATAATAATACTGTTGACTGCTCGCTTAAGCTCTACCGATTTGGCATGGGAGAGGGTCTGGAGGTAACGTGAAGATTGTGCTGGGATATCCATGTACCAGAATTCAGTCAATATTTTGGCAACTGGGTCCGTTGGAGCGGCAAGTGGTGGAAAAAAAGAAAAAACTAGAAATCCTTTGGGACGTTTACGGAAACGGGGGGCTGACTACGCTATACTTTTTTTTTCTCCACTTATGTCTGACTGCGTGCCCGCCTATGTTGGAGGTACAACCTCCGAGAGTCGCAAAAATACAGCCACTTAAACTACGCTTACTACGACAGACACTAGACAAAAAGAATATATTAAAATTTCTATAGCAATAATCCAAATAAACCCAAACCAAATAATTAAATCAATAAAACCTAAACAAACCTAACCCATGGCCTCATGTGAACAAACACTCGTGGCCCTTTTTAAAGCACCCATGGCACATGTTGGTTTCCTCGTTGTAGACGCACTTTACCTTACGCTTGCGACATCCCGCGCAACTAGATCTCCGGGACCCGTCGAGGGCAGGGATGGGGATAAGAACAGGGATGGGCAATGGTGACATCGTTGTAGCAGAACTTCGTGGTGCAGTAGTATTGTCTTCCTGGCTTTCAGATGCAACAGGTGAAGAATATGTAGTCATTGAGGCACTAGGACTTTGTTTCAAGGTGGTGTCCGTGTCGGAATCAACAGCACTAATTTTCCGTTTCTTACTTACCAAAAGCGAAGAACTCTTTGCAGATGTAAAGTCCGAAGCAGGTGGTCTAAAACTAGAGACAGTTTCGGAGGGTTTTTTGTGCAACATGTCTTCCTTAGTAAACCCTTTGGAGAAACAACAATCAATAGTTCTGGCTGTACAGTTTGTGCAAGGTTTGAACTTGATTAACTTGTTGTGGGAAGCAAGCAACAGATACTCTGTGTCTAATGGGATTGAAGTTACTTCCTGCTTCAAAAGAGGAGTGAAATCAACGTCATTGTAAAGAGCCGAGGTTTCAGCAGTACCTGCCATATCCTTCAACACAATGACAATGTCTGCATTACACTTGACTTTCCGTACACGACATGAGTCGCAAGAGGGTCCGAGTCTTTGACGTCTTTTAGGAGAGTTCTTGATGCTAAAGGACTTTGATTCTTTGGAAGCCACGATATTGGCGGCTTGGTTCAAGATATTAATCGTTTTAACGTGAGGTGATCCAATAGGAGAAATGGAACCTGATGATGATGCAATTGAAGCAGAACTGGTTAATGATGGAAGTGAGACGGCATCTGGGTTCTTTCCCATGGATGTCAAGTTATATTCAGTCAACTTAGCATATGAAGATGGAGGACTAATGGGACTGGCAATGTGTAGTGGAGGTAAGAGGGAAGAACCCGATTTGTGAATAGTAGGTAAAAAATGGATTGGAGGTAACACTATCGCCGACGATGCGGGAACTTTTTCCTTTTGACTGGGTGGTGTCGTCGCATGGAAGGGACTAGTGTGAAGTTGAGAAGCCGGGTGGTTTAGGCAGTAGTATACCAAGTCATTAGCACACATAGTAGAAGAATAAATATAAATTATATGTGCTGACTGTCAGGTTAAAAAAATATCGAAATATATGTATATATATATATATGTATTGATTATGTTGCAGCCTGGTCTGAACTGAGTGAGAGATAGTATTGCAGATAGTATTAAGGGAGGCAGACAGACAGACAGAAAGAACGCCAGAACAACAAAATATTAGAAACTATAAAAGGGAGCGATATAATCCGTCCTCAAAATGGAGGGGCTCATGCTTTATATATATATGAATATGTATAAATTTATGTAGTCATTTCAAGTATGGTTCAAGAGGAGTCATTATTAGGTACCGTCCGTTTCTATTGTTAATGGGGTTTATTATTGGGTTATTTTTTTTACTTTATTTTTGTATGGGATGCGCGAAAGTCCGAGGCAATTCATACTATGATACTTCCAGACACAGACATTTACACACGATCTCATGCGCTACCGTGGAAGTGGCTTACTACCAGAGTTGAAGTCAGCTGAGGATTAGCCACTCTCTTGGAACCATTCCATTCCATGTCGTAACATGACATTGATTTATACTACTATAACCTCGAGTAGTGCGGTAATAAGCTTCTGTTCATTATTTCCATACTACAACTTGTACTACTCCCCTCCCATACTTTTTAGACCGGAGCACTTTAGTGTCGGATGAAGGCGACGGATTGTCTAGTAGGTTTAAGGCATATGAGATTCCGCCATTCAAGGGAGGGGACTCGAATGACACAAACAATTGAAAAATCGACCGGGATGACTAACGAGTCATAGTGTCAATTGTCTGGATTCATGGATGGAGGGATTCCATGAGACACAAAACAATCTCATATGGAAAACCTCGGGTCACCTACGATTGTGTGGGTGTATACTGTCTCAAAAATAAACAGTACCCGCGGGTTCCGAGTCCACCCGTTGCGTCAATCGTGCTTCATTGCTATTTTGGTGCGATGTAGCTTCGGACTTTCAAGTCACCTCCACTTCTCCTTAACAGCGGCTGCATTTCCTAGTCACGTGAACGTTAGGAAAGTCTTCTTTGGCGGAATTGTGTTTGACGGTTCGGAGTTGAATTCCCATAACGCTCCCCCACCTTTTATCTGATGATGTTCTAGCCACGCTTATTCATCCAAAGTGAGCGACCCCCACTATTTCGAGGACATACGATACCGCCAGTACCGTACCGAAAATCACCATATGCTTTTATCGTCACTATTAAAACTGTAAACTACATGGATTCAATTACATCCCCCCCCGGGATTTCTGTATTGACCTTTGAGGCCCCTCTTATCAATGTCAATAAATATGCTATATCTAATATGTTAGCCGTAATAATACAAGCATGGCTCCTTGATCCCCGCTCTTTGTAATTCAAGGCGCTTTATCGGAGTGCTGTACCGCGTAATCTTTTTGTCTGGAAAATCCTCATCGCAGTCCTCTAAAGAACCGATATATCGTTTTGAAAACTAAAGTTGGACGACAAAAATTCGATACCCCTCATCTTTCACAGTCTGTTTCGACTATTGATGGTGAAATAATGTCTGTATCTTAGAAAGCGGAGTACCAATCCTATCTAATAATTGAAACAACCAGACTTTTCTACAGTTTTTGAAGCCAGGCTCCAAACACATTCTGCCTCTACAGCTCAACTATGTATGTATATGTGTATGTCTGTATGTCCGTCTGTATGTACGTTGTGAGAGCCCCCCTTATGATTCCAGACAAAGTGAAAAATCCGTCTGAGTGGCATCTGAGTCCTCCATCCCTCCGGACCGAAGTTTGGGGAGTCGCATCTTTGCTCCGGTTCGCTCCGTTGTAGTTGAATCTGGGGGAAGGGATCAATTAACTTATCGTGTGGACTCAAAAAATGCAAACACCTGTGGCTTTTCAGTTAGCTCAAATGCCCCACAGATTACGTGCTGACCTCAAAAACATCAGTGTAGGACTCGGTCTCGGTCTTAGGTCTCGGAGACGATTGCCTATTACAGAGTCAATCATAAACCATTAAAGATCATAGGATAGAGCGAGACTTTACCTAATTCACCCCTCAACTTGTCATGAATGTTACGACATTGCTTCGTTCTATTTAAATTTTAACAATTTTCAACATACCTATTCTACTACAATTTTACTTACCATTGCTGGGGATACCCAACTAGATCGGCATTTGTATTGGGCGATGGAAACTCTCAGTCTCGGATCACTAGCAGTACTTGCGATTCTGATTACCACTCTAAAATAATAATGAGGTAGAAATGGAATTCTGGGTTAATAATACTTTGAAAGCACCCTGGGCTATTGTCTAGTTGTTGTGTCGAAGTGATCGACTGTTCTAACGTCCGCATCCTACTTGTCGAAGTTATGAGATCGCACCATACCACAGTTTATTAAAAAAGACACAAACTGGAAGAAAGCAGCTTCAACAAGTGTACTAAATTTTAGCAAAGATTTATGCAATGCGTAATGATAGTCATTTCGTAGATTCGTGAACACCGTAAGGTTATGATGATTCGCTATACCCAGAGTCAAAAGATGGTTCATTACCTAATCATGCGACACTACATTGTTACATTAGCGACATTTTCGCAACCATGTCGCAAGTTGATGGAATCGCAGTTTCCTAATTGGGAACAGACGAAAACACCATAACGATCACCTTCACAGACAAAAATAAAGGACAGATGACTCCTGCTTCACGTTAAAGGGACCCTCATATTTGATACTTCTTAACGGCGTTCAATGTCTGAAAAGCTGCATCAGACGACGAGAATTTTTATAGCCATAATATCATCATTACACTTTCATTGAGTTTTTGTCCGGTCACCACAGCCCACTATGGAGATTGAATACTCTTCACCAGCAGCATCGACTTCTGTCGACAATCTGTTGAATACACCCATTAAGAAGATCCAGAACTTAACCATACATTCACCTTTATCCAGTCTTAAGTTCACGTCACAATACTCAAAATCACCTTCAGGTCTTTACCCTAATCTTCAAGATATGTTTGATGCGAAATCCATCAACGATAAGGAAAATGCATATCCAAAGAACGACATTTCCTCAAAGCTTCATTCCGAACAATCTGATATCAAATCCGCCATGATAGATAAAGGGTATTCTCAAAAGATCACCAATGCAGTTCTTGATGAACTTACCATGAGGTCTTCTGAAATTTCCCAATTGATAAACTCGAAATCTTCTGTCACAGGAATGGCAGGGACTTCAAGTATTACAGCATCCCAAGAAGAAAAGGAAAAACGAAGGAAACGGTTCAGTTTGGTCCATAAATCTAGATTCAATAGAATGGAGTCGATTTCCAATCATTATTCCCTCCCTAGAATTATCAGTAATAAAAGTTTAGATATAAAGCCTGATGATCCTGCTAATCCTAGTTTCTACCGAAGTACTCAAGAGAGTTACAACTTCGACATTGATGATGATGAAGATCAGGACATGGCTAATAAACGGTTATCAACCACCACAATAGGAAGTGTAAGCAAAAGAAGAAGGACATTGAATGGACCAGAAGAAGTTTTACCTGAACTAACCACTCAAACTCAAAGTACTCATAGTACAAACCGTATTTCACCTTTGAAAAGCACCATGTCGTCCAATATTCCATCGTCTCCATTCAAGAATGCCCATTCTTCTGTTGTCCAATCACCTTTCTCCTTTTCAGCCAATCTGTCTCCTTTTAAAAGTAACATTCCTACTTTAGCATCGAGTTCTCCCTCCAAGGGAATTAGTCCATCCAAAAAATCATACAATTTAAACCTGTTACTTCAAGACGCACCCCAACTATCTCATAATCAACAGCAGCAGCAGCATGATTCCTTTGCTCGACCTCAGAAGCCACCTCAAGCCATTGATTCCACCAATCACAAGTTTCTTAAACCACATCCACCCTCATTAAAAAATAGACCTTCATCTTTAGAATTGGCAGGAGTAAAACCTAATGCATCTCGAAAGCCATCGCTTAACAATCTCAAAGAGGGGCCGTCTTTATCCCATAAATCCTCAAAGTCTAGTCTTATTCCTAGAATGCCATCTAATTCGAACTTACAGAAAAAACCACTGAACGTCAGCTTATCAAAGACTTCATCAATCCCTCATCTACAAAAAAAGCCAAGCTCTACCTTCAACAAGCCACAGCCCACCACTGGTGATTACCATAATTTGAATCAGAGACCACCAGAACTTGCATCTCCTGTTCGTTCTACGTCTTTGCATTCGTTATCTTCTTCCCACAAAAGTGTCACCAAGCCCCAGCCATTTTCATTCTACAACAAGCCTACCATTTCTTCGTCTCAAAAATCTTTAAACGGAAACCAATATCCCCTGTCACAAAGCTCATTTACAAGCTCAAAGTCAATGCATTCGTTGACTACTTCTAATAATAATAATAATAATAATAAGATACCCACGAACATTCCTGATAAATCAGCATCATTATCACAACGATCACTTTACAAATACCAACAATTCAAAAAAAGATTCCATTAATACCATCGATTATTTTTTGCATATATTATTCGTATGACAATCTATATACTTATATACGATCATTCTTAATAAATGTTTGATTGCTGTTTAATGTCATGATGGGTTTCACAGATTTGAGATCCAGACCATTTATCACCTGCCTTCAAGTTTACAAAGTCAGAGACATGGCCAGGCTCAATACAAAGCATATTGTGGTAACCCAGCTTAGGTAAGAAATCAGCCATGCCTTCAGACTTTTTAATCCAAGGATTCCAGACAACAGCATCAGGTAAGTTGACCCGTTCCAAGGTCATCAACACCTTACCCTTATCGATGATCTGGATGTACTTGTCATTCCGAACACTCTTATATATTCTGTCGAACTCCTCATGGAATTGAACGACTGGTGACTTCTCAATGTATTCTTCAGCAAGCAATTGATCAAAGCATTTCTCATCAGTCAAATTGTTCACCAACACATCAGTAATGTCTGGAATCTTATAATAGGTATGGAAAAGCCAGTTGAAGTCAAAGGCTTCATTACCGGTGTTTTCAACTTCAATATCTGTCTTAAGTGCATCATCATGCAAAGTGACAGTGAAAATCAATGTGAAGTCATATTTTCCACCTCCCCATTTCTTGTACAATTCAGGGTCAATGTTCTCAGGACCTAAACCAAATTGAACACTTGGAAGCTTCTCACCAACTTGACCTAAAAACTCCCAAGTAGAGTTCCGAGCAAACCCGTGTTGAGGAAGGGCACCCGTGGCATGGCTTTCATCCTTCAGTTTACCAAAAATGGGGAAAACTAGTGGGATACCTCCACGAACAGGCTTACTCCCATCCAAATGGGCTCCTTCACTCACCCATAATTTCTCTTCACCTGCAACCTTCCAGCTAATCACTGTGGCCCCATACTTGAGAACAGTGACTGATGTGGTGTCGTCATTGGGGAAGGTGACAATGACCTTGTCGTCGGTTTCCTGTACTGGCATTTATCAATTGATGGATAAGTAACGACTCCGGATGGATGGATCTCCAGAGACTTAAAGTATTCCAGACTCAACTCAACTCCACTTATTATAGCAATAATTAAGGGAATCGGCACATCATGCTTGTGGTAAGGACACGACCTTGGTAATCGGTAAACTCCAACCCACCAAAGGTTAAGGGTAATACGGATAGCTCTTTCGTCATCTTGTTAGTAGATCTTAATGTTTAACCTCATTGTGTATGTCGTTATACGTATAATTAGTATTTATTAGTTTAGTTTTTCTTTTATGGAAAATAAAGTGTATATTAGTGGAAAATCCACCATGATCTCTAGAAGGCTGCGTAAGGGTCAGGAAGCGTATAATTTTAAAATAACGGGTAGTATTTAACTAAATTTTATACAGTTAATGGGCTTATTTGTACACAAAGCGCATTCAAATCACTTTGTTATTTTGAATAAGTCCCTTTGATGCCTTTGAATCAGATCCTCTGTATTCGTCAAGAGATCGCAATCATCAAAGTAAAGTGGTGCAGTTCAAGTGCGTGCCAAGGGGACCCCCTATTTCCAAATAATCTAACCATTAATTCATATATTCTCCATTTTAACATATATTTGATGCAGTCTAGCTTTGAAATTACCGGAATAATGTTAATTTCGGGTCTTGTTTATCATTGTATATTTTGGCACTATAGTAACTTCTGATTGTTGGCCTTCTTGAAAAGCACATAATGGTTGCTCATCTTCCATGTAAGGTCTAAGATACGGAGCTAAAACAGGTCATTAAATAAAAATATCCTAATTTACTATACTCCAGAGAGTAAAATTTAGGTTGTGAAAGCGTAGGACTGCTGTTATCGCAGTCTAAGTTGCGTTTGTATTTGATAAGTCGAACACGTTTGATACAGGTTTTCTACATTTTATTATAAAGTCCATTAGTTAGATTTATTCTATATAATGTAAAAATAGCCATATAAATGCCCCTATCGTCTCCTAAGGGTATCATAAACTTACTTCCGCAAGTTCTCCCTTATCAACCACAATCCAGGTTAGCGTGTTGAAGATTTGTAGATGACCTGACGCGAAATGAACCAACTCAGGAACGTACATAAGTTGGATAGTCTCAATTGTATTGTTTCTTTATTGTTTGCAGTAATAGTTAAATAGTGTAAATATATCGGCCTGGTAAGGACCGAATATGGAAGTTTTGCACCCAAATACTTGTATCACAAAATGAATAGAATATTCTATACGGATCATGCAGATGTCACCAATACGCTTTACTCCATATGGGCTGCTACCTGCCCTACAGAGATGGTGTCCAAGTACATGTCAAAGTTTCAGCTTCGAATAAGCTTATATCGATTTAATGTAAAGCCAAATAACACGTGGAAGATCGGCTTAGATACCGGAGTGCAACACTGGCTTTGGCTAGACCTACCTTTCTTTTGGAAACGACTTCATACGTATGGAAGATAACTTATAACACCAGGTAATGAACATGGGCTTATGCTAAAAGTTAAAGTAGCTGAGGACCCATGACGATGCCCAAAAGTAGAATTGATTGCATCTTCAAGAAGACCAGAAGAACGAAATGTCATATGTCAGGTACCACTACCCTAGATGGTTCTTCCCTATATTAGATGATATATTGACCTTCTTTTCCAGATCTCTTAATTTCTCTATGTAGGTCTATCATACATTAAACCAAGGAATTTAATATTTGTTCTTTTATTTCTTGTGCCACAGTCAACAGGCGAAGCAGCATTACCAAACCAAGTCAAGACCCATTCTATTATTGTCCTAATAATGTGAAAGACTAGTGATATTATCAACTAGAGGGAGACCAAGTTCTTGATGTCTTTGTATTTCCAGCTGAAGTTGAAAATCATGGATGCTCAAGATTAGTAGTGAAGATGGGAAGATCAACATGTTTCATTGCTACAGTGATGAAACTTCCAAATGCAAAGAGTGATAGGTTAATTTCTTATCAAACAGCCGAAGACTCCGCTTCGATTGATTGTGCTCCACTGTACGCTTTTAGAGAAGGTAGTAGCAAAGCAACAATTAACATGAATCCCGAACTCTTAGTTGTCAACACTATGCTTGCAAAGGGATACTTCTTTGTTACTCCAGACTGAAGGGATGAACGCTGCCTTTGCAGCTGGGATCAAATCCGGTAGACATACTTTAGATGGTGTAAGGGCTGCTATAAAGTCAGGAAACTTCACCGGTCTTAATGAAAACCCAGATACTGTTTTGTGGGGTTGCAGTGGAGGATCTGTGCCTACTGGGTGGGCTGCTGCACACTAACCCCCCTACGCTCACGAATTACGCTCCCGAACTAAAATTAATCTTACGTTGTGCTTGCTTCGGAGGATGGGTTACTAACTTACCAAGTTTGTTGCATCTTGACGGAACACTTTATGCTGGGGTTTTGGTTACTGGTTTAGCAGTTTAGCAGCTGAATATCCGAAATTTACCAGACCGTTTATCAACATCTTAAAACCCTGAAAATAGATGATTTCCAGAATGCTTATAAGCATTCTCTGCTTTCGCTACTTCTTAGATACGTTGCTACCAAAGTGTTGATGGGGTTTAGACATTGAACCCAAAATGAAGGATACGATGTCCTTTATGATGCTGGTGTTACTAAAGTGTTGAAAAAGTTAACTTTCCAAAACTGTGAAGAGTCTCTTCCTGATTTTCCTTTGTAATTATATCACGGTCATAAAAATGACGTTATTTCCTTTCGATGATGCTCAAGCTGTGTAACAAGATTGGTGTGATAGAGGAGGAGAGCCTTTTGAGTTCACTGTTTCCAACTCTACAGGGCATGTTAAAGAGAATATTATGGAAGCTCCAGCTGTTGTGAAATGGATTAATAAAATTATCAATGGCGGCGCCCCAATTAAGGGTTGTCCAAAGACTTTAAGGTAAAAAAATGTGAATTTTCCTGCTACTGAAAAGGCCCCTATCACCACTACTTACAATAAGACGTTACACCAATCTTTGATCAAATAAAGAAGTTTTCCCTCTACTCGCATGCATTATCACCGTCAAATTTCTATCTTAACTTTTATACCCCTCTCTATTTTTGTTTAAGCTCGTAATTGCTGAAATTAAATACAAAACTGTTTCTTCTGACATTAGAACTAAATTGCCAATAATTGATAACAAATGCATTCATTTAATTGCAAACTTCACATCAGTATCACATTATGATGTCACGTGATAAATTGCTGATTTATATGGTAGGGTGCCACCAGAGAATGCAGCCATCTTGCACTCATATTCGGAAGAACGTTATTCCAGGGTTGGCATTTAGTTCTTTCGTGTCGGCAACTTCTCCCTTATATCCATCTTCAGAATGTGTGTGTAGGTGTGTCCTAAGATTGTAGTAGTGCATTTTATTAGTGTTCCCAGACACCAAATAGAGTAATTCGCGTCCTCTTCTTTGTGAAAGTTAGTGTTAGGGTATTCTTGTGGTGATAAAAGCATAAGGTTATAATTAGAGAGCAAATCTTGTCCACAGACTCATAGCTTTAGTTCTGTCTTGTTAACATGAACACTACGGAACAGGACAAAAGATCCAAACATAAAGATAAGGGACTGACTTATAAACAAGGTCCTATATACAATGAAGACAGTATTCCTTATGATTATATAGTGATAATTGATGCTGGATCTAGTGGATCAAGAGTCTATGTATATAACTGGTTGAATCCTTTAGTTGGGTTGGAGAAGGGTATAGATTTCAGAAAGCTTGGCGGAGGGCTGATCCGACTTGTCAAAAGATTTCACTTGGATCATAGGGAGTTGGAAGAAAGAACTGCCGAAGATAAGGATGTGCCGGAAAGGGAACGTAAAACAACTACTGAAGTTCTGTCTAAAGAGGATAAACAACACGGGAAGGATAAAGGAAATAAAGTAGACACTGATGATAAAGAAGAATCAGAAGATGACACAGATATCGAAGATGATCAGGTTGATACCGAGGAACATAGCAATTATGGTGATTTAGACGCAAATAATGATCACAAACAAGTTGACTCGGATGGCAAGAAGGGGGTTTCCACGAAGAAACCAAGCAAAAGTAAACCGAAGAAAGGACTGAATGCCAGGCTACCTGTTGTTAAGAATGGAAAGAAATGGCATAAAAAAATTAGACCCGGTATTTCATCGTTCAATGCATCTCCAAGGAAAATTGGTAATCATCATATAAAAGGGTTACTTACAATGGCTGCCTCGATTGTTCCTAAATCTCAGCATTACAGAACCCCTATTTTCCTTCATTCAACAGCTGGTATGCGGTTGCTTAACCCTACTGAGCAACAAACTATCTTGGACACTATTTGTGAGTATCTCCAAAGTAATTCAGACTTTTTTGTCCCAGAATGTTCATCCCATATAAACGTCATTACTGGGGATGTTGAAGGGATATACGGCTGGCTTTCGATCAATTCACTAATTGGTTCTTTTGATACTCCAGAACAGCACAATCATGGAAAGAATCATACAACGTATGGATTATTGGATATGGGAGGAGCTTCGACTCAGGTTGTTTTCTCTCCTAATTCAACAGAAATTGAAGAGCATCAAAATAATCTTTACAAGATTAAATTGTCCAATGTTCCAACACTTTTGAATGCTAATGCCACTTATTCCCCACCAGATCCTTTAGAGTTTGATTTATATTCTGATTCCTTTTTAGGATTCGGAATGTTTCAAGCACACAATCGTTACTTATCTTTCTTGGTTGATAAGTATCGTAAAGAACATAACCTTGGACCTGAAGATAAGTATTACAACACTATAGGGGCTCCAGTCCCTGATCCTTGCTTACCTCGGGGTTATGTTTCCTCTGAAGTGATTAACGATTATAAGGTTGATTTTACAGGTGAATCGGACTTTAAAGAATGTTTAAACAACATATTCCCTGTTCTTTCCAACTCTACTTACAGTGGGACTGATAGATGTAAGCAAATTGACGAACCTGAAGTTAGTTCTTGTTTGTTGAATGATTTAATCCCAGCTTTTGATTTCGACATTAATCATTTCTTTGGAGTCAGTGGTTATTGGGATGCCATCAACAGCTTGTTAGCTTATGATGAAAAACTAGGCAAGCGGAAGAAGAAGAAGAAAAATAAGGGCAAAGAAAAGGAGAAGGAAAATGAAGAATCTTCGGATCCGAAGGATGGTGAAGCCAGTACTTATGATTACAAAGTCATCTACGATAAGACTTCAAAGTTATGTGCTCAATCATGGAGTAAACTTCTTGAAATGAATAACAAAAAGAAAGAGAAATCTCAATTGGACCAAGATGAACTATCTGAGCTATGTTTCAAGGCTTCTTGGATTCTTAACTTTTTACATGTTGGATTAGGATTCCCTCGATTTGGTATTGACGAAGCTACTTCCCATGAAAAGCAAAAGTTTCAAAACTTACAATTAGTTGAATCACTTGGAGGATCCCAATTTTCATGGACATTAGGTCGGGCTATTCTTTATGCCAACGACGAATACGTGCAAGCTTTCAACAATTATACCCTTGCTCATACCACTGAGATGAATGACAAGTCTAGTGATATTACTCCTGTTAGAAGACCTGGATTTTATCACTCAGCTTCTTCAAGTGTTTACCGTTATGGTGCTGAACAGCAAAATGTTGTTAACCGTCCAGCATTTGTTACACCTGACCCCCAGGCAAAGTATAAGTACTATGATTACGAAAAGGGTGCATTGGGTAACGATAGCGAGCTGAAATGGTACATTGAACCACATAGATGGTACGGCATCTTCATACTTTCTTTCATGATGATGTTCATATTTTGGTTAATGCTAGGGAAATCTGGCCGCAATAGACTTCGGGAGAAAACTAGTCGTTTCACTGGTAAAGTTTTATTCAAATTCAATCAAATTGTTGGTGCCATAACTAACAAGACATTTTCTGAAGAAATGCCATATTATCCTGTGGCTAATTCTAGTAATCAATTTGTTGTGGAGGAAGACTTGGAAGAAGGCTTGGAATTAGCCACTATTACCAAAAATGGTAACAGTTCCACCGATTCCCAATTCACCATTAATAGTGCGTGAGTTTCTTGAGCCACACATCATTAGAAGAATCTCACTGACTTAGTGTAAATTTGAATTTCAAATAATGTGATAAAATATAACGTCTTGTATTACAGTATAATGGGTTTGACTCTATAAGATTCCCATTACCTTTTTACTGCGATTGTAATAAAATGGCGTTTGTACTCGCTGACATATTTGGGGCTCTAAAAAAGGCTCTACTGGGATGAAGCTTACTCTTAAGTTAATGCACGTGATTGTTCATCCACACTGACCTCTTTATGTGGTTTAGGAACAAAAGTACTTGAAGCCACATTTTCCTATTTGTCTGAGGATAAGATAACGACCTTACCGTCTCCATAACATAACCATCGTTGCTGGTAGCGCAATCATGTGGTTTGAGCCACAACTAGAGATATTTGCAACCACAGACATACGTGATCTGATCCACATTTTCATCAGGGTCGCTTCCTTAAAAGACATATAAATATTAGTTGATTTATACCCTTGATACTAATTTAATTGAGCGCTGCAGCCCACTTGAAACATGACTAAATTTAACATCAAATCTGTTGCCATCATTGGTGCTGGACCAGCTGGCATTGCTTCGTTATACGAATTCTTACATACCAATAAAGATGGAACCTCAACTGTGGGCAAGGAGGTTGCTGAAAATCCATTATTTGACAAGATAGTCGTATTCGAGCAAAAGAGCCAAGCTGGTGGAATCTGGACACCCGATATCGGTACAAAGAGTTTGAGGGTTCCTCCACAATCAATGTTTGATACTGAACAATATAACAATCCAGATGTAATTCACAAATCAGAACCCAAACCGGAAGGAGTATTAGCTGCCACAGTGGAAAATCCTATTCTGGTAAAGGTGAATCCAAAGGATGATACACATTTGGATTGGCAAGAAACTGGAGTATATCCTGATTTGTTCACTAATATTCCCAGTAGATTTGTTCGGTTTTCGTATCAACCAAATGAAGAAAAGTACCAAGACCCTTCAAGAACTATATACCCGTTTTTGTCGCATCACGAATTGACCAGCAGATTCTCTTCATTTGTAGAGAAGGAACAATTGGAGAAATATATTAGATTTAAAACAAGAATTGAAGAAGTTTACAAGGATGAAAATAACAAATGGGTTATCACTGCTAATCATGACAAGGAGACCGTTCATGAATGGTATGCCGAAGAATTTGATGCTGTGGTTGTTGCTAATGGTCACTACACTGTGCCATTTATTCCACATATTCCTGGGTTAGCTGAATATTCCAGAAAGAACCCTGAAGTAGTCATTCATGCTAAAGCTTACAAAAACGTTGATGAGTTTAATGGAAAGTCCGTCTTGAATGTTGGGGGTTCGATAAGTACTGAAAACTTGATTCAATATATCTACCCTGTTGCTAGAAGATTATCTGTTTCCCGTAGAGGTGATCATAAGGTTTTTCCATTTATCAATGAAGCCATCGTGTCTGAAGGAATAGTGGGAAAACCACCAATAGAACGTATTGATCCTGAGACAGGTATTGTTTACTTTACTGATGGTTCTCTGGAAGGTGACTTTGATAAGATTTTGTTTACCACTGGATACCACTATCATTATCCATTTTTGAAAAAGTTAATTGAAGTCGTGGCTCCCTCTAACGCTAGTAGGGTTAGTGGTTTATATTGGGATATTTTTGCAATTGAAGATCCAACATTAGCAGCTGTAGGAGTCCCAGTTACTGGGTTAAAATTCACATCTATTGAAGCAGAAGCTGCTGCTGTGGCAGGTATATGGAGTAACTCCAAGGATTTACCGTCTAAAGAAGAGCAAAGACAATGGGAACAGAAATATGTGGCTTCCAGACCCCACAATATTGATTATCACTACTATGCACCGGATGAAGTGCAAGAAAAGTACATTGATAAGGTTATTGACCAGTTTGCTTCTCCTTCAAGATATAACCCATTAATCGAAGATGGAAAGCACATTGACGATATCTTCTTAGGAGTAGCAAATTTGGAGAAGTTATTCTATAAGTTGAAGAACAATGAGTTGTCCATTAAAGATACGTTGTATAGAGATTAGCACCATATGCTTTAAATTGATATAGTTTTTTGAATAGAATTATTGCACAGTGGGTGCAAAAGAATAAATGGTTCCATCTTGGTCGTGCAGCAAGTAGTTTCTTGATATTGGGTGGTTGAGTCTCATGGGCTGGCAAACCAAATAATAAGTAAGAACAGTACACCCTGAATAATTCATGCTACTGAAAAGTATCAAAGTTACGTAGAACTCTTAGGCATTGAATGCCATTTGTATTTCCCTCTTTCCACTCTAAACATAGTCAACACCATATTTTATCATCTTCTTCCATGAGAGCATATATACCTTTCTTTTGTTGAGGCTACGACCTATCATTTTATGCCCACTAGCACTTCTGAACGCTTAAATTCATATCCCAATACATAGAACTTGGATATAAGTGCAATCTCCAGTACATATACTTTTCTGTATGGCGTTATATGAATTGACATCTTTTTCTCGCACTAGTATATGGTAGGAACACGACCACAAACCCCAGATAACTCTCCATATTTAACGTTTGTTAAGGGGCAAGTGACATTAACATCAGCACTATGGTCCGTGCCCTAATACATTAACATAATATCGTGATGACCGAACCTACGTTAAATTTCCAGATTAAAGCTCGCCAGACTCAGTTCCGGATTCCTACGGAACTACGAAAGAAGAATTTCAAGCATGTCCAAAAGTTAATCGAGAAACAGAAGCGACAGACTATGGAGGATATTAAGAAATTAGAAAAGAATAGTCTGATGCCTACAAGTATGAAGCTTGAAATGGTAAGAAAGTGTATCAAATCATTTGAACAGTATCAAGTCAAATTAAAACAAGCCATTAAGAAAGACGAGGAATACTGTGATCGTTTGAATGCAAGAGTCGATAACCTAGTTGAGGTTAGTAATTACACTTTAGACGGACTGTCCCATGGAGCAGAAAGTAACGATGATTCTCTGAAATTGGAGGCCGTTGGAACTGAGGATCAAATTTTAGATTTCAGAAACCCAAGCTTGATCAGTTGGTTTAGAAATGAAGCTGATTTATTAATAGCAGACTATTTGATTAAGACAGCTAAAAATCCAAAAGAAAATATTGGCTTGGCTTTCTTGAATAGACTCAAGAGCACTACGTTCCCTCAAATCGATAAGCTTATAGACTTTGACTTGTTCGAGCAGTTAAACAAGGTGTATGTCTCAATTGTGCGGGATCATGATCTAACGTTAGTGGTTAATTGGTTCAATGACAATAGAACTCTGTTGAAGAAGATTAATTCAAATTTAGAATTTGAAATCAATTATTGCAAATTTTTATCCCTAGTTGAATCAAAACAACTTCATGAAGCAGTCAAGTTTTCAGAGGTTAATTTATCTCCATATGGAATCAAAGCAAATTATCAGATTTCAGATTTACAAAATTATGAAAATAATTTAGCCAAATTGAAAGAGAATGGTGGACTTTTATTATTTTTGGCAGTGGAGCAAAACTCTAATTCTAAATTGAAATACTCTCATCTTTGTCTTAATGAAAATCAAAGATTTCAAGAATATAGAAAAGTGTTTTCTAAGGAAAGATGGGAAAGTTTGTCTCGTTGCTTCGTAGACAACTTCACCACGATGTATGGTATTCCCAAAAATTATCCCTTGTTTATCTATTTATCTGCTGGCCTAGCAAGTTTGAAAACAAAATCGTGTTACCGTAATCATGCCAATAGTATATTTAATCAAAATGTTGTTTCAGATCAAGCAGTTACAGACAGAACTTATTACCTGGCACGGGGACCGAACAACTACTATAAGTTATTGGAGAAAGTCAACGAATGCCCAGTTTGTTCACCGGAATTATATCAGTTGAGTAACAACTTGCCTTATGCTCAATTGATAACCAGTGTCTTCAATGAACCATATGTTTTACCAAACAACAACATTTATCCCTTTGAAAAATTGTCGAAATTGGCAGCTGCAGAATCTTTACTTCATACTGGACAAATACGTGATCCCTTAACTTTGGAACAGTTTTATGTTGAGCAATGTTTCAGAGTGTATCCAGCTTAAGTCTGTTCTGTTCATTTTGGGTCTTAGGTTATATCATTGGTGGGGTATTAATTAATATACATTTCTATATTCTTAATCATCGGAATCTGAGTCAGAATCAGTTTTAGATTTCTTTTGCTTTTTAGGAGCCACAAACTTTTCAAGTATATAGATTCTAGCATTCCTTTCTGCTGCTGGTTTGGTTGTATCTCGCACCCCATTAGTTCTTCTGTGGTGATAGCCAGGGAAAAGAGACCAGTCGAAAACACCACTTCTTTCTACCTTATATCCTTCACTTCTGGCAATCATCTTAACACCCCAAGAATTGTAGGGTTCTCCCTCGAACAAAGTGAAGATGATTTTGGAGTTGTTCGATTGACTCGCATCGTAGCCTCCAAAGTCATTCTTGGTTTGATTGTTGATCAACCTGAACACTTGTTTGGAGCTCCTAAAGAAGTCCAACATTAGTTTTTGATGATCTCTTATGTTTCTATCTACATCTTTCATTCCACGTCCAGTATGAGGGAAGTTAAACATGATTGAAGTTAAGTGCTTATTACCTGTAAAGAGTTTCATGGGCGATGACTTCCTTGCTAAATTCAAAGTTTCTACTAACTTGGTAGCATCTATGTTGTATAATACTTTGACATTATCGTTTTCTAGCACCTCCAAGTTCTCTTCAACTTGAGGGTATTTGGACTTCAATTCCTCAAGAGAATCATAACTAGTAGCCACCAAGTTTTCAGGACTAATAAGTCCTTCAGCAACAATTGATCTGGCAAATGAAAAGTCACCTTCTCCTACTAGAAGTAACGTGCTATCAGTGTCAAAGGGTATAAGCCCTTTTTTGGGTGTGGTGCTCTGTTGCTGCTTGTGATTCACTTTGGGTTTCAATTTATTAGTTAAGCTAGTTTCCATCTTGGGTTTGGTCTTTTCAAGCATTGCCTGACGAGCTAAAGCTCCCCTTAGCCCCTTGCCACCACCAAGTTTCCCCTTTAGCTTCCTTCCCATAGCTAACTAATATACTGGTGACTAAATGGTAGTACATTAAATATGCGATGCCCAACGGACTTTTTCAAGTCATCGATCAAAGGGGTGCGCACGGTACTATAATTACTATCAAATGTTGTATGAAACTCTAAACTAAACTATTCAACTCAAAGATGAGCTTGGCTTTCAGCAATTAACGCGTTGTCTGAGTTTTGTTCACTCAAGTTTTCAGCAATATCGCTAGAAGCTACTTCATCTTCGTCTTCTTCTGCTTCAAGATCTTCGTAAGAACCAGACTTTACATCATGACCCTCATGCTCGTCCTCGTTTTCTTCATCGTCATCTTCATCTTCGTCGTCCTCTTCATCTTCGTCTTCATCGGAGCTTTCTATCTCACCGTTAGGCCTGATAGCTTGAGGCTCATCTTGTTCATCTTCCTCATCTTCCTCATCTTCAACATCTATCAACTCTTCCTTGAACCCATCATCGTACTCGTAAAAGAGCATAAAGACACCTTGACAATTCACAACTTCACGCTCGGTCACAACATACACAGACTCATCACTGATTCTCCACCACGTTCCTCTAAATTTTCTGTAACAAATATAGTGTCCATAATTATGCGTTCCATAATGTGATATCACGGCCTTTAAATTGTATAGCAACAGAGGATTATAAGTTTCTCCATCTTCAATATCTTCATTGGTACTTGAAGAAGCGGGAGAATCTACAAGCAGTTGATTATCCGTTTCATCAATCTCCATAGATTCATGCTGCGATATGTTGTCGCTGAAATGAGTTCCCTTTTCGCTGATTATAGAACCGGATAAATTCCCATTCTTCATGTCTTGCTTACGGAATGGTAGTCTGGCATCCATATTGATATCGCTTGGCTCGGCCACATATTTGGAGAGGTTCAAGACACTAGGAAATGATATGTTGGAAGAGTTCTTCATCATTCTCATGGTTTGAGGGTCAAAAACAGATCTGTTGATATGAATTGACAATAATGCTGGTGGTCGACTTAAAAGGATTTGCTTGTGCTTTCGTGTCTTCTTAATCATATTTTTAGTTGCAAGTTTCTCAAAGGCTTCATCTTCGATATGGGGTAACTTCAACTCCGTTTCAATAGCAGCAAGTTTACTCTTCAACTTTTCAGTGAAAAAATCATTATCATTATTCTTTTCAATGCTCTCTTCAAGGAATTGCTTCGTTTGAATTAAACCACATCTGTTACAATTGACATCATCTATGATTTCTGGTGTAGACCAATCGTCTAATAATCCATTCAAGGTGTAATTGGTGTATCCTGAATAATAAGAACCACCATTGCTTCCTAGAGGAAAGTTCAACGAAAGACCACTGTTAACAGAGTAACGAATACCACCAACTTCACCACAATTAACACAACCAATACGTTCGGCACATACACCATCAGCAGGGGTTACCAAATTCAACGGCATTGCTTTACGATCCGATTCCAGTAAGTTAGGATCTACTTGAAATGCTGGAACGTATACATTTCCCAAATGACCCAACTGATCGCATCCTGAGATGTATTCATGCTGGTTTAAATTGTCAATGCTAACAAATTTGGAGCCCTTCTCTTTTGATGATGACTTATTGAGAGACTTGGCTTCATCAAACTTTTTGAACTCACTTTCAACTAAACCCATTACTAATTGGTAAAACTCTTGGGCATCTTCTTGATTATAGCCCAAAAAAAAGTTTTGCTTAGGACCATTGGGCATTTTATTGAGTAATTGCTTAGTACTGAATTCTCTTCCTCTAGCACCATAGGCACCATTAACATTAGTTAACAATTGCTTCAAAGCAAAAGAAAATGTAAAACTGTTTGCCTTCAACACTTCACCACTATCATTTTCATTCGTGTACAAATAAGAATCTATGAATTTAATCAATTCACGAGATGATGCCAATGATTGAATAACACTATTCATAAAGCAGGTGTTTCCCTCATTTGAAATACCACCAACTTCACCACCATTTTGCATAGCAAATTTCTCTTCCTTTGACACACGTCTATTATAACCACCTCTGCCACCACCTAAGTTCGACCCATAACCATTGAATCTTGAAAATTTCGAACTCATGAATAATATAAGGCTATTCAACTGTTCAGAAAGATATGTGAAGTTACCCTTGAATACAAAGAAAACAACAAATGCAGCAACAGCAGATGTAGAAACGAGGGCTGTAGAATTTATTAATCGATTTTGAAAATGGCTACTGGAGACGAACTTATTCCACTTTTCTAAAAGAATTTGAGTTAACGACGACACTTTGAAAGCGAATCCAACAATGAAGAATAATAATACCAAATAATAATGATTTGCCTTCTTGAGATTTATACCGTTGACGATTTCTCCTCCAAACATAAAACTTTGTTCAAATATAAAACAAAGATACCTCGTAGTATGACCACCTTCGGTTTAGCAAGTCTACTCAAAGGATATCCCAAAATCTCAAAATAAAGTCTAGGTCGAAGTATGAAAAGATTTGGTGTTTGTCTTTTATCCAGACACAAGTAAGGGCAATCTAAAGTACTTGGCTGATGTCGGCTTTGATGACTTGTGAAGTCTTTGGAAGTTATAGTCCGTATTTTTTTTTTGTATGTCAAATGTCATTGACAATTTCTTACACAAAGCGGTGAGTTGATTCCGGTTGCGCAAGGTAAGCTAAGGTAAATAATAGCTATAAAGAAACAAATTGGATTAAAAAAATGAAGACTATTTATATACTACATTAATAGACATATAAAAGGTGAGTTCTGCTAGAGTATTGAAACGTTGTCTCGACAGAGAACGCATAAATGCACTCTTGAAGCACAGTTAGTTTTTGTTTAAACCTACCAACAAATTATAATATTAGGGTGCCCTTTAACTGATCAGGAATTCACATGGTTTTACTTATCTTCCTTGACCATACATAGGAGGGGGTGGGACACCTCTACCGAAATTTTGGTATTGGTTTCCCATTTGAGGTCTATCTTTACCCCAGCCACATTTCAAAGGTCTACCATTAACTTGTAAACCGGCCAATTGAACTATGGCTAAAGCAGCTCTTTCGTGAGAATCATACTTAACGAATGCACAACCCTTTTCCGGGTGAAACTTGAAATCAACTATGAATCCGAAATTTTGCAAAAGTGGTATCAAATCATTCTGTTGTGTGTAGTGCGATATGTTCCCCAAGTAAACTGTTGTTTGCCAGGATGGGGTTTGTCTCAAAATGATGTCGTAAGATTGGGCTGACATTACAGGAATGTTGCCATTATTATTATTGATATTGTTGGGTTGTTGATTCACATTGTTGTTAATCCCATTGGTGGAATTTCCATTTCCGTTCATATTGCCAACACCAGAAAGTTGTTGCATTTGGTTACCTATGGAATTCGGTTGCACTTGTTGATTCCCTGGAACATAAGCATCAGGTGAAGGACCCCCAAAAGTCGACATTCCCATTTGAGTTTGTTGCAAATGATGGGGCATGAAGCTAGGTTGGCCGGGTAATGCATTACCAGCATGGTGAATGTGATTGCTATTGAATTGTCTGAACCTGTTAGTATTATTTTGACGATGACCATTATTTCTGAAGTTATTAATCTGATTCTGGTTGGAAGATTGCTTGTGGGATGCCCAATTACATCTGATGGCTCTACCATTAAGTTGCTCTCCATTCATGGTTTGTAAAGCCAATTCTGCATCCTGATGAGATCCAAACACAACAAACCCGTAGCCTCTTGATCGAGAAGTTTGCATATCCCACATAACATGAGCTTTCTTCACGGAAGGAAACTTCTTGAAAAAGTTGAACAACGTTTCATCATCAATATCAGGAGATAAATCCCCTACAAAAACATTAAAAGTTTCTTCATTAGCGTTTGTATTGGATGTATTTTGAAATGCCCAATTAATATTAATCTCAAAATTGTTGATAGTTTTACCATTCATGGCATGCAATGATGCATCAGCAGCAGCTGGAGTTTCAAACTTAATAAAAGCATAATTGAACCCCGGTTTATTCTTGTCATTCAAGATTCTTATGCTGGGAGCTGGTCCGTTGATTTGAAACAATTCTGCCAACATGTCCTCAGTGACAGATTTGTGCAAGCCGCCAACGTATAAGGTTTCATTACTGACTTCACGACCCCCATCGGTTGCGCTAGCTGGTACTGGATCAGGTGTAACAGAGGAGCCAGGTTGTTGCTGTTGCTGTTGCTGTTGCTGCGGTTGTTGTTGTTGTTGTTGTTGTTGTTGTTGTTGTTGTTGATCTGGGACATTATCTTCTGTAGGAGACGAAACGGATGGATCGACGGACGATTGGGGAATTTCGGTGTCCTCAGTTACGACTGAAGCCGGGGATGTCTCGAGAGGTTCAGACATCTATGATATTCAGGATATTATATAAAGCAGTAAATGGCTGGGTAAAGGAACACACAGCACAACTTAGTAAAGAGAAAGTATAGAACGAGTTAAGATAAAAAAACAAAATAGCAAAACCTCAAGTGAAGTATGGAAGACCGGCCTCTGTTGTGTAATGTTATTGCTTTATACTGCAGAATATTACTGTGTGCTATACCAGGATGGTGTCTAAACTGAAGTAGCGATAAAGAATGCTGGAAGCAATCGTTGGCTAGTAACAAATGTCAGGTTTAGAAAAAAACAAGTGGACAAGAAACACGTCCAATTGAAAATTTTATACCGTCTCAAAACAACCGGTCCTCTACACGAGCAGATAAATTAATCGATTCAGCCGGATTTTTTGTTGTGAAAAGATGCCATTGTTTGCGGAGCCCAAGCCCAAACGATCGCTTTGTTTAAGGTCTGTAACTAATTAAGAGGAATTTACATAAAGGGATATATGAAGCTTCACTCTCTGTGTGGTTTGTTTTAGTGTGTCTTGATTTGGTGGGATATATAACCCAATTAGAAAATGCACCGCGAGAAGAGCCGCACCCTTAAAGATAGTGGACAGATTCGATCCAGTAGGCTACAACATAATTGTATTGTGTGAAGAACGGGACCCAGTATAGCCCATAGTGAGCGTATACACCTTTACTTCGTGAGAGACAAGTGGTACACATTGAGTCTTCGGGTATTTTGATAATTACTCTTTCTATCAGCGATTACTTGATGGAAAAGGATCTCATATATTTGAGAGTGGAAAATGGGTCTCAAGTCAAGCAGCTTAAGCTACAACTAGAGCATTTGAAGTTGTTTAACAAACAATGTAAAATCCAGAAGCAAGGCTCGCATTTCTTAGTATACACTTTGACTGGTTCTCTTGATGACCTCATATCAATATCAGTGCCATATCTTGACACCGGCTATTACCATCAAGTACATAAGGACTCGTCCGACTTAAAAAATACAATATTGGAGTTTTATAACGTTGCCACTATGTCACCCAGCCCTAATGAAACACTTCTATCCCAGGTCCCTAAGAAATGGTCATTGTACCCTCCGATGCTTTTGTTGCAAACAGGCACTTTTGATACCATTGAATGGGAAGATGAATTTGCAAAACTAGATTCAGTTTTGAAGAATAAATTCTGGCAATACTTGCTATCTAAGAACTTCCCAGGAATAACTCATGTTGCAATAAACAAGCCTATCATTGAATCCGATATTCAACGTCGACCATTTAATATATTTCCCTTGTACGGGGATTTTGGTCCTCAGGTCCCCTTCGAGTCTGAGCCTACGGCCAATGACTTACAGCAAGCATTCTGGTGTACGGTGGTCCAGAACGGTATTCATCAAACGTGGGCTCCAAAATATACTATGTTTAGTAGAGGAAATATTAAAGAAAAGAAAAGACTTTTAGATAGTTATAAGGATTTAAATGGCCAAACGGTGTTGGACTTATACGCTGGGATCGGATATTTTACGCTTTCATATTTGAAGAACGGAGCTACAGTTTTCTGTTGGGAGTTAAACCCATGGTCAGTAGAGGCATTAGTACGTGGATGCAATAAAAACAAGTTTGGCGTTCGAGTTATAGCGAAAGATGAAATATTCTCCAAAAAGGTTTACAATGAGCTGGTTAAAAATGGTGTAAAGGCATTTATATTCAACGAGAGTAACGAGACTGCTATTTCAAGGATGAATCAACTAGGAGAGCATGTTCCTCTATCCCACGTCAATCTTGGTCTTCTACCTTCTTCCAAACCCAGTTGGCCCTTGGTAGTTGATTTAATTCACAACCATTCTACTAAAAGGAAAACTTTGGTTCATATTCATGAAAATTGCCATATCCAAGAGTTTGAGAAGTTAAAGGTGGAGATAGAGAATTATTTCGCAACAAGTCAATTTATTCATTTGGAGCAAGTCAAGACTTTTGCTCCGGATATTTGGCATGTTGTTATAGATATAGAGGTGGGTAAGTAGTATGATTCAACATAATGTATTCGTTTTAGATAGTTTGTACTTTGAATTTACCATGTAATGCCATGATTAATCTAGCCTCATCATGATTTACGGAGGAGTAATCACTTTGATTGCAAAATGTCTCTACAAAAAAGCTGTCGGATTCAAAGCTTGTTACCTTACTAAATCAGATACAACAAGAAGCTCATAATCTTTTTAGGATTTCCCATGGCAATAACCGAAACCAAACACTCCCAAGTGTAGCTACAAGGAAAAGCCATTCGAAATACCGTTGAAGAAGCCTCCCACACAATAATAGTGTCGCATATTTCTCTCGTTGTGTCGCATATTTCTCTCGTTGTGTCGCGACACACTACTCTCTCCAAAAGGTGTTTCCCATATGGCAATTCAAAGTTTACAGGACACGGAGGGGCTGTGCGGACAAATTTGTAGATGACTGACAGATTCATTGCTCTACACAAGAATGAGCAATTAGGATTCTTTTCTGCCGAAAAACGCACTAGCGAGCTACGGCACTACTATGCACATGCTGACAATACAATATGCGTAAACTACTTCCATGAAGCAAAAAAATGTACGGATCGGTCGCCGTTGTTTTGTTAGATACTATCAAAGTTCATGCTTGCACAGCCCCATGGCGACCACAGGCGGGTGTATAAATAAATTTAGGCTTAGAAGTATCTTTCGCATGGGCCCGTGAACTTCAAACAAGCTAGACTTTTGGCAATCTATCAATAGCTCCGGTCGTAGAATTATCTTGAACAGTATTGTACAACTTGAGAACTACAATGTGACATCATAGAAAGGTAAAGTTCATATTTTTCCCCTGGAATGAATGATAGATTGTTCAAAGATAAATGCCAAAGACACATAAATAATAATACGAAAGTGATACTGGTTAGAAACAATGCCTTTTTTCTTTTTGGAAATAAAACCACAATTATAGTCAAAATCGAGTTGTTGATTAGAAATGTCTGAAATTCGTTATTTCACCATCTGTCTGATTGAACACACTTTCCCTTTGAAAGCATATGCTTCTTTTCAAATGCAAGGGTGTGAGTGGATCAACTTCAATATTCTTGGCCTTTCTATGGGCTGTTGTACTTCTACCCTGTCAGTAGTTTGTCAGCTTAGTCATGCCCAGTAACTCTGTAGTCTCTTACTCCACAAAAGATTATGCACATCAGTGTCTTGAGTTAGATACACAATTTTCCTACACTACTCCCCATCAAACCATGTCATTTTCAGCAACACAAAACCATGGGCTTGCACGTACTGCAGGTTCTTTTTAAACCATACTTGATAAAAATCCTATAGTCCCACCAACTTTAAAGGTTAGCTTTTGAACTTAAGTAATAAAAGTTAAACCCACTATTCATATCCAGCCTACGTGGTGATTGTTGTGGTTAAATCGTGTTTCCACATAATCCAGTGTCTGGTTCTTATATTTGTCTCTGCATATATTCGTGGTTTTTATTTATCATTTATTTACGTACCCTCATCGTATTTACATTCAACTATTCTATCAGTTGGTTGCTGCTGCTTTTTGACTACCACAGGCTTATAATAATATTGTTGACTGCACTTTGAACGTTTTGTGTGGTTGTGCCAAGTATATCTTGTTTATTTATTCCTAGTGGCTTTCTGCTGTTATACCCTTCCGTTCCGAACGACCGTCAAAATTCACTCCATCATCAGGTGTACTTAAATGTCTGTTCCCTATAACCAAAAAGACGACAGTAATGGCGTTTACGATATGGTCAATTTATCACCGCCACCCGCATTGCCGAATACCGCACATCAATTGACCTCTGTCCATGCTCAAGGACGCATGAGTCAATCACAGGGAGCATATGGCTTTCTCAATGGCACTGAATCACTTGGAGATCCAGATTCATCTGCTTCTGCGGGGCAAGTCCTAATGAATGACACATTAAACGCTAACTATATGCCAGCTCCCAATAATTCTACTAAGTTAAACCATAATGAAGGAGTCAACAACAATTCTATGGGTTTCAACCCCAATAATACTTCAGGCCATATAAATCAAAATTTGCCATATGGCTCCCAAGGAGGAAATAGCAATGCCCGTAATACCAATAGCGGCGATCGGCAAACTGCTCCTCAGATAACTGGTCAATTATCAATGCAACAAGACTTTATTTCAATTGGCCAACCTCCTTCCTATCAAGGGCATAATAATTTGTATTTGGATGTGGATGAATATCTATCGGATGCAGAGGCTGCTGCGTTTGAAGCAGACTTTTTGGGAGTAGCCCCTGGTTCAGATTTAAATCCTGAAATTATACTCTCAAAGCCTGCACCCACTAACTACTCATCTAATGGACTATCTATCCAAGGTATGAATTACTTATCTCCCTCAAATCATTTAACCATTAACAGAGGGCATAAGAGACTGGCTTCTCTGGTTCATTCAGAATACGATCAAGCTACTCGAGTGGACTATTTGGACCCTAAATCTCCTGCTGCTAGCTCATTCTCATCACATTCTTTGTATTCAGATTATCTGAATAATAACGAACCAACTTCTCCTTTCCAGGATGCAATATCACACTTCTCAAATAATTACTCAGATTTGGGTGACGATGAGAATAACACTAACTCTGCAAATGCAGATCCTGAAGTTAAGTTGGAAGAGAGCTATTTAGTTCCAAGCAGCCAATATAACGCCCCCAATTCATTTGACACGGAAATACTGCTAGGGGGTTCCATATCTTCAAGTAACTTGATCGGACTAACTGATTCTCCGCAAATGACTTCCCCTGGTGGTACCCCACTAGAAGGTGTAAAGACAAAAGCAATGTTACCGGAGGTTGCACTTACTGTAAGCAACTTGAATACATTCGAGCAATTGCAATACACCAATAGGGACCCTTTGCCAAACTACAATGCTGATGGAATTAGGGTAGCTATAAATCAAGCCCCAGAAGAGGTCGCAGCCAAAACCCCATCTTTGTTTTCTAATTCCTCGGCCAATTCCTCGATTCATGATACCAAGACTGAAAAGCTTGCCAACCTTTCACGGAGTAGTTCTAATCAAAATGCTAACCTGACCCATTTACTTCCAAATTCAAGTTACTTGGGAAATAACAGATTGTCAGTGGAAGACTTGGACTCTGATCTTCTTAACATTGATAATAATTCAGTTAGACGAGGGAGAAAGAAATCTATATCGGAAAGATCTAGCTCGAAATCGCCTTTACGAAACCGTTCGAAATCGCTGTATTCTGATGGTGGTGAAGAACAGGGGTTGAATCCTATTTCTTCTCGTGAAAAAATGCTTGAACTTGCAAGTCCGAACCAATCGTCTAAAAGAACTCAGAAACACCCGTCGTTATTTGCTTGTGATTTATGTGGAAAACTGTTTACTCGACCATATAATTTAAAATCTCATTACAGGACACATACTGATGAAAGACCCTTCATATGTTCTGTCTGTGGTAAAGCCTTTGCACGACAGCACGACAGGAAAAGACATGAAGACTTACATCTGGGGGAAAAGAAATTTCAATGCAAGGGTTTCCTTAGAAACGGAAGTGAATATGGATGTGGACGAAAGTTTGCTAGAGCAGATGCTTTGAGACGCCATTTCCAGACAGAAGCAGGTAAGAATTGTATCCGACTATTAGTTGAAGAAGATGCTTTAGAGAAGAAGAATGGTGGACCGGGAAGTGAAATTTTAGCAAGTTTAACAACTCCATCCACAAGTAGTGAGGGATACTTAAGTCCTACTACTATTCCGCAAGTAGCCATTTCTCCCCCTGAATGACATTATCTATAATTTCTCTATTTAGTTATTTATATATTGTATATTTATTGTATAACTATTGATTAATTATTGTTGTTAGTCAAAGTCGGTCATAGTGCGGTTAAGTTTGCAGAATGTCGCACAATAAATCAATAATAGTAAAATGTCTCTGTGACAGTGAAGAGTCCAGACGTATTGTAAGTACCATCAACTATCACTCCGCTACAAAGCTTCTTAACTTAGGAAGTTATACATCCAATATGAGGGCCCTAGAAGATGACTTAGAAGATAGATTGCTGAAATTGCAAGATTCCAAAGATGATAAGAATAAGACTCCTCTGGAAAAGGCGTTGGAAAAGCTTCTTAATGACAAACAAGAGTTGATGTTAGAACAAAACAGGCGATACCTTACTGCTCTCTTTGAAGATCAACTGCTGGCACCTATAAAGATCCGAAATGCTCAAGTGACCAATTCTCAATCATTTCGCTCATCTTTTATTCGAGCTCAATTACAACCTCTTCTTAAGTCCAACATCAACACGCTTTCAAATTTCTTTGAAGCAATTGATGAAAGCACCAGGAACTTACTCAAGTCCAGATTAGTGGATAATGTTGTTATAAGTATCCAGACGCTTCCTCGGAACTATTATAACCGTCATAAACCTTCAATTGAAGTAGTTCCTATTTTCCAAGTTATTCCAGTAAAACGATTCTTTGCCAAATCAGGAACCAATATTGGCAATGGTGAAGGTGACACTTATATTCAGTTTCAATTTAAGAATCTTTGGGGAGGAGCTGAAAACATTTCCTTTGATGCTACAACAGGAACCAAGACATCTCTGTCATATTTAGTTAACTATACTCAACCATTATTCAATAATGTCGCATATTTGATGGAGAATTTATGGTATCGAAACACCCGACTGCTTGAATGGATTCAAAGTGAAGTTCAAACAACAGGAACCACATTACGATGCTCTACACAGTACGATGGGCCATGGAACCATGATTTGCTGATGGAAGCAAGTTGGAGAGTATTAAACAATCTCAATTCAAAGGCAGATGATGTTCTTCTTGGTGCCGGGAGTGATTTCAAAAAAAGTATAAATTATACTGGAGTGCACGATACTAGAGATGCAAAAATACTTCCAACCAGTGGGAAATTACTCAAGTGGTCCTTTGAATTAAATCCGTGGTCGTATTTCAAGCTGGCATTTGAAGCTCAATTTGCCCATAAGTTGAATGCTAACCACTCTATTCTTTTCAAAACGAAATCTGGAGCCTTATATCCATTTACAGACGTTTCAAACATTCTTGATAGGTTTAATATCGGGGGTCCAAACGATGTCCGTTCATTCATGATGAATGGATTAGGTCCAAAGCAATTTGCATCTTCAGTTGGTGGAGATATCTTTATCAATGGGGGTATTTCTATGATTTCCAAATTACCTGGTGTTCCTGTCGATTCTGGTTTCAAATTACACACTTTTATAAACGGTGGCAGACTAATTGCTTGTGACAAATCAAAAGGTGTCTACGGTAATGTTAGAGAATTATTAGATGGAGGGTCTCTTAGTACTGGGCTAGGGATTTTGTACAATCATCCAGCCGCTAGATTTGAGTTGAACTTGGTATTCCCCTTGGTGGCTCATAAAAGAGACAGTCTAAGAAAGGGTGTTGAAGCAGGTATTGGAATTTCCTTCTTGTAAATAGGTATTTCAAATAACTAAATTCTTTAATAGACAATAGTAGGTTTTCTAATTATTTTGTTTACTTTTTATCCACTGATCATGGGCCTCAATAACCTTGGGAATCATTATGCTTTCAATTTCAACATTTTTCCCAATTTGTTCTTCGGTCAACCGTACCCAATTTTCGTCCTTAAGTGTAACAAATACCACTTCTTTCTTTCTAGTTTGAAGTAAGTTTCCTATAACCAATTGATGCTGGTATCTTTCCAAAGCACCTATAGCCTTCTTGATCAATATCAGACTATCAGTCTCCAATTTAAACGACACAATCATAGCAGTAGGAGCCCAATTATCCACCAATCTACTTAAAAACTTTGGAACTTGCTCTAAATTGACAATCAAAGTTCCTGATGTTTGGCTTTGGATCTTATGTTCTGGCATTCTTGAATGGGGTAAAAAGAAATCAGACACGGCAGCAGCAAGGAAAAAAAGGGCTCTTGATTCTAATTTAGATAAAACACCCGATATGGTTTTCAAGGTATACAAATATTGATTGACAGTAGTGAAGGGCACCAATAAAAGGGAGTTGGATTCCTTAGCTGCATTATACTTTCGAAGCACTACTAGCATTTCATCGGCAAAGTTGGGGTTGATTTCAACTCTGTTATTGGCTTCCGTCATATAGTCAAGAAAGCAATTGGTAGTATGGCTATAATGTCTTGAATATGGAAGTAAACTGAATTCTCTATGCAAAAAGACAACAGCATAACCGAGTTCCAAAAAGTATTCTGCAGATGTTGCACCTCTCGTACCAGCACTGAAGTTATCGATGAATCTCACCGTATTATTCTCCAATGGCACAGTAGTACCTCCACTGGTGACCAAGACTACTTTCTTCCCTGTATTCTTGATATGGTAATCGATAAACTCTGAGATTTCCGCTTCTATCTCTCCCAAGTACGTGGGAGGTTTATGAGTATTGAAGTAAACATCTTCATCCAGAAGCTGCGCTATGGGGAAATCCGGAATTCTTCGATCTATGGCAGAGTCAGCATCAGGATACGACGTATGGAACGATTTGGGCAACGGTGGCATGGCTGCTGTGTATAGATTCAGTATAACCCAATACAACCAATAAGTGAACTTGCACCTAAAAGTTCGTTCTTGGGTATCCGTTTTAGGACGGGGACACATCCGCGGTGCCCCACAAATAAATCGGCTGTTTAGTCACCTAGAACGAGTAGCCGGCTCCAATACAAAACCATGACCATCACCAATCCAGTGGTGTTTCTCGATGTAAGTACACTGATAGAGCTTAAAGGTCAATAATGGCGTACTAACATTTCTTAGGTTCAACATGGTGGTAAGTGTCCATTGATATGAATAGGTTTTCTGAACCAATTGTACTAACGACATCATCACTAGATCGCACGCTAGGCAGAATCAAGATTGAACTCTACGCTAAAGAACTACCCAAGTACGTATGATAGCAGGAGTATCGGTTGCCAACATTACGCTGTATATATACCGATTTGTTACTAACGAGGAGAGAACTTGTGAGAATTTCCGTCAGCTTTGCACAGGTGAATATAGAGAACTAAACCAGCCCACGGGGTATAAGAATGCGCCTTTTCACCGAATAATCAAGGGATTCATGCTTCAGGGAGGGGATTTTGTACGGGGCAACGGGCTTGGAACTAAATGCATTTATGGATCCGACACTTTTGAAGATGAGAGTTTCACTTATGATCGTACGTATTGAGTGTCAATTGCCACTATTCTTTCAGGTACTAACAAAATCTTCCAAATAGACACAAAATATGCTGTGGCTATGGCTAACAAAGGCCCCAATTCCAACGGGTGCCAGTTTTTTATCTGTTTGAAGCGCTTACCACATCTTGATGGGAAACATGTGGTGTTTGGAAAGGTGATCGAAGGCTATGATATCGTGGATCAGATGGAATTGGTAGGTGTAAATTCCTCCGATGAACCGCAACAACCAGTTCGTATTATAGAATGCGGTGAGATGTAATCAAACCGAACGTGTACCCATACCAATACCCATTATATAATTCCAATTCTATAACATTATCTATACTTTGCAATGTAATCGCCAATGAACTTTCTTGATACGCGGATAAATATTTATCCCGGATGGAGTCTTAGAAAAATGCACCACTGTATTTGGGAACCAGCTATTTGATTTACCAATAGGATCGGAATCACCCCAGTTAACCTTATATCCTACTCCTAGTGACACTGAACTAGAGCCTCAGCACAGCATGTCTGCAGATTTCTGGAGCTCAACCCAGAGAAGCAAATGGCAATTGACCCGGACATCCCTAGTCGAGGCAAGACGGAAAGTACTACTACTTGAGAAGAAGTTGATCAAGAATGGACTCATCCAAGACTATCCCAACGTATTATATGATTACAACATGCGAATATATCTTCATAATTTGATTATTAAACTTGGAAGACGGTTGAATATTCGTCAAGTGGCCTTAGCCAGTGCCGAAATATACCTTACAAGATTTCTTACTAGAGTTTCACTTAAAGAAATTAATGTATACTTACTTGTGACAACATGTTTGTATGTGGCTTGCAAAATAGAAGAATGCCCACATCATATACGGTTGATAACCTCTGAGGCTCGGAATTTATGGCCAGAATATATACCTCATGATGTTACCAAGCTAGCTGAATTTGAATTTTACTTGATTGAAGAAATGGATTCATTACTCTTTTTACATCATCCATATAATTCATTATTTCAAATTAGAGATTATCTAGAACATCGTTCTGACTACTATGGTTTAGTTTTAAGTGCAGAAGAATTACAGAATAGCTGGTCTATTATTAATGATAGCTACATTACTGACTTGCATTTACTATTTCCTCCTCATATAATAGCCGTGGTTGCCATTTATATCACCATTGTACTCAAGAAGAATCTAATGTTGATACGAGGAAATAACCACATAGAGAATAGCTCAAATCCAGTGGACAATGAAACACAGAAGGAGAAAAGCGGACCTAGATGGAATAAGAATAATACCGGTGGGGGGGTCAATGATATTATAGAATACATGCTGATCAGAGCCAATGATCAAGGTCTTAGTAATAATCCCAGTAATAGAGTCCAAAACACTACTACTATGAATGGCAATAATATTTCACTGTCCAATAATAACAATGGCCAATCTCAAAACAACAATATGATTGCTCCTAATAACAATAATACTAGTAATGATTCTAGTTCTGTTTCGACTACTCAAAATAAATCTGTTTCTACGCGATCTGGACAGCCATTACGACAGTCACAAGATGCCACAAATATCATTGAAACCAAGGGAAACCTCCAGAATGAACATCATTTCCAAGATCTCCAGGAAGTTGATGAAGATACAATACGTATAAATAAGTTCATGAAGTTTCTAACTGATAGTCACATCAATTTAGATGAAGTCGTCGAGGTGATGCAGGATATAATCAACTTGTATGTGGTGTGGAATCGATATCATGAGGCTGGCGTTAAACGGACGCTACAATACATGCTTCTCAAACGATAGTAAGCCCGACTAAAAAAGCCTATGTCTCTAGATGAATGTTATAGCAGGATAACTCATAAAATGAATGTAAATCATATGAGGTGCGCCTTCACTATATGCAGTGCCGTAGGAAATATTTGTGTCAGACAAAACGATTTGTAGGCACAATTGCAAGCAATAATATGGCGCGAATTTCAAACTTCAGACATTTTCCAATTCCATTCGTATGGTAGTAGCCGTTCATAGTTTCGATTTTGGGTACATTCTTTGAGAAAAAAGTCGGATTTGTTATACGTAGGAATGTCCCAAGCTCTTTTTACTTATTGTAGGAATATTCATGTAGTTAAGGTGCCATACAAATACAAATGAGGAAAGAAATATTTGAGAGGGCTCATCGGACACTAATTGATACAAAACTGACTTGTGTCTGTAGTGGAATTGTCAGAATTGTAATATTTTGATGGAAATTGATTTTGTTTTGAAAACGTACACTCTTTCCATGCTAGACAGTCATCGAGTCGTCAAGTATCGCCATGGGCAAGCAGGGCTATGATCAGTCGACAAGGGCTGCTATTGAGCGGCAGCAGTTGCCTGTGTCTGGACTCATTCTTTTATTACTATACTCGACACACGCATTTGTTCCCAGTATGAGATGGTTAACAGATAAGATGGTTCACTTGCAATATCAAAGAGGACCCAATGCCTATGGGATCGGTATCGATGACGCATACTTTGTAGTGAACGTTATGATCACTCTAACATTCTTTCGTTCGTTTGTGATGCAACTTATTTTGAACCCAATGGCTGAAGAATGGTTCCATATTCGTTCTAAGAAAGCTAAAGTCAGATTCGCTGAGCAAGGTTGGTGTCTCATCTATTATTCGTTTCTGTTCATATATGGTCTTGTGCTTTATTGGAATGCGCCCTACAGACATAATATCGATTACATATATATTGGCTGGCCTCATACATCCATGACCTATTGGTTTAAAGCATATTATTTGATAGCCATTGGATTTTGGCTGCTGATGATTTTTGTTCTATGGGTTGAAGAAAAGAGACATGACCATTATCAAATGTTCTGTCATCATATAATTACTAGTAATTTGATTATTGGTTCTTATTACTATTATTTCACCTCCATTGGCCATCCAATCTTGATGATCATGGATTCAGTTGACGTGTTACTTTGTACTGCTAAATTACTAAAATATTGTGGGTTTTCAAAGCTGTGTGATGCTATGTTTGTAATATTTATGATGGGGTGGATCATTTTGAGACATGGGGTTTATAACTACTTGTTTTATCATGCATGGACTAAATCAGTATACTTGATGAAAGATGGTGAGTGTAAACCTGGTGAAAACCAAGAACGGTGTTGGACGATGACCGTGATTTGGGTATTTCTTGCGTTGTTAGCAAGCTTGCAAGCGATTACAATGGTTTGGATGTACTCCATAGCCAAAGTTGCCTATAGAGTTATTACTGGTAATGGAGCTGAAGATGTTAGGTCTGATGAAGATGATACAGATAGTGATAAGAAAACTTTATAGAGTGCAAGCTTGCAGCATCCTTCAAATCTGTAACATATAGAATATAAATATGGGACTTGGTATGGGCCTAGGTTATGCGTCATTGTAAGGCATAGAATAAATAAATAGATATGATTGAATATTTAATTTTAATAATTTCATATAAAGACTTACCTAATTTCTCTCCTTAATACTTATCCATCACCAATATGACATACAAGCATACAAACATCACCGCAAATCCCCAAATAACCAATAGGAACGATAAACTTTGTAAAAGCCGTTGTCCATGTGTTGGTTGTGAGGTTTCAGCACCAATTAATTTGTAACCAAATAATCCTGGTAAAATAAATGAAATGGCAGTGGAACCTGTTGCTCCAACAACAGCTAACACAAGTGCAAACGACAGAAGAGATAATGCTAATGCATACCCTGCAACCAAGAGACCAATGGTAATAATTACAAACCTCTTTTGTGGCAAGGGGACAATGCAAGCCTCGTGACCAGGAATCTTAGATTGTACTAGTGCCAACTCCAAGCCAACTTCTAATTGACTTTCAGTTTCACTAAGAATTTGTTCGTCATTCAAAAGCCTTGTTTCCTCTGTAACAGACGACAATGATGATTTCTTATCGTTACAATGCTTGAACCAATGATAAACATTGTTAACCGAGATTCTAGCAGGATGTAACATCAAAGGGAAACTGAATAGCACCATAAATACAATACAGAATCTCCCAAATGTAGTTGACAATCCTGGAGCATAATGTAAAATAACATTGCCACTAACATTGTCCCCAAAAGTTAAATAGCCACATAAGCCAAATACAATGAAGATACCGGATGAGATGATAACTGCACCATTAATCAATACGGTCAAGCTTGGTAAGGAGTTATCCTTAGCTTCGTTTATTATGGAAAACATGTTTTGATGGCCAGTGAAAGCAAATACGATAATTGAAAATGTACTAAAGACTCCACTAAAGTTTGGAGGAAACAACTCTACTTCACCTCGTTGTTCAATTGGAACCACTCCTAGTAAATAGTTTATAATAACCAACAGGACCATGTAAAAAATTGCAAATAAGCCCAATATTGAAGTATATTTCAAACTATCCAAATTCTTTAAGAACAGAAGTGGCACCAAAACAACAGATGTAAGGGCAACGAAGAAAGTTCTCAAATGTTCATCAGTAACAAACGGGAGATGTGGAATGATTGTAGGCATCAAATCGCCAACCAAAACCAAGTAACTAATTGCACATCCAAAGCATTGAATAGCTATGGCAATATCAAAAAGGACGTTCAAAGACGGGTATGAAATAGAGCATACATTAAAGAAAGTAGCATGACCCACGGGAACATATCTACTGACATATGCTTGAATAAATAAACCAAATCCTGATGTGGCAGCCGCTAAAAGAATAATAAGAGTCCCTACTATTAAGCCATCCGTTGAATAAGCCAAAGGCATAGAGAGCATTCCTGCTCCAATAATAGTCTTTATTAGACTTACCGAGGAAGATACTACGTCTGCCTTCCGTTCCATAGTATCTGAGTGTCTCTAATGGAATGACAGACAAAAAATATACTATAGCAGTCAGGTTATGGCTTTTCTTTCTTACTATATCTCACCAAGATCTTCTTCGCAATTGCAATAGTACAGACTGAGCTTGATAATAATTAAAACACTTTAGAATAATGTATTGTTGCTTACGATCACTTAAACTGTGGAGACTGGTTTTATTTCTGTCTGTCTCCACCCTATTTTTTGTTCCTAACAAAGGTCGTTATAGTGCGAAGCCATTCTTTAAACGAAATTGCACGGTGTTGAAGAAGGATAATAATAAGAACAGAGGTAGATATGCAGTCCACTCTAAAAACCTTCTCCTTCTTCTGCATTAGAAGAGTAGAGAACTTTGGAGCTCACTATCTCATCAAAGGTCTGTCTTGTTGCGTCCACCATGACAAGTTACGGTTAGCGAGCTCTTGTACAAATGATACGATTGATTCATGTCTAAACAAGTACAGTATTGTATTTTGGATTTAGATAACGCTGGCGAGGACTGAAGCTGAGCATTTGAATATTCTGATGGTCCAACTTGCTTCATATAAAAGCCCATAATCTAACCAGTAGTATAGACAATCGGTTTGAATTATATATGTATTCTTGGATTTAGTTGGTCGAGTTCAGTTGTCGACCAGCTACTGACTCTCACCGACGCAATCAGAAGCACGCGCGCGACCCAAACTTTTCGTTTTGGGTTTGTTTATGTAAACTACGCTAAATCCTCTAACAATAACGACATAACAGTCATACAAAATACCCTTCTAGATTAACTTCGTACTTTGCATTTGTCTAGCTAAAAGTCCGATATTCACGATATTCACTACAACTTGAAAGTTACGCAAATCATCAACCTGCTAATGGAATGAGCACACCAAGCATCCCAAGCTCTGGATCTGGTGCTAGGCAGTCTTCCATTACTGTAGCTGTTAGAGTAAGACCATTTACAATTCTCGAAGAACAAAAGCTAGTGGCTGCAGACGAAGGCAGCGCATTCTTTGGTGATGGCTCTCTTTCAAATAATACAAATACACTGGCAGCTGCCAATGCAAACACATACGCTCAAGGCGGTCTACGAAAGATCATCGAAGTAGTAGATGATAAAATGTTGATATTTGATCCGTCCAGAACAAATCCCTTAGCTAGAATGCAGCAGAATGCCTTCCCCAATACTAAAACCAGAATACGGGAACATCGCTTTGTTTTTGATAGGCTTTTTGATACAACGACTCCTCAAGAAGATGTATATAATGCAACAACTCGTCCTTTGCTTGATTCCATACTTGAAGGGTTCAATGCAACTGTGTTTGCATATGGAGCTACTGGATGTGGTAAAACCCATACCATTCTGGGTACAGAGAATGATCCAGGTATTATATTCCTCACAATGAAAGAGTTATATGAACGAATTGATGAATTAAGAAACGATAGAGTCTTTGAAGTGACGTTATCGTATTTGGAAATATATAATGAAACTATAAGGGATTTGTTACAACCAGAAACCGAGCATCGTCGTTTGATACTACGTGAAGATTCAAATAATAGGATTTCTGTATCAAATCTCCTGTGTGTTCAACCTCAATCAGTAGAAGAAGTCATGAATTTGATTCTTCAAGGAAACGCCAACAGAACATCTTCTCCTACAGAAGCAAATGCAACATCATCTCGTTCTCATGCTGTCCTTCAAATAAATATTATGCAACGACCCAAGACGGCAGATATCGTTGAAAGTCATACTTACGCAACCTTATCAATAATTGACCTTGCAGGAAGTGAAAGGGCAGCAGCTACAAGAAATAGAGGAATCAGGCTTAATGAAGGGGCTAATATAAATAAATCTTTATTGGCTTTAGGAAATTGCATAAATGCATTATGTGATCCTAGGCGAAGAAATCATGTTCCATACCGTGATTCAAAACTCACCCGACTATTGAAGTTTTCTCTTGGTGGAAATTGTAAAACGGTTATGATTGTCTGTGTGTCCCCTTCTTCCCACCATTACGATGAAACTTTGAATACACTCAAATATGCCAACAGAGCAAAAGAGATTAAAACAAAAGTCATAAGAAATCAACAAAATTTAGACCGTCATGTTGGATCTTATTTAAAAATGATAACGGAGCAAAAAATGGAGATATTGGATTTAAAACTGAGAGAATCTCGTATTGTTGAAGAAGAGCTACAGAAGCAAAATAATATAAATGAAAAGTGTATTAATGAGTTAAGACTTCTGATTACAAATATTCAACGGTCAATAGAGTCTCAGACACAGGATAAGTGGAGAAGATATTTTGTACTTGCTAAGAGAAAGATATTATTTACTCATAAAGTTGGTACAGAAAGTCTTATTGAGAGCCTCCAAGAATCGGATGATGCTAATGCGGTTCCCGAATATGACTTCTTCTTAAATAAATGCCACGAGTTGTTGCAGAAACTAGAAGGTCAAATAGCTCAATTAGAAGCACAATATTCTGAGCCTAATCAACTTGATCATATTCTTGATAAGTCAGCCAACCAAGTATTGAAGAAACTCAAAGAAATGGAGGGATGGAACGAAGGTCATACTAGTTTATTTCAAGATAGCATTGAATTATTGAATGATTACGTGTTAAAGGATATCCTTCTTAACTCTTCTGTCCTCTCGGATTATCTTGCCAAAGAATTGACCGAGTTTCAATATATTCACAAGAATTTTATTTCTGTTATCAAATCTGCTGATCCAAAAGTTGCTTTACAGAGTATTACAAATTCGATTCAAAATATTCTTGATGGAGAACTAGACAGTGCCTTAGAATCGCTCACCTCTGAATTCATGCAACAAAAAGTCAATCCAGAAACAACGATCCCAAATTTAGACAATGTTCTCAACAACAATCCATCATCATTTATTCCAAGACAACGACAGGTGAGTGGTAGTAAACGTAGTTTTGATTCTCCGTTGAAGGTTTCACCGCCGGCGAAAAAGAAGTTTGCACCCATAGACCATATGCTAGCCGGTTACAGTGAGAGGACGTTGGCAATTCCAAAAAAGGTTCGTTGGGATGCGAATGTTCCAAGTAGTGACGTTGGAAGCATCGCTGATTTGAGTATGGATGAGCAGCAGTTTAGAAGTGAGGATGATGCATCAATCTTGATTGATGATAAATTACTTGATTCTCCCAATTCATCTATATTACATGATGATTCTACACCGGCTCATGGATTATCAGGAACTCTGGGAAATAATAGTTTATTTTTCAATAGGAGACTTTCAATGTCCCTTTCTGAGAACTCTGGAGACGGGAAGACCCATGACACTACACGTTCCATTCGTACTCCGCAATTGAATGTTGGAGCAGCTAGTACAAAGCTGTTAATTGTAGATGGTGAGGGTTCGCAATAGATCAGGTTGATGGGCACTACCACGTTTTGGTTATACAGGAAATATGTAACGTGGAGAATGGTATTTTACATGGAAAATATATTTCAAGGAGCATAGAGGAACAGAAGTCAAATTCGTTAGAATGAATGTAACAAAGTAAAGGGATTATACAAATTCACAAATTATCAATAACATCAATTGGCAAACATTGAGAATAAAGAATGTGTTAAGAAATCCATGCCATAGAATCTAACACGGTATAGAAAATCTAATAGACTTACCATCTGCCACCTTGACCACCCTGGTTGTAACCACCTTGACCACCCTGGTTGTAACCACCTTGACCACCTTGGTTGTAACCACCTTGATTGTAGCCTGGGCCACCTTGGTTGTAACCACCTGGGCCACCTTGATTGTAACCACCTGGGCCACCTTGGTTGTAACCACCTGGGCCACCTTGGTTGTAATCACCTGGACCACCTTGATTGTAGCCACCTTCGTTATGATGACCTCCACTGTTGAAGTCATCTACACCGCGGCCGTGATTGCCTTTTTTACCATGCTTCATTTTGCCTTCAATGAAATCTTCAATCTTATTTGCAACAAATGCACCGGCTGCGGCACCTCCAATACCTCCCATGGTACCATGACCCGACTTACCACCCATCTTGTTACCTGCAACACCTCCAGCTACAGAGCCTACAATAGATGACACGAGGCCACGGTCACCTTGTTCACCCAGTTCAGTTTGGTCGTATTGAGGCTTCTTGTCAACCTCACCTTGGTCACCGGAAGAATAGAAATCGTTTGCAGACATAGTTTAATAATTGAGTTCCTTCAATTGAGTAGTCAATTACTTATTCATTAGCAGGAAAGAAAGCAATTATGTTGATATTTATACTTTCAGCCGAATCGGGGAACGTTAGTTGCCCTAGACATGGTTTGGTCGTCGACACTACACCCAAGTGAGATTTCGTTTGGACTTAGCTATTAACAGTACGCAGCATTTGAGGAGGTGACTGTGCAGTAGTGATGCAGCTCAAAGACCGCTAAGCCGATATTCGTTAAGTTTTACTTAGATTTATTCGCAGGCCTCCTTTCTGGCTTAGTTCCAAGTTACCTCCAGTTGGCTTAAAGGCACTTTCAGCTCATGACCTACGGTATACTAAGCTTTTCCCAACAGTACAAAACTTATTGCACTTTCTGTTCCCGCTTTAGAACACTCAATCCGTAGTCCAAAACCAGGTTGTAATTGTGTGACTACGTTGTCATCACACATAGCAATGACTTGAACATGTGTCCTGTATTCACCTTGATTTAGGAATGTGAACGAATTTAACAACGAAATTGTTACATTATCTTCAAAGTGGAGGACTGAATGCAAGGAAAATATAATTATATACAACGTCCAAAGTCTTGCTTCTCCTTTTACAGCATTGTTTCAAAAGTTCTTCGCCTTAATCACGTAAATCATCGAATGGGTTATTGTTATTAGTTTTACGAAAGTTCAATATTGTCTCGTATTGTTTCCATTGGAGTGCTAACCATCATCAATGAATTGAATCAAGCTGTGCCCACTTACTGGGCGCAATAAATGTGGATTCGCACATGATGTACTCGTACAACTATACATACAGGATTTGCACCCCTCAATGGTGCAGAGAACTTCTCACGTTCCTTGATGTAAGTTTTAACACCTGAAGTCGTGGGAAGCAAACCACCGTGGCAACACCCCCATGGTAGCTCCACCTTATTTTAGTTGTTCTGGTAGCGCGACAAAATCTTGTATCGTGCTCTATTCTGGGTGGAAATTTTCTGTTGTGAGATGCTCATCGTACTTGTTATTGCGATGAGTTTTCGATTGTAACCACTTCATTCCACTGGCCACGACGACAATCAAGATGACTTCCGTTAGAAAGAGAAAGATGAAGCGTTCTTCCGTGCGGAAGAACACTAGAAGAGTCAAAGATAAGCATGATAACATTAATATCCATTCCAATCCCATAATAGCGAAACACTGGGATAAGTCATTGACATTACAACAGAATTACAAGAAGTTAGGTTTGAGAACAAAGCTTGGATCCATGGCTGGTGGTATTGAGAAGGATGTGTTGACACTTACGCAAATCAAGCAACGCAAGGAAGATGATACCAAGGTTTCTGTTGAGGACATTGAAAACACCGATGACCCCGCTAAGATCCCAGAAGGTGAAGCTAGAATAATAAGAAATGAAGAATCCGGTGAAGTGTTGAAAGTTATTTATGGTACCATGAAAGTGAAGCATACGTCTGCTGCAGAAGTGGAAAAGTCTGAAGTTATTCAACAATTGGAAGAATACGCCAAAAAGAATTCTCAAATAAGAAGAGAGAGAAAGCAATCTGAAAGAGAAGATTCTTGGTTGAAAGATTTGTATGAAAAGCACGGAGATGATTATGAGAAGATGAAATGGGATAAGAAGTTAAATGTATTTCAACAAAGTGCAGGTGATTTAAGAAAGAGAATTACAAAATGGAAAAAGGTCAACAATATTGAGTAATTGGTTTCGATAATATAAATTACTATTAAATTTCTATAATACAATTTGGCATACATCACAATGATACTTTTGTAAATATACTAGGTGAGCTGACGGCTTTAGAACCTTGCAGGACAATTTTGTTCTAATACTTTGTCTATAATGCCGCTCATTAAAGGTTTAAGCTCACAATCATCGTAGAGGTCAATTAATCTGTTCTTATCCGTTTGAGATTCCACCATTTCCACAAACTTGGGATCAATAGGTATATTGCCCAAAAATTTCAAATCTAAACTTTGACTTAATGCTAACCCACCACCGCTCAGAAATATATTTGTGCATTCAGCACAATGGGGGCATATGAACCCACTCATATTCTCCACAATACCCAAAACTTTGAAGTTGACTTTCTTACAGAAATTAATCTCCTTTCTGACATCAGCAGTTGCCACTTGTTGAGGTGTTGTAACAATGATAGCTCCATCGATAGGTTGAGCAAACCGTAACTCCTCCGCTATAGCAATATGTTCATCTGAAGTACCTGGGGGTGTATCAATTAATAAATAATCAATAGGTGCCCCGTTGGGTCCACTCCAATACACATCCTTTAAAAATTGTTTTATCATAGCTGTTTTCTTAGGACCACGCCATACAACAGAATTCCCTCGATCACCTACAAGGAAGCCCAATGACATCAAGGAAAGCGAACCTCTTTCAGGATGTTTGACATCTGGGATTACTATATTAACAGGAACCCACCCTCTAGTTGATTGATGTACTTGCTTATTTTCGGCTCCAAACATCCGAGGTAGCGAAGGTCCAGTTAAATCAATATCTAATACTCCAACATTGAAGCCCTTATTAATTAATGATAATGCGGTTTGAGTAGTGACTGACGATTTACCAACTCCTCCCTTTCCTGATAGAATGAGAACAACATGTTTGACATTCCTTAACGAGTCTGGACTCTTTTCTTCTGGAGGTGTACTCATAGTGCCCTAAGTTGAGATCCCTTTCCAGAATAGTGTTCGTTTGAATGATTGTAGAAATAGAACGGATGTCGAATTACTCATCAGTCGCAGTCGCAATTTAGAAGTACCGACTTTTAGTGTATCCACTAATTAAATACTACAGACATAGAAACCCAATGTACACGTGACAGCAACATGCCAAACATAGCTATAGCGATGGGCGATGGGATAATTGGTATCATAAAATGGACTAGATATTTGTGTTCTATTACCTTTGAAGCATTACTGATGGGGTGTGGTTTGTATGGGAATTTGCAGCTAATCTGAATTAGTTATGCGACGTTGAATCTCTAAGAACAACTTTCCACGATTTGTTATGTACTCAAGAGAAAGAGATATCACTTCAAAAGCAGGATTAGCATACATAGCAATGTAAATGGCTTTATTTGACCTATACTTACTACAACTCTCTTTAGAGTTTAACGTATCTGAAATTCTCTTGTATCAATGGCTGTCAGTTCAACAGTTCCTCCCAGATCGTGTCAACAGAACAATCATGGGGAAAAAAAATCGCGACCGAAACTCTGTACCCTTTATTACAGAGCGATGATAACACGACTGGGTTAGCTTGAAATCATTACATGATATTCAAAGAATAAGGACTTACTATTTACACCAGAACAATATAGTAATATGAGTTCTCGATATCTCGGCGATAATGGAACAGCACAGAGAAGAGAAGCGCGTACGCAACTATTTGGCAGACCAAGTCTGAGACAAAGTACGCCTCCTGCAAGAGTCGAATCTCCATACGATAAACCACCTCCACAACTATCTGCGAAACATAATGAAGCATATTTACTGTCACTTGAATCACAGAATAACGATGAAATGGATACCATGAGTCAGAAAGTGGCGGCTTTAAAGAACTTGGGAGTGAAAATGGGTTCAGAGATCAACAAGTCAATCAAGATGAATGATGATATTACAAATAGATTTGAACATGGGCAATTATACTTAAAAAACACTTACAACAGAATGGTAGTAATGAGTCAGAGAGCTGGTATTACCTGGAGAATGTGGGTTCTAGTGTTCTTCATTATTTTTGTATGTTTCTTTTACGTTTGGATCTTTTAAACGGTTAATATATTGGTAAATATTACTGTATATAATTTCTAATAATAATACAAGCTAATAATAATGATGTTGAAATGAAGATCAATGTGCATCCTGTTCCAAAAGCACCCGTAAGTTAGAAATTGTTTGTGCTTTAGTAGCCTCGCATCTATTTTCCTTAGTCATTTCCTCTTGTCCAATGGTATCGCTTTCAGGGGATGTCAAAATGGTACCCAGTACCATAACAGGTGAAACACTATAGTTCAGTTGGTGGGGAACATTAATAATATTGTCTTTAGTGTTTATAGGTTGAGTATGTTCTATAACATCGGCTTCTTCAGTTGGTGGGCATTCTCTACTTTCAACCTCTGAAAATGCCAATCTTTTTGGTCCACCGTGCGGAGTACTTTTCAAAATTGATCTTTTTGGCTTCAAAGTTCTATGTGATGGCTTGTGTTTCGGTGTAGGAGATTCATCCCGATCTTTTGCTAACTCTGGGATGAATTGCTTCGGAGTTCGTCGCTTTCTCTTTAACTTTCGTTGTAACGATATATAATACTCATTAGTCACACGAGAAAGAGCGCCTTCATCTGAAATTGCGTTAGACTCGATATTATCGTCTGAATCATCATCAGATGAGCCTAACAATAGATCACTTTCATTTTCGTCCGAGTTTAAAGCCGATGAGCTATACGTGAGCTCTTCGTCTTCGATTTCTGAACATATATCCAAATGCTCAAGATCAGGCATATTATTGATTTTAATTGGTGAATCGGATTCATTGCTTATTCCCTTGTGCTCATCACAGGCACATTTTGGTTTGTCTTTCATATTTTGGAAAGTCGCTGACGTGATTGGATTCCCATTAATTCGAAGCTTCTTGAAATGAGAGTTACGTAAAGATTGTTTAACAGTGGCTGCCAGCTTGACACTCATTGATGGTAAAAAAATAAGCGAAGTTGCTGATTCCTCCGTTGAGGGCAGGGCCATCAGCGAACCCAGAATCAAATTGCTGTACAACAAGTTCAATGGGTTATTGGTAGTGAATTTACTATTATTGGTTCCCAAAGGTGTTGATTCATTTTGATCTTTCTTAGATGATGTTGGTAAACCATAACTTTCAAATAAATCAGAATCATTGTATTTATCCTCTTGTAACTCTCTGTATTTCTGAATACTTTCAGACATAAACACTTCAAATTTTTGTTGGTCCATAGAATCTTCTTCGTTAAACTCTTCTGTATCCTTAATATCCAATATTGAGGCTCTTTCATCGTTACTACCGATTTCAGTGTAATCTGTCGGCTTTTTAGTACCAACTTCCACTAGCATTCCATGGACATCATCCCTACCGGAACCGATAACTTCTTGATCAACATTCTGAACGTCGTTTTCTGAGGTAATAATCAAATAATCTACGTTTGAATTCAATACCAGTGAATCTTGCTCCGTTTCATTCATAATTTCCGTAGCTGTTGGTTCCATTTCTTTATTTGACTCTTTGTCAAAATTATCATCAAATGTAGAATGGCAATGTATTAGGTCCGAAGAAGAAGAAGGTAACGAGTGCATAGTAGTTTGATCAAGACTCAGAATATCAAGCAAAGAAACCAATTTAGGATATTGTTTAACCTTTAATGATTTTTGCTGATTCAACCTCTTATCAATTTCCAAAAGACGTTGACTCAAGTTGCGCACTTTGCCTGAAACTTTAAAAGCGTAGTTAAGTGTTTCGCTGACTTCTTTGTCCAATGTATTATTATTAGAAACATCAGCCAATGTGCCTTCTTCTTCTGTATCGTTTCCCTTAGTCAGATATAACTTCAATAGCTTCTTATTCTTATGTTCTATTGTTTTATGCAAATTGTATGTGAGTTTGGCTATGGATATGTTCTTATATTGGATCTTCTGCTCTGTGGAAATCTTATGCTTCACCTCTTTTCGCAAATCCTGTTGATAGTTTGCTACAACATGTAAAAGAGACTGTGCAACTTGCTCAGATTCATCTTTAAGAACATTGGATAGTATGTGGCTCAATCGGAACTCATCAACGGAGGGAATTGATACTTTAGTTAACTCCTTCGGCACAGTGTGTCGCTTATATGGTATCGGCTGGTCAAGGGGGGTCTGCCTTGATGGGTGCGAGGGAACATCTCGGTCCTCCATAGTGCTTTAAACTTTATGTGGTTATTTCTAAACTGGAGTTATTCTCTTTATATCCATTTCAGTGTTTCACTTATAGGTGATACTATTGCGCTCAAAGTTGTTGTTGTTTTAGGTTTTCCCTTTGGCTTCGCTCCATACGCTGTAAGTTTTACTTTCTCAGATCAAGTTTATCCTCTACCTGATATTTCGCGACACTCCCAATTCAGAAAATCAAATCACAGTGCCCTAATATCTAATCTGGCTATCTGCCACACAAACCCTGTTCAATAGTAAAATGGGCAGCAGCGATGTGGGACTAGTATTAGGTGGATTTGCACTAGTGGAATGGGTAAATATAGTGGGCCAGGTTTTTGGAGGATGCTGTAGTAATGTGTTTTTGTTGGAACGACTTATTCAGAATAACGTTTCTCCAGACAACTCATTGGGAACATTGATAACATTTTGTCAGTTTTTGGGAGTGAGTGTATTCAGCTATTGGAACCAAATAGATACAGTTAATAGCAATTGGAAAAGACTTTACTTGAAGAAGAATGCTATTCCAATGGAGAAATGGTTAATATCAGTTGTGTTCTTTTTCTGCGTATCCTTGTTGAATAACTTGGTTTGGAGGTTTGATATCACTATTCCCATCCACATTATCTTCAGATCTTGTGGGACAATCATTACTATGATAGTGGGTTATTGCATAGGAGGGAAAAAATATAGTACAGGTCAGTGTATATCATCAATTGTGATCACCATGGGTTGTATTTTGGGTACAGTACCTGGGGCATCCCCCTCGTCTAGTAACGAGAAGATACTTGATGATCAGAATGCATATCCAATAACATTTTTTTTTGGACTTTTCATCTTAGTATTTGCATGTTTTCTTTCAGCATTAATGGGTCTCTATAATGAGAACCTCTTCAAACAATATGGCAATCATTGGCAAGAAAGCTTGTTTTATCTGCATTTATTGGGACTTCCACTTTTTTTGGTGGTTAGTCCCACTATATATAAGGAATTTCAACTTGTTTGGACTTCTCCAGTAAAGCGTTCAATATTTGGATCCTCAGTGTACGTTTCTCAAGCCCTCTTGGACTTAATATTAAATGTCATAACCCAGTTTATTTGCATTAGGGGAGTTTCAATGCTAGCTGGAAAAACCCTGGCATTAACAGTCACTGTGGTTCTTTTAGTTAGAAAGTTCGTGAGCTTGTTTATCAGCGTGCTCTACTTTGGGAATAAAATATCCAACAATGCCATACTAGGAGCCTTTGGCGTGTTCCTAGGGGCATTGATGTATACCATAAGTAGTACAAGTCGGGGGAAAACGCCAATCATTAAGAAAACTCAATAATAAGTTAAATACCTTAGAGAGTACATTACTTTTAATTATAAATTTACCTGTTTGCGTCAGCAACCGCATTGAAATCTCCAAAAGGGTTACTGTCATCACCAAAAGTCTTCTGAGTTTGTAATGGGAAAGTTTCATACAATTGGGAAGACTTTGATGGCCTTGGTGGAGGAACCTTTTTAGGTTTGACCTGTAAGTTTTCCATCCGGTTCGATACATCGGAAACACTCTCATCTGCCTCTTCAGCCTCATCTTCGTCATCAGAATCACTATCGTAATAACTATCCCAACTGGAATCAGAATCATCTCCCACATTGTTGTCATAATCTTGAGTGGGGTTTCCACAAGCTGCATCGAACTTATTAAAAGTATTAACAAACTTCTCATTAGCTTCAAGTAAACTGCCTAAAAATTCTTCATCCATTGCCATTACCTCCTTTGATTTGTGAGAAACATCACCTGCTCCCACAAACTGCAAGTAGCGTAATACTTTTCTTCTCAAGCTTCTACACTTTTCAAATTCCTTTGAGCATTTTGAATCGTCCATAGGAGACGTACCATTTGGAACGCTCAACATTGCATTATTCAAGGCAGTCGAATGAGTTTGGGAGTCCGCTATAAGAGCTCTAATCTTCGGGGCTTCAAGTGTGTAATTAATTTGGGGAATTCCATATTCTTCATCAGCATACATAATACCTTTCTTCTTATTCTTCTTACGTCCAGAGCTACCTCCCATCAGGGCTTTGGCGTACTTTTCTTGTCTTTCCTTCTTCTTCTTCGATTTTTGTTCTTTTAATAATCTCTTGACAGCCAGATAATCGTCTTCACCTCCCTTACCCACGTCATTCCTCGTAGCAGAACCTGAACCAGATGCAAAGGCGGACGTTGAGGTATTGTTTGAGAACGGTTCGTCTATCGACTCTTTAGAATCCATATTACTATTACTATGGCCTGAATCGGTCACATCTTGATTCTCCTTCGATCTATTCGATTTCCTAATGTTCTTAGGGATAACCTTGTATAGTTGTGCCATTCCCTGATAATCAGGCAAGTCTCTAAACTCTTCCTTCCATCCAATTGCCAAGTTGATTGTTTTCACTATCACCAGCTTATGGTACGGCACCCCAGCACCACCAGTCAGTCTTCCTCGAATAATAGACTCAAGAAGTTCTAGCAATTTGTAGTCTTTAGAGATTGCGGGTGCAATCTTGGACCCACCATTCAAGGTAATCAATTCCAATAATGACAATGCTCGTAACTGCTCATCATGGTAACCGTATTTGATCTTTTTCCTTATGGCCCGTGCACATTCAGTAGCACCAGAAAGTCTTTGAACTTCAACAAGGGCAATCAAATCATTCAAATGCAATTCAATATCTTCAATTTCAGAGTTGCGGTTCTCGCATATCTGGTTCACCTTAATGGTGATAGACGTTTCAGGGTGTGACGATCCAAATAAGGGCATAGGAAAGATTCAGCTATGAGAGGAATAGCTAAACAAGATTAAGTCAATTATATTCAGCAATTTGAACTGTGCTATGTTTTAAGCTTTACTTCAATAACTTGATAGATTCATAACTTGATCAAATAACCCCCCTATTGGCGAGAGAGAACATTTCTCTATATGCATTCGACGTCGCTGTTGTACGCCGTACCTGGGAATGTAAATCACACAGAAAGCTCCATAGTGATAGATTACAAACAGAAATACCATTTGCCAGTAAACACAATGGCAAATTCAAAGTACCATTGAGACTTAAACACTCAATTGTCTATTGTGATTTGTTTATTGTACTGCGTTCAAAACTTCAACAAGTTAAATGATTGTTAAATGTAACCTGAAGTTAAGTGTGGTCGGACTGTACCCTCGGAATGTCCCTCGGGTTGCTATTTCTCTCCACCAAAAGTTTTTGAATCATCTCGTACTAGGCAATCGAAAAATTTTCAAATCCATACTGTCTCCTTAACCCCTGATTATCCAAGTATTCTACAAGCTATGTCCGACCAATACGACCAGGATAAGTTGGCCGAAAACCTTCAAAATTCCTCCATTGGTGGTGAGCAGAAGCAAGGCCAACAACGGTACCAAACACTGTCTTTCAATGCTGGTAACACCAACACCTTTGTTCCTCAACAGGGGTACCAAGCATACAATGACCAGTACAATTTCCAAGGCCAATACCAACAGTACAATCAGTATAATGCTCAAGGTGGTCAGCAATTCAACCAAGGTGGCTACAACCAAGCCTATAGCCAAGGAGGTTACAACCAAAACTACAACCAGAACTACAACAATAGAGGTGGTTATAACAACAGAGGTGGTTACAGTAACAGTAACAGAGGTGGCTACAACAACTACAACAACAATTATAATAACTACAGCCAACAACAACAACAATCACAAGGTGGTCAAGCTATGTCATTGGCTGATTTCCAAAAGCAGCAACAAGCCAGTCAAGCTGCCTTGAATGAAAAACCTAAGAGAAAGTTGAAATTGGCTTCTACTTCCGGTATTAAGATTGGTAATAAGCCAGTTGCTGCTGCCAAAAAGGAAGAATCTCCAGCTCCTCAAGTCAAGGAAGAAACTGCTTCAACTGAAGAATCCAAACCAGCCACCCCTGCTCCAGAAGCACCAAATAAAGCTGCCACTCCTGCCCCAGAAGCACCAAATAAAGCCGCAACTCCTGCTCCAGAAGTACCAAAGAAGTCTGCAACTCCTGCTTCTGAAGAACCAAAGAAGAAAACTACTTCAGCTACTCCTGCTGCCTCAGCTAGTGTTCCAGCTTTAGCTTCAAATGCAGATCAATTGGTCAAGGAACAAGAAGAAGAAGTGGATGAAGAACTTATTAACGAAATGTTTGGAGGTAAAGAACATATGTCTATTATTTTCATGGGTCATGTTGATGCTGGTAAGTCCACAATGGGTGGTAACATTTTGTACTTGACAGGATCTGTCGATAAGAGAACAGTTGAAAAATACGAAAGAGAAGCAAAGGATGCTGGTAGACAAGGTTGGTATTTGTCATGGGTCATGGATACCAATAAGGAAGAAAGAAATGATGGTAAGACCATTGAAGTTGGTAAAGCCTACTTTGAAACTGAGAAGAGAAGATACACCATTTTGGATGCTCCGGGCCACAAGTTATATATTTCCGAAATGATTGGTGGTGCTTCTCAAGCAGATGTTGGTATCTTAGTTATTTCTGCAAGAAAGGGTGAATATGAAACCGGTTTTGAAAAGGGAGGACAAACCAGAGAACATGCATTGTTGGCTAAGACTCAAGGCGTTAACAAGATTATCGTTGTTGTCAATAAGATGGACGATCCTACTGTCAACTGGTCCAAGGAAAGATACACAGAATGTACTACCAAGTTGGGTCAATATTTGAAAGGACTCGGATATGCTAAAGAAGATATCATTTACATGCCCGTTTCAGGTTATACTGGTGCTGGTTTGAAAGACCGTGTCAATGCTAAAGACTGTCCTTGGTATGAAGGTCCCGCTTTATTAGAATTTTTAGATAACATGAAGCTTGACGAACGTAAAGTCAATGGGCCATTCATGTTGCCTGTTGCTGGTAAGATGAAGGATATGGGAACTGTTGTTGAAGGGAAGGTTGAATCAGGACACGTTGCCAAGGGCTCCAAGTTATTGATGATGCCTAACAAAGATACTATTGAAGTATTAACTATATACAATGAAACTGAACAAGAAGCCGACAATGCCTACTGTGGAGAACAAGTTAGATTGAAGATCAAGGGTATTGAAGAAGAAGATATTCAACCAGGTTTTGTCATAACTTCATTGAAGAACCCTGTTAACACTGCAGTTAAGTTTGAAGCTATCGTTGCTATTGTTGAATTACGTTCTATTTTATCAAATGGTTTCTCCTGTGTTATGCACTTACATACAGCCATTGAAGAAGTTAAGATTGTTGAATTGAAACACAAATTGGAGAAGGGTACTAACAGAAAGTCCAAGAAACCACCAGCATTTGCTAAGAAGGGAATGAAGGTTGTGGCTATTTTGGAAACCAGTGAGCCAGTTTGCGTTGAAAGATTTAAAGATTACCCTCCATTAGGTAGATTTACTTTGAGAGATCAAGGTACTACAATTGCAATTGGTAAGATCACTAAGCTTCTCAATTAAATATATATATATATATAATAGTAATAATAAGTTAACGTTTTACATTAAGTATAAAGTAATTACTCTAAAGTAACTACTCTAATTCAGTTTTTAATTCAGAGAATATTTTAACCAAGTTCTCAACACCTATAATGACATTTTCATCATATCCTTCCCCAGGAACATGCTTTGCATGGGCCAAATCAATAAAATTTAAGCTACTTAACGGATTCATTTCTTTCGCTTCATCTTCATCATCGTCATCACTTTCATCATCATTAGTGAAGGCTGGTTTGGTAAGAGGGTTGAGAGCTTCTAACTCTTTCGAATTTGGGGGGTACCGGGCTAGATCGTTTTCCAATATAAATAACAAGGATCCAGCAATAATACGAACTTCATGGTCTAATAAGCAATTGTACAAAAGTTGTAATCTCTTCCAGTACACTTCGACCATCATGGCATATAATTCAGGAGGTAAAGCATTACTCAAGAATAATTTGATGCCGTCTTTAACATTATCACCATTGAGTTTCCTACCAAAAAATTTATCGTATTCCAAGTAAACATCGTCATTGAGATCATTTTGACGGACAATAATGGTTTCATGTAAATGAGGTAATTCTTTGGGGAGATCAGTCAGCGATTTGTTGTATAATTTCATGCCGCAAATCCGAAAATGATGTGATCCACTGGTTGTAGATTCACTTACTTTACGCAATCTCTCTTGTTTCTCGGAGTCAGCACTATCATCAGTTAAAACTTTTCCTAATTTTATATCAATAATACTTGGCTTTGAATACCCAGAGTAAAGATTCTCTAATACTATATAACTTTTGCCATTTGGAAGTGGAGTAGGTGATGTACCTGAAATAGCACTTAATTGATCACCATCGTTCAAGGTCCCATAAAAGCGAGGTATCCAATCGACCAATTTTGAACCTTCTGGTGCTTCAATTCCTTTTGTCAAAGCTTCTTGATCTTCCCTATAAATAGAATTATAAAAGTCAATTTCTTGCTGATTTGTAATCTTGACAAAGAGTCCATTTTCGTCATCTGTCAAACATCCAGCATGGCCAGCAGCTTGATGTTCTGATGGTTTAAAAGGCATCTTCAAGTGTTCAAGGCTTTATCTTGAACTCAATTATTTGTATTGAGATTCAGAGTAAGCCCCTCCTACTATAATTAAGTGTGTGCGCTACCATTAGTTTTTGTCTCAGTGAACTTGAGCGAGGTAATGTATAGCAACAATAAGTCAATTTCATGTTTCCCTGAAATTGATCTTACATTACATTAGGATAATCTTTACAACTTTTAAGACTGGGCTGAAAGGAGCGCAAATTGAGTTGAATACATGGCATCTTCTCCAGCGACGTAACTCGCTCACTCACATTCATCACTCACATTCATCACTCACATTCATCTTGTGTGTGCTGAGTTACCTCGAAAGTAAATCTTATAATTCCGATTGCTACTGCCCTGTCTCAATGTGTACGTGTACCTCCAACTATTTCCGACGCATCTTCAGATTCTAAATGCACACGGAATTCGTGTAACTCCACAAAACATAAACACCAAATAACTATCTGTTCGAGAGGCGATATTTGTTTATAATAGATATAATTATAAGTATTACACACAATACCTTTAGGTAACTGCACCACAATAGGTTTTGCTTCTCAGTTCATATTCAATGCTTGCATAGGTTTTGTCATTGGTATTGCCTCATGCTCAGACTCCATAAGATCAGACCAGCATTGAATTTATACACCATGCTGCTCCTTCTAATGCGGTGTCATTGGTCACTTATTATATTTTTGTCTTCGTATCGTATAATGGAAACTCTTTGAAGTAGTCCTGTAAATATGGCGTATTAATTTTTTTCCGACAGCGCCTGCGTTTTAAGAATAAATACTTTTTACACGCTAATATTTTGTCAAGTAGAAAAAGTCCATTTGAACAAGGAAGACGTTACTTGTTATTTTAGCATCGGTTGTAGTTCTAGTTACATATCATAACAGCGGCCAGCCCTCCGGTACCAGAATTACCTGTTCTCATATAACTATCTAGGTAAACCGATCCTTCCTTATTATCCCATCCATTTTTGGCCCTATCTGGTTATATTATTTGAACATAGCCCACAACCACTTATTGCAGTTCTACAAATATCAACGCCATTATGAGTAACCCATATGCCCAAAACAACAACAACAACTCCTATGAGTTGAAAACCTATGCTGCTGAAGATGATTTTGTTGGCTACATGCAAGATATTTCTAACATCAACAAATCTTTGGATGAGTATGGGTCCTTGGTCGGCTTAATTAAGGAAAAGCAAAGAAACCTTCTCCAAGAACTTGATTTGAATGAAGAAGATGGTGATTACAATTCCCGCCAAGTTGATGCTCTTGTGAACGAAGCCCAACGTTTGCAATTGGAATTGAAGGACAGAATTAAAAGTGTTCAAGCAAGAGGTGTGAGTGACCCAACTAAGCATAGTCAAGCGGAAGTTGTCAGAAAGAGATTTTTGCAATTAATTCAAGATTATAGAGTCATTGAAGCAAACAATACTGCTGAAGCCAAGCAAAGAGCTGAAAGACAGTATCGTATAATCAAGCCAGAAGCCTCTGAAGATGAAGTCAGACAAGTGGTTGATGATTACAATAATGGTGAGCAGTATTTCCAAGCTGCATTAATGCAAAGTAATAGACGTGGTGAAGCCCGTACTGTGTTGAATGAAGTACAAACAAGACACAGAGAATTATTGAAATTGGAGAAAACGATGGCTGAATTGAATAGATTGGTCCAAGATATGAACGAAATGGTTGCTGAGCAAGACAATGCCGTTCAACAAATTGAAGCACAAATGGGCGATGTTCAACATGACATTGAACATGGTGTGAAGCACACTGACAGCGCTGTCAAGTCAGCTAGAGGTGCGAGAAAGAAGAAGATTTGGTGTTTCATTATTTGTTTTATTATTGTGGCTGTCCTTGCCCTTGCTTTGGGTATCCATTTCGGTACCAAGTAAGATTCTTTTGAAACATGAGTTGCACCAATATGTTTTTTTTTTTTTAATTAGTTTATCCTATTCATCCTTCTGGTGTCATAGCATTATCGGGCACTCGAATTCTTTCCTTATCGTCATATCCATATGTCTATATTGCTACTATTCCCCTACCAGCCTTTTATTTTACTTGTGTATCCTTTATATTAATGTCTAATTCATATACCACTTTGTTTAATCCAAGTAGTGTGTCAGAAGAAAATCAAAATTTTTCAGCATAGTTAAGAAGTCATGAGAAGACAAATACTCAAGAGTTGAAGAAAATAGTTGAGATCTGAACATAATAATGTCAAACTCAAGTGAGATCCTTTTTCAGGCTACTCCGACAGAGTCAAATGAAAGTTTGGAAGAAAAGAAAAGGCCAGCCAGTCCAGTCAATGAAGATGAATCGGTGAAAAAGTTCAAAAGAGAGCCCGTTCCTGATGGGATGTCGCGTAACCAATGGAAGAAACTTCAACGTCAAAAGCGTTGGGATGAACAAAAGGATGAATACAGAAAAATAAAAAGGGATAAGAAAAAAGCAGCAAAACAAAGACGAAAGGATCATATAACACAATTAAAGGAGCAAGGTTTAACTGAACAAGAATTAGATGATGCTCTCCATTATCACCAATTGAAGAAGGAGAGAAAATTACCTGAATCTCAGACTCCTAGTGATGCCAAGTTCATATTCGATTGCTCGTTTGACGATTTAATGTCAGATAAGGAAATTGTTTCCCTAAGCAATCAAATCACTAGAGCATATTCTGCAAAGCGTCATTGCAAATACGATTTACCATTAGATATTGTTTCATTTCAAGGAAAATTAGTGGAACGTTTCGAAAAGCTGGTGGGCCAGTACAAACTATGGAAAGGCATAAACTTTAATGAAGAGTCATTAGAATCATTGATCACCGATGAAAACAAAGATAAGTTTATCTATTTCACAGCAGATACTGATGAAGTGATTGAGGAATTAGAGCCTGGAATGACATATATCATAGGAGCAATTGTTGACAAGAATAGGCATAAGAATCTCTGCATTAATAAGGCCAAAGAAATGGGTTTAAGAGTTGGACGTTTGCCAATTGACAAATATATTCAAATGAATGGTAGGCAAGTGCTAGCGACTTCGCATGTTTACGAAATTTGCTGCAAATGGTATGAATGTGCACATGATTGGGAAAAGGCATTTAATGAAGTTCTTCCTCCTAGGAAGGTTAAGGGTAAGTTAGAAGAATTAAAAAAGAAAAGAGATGAATTTGAAGCCAAAACTAGAGGAAATACACACTCGCCTAATCTGTCCAGCGATTTACATGGACAAGAAGAGGAAGATGAAGTTAGTGAAGTTAGTGAGTCCTAAGGAATGAAAGCCACTAGTATTTGTAATTAATATAGTGCAAATACAAATTATAGATCTAACCCTTCCACTCTGTAGTATTACGTGATATGGTCATTAGCCTAATTGTAACTTTAATTTAATATGTGAAACCAAATTATTCATATTGACACATAACTGTTTTGAGGCGGGTTACGACATCCTAAATGATGAAAGAGATGCTAGTAATTATATTATAGTTTGTGACGTCAACAATACTGCCGAACGTTATCTATTTCTCTTTATTTTAACTCTGCAAGTTGTTGATGGTTGGAATTCGACAGTGTGAAAGCGTTCAGGTCACAATTTGCAACCATTTCAAAAAAACTTTCACATTTCCGTCGTAATCGACAAAATTTAAGCAATTTTAATTAAGTTCAAACTTACCACGGCCAAAGTTAAATGACCATCATATTGGATTTCGTGGTAGCATCTTGAAAGCTATCATGTTGTCTACGTATAAGTAATGATTTAATCTTAGCATCTTCTTGCGAGATAAAGCCAGTAGTCTAGTGTGCCGGATGTTGCTTGTCTTCTCCAAGTATAACATTACACCCCACACAGGTTTTATCAAAATTCAAGGATGACAGAAGCCTCTAATATGTGATATTGAATGTATATGAGCAAAAAAGTTGACAAAAAAGAAAGATATAGGGTTCTTGATTTGCCTATTCGATTCTGTTGAATTCAAACATGATGGAGCAGAACAGCCTTCGTAAAGATTCATCTGATGATTTAAAGTTACCCTAGTGGAAGATATAGGTGTAGGAAGTACTTCACTTGTGAATATGATGATCTACGGTCAAGCAACGATGCTTACATTCCCTTACCAGCCACAGCAAGTAGAAGCTGTTAAAGGAGATGGTCTGGTAGTAAATTTACTTGTGTAAAACACCGGTGTTTCAAAAACGTACGACGCCATAGGAGTACAGGCTTATGCGGGAAATGGAGTGGTAGTTATTTGCTTGGATATTGATCTGCCCAGCTTGCATTCTGGAGGTCTAAATAAATGGTTAAGTGAGGTTCGACACTCTTGTCCTCGAGCAGCAGTGGTCTTAGTTGGATGCAAATTTGATAACCGGAAAAATATGGAGTCTTCCTTAACAAGGACTTAGTGATACACTTTGCTAGCAGGTGCAAGAGTAGTTACATTGAATGTTTTGCTCTTAGAAATAAGGGAATTCGAAATGTTATCGAAGGAGTAGTACCTGCCAAATCAAGGAAGAAAAGGAGGCATTCAGGATGTACAATATGTTAGACATGGGTAATAAAGTAATATACAGAACTCTAAATTATTCTCCATGTTAAATTAAATGAGTATGAATATGCGAAATAGCAGGTCTCCAACGTATTGAGACTTGTAGTGAGCTTTCAGCGTCTCTTAAACAGACATTTAGTTAACACTAGAAATATTTTAGTGCTTTTCACCTTAAACATGGATCGGCACAAACGACCTGGTTTATTCCTCATAGAAATTTCATGACTAAACCGCCTGCTCGTGGTTTTTTATGCTGTGAATGCATTATAACCAAGCAACCCTTTTCAATGAAACACCAGTCTTCGATTTACAGAGTAGTCTCATACCAACGTGTTGCCTTCCCTTGATCATGGAGCTTCCAGGGTATTGCACTAGACGTTTTCTTATCCGGTTACTTGTATTGGTAATGATAAATTAAACCTGGAGAGCATTCAAAGTATATTATATGTAGGGATTTCTGACGGCATGCTCATTCCGTTTCAAAATCGGGTCACTAAACTAAACCGTAGCTGAAAAAAGATGTAAGGTACATGGTAATTGTAACATAGGGACTAAGAGTAGGTTGTACTATGGATTTTACTGTATGAACTCAGCCATTACATCATCTTGAAGTGGAACTCTTTCCATACAGTACCGGAGTAAAGTAATAGAATGAGTGTCAATACCTGAAACAGTCTATATTGTGCCGCACTAATGGACCAAACGTATAAACCCACAAAAGATCATATGGCACCAACAGTGCAGCCCTGCGTAACAAGTTACTGACCTAATTCCACCTCTGTTTGGAGAGAGCGCCTGAGTTCAATCTCTCAGATCAGACTATTATAGTACCATTTTTGCTTATCGCAAAAAAAATTGGATTACCGGAGTTACAAACTCCTTCGCAGAATGGCACGGCCGTTTGTTAGATATTTGCAAAAATCAATAAAGAGTTTTAAAGTGTGCCAAAATTAGCTCTGCCACGATTTGAAAATGTCAAAACGTAATTAAACTTCAACAAAAACAAAATACGGAATGTTTAAAACTATACTTGGTACCTGTTTATAACCCGGGACAATACCTGTGGTAATGATAATCCAACTGATTGACCAGCTTCAAGTATCAAGGTACCCCATATAAGCAGAATTAGCATACAATTCAGAACTGATTTGTGTATTTACTTCGGTCACCTCTCGTTTTCAATTGCTGTTATCATTGATGAACAATAGGAAATGTATTGCATTGTTAATGTTGAAATGGGAATCAAACTAAAAGGAGACATTTTTTCTCGCATTGATGCTTTCGCGTCACGATACTTGCCTCTTGCACAGCCTGAATCTACGTGTCTTTCAATTGAAGACATTGAACTTGTCATAGTACTGATTGTTGACGGAGGCGGGGGGTGTCCTCGGATCCGACAGGATTACTTTTAAATATGATTAAACTATGGGTGTAAATGTTCTATTACTATCGTTGATTGGTAAAGGAATTTTGTCGGATTTGTCGGATTTACCATAAGTCAGATAGGAATTAGCTCTACATTAACTCAGTTCCATATTCACTAATACTAATGAAAGGATATAGAATGTGCGTAGGATATTAGACAATTGTGTCTAATATCTCTTTATGTATCTCCTTAAGCTGTAGCAGTTATTCTTTTCATGTTTGATTTCTGCGTGTCTCGTCTGACAACAACAGCAATGTTGTTCCCTTGCTTTACTTTGCTATATGTCCCTCCTTACAAAATACCTGGTTAGACCCACTAAATCTCTGACTTTGAGCGCACACAAAGAACTATATGTGACACGACATGGAAATACCCTTATTTAGTTACTCAAACGTATTAAGGGTATTATTGTTATTGTGGAACCTATAAATAGAAGACAAACAGAAACCTCAATATTCTTAAAAGCTTTGATCTAGGTTGAAAGAGTCAAGAGTATCCTAATCTCAATTGGTTATGACCTAAGTCATTTTATGTATAGTATAAAGAATATGAATTGTAATTAGCTTCTTAAGATGGAATGCCTTTGATATTTTGTCTGTGTTTTATCTTTCTGATCCCCGATCCTACTTTTGTCACCAGTATTATTTTTTGTCCACCACGACTTCGTTTTTTCTTTTTTCGTCGTAGAATTTCCGTCTAGGTTGTTGTCGCCCTTAACCTGATTTTTTAGGTGCTATGATTTTGGAATTCTGATTTGAAGTTTTTTCCTATCTCTTTCTTTTAAATTGACTTCATTGACTTGATATTTAATACATAAGTGTATTGGAGAGTTGTTAATTGGTTGACGCGGATATCGTTGATTGATTGTTTTGAGTTGAACTTAACCGATCCGGAGGTTTTAAGGGTAGCATTTTTAATATCATCACCATCTTTACAATTGTTGTGGTGCACATTCTTGTTTTATTAGTATAGTTAACTTTTCGTTCATTATGGGTCCTGCTCCAGCTGAAATTAGAAGAAAGTTGGTCATTGTTGGTGATGGTGCCTGTGGTAAAACCTGTTTATTGATTGTTTTCTCAAGAGGTACTTTCCCTGGTGTTTATGTCCCAACTGTTTTTGAAAATTACGTTGCAGATGTTGAAGTTGATGGAAGAGTGGTTGAATTGGCATTGTGGGATACTGCCGGTCAAGAAGATTACGATAGATTAAGACCTTTATCTTACCCAGATTCTCACGTTGTGTTGATTTGTTTCTCTGTCGACTCCCCTGATTCCTTAGAAAATGTTTTGGAAAAGTGGCACTCAGAAGTATTGCACTTTTGTCAATCTACCCCATTGATTTTGGTTGGATGTAAGGTTGATTTGAGAAACGACCCTGAAACCATAGAAAGATTGAGAAAAGATCAATTACAACCTGTTTCAACTGCTGATGGACAAGCGGTTGCTCAAAAGATTGGCGCTGTTAACTACTTCGAATGTTCTGCTAAAACTAACCAAGGTGTTAGAGAAGTTTTTGAAGCTGCCACTAGAGCCTCTTTGATGGGTAAATCTAAGCAAAGGAAGGAAGGTAAGTCTTCAAAGAAGTGTACCATTTTGTAAGCGTACCAGTTGTTTAGATATTGCTACCATCACCTTTTGAGTTCATTTATGTTTTGCTATTTCTTTTTTGCTGGCGTTTTTGTTTGGTTACCTTTGGTGTAATCAGCAATACGCCCCTTTTTATTCACTTTGTTATTTGGGTTTAACTAATATATCTTTACAGTAGTTGTTATTTGCTCCTGGTCCTCTAAGACAACAAACGGTAATATTATTCTTTAACTAGTATCTACTTCACATGTTCATGTATTGTTTGATTGAATGCGCTCTAATCTCCTGTGTCACTAAGTTACCCGCACCCTTATAAGTTAAGACTTTCCTTCTTAATGGTATAAGTTTTCAACCTTTCTACTTGCCAAGCCTCATATTCAGCTATGTTTCTATCTTCGTACAAAGTGATCTTTCAGTTCGCAGTCGCTGCAGATTGTTAGGACGATGTAACTAATTCAGGAGTATACCAATGCTGGCCTGCGTTAACAAGGGGTGGTAAATGAATCACCCATCCAATTGTACGCTTATTTTACTGCTACTATTCGAAATTGCAATTAAAATCTACAATTCCAAACTATAAGAAAGCATTGGTGAATCAAAGATCTTTCAACTCAACATGTTGACCACTAAGCTTAACTTTAGCTCTACAAATTGAGTACTATATAGAATATACAGGTGCACAAGGTAACTATGGATGTTCCGGGTAATATGTTGCGAATCTCCATGAAACTTGAGCCAATAAAATTCAGTACTATTGAACGAAAAACAATATTCAAAGTTAGATAGAAGGCATTCGCAAAATTTTTAGTGTTGTTAGAGGTGTGGTTCCAGACTATAATAACACCTTTCAAATCACATAAACGATCTTATCATGTTGTCCAGAAGAGTTACTAGAATACCCCATGCTACAAAGAAATTCCTTCGTTGGCAATCAACCAATGAATTGTCTAAAGCTAACTTAAAGAACAATGTTAATGCCCAACAAGCTCCAAATAGAGCAGATGTTTGGTCACCAACACAAGCCAGTCGTATAGATATTATTGACAAGCATCCTTACCGTTTTGTTCAAAGAGACTTGGACAAGCAACCCCAACCTTATGCAGCCATTGAATTAATTGCACAAGAACCAATCAGATATCTAGGTCATGGTGAAAATATTGCCGTTTGCGATGGTAACAAGGGTCTGACTTTACAAGGCCATCCCAAGGTTTATATTAACTTGGATCAGCCTCAAGCAGCTACCTGTGGCTACTGTGGTTTAAGATACGCTAAGGAAGAGTTCAAGTCATTAATTGAAAGCCAACAATAAATAAATGCAGCTCTATCTTACCCACGCATAGACATTCCAATCACTGGTTAGAGAATTAGGAACCATATTCTACTTTACATTACTTTTAACTTTTCATAGTGCAAATCTTCGGTTATTCATATTTAAAGAGAATGTTGTAATGCCAACTGTGGTTTTGGTATCGCTATACCTGAAAAAGAAAAAATCACAGACTAACGCTGTAGCTAGGATATTGTTCGATTACTCTTCTTTTGTTCACTTTTTATGTACAATATTTATTTATATCGATATAGGTGCTTGCAAATAATCGATCTTTCTCTTTAATAGGACCGGTGTCCGAGTTGGTTTCAATTCCGACTAAACGACCTCGGTTTGCCCTCGTATTGTAGTTTCCCAATTTCGGTAGAGTTCTCGCGAGCATTTGGACTAGACTTCTAATCGGGGGAAGTGAGTCAAAAATCTGGGGAAAAGATCTTTGTTACTTATGCCCGAGTTCTAATTGCCGAAATCATTATCATTATTATATAATTTATTCAATAGTCTTTCTTCATCACCAAAGGCATAGTTGGTAGATATGCCAATTCAAGATTTGATATTGGGCATTCGTTATGGTCTATATTATTGTCGAGGTCATGTTGTTCATTCCTATGTCGTAATACCTTCTGGTCTTTTAGTGACATTCACCGTTTTATATGGGTTAGACAGATTCATTAACAATATTCTTCATATTTCCTTTCCTGCTAGTGTGTTGGGTATGATAATTAATCTTCTGTTTCTTTGCACACTCAAACTAATCAGTGACAGTAGAATTCCACACCTTAATATCGCTTGTCAGTGGATACTTCATCACTATCTTATGTTGATTAAGCCATCAATGAACTTTGTCCTAAAATGGATTAATGTCTTCTTTTTGCCCGCGTTCATTGTGTTGCCTTTGTCACAGCCTATCACTTTTGTTGAAGTTGCCAAAATTGCTGGAACCTTTGTGCTAGGTTTCTTAGCTCTTTTCATTGTGGACGTCTACTTGATGCGTATTTTGGTGTATAGCTATGAGCATTATTGGAAGAAAAGATCAAGAAAATCGAAGGCAGCCTCTCTGGCTACTACTACAGATGATGATGATGATTATGATGATGCAATTGTCCAAAATAATCATGCAATGGAGTCAAATTCTCAACGAACAATACCATTGCAAACCATTCTGACAGGAACAACTTCAGATGTCATTTCTATTGCATCTAGTGCATTGGATAATCCTCGTCAAGATCTTGATCCAGAAACTCAATCGCATGGTAAAAGATCAGGGTCTTTTGACTCTCAGGATGAAAGTAATGTGGTTGAGCTCATAGAAATGAAAGACTTGAATAGAAAACGCTTAGATATCACTACTATTAACTTAGCTGAATTGCGGGCAGTTAAAACGGAACCAACAAAAAAACCAGTCCATAGACCTGAAAATCCATTTGCTGATTCGCCTTCATCTCCTATTGGAATTACTGGCAACTTGTCAATACCTGAAAGGGTATACTATGGGCAAACGGCTAATGATACCAAACTGGATTTCCTTCATCATTTATCAAGACCACACACTATAGATCTTGCAGTAAACTCTTCATATTTAACTACAACGGTTACTCAGAATCAAGTTCCTCAACCTGATACTGAAGATGAAAATCATAATTCCACCGATCCAAAGGAACAAGAGGAAGAGCTAGCAATTCTAGCTACACTCCTGCCTCTTGCGAAATCGACTATGCTATTTATTACCAAATATATTGATTGGTTAATATATGGTTTAATGTTCTTAGTGTCGCTTCCCTTTTACTACATTAGCCTGATCCACTTGATGTTACCATATCAGCTATCAATATCGATTTTGGTTTACTACGTGGCCCTCTTAATGCCAGAGAAGTATCCACAATTGAAAAAGGTTGGGTATCACCCGATCCTTTTCCTGACGGGTATAATTCTATTTATCTTCTTTATAGGCTCCTTGATTTACTACAATGGAAAACCAGTTGGCTTCCTTGTCGATCTCAGATACTTTAAGACCGGGAAAAAGTATTCAAACTTGTTCAATGGTGAGCGAATGTACAATAATGGTGAAATTGCCCCAACAGATCTACATGTTACCAAACTTGATAAGTGGCCCGGGTGTGGAGATGTTCTTTCTTCACTTATGGATGTGAGTATTGTTGCCCTATCTTTACCTATGTTTAGTTTCCGTCGTGATTTCATTGATAATTTTGGCTTCATTGTGCCAGTGCTTTTAGTTTCGTGTGCTGCTTCATACCTCTTGTACCCCATGTGGTCGTATGCCATTGGCATTTCACCATCAAGATCTATCGGATTTATTGGTCGGTCTGTTACGTTAGCACTTGGAACACCATTAATCACTACCCTTGAAGGATCGGTTAACTTAATGTCCGTGTGTACCATTCTTAGTGGTATTTGTGGGGTACTTATTGGAGACACTCTTTACTCACTACTTCGCGTCCCTAAAAACGATTATGCTACGAGAGGAATCACGTTGGGAATTAATTGTGGTGCCATAGCCACAGCTCACTTGTTGAAAACAGACCCTAGAGCTGCACTGATGAGTTCATTGTCGTTCAGTATCTTTGGCACACTAATGATTATATTCAGCTCCATAGGAGTTATAAGACTGTTCATACATAGTTTGGTAGGGTGGTGAAGGTTTGGTCACGTGATTGGAAAAAAAACACGTCCCCTTCTCAAGACTATTGTATGGGCTATTGATTATTTATTAGCTTAATACTAAATTATTCACTTATTTATTTATTTATTCATAAGGAGATTTACCTGTATTGCATCCAAATTAAAAGAATTTTACATGCTTGTCGATGATAACAGTAGGCTCATATTTCTTCCTAAAGAAATAACTGGATCATACCAGTTGATCTCTTTGTTGAACGAATCATTCATTCTCTATGATCTGAACTTGTACCAACTACGAGCGATGGAAACGAACGAGTTCCCTAGTAGCTTCATAATAGAAAAGGAAAATGATCAAGGGGCCATTTTGAACAATAGTGACCATAGAATCCTCGTGGCTAGCAAATATAACCTTAATTTCAAGCTTTTGCTGCTTTTGCAACGAACTACTAGAAGTAAATCCCTTGAGAATCTAGGGGACGATGAACTTAGCTCCATAATTGATATAGACCATAACGGTAAAGGGGTTCCTTTGGAACTTGTTGAAAAATACTTGGAGAACGAAACTTTGTGGGATATAATTAACGAAGGAGGTGAATCGTATTATAAATTCAATTCTCTGAAATGCTTGAATTGGCTTCAAATAAAAGTGGACAAGCTTGTCAAAGTTCACTTAAATTATTCATCTTCTTCCATCGTCAGACAGTTTAAAAAGGACTATCAAGATATTACCCAACAATCATTAATAGAATTACATGTACGTCGCTTTGCAGTTGGCTTTATAACCCATGCATACAACTTAGAAACTGTCTATGAGCCGCTTTTAAGTTTATACGACTTTTCTTCTTTAGACGAAATGATTGAAACTCAAAAGGCTACTCTTAAGCAAAGACAATTGGTGGAAACCAATTTAAGGGCTACAAGTGATACTTCAAGTAGTTTAAAGAAACGTCCCAACAGCACTACTGGAACTAAAGGTGCTCTTAAAAGGAATAAAAAAGCCACTCTTGTTAAAGTAGCTGTAGGTAAAGGTGCATTGGATAGTTTTTTTAAAAAGTCTTAAGCGTTATGTAATGTTTAACGAATAATAATAATAATAATAATAACCATAGAAACAAACTCAGCAAATAGGAAATATATATACAGGTGTCAGCAAGCTCCTGTTATCATAGGAATCAAGCTCATGGCTTTCTTTTTAATTTTTGATTTCCTTTTGTGTAGATTGTTGTTCCTTGTTTAATTGCTTGAAAATTGATAATCCACTAGCCATGAAGTTTCCCATGTCTCCCAAGTTAGAAGGAATAATCACAGTGTTAGTTTCCTTGGCCAACTTACCAAATTCTTTAATGTAATCTTGAGCTACTTGCAAACTAACAGCATCCTTTCCACCAGGTGTAGTTTCAATAGCTTTGGCTATCAATTTCAATCCTTCAGCTGTAGCTGTTGACTTCAACATGATTTGCTCTGCTTCACCTTGAGCTCTGTTAATTTGTTCTTGCTTTCTACCTTCAGATGCTAAAATGATGGATTGTCTTTCACCCTCACTGATATTTATCTTGGATTGTCTGTTACCCTCAGATTCCAAGATCTCAGCTCTCTTTGAGCGTTCAGCAGAAACCTGTCTGTGCATGGCATCCAAGACATTTTGAGGAGGGTGGATATCTCGAATCTCATAACGTAAACATTCAACACCCCAATTCTCTTTAGCAGCATCATTGATCACATGGTTAATGTTATTGTTTAGAAGAGTTCTTTCCTTAAGTACCATGTCCAAAGTCATCAGACCAATTTCTGACCGCATGGTAGTTTGGGCCAATTGGCTGATGGCAAATTTGAAGTCCTCCACACCATAACTAGCCTTATACGGATCAATAACTTTAATATACAAGATCCCATCTAATTCCAACAGCACGTTATCGCTTGTGATGGCATTCTGAGAGGGAATTTCAACAGCAGATTCTTTCAAAGATTGCACATATGCAATACGATCAAGAACAGGTAAAAGAATTGCCATCCCTGGAGGAAGAATACGACTGAATTTACCCATTCTTTCAACAATCCACGCAGTCTGTTGTGGTACAAACCGAACAATAGTGTTTGTTGGTAACTTCTCCCTTTGGAAGTAGTTCAATGAAGTAGTCAAATTGTTGGCATTGTTTGAAAAACTACGAATGCCATAAGACACTGCTGGTTTTGAGACTCCCAATGCCTTCAAAGCACTCGTGGGTACATATCTAATAGCCAGAATCTTATTCATGATAGCTAGTTAATTGTATGGAACAACAAATAGTGGAGAGAGGCAAAACTAAAAAGCAACAACTAATTTTCAGTCAATTATTATTTGGTTGAAACACGACTGTGGCGATGGTAGTTGTATTGAATACTCTCAGATGATGTGGATAGATGAGCAAGAATATTATAATAGGTATTGGACGACAAGTGTTAGCTTTTCTCTCATTCATAAGCACCACTGTATTAGATTTATAATTGGTGATCAAGATAATTTGAAGCTTTCATTTCGTATTTTCTCCCCAATTAGTTTGACTTTATTCTAACATTCGTCATCGCAGATTATCATGAACAGAACTGTTGAAATCTCAAATAATGAGAGACAGTATGTTCTTCAAGGACTTGCTAATGGAATCCGTACCGATGGACGTTCGCTAGATACATCAAGAATGCCAGAAGTGTGGATAGAACCCAATGAGTATGGATACGTGGAAGTGAAATGGGGTAAAACTTATGTTAGTTGTCGAGTTAGCAGTGAAGTTGTAGCCCCATTTGAAGACCGTCCGTTTGAAGGATTATTTGTGATTAATAGTGAAATCAGTTCGCAGGCAAGTGCTATGTTTGATAACTCCAAAAGTGGAGTTGACGAAGTATTAATTACTCGAATGATTGAAAAGGCTGTTCGCAGGTCCAATGCTTTGGACTTGGAAAGTCTCTGTATTGTTGCAGGGAAGAAAGTATGGAGTATTACTGTGGATGTCAACTTTCTTAACTACGATGGCAATTTTATTGATGTCACTTGCTTTGCAGTGATGATAGCTTTGCAACATTATAAAAAGCCTGATGTACTGGTTGAAGCTGGAGGAGATAAGATTATTGTACATCTGGTAGATGAGAGACAGCCAGTTCCATTAAGTATTTTGCATGTTCCAATTTGTCTTACCTATCTGTTCTATAATTTGGGTGATATCGAAAGTAACATTAAGGGCGAAGGAACTGAATCTCAAGAAGTGAGTGTTTTAGATGCATCATTAACTGAAGAGTTGGTAAGAGATGGATTTTTGGTGATAACTTTGAATAAAAATAGGGAAATAATTCAGATTTCGAAAAATGGAGGATTACCTATTGATGCATTAAATTTAATGCGTCTTAGTAAAGAGCTGATGGAATGGGTTGATAAATTGACGGAGGTGATGAAAACTACACTTGTTGCTGATGAAAAAGAACGATACGATAGACTCCATTTGAAGTTGCTTGAAGTCGGTGCCAATCGTTAATCACTACACTGGTAAATAATTGAATTGCCAATTATGGTTGTACAATAGAAATAGATATGAACTTATGGGTTCATGAAACTCGTTTATTGTTAATCTAACTAGAGGTAAAACAAATCAACCTGAAGCATGAACGAAATAATGGAAAGGGGAAACTATATATTCATAAACTAAGTATATAAGGGCATGTAATAGAAGGATGCAGTTGAGGTCATGGATGATTATGGACAAATGTTAATACGGGGTCCGGTTTTTGAGTCTTTTGCTTAAAATGAATGAAAGGACCATAGTGGTGTGAAATAAGTGCTGTTGGCACATTAAGTGATAATGATACAAATAATTAAAATGAACTGATTAGACCATATCTGATGCCTTAATATTATTAAGGTTGACAATGCTATTTGTGGTCTCTCTGACTGTCAGAACTGGTGTTATGCTGTTCAATAAAGGAATGGTTGGAGTGACATCAGCCACTGTATTGTCCTTTTCAAAACTAGGTTGAGGTAAATTAGAATCCTTTCTCGATCTGCGTTTGTTCATGCTACGCACATTAGAAAATCCTAATGAATTGGAGTTCAACAGGAAGTACTTGCCAACACTCATGGTCACCTTAGCACACAGCTTGCGTAATCTCTTAAATGAACCACTAGTGACATATGTGTACAAAAGGAACTCCAAAGTGAAAATGACAAAGGCTATGAGAAATCCACAAAATACAGCAAGACCAATATGATTTGCCAACAGCTTGATGAATTTAGCATCATCCAAATGCCATGAACTACCCGGTGCTATGGCGAAAAACAGGTAAGGACGAGATTTATAATCTTCAGGCATAAGCACTCTGACTTTACCAGCTTCGGGAACATTACCCCATCTGTTATATTGTTTGAGGATTACCAGGAGGAATAAGGGACCTGTAGAGTACATGATGGTCAAATATGGAATCAACCAGTTATGCTTATAGTTTGCCAAGGAGTCCACAACCTTTACGAAAAATGGGTGTCTAGCTACAGAGCCCATGACATCATTGGAGATACCAGTTGGGTCTGTCTTTCTTACAAAAGCAGGAACGGTCAAAAGGGGGTCCAATTTCCGTTCACAGCCATCATCCAAATCAATGTATATCCCACCGTAATGTAAAAGTGCGAAATAACGAATAGCATCAGCTCTTTGAATAGGGTAAGGATAAGAATCCCAAGTGGGGATAAACCATGGGTATTCCTCAAGGATAAATTGACGAGCCATCTCATCAGTCCATAAAATGTATTGATATTCTGGGTGTAAGTCAACACAAGCCTTTTGACCAGGTTTCCATATATCTGGGATTTCCTCAGTCTTATAAGTTTGATGAATGATCTTTGGGATAATTTGAGGTCTGTCTAATTTACCATCATGAGGATTAAGTTCATAATCAAGTAAGGCATAGTTTGCTGTGTCATCGTAGACTAAGGTGATTAAATCAAATGTGTACCAAAAGAGAAACACCACCAATGCAACATGACCCCATATTATATATTGAGCTTCTTTCCTCATTATGCACAAATGCTTTTGTTGTGGGAATGACGAGAGACCTATGGGCTCAGAAATGCTATAGTGTCAGAAAAAGGTATGCTATGGTAATAGTATAACTTGTCGTTTAAGAAATAATTAAAGTTATAAATATTGATAAACAAACAGTAAGTATTTTAACTGCACAAGTAAAACCCAAAATTCGTTATCCTGAGGTGGGGCATCCACGATTAAATATACTTAGTGTGCCTGCCAATCCTACTGAACATGGAGAAAAAAGTCCAAGCAGAGGACACTGCACAGATAGAAGACGCAAAATAGGAGGCGAGGTATTCACCAGGCACAACAGAAAGTGGCACAGATAGAGTAGGTGACAGGCTACTGATAGGGAAAAAGTTGAATGGCAGCAACCGGTGCAATTACAATAATAAAGCATGACGCTACAGCATGATTTTGGTGGGTTAATGCAAGGAAGCTTCATTTTTGGCTGATGTACATTTGTTATGGCCGCTGATAATTACAATGATCGATCGTCATAGGTGATGAAAGATGAAAGTTGAGAGATGAGTAGGTTAAAAAAAGCGGCGGACCATATGGAAAAAAGAAACAAAACCATTTGACAAAGAAATATGAAAAAAAAATAACAAGAAAACAATAATTCGGTAGTGCTTAAACCGATTGTTCATACCACCATTATTTTGTAGTTTCCCACAGAGAGGCGAAGTCGATTCTATAGGACCCCCCACGATTCACATTATCATTCACTAATATACTATATATTTGAATGTTTAACTTGCGGGTTTTGATACTAGTTCATAACGGTTTTAACAATTCATTTCATCACCAAATTCACAATACGTTACATTATCTATAAATTTAAATATGTGTTTCCTTACTCCATTTCTATTAATCGTTTGATTCCTGGACATATGCTCCTGTCACTCCTAGACATATGTTGTCATAAAAAATCCACGGCTGATATATGCAATCGTAACCCGTGTAATAGTCGTGCATGGGTCCAGCTTCAGATCCCCCTATTTATTCATCGGTGACAGTTCTCCTATAATTTGGTATTGTTGAAGCTCTTTGGTATTGTACCCGCCTATTCTGTAAGCGCTGCCAGTTTCTTACTGCAGCTACCTTTTACTTGAAATATTGCTACTTGCTATTCCATTGGAACTCCTTCATTGCATAATAAAAACATGTCCTTACCATCCAGCGATCACTTCTACTATGCAATCCTGATTTAGCTCCTGTAAAAAAAACTGGGGGGAGGGGCACAAGTATTTACCATATCGTCATAGTACATTTCTGATTGTACATCCACATCTTGGATTTGTTTCGTAGTATCTCGAATCCGATTGAATGGTTCAATTACTATTGTACATACTGCCGTTATTTTCAGTACCACTTTAAAGTAAAACTGCCTCTAATAATGCATACATCCTGGCCTTCCATTAGAGCATATCTAACAATCTCGTGTAGTTTTCGGATTTATTATGTCTTATTTTTTAGTTTCAGTTCAACTTTAACCTCCGTGAGTATCTCTTGTGTCTGAAGTATGATATAGCACAAAAATTGAAAGATGAATACAAGTTTTATATGAAGTATAGTTAGCCATTATTTAAAATTGTTTTCCTCTGTTTGTTTATCAAAGAAGCCCCACAACCGTGTAGTCGATGTTTATTCTATTGTGTACTAATAGGTCGTTGCTTGGCAACGAGCATTTTGACAGGAGACATTTTTATGTGGTGTCACATTAGATCTTATTTGGTTAGGTCACTCTTTAAACAATTTGAAGAACAATTATGCCTAAAAGACTGACTTGTTCGATCTATTTGTAACATTCCAGTTGCTGTATGGCGGAACAGGTGAATCACTCGTAGAACCATTCATAATTTTAGTTCCAGTTTTGGTAACAATTCCTTGGATTTAATCGAAAATGTGACGTCCACGGTAGAAAATTAATAGGGTTTCCACTACACTGGCTGACCCCACCCCACATATCATAAATTTTTCATGCTTTTTCTGTAGCTTGTACGTATGTTTCTACAATACAGAGGACTGGTTTCCTAATGAACAAGAGAAACAGCGAACAATAATATTTAATCATTTAATGTGTATTGCAACATTTATTTGTGCAAATTAAAAGATAATAATTTCACTATTCACTAACATATATTATTCATAACTTCACCTTACTAACTTCTTGTGACTTCAACGTACGATCTTCGTTTTTGTCTACAATGTCGATCAAATAATTGATGTTCACAATATTGATAACATTTTCTTTGTCGGAATCCTCATAATATAACAGAGTCAACGCTTTCAAAATAAGATTTAAATCCTTTGGGTTTCTGATGGCAACAAATGCCTTAGTCTTTGCTTTGTTCTTGAAAATCTTAATTAAACGTAAATGGTTCAAATAAAACAAACAACTCAATAAGTATTGTTTGTTAATACTTTCCACATATCGTTGTCCATTCCCACTTGCTTGAATCATCTTAAGAACTATCTTAGTCGTGGGGAATAATCCACTATCAATAGTTTGAGCAATTAATTTCTGCTCATAATTATAATCTGGCTCTTCAAACTCCTTCAGTTTGTAGTAATTGGCAATTGCTAAATTCAAATTCTTGATGCAAAGAATATAACTTTCAATGAAAGGATTAAAGAATTCAGTAAATAACTGAACATAATCAAAATCAATAACTTCATACTCTGCTCCTATTTTTGCTTTATCTTGTAAATCCTTCAACAAGTTACTTAATTGATTCCTAGGATTATAATCATAGTCAAAAAGGAATTCGGTTTTCAAAAATCCAGTAAAAACATAAAACAACTTATGCATATAATCAATTCTGTTGGTACGCAAGACAATGAAACAAGCCAATGATCTATGGATAATTAAATGGATTGTCAAGTTCTTATAGTATAACAATTCAATAGGAGTATCAACTCTGAGACAACTCCGAGAAAAGTTTACCTTGACAAATCTGAAGAATCGACCAACGTAGACTTTAATCAATTTTATCAACTCCGCATCTGACATACTCTGTAAGTTAGTTAAAACCACAATATTACCTTCATTCTCAGCGTACTTCTCCTCCTCTAAGAATGTTTCAATTAAAAGCCTTAAAGTCGGAAGCATATCCTTTATGGGGAATTCCTCTTTCGGCTGTATCCGCTTGCTGTAGTAATAAGCATATATACCACAACCAATCACACTAATTTCTGGTAAGAAGCAAATCCTATTGATTTCGTGGAACACAGTGAAACCCAACTTCTTCAAATTGACTTCATATTCAACCTGACCAATGTGATATATGGGTTCATTATCTTCCAGGATTATTGCCGTTGTTTGCTTTTCACTTGAAATGTATTCAGACATTGTAAAAGAGTTTCCCAACCGACAATACATCTTCCCATGCAATCTTGCAGCACCATTATCATACCAATCCTTTTGCTTGCACATATCTTCGTAACTTAAAGACTTACTAGCATTGAAGAAGGATGTGGCACCATTCAGAATAATATTTAAGAAACTCTCCTGTTTCTTGTCTTCTCCCAATAATTCATTTATGTAACCATCTGTTTCATAAACCCTTTCATAAGTTAAAGAAACAGGTTGAATTAATAAATCAAAATCAGGATTATTGTCTTCCAACGTTTGTTTCAAATAAATAGCCGCACAAGTTTTCAAGATACCATATTTTGGTAATAATGATTTACCATCCCGAGATCTTGTTCCTTCAATGAATACTTCCAACGGAATCTTTTGATTAAAGACAAATTCCAAGTAATTGAACAAGTTTCTTTCTGTGTAGAGTTCATTATTGAAACTTCTTTTAATGAAAATGGCACCCATTTTCTTTAAGAGACCACCAAAAACGGCAACATTTAAGTTTTCCCCAGCGATAACATGAGGCGTTGCCATTTGAAACCTAAGAGCCAAAATGTGCATGATGATGTAGTCAATATGAGAACGATGGTTGGGCAAGTAGATAATAGACATGGGATTCTTACGGTACTTTGCAAATAATGTTTCCATTTCTCCCGAATTGACCCATACACCTTGAGGGAACATTCGTTTAAATAAAGTAAGAATGGTGGCATAAGCAGAATGTAATACAAATGAAGATTGATTCAACGGAAGATTCTTTTCATTTTCCTTGGTATAATATTCTACCATATACGCCTTAACTGCCTTGCATCTTTCTGGATATTCCTTGGAGGTGATCAAGTTCATGCGCAACTCCAAATCTACCAAATTGTTGACGATTTCATCCAATTTCTTGTCTCCATGAGTAAGCTTATCGTGCAAATATTCTCTTTGCAATTTTTGGAACTTTTTGGAGTGCTTGTTGAAGAAGTAATGATATTCCTGGTTCTCGTAAATCAGTGATAAGTCAAGAGAACCAGCTGTTATCAACCATATAAAGTTTTCCAAAAGTCTAAAGTTCCTTTCAAATGGTACATTGGCATCATTATCGAGAAGCAGGGTTTCAGGCAATGGGAACGGCACAATGACTGGTTGATCAAAGGCATCTGCCAAGATGTTCACGTCGAAATATCCGGTCGTCATTGCAACTTGATAAGTAAAATTTCTCAATGGATACACACAGATAAAACTAACGATAGAAACGTCTAATGCTTTGAAAAATTACCTATGTCGTTCTTCAATTCTTCTCAAGAGCCATTCCTAACAAACTTTATATACCAAATCTCAATTCAATTTGTTGGGTCGGACCTCTTTCAAGAAGCGAGGTTCACGTTATTACTGTAAACAGAAATAAGTGCTGTCAAGACCCACACGTCCTGGTGGGCTCGGTGGGGAAATCCGGGGATGCGATTTTCAATTTCAGCCGCGGCTCACATCCAATGTCCAAGACTACTGGCTCTTGTTCACGACGATTCGATTGAACCAACTAGAGCTAACCTTGCTACGCAATTGTTGATAACATTGTGGGATAAATTTAGAATTAAGGATCCAATTTATTTGTTTATTTATTTATTTGTTTATTGTTTTGTTCTATCTTCGTAAATTCTAATTGCTGATCGCTGCACATGCAGTTGATAACCATTCTTGTTTCTCATCTTTCATTCTCACTATATGCGATCTGGTATATACAACAATTAATGCATTATATTATGGTAGCCTTTATAAGTTGGCAGGGAACTTTGCAAAGTCAAACATGGCATCATTTTCAACTCCGTTGTATTTGTAGTTCAATTTCACTCTAAGCTTGACTTTTGCCCCCACCTTACCTTGAATACTTAATGTCTGTAAGATACTACTATTGGGTTCGGCCAAATCAAGAGTATCACTGGAACTACCAGAAGTAATTACCAATTTCTGTGTTTTTGGTACAGCAATCAATAATTGAACCTTGGTGACAGTACCGGCACTGGTGACTCCTGACCCCTTAATGATAGCTTTCACTGTTGCTTGACCGTCTCCTGGAAACCGTTCAGGTATCATCATCACTTCCAAATGATCATTCTTGAAGGCAGAAATCGCATCGGGATTGCCAACATTAGGTGATGCATTCACAATAGAAGTCTTCATGGGGGGTGGATTGGAACCGGTACCAAAGATATCACTCAATAAATCATTAGTATTATGAGTTTGAGTAACTGGATTAGTACCAGTAGGTTTGTCGTCCATGAGATCAAGTAATAGGTCTGGTCCTCCATTGTCAAATACAACCTCTTTACCATTAGAATTAGGACTACCGGCCTGACTAGCACCCAAAGCACTTTGCACTTTGCTCGAGGGGTTCTTGTGTAATGATACAGCTTCTCTTAATTTGATTGGAGGGGCCGGCATTCTTGCTAACAAACCCTTCCGTAATGCTAAATCCAGTGCAAATATTTCTTGATATTCAATGGCTTTAATTTGAATCTCTAAATTGGGATCTTGTGACTTAATGTTGAGAATTTGTCTTAATTCTTCGATACTTTCTGTTTTTTTGAACTTAACTGTTAACTTTATGTCTGCCGTAAGAATATAACTAGTGATAACAACAAGTTCTTGTTCTGAAAATGTCGAATTGTTTAATAATAAATCAAACATTTTCAAAACTGTTTTCTCCGTAATTGTCTGCTTATCTTCTTCTATTTGTTGCCCTTCGATCAACTCGTAATATTCTCCAATACACCAAGTGGTTACCAACAGCAAACCATATTGTGAATGATCTTGTGACCAGAGATTGAATAATCTCAAAACAATGTGTCTTTTCAACTCCATATCATCGCATTGAACAATGAGAGCCAAAATATTGGATATAATATCAGGAGTAACATAATTTCCTGCCAATCTTAGCATCTTAGTTAAAGTATCGAAATGCCATTTATCATTAGGAGAATACTTATTAACTGCCAAGGTCAATTGACTTGTTATGTATAATTTCAAATCATTTTCAGTGCACTTTTCTAAAAATTGAAGTAGCTCTCTTGCTAAAACTCGAATGTTTTGCTCATTAGCAATGGCAAACAGTAATTCCAATGCTCTTCTTCTAATTGAAATATCTCCATCAGCCAAGCAATTGACAATCGTTGTTCTATGTCTTTGAACTGCTTGTGGCTCAATATTGATAACCACTAGTAATGTGTCTAAAGCAACATATCTAATGTTATTATCCCTTGTTGATAAAAATTTACCTAGTAAATTGACCCCCAAAATCTTCAAGGATTGGTCACTTTTAATAGCAAAAATGGCTTTGATGCACTCATACATAATAGCATAAGCAGAGTTTTTACGATTTTCAATGTTAGATGCAACTTGCGTTAAGATATCGTTAACACTTTCCAAGTAATTTGAAGGACAATTCAGGTCAACAGCTAACACTCTGATCGTTTGAATTAAGGATACTTGCAAGAAGGGATCAGTTATTCCCGCGACATCATAATCAGGCATATACCCACTAGTACTAGCTCTTTTTAAATGCTCAACCAATTTGGGAATTGATGAAATCAATAACTTACGATCAGTTTCAGTTCCAACACTGTACATACTTTGTATTAATTTCAATGTTCCCAATAAAGGTCCAGGCAGCTTATCGTTAAGAAGAGTTGGAACTTTAGGAATAAATATTTCTAATAAATCAGGCTCCTTTTCAATTAATTTGGCTGCCACAATAGTTGACTTTTTCTTCAAGTATGGATTGTTAGAAGAATTCAAGATCTTCTCCACATCAACGTACAAATCTCTAGCCAATTCACTGGAAGCAATATTTCCTAAACAACACAAAGCTAACCCGACTATAAATGAATTGGGGTGTTGCATGTCGTTATCTAAGGAATTCGTCAATAATGTCAACACTTCTTGGTTTTCATCTAATAACAACATAGTTGCAAGGTATCCTAATCTTTTATCGGCGAATCGTTGACTCACTAATAACTTAAGACATTCCACTTGACCAAAGTGAGTCTTCTCTCCCATGATGTAAAGATATAACAACTTACTAATGTTGATTCTTCTGGTTGTTTGATCCAAGTTTGGATCTCTGAACGAAGTCCGGATAGCCGCAGACTCCTTTTTAATCACAGCTCTTTCATCTGCAATTGTTTTGGCCTTCCTCACGGCCTTTATAAATGATTTCATAGACCCCATTTTGGATTTTGCTTGTTAGCTTGAAGAAGTTAGGTTAGGAAGCGTGTCTCTTGTATTAACAACACACTGACAGATTTCAAGATTGGGAAAACATAAACTTTGGGTAATACACGACCACAAATTTTAGATCAATCTCTGTTATATGTTAAAGTATATACTGTCTGCCCCTAATGAAGGGCTAGCATTTCAGCTGACTATGTTTTTAGCACCCCCAACAACGGGGAAGATCAAGATCGCCACAAGCAAGGGAGATATTTTTGTGGATCTTTGGTGTAAGGAAGTTCCTATTGCTGCCAGACTCTTTATGGAGAATTGCATAAAGGGAAAGTACAATGGAAGAGCATTTGATATTATAAAACCTGAATATCTGGTTCAATTATCAGTTTCAGATAAAATAGAGTATAATCTTAAAGATGAGTATCATTCCAGAATACGATGGCATCAAAGAGGAATGCTTGGTGCTATATTCAATGATAAACAGAATAATCATCATCTGTTGGAATCTTTCTTCATTACGTTAACACCTATTCCAGAACTAGCCAATAGAGCGATCCTATTAGGTAAGATTACCAATAGTGATAGTTGGTACAACTTATTAAAGATTAGTGAATCTGAACTAGATAATTATGACAAGCCAAGGTTCCCCGTAGTTATAAACCTGATTGAGGTCATTGATGGTTTTTTTAATGGGTTGACCATAGAAAGCAAAGGCAAAGTAGATGGCCCACTTCACAAGAAGCAAAGAAAGGATACTGCTCTGGTGATTAAGAAGCCGAAGGTTAAAATTTCGTATGAAGAGTCTGCAAATGACGGGAGTGATGATGATGATGATGAAGCTGGAACTACGGTAAGAATTCAAATGAAATCTGCAAATGAAACTTTTTATGGATATCTGGAGACAAATAAGCAAAATAAAGAGGCTGAAATTGTAGGTAATACAGATGGAAAAGTTGAAGAACTTTCAATAGTTGGGCCAGCGGTACATATAGAAGCATCCGACGATACATCACATAGAAAAGCAGAGAGTAGTTTGGTTAAGGAGGTTTCACAAGACAATAAAGACAAATTAGAAGCTCAAGATAAAGTTCCAGAACCTGAGAAGATTTTAAGGGACCCAACTATTGATTCAGATTTTGATTCAGACCTTGAGTTTGATGATGTAAAGGTCGATTTGTCCGCATTAAACAGCCATCATTTTACCTCACGTCAAGTGAAAATGATACAATACTAATATAGATCAATACTAATTCAATTATGATCACTCTCAATTGCATTCAATATTCCCATGTAAAAAACCTAAAAGTTCTAAAACTATATAACTGTATATTTGTCAAAAAAAAAAAATAAGGAAAGAAATAAATCAAAAAAGATACAAGACAACACCCAATTAGTCTTCAAATTCTTCTGCCTCTTCATCATCATCACCTTTGAACGATTCCGAATATCCTGGAATATCATCATGGTCATTTGCCAATTCTTCGTTCAGAGCTTCACCAGTAAACCATGGATGTTTTAACAACGAGTGAGCATCATATCTATCTTCAACATTGTAACGTAAACATTTTAGTATAAGATCGACTATCAACTCCAATTCAGGGTCTTCAGGGTCAAATTTATATTTCTCAATCAAAACATTTCTTAACTTCCAAACCTTCAAATTAGAAATATTCTTCAATACAACTTGGTGTTGCTCGTTATTCTCATCTAACTTGAAATATTTTGTAGTGAAATAGCAGTCAATCAAAAATTCATCAGGTGGATATTCCCCTAGTAGTTCTATTATTTGAGCCAAATGGTCTTCATCCTTGTCAAAATGCGTCCCGTTATGTGGATCAAACAAGTAATCTCCAGTTATCAACTCAAATATAATACATCCAAGCGACCACATATCAGTAGAGGCTCCCCATGAGTCGTGTCTTAAGATAGTTTCAGGCGCTCTATATTGGCGAGTCTGAATTTGATTGGTGAAATGGGAATGGGCATATGTAGCATTTCCCAAATCAGCTATTTTAACATGTATCTCTTCAGATGAAAATTGTTGGATAGAATTAACTCCAACCGAGGCTGAAGTTGATAAAGCTGGAGGACCAAGGGAGAAATCTGAACCGGGTACTAATCTACTATTGGCTGAGTTCAATGTCGATACCGAAGAAGCACTGCCAAGACGTTTTATGAATGGTGATCTTCTTTGATCATGGCCGTCACCCATAAGCGAAAACGTCTTAGGACTGACTCCCTTGCCTCCTGAAGTTGAAGGCTTCCGTCTTGTATTCAAGAACGAGGGACTTCTAAGTGGAGCAGCCAAGGCTAAATTTGTAGAAGATGTACTCCCGTTTACAGACGGAATTGTTTGTAAGGGTGTCGAAACGGAAATATAAGATGAATTACTGCTAGTGTTAACAGCAGCTGAGGTGGAGTGGGAGAATGAAGTACCAGAAATGGATGACGACGACCGAGTTGTTGTTTGTTGTGGATTTTTTTGACTGTTTGATGAACCCACATCTTTGAAGGAAATGTTTTCTGTTGAAACAGTGAAAAGAGGTTTGGAACACCTAATGGGGGAGTCAAATTTACTAACGATTGAATTCTTGGATTTTTTATATGATCCCATCACAAGAGAGCTTGTAGAAGCCACCGATGAACCCCTAGCCCTAGAGAGAGAAGATTTCTTCATGCTGGAATGCTTTGACAAAATCGGGGTATCCACGCCACGTGTGGGATAGAATTGCTTCAATTTTGATAGCTTTTCGTGTTCAAAATACTTGATCAACTTACCAACATCCTTTATTTCTATCAATATATTTTCGGGTTTTAAGTCGGTGTGAATAACACCACAATGGTGCATGTAGTCCAAAGCCTTAAGAATTTGTTTTATAACTGATTTTGCTAATGAAAGCGGTAGACCACCATATGACTTCAGATCTCCATAGAGTTTTAGCAAGTTATCTTGGTGAAGCTTTTTCAAGTCCAAACTTTCATGTAGTGTGGAGTTGAAATGTTTAGGAACAAGTGGATCAATTTCAGGACTACCTTTATCCGAAATAGGTGACTTTATAATAATAGATGCCTTATCGTCCATAGATGGTTCATTAGGCAGAGGTAAATCCTCTTTGTCGCTGCTTTCATTATGATGAGTAGTTAGCAAGCCTAAACTAAGTTTGGAAATGGTTGATGATTGTTTTTTGGGCTTTATTTGGGGCTTCACAAACATTAGTTGCTCCCTAAAAAGATTTGCATACGATGACCTCTTTGGCTGGGATGGAATATTTTGAAGTGGTGGATCCAGAGTTACATCACAAGAACATTTACTAGTTGGACCACAATGACAGGATTCCGCTATAGTTGGGAATCCAATATTTGAATTTCCACAGGGGCAGTTAGATGACAGAAAGCTGTTTTGGGTTTGTTGTATCTCTTGATCCAATTGCAATTTGTGAAGATCATTATTGGAACGGATTCCGTGTTTGAATAATGATTTATACTTGTACAAGAAATGAAGCATATTCTCCCCCAAAACTTCGAAAACCATGCAAATATGACTTCCATTTGGTCCTTTGACATGGAAGTCATCAAGTAGTTTCATAATATGTCCGTATCCTTCATGAGAAACAGGTTGACCTTGCAGGTTGAATTTGAACTTCCCAAAGTAGCTATCGTAATGCTCCATAAATTTATCGTTAGGGGGGCATTTTAATGGAGTATCCAATGTTCGTAATATACGAATTTCGTCCTCAGCAGCTTCACTATATGTTTTATGAGACTTGACAAACTTTATCGCGACGTAGTAATCTAAAACATCTCCTGTAGTATGGGTGCCATCATCTGTCAAATAATTATCGGCAAAACTAGGCTGTCTAGAAAGTGAATGTGAACGTCTATGATGGCAATGCTTAGATTGCTGACTTCGAGTTCGGTGAAGGGATGCTTCATGTTCAGAAACAGAATCAGAACCATCTGCTTGTTGTGTTGTAGTGCTTTCTAGGTTTCGATTATATCTACACTTTGCTAACCAAACTGTAGAAAAGTGACCCCAACCTAACTTCTGAAGGATAATGTACTCCCTATTTGGTAGTCTTGTAGAGTAATATACTTCGCCCTTAGTGACAGGGTGATACCCACCCTTTTTATAGTCATTGGCAGATTCTTCCTGACTTGGATCAAAGTTTAAATCAGATTCTGTATCCAGAAGATAAGTGTTTGGGTCCTCTTCAGAGGTTTCCAAATCCTGAAAGACACCAAAATCGTCATTTGTTGATTGTCCTATAGTAGACTTATTCACATCCATATGGTCAGATTTTTTGTTATAGTTTGCATATCTAAGAATGGTTCTCAAAGTTTTTCTCTTAGAAGGTTGCTTCTTTGAGGATTTACCTTGCTCAGGAGTACGTGATGGAGTAATTGTTGCTGATGAATCAACGCCTGCCAAAGGGGGTGGTGTGTATGAAACATTTGGTGAAAACGGTCCCTGTGAGCTCAACGACACAGTTGTAGAAGCATTATTAGCACTACCGTCTTCTATATCTGCTGAGAATGTTGATGTCATCTCACTATTTTGAAGTGATATGCACTCTGATGTAAAGCTGGTGTATCGATCATTAGGTGTTGGAGCAAAAAGCAAGTTTGAATCATGGTTGAGGTTGTGGGAAGACAGACTTGGAGTATGCATCTTAGTATTGGGTGTCTCTAAAATATTTGAAGGCTCGGTAGTTAATAACCCTGGACTTGCTGTAGAGGGCTGGAACTCTAAATTAGGTGGCGTAGATGTTGGGGTAGGCGTCGTAGATACCAAGGAAATTCCAGAAATCTTCTGAATCAAGGTATTGGTAGTAGAAACTGACAGCGAGGGCCTAATTGTGGCTCCTGTTGCCTTTCTTTTGATTGCGGATGAGTAAACCTTACTATTGTATTGGCTTCCATCGTCATCATCATAATCATCGTAATCCTCGGCCTCATCTTCTTCCATTTCGTCTGGTGCTATTTCTTCTTCAATGCATTCGTCAAGCCGTATTTCCAAACAAGCGTCATCATCTGAAGGAATCGAAATTGATCCTGAATGATGCCTGCTTGTACGGTTGTTCAGCTCTAATACTTGCGGCGTGGCTGAAGTTTCATTATTGACATTATTGGAAGATGCAGACGTGGAGTTGCCAATCAAGGCTTGCTGATTACAACTTGGACCATCATTAGAAGATGATAAAAGATGGCATGACCCAGGATCAGCAGAAACAGCAGTTGATGATCTTGTCACTGGTATAGAGGTTGCAGAACTTCCAAGTTTTTTAAATATGCCAGTGAAATTGAACCTTGAAGTGGACTTCTTTTCTGGTGAAATTTCTGTGCTTGTGGTTGCCAGGATTTGGGTGCTATGCGGTTCACTGATTTGTGGTGATATGGTGGGATTGGCAACTACAGGTGGGGCACTGGTAGATACCGAAGAGGGAAAGGATTCCAGTGAGGGGTTGTAAAGTAGCAGCTTGGACAGGGTTTGAATGTTTTGTTTAGGAGGTGATCCTGATGATTTGGATGGATTGTTTTGTTTCGATCTATTGACTAGTAGCATGTTAAAAATATAACAATGCTATTATGGGATAATAAGTACTAACAAAACACAATTAGTGCTAGTAGATGTCAGTGACCTTGGAGTCTAAAGTTGATTTAGGTGGATAATTGGAAACGGGCAAGTTACATAAACTAGCACGTCAATCACTACTAGTGTGGAGATGAATGTGATGGAAACCCATGAACGGAGAATAAAAGGTAAAATTTACCAAATATACTAACCGAGATTAATGATTCGCTTTAAAGTTTGAAATAAACTCACAATCAAGCAAAATATAAAATACCACAATTATTTCTTTGCTAGAGATAGCCACTTTAATGATTTGGTAATACAGGAAGATTCAACAATTTATTGATAAGGAAAACCGTGCGAACAGCACGAAAATTAAACAAGCAAATGGTACGGTATTTCAACAAAAGTCCTCCAAGATTACTACATTACATAGTTAAAGATTATAAATCACTGATAACTAAGCAAATTAAAAAATTACTATACTCTTACGGAGTTCACAAAAACACCAAGGTGGCAATACAAACAACATGCCTGGAAAGTGTACGGTAACAACATTCTCATACAGTGCATTTAGATGTGACGGAGTGTATAGCGATTGTTGGAAATGTAAAATTTGTACCGTTAATTTATTAATGCAAAACGAAATCGCGGAGTAAATTGCCTTACGTCTATTCGCATCCATGAAGGTTACCCTTTCAGATGTACGTCTGGTAAAACTCTTATCCTTCAATACAAATTTCTTCCCAACAACTTAAATTCTCGTCATTGCACGTCCAATGTGGACAAAGAATACGGTTAGGCTTTGCTTTTTTTACTTGTTAAAATTTTTGTTCTCCTGTGCCACAGCTTTGTATCATAAGAAAATTTGGCTCATCATTCGGCATTTTTCCCTGTTTTTTTTCGATTCCTCTCAGTTTGTGGTTGGTTTATTTGGTCGGCTTTTTGAGGCCGACCGACAGTATGCGGGGGACTCAGCAGGTTCCAAGAGGGGTGTATACATCATTGTAGAGGAATGAACATTGTGTATTGTTTAAGACAGCAAGAATACCGATTAATTATGCCTTTTCCGTAATTTTGAATCTCCTGATGCTTAATTAATTTCGATACCTTTATGATGATTAGATAAGGAGCCTCGATTCCGTGGCCCCATCTACAGGCTTCATTTCTGTTTGTAATCTTTTGCTTATCCGGAAGGTCACACATCTTATGCGAAACCTATGTCAACACGATCCAGCGCTCCCAGTAAATCCCGCTTTCAATGCAAATGCAGATCGAGTATCGTTTCATACAGGGATAACATGTTGCGAACCAATGTGTTCCAATCTTGACACAATTGTATAGCCGAAATCAAAATCAAGCTTTTATTGTTCCTTTATTGTCTACTGATTTCAATAGGAATTAATGACCTCATCAAGGAGATTACCTCTACAAATGAAGCTTAATCAAATATAATCAATTTAAAAACGGTTCACCAGGGGAACGAGCGAAAATACCGTACTTTGATGTCTGATCTACTCTTTAGAGTGGTATTTATAATTGGGAACGTTAGACATGCCAGACCCGGGCTGCATAACTCATTTTCCGGCCAGCTGAAGTACTTTCCTTCAAAGCTAGCAATATTTGATATATGTGCTTTAATGACAACCGGACACACCGGGTGGGATTGGAGATGAACGCAAAATCTAATTGATGACTATTTTATTCAACTTAAGTTATAAATCCAGCATAGTCAGAAGATGAGTAAAATTGAAATGCCTTTTAATAACTATTTGCAATAGCATCAATGAGAGGGCATACCAAATTATTCTCAAAATTATGACTGCCGCAATTGATTTTGTCTAAGCTGTTAGTAGCTTGAAGGGTAAGTGGTAGAATGCTTTGGATGAATGGGTACTTATGAGGCTATTAACATCACAGATTTCAATTTATTATACAAATTACTTACAATCGCTGAATTGATGAGCTTGCCAGGAATGAGCTTTATTCATAGTCAATGTTGTTGCTTTTGTCTCTTTCCAACTCTTCTTTCACACCAAATTCACCATTCCAACCGTTCTCTCTCAAATATCTTTTGAACTTGATATCCTCTTCCATTAAATCATCATCGTTTAAATGTGGGATGAAAAGACCACCTATAATTACACCAGCAAGACCACAACAAGCAGCAATAATAAATGTCCATTTTTCACCCAAGTTATCTCTGATAGGGGTAAAAGTCTTGGTACCAACAACAGCACCAACTTTACCAATAGCAGCAGATATCCCATATCCGATACCTCTGATGGGAGTAGCATATGATTCACTACTGGCCAATCCCATGACATCACCGGGACCCAAATTACCACAACTCATCATCAAGCCGTAGAAAATTATGAAAAGTGGAGTTATTTTCTTGATTTTTTCATATGCTAAACCAACAATTAAACCAAACACAATATAACCACTGAACCCTATGATTAAGGTGTATTTACGTCCAAGATGGTCCATGAGGAAAGCACCTATAATCACACCTGGAATTGCAATGATACCCAATAAAAGGTTCCATTCTGCAATAACTTCCAAATTCTTACTATCCTTTTTAGCAATAACAGACGAGATAATGTTAGCCAGGAAGATACCATTAGGGAAGGTGACAAAATCATACAAGAACCAACAAACACATGTACCAATTAAACGTGGATAATAGTATTTCAAAGCAAGGAAATAAGGTGGCATTTGCTTTCTGATTGCAGACTTTTTAAATAATTCACTTGTTGCCATCTTCCAACGGAAGTAAAAGATGACCAAGGGCCAGAAACAACCAATGGCAAACATTGTTCTCCAAAGACCTTCCAAGTCAGTCTTTGTAATTTTGTTAACAATTAAGAATACAATTAAGGCAAAGGGTCCACCAAAACTCAATGGTAAGTTGGTACAGAGGACAAAGGCACGTCCTCTTCTCTTGATACTTTCATTTGCAGCTTCGCTTGCACTCACAGAAGAACTAGGGTACTCGGCACCGACACCGAAACCAGTTACACCTCTTGAAACCGTCAACATCCAGAACATCCCTAAAGGAGTTATACCATGAGCTGCAGCAGACATAGTACTTCCAAGAATAATGAAGACGGTTCCCAAAACAATTGACCACTTACGACCAATATAGTCTGCTGTGAAGCCAACAACAACTTGACCAAAGATCGTACCCACTAAAGAAGCATTTGAAACTTGGGCAGATAAGTTTGCGCCATAAAGTTTTGGATAAATAATCGCAAATACCTTGTTAAGCATTGTCATAACGTTATTTTGGTAACCATCTGAAATCAAGGCAAACCCAGCACATAGAACAGTTAATACGTCTCTCCATTGTGTGCCTTTTGCTAACCTCAATTTACGCTCATCTGCATCATAAGCAAGTTCATCTTCGAAAGGAAGAACTTCCACAACCAGCTTATCTTTTTGATGCACACCGTCCTTACGACCAGAAGAGTCGTCAGATTCTTCGAAAGACATGTTGGGATATTAATTGATGAAAACTATAAAATCAAGCTGTTCACATGTGGGGTTTTGCTGTAATTTATATTAGCCATAGACGAGGAAAGCTACACACAGATCATAAGTTCAAGATAGGAAATACAGTTCACGAAGTCATTAAAGAACGTGGTCCCCTCATTTGTAGCACGTTTTGTACTAAAATTAAATCGTAAACCTATGCAATTATCACAATCATGTAAATATATTGGTAAATCTCTAAGATGAAGGAAGGCGTGGAGGTTGCAGGCACCTTAAGTTGCACCTCAAACCACGGAAAAGTACCTTCCACACAGTACAAATTATGAAGGCTAACAAATGACCTATTCTGGCAATCTGAAGCCGATGTGTAATTTAAGCCGTAGGAACTCCTACATTCACAGGGATAACATATAGGAAACTTTATGTATCAGATGGAGCCGTAGATAATTAGTAATTACACAAAACAAGTATAGTGGTTGCAACAATCCATTAACAGGCAATTCTATTATAGACTTGCTTAAAAAGAGAGAATATTCAAGTATAATTTAAGGTATAAAAATACGTTATACTGGTGTATCATTTCCTCGTACTACACTTTGTAGTGACTCTCAAGTGTAGTACTCAACTCATATGATGTTTTGTGTTTATTTTACTTGTGGTAACGGAAATCTATGTTTTTTCTTCGCGCCGACAAGTTGTCACGTTTGACAGGTTTGACAGGTACGTAATTTGTGTTACTGATGGGTATCGACAGTTATTGTCAACGGCACAATAGACAATAAGCTAAAACAACCACCCCAACGGCTTCATGTATGGAATAGCGGTTATTAGTATACTATGCGTGGTTAAAGTTACTTTGGACACCGATCCACGTGTACGATACGGCTAAGGCGCTTCATACAAACCTCAGTTAATCACCTATTCCTCGTACTACGTTGAATTTCTATCACAAATAAATATCAATTTAAAAAGGTCGCATGAAGAAAGGAGAATTATAATACAGTTACAAAAATATTAGTTAAGTTTAAGTTTGGTTACTTACCAGTGTACTTTCTTTCCAAAGGTCTGGCAATATTGTAAATGACAAAGGCAAAACCCATAGCCAATTCAAAACCAATATCTCCTCCATAATCACCAATTTTCTTGGCAATAGGACCTTGGAACCACACTTGGTTCATACCCAAAACACAACCAGCAACACCGCAGCAGAAGGCCAATGTACCAGCATATCCGTCTGGATAGGAGGCAGGATTCAAGTAATCAACATAGTTGTAATTTGAAAACTTACCCTTCTTGTAGAAGAAGTGCTCCGAGTAAGCAATACCTTGATAGATAGCTAAATAGTAACCAATCATGTTCATGAAATTATCCATGACATCTTCGAACTGATAGTAGGCTGGAATACAGATAGCTAATGTAACAAAGTTACCAGCAATGGTCCAGAAAACACGAGGAACCTTCATCAAAGGAGACCAAGCAGCTTGAGCACTCAAAGCGATGGAGTACATGTTAGGAATGTTATTAGCAACGGTAGACATAGCTAAAATCACACACAAAAAGGAACCAAAACTGTGTAATGAGTCAACAACCAAGATGGAGTAAACTAAACCACCAATGGAGTTAGTTTTGTAGTAACTGGCCCAAACAGTGTTAGTTATTGTACCAGTGGCACAAGCAGAACCCAAGATCATAGTGAAAATCAATGGGATTAATAAACCGGCGAGAATACCAAAAAAAATCTTAAACATGTTAGTGTTCTTGGGTTGGTAAACAGTGTAATCGGCAGCATAAGTAGTCCAACCAGTGGCAAAACCATAAACAGCACCACCAAAAGATAAAACATTACCGGCAGTGGTTTGACCGCCAACAGTGGTACCGTATGTGAAAGTTTTGGCTTTGGCCATTCTAGCAATAATAGCAATGAAACAAATAGCATTAGGTACCCAAGACCATTTTTCGTAAAGGTGGATGACATGGTAACCAAAAAATGTAACAATAATTGTAGCAAGAACCAAAATAAGACAACCGGCCCATGGAGGGACAATGCCCCCGTTGATAACATGCAATAATTGAGCAGATGCCATGATGTTCACTGCACCCCAACCAACGCAAGCAATCATGTTGATAACAGCAAATATTCTAGAAGTAAAGTTACCAACCAAGTATCTAGACAAAAGCATTTGTCTCAATCCAAACTGGGGTCCAAAACAAGAAAAGAATGCCACGGATAAGGCACCCAAGATGTTAAAGGAGATGATGGTGGCTACACATTGCCAGAAGGACAAACTAAAAACAGTAACACCCAAAGCACCCAAACTGAAGGTAGCGATGACCATATTAGCAGATAACCACATTGTAGCAGCAGCCCATATTGAAGCCGATAATCTTTCTTCTTCGGTGACTCTTTCAATACCCTTGGTTTCAGCATTTAACTTTGATGCCCACTTGTCCACAAAACTTAATTGAGTAGTGGTGATCTCTGCTGTTGCATAGTTTGAGTCTTTTTCATAGTCTTGGACTTCCTCAAACGACTTTTTTATGGCCCCATCTTTTTCCAAGTCAGACATTTTTTTATAGAGTCAGTAGTCTTGATGCAAAAACAGTTAAGTTAAGCTACCTGGCTATCTTATCACAAGATGATAAAACTAAGCGACTCAAGATCTATGCATTTTGAGAAAATCCATCGGATATTTATATAAGTGGCCTTCCATTCAGTGCTTAATGTTTTTGAGCTATCAAGTTCCATCACCATATGGCTTAAGGTTTTTTTCTTTTTTACCCGTACACTCTTTTCGCATTGTTCAGTTAGTTTTTTGTCTGCATTTTATTACGTTGACTTCTCATTTCAGACACACAATTTAAGGGTGTGCGATCAAACAAAACCGCTATCTATTGTCGTTGAATTGGGCGGGATTAGACTATTGCGTCTTATACCATATTCTTATCCTACCTGATGTGCAAAATCTTTTCTTATCGTTACAGCAGATAATCATTAATGGATGCGTTCTATTTAAATGTTAAAGTTTAAATCTATGCGACATGGTTTATGTGAAGTGGCTTATGAGTATATTACCTTACAGTGAATTGGAACAGCATTTACTGTGCTGCCTGAGATCCTTACAATATGTGTTGTTCTTCATAAAACGAACAACGCGGAGACTATCATATCCCTAAGATAACAGCTTAGACTATATCATAACCAGGTTTTACGGCTTTGAAAGGTGGGGTTGTAGGTAAATTTTAATGTGGTGTCTGCAAAGGTCATTAGCTGAAATGGAAACCTTAACGATAACAGCGATCACTGATAATCATGATAACACAAATGACAAGGATGTACCGACGGAAGGGAGTTAAAAAGGTTGTGCATTGTAACATCTGAACTTTTAAATGGTATATCAGAGCCGTAAATGTGGTAATACCTGTGTCGAAATCTTGAAAAGAGAGACTCGTGGATAATCGCTAACACACCTTCTTAGTTCTAATATAATTTGAAAAAGAGGTGCTTCCTGTGTGCGAAATAAAAGTACTTACATGGTCAGTGTAAAAAATAACGGAACTAATTGTACATGAGTGGCTTGAGATGGTAATATGTGTAATAGCCTGTGAAGTCCTAAATATTCGGTAGTAATCAACAGACAAACTTACAGACATTTTCTGACAGCGCAAAAAGGTGTGTCATGATATGGATTACACATAAAACGATAGTTTTCTCATCCAAAAAGCTTAACTACTATCTGGTAAACATGTTAATATTGATCTAACAAATGGTGGTACATTAATGATTTTGTGAATACGCGAATCTTAATAACAGTTACCCTTCTCCCAAGAGTTGGCATTGCGGATAACTTTAGGTAACCAATTCGAAATTGCAATGAAACTGATTTAATCAATCACAAATTGACCATGAACTGAGGATAAGCTCCTGTATATTGGTTTTTTGAGATGATTGACAGTTTTTTTGAGCCAATCATCATTGATATCAGGAATTTTACTAACCCAAAAGGTAGCAATCGCATTTGTGGGATATCTATTGCTATGGCCAATAGCTCAATGCCGTATCAGACATTGATCTGAAAATTCTCTCTTGTATGGAATAGCATAGATCCGCTGTTCCGTGTTGAATTCTCCAAAGGCGTCAGTCCCAATACAAATGCTCAAAGCATTACAAATATGTAATCTTCAAATGAGCGTGACAATCTTGGCTATCTACACATGCTTTAACTTAGCAGTAATTTGTAATATGATACAAGTATATGCTCGTTACACCTTGCATTACAACTTTAAACATTTTTGTCTGAGAAATTAAATCTTTTGTCTGATTTTGCCTTATCTCCAGATTTGTGCGCGTACATTGGACTATTTTAAGCGCCATCTCCTTCTTAACGGCGCAACCCGAACTTAGTGCCTTAGAGAATTACAGTAAGATTCCAAAAAGGGGAACCTGCAATTGAAAATCCTTATCTCTAAATTCTTCACAAGACAAAAGCAGCTTATCCTTAATAATTCTGATTGGAACGATTTTAGCTCTTGAATTTTACCATACCCTTGACAGAACAAAACAATCGATGATATCTCTCTTTAGTCCTTATAACATGTCTTGGTTTTAGTTCTTGGCGAAAAGTGACAAAACTGTCACTTGTCATATTTACTTCTGAGTCTTGTTAATTCTCAGCACGAAAAGGCTTGCGTCTTCGTTTCTTGATTTGTTCTCGTACTCTCATTCAGGTCTTATATATATGTCCCAGTCCATTTAAGCTTACTCTAATTGTGAGCAGAACATCACTCAACCATACAGGGGCTGTTGTAATGGCTTCAATCTCATAGTACTCAATAATAGTATGCAGTTTTACTCACTTTAAAAAGGTATGCCTCTGGTTATGCAGAGAGGAAAGATTGGCTTCACAGGTAGCACATAGTGTGCTACTCGAAAAGACTAATTGCAAGCTTCAACTTTCCCTCTTCCAAATTTTAGGTCTGGGTTAGAGGTTTGGAAGTAGTTACTTCAATTCAGCTCAGTTGTAATCAAACTCTTAACACTGTTTTTCATTCCGTGTGCCCTTCGTCGATCTAGATGTATTACACACATTTTTAATAATTGATGATGTTTTAGCGATATCTAGTAATAATCGTGTGACTTAGAAGTTAGAGATTTTCATTGTATCTTTTGAATTTTATTTAGTAAGACTATGACTTATCGAATAGTTGACATATTCGTATTATATAACTATTATGGAAATAGTTCAAATGAACGGCTTTTACGGAGAATACTATAAATATAAATAGCTTGGTTTTAGCTGGATTGCGTTCTTGGCATTTTCAAATGAATACAAATTGCACCCGACAAATCGAGTCTCCCGACATTCCAAAGCAACAGCTTATTTTGCAGCCAAAGACTATCTGGTATCCAGTTATTAAATTTGTACAGTATAAAAGCTAATTCATACGCTAGTTTTTTTTATTGTAGATTAAAATATAAATATATCATTCAAAATTTGTAATTTGAAGAGTTTTTCTTTTCACACAACAACTCAAAGTATGTCCTTAAAAACCACACATAATCATTAAACAAGAGAGACGAATTGAATTTGAATCTTGAAGCACAATTCACCATTGCCATTTAGTAGATATCAAAAAGAACTGAGCTAAATATTTTAAATAACAATCTAACGACCAACATATTTCAATTCCAAAGGTCTGGCAATATTATAAGCTATGAAAGCAAAACCCAACCCCATCTCAAATCCGATGTCTCCACCATAGTCACCAATTTTTTTCCCAATAACACCCTGATACCAAACTTGGTTCATACCTAAAACACAACCAGCAATGCCAACAAAAAATGCAAAAGTCCCAGCATACCCAGCTGCGTAGGATTTTGGGTCCAAGTAATTCATGTAATCGTAATTGGCAAACTTTCCTTTTCGATAAATAAAGTGTTCTGAGTAGGAAATAGCTTGGTAAATACCCAAATAGTAGGCAATCAAGTTCATAAAGTTATGCATGACATCTTCAAACTCATAGTAGGCTGGAATACAAATAGCCAAAGTCACCAAATTACCAGCAATAGTCCAAACTATCCGTGGGACTTTGATTAATGGATTCCACACAGACTGTGCTGAAAGAGCAATTGAGTACATGTTTGGTATATTGTTGGCTACTGTTGATAAAGCTAACAAAACGCAAAGAAATTGACCAAAACCATGTAGAGATTCTTCAACTAGAACAGCGTACACCAAACCTCCAACAGCATTTTTGCTGTACAATTCATTCCATCTTTCGTTGGTCAAAGTACCAGTGGCACAAGCGGCTCCTAAAATCATTGTGAAACAAAGAGGAAACATTAGCCCACCTAAGACACCAAAGAAAATCTTCCAAGTTGGGTAACTCTTTGGTTGGTAAACAGTATAATCGGCCGCAAATGTTGTCCAGCCAGTGGCATAACCGTAAACAGCACCACCAAAAGATAAAACATTACCTGCTGTAGTTACCCCGCCAACAGTGGTACCGTATGTAAAAGTTTTGGATTTGGCCATTCTAGCAATAATAGCAATGAAGCAAATAGCATTAGGTACCCAAGACCATTTTTCGTAAATGTGAATTACATGGTAGCCAAAGAAAGTAACAATAATAGTAAGGGCAACTAATATGATACAGCCAACCCATGGAGGTAAAGCACCATTGTTAACTATATGGAGTAACTGGGCTGCCGCCATTATATTAACTGCACCCCAACCAACACAAGCAATCATATTAATAAGTGAAAATATACGGCAAGTGAAGTTACCCACAAAGTATCTTGACAAAAGCATTTGTCTCAAGCCAAACTTGGGTCCAAAACAAGAAAAAAAAGCAACAGAAAAGGCACCCATGAAGGAGAAAGATAAGATGACTAAAACACATTGCCAGAAAGATAAACCAAATACTGTAATTCCCAAAGTACCTAAACTAAAGGTTGCAATTACAAGATTAGCTGAGAGCCACATAGATCCCGCAGCAAAAACAGAAGCTTGAGTTCTTTCGTCATCAGAAATCCGTTCAATACCTTTAGTTTCTGCGTTTAACTTTTGCGCCCATTTGTCAACTATTCCAAGCTTCTTTGAGTCTTCTTCCACCACGCCATAGTAGTTATCGTCATTTTCCAAATCCAAGGAACCATCTGATTCCTTCTTCGCATCAGTAACGATTACTTCCTTCTCGTATGCTGTCATGGCAAAATCCACCAAGTCAGATAGACAGTATAAAACACACAGCGAATGATTTAAAAATCTAATGTTAAGATACTGTAAGTTTAAAGTAGGTACATCTTGAACTTATATACTTCAAATTTGTAGTTGGATCGTAGTATGGATATATGCGATGAGTTTTCACTTTTGAACGAGATCCGATAAGCAAATGCTAGTCCTTGGCTCTTATCAACAATCTTTCTACTAAAGCAAAGAAAAAATAGCAAATGTGCTACTTTAGCTAAGAAAAAAAGTACATTCAAATTTACTTGGACTACCACCTGGTGTTGTCCGAGGTGATAAGTTAGGATGGAGAAAGAGCAGCTGCTGCAGGAAGCCACATTAAAGATTTAATCATATGCGCAAATTCATTGCACTTTATGATCAAGAAAGTGAAGTATCAACCAATGAATGTATAGAATTGGTTGATCGGCTTCTAAACGTGAGTTGATTAAAGACCCCACATTCATGATAATATTTGATTTTGGTGCGGCTTTACAATCTGTAGAAAAAGAAAAATATCCACAAGCAATCAAATAAAAATGGTAAGCGAATTTCAAGTTAGTAACGGCAATATCCGATGATTCATAATGCAGAGTCTAGCTAGAATAAATTCAAAATTACTGTATTCAGGCCCACAAGTTTATAACAAAGTGTATCGAACAATTAACCAAGACATTTTCTATCTGTGTATTTTCTTGTTATCTGCTCAAAACTAAACAAATCAATGGGAGTTCCGACGGAAGCGCAAAGTTTTGAACCCCCATACTTTGCAAAACACAAATAATGTGACAAATGGTTTTAGCAAGTGCTGACGTTTGAACTCAAAAAAGCATTAAGGAAGATATGTGAATGCTTCTTTAAGTTTCACGAAAACAGGTGCATGCACTTGTACTTTCAAGCAGTTTTCAGCGAGACTACATTTTACTTAATCCGTGTAATCACAAGAGTGTATTGTGTGGAACATTTTCAATGAAGTACTGGGAATCATTTTTATTACCTTTGGGAACATTTACTCGTGTACTGTTGAAAATATTACGGAACCAAAATAAAATTATCACGAAATTACATTTCAAATGTTACACTTTTTGTATATTTTCCATATTCACCATTAACATGTTTTTCGTTTTTCTATGAATTTTTTAAATTTAACGTCTTTTTTTTTTGCATTTTAGTTAATATTAATGTTCAAGAGGAATGCCATGCATCATCAACAACTCCTTTAAACGACCCACTTCATTTTGCAAATCCTCCTTTTCAGAAATTAACTCTTCAACACGGACTTCCAATTGGGACATTCTCTCCATCTTTCTAGCACGAGATCTTCTTGCTGCTTCAGTGTTCCTAGCACGCTTCACAGCAATTGGGTCGGCAGAATCGATCTTTACAGGTTCCAAAGCTTGAGATCTCGTCTTCTTAGAGTAAGCAACAACACCCAAATGATCCACCTTCTCAACGCCATCCAACAAAGGGGTAACGTTAGCAGATGAAGCACTTGAGGAAGTGGAAAGATCAAGAGTACCAAGTCTTCTTCTCTTTCTGTCTTCATCCAATAAAGGAGTTGGAAGAGGAGTAGCATAGGTATTTTGACTTTTAGATGAGGCAAAAGCACTGGAATCCCTACGTGAATCATCGGAAATGATATCTTCAGGCACATGATCCAAGCCAAATTCATAATCAGTAGGGTCAACCTTAACAAAAGGTCTTTTATGAGAGTTATATTGAGGAACTACTTCATTAGCGTACGCCTCAGAAACCCTTGAGCTTGCAGCTTCAACAATGCCATCGGCATCACCAAAAAGTGCAACCCAATCATCTTTGGAGTTGACAGCATGGTCTTCGTTGCCAAAGACATCAAGCTCCTCAAACATAGGTGTGTGATCAATTAATTGATCATATTCATCAATGGTGTTGGAGAATACAGAATCCAAAACAGCAGAGTGTAAATTAAATTGAGCATCCATGGCGTCTTCGTTGTTTTTTGTATTCATTTCGTTAGTAGTATTAGAAGTAAAGCGTTCACTAATAGGTTCAACTTGTTCAAAGTTACCACCTTCGGTGGCATAAGCAGCAGTATCCTTCATGGTGATAATATCGGTAAATAAATCAATATCTTCGGTGTAAATCAAAGGGTTGCGTTTTTCTGTATTGGTAGTTTTGTTAATCGTTGTCATTGTAATCAATAATATATAAATAAAGTCGTAAAATAAGTGGAGCTTTAAAGATATGTATAATGGGGGAATAATGATTGTCTCAGTAATTGTCAGTCGTAAAATAGCGTCTGGCTTAAAGTGTAGCTAAGATCGTATCATGGTACTAGGTAACCAAAGGTTGTGGAATGTCGAGGACATAGAGTTCAAAAGAACAAATTAAAGTAATTTCAGCGTATCATCTTGGGGGGGGGACTGTAAACAGTATTAAATAAACTTAACTTTAGTTAACTTTATTTTTTAATCCTTATCTTATTTGTATTAACAAACTAAAAATTTAAGCACACATTTTGAATATAATCTCAAATAGTAAAACAGGGGAAAAATTCAAAAAGTAATCTCGATTGGTTAGCGTATGCTAGTTGTTATGTGAGTGTGCAAAGTAAGGAAGTATAAGATGGTTAAAGAGAAAAAAAGAGGAGAGAAAAAGAAAGATTTGAAAATTTTTTCTTCCTAGATGCGGAACACAAGATATTTATGTCTTGAACGACTATGATGAAGATATGCGCGGTCTCAAATTTACGCTTCAATTGCTCTCAAATTTACCCAATATATGCAGTAAACGACTACTTCGTAAAGGACCACAAATTCGTTATTATAGTAAGCGCAATTTCCTAAACTATATAATACTGATTCGTGCATTGCTATTTGGGTTTTACACTATATATTTTTACAACACATTTGTTAGTACACGAGTTTTGAAAAGTTGTATACCTGATTTTGTATGAGAAAATATTCAGTGACTCATAAATAATTAATAAGCATCAATAGTATTGAGTCACAATATGGAACAAATTAAGGCATGCAACGTCTCATAGATTGTGATAATAAATTTTAAGTATAAGAAAGCATAATTTGAATTCTGCGGGGAATCAAGATCTATCGTGGTGTTGGGGTTTTTAGTATAGGTTTATTTTACTTAAATTAGGTAGAAATTGATAATGTTATCATGTTGAAACTCTTTACTCCTGTTCGAAAGTAATTCTTAAAAAGCCTTTTCAAAAGCCTTTTCAAAAGCCTTTTCGTCTCGTTCCTGGGATCCCGATAAAATAAGTAATGAGTTAATCTGTTACCTAATTTGATTAGTTCTGGCGAATCGCAATGATTTGTTAGTCCGTTTTATTGTTTAATATTTTGTGCTACAATGCGGTCCTATAGCCAATCGTTAAATAAGATTCCCCGATATCAATATTAAGGTTCAATGTTTTCTAATATAATCGGAGTCAAAATATCGAAAGAATTGAAATATATCAGAACATATTTACAGCGTACCTTCCTCTGGGTCTGTGACTGGTATATTGGGAGAATATTCTGTTTTTGTAATATTATACTGTAAGTCGTTTTGCAGCCGTAGTATTCAGTTTGCGTAAACGTAAATGAAACAAAGTTTTGTACCACAAAGTGGTCGTTTGTGTTACCTTATGTCATCAGTCACTGGTACCTTTTGAGCCATGGTAATGTTTTTAGCTCGTTACTGGTTAGGATAACCCCATAGAATTACACCCTTTATGAGTTTTTTTTTTGGCAGATCGTCTCAATCATTTAAATAGACAATTGATTCTTATAATTGAATTCTTTAGCTCCGAATTCATGCTTGCATCTTGTATTATTGTCAATTCAACTCGATTGATACCACGATGAAGATTGATTATTCTACTTAACTTAGATCAAAATTGCTAATCACGTGACTATCAATTTTGTTGATCTAATAGTGAAGGCCGTCACGTGATCATTTAGTGATTGAATTTGATCAAGTAATGAAAATTACAATATAGAGATGAGATGTACTTGATACCTTCATTAGCACTCATATTAAAAAAAGCATTACGTCATGAAGTTCTTAACTACAAACTTTGTCAAGTGTGCAATCAAGACATGTGATTCCAGTATTGATGCATTCCCATTGCAATACACCGAATGTGAGTTGGTGCAACAAGAACAAGATTACAACCCTGAATTCATCGTTCATATGTTGGAAAGAATACAATGGGATGCTCTAATAAGTGTTGCTAGAGACTTGGGAAATGATGGATTGCCTGCGAACAAGCCTGAGGGATTAGATGCTATTATAGAAGATGATCAAGCTATCTTGAAAGATTTACATACTTTGTTGTTGGAAACACATATTGTTAATGGTAAGATGACTTGCAAACACTGTAATCATGTTTATCATATCAAGAACTCCATTCCGAACTTCCTTTTACCTCCGCATTTGGCTTAGATTGAGCCTTCATACGAGGAATACCAAACAAGGTAATAATAAATTTGGGGGCAAGGAGTACTAAAGACTCTGATAGAAATCAAAGTGAGAGCAGAAGATACAACACTGGCATTGGTCTCAACCATTGATTCCACTTCAAATATTATTGGAATGAACCAGATTTTAAAGCTCCTATATTTTTTCGTGGTGAGATAATTTGGTTCAATAGAACGTAAGCATAATACAGGCACAAATTCGACATTGAATACTGTCAAACTTAGACACTCTTATGTAGTGTAAATTTCTTCCTAACATCATGTCTACGTAATAAAAGGCTGTGCCCTACAAATTCTTTTAATAAATTTGTCAGCACACTATAAGGTGTCATAAACTTGGAACAAAGTAACTCCAAAGTATATAAATTGATAAGTGGAAGGTAGTAACGATAAAATCTTCTATGGCTTAAATATTCTAATCTATCAGGTAGCAAAGACATATTTAATAGTTCTTAGTCTTTCATACGTGCAGCAATTTGCTTGAAACGTTGTATTTCTTTTCTTACCTCAAGCCTTGTTCTCCGCGCACACTTCTAAATTTGGTTGCCCTTTTTTCTTTGACAACTAGTACGGGTCCATTTTAGACACCGGTGTGGTAAGCAAAGAAGAAAATCAATCACTCTAGGTTTACGTTCGTATGAGACTGTCTTGTGATTGAAAGTAGGCAGAAACAAGAGATCGGACATAGTACATCTTGTGAATTATTCTGCTACCACTTTAAAGACGTCATCAATGGGGATCTTTTTCAATTCTAATCATAGTAATAAAGAGATAGAAGAACAAACTGAAATCAACGAAAACTTTGAAATAGGAGGTGGGATTCAGGATAGTGCTTTAGATTTAGACTTTCTCAACAAATCAAATACTCATGGAGTAGGTAAACCTCATCCTCCCGCATTCAGGGATGAAGCACTGAAAGGGGGCAGTAGGTCTCGATCCATTAGTTTGTCAAAGTTCCTATTCTCAAAGGACCACGCTATATCTTCGGCAAGTTCTTCTGCTTCGGAAGCCAATCCTTCTCATACATCCTCAATACAAAATATTAATTTGAATCAATCCAATGAATCAGAGTTAAAAACGCATCCAATACAGAACCAAAATTCTAATCCGCCTGATAATGATGATTTAATAGACAATCATCCTAAATCCGATTCGGAATCGGATCTAAGCCAACCTCAGCTACAACATCTTCCACCGGCAAGACCCCAGAGTTTAGGCAAGTTACGTTCCTTTTTTCGCTTGTCCTCAACCTCCATAAGCCTGAATCAAAGTATCGGCCAAACTACTCCTCCTATATCAGAATCAATTCCGGAATCAAATGATGACCAAATTGGGAGACATTCAGCACCAGCACAAAAGAGAAGGTTTACCTTGGGAAGAATTAGATCGGATTCTGTTCCAATATCAAGCTTATTCCATAGAGGAATAACTCCTGATGCAGAACCTTCCACCCCATCAAATTCAGATGGATCAACGGTGAGCAAGAGCTCGGGTGGTCCAGAAGGTTCAACAGAGGTTCCTACAAAACCCAAATTGTTGATAGATAGTTCCAAAGAACCACATAACAACAATGATAAACTAGCTAGTCCTGTGGCTTACTCAAATGCTTACTTTGCTCATCAAGGACTTCCTCCACACTTTTCTCATAAAGCAAAACATTTAGAGATAGAGGAAGCTGCCTCTCTGTTGCACGGAATATCTGTGTCGTTGAGACATAATGAATCACTTGCAGATTTCCAAGATAGTGTAATCAAACCACCTAAAATCACTGGTAACTATGAAGATCCAGTAATATTGGAAAAGGAAGACGAGGATAAAGATGCAACTTCAATTTATGCTACACCAAAGAAAAGTTTTTGCAAGAATCTACAAGACTCTCCACTTCGCGATCTGGCTTCACCATCTCTGGTCACAGGTGACCAAATTCCTCAACTGCCTACACCCGTCCGTCCCGGTAATCTTTTACAGGCTTCTGGTATTCAAAGAACGTTAAGAAGGGTTGCCTCGGCTCCTTTGGTCAGTCGTTTGCTTAGTGATTCTAAGCGATCTTCTGCTGATTTAGCAGAATCTCGTCGCTTTGACAGACCAGATCAAACCGGGGATAATGCTAAAGAACCTTCAACTAGTGATATTCCATTTGATATCAGTGCTCACATAGGTGAAATTAAAGTTCTGGATAGACCAAATACGAGCTCCAATTCAGGAAGAAATTATAGTCATGCACTGACAAAGGTGCTTGAAGCCCATGTCAATGAGAATAGCTTTGAGAGGATACGGTTACTAGGAAAGGGAGATGTTGGTAAAGTGTATTTGGTTAGAGAGAAGGCTTCTAACAAATTATATGCTATGAAAATATTAAGTAAAAAGGAGATGATTGAACGGAACAAAATTAAAAGGGCATTAGCTGAGCAGGAAATCTTAGCGACTTCAAATCATCCGTTTATTGTTACCTTATACCATTCTTTCCAATCAGAAGATTATCTATATCTTTGCATGGAATATTGCATGGGAGGAGAATTCTTTAGAGCTCTACAAACCAGGAAAAGTAAATGTATTGCAGAAGAAGATGCAAGATTCTATGCTGCTGAAGTTATTGCAGCTTTGGAATATTTACATTTAATGGGGTTCATTTACAGAGACTTAAAGCCGGAAAACATTCTCCTTCATCAATCTGGTCATATTATGTTAAGTGATTTTGATTTGTCAAAGCAAAGTGAAAGTTTAAGCAATCCTGTAATCTCTTTCAGCAAAACTTCACATGGCTTGTCCAATTCAAACGAACCAACATTGGATACCAAAGTGTGCATTGATGGCTTCAGAACTAACTCATTTGTTGGAACAGAAGAATACATTGCTCCTGAAGTCATACGAGGAGAGGGACATACCAGTTCAGTTGACTGGTGGACATTAGGTATATTTATCTATGAAATGCTTTACGGTACAACCCCTTTCAAGGGCCGAGACCGTAGAAGAACATTTGCAAATATATTGAAAAATGAGGTGAAATTTCCCGATTCCAAGCCAGCTTCTTCAACATGCAAGAATTTGGTTAAAAAGTTGCTTACTAAGGATGAAAACAAACGGTTGGGTTCAAAAACAGGTGCTTCTGAAGTGAAAATCCATCCATTCTTTAAGAATACCCAATGGGCACTATTAAGAAATCAAAAACCACCATTGATTCCAATTATTTCTAGATCAAAACGACCAGAAGATCAGAGCACATCTGAATCTAAATCAACTAAAGACATTGACACAGAATCAGAGAAACCAAAAGCCTCAGAAGAGTTACCAGAAGCTGATGTTGTTTTACCACACAAACCCAAGCAAAACGATCCTTTTGCTAATTTCAGCTCTGTCTCGTTACATTATAACGACGAGAGTGGGGATCAAGCTTTGGAGTATTCCACGGATGTATACGCTAGCGTTGCATATACAATCACCAATTCTGGAGGTACTCCTAAAAAGGGTTTTTTAAAGAGGTGAAACGTTAAATGTCCCGCATGTCCATTTTATTGAATATTTATTAGGAAATGTAATCAGCTGTTGTTAGGCTTAGCTTCAATTCATGTCGTATCATACGTCCAGCAGGTACTATAATAATTCTGTTCACCAAAAAGACATATCCAATTTAATCTATATAACTGCTCATATAAAACACCAGCCGTGTTTTAAGAGTCACTAGATCATAAAAATACTATAAAAATCACCAGAACTAAATATATATCGAAAATGCGTAGAAATCCAGAAATCCCCTTACTTTTTTAATTACTCAACAAGGAACTAAATCAATGATAGTCAAGTATACAGGAACACATTGAGCTCCAATCAGCTTGTCATACAAGTTGTAGAAGTCACCACTCAAACATTGGTAGAATGTTTTGCTGTCACCAATAGCCAAAAATCCATCAGGAGTAATAGACCAACCACCAGCATAGATGGTACCAGCTTGTGGTGGAGGACCATCGAATTGGAATTGTCTGTTGGCAACAATTGCACCAACTCTATTCTTTGAGTCTCTCAATTCACCGTTCTTCAATGTCATGGCTAAAGTATTCTCAGTTAAACATCCAATTGCAAAGTTATCTGAAAAAGAACCTGATGCTTGAACTTGACCATCACTAACTTGACTAGCATTTGGCTTTACCTTAGTAGTCAAAGTAGTTGGTTGTTGAACTTGGCCATCACTGATTTGTTGAGCACCAGTGGCAGTAGTAGTTTGGTGTTGAATTTGACCATCACCAATTTGTTGAATGGCGGGGGCAGTAGTTTGATGTTGTATTTGGCCATCACCAATTTGTTGAATGGCGGGGGCAGTAGTTTGGTGTTGTATTTGACCATCACCAATTTGTTGAATGGCGGGGGCAGTAGTTTGGTGTTGTATTTGACCATCACCAATTTGTTGAATGGCGGGGGCAGTAGTTTGATGTTGTATTTGACCGTCACCAATCTGTTGAATGGCAGTGGCAGTCTTTGTAGTTAAAGTACCACTTTGCTTTTGGATTTGTCCATCAGTGATTTGGTTGACTACGTCTCTCTTATTCTTGGAAATGGTAGAAACTTGAATACCAAAAGTCAGGGGATAATCAGTAACTGCACCTGAAGGAGCAGAAGCAGTTGGGGTCAAAGTAGACCAGTTATCAATTGGGACCGTAGCAGCCAAGACACTGGTAGCAAGACCAGCAAAGACGAATGTATACTTCATCAGCGACAGAATAGAATAGAATATAAGCTAGAATGTACGCTTTTATAGGAGCGAACGTGTAGTAGAGCCAAATAAAGAATTAGTAACTAAACGTAGCTATAGTTGTAAGGAACAAATACAAGAGAAAAAGAATATTTGAAAATTTGGGAATGAATGGACTACTTATATAAGTTTTCCAACGAAGGCAAAGACAAATAAAAATTATGCAAATCTATAAGCTCCATTTTTAAAAATTACGTCACGTAGATAATGGAGAGCACATTTTCAATCTGGCACCTTTTTGCGAGTGTGACGTTATAATTTTTATTTTTCAATAATAAAGTCATGATTTCGCTTGTTGAATATGTCGGATCGGGGGAGGAGCAAACAACACATGGCGTGCAAAATTTACCTTTGGGATGTTCCTGAAGGTTTTATGATCATGTTGACGTTTCAACTTTCCCCTGAGATCAATAGCAATGCCTAAGATAGCCAGGAGTGCTGGTGCATTAATTGATCTAATGGGGAAAAGTAATTGCTCGCATACAAAAATAACCGCACTTTTGGATGAAAACAGTTACAATGTCCCATATGCACTCCATGATATCATGTTCCTATTTGCTGAAAATATCACAATTGGTAAGTAAAGTTACACATATGCTAATATTGGGTCATGGATCAAAAGTACCGTCCCTACAACAGAGGGCTGGTGGAGGTGCACACTTGCTGGTTGTGCTGGCTGCGAAAGAAAAAAAAAAGGCACTCCTACTGCACAAAGGCCCCGAACTTTTTACCAAAATATATACCATGGCTGAGTTCGGATCGTAGTTTACAGTGCCAAAGATAAAGAAGGAAACCTGAGCTTAAAATCCTCCAATTCTGCATCCAAGTTGGCATTGACGTCGACATTACGATACTGGACATATGCTTAAACTTTGAGAATTCACAATTCATCATCATCCTTTTGGGATAGCGCTTCCAAAAATAATCAGAAGCTAAATTTGGACTACTATGCCGGATCTTTCTTGTAACCAATTAAAACTAGCACCCCTCCAGAGAAATAAATGTTATTTGGTGGCTGTATATTTACAATTCTCCAATGGTTGTGGTGCCACATTCATTATCATGGCTTCAAAATTATTATTACATTGTATTATTTTTGTCATAGGTGGGCCCCTATTCGTGGAGGGCTCACAACTTAAATCCGACACAAAGGATCGCTTTGCTTTATGAAATCTATTTTTAACGCCATAATATAAGTGGTTCATCACTCAAGACAAGGCATCATCGGATCAATGACGCTTAAATGTCTTTGTCCTCCAGATCCAAAATCTGATATACCGGAATTATCACTTTCTCACAGCTTCAATTGGCTGGCCTAAATAAGGCATATGAAATTTCTTACGTAATCTTTGGTCCATATTGCTAATTCTCTTGTTTACGTAAGCATATGCAAAATAACTGAAGTCTTCCAACCAACCATAGACATGCAAAAAAAATTTCGCAAATGGTGATAATACTACAATAGCTCAAACTTCTAATACAGCTTACGTCAATAGTACACAATGAAACAATCAATCGTTCGTTTGGCTGGTCATTCTGCACCCATCAAGTATGTTCGTCATGCCCCCCCCCCACCACCAAAGATCCATCCAGGTTACAAATGGGCTTCAAAAGCTGTAGGTGCTGCTGCTTGGTTTTGGATTTTCTACAGAATTAAGGAAGACGGTTATGTTATGACTGGTATGAAGTTACCTTTCGAACACTAGACATAGATTTTTCTAGTTATATATATAGATTGCAATCAAATGCATGTCTAACGCAATAGTATTGGTCTAAAGGGATAGCAAGATATTACTTCATTCCTTATCATCCGATGATAGATACGGGTTTATTATTATTATCATTATTATTATTATTATTATTATTATTATTATTATATTACTATCATCAGCATTATCATGTTTATGGCTATTGTCACCATTTTAACTCAATCATATCTCACTTTCGAGAAGATATATTCATTTTTGTTCTTTAGACTTGATCTTTTGTTTATTGTGCATATTCATTGCCATTTAAATGGGTTAAAAATAAATGGGTTAACATAGTGTATGTATTGGTATAAGCAAGTATTAACAAGAATTTGAAAGCAACTTTTTAAGGTCGTCCTCCTCCTCTACCTCGTGATCTTCCTCTGAAAAGACCCCGACCTCCCCTTGTTGTAGGACGTCCATTAGATCCTCCTCCTCTGCTTCCACCACCTCTGGATGACAGACCTCCACGGAAATTAGCGTTCACCTTTTTTGTTCCTCTATATCTTGAGGAACGGAAATTGTCATCACATGTGCCACCATCCGTATTAAACCCCCCATCTTTCCCATTTCTACCACTTTCCGTAGTGCTTCTGGAAACAATGGCTCTCCGAGTACTCAGTTTCGGTGAATATTCAATAAAATGTATCTTCCTTGGGGAACTATTTATCCCTGTTGCACTCCCGTTATGCACATCGTCAGCTTTATCTGTTCGAAAATCATTTTCTTCATCAATTGTCATGCTTGTTCCTTCCGAATTGGAAGAATAATTCGTTTGATCTTCATCATATTCATCATATTCTTCTTCTGATTTGAATTTGAAATTAAAGCCCAAACTTGTACATTGGGCAAGGTTGAAGTACCCATTTTCATCTAATTCAAATATAATAATATTGTATCTTGGTGGTTTTATTCTCAGCTTACTTGCTTGTTGATGCTGACGAGATTCTCCCAAATCACACAAATTGAAATGCCATAAATTATAGTACGCCTGGAAATAATAATCATTAATTTTCTTCAATAGTTCTTTATTGAAACGCAGATTATGATCTTCAATTGTGTCACCTTCTTCTGATAATGTCAAGGGGATGATTTTATCAACAGAATCATTGATTGAAATAGGAATTTTATCAAATAAGCTTAAACCCAATTCAATTGTTTGTCGTAAATACGAATTCTGATTTCCCTGTAATAATTGTTGTAGCTCATCTTTGATTATTAACCATAATTCACCGAGAATCATCCTCAATCGAGAAAACTTTGATCTATAGTTATCAATGTATCCTGCAGATCCTCCCATACTATCAACACAACTCATACCATTCAATATCACTGGATATCTAAAATGTAAACCTTGACTCAAAGTAATATCAGCATTGGTTAAAATAGCAAAATGTTCCAATAAAGGAGTCTTGATAACCGGTGCATGACTAACAAATATCCCCACCGCATTATCAACCGATCTATTACTAATTTTTGGACCCATAAAATTAGAATACAACTCGGCCACTTGAGTAAGGGTAATCCATAAGTCACCAACTTTACCAGCAACATTTTCGAGTTCCAAACTGCCACTGTCAAATAAACTGTGAATTTTTAATGACCCCCCTAGACCATACAATCTGATATTAGGTTGAGAAGCTTTTGGTGTTTCAATTGTGTAAGTGTTGTTCTGGTCCAAAAGGAATAAGTTGGGGATGTCCCATTGCCCTGTTTGGAACTTGTTAATCACATAGGGGTCGTCCAAGGGACCAAAGATGGTATATACTGGACATGGAAGTTGCTTTGTCCCGTCTAGGTAAAGAGAAAGTTGACTAAGTCCATTAGAAGATTGTTGAAGTCTTTCTTTGAATTCCTCATCAGTAATAGAGTATGTATTTGAATCTGAATCAGCGTTGTTTTGAGCAGAGCTTGTTTTGGAGGTGCTTTCACCATAAGCTCCATTACCAAAATTCCCGTTAATAAAACTATAATCATTTAGCTCTTGAATAAGATCACTTTCCAATACTTCCAGAAATGAAACAATTTGTTTTAAGTAGTTTATATCTGTGCAATTTGTAATAGTATTCGAATCCCAAAATCCAAAGTTCCCTGAATGAACTATTATATCAACATCTGGATGAAGTTTACAGAGTTCTTCGATAGACCCCAAATTACCTTGACAATCGGAAATTGCCAATATTCGGAGATTGGATGCTGACATGCGTGAATTAATCTCCATCATAGATTAAACAAAAAAGTATCCTAATAAAATTAAAATTACCCACTGGTGTATCCAAATTGTTGAATTGTGAATGATATTAAATAAGTACTCACTCAATCAAGTACTATAGTATATACTCTCTCACAGTAAATTATATACCCCCCAATAGGATTTCATAGACGTTGTATATATGCTAAAGTCACTGGTCTAGGTTATAAATTCCACTCGGGTTTACTAAGACGGTGCCCTGTTTGTATGGCTTTTGTTTCCTCAAATTTGATTTTTGTTCCTTTGGATGGCAATACGGTGGTCAATACTCTTTTGGTTTGGTTAACGACGGAGGGAACATGGGGCTTGATAATTTGTCGTTCTCTTTCTCATTTTCGGTCGCGCAAGAAGCTTTGTACCACTTTGGAAGACGAAGTGTAAGTGGCCGTATGTGGGGCCAAAGAAGGTAGTAATATCGAAGTTAGACTTGGGAATTTCATTTCATTATAGTAGTCACTGATATACATTCAAGTATATTTATAAGCACTGGTGATAAATATATACATGTATACGAGGGCCGTATATCATCAATCATCTCAAATATATATAAGCCTTAGAAGAGTTCCTGATATCTTCTATTGTTAACAAATCAGTTCTATTGTTCAGAACTACCATAGGGGAATAGTGATAGCTCGGCTCAGTTCCATTAACTTTCCATTCACATATGTCATGTTGCAACCTCAGGAGCGTCTCCGACTAGCAGTCATCGAAGGAAACCTTCCTATTGCCAAAAGGTTGCTTTCTCGTTTCCCAGAACTTTGGCTCAATATAGATTATCAGAATAACGGATGGAGTAACCTACATTACGCTTCAAATGGTGGTAATTACCTTGTATGTTTCCATCTTATATCTCTCTATAATCATAGGCAGTCTGAATGCAAGGATCTTCAAATAACACCGTTCGATTTGTTAGCTTTTGACCAAATGCTGGTTATTCATTTGGCTGCTGAAAACCATCATATCCAAACTCTTCATTATCTTTTACAAGAATTTCCTGGGTCTTTTTGGCTCAATTCCCCTGGTGGGTGCCATGGTCGAACGCCTTTACATTTGAGTTGTATCAAGGGGTTTCAAGAAGGAATTAGACTTTTAGTTGAATATGGAGCTGATCCCGCTATTAAAGACAATCTAGGTAATACTTCTTTACATTATTTGTTTGAGTATGAACATATGGAATGTGTTTGGGCGATTCATCAAGTGATACTTCGAAACGCAAAGTCAAAGGATGAAGCCGAGGCTTTTTTGAACAAATTGGAACTGATAAAGAATAATAAAGGTTCTACAGCTCTTGATTATGCTCCGTCTGTTGCCTTTAGAAATCAATACAAAAAGAGGAAACAGCATGTATTGTCTCAGGATTTAAATGGGACCATACTTGAATTAGCTGACTTGGTATCACGAAAATCAGCGTTAACCTTAGATGAAACTAAGTCTATTAGTTCTAAGGGTACTCTTACAAGCACTGCTACTAATGCCAATTGTAGTTTGTCAAATAAGTTCCCAGTAATAGAAGCTGATGTATATCCATCACTGGATGACGAACTTATTACAAAACGTGCACATTCTCAATCTTTACCAACTGATCTACCTCAACCAACTAAGATATCAGAGCATCCTACAACAACAAGAAGGCGTTCTAATACGACAATTGCAAAGGCTTCAACTGGAACTCCTCAACCTCCAACAGCCACATGTGGGGTTTATCCTAAACCTCCACCTCCTCCCCTTAAGTCCATTACTATTTCTCCAAGTATTAGAAACAGTTCATTTAGTCGTGAGAATCATTCCCCACCAATCTCCCCACAATCAGCAAGTACTACATCTAATCCATCCAATTATGCGTCATCTTCACCGTCTCATTTCAGGAGAAAATATAGCAACAATAGTTCGTTCATGGCTACGCCTCTAGTTGAAAATGTTACATTAACTGAGTCACGTCCTTTCAGTGTTGTGTTACCACAATTACCTCACAATGATCTATCTAGTTCTGGTTCAACTGCTCCTAACTTAGCTACATATACTCCGTCTCGTGGAGAAGCAGTACAATCTACAATGCGACAACAGAATCCACAATCGCAACCACAAACTCAGCTACACCATCAATCAGTACCTCATGCTCAACATACACTACAGTCACAACCACATTCACAGCCAAAAGCAGAGTCTCATTCGCAGTCACAGTCACAGTCATATTCCCCACCCCCACTGCAACCAGAGGGAGTGAACCAACCCATGTTCAAACAAATGATTCCGATATTCCCTACTAACGGGCACATATCATATCAACCTTTAAAGCCAATTCCAATATCAACAACGGGATCATTTCCATCTACTATGTTTTCAAGTACAAGTACATCACAACTGATGACTCCTGACAAAAAAAAGAAAAGTACAAGTGAGTCACCACCATCAATGGCATCTTCAAATGGACAAACTACAAAGCAACGCTCTGAAAGGTTTACTGAATCAAATACTAGTGGTAATCTGGCCCGTTCCTCAATCCAAGGCAGTGACAGTAGTGCGCGTCATTTTAGAAGACCGTCAAAGGTATCTACTACATCTTCACCATCTTCTTCACCATCATCAACATCAGCTTCAGTATCAGCCACACCACTGCTGGCATCTGCTTACGAGGAATCTTCAGATTCACAATCAGTTGCCTCTAGAAGAAGTACCATAAACTGTATAAGTTTTAGTAGAGTGCGATAACTACCAAAGGACCTCCTGATCTTTCGCGACTTCATTGAATTTTTCACGCGTAACATGTACATATATAGACTTTAGTTATAGTGTACTCTGTAGTATATACATCCTTTAGGTAGCTAAGAACGTAACATATGACTAAGAAGGTACAAGCTTCGATCAGTAGGTTCTTCACTGCTGCGCCTCAGAAGAAGCGAACATTTGAAGAGGTTTCACAGGCACATCAAGTGGTCAAGAATAATGAGACTAACAATGGAAAAGTACCTAGGAAGAGACTACAAAACTTCACGTTTACAAAGTCATCAGGGGTGTGCAAAAATGATAGAAGTAATGATAATGAAGACGATAGTGTAACTGAATTGAGTGGCAAAGAGAACGCACTTGTTGCTGAGAAGAAGAAAAAAGAACTCACTACAACCAAACTGTCTAATTCTAAGAGACCAAGCAAGCAGAAGATTACGTATACTCCATTGGAAACACAGATTAGGGATTTCAAGGATGCTCATCCAGATAAATTACTTTTATTCCAAGTAGGATATAAGTATAAACTATTTGGTAAAGATGGTGAAGCTGGGTCTAAGATCTTGAATGTAATGTATGTGCCTAATCGAGAGAAACCCGAGTTCTCTTATTGTACGTTTCCTGATTTCAAATTGCATATTAACATCAAGCGAATACTTACTCATGGACATAAGATTGGAGTGATCAAGCAAATGGAATCTGCAGCTATTAAGGCCGTTAATAAGCAACTGTCTCTGGATAATGTGATGAAACGACAATTAACAGGGATATACACTTCTGGTACATATATGGATGATGAGTACATTCATAATGGTGGTGATATTTCTCTTGCTGGAGAAGAAAACCATTCATATATAGTTTGCATTGTTGAAGATGAAGTTGACAGTAATTCCATTGGAATTGTTGCCGTACAGCCATTGACGGGTGATATTATTTGGGATTACTTTGAAGACTCCTTTTCAAGACATCAGTTACAAACTCGGTTATCAGTGATAAAAATCAGTGATCTACTAATAATCAATAGTTCAGAAAAAGTGTCTCATGATACGCTGAGAGTGTTACAACTGCTAGGAGGGATAAGCTTGAACGAAATCAAGACGGTTGCTGTGAAACCAGAAGTACAACTCAGAGAAGAGATTGCTAATTACTTTGATACTTTAGATGAACAACATGGAGGTTCCTTCAAGCATTTGGAGAATTATTATCTGGTTAATTTCCCGTTACCAATACAACGATGTATTAACGAACTTATTCAATATTTAAATGAGTTTAAACTTAGCAGCTTGTTCACAAAGACTGATAACATTTCCAAGTTCACTGACCCAAAAAAGTATATGACATTACCAGGGAATGTCTTGAGTGCATTAGACATATTTGTCAACTCATCTAATCCAAATAGTGAGAAAGGCACTTTAGTATGGCTTCTTGATCATACCAGAACTAGGTTTGGATCTCGGAAATTGCATAAATGGATATCGCAACCTTTGATTGACCCTATCGTTATAGAGCAAAGATCTTCTGCAATTGAATGCTTAGCGTCTGGGTTTGATTCATTGGTTGATGTATTCAAAAATTTTCTAGAAAAAATAGGAAAGACTTATGATCTTGATGAGTTACTTATAAAAACTCATTACTCTTCTGTGTATGAATCAGGAAAGATAAGTCGTCAAGATATTTATCACATGTTGAGATGCTTCCAGGATATTTTGGATATGGTGGAACGGTTCAGGAACCATATAGAAAAACGTCCATTTAAATCAGAAATGGTAACACAGTTATTCGATCAATTATTGCAATCATCATCAAATGATTGTGTTACTAAGTTACTTGAAAAAATTAATAAGGCATTCTTGGGGATTGAGAATAAGAGCATTAATGAGATTAAGGTCAATTTCTTTGATTTAGATAATGCATCTTATCCTGAAATAGAGCATGAACAATTGAAAATTGAGGAATGTGAACAAATTTTGGATGATGAATTAGAAGGCATTCGGAAGTTATTGGGAAGGTCAACTATGGAATATGTTACTAATAAGAATGACAGGTACTTGATTGAAGTTCGAAATGGAAAACAAGTGGATGCCCTTCCAAAGGATTGGGTCAAAATTAGTGGTACTACTACAGTTTCTAGGTTCCGGTCTCCAGAAATAACCAATGCTTTCAAGTTGTTGCAATATCATCAAGAATTATTATACCAGAGATGTGATGAAGCCTATTTGGGATTTTTAAAAGAGATCGATCAACAATATACTTTCCTTACTCGAATAGTTGATATTCTTGGAAATATCGATTGTCTACTTTCCTTAACGGCTGCAAGCGTACTTGGTCAAGAGTATGTCAAACCCGTCATAAACCCTGATAGTCAGCTTATAAAGGCCAAAAGGTCTCGAAACCCTATTATTGAGAATCTCAAGCATAATAAGGCTGGTTATGTGGCTAATGATGTAGATATCGATTATGATGGTAATAGAGTTTTGATTATTACTGGGCCTAATATGGGAGGAAAATCTTCTTATGTCAAGCAAATTGCTCTCTTGGTGATTATGGCTCAAATAGGATGTTATTTACCATGTGAATCTGCTGAAATGGGTATATTTGATTCCATATTTGTTCGAATGGGAGCTTCTGATAATATTTTAAGAGGGGAGTCTACATTCATGACAGAAATGTTAGAATGCAGCAATATCATCAATAAGATGACCGACAAATCGCTTATTATACTTGATGAAATAGGAAGAGGCACTGGAACTCAAGATGGAATTGCTTTAGCCGATTCAATACTACGGTATCTTATTGAATGTGATCAAACACCGCTTACATTGTTTATCACTCATTATCAAAGCTTGCATTCACTAGAAAGCCATTACAGTGGTGGTATTGTTAGGAACTGGCATATGGGATACTTGGAAATGAAACAATCAGATCACGGGTTTCCTGAAATAATCTTTTTGTATACTTTACAGGAAGGCGTAGTCAGCAATCTGTACGGGTTGAATGTTGCTAAATTGGCGGGGTTACCAATTGAATTGATTAAGAGTGCTTTTGATTATAGTGAAGAACTAAAAATATCAATAGAAGAAAGAGATTTTCAAAATAAGGCCATTGGGATGGGCAAACTACTAAAAGACATATCAGATCCTCTGTTTAAAGTGAGTATGGATTCAGTGTTGAAACTTTTTACATAGATAAAACATTAATACAATAGCTTTATATTCTTTTGGTGGTGTTCGGGTGTTGCAACGCGTTTAGATCAGAGTCGCGTTCTCAAAATTCAAATATTTTAATGCGATGTTACCTATCACTTTCTATAGTAGCCAAGGTATCATAAAATCCTCAGCCAAGGTATCTTAAAATCCTTATATCAATGGCCAAAGTTGATAAGTTAAAGAGACTCAAGCAGCTACGCGAAGCGAGGCTAACCGGAGCCAGTGTGGCTAATTTTGCCGACGAAGCTGACATGGATGACTCGCGTATCTATGACGAAGTCGATGAAGAAAGTTACCGTAAGCATAAACGAAATCAATTGATGAACGATGACTTCATTGTTGATGACGATGGTGAAGGATACGTTGACAATGGTGTGGACGAATGGGATGACAGCACACGTCCCCAATATTATAGTGACGAAGAAAACGGTGTTGATAATGATACATCGAAAAGAAGTAAAGCCAGAAAGCATAAGCCTACTAAAGTAAAAGAAACAGCTCAAATTTCTAATTTCTTCAGTTCCATGCCATCCAAAACTTCTCGAGTTGAGAAGTCAAAACCTAAAATGGATGTTGCTATAGATGATATCCTTGATGATTTCCTGGTAGTAAAGACGAAGAAATCTGTTGCACAAGCAACTCTTTTCCTGCTGGCACCACAAGGAACTAAAAAACATAAACTAGCTACTACATTCTCCTCTTCTTCGAAGAAGCCTAGAAAGAAGTATTTTTCAGATGATTTTGATATGGAGGAAGGAAACGGTTCCTCTTCTATTGCTGAGATGATCGACACCCAACCAAGTTCACCTGTTAAAGTTGAGTCTTCTCCCTTAAAGGCAGGTAAAGAAAATATAAGCCCAGATCATGAAAAATCCACCATCCCATTGGATGACAATAATAACTTTGATGACGAAGATGATGTCAGTTCCAGTGAAGATGAAATTGTGGTCACAAGGAAACCAAGGGCTTCAGGGGCTGTTAGAAAAACACTGGGTGTTGTCTCTTCTGTTAAGCTTACACCATCAGCTGCCTCAATTATGTCTTCCCCGTCACAATTCTCAGTAGTTAACAATACGGAAAAGGTGGAAGAAAAGCTTATTCATGATGAAGAATCCGATTCATTTAAGATGTTCTGGTTAGATTATGCAGAGGTTGATCATACCTTACTTTTGTTCGGTAAAGTATTAACTAAAGGCGGGAAACTTATTTCTGGTATGGTTCAAGTCAATGGTATGAATAAAGAGATTTATTTACTTCCAAGAGAAACTCGCCTAGTCGATGGAGAAGCAACAGATGAGCCAGTTACTCCATTAGATGTTCACAATGAAATAGATGGTCTTTTCAGAGACACTTGGGGTTTAGACAGATTGCTTTCCAAACCAGAAACAAAATCATATGCATTTGAGTTACCACAGATCCCTAAAGAAACTCAATATTTGAAGGTATTCATACCCTTTAGACCACCAAAGCAAAGAAATTTTGTTTTACCTGCCGATATTGAAGGTGAAACGTTTAGTCATGCTTTCGGTACTAATGCTAATTTGTTTGAATCATTTGTGATACAGCGTAAGATCATGGGTCCTTGTTGGTTACAGATTTCTGGAGGTGACTTTGAATCGATAAAGAATTCCAGTCATTGTCAAGTAGAAGTTTCCATCGAATCACCTAAACACATTTCGCCAGCTCAGGATCCTCCACCAGCACCATGCTTAAATGTTTCTTCTATTGCTGTTCAAACGGTCTTAAATAATTCATCCAACTCTCAAGAAGTTGTTGCTGTTTCCTTTGCTACTTACAATAATGTACCCCTCGATGCCCCAATTGATGAGGACTTGAAACCCGATGAAAAAATTACTTTAGCAAGACCCGTTGGATCTATTGCTGCACCTCCTGGGTTACAGCAATTGGCTGAAAAGCAGAATGTTAATCTTAGACTCCTTCCTAATGAACGACTGCTTTTAAATTGTTTAGCAGCCCTTGTGAAACGAGCAGATCCTGATGTTTTTATTGGACATCGATTAGAGAATTTTGCCCTTGATGTTCTTGTTCATCGAATGTATGATTTAAAAGTTGGATCTTGGTCAGTTTTCGGGCGTCGATTGAGAAAGGCATGGCCAGATCGTTTTGGTAGAGCAACTGGGTTTAATAATAGTTTACAAATTCGAGAAATCTTCCAAGGAAGATTACTCTGTGATATTGCAAATGAAATGGGTCAATCATTGACTCCTAAATGTCAATCTTGGGATTTAGTGGAAATGTATGATATTGTTTGTAATAGGAAACACCCTTCTTTGGAAATTAATTATCAAGAACCAAAATATGCAGAAGATGCAAGTTTCTTTATGATGGCATTATCAGAAAATAGTACACAAGTGACTATGATGGCATCCATTGCATTCAATATTCAAATTTTATCATTATCCAAGCAACTTACTAACATTGCCGGTAATGCTTGGTCTCATACTTTAGGTGGTACCAGAGCAGGTAGAAATGAGTACATTCTTTTGCATGAATTCTATAATAATAACTATATTGTACCTGATAGGGAGGATAAATTCCACAAGAATTCAAGTGTGCAACAGGCAGCTTCAATGGAAGCTACGGAAACAGATGCTACCACAGCTACATCGAATAAAAAACCTAAATATCAAGGTGGGTTAGTTTTTGAACCTGAAAAGGGATTGCATAAGAATTTTATACTTGTGATGGATTTTAATTCTTTATATCCTTCTATTATTCAAGAATTCAATATTTGTTTCACCACAATTGAAAGAACTCAGTTCAATATAACTCATGATGAAGACCATGATATGCCTCAATTACCTGAAAGAGATTTGAATATGGGTGTGTTACCCAAATTGTTGAACTCTTTGGTTTCACGTCGTCGTGAAGTTAAAAAATTATTAAAGGCTCCATCATTGACTAACTTTGAAAGAGCACAATTTGATATCAAACAACAAGCTTTGAAGTTGACAGCCAATTCTATGTATGGATGTTTGGGTTATGTGAATTCTCGGTTTTATGCCAAACCTTTGGCAATGTTGGTTACCAACAAGGGAAGAGAGATTTTAATGGATACAAGGCAATTGGCTGAATCAAATGGATTACGTGTTGTTTATGGTGATACTGATTCGGTCATGATTGACACCGGTGTACAAGATTACAAGGAAGCGTTCATGATTGGAGAGAAATTCAAAGTTCAAGTTAATGAAAGATATCGATTGTTAGAAATTGATATCGATAATGTTTTCAAGAGACTTTTACTTCATGCGAAGAAGAAATATGCTGCAATGAACGCTAGCATTAACAAGAAAACTGGCGAAGTTGAAGCTTCATTGGAAGTTAAAGGTCTTGATATGAGAAGACGTGAATATTGTCAATTATCCAAAGATATTTCAACTTTTGTATTGGAGAAAATTTTATCTGATCTTGATCCAGAACAGTCTCTTAGTGAAGTGTATGATTACTTGGAAGAAATGAGCTTGAAGATCAAGAATAATGAAATTAATATCAACAAGTTTAGGATCAATACGCGTTTGTCTAAAGATCCAAAGAATTATCCCAATGGGAAATCAATGCCTCCTGTTCAGGTAGCCCTTCGGTTACGGGAACAAGGGAAAGTTGTTAAGGCAGGAAGTGTCATCACCTATGTTATAACAGCTCCCCCATCAGAGAGAAATGACGATAGTAATAGCATGGTTCAATCACCTGCTGAAAGAGCAAGAGCTATACAAGAAGTGGTCAAGCCAAATTCTGGGTTCAAGCCTGATGCAGCATTCTATTTAGAGAAGCAGATCTTTGCACCAGTGGAAAGGTTAATTGAACGTATTGAAGGAGTTGATATGATGAGGATTGCTAGTGCCTTAGGAATAGACACTAAACGGTATGTGAATAGATTAAGAAACTCAGAGACAGTAGGAGGAGAAATTGCACCATTGGAATCTGGAATTTCAGATGCTGAAAGATTCAGACAATCCAGTTATTTTGTTATTAATTGTCCTTCTTGTGAGAAAGCCTTTAGATTTGGGGGAATTCTTGCTTCAAAGGATTATAAGGTTACTTTCAATGGGATTCAATGTACTGAATGTGATCACATGTTTAGCGTTCTTGAGATCAATTCTCAACTTGAGGTCACTCTTCGACAACACATTTCCCTCTATTACGCGGGGTGGCTAGTGTGTGATGACTCTGCTTGTGGAATTCAAACAAGACAAATTTCAGTGTATGGGAAACGATGTCTTGGAAGTTCTGGTAAGGCTCATGGATGTAAAGGTATTATGAGATACAAATACAGTGATAGAGCCTTATATAATCAACTTTTATATTTCGATGCGATTTTTGATGTTGATAAGGCTAAACTGGGTCAATTACGTCCTATTTATGATCCATTTGCGGCTAATCCTCCCTCAAAATTACCTGGAGGACAAATTGATGCTCTTGCTGAACAGAATCGGATTTATTTTGGCTATTCAAAAGAAGTGGTTCAAAAGTATTTGGGATCTTGTGGACGTAGGTACGTCAATATGGGTGCACTATTCGAGTTTATGAGTTGAAGATTTAAATATATAGTAAGGACACATTAGGGACGTGTACTCGTTTCAAACAGTTAAAATTCACCTATTATTCAATTCAATACCGTAATTGAACACAAATGATACTGGGAAAACCTTGCTCAAAGTCCCATGATATGGGGTCGTAGTTTATTCAACATTTTTGTTTTGTCATCTCGTATGCATATGGGTTTATTGTTCTTTGGCCCGTTGGTGAAGACAATATAACTTCTTAACTGAAAGGTCGTGCGAGGGCATAAATGAAAAACGTTATAATGAAGATACAAAAAACGCCAAACATAGTAATATATGTACACCTAACATCCTCTATATTGTGGACATGAACAACAATCAGTTTCCCAACAGGGGTGGCAGGCCGCAACAACAACCACAGCATATGCCTAACATGGGCCAACAACCTCAACAGCAGCAGCAACCACAACAACATCAACATCAACAACATCAACATCAACAACATCAACATCAACAACATCAACAACATCAACATCAACAACATCAACAACGACTTTCCATGCTTCCTCCCCAATTCGCTAATATGACCCCACAACAATTGCAGCAATTGAGACAACAACCTCAATTCCAGGCGTATTTGCGTAACTACTTGCAGAGACAGCAGCAATTGATGGCACAGGAAAGACAACATCAAAATAGTGGAGGAGGAGGAGGTAATGGGACTGGTGAACTTGTAGGTGGGCCCAGCAAAGCTAACATGCCTCCTCAACAACAAGGAATGATGCCTCCTCCAATGGGCCAACAACAGCTGCAAGTTCCTCCAGTAGTTGGTGGTGGACAACAAAAGATGAGAATGGCTCAAGGAATGGATGGAATAGTTCCTGGATCAAATCCTCTTCAACAAACCTCACAAGGAATGATGCGTCCAGGTGGTTCTGAAACTGGACCTGCTGGCTATTCTCAACAACGAAGTGGTGGCATGGGTCCAGTATCAGTTGGCGGTGTGTCAAGTATGAATTCTGATGCGGGTATTTTCCCACCTGGGGTACTGCCTAATGCTCCCAATGGAATGAGACCAATGTCCAATTTGGGGGGTCCAGGAATGAATCCTGCAATGGTTGGTCCAAAAACTGCTGCCAGTTTTGTCCAGCAACAACATAACTCAAGAGCTGTCCCTCCTCATATGGCTACTGTTGGTGGAGCTCATGGACCTCCAGTTGGACCACCTCATATGCCCAACTCTCAGAATCAAGGTCCTCCTCCACCAGTTACACTTCCTCCCAGTATTGTTAATGCCATACCCGAGGAAATGAGGAAAGTAAAAGGCGTTAATGAGGCTCTTTCTAAGATTCCCTTTGAACTTATGTCTTCAACTACAGAATGGTCCAAAAAATTGTATGATATGGACGAAGAGCCTTCTACTGATTTGCGCATATATGAAGACACCATAACTAAGGACGCTGCCTTTTTCTCCAAACTCACAGGTCAAGTAAATAAGAACCGATTTCTTATAGACGATATGACTCGCGATATCAAGAACTATAGTGCTATCAAACAGTTGCGAGTTAACGCAATCAACTTGTCAAGTAAAAGACAATTTAATAATAGTATATGGGGTGAAGGTTATCAGGGTTATGGTAATGGTATTACAAACACTGCAACATCACTTTTACTTCCTGAAAGAGATGCTACAGACAGAGAAATTAATGATGCAGTTGCAATGCTGGAACACTCTCTTGTCCCAGTCAGGCTTGAGTTTGATCAAGAACGAGACAAATTCAAACTCAGAGATACATTTTTATGGGATTTAAATGAGAAATATTTATCAACTGAAGAATTTGTTTCTATGTTGATTGAAGATTATAAGTTTATCCCCAAGCATTATTTTGAAATGATTGTAAGAAGCATTAAAGAGCAATTAAATGACTATTATAAAAGGCCGTCTAAATGTCTTGGAGAATTGAGAATACCTATAAAACTTGATATTACTATTAATAATACTCAATTGACTGACCAATTTGAATGGGATATTTTAAACTATGGTGAAAATGATCCTGAAGATTTTGCTACTATAATGTGTGATGAAATGGCTTTACCTGGTGAATTTTCTACAGCTATAGCCCACACAATAAGAGAGCAAGCACAATTATATCATAAGGCACTTCATTTGGTTGGCTACAGTTTTGACGGCAGTGCGGTGCAAGAAGACGAAATCCGTAATCATATTCTTCCATCATTGCGATTTGTGGCTCCTGACTCCAAATATGTGGATGAATTTTTTTCAGTACTTCGAAATCCTCAATCTGTTGGTGATTATTCTCCTTCATTGGTCAAGTTGACCCAGTTAGAAGTGGAAAGACTAGATAAAGAAATTGAAAGAGATTCAAGACGTAAAAGGAGGCACAACATTGGAAACTTGGATGATTCACTTAACAGTTCCAGTGTGTCTTTGAATGGTGGGTTTGGCTTCAATGGTAATAATAATACAGGATTGGGCTCTCTCACCTCCGCCAGGGCAACTCTGTCAAGAAGAACTGCTTTACATGCAGCTAGAGGGGGGGGTCACTCACTTCCTGATCTTATTGATTTACCAAAGACGTATCGTACTCCAGCTCCTTCTTCAATATTACCTGGTGCGGTTGATTTGGGAACCCCAGATGTTTATTCCTATTTGGAAACACATGTTATCAAGTCTCATGTGAAGAATCCAAAATATGAACCTCCTAAACCAAAGAGTTTTAGTGTTCGAGTAGATAACCTTGATGATGCCTTAATAGTGCGCATCAAGTTAGCTCCCGAACGTTTCCCAGGATACGTGAGAAGGCCGTCATATGACTCTGATCCAGATTCATCATCTGACTATTGAACTGATATTCATTCCCAATTAGGAATGTCTTCATATTCAATTTAAATAAGACGTACACTAGGTAATTTCTGGTGATGGTGTACGAATATACTACAAAGTTAGGGGAACATCTGCACTACCATTATCAATGAACTTGCCTATTTTGGCACAAATGGATTGAGCCGTGGTACACACGACTGGTTGCCCTATTTCCCCACAGGGTCAACCCAACTTTTCATCTGGGGGGAGAACGAACCCTGTAATGGAGGTGGTGGTATATAAGGAGCCTTGTTCGACTTTTTTGGGGTAAGCAAACGTGATAAGTGTAAGATAGTCATTCAATTGATATTGCTCCAAACATGACAAAGTATGCATTGGTCACAGGTGCTTCACTGGGTATTGGATACCAGTTGGCTATCACATTGAATAAAAGAGGATACAAGGTATTTGGATGTGCCCCTGAATCGCATTTATGGGAAATGAAACCCTTGGAATCAGAGTATGGGATTGTAAGTTTCCCCTGTGATATCACCAATGTGGAGGATGTTAAGAAAGCTGCCACGTTTATTGGTGAACAGACTGGAGGTCGTTTAGATCTACTCTATAATAATGCTGGGATTGGTCTAGGGGGTCCGTGCCTTGAGGTTGAAGAAAAGGATGTGGTCAAGCTTTTCGAGGTTAATGTTTTTGGGCATATGTGGATGACCAAGTATATGGCGGAGTATGTGATTGCAGCAAAAGGTATTATTGTGTTTACGGCTTCTGTGGCTGCTAGAGTACCATTATCATGGCTGGGACCATATTGTGCTTCTAAGGCTGCAATTGATCAATATGCCAAGGTTCTTCATGCGGAAATGCAATCTCTTGGGGTTAGGGTTTATTCTGTCATCACCGGAGGTGTTGATACTGGAATTATGGATGTTGCAATTCAAGCAGCTATACAACTGAAATATTATGATGTCGATGGATTTTATGAAAGTTTAATAGCGGCTGCAAGACAAGCCAGAGATAAGAATATTCCACCAGATGCTTATGCCCAACAAATTGTTGGAGACATTTTAAATGGGGGATCCCGGTTTAATTTGTATCGTGGAGCACATGCGTTTGGGTTACACTTTGCTGATAGATACTTACCATTCTTCTTAACCAAGTTCTTTATGGCCAAATATTTCAAGCAAGACAAGGTTTTCTCTGGAGTTAAAAACCAATATAAGCTTGAGGAACGATCCAAGAAAACCATATAAAGTGTGATGGAATTCTGACTTTTAACATTAATTTATAGTTACAATACAACGGGCTCTTTGTCCATGTACTGCATGTATACAATCGTTAGTCGTCTATTTCTTATTTCTCATTCCCCTATAGAGAAATGTCGTTTGTAGTTGCGACATTTTGATAAAGCTCAAGGCTATGCATACCATTACAAACACTATTACTATTGTTTTAGTGGCTAACTTCTAACTACGACAGAATCGTTCTCTCTTTAGTCTTTCTTTATCTTCCAGATGGTGATACTGGATGAATATTCTCGACACGAGTCGGAGGAACCCAGAACTTTACATTTAAGCAACGACACTATTAATGACAACAGCAATAATGAAATGCATGAAGAATACAACCATAGTATAGAAGGCTTGCATTTAGATAGAGACCACCCGTTTAACTATTCCGCTCAAGGAAGCTCTACAGACATCAATACGCGTTCCGAAGGAGCTGGACACGAATCTGGTTCGTTTGATCTTGAAATGCAACAAATGGCATCCTTTGAAGTCAGACAAGAACGGGAACGATTGGAGAATGAAGCTATTGGAGGAAGATTATCACGATGGCTTCAACGTATTATACCCGTAAGACAAACTTATGAACGGTTACACAACGGGATTAATACTGGACGGTTGGTTTCAAATCAACCAGGACGATTCATAGGACAAGGAACTGATGGAGTATTTCGAAACTTGATGGCGAAACCTGACACTGATAGACAAGAACAAGAAGTTAGTCCTCCCCTGTATGAAGAAGCTGCTGCTGATGCTGCTCCTGAGTATTGGGAATCTACTATTATTTCACCCATGTATGAAGATGAAGTATTTGTCAAAGGGTTACCTGTTGGAAGTATAGCCAATTTCATGTGGAATATCTTGGTTTCCATAGCGTTTCAATTTGTTGGGTTTATACTTTGTTACTTATTACATACGTCACATGCCTCCAAACAAGGTGCTAGAGGAGGCATTGGGATTACACTTGTGATGTATGGCTACAATATTGTACCTAAGAACTTTGGGCATGTGGATCAAGTCCCCCATCGATATGTTCCTAAAGATCCCAACTCATATGATATTGATAAATCTGTGAGTATAAAGGGAGGACTTGATTCTTATAGTTCTGATCAATTTCAACAATTCAAAAAAGTGGTTCCCAACGATTCGTTCAACAGTGCACCCTATTTGGCTTATGGGACCATAGCATTGGGGTTGCTAATCATAATAAAGCTGTTGGTTGATTATTATAAGGTTAAGTTATTAGAGCGGAAAATGTTGGCGCCTCAAACAGAACAAATCAATCTGGTAACCGCGCTAGCTGAATAGGACATTAATAGCATATCGTAAGCATTTAAATCTTTATATTTTTATTATTATTATTATTAGTAGTAGTAGTAGTACGTCAAAGGTTGAACAGATATTAAATCTCTTATATGCTAAATGTTAAATATGTACAATTAAATCATCTTTTGATACCTCCCGAGGTTCACATCATTTCATGATTGTGATCATTTTCTCATAGATTGTGAAAACTATACCACCACTCAATACCAACCTACCTAATCTGGGTGTAGCACCTTTCCAGAAAGTCAAAAGCCCTTCCTCCCTAAAAATTTTGACGAAACAGTTGAGTGTAGAACTGTACAATTTATCAGACCCCAAGGCTTGCATTCTTGTCTTTACAGTATCAATAGGCATGGTAGTGTAAACGGTGATAATACCGGCAAATGAACCAACAAGAAATGTCGCAGCTGATCCTAAAGGTTCATTTGGCTTGTTGCCAGAACCTTGCTGGATCATTGTTTTAATAGCATTGTAAGACCCCAATCTAACTGCTTGATTCAGAGCTTGTCTTAAAGAAACTGGTACTAGCCCAGCATAAATTCCCTTGAATCCTAAATCCTTAACCAATTTTACAGACCCAGAAATTAACCCATTTTGATACTTTGGTTTGGGACTTTGTTTATCATCGATCAAAGCAGTCTTTATAGCTTCAAATGGTGTAACTGCTACAACAGATTCTAATAGCCCAGCCCCTAACCCGGCAATCACACCCCTAGGACCTGAAAGCTTGCCATTCTTATCAGCAAGTAATGACTTAATCATATCAAACCCTAAGAAACGTACACTAGCTTTAACAGTGTTACCCACCACAAATGCGGGACATCCAACATATAAACTACTTACACCTTGAGTTTTAGCCACATTATATATCAAAACAAGTGGGTTACGAGAGGCTGTGGATCCTTTACTAATCAATTGAAGACGAGTCTTAGCAAACTCGAAAGGATAGGTTACCACACCTTCCACTGCTCCAGCTGTACCACCCGCTATGAAAGACTTAAGGGGACTTACCTTTATTAGTGCGAATGTTAGTCTTTGGCTTCAATAAAAATGAATTTCTTGTCATTGCAAACTTACCTGTTGTTTCTTGTCGTCTGCCATATTAATTCAGCTTTATGATGTCAAGTGATCTTTTTCAGCAATGTACCTGATGACAATCGTTTAAAGAATTATTATCACCATTAAATGCGTATACTCATATTCGAAAATTTTTCAGCCCAGTGCACGCCACATTAGGCCGGCACCGGCATCAACCTTTTCTCTCGCACTAACTTATTAGTGCATAGTAGTCTTAACTGTATTATTGGAAGAGTCAAGTATTGTTAGATTTTTGAAGATTCTTATCTGAATGGGAAGGAATATCATAGTCTATTAATTTTTTTATGAAAGATCTAAGTCATCAAAATCATCAAAGTTATCATCATCTTCATCATCTTCCTCTTCCTCCTCTTCTTCTTTAGCTTGTCTATCCAATTGTGCGTAATATGCGGCCAATGCTTCTTGTTGTTCTCTGTCTTTCAACTCTGTTGCTGAGCCAGTGCCTTCAGGGATAGCTGCAGGTTCTTGAGGCATTGGAGTAGCCAGATCCCCTCTATCCAATAGTTCATCAGCTTCAGATTTTATACCTGGAGTCATTTCTCTTGATAAATTATCTTCAGATCCAGTTGCTATAGCAGAATCTTCATCATCCAAACGACCAATGATGGACTTCCCTACAGAAGACAGTGAATACCATGAAGGTAAAGCATTCTGTTCTAATTTTTGTCTTCTTTCTTCCTTTTCCATTTGTTCTCTTTCATAATTTTCATCATTAGCACTAATAGACACGTGTAAAGTTGCTTGAGAACGTGCAGCTGCTGCGGCCAGGGAATTGTTTGCCAAATTAGATCTAGATCTATTAGAAATACGACTAGAAATAGCATAGGAAGCCAGTGTAGCCGATTGAGCAGGGATAGTTTTCATCAAAGCCAGTTCAAAAGTGTTATCTTCAATATAAGATTCGTCTATACGCTTCAAATAAGTAATTATAGGATCAACTTGTTTCATTAAACGTTCCAATTTTTCTTGTTTCAAAGTTGCTTGTTGACTTGAATCGTCTTCAACCAATACTCCACCACAGGTATCACAAACAAAACTTGAACGATCATCACTTAACAAGGCAATTGCATCCAACTGACTTACTTTCTTGCCACAAATAGGACATACATAACCTTGAGGGTTCCCGTAATGTTTCATTTCATCTTTCAACAGATTAACAATCGAATGAACTTTCCACTTGATTGCATCAATAGTCTCTGTGATATGAATATAATAATACGTTTTGGTTGTAAGCCGTTGTTGAAGATTCTCTTCCTTCTGAATATGGTTAACAAGCAACCTATCTTCTACTAACCGATTGCAAAGAGCTCTAAGTTCTTTCCTTTGAATTCCTAGCAAATAGATGAGATCATCTTCACTTAAAACCGAATGAAGCATCACAGCATCAAGAATAAGTACATAAGGTTGTGAGTAGAATCCGCGAGCAACAAATCGAAGAAGCAACTTGACTGTATCATCCATGGTGGGGAGGGTTGGTGATGGTAAATGAAGATGTGCCTTTTGACTTACCTGGTGGTGCATAAATTTTCGTTCTCATATCAAAAGTATCAATTGGGTGTACAGGAGATGATTATGTAATCAGAGAGTTAAAGATCTCAGGATTTGCAATCGTAATCATAGCCACTAATTTATCTTGCATTCCTTGTGAAACACAGGCATAGCAATAAGAAAGGACTATGAGGAAAACAAGATTGTTAAAAGATGTTAATTAAGTATGGGTAATTGTAAGTGAGCATTTTGCAGGTGCATTTCTGTAGAACCAGGGAGCTTATTGCATAAAAGTTACAACCCATAATTCGTTGGCAGGGGGAGGAACTACAAATTTAAACAGTAAATTCACTACTGCGTACACATGTTTTTACTGGTTTTAAATGGTTTATTAAAGATTAATAGCATTAAGAAGGATAGTAGTTAATATACCACAATTGGTGTGAAAATACCGTAATAATACAACACTTGAAATAGTACAGTTATATTTGATAGTGGAATTCTAATAGAAACAATGGATGGTAATATTACCTTATTGACTTTAAATTTGTACTTTATGGTTATACCGAAAGCCACCATTGGTCTACTCACATGATGCATCGAAGGTTCTCAAGAACAATGTACATTATGGCACATTTTCGGTCCATTTCTTCGAGGAAAACGAGAATCGCGCACTTCGATTTATCTCCATACAAACTGATCTGGTGTACAGGTGCCATGAATGGTATAGAGAGGAGAAGACACACGACAGGCGTCAGACCACTATGGGGCCAAGTTCATACCCAATTGAGTTCTGAAAGTCCAAAGTACAATGCGATAAGATGGACTTGAATAAGTAAGGTTATAATGAAATAAGGAGAAGCTTATGATTACGATGAACTTAAATTATAATAGAAGGTTGCAGCCTAATAAGTACCTGGCATCAATTAATTCTTCATACCATGCGTTGCGGTGTGATATTGAGTTTATATTTTAGTGGCAACATCTTGAGAATACGTGAGCTAAGTGATTAAGCAATGGAATGAAAGTATACACATTTCCATCCTATAATTTATTATCTTGCTATTATTACTATTTTTATTACTAGATTGAAAGCCATTGTATGAATTAAGGACCATGATAGAGGACAATGAGACATGGCATAAGAGTTATAAAAATAATAGTAATAATAATGCGGCCCTCAATCAAATTACCAAATTTCAAGCTAATAATTGTGTCAGCACAGTTTTTGTCCCCTCTTTGTATATTAAATCCAATCCGTGCTACCATCACATACGCGAATCTTTTTCGCAATGTAAACGCCACAAAACCTTTTTTGAAATTGGTGTACCGCGTCGCAAAAAATCTCCTAAAAGTACAACCCCAAATAAAAGGGCAGCTGTAGACGGCACCTTATACGGGTGTATTACCCTTCACCAAAGTAGGCAAAGAAGGTATTAGTATTGATTTTATTTTAATCACTACTTGCGTTCTGCTTAAAACTTTACACATCAGCAACCAAAAGGAAACCTTACCCCTTACTTTACTATAGCTTTAATCTTTATCGCATCAAATCGTTACGTATCCATCCCATCTCATCATTAGTGCAAGAGGCATTAGTGAACTATCTTGAATGCCATCATCAATTATCTGAGTTATCGACCACTTCAGTAGCACTCAAGAGGCTTGTAGATGGATTCCAATGGCTCCCTACAATAATATTTTGAAGGACGCCACCAACGTCAACCCCTTTGCCGCTACCAGTACAAATTCAAACGGTTCACTCAAACACAGATTACCTCCACAACAATCATCATCATCATCATCTATTTACTATACTCAAGTTGCAGAGACTCCATCCCATCAAAATCATCATAGCGGACATATATCGGCTGTTTATGCTAAAAAACATATCACGACTCCTCCACATTCTGTTGTTCGCAAGTTCTCTGACGTTCTTCTTTACTCGTCGACTCCAGATATGGATTTCCCCAACAACAGAGATTCCAATACTATCACTGCCTCCCATTCAAATGCGTTCTTTCCTCCTTCAACACCCACAAATAAATATCCTATGGGTATTCAAGATGCTAGCAGTCAAACGTATGTTCATAACCACAACCACAACCACAATTCTGAGCTGACAAACTTGTTACATATTCAAAATGGATCTCTTTTATCACCTGCTTTCTCATCTCCACAACGTCCCTTGATCACCCATAGCCACAAGGTATCAGCTCCCTCAAATAATGATTCTGGCTTATTGAATTTATCCGTAACGAATTCAAGTTCAACCTCGGTGTCTTTGACATCAAATGTGGTTAAACCAAAGAAGAAAGCTTCGAAAAAGGAGCATACACCATTCGATGTTAATTCAGAAGATAAACCTCCATATTCATATGCTACATTAATTGGAATGTCCATATTATCACATGTCGATAAAAGATTAACTCTTTCTCAAATCTACCAATGGATAGCAGATACATTCAAGTATTATAAGAGAGACGAAGTGGGCTGGCAAAATTCCATTAGACATAACTTATCCCTCAATAAGGCTTTTATAAAAGGTGAAAAATCAAAAGATGGGAAAGGCCATTTCTGGTTGATCAAGAATGGTTGTGAGGAACAGTTTCTTAAAACAAAGAGTGGTCGAAAGTCTGCTTTTGACGAGGTTATGGATCAAATTAAGCATAATAATTATAATCATCGTGAGTTAGATACCACTCTGTCAACCCAAACGTCACTTACATCTTCAATTACGACTTCCACTTCTGGTGGTTTAACAAACCCCAAAAAGAAGACTCAGGGATCAACAATTGATACTACGAAATCATCAAATTCCAATAGTGTTTCCATCAATTTACCTTCACTGCCATTGCCTGCATCTGCTGAATATAGATCATCTCGCAAGCGTGCCTATGATGACGACGACGACGACGATGATGATCTTGATAATTTTGATGTGACTGTTGCAGACGAGGTAAGTACAAAGAAAGATATTCATACTGAGGATGATGAAGATAATACTTTTGTTATCAAGCGTCCCCGTATTGATGAAACTTCCACCGCCAACGATGAATCATTACATGGTGGTCCACTTCTTGCATCAAAGCATCTCACCATAACTTCATCGTTTAGTTGTGATTCTAATTTGGAATTATCACCTGTGCGTATTAATACTGGGGGCCCACTTTTAGAACCAATTACTCCAGCTAATTCTCGTCTTGTTCATGTCAATTGTTTATTACAACGCACACCTTTGTTTACAAATTCACAATCATTATCTGCATCATCGTCCGTTTCACGTCTGAATGATTATTTTAGTGGGTCATCTTCAATTGCCAACTCATTGCTCACAGCAGCATCACTGAATACATCAATATCTTATACATCCCAAGTTCAGAAAACCCCAACTTCATCGGCCCACATCCATGCTCGTACCCCAATAAGTACATCTTTAGGATCAAGTCTCATAAGAACACCATTACGGAAAACTCCATCGACTTTAATTAAAAAGTTATGGCATAATCTGCCTGGGTATTTGGATGAGTTCTATTACAGTCCTTTAATAAGTTCCAGTAATTTGAATCTGTATGATGATGATGATATGATCTTACGCAATTTTGAAAGTCCTAAACGGGATTAAAATGATAAGAAATGGGATGGGACTTGGTTTTGATTTTTGGTTGGTATTGAGAGGATACATTGTTTAATGTTTAATAGTTGGTTACTTCATTTACATGGTTAATTTTATTGGTGATTTTTGTTGCTCTGATACTTTTTTTTTTAATTTCGTTTTGATTACTTGTTTTACAGTTGAGTACAGTTTGCTTTTCCGGTTGAAGCTCTGCTTTATCCGTTTCCATTATCGTGTGTACTATTAATATATATTTTAAATACGGGGGTTCCAGGATTACTACACGATTGGACCCTGTTGAAGTTTCATCTCCCTGTAAAACGTCATTATTTCTATTAATCATTACTGGCACATCCTGAACAACCACATGTCATGCATTCTATTTCCTTTTTATCTTCAGCCCGTTTAGAAATTGGTACTCGACATATACAAGTGTTCCCGTGAGTATATTGACCCTTTTGAATGCATTGAACACAGCATAGATTTTCATAACCTTGTTTCCTCCATTTGGCAATTAAATCTTGGTTAACGTACTTTTGAAGAATAAGCCAATCATATAAGTCTTTCAGAATCAACTCTCGTTTATAATAAAGTTCGTAGACGTATCTGGATATTTCGTGATTAATACGAATGATGGGCCAAAGTGCTTCTTTAGCAGCTTTGGATTGTAAGGATTCTTTCTGAGCTTGCCTTAGTTTGAGTAATAGTTTATCAATGGTTGACTTAATCTTTTCATAGCCCTCAGGTGGTGTTTTGGACGGTTTCTTCGTTCGTGCCATAGTCAAGTACTTTCGTTTAGTTTGTAGGCGATGTATTAATGATGTATGTTGATGATTAGAGATGAGATAGAAAAAATTAGCTTGGGTAGGATTCGAACTTGTGTGCGAATCGATATCCGGACCCTTTCCGACTTGAAGAAGATTGGAAAAAAATGTTTGTCTCTTTGAAAGACGTATTTCCGACAGTTGCAGGATTCGAACCTGCGCGGGAAATCCCACTACATAGCTCTGAAGATTCGAGTGTAGCACCTTAACCGCTCGGTCAAACTGCCAATCAACACTTCCAAAGCAACCCCTGAAACAAGAATTCCGAGGGTCACAACAGATATACCAGGAAGGTAAATCTTATATATAGGTTGGTGTAATATTTACTACAAGGATAAATTCTTTGAGAAAAAAGAAACATGGTAGCGCACATATAGATCATGTGATTGTTTTGTTTGTTCCCAATTGTTACAGAGGTTGATTCCATAAAAGGATATGAAATGCAGGGTGTCTTAGGCTAATTTGGAGTTGAAATTTGTGTTGCAGCTTACCATGTTACATGCCGTTTTTAGAAGTGTTATACGACTCTCGTACTTTTACAGGAATAATATTGCTTACTTTTAACAGACCATCCAGTTACTAGATCCATAGAAGGTTTCGATTACTAATTGGAGACGAGAGAGACCTGTAATATTACTTAAACGTTTAATATTTGTATACGTTGCTATTATTCGCTTGGTTATAACTTTGAATATAGTGCAAAGGGACGTCGTGTATACCTAAACGGCTTTATGTTTCAAACCTTTTTCTTTTTAAATTCAGATTGGAATTTCTTTGCGTAAGTTGCAAATAATGAAACAATTAAGAGGAACGAAGTAGAACTAGTATTGACGAGATCCAATAGAAGATACAGTGGCGTTATAAGATACAGTGGCTAAGTGCTATAATACTAAAGTTATTAGATTATTGTACTTGTAAGAATATTTACTTCAAACGTATGCATAATCAGTATAATGATGTAAAGTCTATTTTACGGGAAGCAATTCCGAGTAACGGGTGCATAGCGGTTGCCGTGTTGTGACATCGAAGAAATATCCATGTGTAGTTCCAACCCTTTGGTATATATCCAAGTAAAGCAGTGATGTGGTGTTTCGCAATTCCATTCTTGAATTATAATGCAACAATTAACTGCACGAAGGCCTGATTGTGTTGAAAGAATGACACTTTAAGGATATTTTTTGTCACACTATACAACAGCACCCCTTATTGGACTTTGCACCATGTTCGTAAGTTCGATAAACAAAGGTACACGCCGTCATCAAAGATGGTTCGAAGGAACCATAGAAGTGTCATTAGTAAGGAGCTGGATCAGATCACAATAGGCGGCAATAATCGGCAATTATCGGTATATATTTGTTGACGATGTACAACAGACGCTAAGCATAGTAACCCAGACCATGCAGCGACGACGGTGTCATAGAGAACAAAAAAGGGTTCGCTCATGTGGATAAAGCAAAAACTACAACAATCTTTAATGATATTATTATAATTAATAAACATCAATAGTAATAATTTAACACGTCCATACAAAACATAAGTGATGGATGCTTGATTTAACTATGTATAAGAAAGTTCAAACACAAACATATTATTCAATTCAATTCAATTGACTTATAATTTTTGTTCTTCAGTATAGATGTATTCAACTGCTTCACCAACAGTCTTAATTTCATCAGAAACCTTGTCAGGAATTTCCAAGTCAAATTCTTCCTCGAGAGCCACCAAAGCTTCAACGGTATCCAAGGAATCCAAACCTAAATCATTTTGGAAAGATGCTTCTAATGATAATTTGGATTCTTGTAATGCACCAACAGTCTTTAAAGCATCAAAAGCTCTCTTGGTAACTTCTTCTTTGGAAATTGGTTGAGCAGCGTAGAAACGAACTGGAGTTCTTATCACCACAGGTAAACGACGAGTAATGCTTGTAGCCACAAATCTGTACATATTAATATTTAATCTCTTTTCTGTATATCACAACTGCTTATTTTGCAAAGAATGCTGTATGGGGTTCAATGGAATATTGATAGATTGACTTTGATTGAATCTTAGATAATCGTTGCTTATTTATATTATTAAATCTACCAATTGGAAAATTTTTATTTCCCGATCACCGCTTATGTAATCGATTACGAAAGCTAAATACACCCCATACCCCCATAAAAGTAGAGGTAACTACTATTTCGGGGATTGGGTTACCACCCACGAAAATATGTATTACGGACTGTTTTAGGTTTACGGGTGTAACCATATGTGTACAAATAAGTGTACTCGGCTTAACTCAAGGGGTTGATAAGTGGAATAGATACAGTCTGCATCAGAAAATGGTCTAAGGGAGGGATGAAGTTTACGAACTTTTCGGAATGTACGTACCAAACAGCAAAACGGTAGACCCGATACGGGTTACTCAGTTCATTGGGCTAAATGTAGTAATGGAGTATGCAATTTGAGAATGCACCACACGGCATTATTACATAGACAAATGACCGTACGTACAATTATACTGTAGTTCATTCCATATATATATCTATTCATGGTAGTGTAATACCCCTTTGTATATAAATATATATATGTGTATATATCTGGATCAGATCAATTCATTGTTATTGTTGGAGGAAGATAACTAAATACAGTATTGATTTTGACAATTTTATTTCTTAGTGCTGGCTAACGTGAGGCACTACAACTTTTACCGAATCATACAAGAACCCTTTTTAAGCCTTAAACAGATTATGCGAGGTTGTTTATATCATATAACCTCAGGCTATTCCACTTCCATTGTTTGCCGGACAAGCATTGTATAACTAATAAGAAAAAAAAAACCACATTATCAACCGATACAAGGCTCTAAGGAGAATAGCGACTATTAGTGAGAATACCTCAATTAACAACAATGTACTAACTATAGTTGCTTAATTAGTCACGAAGGGGGCACCAGTTATCTATTTGTGTCTCCAATTCAACGCAGTTCGCTTCGTGGTATTTACAGCACCAGGAAGCCCACTATTATTGGTTCCAAACGAATGAGCCGAGGCAGCATTCAATGATCCACTCATGGTTGAAGCGTCCAGATAATTATGAGAATTAGCAGAATGGGAAGAAGTTGAAGATGCTCGGCTTGAAGTACGCACTAATCTGTTACCACTACCGGCTAACAATGGAGCCGCATGAAGTCCACCAGTGGATAACCCAGAAATCGACCGTTTATCTGAATGGATACCTCCGGATTGTGATATCATACCACTATATTGAGATGTACCTTGGATCAGACTTAAGGTTCCTGTAGTCGAAGCCGCACTAGATTGAGTTCCATCTCCAGCCAATTTTAAGGCCTTGATTTCTTGTTCAAAGTTCTTAACAAACAAATCAACCAATGCTTCATGTGACATTCTGATACTGGGGGAAATCAATTTGCCATGTAAAATCAAACATCTGTTCAACACTATTGTCAAATCATCAAAGGCATTTCTCAATAATCTAATTTGTCCAGAATGTTCAAGCTTACCCTCATATTTGGGATCAGTAAAGAAAGTACGGTATTGTCCAACCCCACCATTCACAGGAGAGTCTACAGTTCCTGTTAATTGCCTTGATAAATCATTGATCAACGCACCGAAATCACTCTTCTCCTTGAAGGCAATGTTGATCATACTCTCTAATGAGATCAAATCGTTATTCTTGGATACGATGGTTCGAATGGCATTATCCAAAGGTGACAATTTGATAACCTTGGATTCTTTGATTTCTGATCTATTCATCAAAGTAGGGAATGAAAGATATGTTTCATAAGTTGTTTCCTCAGTCCATAAATCAAAAATAGAAGTAGAACCAGGAATCTTCTTCATAACAGTAAAGAATCTCAAATCCTTGTTTCTAGCATATTGTCTAACACCAATAGAAGTATTAAATAACTTGTCACTGATTTCATTAATAGGTTCAACAGTTCCAACATGTAAATATCTACCAGTTGGATTCTTTTCCTTTATTTTGGCTGCTTCATAATCATCAGATATGATTCTAGCACCAGGGTATAATTTCAACAATCTTTCATGGATCGAAGTAATATGTTCAAAGGGTAATCCTTCATAAATATTTTCCTTGCCTCTTGTATTAACAGGGAACCCAGCACCAATAAATGCAACTCTAAAGTACGAGGGGGTCAATTTATCAGAAGATTCCAAATCCAAATATAACTTGGCCAATTTGTTATGAACATATGCAAAACTCTTCAAATCATATGTATGAGCGTTATAAGCATCCAATAATTCATTGTAAGTATCAGTAGCCCTTTCCAAACTGTTACCACGAATAAAATTATGTGAAATCATCTTGAACAATGTTTCCTTTCTTTCAAATGAAGTTTGCTCTGGGAATTTGGGTCTGAAACTGGAAGGCAAAAGCGTGTGATGATCCCAACTATAAGTTGAAGCCAATAATTCCAAACTTAATGCTGCCTGAATGTAATCCTTCTTGTTAATATTTTCCTCAAACATTGCATTGATGAATGAATTAAACAATTCCGGTTTGTTGGCATTCTTCAAGAAAGCAAAAATGTTCAATTTGTGGAAAGTTCTGTCATCATCAAATTCAGGCCCAACTGGAACACAATTCAAATCATTCAATACCATCATGAATTCTTGAAGGGTGTTGATAAATGAGTAAATCAAGCCGAAAGCAATATCTTCCCGATCCAATCTAATTGTTACCTTTAATCTGTGAATGAAATTAAGCTGTTCACCGATCATTGGCTTATAGCCATTTCTTGTATAAATTTCATGAAGACCAATCAAACATTCACGTTCAACATCAACAATGTTTTCACTTAAAATAAATTCAGATATAACCACAGACCATAAAATCTTAACTGCAACTTGTTGGCATGCTTCATGCTTTTGTAAAGCAAAAAGCATTAAATCCTGAAGAATCGAGTAATCAGAATTGATAAATTCAACTTGATATCCACCAAATTTGTTTAAGTTGAATCTGATGGTATCCTCCTTCGTAGCATCCCAGGCCAAAGCATCCCAAGCTTCATTCACCATAAACGCAATTCGATCCCGAACAGAAGATGTGATTTGAAAACAAGCCTTTTGAGGAACTTCAGACAAATGTTCCGTAGCTACTGGAACCAAGGTACCCAATTTTAACAATGTAAGCAAATAATTACCCCAAATAGTCTTATCAAAAATCTCAGAATCTTCGATAGGTGGGATGTAATGGTTAATCAACAAGGGTCTTACTAACTCCAAAGCAACTAACCCGCCATCAGCTATCGAAGCATATAAAGAAAGCCATTTGTCTTCAGGGAAGTACTTCCCTTGTCTCATAAGCTTAACACCAGAGATTAAGGTTAAAACATCTTCATTATGAAAGTTAGAAGCCAAATACTTATCGGCATCAAAGAAATCGTTTTCAATCTTGGTAGTTAAAATTTTGGCGTAACCATCATTACCAGCAGCAGCTTTACCAATACGAGCAACAAAGCAGAAGATAACAACAAGCTCAATCAAAACTTCAACGACAATCTCGTCGTTGACAATTGGATCCGCAATGGACTCTTTAAAGGGGTAGTCTCTGGGGAACAAATATGTGAATGTTCTTTTTGGCTTAAAAAAATCATTACCTCTAGTGTACTTGTTAAACTTGATAAAAGTTCTGGAGATTGCAGGCAATAACTTAGCCAATGAAAAGCACAAGTCAATTTCATTTCCATTATCAGGGTTGCATAAAACTTTCTCTTTCAACAACTTACAAACAGAATTAAAGATGGAACAAGCGATTCTGGTGGCATCAACATCAGTGGACCCTAAAAAAACATCCATACACCAAGAAACTGACTTCCCAACAAGAATTCTACGAGTTGCTTTGTTCTCAGCCAATGCAGAACCTAATAAGCGATGGATTAAAAGCAATTTGCTTATAATAATCTTATGATCTCTTGCAGATGCCAAAGACTTCTTTCCATTACTATTGTTATCTTCAGTTGCCCCTAGTCCACGGGTCCCGATAGAATCAACCAACGTGATAACAAATGGAGCCAACTTAGTGATGTCAATTTTGTCATGGAAGATCAATACGTTGTCAATCATTTCCAAAACCAGAACTTGATCACCAATTAAGGAAGTTGATTGTAAAGATAAAAAGGATGAAGTTGCTCTGAACAAAGCGCTCATTGAAGCAACATAAGCATCTGTATTACTAGCAGTTTGCATTGATTCATGAACCAACTTGAAAACTAAACCAACAACACGACACAATGATCGCGAAAGGGTATTCCAATTGGCTTCACCACGAGCAAAGATTTCAGCAACCTTGTTCAACAAGAAAACACCTATGCTGGGTAAATTTTTATGGGAAGTTAAGAAAGTATCCAACATGTACAGATATTGATCTTGCTTTCCCAAAACAGTGTCTAACAAATGAACCATAGCCTTAAAACAGTTATCTTCAAGCATCTCATTACTTGGAGTAGGTTTCTGTTGTAAACAAATATCAACAATGCTATACATTGATGATAACAATTCAGGAAAGTATTTGATCAATTGGACTATATCCAATTTGCATATGGAAATTAAAGCTGCTGACAAATCATCCATTCCTGTTGGACCTAACTTGAAAAGTCTGTCATATTGGAAAACTGAATCAATTGAAATGTCAGAATTGAAAACCTTACCAACATATTCAGTCAGAACTTCAACCAGACCAATTTGAGTGTTGTGAACAGGGGAGACGATTTCAACATGGTGTGATTTTTTGGTATTGTATTCAACTAACCTATTTCCAGATTTGTACAACAATTTCCCTTCACCTTCTAACTGACCATTAACAAAAAGACTTAAAAGAATGTAATCATCCTTTGGCACCTTTTTGTTCGACTTGATTGAAACACCATTGATCTTAACAATTTCACCAACAACTTCACCAGAGAAAACCGATACAAACTGCCAAGATCTCTTCTCTTGTTGATTGGAAGCCTTTGCAAAGGTAATCAAGTCATTATTTGGAGCAGAAATTTCATAAGTTAACAAATCATCTTTTTGAGCGTTGTTGCCCAAGAGATTAATTTTACCCATTCTCAAGTAAATTCTCTCATAGTTATCAGCCAAGGGATCAAAAAAAATGGGTTTGATAATTGCAATTGGAACGCTATTGTTCACCTTAGAACCATCATTCTGTAATTGGTGCTTAAACTCTTTAACAGATACAACCAATTTTTCAGCTCTTGGATTAACAGCAATACCACGAGAAGAGCCAGCAATAATTCTTTCAATCAATTCACCCCAGCCATTGTTTTGCAAGCTATCAGCATCACCAGCTCCCAGTTTCATGTTCGGGATCATGGAATTGTTTGAGGGTCTCTTATTGTTCACATAAGAACCAAACAAACGAATTGAAAATTGATGATATTCTCCCGTTTGCAAAGAACCTTTATTCTTTGAAAATACACGGGTAATATCCGTAACACCAGCAGCAACACCCTTTTTAACACTATTGACGTGAGTTACTTTCTGTTCCAAACTTCTACCACTAATGTCAATATCCTCCAAAAGTACAGCACAGAGATAGACTCTTGAGTTTTCAATTTCGGTCTGAGGAATGTTTCTAAACAAAGCTGCTGATAACTTTTCTACGTTAACTAGATCCTTGACAGAATCTGTGTGCACAGCAAAGGCTTCAGATAATCTCTTTCTATTGTTCCGAATGTACATGTAGGCCGTCATTCCCTTGAACCCTGGAGGTTGGTAAGCTGAGGATCCCAGAACCAGTTTGAAGTTAACCAAAATATGAGAAGGAGGATCATGGATCAACTTAGTGTTTGGTTTAGGGTCTAAGCTATATTCATCTTTATGAGCATGAGAATTGATTGGGAACTGTGGAGCCAACGCACACAACTCCTGATTAATAGCAATTCTTGAAGGGCAGACATTATCATAAGTAAACAAAGTACCAGTAAACGAGTCTCTGGCCAAAATAGCTTTGTAACCAGAAACATCAGTGTTCTTGTTATCCAAATCGTAATTTTTATCTGTCAATCTGTCAGATTTGGAGGCCAATTTTTTGGAAACAACAGACAACAAATAAGTAGCACTTTCTCTGGCGACTTGAGCTTCGTTTTCAGTCAAAACATCATTCATCAACTTGATTCTGACCTCAAGTAATTGATCAAAAACAGATACCAATTTAGTAAACAATTTGAACTCACCAATGGCATAAAAGGCAAAGATATGGTTTGCCAATAAACTCAAAGCATGTTTGATTTCATCAACCAAGTCATCACCCTTGTTGAATCTAATGGTTGGTAAATTAGGCATCAACCGTTTAGGGTTAGACAGTTTGGGGAAATCTGGACCGTCCGTAGCATTTCTATGGGCAAGTTCTGAAGCTGCAATAGTGGGGACCGTTTCAATATCAATTATGTTATTGAATTCTCTATTGATCACCACTTGTTCTAAAGGCAATTCTTCAACCACTACCACGTATTTCAAGGGGAAAATAACGACCCGAATATCAACACCTGGTAAATCATCCAAGTTAGTTGAAGTAATCGTGAAGTCATTGGGGAATGGTCTAGTTAACGCGTAACCACGAGCCCATTTGCCGTCTTTGGTTTCTAATACAAACACTTCATCACCACAATACAAGTTTTTAAAGTTTTCATTCTTCAATGTTGGATGTTTTTCAAAGGGTAAGAACAGCTTCACCATCTTACCCCGAAGAAGGGCGTCCGTTTTCTGCCACATAATGTGATACGTAACAAATTACTTATAGGTACTATTTACTACTATAGCTGCTGTATTTAAGTCTATAAGATTATCAGACCCTTTTAAACCATTAATTAGATCTCAATTGAGGGCGTTGACCTTGGGCGGATAAGGTGAAATTTATTGTTTGTATGTTGGATATGTGCACCACTTTTTGCGTAGAGCAACAGAGCAGTGCGCTGCCTTGACTCGAGGACAATGTGATCGCCAACTTCTAAATCGGACATACCATAGTGATACTATAGTCCAACTATAATTAACACAAGTATAGTCTATGTTATGTATCCTTTGTAATGTGATTTTACGATATGTGGTGTTCTATGATGGTACGGTATGTCATGTATGCTATGTGATGATAGGTATATATACTTATATATATATCTATGTTGTGACTGTCTATGTTACGCAAAAAATCCTAGTAACTTATGAGAAATGTCCTTAAAGCTCCGAATGTTATACTCACGACCTCCGTCCCAAAGGTACCTATCCATTTCCCGTCTTCCCAGGTCGAAATCCAACGATTCCAAATTCCTCATTCGAGCTCCTTTAACCACTCGATAACCAATATACAAAATAATAAAGAGGAATAAAGTTCCATAACTGGTAAAGAAAAATAAAACATCCCATTCACCCTTGAGGAAAACAACAAACCCCATTGAAAGTACAATGATCGCCGTACCCACAAACCCAACTATCGCGGTATACGGTTGGAAGGGAGATCGATAAGGGTAACTCTTATCGTCTCTGGACATAATGTCTGGTCTTCTCTGTAAGCCATAGTAAAATCTAATGAATGATAACGACATGCCACACCAAACAATGATTCCCAGAGAGGCGACAAAACTACTCAAATATTGAAACACTTGAGTAGCGGTTTCACTAACACAAAAGAAGGCCAATAGTCCAAACAGTGACAGGAAAAGTACTGCCATATAGGGGGTACCAAATCTATTGCATCGACTCAAGATCTTAGGTGCTTTACCTTGTAACGACATTGAGTAGACTGTTCTAGAACTAACGTAGATCTGTGATGTCCCACAGGTAACAGCAAAGAATACTAAAAGGGCATTGACAACTCCTGATCCATTACATGCCCCTATACTTTGCAAAGCAACAATCCAAGGTGATTGCGAACCATTGGAAAACCCAGCAAATAACTTCGAATTGTAATCGGTATTGCACTTATCTCCTCCTAAAAGCCCAACTAAAGTATGATAATACTCCGTATCACTTCCATGGGCATGAGATCGGTATCGTAATAAACGTGGATCTCCAGCATAAAGATTAAGCGAAACCACAAATGATGCAAGAATGTAGAATATAAGCACTCTGAAAAATACTCTTTTGGTTGCCGAGGGAAGAGCCTTCCTTGGATTATTGGCTTCACATGCTGCAATGCAAACAATTTCTGTTCCACTATAAGCATAACAAGTGGTCAAACAAGCAACAATCACCGCAAGAAATCTTCCCAAGTTCCCACCATGAAGACCAGTGCTTCCGATAACATTATCATTCAAATTAAACGAAGGTCGAAAGGGTCCATAAATTAACCCATTCTCAAAATCCAGTTGAGAATGATCCCAATATTTGAAGCCAATGACTTCATTATTTAACCCCCCTCTATTCAAAACAATCATCAATATCGTCAACAGCAAAATACTTATGACTTTTATTAGACCAGAAAAGTATTCAATTTCTCCATAATACTCCACATCCATTAAATTTGCTCCAACGACAAATCCTAAAAACAATATGACAAACGCAATCATAGTACCCTTATGCTCCAATATCTTCAAGTTGGAATAGAAGGTTAACATTATCACACTGGCCACGATTTCTCCTGCAAGTCCTATAGCGAAGCTTGACCAATAAAGCCACCCAACCGCAAACCCAAATGCGTCATCTACAAAACGAGAACTTAACCCGGATACACCATCCACAATACTAACGAATGACACCATTTCACAGAATGAAACAATAGAGGCTACGACAATGATACCAGTTATGGTAAATCCAAGAACAGCACCTAACCCTCCCCCAATAGTAATAGCCTTGCCACTATTTAATAAAAGTCCAACACCTAATGTCCCTCCAAGAGAAATCATTTGAAGATGTCGAACCTTTAATTTCCGCTTTAAAGTATGTCTATGTTTCATCTTTTCTCCCAGTTGTTGTTCATACATTGAATTTGTATCGTCAGAGTTGGAATGCTTGAAATAAAGCTCTTCAATATCATTAACTCCAGAATTCTTCTTCGAGTCTCGATTATACCATATATTCGAAGGCTTTTTGATCTTCTCCACATCTAACGTAGGTAGTCCTTTCCCATTCTGCTTCCTATGTTTTGTATCCTCCCAAGTAAACCGATGATTCAACTCATTCTCTGGTATAACGTTAAGAATGTTTTCTCTTCCAGAGTCACGTAGGGCCTGTTGAATCAGTTCGTTTAATTCTGTTTGTTTCACATAACGATCAAAGTCATTAAGATGAGATAATTGGAAAACTGAATCGTTGTCTCCTCGGTTTTCTTCATGGTGCTTTCGTTTGTAAAGTTTCTGGTAAGTCTCCAAATATTTGAACCGTTCATTTTCAGGTAAGTTATGCTGGATCTCATCAAGAATCGACAGTTCAAGACTCAATCTTTTGTTGAGACGGTATTGTTCTATTCCACCATCTCCTTCTCCCCCAAAATCCATCACTCTACTATTCAGAGTAAGTTTACCATGCAGTGTGAGTAGAAGGCTAGAGCCGGAATTCGTAAACTGTAATATCAGCGAACCAGATTCTTCACCAAACAGTATGGCATGCGATGAATTATTAACATCAGAAGCTACATGTTGTTTGGATGATCGCTGGAAGTCTATCAGGATAGAATTACCTATGTCATCGTATTCATAATCTCTGTCTTCGTATGCGAGTTCATTGTAGTCATCAGTATTATAGTTATTAGTGTCGTTATCGTAATCATCGTGGTTGGTAAAGGTTACATGGTCATTAGATTTGATCTCACTTTTCTGCCTTGTGGATTGTAGTTTTCCATGAAACATGTCTCTGAGTTTGTTCAAGGAGGATGTTTCACTATTATTATTGCTGTAGTTATCCTCATAACTATCATCTTCGAGGTCTTCCTCGTCAGCATTATAATTAGCTCGCAGATGTCTAAAGAACCCCGGATCAACCATAGTGTGTGGGAGACTTCTATGGGTTAAAACACAAGTGGCTATAGGCAAATGCAGTTCAAGGGCTATGCCAAACGAGTAGTTGGTATTTTATAAATATTGATATGTATGTACGCTTATAATGCCTTTTGGTTAATGAAATTAGTTCCAAGATAACAATCTTCGATGATTACTAAAGGTCGATGGCATCTGCACTACCACCATAAACTATACGAATTATTTATGTATGATGTAAACTAGCAGACGTTGGTTGTAATTGATAACATAACAGAATAATTTAAATGTAAGTTCAAATAGCTAATGGATCATGCTAGAGATGCAAATAGGTGAAAGAAAGTACTACGAAAGCAAATTTAACATGCGTTAAGTCCAAGTATCACCTTTAGTCTGTACGACTAATTATATTCAGTGAAATTCATGTTTATCGGAACTTAATCTATACGCTTATATCTATGGCTCAATTAAAACAAAGATATGAACTCACATCAAAGTCATAAGTGAGAGATAGAACCGCGTCAGAAGCCGGGGGTGTGCAATGGCAGCGACACGGGAAGAGATACTAAATACCTTTAACAACAGATAAAACCATTGGGAAATCACTAGTAAGACAACAACGAGCAAGCCCGCTGCAAGAAGTCAAACAGCAATAACCCGATTATAAGAGTTGCGCCAGACAATGCCCAGCAGATAAATAGTAACTCTCCCACTACTGTTTTTCAAAAATTCAAATTGTAACAAATTGTAAGTCATCAATGATGACGTTTCAGCTGTTACACTGAAAAGAACAGATACTACACATGATCTAAGCCAAAAGGCAAAGAGATTTAGTGAGCAAAATTTATAAACGAAAGCTAAAGCTTTCAGGGCAATTCGCGCCCTTATATAGTAGTTAAGCTACGTGCGGGTAACCACCTGAGAATATGTTTGCTTGAAATTTTCAGTTGTCTCCTTACAAAATAATGCATACTCCAATTTTCATTGGACAGTATTCTCACCAAAGCAATCCATTCTAGTGTCAAGTGACCACGAATGATAAGAAATCAAAACAATAGAGAAATTATTATGAACAATGGAGGCATGTCATAGATATTCCATTTAATTCCATGAAACCACTTTAAAAAACCTTTACATCGCCTGTAGCTATAAGCCTCATTCGTAGAAAGTTCTGGTAATTTCCACGATGGTCGAACAGATTCTTGTAATTTCCTACTACCAGAGTAACAGTGAGTTCGCCACCAACAATATGTTCCCCAGAATTATTACCTGGGTTACCAAGGACTACCGAAGTTAGTGGAAGATCACGTGACATGAAGACTCAAACTCGAATGTACTAAAACGGGAAGTGTGCGGCTCATTACCTCATCTCATCTCAATTTAAGCTGGTGAATGTAACCCTTTACCCTAAGACCTGCATATAACCTCCCACATGAGCCCCAAAAACTTTTCAAACCTCATCTCATCGCCACAGATAAAATGAGTGAATAATCTCTTTCATTAGTGGGTTTTCAATTTTAAGAAGTATTACTTATTACTTATCAAAAATTAACAGAATACAATGGCCCCAACTGCTAGACATAGTTCCAGACATAGAAGAAGGTTTAATCCTTACTCCAAGCCACAGGTTTCTCGAGGACATCCAAAGAAATACTATTACAAAAGTCCTAAAGTGTTTGTCGAAGAGCCTGAATCTGAGGGAGATGAATCTGAAATAGTTGAGTCTGAAGAAGACGAAAGCGCTTACTTAGAAGAAGATGATGTTGCCTACGAAGTGGTAAGTGACGATAGTGAATCTAGTGACAGTGATGAAGAAGAATTAGAAGGTGAAGTTTTCGAACACGATGGTGAATTATACTACGAAGACCCAGAAACTGGGAAGATTTACAATGTTGAACCTGACAGCGACACTGACAGTGAAGATGACGATGAAAATATTGAAGTTAGTGATTCCAGTGATGAAGAATTGGAAGGTGAAATCTTTGAAGATGATGGTGAATTATACTACGAAGACCCTGAAACAGGAAAGATTTATAACGTTGAAGCTGACAGTGACAGTGAATCCGACGAAGACGACGAGGACATGTCATCCGACGAAGACGTTGAAAGTGCTGTTGTCGAATTAGTTCCTGAATCCGAAACCGAATCTGAATCTTCAGACTCTTCTGAATCCGAATCTTCTTCTGACTCTTCCTCCGACTCTAATTCTTCTGACTCTTCTGACTCAGACTCAGACTCAGACGACTGTGACAATTGCGAGGATTGCGAATGTGATGACGAATGTGACGACTGTGAATGTGACGATTGCTTTGATTGTGACAACTGTGACGGTTCTGCCTGTGATGAATCTGACGATTCCTCCGATAGCGACATTTCTGACGATCTTTGTGATAATTGCAGAGCTGAAGAATCTTCCTCTGATGAAGAATCTTCCTCTGATGAAGAATCTTCTTCTGAATCTTCTGACTCGGAAGACGAAGAGATTTACATTGTTGACTTAAACGATGAATTAGAAAATAATGCCTTGGATCAATTAGAATATGAAGGTAAAGTCAAAGACTTGAATAACGAAGTGGTTAGATACTACGACGAAGAATCTGAATTTGAAGACGATGAATCTTCTGAAGACGAAAAGGAAAACTACTTTCTTGTGCTTGATAACGAAGGCGACTCAGAAGAAGACAACACTGAGCTTGTAAGAAGAGAGTTTTATGAAGCTTTACACTCTCCTGATGAATACTCCTCTGATGAAGATAGTGAATTAGGTTCTGAACCCGAATACATCGAGCTTTCTGACGACAACTTGTCATCATCTGAATCTAGCTCTGAGGAAGAATTGGATTACGAAACCTCAGATGATGAAGGCATTACTATTTACAGACACAGATTTGAATCTGACTCCGATGAAGAATTGGATTCTGCTTCTTCTGACGAATCTGACTTTGAAATTTACGACGAAGATGGATTATTGGTTGCTGACGATTCTGAAGATGAAGTTGAGGTTGTTGACATGACTGAAGATTTGGAAGACTCTAAAGATTGCGAAGTCACTGATGAAGACGGTCAATACAAGGTTGTGATGCGTTTTCCAAGTGCTATTAAGGACGAATACAGAATCAACTTCAAGAAGAGCGAAAACGCTTTAGTGATCTCTGGTAAGTTCAACTTTGGTGTCTATCAAAACGATGAGGAAGCTGATGTCGAAGTTGCTGCTACCGAAGAAACTGCTAATGCAAATGAAGAAGAAGAAGAAGAAGAAGAAGGAGAAGAAGAAGTAGAAGCTGAAATTGTTGTTGAAGAAGAACAAGAAGAAGATAAGAGTGAACCGGAACAAAAGACACAAGAAGAAGGTACCGATAAAGAAGAAATTGTTACCAAAGAAGCTGAAGAAGATGAAGTTTCTGAGCAATATGGAAATGACGAAGACTCTGAATCTGCTGAATCTTCTCACGAATGGTCTGGTTTCGTAGGAGAAGAAGAAGTTTCTGATGAAGAATCGGATGACTCTGAAGATGAAGAAATCTTGGAAGACTCTCACTTGTTGATTGAAGCATTCAAGAACCAAGAAATACAATTTGAAAAATATATTGAATTCCCAAAGGTCATTAAGTATAACGAAATTACTTCTTTCTTCAATGAAGACGATGAGTTGGTGTTGAATGTTCCATATGAAGACATTGAAGTTGCTGAAGATGATATTGTTTCTGTTCCTGTTGCCGGACTTATACTTCCTTCTGCTGATGCCGATGCCATGGATGTCGAAGAAGATGAGGGAAATGATTCCTCTGAAACCGAAGAAATGAAGGATCAAAATGACGAATTTGCTGATGCATCAATGGAACACTAATCTTGGGAGTTTTTTTACAATATATATATTTATTTGTATAAGCAGTATTATAATAAAGTCTTAAAAACTACGATGGATTGAATGACATAAATTATTATTACAAGGTCCTAATTACTGGGTCCTGAACATCACACTATAAATTTAACAAAGGCTCGCTATGAGGAATCACTTCCATTAAGTAAATTCCATATCTTTTTTGAATTTTCTACTGAAATTCTTGTAATATCTTGAGGTGAATATATAAATTTCAGCTCTTCCTTTCCAGACTCCTTTTTAGCACTACGGGCTTTTTTCCGTTCCTTTCTTCGTTCAGTTTTCAATTTCTTATCTTCTTCATATTGTTTAACTGTTTTACGCTTCAAAAAGCTCTTGAGTTTGGTTCCTATAATAGTGTTCCTTTTATCTGCGCCAGAGGGACTCTTGTCACCAATTTTGACGTTATTTTTGAATTTAGGGATGACGAAATTGCTATCCCTAGTATAAGTTGGGGATAATTGAGATTTGCCCTTTTTCCAGTCCACGTCTATTAAAACAGATTCGCCGTCGTCTTCACTAGGATTGACCATGGTTTCGTTAGTTAAAGTGCGTTGAAGGTAATTGTTCGTAACAACGTCAAAATAAGGCTTCTCATCTTCTTCAGCTTCTGATTCCGTCAAGGTATCTTGTCTTGAAGACGTGAATATAGTAGCTATGGACCCTGATTCTCGCCGGAAAGCAGAGTATTGATTAGCTTCCTGTTTAAACAAGTTTGGCTGATTTTTATTCCTCGTTTTTGTCGCATTAATACTTAATGAATGCAGCACACTAGACCCTTCAGATGAGTCTTCCTCTTCTTTCCTTAAGAGCTCGTCGTTCTTTCTTTTCTCTTTACGCTTGGCTAGTTTCGCAGTGAACACAGCTGCTAATAAAGCTATTATCAATCCTATCATAAGACAAATGCTATAATAAAAATAATATGGAGAGCAAAAGCTCATGATAATTTGAAAGAGAAAAGGAGTAACTAAAATTACATCCACAATTCGGCTCACACTTTCTGCATAACCATTTGACAGGAAACCAAACCTACAGCCAATATAGTTAAACTTGTGCGCTGATTTTGTGTGCCGTATTCCTGAGGAGTACCGTACCGGAGACACTGCCTCTTACGTCACATAAACGGGAGTCGGGGAAGAAAAACAAGAAAAAACAACAAAGGCAAATAAATTGAGTTAACAACTGCTGCTGAGGAGCAAGCGTTGTTAGTCTGATCGACCAACTCCATTGAATCACTTCACGCTGAATTGAATTGTTTCAACTGGGTGTTGGAATTGTAGGAGGTGACAAATGTTCGGTTACTAACATTTATAGTAGTGTGCTGCGACTTTGCCTGCCCGCACGGATATGCAGTTTCTGTCAAAGTCAATATTTTACACCGTTTTACCACATCGACTGGCTTACAATAGAGAATGGACAATGGTTTTTATGTTTCATTGTTGCGTGGTTTCACAAGATGAAGTAGCATTAGCATTACTATTTACATAAAAGTGCATACCGTGCAGTGTTCGGGAGATTATCGGATATAAAATGAGGCACAGTCACAGCACTTTGGAGGTTCATATCAACGCTTAATCAAATGATATCAACTCACTCCCGTTATGTTAATCTATTGACTGTAATGGTAGTCTGGGCGTTTTTCTGAGTATCTACCTTTGAATCGTATCGTATCAAATCGTATCGTGAATGTATTTTCGCACCCATCTTTAGTACTTAGATAATACATGTATATACTCTTTTCCTCTCCCTACCACACAGAATGGAAGATATCTCTATAAGCACACTCTCAAAGGGCTTAGGAAATGGTTTACCAATACAGAATGTAATGTTTCAAAACATCAAGGCAGGGGAGTGGGCTAGAGCTGCTCAGGATCAAAATGGGTTTAGAACTTTACGACTCATCAGATTACATATCCTAAAGTATATACATAACATGTTGATGATGATTATTATGATTCTACAATACGTTTATATATACTTGGAAGATATCTCATTATCCTTATATCAAACTAGTATCTCTTTACATTCCAAAGTTGAAGATTCTCTGCATCCCTTTCTTAGTTATAAATTAGGATATTGGTGGTGGTTCGCATTCACCGCGGCTCATCAAATTATACCTATTATAAAGTATATGTTGTGGAGAACATTTGGTTGTTATGAACTCCCAACACATAAGGATTTTCCAGATGTATTGCAGCTTCTGGCTAAAGTCCCAGAAAGTATAATGTTAATTCTCCAGGTTACTCCTTTTGAAGCCGTAGTCGGTGATGCAAATGGACCACCAGCAATTCCTCAACCGTATTTGGATGCCGATAAAACCATTGTGGTTCCCTCCAATAAAGATGTGCAAGAAGTGTTTGCTTTAAGAAATGAATGGTTAACTCAAGAGAAAACTCATATGGCTGCTGAACGTGTCAGAGTATTAAACCAAATGGCTCTGTTTATTGTATGGTCATGGGCATTGAAATATGTTGGGAGTATAACCATTTATGAAAATGATGGGTTATGTTGGAATAATGGAAACATAGTTCAATGTAAAGAGAGAATTCGTAATTTCCTAAGAAATGAATTCAACTTCTTTTTCTTCTCCAACGTTTCCAAATCCATTCCAAATACATTGCCTAAGGTTACAATAATTGATTGTATTACTGGCGAAACTTACTTGAATTTTGATGACACTGATCTAAATATCCAAGGTCCATCACTGTGTTCTACTGATGAATTGCTACAAGAATATACAATTAACGAGTTGAAGGTATATTTACAAGATGAACGTATCCGTCTAAAGCACATTGGCATTGATGAACAACCCCCACTAAATTGGTATTCATTCTTACCTCCTTTCCCCAAGCTCACTATTGTTCCTACTACAGAGTTCTTAAAAGGTGGACCATTAACCACTTGTGAACCAGGATTGCCAGAAACAAGCGTAGCATACAGAAGAAACGAGCAATTCAACTTCAAAATGTTTTTGAATGTCTTATCTTACTATAATAGGTCTCAAGGAAAAGAATCTTCTATCTCCATAGAAGAGGAAAGTCACCATTACAGCACCTCATATAACTAATTTGATGGTAGCAGGTATCGATTTGAATAATTACGATATACATGGGACTGAAGAAGGTGTAATTGAATCTCAGAGAAACCAGTGCCGTCTACCTAAAGATCTCTCTTTCAAAATGTTGAGCTAGATGGCTATCTAAGACCTAACAACCAGTAAATACAAACACACCTAACTGACTATACCTCGTGCAGTATTGAATTATCCGCAGCTTTAGGTACACAAGAGACCGATTTTCTAGTCAATTGTAAGCATTATACTCGTGTATGCTTATTAACTAAGGTAGATGGTCTAGATAGTGTGATCACGTTGACTTCTGTATAAATTCTCCTAGTCAATCGATCTAAGATTATATTCCCTAAGAAAACAAACTTACATAATCCTATTCCTCTAGTGGTGGTTGACCTAAGGTTAAACTAAGCAATAGCACTAGTCTGGCACTAATAACATAAATCAACGCTCTATATTAAAGTGGACATCAGTGTAATACATCAATTTGATTTATCAGGTGATAACTGTATACAACGTTACATAATCGGTCTGAAATTTAATACCTTCAATCTTTAACTAAGCAATATATATAATCTACAAAGGGACTAAAACCTGCTCCCTACTAATAAACATACGAAACATGATCACCAACGACATGTTTCATATGTGATGGGCTTTCTGGTGCGACATCTTTGGGTACATTAACAGGCTCCAGATAGAAAGCACAACTCATAATGACAGCAATCACCAAGCCACTAGCCGTGTACTACGAAAGACGGAAGGGCCCAGTCATTTATAAAAGCTTTTGTAACCAACAGAATAATAGATATGAAGCAAATTATTACATCTACACGGGAGAAGTTCTCGAAGGTAGAAACGATTGTCGCTAAACCAATGACAGTGCAAGTTACGCGGGCACCAAATGACAAACGCTCAAGTGAAAATGATAACCATGGGTTTTCCTCAATATAGAGGGGCCTTGGGACCTAAATCCTATTCTGGCCAATTCAAAACATATTAAGAAACTAACTGCAATCAGAAACACTTAACCATGTCAACGCCTTTAACGGTCCCAACAACGTTTTAACGCTTAGTCAGAAAAAAAAAATAGAGAGTACAACCCACAGAGATAGCAGAATGAAGCGTCTCATATATGCATGAAAGCGTTGGGCGTACTTCTTGATGATAAAAGTGCTTGGTCTTAAATCCTACTGCAGTCAATTCTAAAACTATAGGTATCCCCCCATTACCAGAGGTATTGCACAGTCCAGCTCATTTCCACTTCCCTGGTTGAAGAGGATATGACAGACATCCCAAACAATACAAACACCAGAAGCCCCAAACATACCAAATAACAAACTCACATGCACATATTTATTCTTTTGGTGTTCTTCATTATGACTACTGTCCGTCATTTTGTAAATTGATAATATTTCCGTGGTTAAGTTTTAAAGTGGATAAAGAAACAATGTACATCGATATTCTTTATATTCTACGGTTTAGTCATTAGCATTGCTAAATATTGAATGGAGTAAGAATTAAAGGTGTGAATGGTTTAAATGTCTAAAGTAGTGTGCATCTCAATAGTTGGAGCAAATGGTCGATGTCAAAACGATTTACCTAATGAAATCCTTATATATCATTATTATAAAATTGCTGATGACGGCCTGGTTTCTCAACACTTTTCAACCAAGACCATCTTGGAAATTTCTACCTCCACGTTCCCGGAGTTCGTAGTTAGGATGGTGGTTTCCAAACCCCAATGATGCACATTATCTGCTAGGTGTTGTGTGAAATTACACTAATGGAAGTTAAAGTTATTCCAACGAGTTACAACTTTTCTGTTCTGCTTGAAAAATAAATGCTCAAAATGACCATATTTTGCAACCTATAGACATTACCTACGTCAACAATGGTATCCTTAAGAGTTACCCGGATCAAGGCTTTGTGTATTTTGGTGGAACAATTAACCGCTTTAGTGGTTGGCAAGGCTCCAGATTAATGCACGTTGGGCACGTTTATCGCATACTTTTTCTAAACTGACGTACTTGATACACTTGAGATGAGGTTTGACAGGAAAGATTAGTGTACGTAATGAATAAGGGCATTTAAATAAATAATCTTTTGTAAAAGGAATCAATTATTCCACTATCTGTTGGCATTTATCATAATTATGACAGTACTAATTCCTACAGAGTGTGACTATTATGATGCTCATGGAAATGGGGAAGAAGTACAAAAGTACATGGACTTCAAACAAAGATCAAGAACAGATCCAAATTTGAAACAGCAGTTTCCATGGTCGTTTGAGGTAGTAGATGGATATTTCAAACAAACAGATCCTGAAGTTGATGATCAACTGTTTGATTATATTGGTGAAGACTTTGGCAGATTGAAACCATGGGCTGAGATCCTTGATGCTCTTGAAGAATTGAACAAAACAGCACCAAGCAATGTCGCTTACAAACTTATTTTCTGTGCCAGGCATGGTCAAGGGTACCATAATGTAGTTTATGAAAAATACGGTCATGTTGAATGGGAAGCTAAATGGGGAGCTCTTACAAGTGATGGTGCCATAGTTTATGGTCCTGATCCCGAGTTGACACCAAAGGGAATTGAACAGGCAAAAATAAATCATCGTGCATGGAAGAAGCAACTCATATTAGGAGCACCTATTCCAGATGTGTTTTATTGTTCACCATTACAGCGTTCGTGTTTAACACTTCACCACACCTGGGACGAACTTCGACCAAGACACAAGAAACCAATAATTAAAGAGATTCTCAGAGAAACCATCGGTATAGATACATGTGACCAACGGTCTTCTAAGCTGGTTATTGAAGAACGATTTGGAGATCTTGGTTATGTGGTTGAAGGTGGGTTCACCGAGATGGATACTTTGTGGTCGGCGCACTCCCGCGAGTCATATAGCGAACAAACGATTCGGATAGACCGTTTCTTTCAAGATTTGTTTGAGCAAGAGTGGGATCATCATAACGATCATAGCAAACGTCACAGTATTGTATCGACCACTTCCCATGCAGGTACTATTAGATGTATGCTATTAACCGTTGGACATCGACCCTTTGCCATTTCAACTGGAGGTATGATACCTTTAATGGTTAAAGCAACCAGAAACTGATCTGAATATAGAAGGTCACTCAGATAATAGTAAATATAATGTGCACACTTTGTTACCCCAGTAGTAAATTCCGTACAGCCCGTCTAGTAAGTAGTGCGTACAGACATAAACACATCCCGGCTGTGTTTTGTACATAACAGGTAGAAGGTTACATTCATTGTGTACAACCCACCAGTCATTATAATTGAAGTCTTGGATTTCATCATGGTGATTTAATTAGACTTAGGCCGAGAAAAGGAAGCAGTTATATATATTCGTAAAATTAAGTCCATAAAGAACAAGGCTCTTGGAATAAGAAAGCTTTTAGAACAAGAAGTCCTTGGAAACATATTCATTCGAATTACCTGAAATAAGCCTGCGTCATGTTATTGAGGTCGATTGCAATAGCAGTAACTGGGTTTACGATTGGTGCAAGAGCATTTGATATAACAGACTTATACTTTTGGCAACCTGATAGTTCAACTGCACTCCCTACTGATTCTGCTTCGCTTTCAGCCTTCCTAGCAACATATTCTGTTACTGCGACTGGGGTTAATTTGTATGCTCCGTATCACACCACATGTCCTGAGAGTGGAGTGCGTGAAGCTGTTGAAATCAATGATGATGAAAAGGAGTACGTTGCCAGCAGACACGAGAAGACCAATGAAAGCTTGAAGTCGTTCTTGGAACGGGCAAACATGTCTAATTTCGACCCCAAATCTTTCATTGACGATAACTCAAAGGACCATAATATCTCCATAGGGATTGCCTTCAGTGGTGGTGGGTACAGAGCCATGTTGAATGGGGCCGGGCAGATGCTTGGTTTGGACGGTCGTTATGAAGAGGCCAACGATAAAGGATTGGGGGGGTTATTACAAAGTTCAACGTACTTGGCAGGTCTTTCTGGTGGGAACTGGCTTGTTGGTTCAGTGGTATTGAATAATTTCATTTCAATTAACGATATTTTAAATGGTACTATTGATATTTGGGACTTGACAGATTCAATCTTCTACCCTACTACAGTCAACTTGTATAAGGCTGTAAAATACTATTATCTGATTACCAGTGCCATTGACGCTAAAAAAGATGCAGGTTTCGATACTTCAATCACAGATATTTGGGGTAGAGCTTTGTCGTATCAATTCTTTGATGATGGCAGTAGTGGACTCAATCTAACTTGGTCAAAAATTACCGGTTTGAGTAGTTTTATGGACTTTGAAATGCCTTTTCCTATTGTGGTTGCTGACGGTAGAACTCCTGGTGAATTTATTATTAATCAAAATTCTACTGTGTTTGAAATCAGCCCTTACGAATTGGGTTCATGGGACCCAAGTTTGAAAGCTTTCACTCCCACAAAGTATTTGGGTTCCTCCTATAATAATGGGTCGCCCAACGGTAGTTGTTATGCTAACTTTGATAATGGTGGGTTTATCATGGGCACATCTTCATCTCTTTTCAATCAAATTATTCTTCAAATTAATGGCTATGATGTTCCTTCAATCATCAAGAGCTTGGTTGAAAAATTGCTTAGTATTGTGAGTACTGCAGAGGATGATATTGCGGCATATGAACCCAATCCATTTCTTCATTCTGAGTTCGGAGCCTCGGAAAGAATCGTTACCAATGATACGCTTTATTTGGTTGATGGTGGTGAAGATGGTCAGAACGTCCCTCTTTATCCATTGATTCAAACATCTAGAAAGCTTGACATTATTTTTGCCTTTGATAACTCGGCTGATACTAGTGAAAACTGGGCTAATGGTACTTCCCTTGTGAAAACTTATCAACGTCAATATTATCCACAGGGTAAGGGTACTCCATTCCCCTATGTTCCAAGTGTGGATGAATTCTGGAATCAAGGCTTGAACGAGAGACCGGTGTTCTTTGGATGTGATGCTAAAAACTTGACTACTTTAGTGGAATATCACAACAGCACTGTCAATGAAACCGATATCCCACTTTTGGTTTGGTTTTCGAATCACAGAATCAGTCAAAACTCCAATACGTCTACTTTCAAGATGTCCTACGAAAACGACGAACGTGACGCATTGATTCAGAACGGGTTTGAGGTTGCATCTCGAGCCAATCTTACCGAAGATTCGGAATGGCTCACTTGTGTTGGTTGTGCGATCATTAGACGTCAACAGGAGAGAACAGGAGAGGCACAAACCGAAGAATGTCAAAAGTGCTTTGCTAAATACTGTTGGCAGGGAGACGCTAAAGATGCCGCAGCCTCGAGTGTTACATTGGCTGCAGTTACTTCTGCTGCAAGCTCATCAGCTCTGCGTCTGGGATCTTCCTCATCTTCATCTTCAAAGAAGAATTCTGCTGATTTTATCTCCTCTAAATCACTGTTATTCTACCTTGTCAATGCAGTACTTTTATTGGTTATTTAAAACAATCTACATTAGCAATCTACATTAACAATTGTATTTACAGTAATAATACAGAATTAACGAACTAGTTACTAAGAGACAGACCCCCAATTGAGTTCTTAGTATATACTTGTCTTCAGCTAGCATCCACTTCAGTGCTTATACACGGAATCGTTAGACATCCCATATAAACATGTACAAAAATTTTCCAAAGAGATAACCCTTGTTATGTAGGATAGAATCCAATATTGAACTTTCATTCACTCCCCAGCAGTAAGTAGAGAGAACCATCCTTTATGAGGTCACTGAGCATGTCACGTGACTCGATGATCTTGTCAATGAAAAAAGTTTGAATGCGATGAGCTCTTAGAGCTACCACAAACACTACTACAAACAAGACCTATCACATTAATACCTGTATCATTTATACTTTTATCATTCCTGTTGTGTTTTAGATCGTTTACATAGACAAGAATGGTTAAGTCGTATGATCGTTACGAGCAAGTCAAAGCATTTGGGGTTATAACTTCGCAGTCCAATGTGATTTGGCTTCAACCCTCATCCACACAATCCACTAAAAGTGCCGGTAGAGCAATTAGTTCTGGGTTAGAAGAAATCTTAGTATGGGACATCAAAACAGGAGAAATCTTACAGAGATTAAGTGAAGGATTGACTCCTGGAGCTTCTAACTCTTCTACCACCTCACCTCCATCACCAGTTAGTTATTTGGCATACCATGAGTTGAATAACTTGGTAGCAGCAGGGTACGCCAATGGGTCTATTAAAGTATGGGATTTGGCTTCGGAATCCGTTTTGGTATCGTTTGAAGGTCACAAATCGGGGATCACCAAACTTGTGTTCGATAAAAGTGGAACCAGATTGTGTTCTGGATCTCAAGATTCCACCATAATCCTCTGGGATTTGGTCGGAGAAGAAGGTTTATTCAAATTAAAGGGACACAAGGGGCCTATCACCGGCATAGAATTTTTGAGTACGGATCCTGAATCGAAGGAATTGGACGATTTGGAAGATTACATTTTGAGTAGTTCTCGTGATGGACTTTTGAAGTTATGGGATTTAAAGACCCGTCAATGTGTTGAGACTCATTTGGCACATTCAAATGAGTGTTGGGGTCTTAGTGTTAACTCGACCAGATCTTTATTGGTCACCAGTGGGAATAAAGATCAAGTCAAATTATGGCATGTTGATTTGAGTCAACCAGATAATAAGAAAGTCAGTGAAAGAGGAAGCTTTGATAAACTGAGTAAGAGCAGATGTCAGGAAATTGCATTTAAGGATCTCCCCAATGGAATCGAATTGTTTTATATTCAAAATGTCGATCGAACTATTGAAATGTTTAGAGTAAGATCAGACGATGAGATGAAGAAGGGCATTGCTAAAAGAATCAAGAGACTCACTGAAAAGGGGTTTGATGAAGACGAAATCATGGACTCTTTAAGGGAATCGGAGATAAGCATGCTCATCAAGCCATTTGCTACCATTAGGACCATAGCCAAAATAAAGTCATGTATAATTGCTGGAGGTTCAAGTAACTCCAAAAAGAGTTTGGACTTTTTAATTGGGTTGGCAAATAACAGCATTGAATATCACACGGTTCCGTTACCGGAAGACGATATCAAAAAGGCTAATGCTTCAGATATTCATTCTATTAAGAAATTTTCTATTGATATCCTTGGGCATAGAAGTGACATTAGAACTATAGATGTTTCCGATGACGATAAATTATTGGCTACTGCTTCTAATGGAGAATTGAAAATATGGAACATTCTGACTTTCAAAGTAATAAGATCATTTGTTCTTGAAGGTGGGTATGCACTTTGTTGTAAATTTTTACCTGGAGGCACTTTGGTGGTTGTAGGTTTCAAGAATGGTGATTTGGAATTATACGACTTGACATCTTCTTCTTTGGTCGACTCAGTACAAAATGCTCATGGAAATAATTTAGAAACAGCTGCTATTTGGTCAATGGATTTGACTCCGGATGGGAAAACTTTGGTTACTGGTGGTAATGATAAATGTGTCAAATTTTGGAACTTCAAGGTAGTCAAAGATCTTATACCTGGTTCCACAAATTCTTATGCTACGTTAATGAAATTTCAACATAAACAAACATTGGATTTGAATGAAGACGTTTTATGTGTTAAGATATCACCAGATGCTAAATATTTGGCAATTTCTTTATTAAACAATAACGTTCAAGTGGTCTTTATGGACTCATTAAAACTATTCTTGACCTTATATGGACACAAATTGCCAGTGTTATCGATCGACATTTCCCATGATTCCAAATTAATCATCACTTCTTCAGCAGATAAGAATATCAAGATTTGGGGTTTGGATTTTGGTGATTGTCATAAATCAATATTTGGTCATCAAGATTCAATTATGAATGTTAAGTTTATTCCGGAAACTCACAACTTCTTTTCCACTGGTAAGGATGGGTTAGTTAAATATTGGGATGGTGATAAGTTTGAATGTGTTCAAAAGCTTCCAGCCCATCAGAGTGAAGTATGGAGTTTATCTGTTGGTTACAGTGGAAGGTATGCCATTACTGCTTCTCATGATAATTCTATTAGGTTGTGGAAGGTTTCCGAAGATCAGGTTTTCCTTGAAGAAGAACGAGAGAAGGAAATGGATGAAATGTATGAAAATACCTTGTTGGATTCTTTAGAAGCAGATGATGTATTACCTTCTAAAGGTGGTGATGAAGGTGATGATGAAGATCAAGATATGGACGATGCCACTAGAGTATCCAAACAAACCATGGAAACGTTGAAAGCAGGTGAAAAGTTAATGGAAGCATTGGATATCGGTATTGAAGATGTCAACAATATTGAAGAATATGCTGCTCAATTAATGGCATACAACAAAAAGAAGAGTGGGACTGTTCCTGTGAAACCAACGCCCAACACTATATTGATGGCATATGGAGTTACTGGACAAGAATACGTATTAAGCGTGTTGCTTAAGATCAAAGCTGCACAATTAGATGATGCCTTATTGGTTCTTCCGTTCTCGTATACCTTAAAGTTATTAAGAATGATTCAGATTTGGACCAATAAGGATAACATTACCAACAATATTGTCAATATGTCATTGATATGCAAGGTATTATTTTTCGTTATTCGATCCAATGCCAAAGAATTGGTTGCACAGAAGGATCCACAAATCATGAACCAATTGCTTCTAGTTAAGGAACAGATCCGGAGTCAATTAGCTGGAGCTAAAACTCAATTAGGTGTTAATACCCAGGGATTACGTTATATTAAACAACAATGGAAACTTACACATGAGACTCAATTTATAGACGAGAACGAACAAAAGGAACACGACGATAAGAAAGCTATCAAGAGAAGCTATGCAACAGTCTAGATTATTTATGTTATATATATATATCGTATAATTGGAATGGATTTTTTTTTTGCACCCATCCTGAGTATGGAGTTTACGAGCCGCATGCCGTAAGTTAGCGTCAAGTTATATGCAGGGTTCATGCTTATACTAATGCGCGCGGACACACTCATTCATTTTTTTTTTTCATAGGGTTCTAAGGTTGAAGCCCTATTACCGGTTTAGGAATGACATAGAAACAAGAGAGGGGATTGATGGCTATACAACTAATTATAATTATAAGAGAATTAGTGTCTGAAACTGATGTTAACCACACGACTTAAAGTGAACTAAACTCATACTACAAATTACTATGTATGTATGGTGTTGGTGCTTTGGTATACGATAAAACATGAAACTGTGAAAATAATCAATTATTACTGTTTTTGATGATAACATTTTTAGATTCAGACAGACAAAATTTTTTTCTGGTCTGTCATGCTTCGTCTAATTTAATGAAACAATAATAGTAATAGTAAAAATATTAAAAATATCTGCTTTCGCCCGACACTTGACAAATTTAATGTCATGACTGTTTAATTAAAGGGTGTAAGTCGTGGACATGGAAGTTATTAAGGCTCAAGGTTACAGATGACTGGAACAAGCTGTATGGTTAGAATATGAATTGTCGCGATAATTTTTTTTGAATGGGAAGACACTTTTTGTGTCAAGAAATGAGGAAGCAAGAACTGGTGCCAGAAAGAAACAAGACAGTCTAGCGTTGAAATGAATCAGACCGAAATAAAGACAGACTTAAGGACTCTAAGACATCTAATATTTTTCTACTGACATAATACATAATAGTGATAAGTTAATAATATAATTGTTGCTGATTTCTGTAAAGTCCCCGACATTTTCCCTAGCATCATAGTTAGCATAACATCAATGCGCAGACTTTCTCGTGTCGCACTATTTTGTCGTCGTCCGACAATAAAAGATGTCTCCGACAAATCTCGATCTGCCAGAAAGAGATAATAATTATCATCCTAAAATCGCCCGCCCACTAGTATTATCCCTTTCTAACTAAGAGTGGTCACGTCGTAGGTGGACCGTAGAGACATATAACAGCCGACAATAAACAACGGTGGTTGAAACAAGGCCGACATTTATTGGTAGCTTTAAGTCAAAGGGACGGTATTGAAAAGAAGGGAGAAGATTTAACAGTGATACCATCACACAACAGTCGCAGCACAACAGTAACAACAGTAATAACAGACAAGGCAATGAATATCCAACAGGGCTGGCAACAGGAGATTCCTCTTCCTGAGAGACAGAGATTGGTGCAAGCATTAGTGCAAACGTTGAAGTTGATTCAAGGAGATGCGTTTAATGCTCAGAAGGGGGGGTCTATAGCTCAGGAGTTTGAGCGGAACGTGTTCCAACGGAGCGGATCTAAGCAAGAATACATCAATTATATCCGAGAGAAGGTACAGCAACTTCGAGCCGGAGCTTTGAGACGAACCCAACAGCAACAGCCTCCTAAGAACAACAGCTTTCCTATGGGCCAACAACAACAGAGTCAGTCTAACTTAGGCGGCATGAATCAGCCTCAACAACAAAGAGGTGGGATGATGTATGGTGGTGGGCAGGAGCAGCAGCAGCAACCCACCAATCAAGTACCTGGAATGCAAAACCAGAGACCAATCCAGCAACAACAGCAGAAAGTTCAGCCAATCCAACAGCCTAACCCTCAAATGGGTGGTTTACAAAGACAGCAACAACAACAAGTTCAGGGATCGAACCAGCCACAGGGAATGGCCCAACAGAACTTCAACAGGTCACCTGCTATTCCCACTAATCAGATGACAGGTAACAATAATCCATCAATGCAATTCAATCTCCGCAATTTCAAGAACCTCCCCATCCCCCAGTCGTTGTTGCAGAAGATCCCCGGACTTCCAGCCAATGTCCGGACGTGGGCAGATATTTCCGAGTGTATGACCAAGAACCAGATTCCGCAGAGCTTATATCCGACCATCAAGGAGATCCATGAGCAGCATGCCGCTTATTTGGCTCGCCAGATGAAGTTGAGCCAATTGAACCAGCAACAGCAGCAGCAAGGTCAGGGTCAAAGTCAGGGTCAACCAGGTGGAGGTGTGTCTGGAGTCAGTAACCAGGGATTGATGAAAGCCGGTAACCCAATGGGAATGATGAACAATAGTAATACTAACAATAATACTAACAATAATACTAATACTAACGGTGGCAATGTTCTGAACGTTAGAACTACGCCAATCATGGGCAACTCCAACTTCAACATGAACAATTTGACTCCACAGCAGAAACAGATGTTACAGAGACAGATGCAGCATCAACAACAAGGGTCCAATAATGATCGTACGAACGCTGTTCCTGTACAGCAACTGCCCATGATGATGAACAAACAACTGAACCCCAACCAAAGAACTAACAATAACAATTTGGGGGGTGCTGGTGTTAACTCCGGGAATTTAGCGTCTAATCTGCAAATGAATGGTATTCAACAACAGAAAACTGGTAATATGGGAGGTGGCCAACAACAGCAACAGCAACAGCAACAACAGCCACAACAGCCACAGATCAAGGTACCGGAGTTCCCTATCACCGACGAAGATGTGGCTAGGTATACTCCTGAGGCCATGGCGTATTTTGTTAAATACAAAGGAGGATTACCTCCTGTGCTTGCTAAGGAAAAGTTTATCCGGAAGTATATTCAGTTTCAGAAGACTCAACTTTGGAAGCAGAAGAATGGGTTATTGCCCAACCAACAGAACCGGGGTGGAGTTCTTCCTCAACAGCAGCAGCAGCAGCAGCAGCAGCAGCAGCAGACACAGAAGCAACCCCGTAGGCCTACTGTTATTGGAAATGGTGGTCCAGTAGGGGGTGGGCCCATCGTAGGAGGGAATCAGATGAATGGACCAGCTTCAAATAATCAGATCTTGCCTAATACTGCCATTACAAATACTCCACAAGTTCAGCAACAGCAGCCGATCGTCCGTCCTAATAATCAACAGATGAATCCACAGTCGTCACCAATGATGGGGAATCTTCAATCTCCATTAATGACCAACACTCAGCTACCAGTTAACAGTATGCAATCCCCGTTAATCGGACAAAAGTCCATGCCAATGAATCAAAGTTTGTTACAACAATCTCAACTGCAGCAAAGACAACAGGGCATGCAACCCGGAAGACAACAGATTTTACCACAACAACAGCAACAGCAGCAACAGGGTCAACGTCTTCCTCAAGGTCAACAACCTCAGTATTCAATGCCTCAAAACAAGCAGCAGTTCAACCAACAACAACAACCATCACAAATGAGACAACAGCAAGCTCAAGTAGGAAAGCCTGTGATGCAGCTGCAACAACTGAATCAGCAACAGAGTCAGCTTCCACAAGGACAGCAACAACAACGTCCAAGTATGGGAATGCCTAATATGATCACTGATACTCAGGAGTTCAATCAGAAATTGAAGCAAATTGTTGAAGACGTTTCCAGGAACGCTATTAGGTTGCAAGACGTTAGCCAAAAGCTTAATGATCAAGACAAGAATGCTGTTCGAGAAGCATCTCAAAAGATCTCTCAACAATTTGCCAATATTGATAATGTTATCAAGTGCTTTTTCATGCTTACTGGTGATGTTGAAGGAACCAGAAGAATCTTCCATGCTAAGCACATGGTGAAAAACATTTCTGAAGGGTTAAATCGTGGGATCTACTTGGCTATTCCAGAGATGATGGAAAAGCTTGCACAACAGCTACAAAAGTATTTTGACTTTGTCAAACTCCGGATGCCCAATTTACGGGCTAGCATGACTGGCCAACTTCAACAGCAACAGCAGCAACAGCAGCAACAAGGGCAACAACCTAATATGCAGCAGCAGTCACAGCAGCAGCAGCAGCAGCCCCCAATTACTCAACAGCAAAGGTTGGTGCAACAGAAAGGTGGTCAACCCAACGTTAATGGGACGATTGTACCCAATAACCTGTTTATGAATGATGCTAGAAGCGAGTCTGAAAAGTTGGCTCAGCAAGAGAGAATTCATCAACAGCAATTAATCCAACAGCAGTTACAGGGTCTGAATAAATCTGCTAATCCAACCTTACAACCCCAACAGATTCCTCAAGGAATGCAGAACAGGGCACAGTACCTGCAACAACAACAGCAACAACCATTGGCAGCTCCTTTGCCCCAGAGTGCTCCACCTCTTATAAAGAATACACCACCAATTCAACCAGCAGCTCAGCCGTCTAATGTTGATTTGACGAAAGCTAAGAAGCCTTCTATAAGTGCTGCTTCGTCCCAAAGCAGACGTAGAGCTTCATCTGTTAAAAATGCCCCCACACCTGGAGGCTCGGGCCCTGTCAATGCCACAACTCCTGCGACACTTGCCAGTGCTATCAAAACACCCAATAGTTTACCTACGCCACAAGTTCCGCAATCTTATAGCAACAAGAACACTCCCATGGATAACTCTCCAAGTTACATTGCTAAAACACAGTCTACAACCAATGGGTCTCAAGCAGATATTACGGAGATCTTTAGAACCACAGGTGTTGATGCCAAATCAGCTAGAAGAAGAGAGTTGTCTAATTCTGATCCTGAAAAGTTCTTTTTGGCAGCCATGGCTAATTTATTGGAGCTTGATTCTTCAGTTGTTGATGGTCCCTCCTCTTCAACTTCACTTGATGGAACTGGAACTACAAAGAGAACAATCTCATCTTCTATTAAGAATGGTAATGAAGATTCTAAGACTGGTCTTAATTCTCCACTTTCACCAATGATGAATGCTTTGAGTTATAATAATGGTGTTGGTTCCATAAACAGAAATAGTGACGCGGCTAATGAAGGATGGACTTGTGAAATAAGACCAGTAGCCATAACGTCTGCCTTTAAACAAGTTGAACTCATTCGAGATTTGGTATCGACCGACGTCATTGCTACGTGCTCCGAAATGGCTCAAGTGGAATCCCCGAACGGCATTGAAGTAGACGTTTCAAAGAAAAGAACTTATGAAATGATGGAGGACGATGAAGACATTGATATGCTTTTTGGAGAGCCAATAAATGGTGGAGGCAGTAGTCAATCGTTGTATGAGCCAATGGACTTGGAATCATGGAAAAGCTTTGTTACCGCTAATTCCCAATGACTTTTGTGTCCACTGAATTTAAAACGCATTTATTAAGTTTATTGAATATTCATAAGAATTTGTGTATCTTTAATGTATACCCTTGTAAGTTTAGGTCGACTTTCATCTTTTAGGTTGTTATAGGTCGTTAGGTCGACTTTTTCGGCGACAAGTTCATGCGAAAAACTAAGTCAAACAAATACTTCGCTTCGTAATCCTAAGCGAACGATTCACACGTATCATATAAAAATGGGTTCAGATAATACCATCTCAGTTGCCTTCGTCTGTTTGGGTAACATGTATGTAATTGTTTCCATCTAATCATTATCCTTACTTCCTACTAACTTGTTGCATGAAGTTGTCGTTCGCCAATGGCTGAGGCAGTATTTGCCCACACTGTTAAGGTAAAGGGCTATTCTGATCGCTTTGACGTTATAGATTCCTTTGGAACCTCGGGCTGGCACATTGGGGAGCTGCCTGATAGTCGTTCGGCTAAGACATGTCGGAAACATGGCATTCCTGTCAACCATTCAGCACAACAGATTCTGAGAGACCATTTCCATCAGTTTGATTACGTTTTGTGTATGGATTCCAGCAATAAGAACGATTTGGAGTTCATGAAGCCCAAGGGATGTAAAGCCGTAGTCAAATTGTTTGGAGATTATGGTACTGATACTCAGTTTGACAAGATTGTTATGGATCCATATTATGGAGGGATCGATGGTTTTGAGGTTAATTTACGTCAATTGACTCACTTTCTGGAGGAATTTTTGAATCAAGTAGTTGAAAAATGATTTATAGTGATAAGTAGATATGGAGTTATCCCAGTTAATGGTAGATCGAATTTACATTTTTTATGGGTGTAATTCTGAGAACGTGTCGACGTACATTTCAAAACGGTTCTTCAACGAATTAGTGCACTAAAAATTTAAAGGTTCTCGCATAGAAATAAAATGTATTATTAAAGTTCTACAAATTTTAAGTTCAGCAGATTCTATACTATTACTACAACAACTCCCACTACCACTATGAGTGCTAGGAAGTTGCAGCAGGAGTTTGATAAAACGAACAAGAAGATAAGTGAAGGGTTGCAGTCGTTTGAAGACATCTACGACAAGCTTATAAGTACTGAAGGGTCTCAACGAGAAAAACTAGAAAATGACTTGAAAAAAGAGATTAAGAAGCTACAGCGGCTGAGAGAACAATTGAAAGTATGGCTTGCAGATTCCAGTATAAAGTTAGACAAGGATATGTTACAGGATAATCGGACTAAGATTGAGCATGCCATGGATTTGTTCAAAGATCAAGAGAAACTGTCAAAGATCAAGCAATTTTCCAATGAAGGTTTGGAGCTTCAGGCACAAAGAAAACATGGTGGGAAATTTGGTGGTGTAGTTGATTCTGATGATGCGAAGAAATATGAAGCGTGTGAATACATTAGCGATGTTATAGAAAAGATCAACCAACAAAACGAAGCTTTGGAGGGTGAAGTACATCAATTAACACTGCAATTGAAGAAGATAAAGGCCACCAATGCTAGTTCTCTTCAAAGCTCATTGGACGATGTGAAATACAAGATTGAGCGGAACGCTACTCACTTAACACATTTGGAAACCATTTTAAGAGCATTGGAGAATGAGAAATTGGACCCAGATGATATTGAAAAGATCAAGGAAGATTTGGAGTATTATGTTGAAAACAACCAAGAAGAAGATTATGTTGAATATGATGATTTCTATGATTTATTGGAGATTGACGATGGTGTTATTGAAGTTCAAGGCTCTTTAAGTGCTTTGGCAGTGGGAGAAAAGGATGACACTGCCCCAGCAACGTCGACTACGGCAGCTACTGCTGCTTCAGGTGCTCCAGTGGGAACTGGAACTTCGTCGTCTGTATCAGTGGCCACAGCAGCAGCGGATACATCGATTAAAACAGAAAAGCCATCCACTATTCCACCACCAATAAATTCATATTCAAGCGTCATAGGAGCAGCTGCTAGTAAAGGCCTGGGCCAGAGCCAGGGCCAAGCTACCGTTTCGCTCATGGGGGGTATTGTAGGAGGAGCTCCTCCAGGGTTAGCTAAAACGTCTGGTAGATCCATTGGAGCAGCATTAACTCCATCCACAAGCAAGGAAGACACGGGTGTGGTCAGAAGTACGTTTGGTGTAGGTAGTGTTTCACCAACTAGAGGTGGAGCTGGTGGAGCTGGGGCTGGAGGTGAAGAAGGTGGCGTTGGTGGTGCCCTTGAAACTGGCAACCTGTTTGTTGATACTATACCCAATTTGTCGGCTATGGCACAGAACAGACTTCTTAATCCCCTCCCATTGCTGAGTATTGGCAGCCTACTTGAAACATCACTTTTGAATTGTCCTGATTCATTTGACGCAGAGAAACCTCGTCATTATCAGCCAGTTAATATGCACCCATCATCTGTTGATTATCCTCAGGAACCAATGTACGAATTGAATTCTGCATCTATGATACACAAGTTTGATACTGATACATTATTCTTTTGTTTCTACTATGGTGAAGGAGTTGATAACTTGGCTAAATGGAATGCCAGTCGCGAATTGGCTCGTAGAGGTTGGCTTTTCAATCGGGAAACTAAGCAATGGTTTTTGAGAGATCAGGGCAATGGGAAGAAGCGCACAATGTCTGTTATCCAACGAGAAGGATCTCAACCACCTGAAGACAGTGGAGTTGAAGTAACCACAGTTGAAGATAAAGACGTTGATTTGGATAAAGAACATAATTTCAAGTATTTTGATTACGAGAAAACATGGCTAACTCGTCGCAAGGAGAACTATAAGTTTCCTAAAGAATACCGAGAAGTATTTTGATATAGAGTATTAGACAATATTAAAGGAATTGTCAACATATAGGCTAACAATAGTGTAGATCTAGCGATCAATGGATGAATGAATATATGAACAAATTCGCTTATGTAATATATTACATATGCTGTATACATCTATGTTTCAGTTTTATACAGGTATGAAACAACTAGATCTCAAGATTAATGTACCCTAGATGGAGTATGGGAATGTCCAAACCAATGCATCTTCCCCTTCCTTTCTTATTTAAGTAATCACCGTTTCATATGATTGTGAGGAAGTGTACAAGAGTCGGAAGTGATACTGGTATTACACTGTCACATGTTGAATGAATATATCATGGCTCAAAAAAATTATCACAAGTTATTTTTAGCGCAAGTTTATTACTTGAATCCGTACCATTATGAGACGGTAAGCCTACCTCCTTAAATTTTCCAGGCTATTCTTGTTAGTGATTCCTCACAATAGCACTGCACCATAATTAGGATGGGAGTGCGCTACATCCAAAAAGAGCTTCATAACCGCACACTCACATGTACACATAGTTTGGGCTTACTGGCAGTATAATCATTGAATACGCTTTACTGTTCAGAAACTTTCACAATTACGAATCTAAAAATAACCTTTAGTATCTTAAACTTTCAACGTAGCTGATGGCTACGACTCCATGTAATGATTGTAATAATATAGTGATAATGATAGTAATAATATGGTGATAATGATTTTGTTATCCGCTTACAGTCCCTCTTATTGTCAATCTGAAACAACGTTATATTGTCATGTTTGATCGATCCAATTTTTTGCCTACCCGGTTCTCATACAGATCAGGTTTTGTACCGTTACCACCAATCGGGAATGGGGTACATTCCTTCCTTGGTGTACCGTACCTGCAAACGCCTCGCCGTGAACATCGTCAACTTTTTGTACAGAACACTAAGACTTTTCTTTTCACTCTTCTTGGTGGCCTAATAATTTTATCTATACTATACAATTTCTGCTACATACAAAACACATAGCGTGATACGGTGGTGTAGTAGCACACTGCTATTAATTCAGATCGCTATATTATTGTTACTGTTGGTATTATTTTAAGGCTTCCTATCATAATTTGTATTCCACTGAGTTGTCACACTACAGTCATCTGAACTAGTCAGTTGGTTGACCATTAACTCCAATCTTTTTGGTGATACATAAGTGAAAAATTCTTGAACGCTTTACATCGGGACCAAGTCAGGCTGATCGTCGATGCACGCGTTCACAACAACACCAACAAAGCTGCTATCAGCTTCAACTAAGTCCATACTATTCTCGTACGACCACAACTACGTGGTATACAAGAGAGCAGAGTCGTCACTGCCAACAGTAGAAGGCTCTACTTCTTCTACTACAAAGGCAGATGGATGTCTTGTGTGTGCAACTACAGAGCCACTGTGTCCAAGTTGTCCCAATGGTCAAGAATGTCGACTTAGAGCTCCTTCTTGTAACCAATGTGTGGAAGCTTATTGTGCTCCGTTGAGATCTGATAATTCCGGTTCCACTCCAGTAGGTGCTATTGTTGGAGGTGTGGTTGGTGGTGTGGCGTTCTTAGTGTTTTTAGCTGGTTTATGGTACTTTTTTGTGTTTCGAAAACGAAATGACTACTACGATGAAAAAGAAGGCATATATATGGGTGGATCGGATTCCGTACGAGCAAGTGGTATAGAACTTGGAGGGATGGCTAATGATGGTACCGGATCACTACATGAAAATTCTTATGAAGCAGGGCTTAATGACCCCAACGGTGGTGGTGGTGGAGGCCATAACACCGATCAAGGTATGAATAATCTCAACAATACAGCCAATGCGACTCTTACTAGTCAAGGTGCAGCCCAATTAGCCGGTCTCATGGCTGCATCTGGTATTTCAGGAAGTGGTGGGGGTGTCGGAGGTACTTTGAATAGTATGAGACCTCCGTCTGCTCCAGTTCAGCGAAATAAAAGACTTTCATCTTATGAATCTTTTACCAAACCGACAATTCGAGCAGCACTTTTAACAAAGAAGAAGGCCGCCGCTGGCGGTGGTAATAATGTGACCGGAGCCGGAGGAGGAATTTCGAATAGTAATAGTATGAATTCAAGATTTAATGATTCTGGATCGGGACTCATATATGGTCTTGCCCAACAAAACTATTTGGAATCATCCAATCGAAATTCAGTTGCGACATCGATTTCAACTACCAATGCTTCGAATATCCTACCTATCGCATATATTCCAGGTGTTACAGTTCGGCCTACAAAGAATAATACTCGATCAATTCATATTGATCTGGAGTCATTGTTTTCAGATTTAGTTACCATTGAAAATGCTTCTATCATTGGTGCTGAATCCACAAACAGTAAGAATAATTCACAAAGTAATGCTACTATGACTGCCATCAAAGCTCAACCACGGTTAGTTAATGTTGAAAAGATTGACGAAGAAGATGAGAGTAGTGAGGAGGATGGAGGGATACAACAATTGGATGATGTTGATAGTGCATTAGTAGGATCAAGTATTGATCAAGGCAGCAGTCGTAACCCTGGACTGATTCATATTGCTACCAAGACTCAGGTTACTCAAGTTACGCGTGCGCGTGAATTGGGCCACTCACACGAATTTGGCAGTGATGACGAAGATGGCGACGATGAACTGTCAGATGAAGATTCGGACATAGGGGAAATCACCAGAGCTACCAGTTTGCGTCGACCTCGAGTCCAAGGTATACCAATTGGAGTTGGAGTTGGATTTGACAAGCCGCCTATTCGGCCAGTTGATAGAGCTAGTATGAGAAGCGATGATGGTTCATTTGTACTTGATGTGGAGATAGACAATGATGATCGGAGCCCAGGAACAGGAACAATAGGGGTTTCCAGGTCCACAAGAACAACCACGGGAGCCGAAGGATCCAGTGTTCACAGTGGAGAACGTTCGCCATTTGATGATCCTTAGTCACACTTATCAATTAAGGCAATTCTTATTATCAATTCATTACACATAGACATACGGCTTGAGGTTCATTAACCGTATTTGGTTGCATACAAGCGCATGGACTAACACGGTCTAGATAGATAGTATATACAGTCTAATATATATGGTCACATATATGTCTGTATACGTCTAGGTCTAGCTGTGTAAACTGTACAACTGTAGGTAGTTTTGTCTTATCATTATCGCGACATTATCGCCCTGCACGAGTGTCTTAGTAATTATTTGGGGTGCTTTTGTCGGAGCAACATTACCCACATATTTGTCATAATGTTGGGTGCGTGGGGGAATCGGAAAGGACACACTACTATCACAATTACTATACCAGGCTTCTAAAATTTTTCACGACCAACCTAATTCTCCTTACCTCGGAGATATATAAATTAATATCTGCACAATAATATATTTATTAATCCTTATATATATTATCCGATAGCAATTCCGTTTTACTTATTTAAATTGAATTCTTAAGGCTGGACCCACCCAATTGATAATTTAATATGAGTGTTGATACTTTAGCTATTTCTACTATTCGTTTGTTGGCAGTTGATGCTGTCGCTGCTGCTAACTCTGGTCACCCTGGTGCCCCATTAGGTTTGGCTCCTGCTGCTCATGCTTTGTTCAAGAAGATGGCCTTCAACCCTGCTAACCCTGATTGGATCAACAGAGATCGTTTTGTTCTTTCCAACGGTCATGCTTGTGCTCTTTTGTACTCCATGTTGGTGTTGTACGGTTACGACTTGACCCTCGAAGATTTGAAACATTTTAGACAATTGCACTCCAAGACTCCTGGTCACCCTGAAGCTCATGAAATCCCTGGTGTCGAAGTCACCACTGGTCCTTTGGGTCAAGGTATTTGTAATGGTGTTGGTTTGGCTCTTGCTCAAAAGCAGTTTGCTGCCACATACAATAAGCCTGGCTTCCCAATTAGTGACTCTTATACTTATGTCTTCCTCGGTGATGGTTGTCTTATGGAAGGTGTTTCTTCAGAAGCCTCTTCTCTTGCTGGTCACTTGCAATTGAACAACTTGATTGCCTTCTGGGATGATAACCAAATCTCCATTGATGGTAGTACTAAGGTTTCCTTCACCGAAGACGTGATTGCAAGATACAGAGCTTACGACTGGAACATTATTGAAGTAATCAAGGGTGATGATGATATCGAAGCTATCTCCAATGCTATCGATGAGGCTAAGAAGTGTACCAACAAGCCAACTTTGATCAGATTGAAGACTATCATTGGTTACGGTTCCTTGGCTGCTGGTACTCATTCTGTCCATGGTTCTCCATTGAAGGCTGATGATATCAAGCAATTGAAGGAAAAGTTTGGCTTTGACCCTTCCAAGTCTTTTGTCATTCCTGAAGAAGTCACTGCTCTGTACCAAGAACACGTTAAGGAAAACCAATCCAAGGAAGCTGCTTGGAATGATTTGTTTGCTTCTTATAAGAAGGAATTCCCTGAATTGGGAGCTCAATTGCAAAGAAGGTTAGATGGTCAATTACCAGAAGGTTGGGAAAAGGCTTTACCAGTTTACACTCCTCAAGATAAGGCTGTGGCCACTAGAAAGTTGTCTGAAACTGTCTTGTCTTCTTTATACAATGTTTTACCAGAATTGATTGGTGGTTCCGCTGATTTGACCCCTTCCAACTTGACCAGAGCTGCTGCAGCTGTTGATTTCCAAGCACCATCTACTGGCTTAGGTGATTACTCTGGAAGATACATTAGATACGGTGTTAGAGAACATGGTATGGGTGCTATCATGAATGGTATCGCTGCCTTTGGTGCCAACTACAAGAACTTTGGTGGTACTTTCTTGAACTTTGTTTCTTATGCTGCTGGTGCAGTTAGATTATCCGCCTTGTCTCAATTGCCATCTATCTGGGTTGCTACTCACGATTCTATTGGTTTGGGTGAAGACGGTCCTACCCATCAACCTATTGAAACTTTGGCTCATTTCAGAGCTTTACCAAACACAGCTGTCTGGAGACCTGCTGATGGTAATGAAGTTTCTGCTGCTTATAAGCAAGCCATTGAATCTACCACCACACCACACATCATTGCTTTGACCAGACAAAACTTGCCTCAATTGGAAGGTTCTTCTATTGAAAAGGCTTCTAAAGGTGGTTACATCTTGTGTAAGAAGTCTGACACTCCAGATTTGACGTTTGTTTCTTCTGGTTCTGAAGTTTCAATTTGTGTTGATGCATCTGCCAAGTTAGCTGAACAAGGTATTAAGGCCAATGTTGTTTCTATTCCTGATTTCTTGACCTTTAACAAGCAATCTGAAGATTACAAGTTGTCTGTTTTGCCAGATGGTGTTCCAATTATGTCTGTTGAAGTGATGTCTACTTTTGGATGGTCCAAATTTTCTCATCAACAATTTGGTATCAACACTTTTGGTGCCAGTGGTAAGGCTGAAGACTTGTACAAGTACTTTGGTTTCACTCCTGACAACATTGCTGCAAAGGGTCTTGACACCATTAACTTCTACAAGGGTAAGCAAGTTATTTCCCCTATTAGATGTGCCTTTTAAGTAATGGCTCGTGACTGTTCCCTATATTAAATTCTAATTATTACTATAGGTTTTTACTGTAGGTCACGTGTGTAGAAAGATAACTAAGGACTCAACTACTATTAGCAAAAGCTCATATAACTACCATAACTACTATAACTACTATAACTACTATAATTTCTATAACTACTATAACTACTATAACTATTATAACTATTATAACTACTAAGACTATTATAACTACTATGACTACTATAACTACTATAGTCATATTTTCATTTGCTATAAATACTCGGGTGTACGACTGGAACTTACTACTTATAAGGTGGGCTTCTCTGATCTTATAACTTGATTAAGTCATAATTTGTTCATATGGGTTAATTATAGTATCATAACATGTGCTTTTATGATAATATGGGTTAAATTGTGAGTACCAGTGTCAATCAATTGAATGTCTGACTCAATTGAATGTCTGACCGGTTGGTGCTTTGATTTGAGATATTGCTAGTGCTGATAATATCATTACAACTGTTCTAATAAACAATAGTCATCTTTTGGTTACACATGTTAAATAATAAATAGAGCCAACGTTAATTTTTCATGAATCATAAGAGAACCAATCATCAAGATGGTGTTCTTTTTTTAATAGGCATCTAGTGCCTTAGTCGTTGGGAAGTAACGTCAATAGAAATCAAATAAAAGAGCACTAGGCTTATTTGGAGGTGTCAACAACGTATCTACCCAAGATCTTACCTTGTTCCATCAATTCATAAACTTCTGGCAATTCAGACAAACCGACAACCTTGATAGGACACTTGATCAATCCTCTGGTGAAGAAGTCAATGGCTTCGGCAGAATCAGCTCTGTTACCAACATAAGAACCTCTAATGCTAATAGACTTAACAACGGAACTGAAAACTGGAGCATTGACAGATGCACCAGCTGGCAAACCAACCAAAACAACAGTACCAGTTGGTCTAACGTAGTCAATAGATTGTTGCATAGCACCACCAGAGACAGAAACGTTGATAACACCATGTGGACCACCCTTGGTGATCTTTTGGATTTCAGCTGGAATGTCTTTAACCTTGGTGAAGTCAACAAAAGCTTCAGCACCCAAAGACTTGGCAAATTCTTCCTTATCAGAACCACCATCGATACCAACAACTCTGTAACCCATTGCCTTGGCGTATTGGACAGCAAGAGAACCTAAACCACCAGCAGCACCAGAAATGGCAACCCATTGACCAGCCTTCAAGTTAGCAGTCTTCAAGGCCTTGTAAACAGTGATACCAGCACATAAGATTGGGGAAACAAGAGCCAAGTCAGTACCTTGAGGGATTCTGGCAGCATGAACAGCGTCAGCAGTGGCGTATTGTTGGAAAGAACCATCATGGGTGTAACCAGACAAATCAGCATCAGGACAGTTTGGTTCATTTGTAGTTTGACAGTATTCACAAGAGTTACAAGAACCGTTCAACCACTTAACACCGGCGTAATCACCAACTTTCCAGCCCTTGACGTTTTCACCCATGGCGACAACAACACCTGCACCTTCGTGACCACCAACCAATGGTAACTTAGTAGCCAATGGCCAGTCACCCTTCCAAGCGTGCAAATCGGTGTGACAAACACCAGAGTACTTGACGTTAATCAACAATTCATTTGGCTTTGGCTTTGGAACTGGGATGTCTTTGTACAACAATGGACCACCGTTGGTTTCAAAGATGACGGCCTTTTGAGTTGCTGGAATAGACATTATTGCTTAAAAATTGGAGTTTAGTGTTGCTTGGAGCTTGGAATTTGCAGAGTCAAGAGAGTTGATTCTGAATGATGAATAAAAACTGAAATTTGAATCAATTGACGAGGTGAACCTCCTCTATTTATACCAACTGATCTCGGGGATTAAACGTCAACACTTCAAGTTTCCACCACATACGCTCACACTTAACGTAAAGTATCTGCACACACTCATACCATTTCTGGACCACTCTTAACAAAAAAAAGAGGGGACAAACCAGATCACTATAGTTTGATCCGGATTTAAAAGTGCCTGCCTATTAACTCTTTATGTCTCTAACACCGTATTCAAAAGGGGTGTGCTCACTACGGGAATGGCCAGTCCACCATCGGAAATGGGTGGAAACTCCGAACTCCGGTTTCTTTGCCCCACAAATTGACCTGCACCATTGAAACCTGGGGGTCGAGCTTTGCATTGCATTTCGACTTACCAAATAGATTTGAAATAGCTACATTCCCCAAGGATTCAATCAGAATAAAGTGCGTTTATTTCAAGACCAACAATTGGCATAATCAGTCCACTGATGTCCAAGTGCTATTACCGATCATTTGATATGGAATTGATCAGGTTACATTGGTTCGTTCGACCTCGTCTACTCCGTTGTCCGGCATACTCTTATGCGAGAGAACTGCTGATGTAATCATTCAATAAGTGTGCGCGAAAGTCCGAGGGGGTTCTACACACTGGCATTATTATGTTGGCCCAATGTAAATGAGAGGGGTATCCGCATAATACAATTGGTGTGTGGGGCTCTTCCATTGGAAATTTCAACAGAATTTTAAACCTATGTTAAACTGTAAAAGGTCTGATATTATAGGGCCGGCAACCAGAGGTCTCGCACAGGCATTTCGGACATATACGGTGGTTGAGTAGCATTTGGATGCATCATCACTTTCCATCTAAATTAATATCAAGTAGCAGAAATATACACTACATTCTCTTAACACGGCCTATAAACTGCATAAGTTGGTCATAGCATAGTGTCCAATTAACTTTCTTAATTCACTATTTCAAACATACGTACGTTTATCAAAAGAACTCTAAACTCCGAAATAAGGACGTGTGTGGACCACTCTACCAACATTAGGGGATTTTTAAGCTTGCGTTGGCATTGGTTTTTGCGACTGATTAGTGAACTGGCGTACACGAACTTCCAGGGCTGTCACTTAGTGGGGAATATGAACAATCAAAAGACCAGATGAAAAGTATCATTGAATAGGGTAGTGGGGGTCACAAGCCTCCAAATTTTATTACTCCTGTCAAAAAGTCACCCGATTGAACTTTCAATAAAGAGTGGGGAGTATTTTAAGGTGTGCTCCAATCTAGTTCATACAAAAGTATAAAATTCATGGACAAATGGAACTATTACTCAAAAGTCCGTAAATCCAATTTTTATCATAACGTCGAGCCGTTTATACTCGTAACTCCGCAGAATTCAAAATCTGGGGAAACGTTCATGTCAAAAGTCCGTATCTTACCTTGAGCAAACCCCTACTGAAACATCTTGGTAAATTTTACTTTCTCGGAGATTAATATTTAGCAAATAAAATACCAAAAAAGGATTAGGTAAGAAACCCCTCTGTAAACAGGCACTTCATAATATAAGATACATTATTAACTTGAAATTGAAATTGAAATTGAAATTGACTATAAGAAAATAAAGAAGTTTCATTTTCAATAAAAATATCCTCGAGGTTCCCATTTTTCATTCTGAATAAAATCAATCAAGGTCTTGGATCCAGTTTGCAATAAAGGGTGACCACTGACTACCACCAAGAACTTCTCCAATCCTTGTCTTCGCTTTTCGATATTTACATCGTTGAAGTTATTCTGTTGAAAAAAGATCTTCCCTGGAAGAGGAGGAATAATCACTCTGTTGGTTTCGGTTTCGAGTATCTTACGGAACGCTGCAAAATCCAGGTATCGACGCCGCACTCTGCTTTGACGTTTATGAAATGCAGGTATATTTGTCTTTAATATGTATTAGTATCTCAGTAATGCTAATATATAACATATACTAAGGGGAGCTGGCTCAACTTAGAATATATTATGTATCCAATCTCAATTATTATATGTTACATACCCGACAGACAATCTCGTAGTCAGTATACAATTCATTCCCTCTTCTATGAGTCTGAGGATTCACTACCTGAAAGCAGATGTTAGTTAGCACTATGTTTCTCCCAGTTTAATCAGAAGTTCAACTCATATCACATACCTCTATTTCAAGAAAGTTTTCTGGCTCTCCATATATTTCAGAGAACAGTTGGGGCTTGTGTTTTGGTTTACCCAGATCTATCACATCGCTTATGCTCTGAAATGCACGGGACATGGTGGTTCAAGTATAAGGTAATTGTATGATAAGTATTTATAGTTGACTTACCTTGAATTTGGCTTCTTCAGATCTCAAAATTGTGGGTTTTAGGGGCTGCTTACGTAATAACATGTACTCAGTCGTGTATGGACAAGCAGAAATGGTTAGGTTTATTCGTACAATTAATACATTCTACAGTGACAAACAACCGTACTTAGAAATAATAAATTGAATACTTTTATATATAACCAATAGCTAATAAACTGACCTTTCCTTAAGATGTACCTTAAGGCCGTCCAAAAGCAAACGAAATGAAATATGAATATGAACTTAACTGTTAAGGATTTGTATTAAATGTGTTACCTAATCCTGACATTCAAGTGGATGGTTCCTTACTTAAATGTATGTATGGTTGATTTTTGGAGCATTGTGCATTCTGTTGGTAATAGCAGGGATGACATGAGGCCAGCAAATAAGTGTGAGAACAGAAGCACCCCACATGAAAACACCGGGAATTCTACCAGCAATGATTTGAGTATAGGTAAGTCTAGGTAATGCACCGGCCATATTGATTAATGTGTTTTATGAATAAATTAGTGTTTTATTAGTTGTTATTTGGGTATTGAACCTAATCACAATGAAGTTTTCTAAACCGAAATACGTAATATTGCAAGGAAATATTTCACGTTAAATACACTGCCTATAAAACCTCTCAAGTGGTATAAATCGGGTATCGCAAATATTATACTTCTTGCTCAGGCCACCAATCACCGGAATAATTACCCAAATGACATACCATTGGTTGCAAAAGGCTTCTTAGTAGTGCACTCAAACCCCATGGAACAGCTTGAAAGTCACTCCTGCACTCCAAAAAATCACCTTATTTTCAAACATCAGACGATGCCCGCAGCCAAAATCACCTGGTTCTAGAAATTTGGCTATGACATTTGCTTATGTCAGCTACCTTTATCCGGTTTAAATCGAATAGCCATTTTTTTTTGGTTTACTTCCAATACCTCCCAAAATTATGGATTATCTTTAGGGCCGATATTATTGGATGGTGAGGTATATTGGTGTTTCAAATCAACTTAAGCAGAAAGCTTTCCAATAATAATAATAACGAAAACATTTCAAAGTTTAATTGAACAATAATATTTTGTCTTGAATTGGTTCAGTTTACATTTACCATTTCCGTACGAGTTGACCAATTAAAACAGAAAAGTTTGAATGGTAAGTATTTTCACTACAATTGTAACTAAGAGCGATAAACTGCACTTTATTTCTTCCTATAAAAAGGAGGTAAATCCAAATCCCAAAAATATATAAATATAAAAGAAACACAACTCTAGTGTTGCGAGGCTGCGAGACATTTTTAAATGTCCTTCTTCTTGCCCATGTATAATTCTTGGACAGCAAAGGTGTTACCATGTACTTCAGCATCCTTGATAACAGCAATTCTCATACCGGCCAACAAGTTGTGTGCTGCATTTGAGTGGGCGTAAACACCACCATTGAATGCAGTTGTGGCATCCTTTCCTAAAGATGCACGAACCAAAGCTTGACCACCAGGATGTTGACCAATAAACTTCTTGACGTCATAAACGATACCTGATACAATAAGTAAACCGTTTTCCTTACCCTTTGCATTGAAAGTGTCACGGTCCCAAACTGGCAATTCATCAACTGGAGTACCCCAGCTTAACTTGTGCTTAAGACGGTCTAACTTCTTTTGTTGTTGTTGCAAAAGACCTTGTTCAATGGCATTCTGAGAGAATGTTCTCAAGTTGTACGCCAATCCAAGTTTAGACAAGGCCCAGATGGTAACCTTAGTTGGATCGTATTGGTACCACTTCAAGGCATTACGGTAATCTGAGGGGAATTCATGGTGAAAGTTGTGGTAACCTTCACCAAAGGTGACAAGTGCAGTCAAAGCATGATCTCTTGGAGTACGACGGTCATCGAATGGTTGAGTACCAATCCAGTGAGCCAATGAGTTAACACAGAAAGTAGCTTGTTGGATGACAAAAGCCTTAACCAAACCACCCCAGATGAAACCACCCCACCAGTCACCCCATCCTAAGCCGGCAACAACAGTTGGGAAAACAACAGCAGAAAGTACCATAAAGAGCAAGTAGTGACGATGTTGAACACGAATAATCCAATCGCTGGTCAAATCAGAGATATCAGCTCTAGCTTTGTATTTAGGGTTAGCAATTTGTAACATCCAACCCATGTGGGAGTACCAGAACCCTCTACGAGCATCATAAGGATCTCTGTGGGTATCGGTGTATCTATGGTGAATTCTGTGTGAGTGACCCCACCATTTAATGGAACCTTCGACGGCACCAGCACCAAAGAAGGCAAAGAAAAGTCTAACTGGAAGGGCAGCGTCGTAAGCCTTGTGAGCCCACAAACGATGGTAACCAGCTGTAATGGAAATACCAGAAAAAACATATAGAATAAACGCCATAACAAGTGTCTTCACTGGAGGAATATAGATACAAGCATGGTACAAACCATACAACGGAACAGCAACCACCAAGATAAAGTTCAACCAGTTGATATGCTTCCACCAGTTGTTAGCATTCCAAGGTTGTTCGGAAATGTGTAACTTAGAATCCTTATCAACGGTGGAGGCAGCTCCTTCTTCCTTACGTTGTTGACCAGTAATCTTAGCAAAATCTTGTAAAGATTGTTTGGAAATTTCTTCAGCTGTTGCATCAACTAAAGATTTGGTACCCATTAATTTACCCCCGAGACCAGCGGCCACAATTCTAGGGGTCTTCTTGTTTGTACCTGCAGCAACTGCATTTAATTGAGTAAGATCTACTGCTTCGACTGAGTCCAGCATCGTTAATCAATAGTTATTAATCACGAAAAGGCTGAAGTATTGAATATTTTGACAATATAAAGTCTTTCTTCAAACGGCCCGATACTTATACTATGATTTAAAGGCGGAAAGTATTAATCGCCTGTATATAGTACTTCGGATTGCTTTTACATACAGGAAAATCCGTTGCCAAAAAAGAAATATTACATTTTTGTTGGGCCGGGTAGATGGCAGGTACACTATTCCCGAGTAAAGGAAAACGAGCAACAGATTATAATCACGTGAAGCAACCCAACGCAAATTACAAAGGGGTGGGCCGATGGCGTACAATGGTGAATTTGAAGTTATACACGACCTATTCCTGATTGTACCTCATCTTATTATGTCTGCTACGATCTGCTTTTGTCTTTAATTACTCTGTAAAGTAAGTAACTTGACTGTAAATGGCTTAAACCCAAACTTGAACCGAGGTATACATTGTTATGCACTTATAAGAAATGAAATCCGTTTTTAAGATGAAGGGGAATGGTTGGATGCTCTGTCTTACAATTCCTAACCCCTTATCGCTTTTTTTACTCAGACTAGCCTTTCCTAATTGTAGTACAATTTTAGTGCTAACCGCAATCTTGTTTCTGTGAAATTGAATTTCTAATACACTCCAGGGGATATCTTCTTCTAACCTAATTGATTTAATTATACAACAATAGTGCCTTTACCCAAAAGAATCACAAATGTGCAGATTGCTATTTGATTTATGTATAGTCTCGGTTTATTGCGTAGGAGCAACGCGAGGTGTTTACTATGCAGAAGAATATTGGCTGATAACTTTACGATGTTTCTATTCTGGTACTATGGTTTTTTTATTAGCATATCGTAAGTTTTGGAATTCCTAAACGGACAAACCCACCCAAATTGAGTTCCGATAACCGTTGAAACGCATACCAACACCCGGCTGATATGATACAATGTGTAGACTCAAATGTTTGGGTATCAAAGGTTTTGACCAGTGTTTTAGCTTTAGCTTATTGTTCTTCACCTTAAACTCTACTACTTTTTCTTTAAAGTGATCCTTACATTGAAATATTATGAATGTTATCTCTACTACTATGAAAACATTATACTCTATCTAAAGAAATAATCGATGATTATCGACAGAAAAGTCTGATATCAATTTGACATTGTGGATGATAAAAAGAATTCAATTTTTCGGCAAATAACAGTCAAAAGACTCACATTTGTCATATTTTAAATAGTAGTTGTAGAAAACTTTATGATACTGATTTCCACTTTTGTTAGAGCTCACGACATGCTTGTACTCACCCATGGCTCTCATAAAAGTTGCGGGTAACCACGTGTGCGTGTGGTCAGACAATTTCCTGGATCTTTTTCCTTCTTTTCGCTATTCTTCAATTGGTCCCCACTGTAAGAAAAGTAACCTTTGTTTCGTACAGTGCCATACACTACCTTAATGCTCATCTGTATTGTAATTCTACGTACGTATGTTCAACTCTGCGTCCTCTTAAGTCCCTGGAGTGGAGTCCCCAATGGGGCCTTACCTACAAACTAAAGGAAATTCGTATATACTTCAACACACATTGCATCATGTAACATATAAGCGTTAAATTAACATCAGCAAGATCCAGCTTGTAGTTGCCTTTCCTAACCTTTAAAGTTTTTTGTATAGTATTGCAATATGAACCCATCTTATCACCGTCACACCCCTATCGTTCGTTGCGCGGTCCCCACTTTTTTTCCAGGACACATTCTGAACGAACAATTTTCTACTGAAAAACATGAGGCTTGCTTCTTTAACTCAGCATCACCAGTATCTACCAACCCCCAGTATATACTTGGCATCATTGATATAAGAATCTGTTGACCTCATTGTCCGTAACCTTGTAACTGGAACTACTGGTCTCAATTGTTCTTTCTACCAACTGGCCAATTGTCCCTCAGTCATATTATATTCCCAATTGCCTGCTTCATTTAGTTAAAGGTATGAGTTCAAATAACACTAGCGAAAACGGTAATCACCGTCTTGGAATCCCAACTACTCCTAATAATCAACCTACATCGCCTTTAACAAAACCCACTAGCGCTCACTCCCATCACCAACATAGTCACCAACATTCACATTCTCATCATCCTCCACCAACTTCACTTCATTTGCCCCAGAGTTCTGTTTTCCCAGGATCAATTCCCTCAAATCCAAACACAAATGCGTCCAATTCCCAATCATCGTCTCGGAAGCCTTCTGTAGTGGAGCTTCTCAGTTCGCCACCTCCTTTACCTGCCAATTACTCTTTTGCTGATGACCAATTACTGTCTTCTTTTAGTTTATCACGAAATGCAAGTGTATCCTCAAGAGTATCCGCCTCCAACACCTCCGCTTCAGGTATTGTACAAGGAATTGATTGGACAGAAATCCCCTTGAGCGAATTGACCAGTCTGAACAAGTTGATTCTGATCAACAATTCGTATTCCATTCAAGACGCCTTCAAGACATTGGACTCAAACAGTCTTACATCTGTACCCGTTCTGATTAACCCCACATCTCCTCAAGACCTTACAAACTGTCTTACTTTTGACTACTCTGATTTGAATACTTACTTGCTTCTTATCATGAACAAAATTACATTGGCTCAATTGGCCACAAACGAATTGTATTCTGATAAGGATCCGCGTGAAAAGCAAGAAATTATTGCCAATTTGATTGCAAAGGCGAAGAGAGGTGAACCTGTTCCTGTTGACTTTATTGTCAAGTTGCATCCTAAAAATCCTTTCCTCAAATTCCTGGAACTGGATACCTTGTTTAAGATTGTTGAGGCCATGGGTAATGGTCAACATCGTATCGCTATTCATAATCCTCGCAAACCAGAAGAGATTACGGGTATTCTTTCTCAAAGACGGTTAATTAAATACATGTGGGAAAATGCTCGTCGTTTCCCCGGTTTGCAACTGATATTTAATCTGACATTACAAGAATTAAAGATTGGACTGACCACTCCTATCACTATCTACGATGATCAATTGCTTATCGATGCATTGTACAAAATGTTTGAGTACAGAGTCAGTTCACTTGCTGTCATTGATAAACTGAAAATGTTGGTTGGAAATATTTCTATCGTCGACGTTAAAAACGTAACGTCATCTCAAAAGTCACATTTATTATTCAAATCTGTTCTTAACTTCATATCTTACAACTTGTCGCAGAAGGGCATAGAGAAGGGTCAAGACCAATTCCCTATTTTCCATGTTAATCCTAATACAAGTTTAGCTCGTGTTATTGCAAAGTTAGTTGCCACTCAGTCCCATAGATTGTGGATAGTGGAACTGACTGCCAGAAACAGTATCAGTACAATGCCATGTTTATCTGCCCCTGACACCCCTATTCTGACACCTACTTCTGCATCCGCACAATTGGCAGCTGCTACTGTTGAATCTCTTCTACAACATCAACAACAACAACTGCAAGCGCAAAATTCTGCTCCTACGCTGTCTTCACCTCATGCCAGTCCTCAAACCCAACAGCCACCCTCAACACCCAATACCAATACAACTTCGCTCAATGAGGTTGGAAGCATCTCAAGCAACGGACGTCTCGTGGGTGTTGTGTCATTGACGGATATTTTGGGTGTTTTCGCTAACTCTAAAGGAACCAAAACAGACCCTCAATTTGCCCGGAATCAACGTCGGAGATCAAGTACATCCACCACCAGATCCAGTATTGAACGTTCAAGTATTGAGATTCTGAGATAAGTTGACATGTCGTCTAGCTTGTTCTCTTTCACGGTCTTCCCGACCTGTATTTACGCCTTATATACCTATAAATAACTATATCTTTTCACGGAATTCTAAAATCAAATGCCTAAATTGGCAGTTAAACATTTGTAAAGTAGTTATGTCGTTAACAAATTGTTCTAGGTTGTAGTTTAGGTATATTAGTATTACAATAACCTAAATTAGCTACAAGATTTATACTATGCTGACTTTTTCTGCTTGAATGGCTCAATGATCAGTGTTTCTTTTGCTTAACATGGATCTAGGTGTCCATTAATACGAATTGAGGTTTTTTATTGCTTCAATGTCTCTAAAGACCCGGTAATTGTTATGTGCTCTGTATTATTCGGTTATCATTCTTTGTCCTCCTCGTCAGCCTCTTCTAATGTTACAAAATTCTGCTAGTTGTACACATTTGCCATTACTTCGATCTCAAAGTCTTGCATGAAATCTTTTAGAGGGGTCGCGGGAGTAATTTTCAGACCGACAGCGTACATTATGGTCCCTTTTATGAATCAGAATTGTTTAATTCACATTTAAGTAACTGAAGTCGGAAGAATTGGTCTTAGCTATCCATATTGGTGCCTTCTTTCTCTAAGCATATAGCTCGGACTATATGAACTCATAAATTTTTACTTTAAACCATCCTATTTTATTACCCCGCCCTCTTCACCCATCGCATCAAATTTTACAGCTAATGAATTTTTCACTACGAGCCCATCGCATTCAAAATTAATTCACGAGTATAAAAAGGAGGAAGTCGCCCCTTAAAATGAGAATGAGAAGTTGAAAAGTTTTTTTTTTAACATCTTCTTTCGTAGAAAAATTTAGCAATATGGGTAAGGAAAAGACTCACATTAACGTTGTCGTCATTGGTCACGTCGATTCTGGTAAGTCCACCACCACCGGTCACTTGATTTTCAAGTGTGGTGGTATCGACAAGAGAACCATTGAAAAGTTTG